TATCAATTTTCTGCAAAGCGGTGGCTTTTAAATTGCGCCCGACTAGAAACGACTTGTGCTTCTGAGCAAGAAACAGTGGGGAGCAATTCCGATTTGTAAAATACAATTGTAAAATAGAGGAAGAACAAAATATTCGCTGCGCATCGACTGACGGCATCGTTCATCATGCTTCGGATCGATGATAAATCACAATTTTCATGGCGGATCCATTCGATTTCCGGCCTTTTCTCCCTTTCTTCGAGTGATTGTGATAAGATCAAAAGCCTCTGACGCTGTGGGCGGAGCCAGGGAATTTTGGTTCATTGGAGCGCATTTTCTGCGTCTTTTTGATTTTTTTTGGCAAACTAATTCATTCTCAATCTGTCTGCGACCTCTGTTCTCTCGGCGAAGTAGGAAAAGGAAAAGAGCACGTTAATAGAGGAGGATTGAGAAATCGGTTCTCTTAAAATATTCTACAATACCTAGGTTACTGTAGCATTTGGCCACATTTTCCGTTCTCCTTCCCGGGATCTTTTTCAGGAAAATGTACTGCTCCTTTAAGTTTTAAAAGCGTTTTTTTTTAAATTTCACGACGAGTTTTTAATTTATCTGGCCTCATGTACCAAGGAGGCTTCTTCTGAAAAAAAAAGTCCAAATTTTTTTTTCCCGGTTTTTTAGTTTTCGAATTTTCCTTTGAGTTTTCATAGAAATGTGACCCGATTCATTATTTCGAAAACCTGAACGTTTTATGAACACTTTCTGAAACGAAGATGATGTTTATGAGTATGAAAAACTTTTTGAAAAAAATAGTTAAATAAATATTTTTTTCTTCCTTTTTTTCTTTAATTCATATATCTGTCTATTAAACATGTTTAAAACGTCCATCTTTATTTAATAAACATCTTCTGAAACTGGGATTATGTTTAGTGAGTATGTTAATTTTTCTAAGACCTTTTTCTAAGAAAAACTGAGCTTATTGAAGTTTTGGGTCAATTTTTAGCGTTACGAAAGTTTGCTCTAGCGAACAACGTCTTTAATTGGCTGGTAACACCCATTTTTCGCCTTTGTATTTTATTTCAATTTTTTTCAAATTTTTTCAGTTTTCCTCGTTTTTTCTCACTTTTCCGTGTCCAATCCGCAGTTCAAACTTCCAAAAGTCGGTCCAAAACGGCTGGCCACTGCAAAAAAATGATGGATGTGACCAAAAAAATGGGCGAAAATCAAGAAAAAGACGACGTGGTGCGAGAAAAAAAAAGAAGGGGGGACCGTGTATCGAAAGAAGACGAGTTTTTTTGGCAGAATCTCTTGATTATCACACACTAAAACTGTGTATCAAAAACTTCTCTCACGTCATTTCCCATTCCAAAAATGAAAAAAAAAGAGAAAAAAGATCGTCGTTTCTCTTGGTCTTTTGTGATTGACCATGTCTTTCTTATCAATTTATCAGTTTTTCAGGGATTTTTCGAGAATTTGAAATTGGGAAAAGGAAAAAAAAAACTCGACCTTTTTGAGATCACATTTCATTCACAGACCATGAAATCTGAGTGATTATCTAGAAGGAAGACCATTTTTTTAAATCAGAGCTCTTCTCTACTGAATTGACCGAAATTTGAATCTCTATTTATAAATTTCTTGTAACAGGGACTTCATCTATATGTCCTATTCATTTGATTTTTTTCATTTTTTTCCCTTTTTTTAATCTTTTTTTGGTGAAAAAAATGGCCTTTGACCAATTCATTTTATCGATACTTGGATAACTGAATCTCTTCTTAATAGAAAATTGTGCTTTTTCTATTTAAACAGTTCTTGAAAAGGATCAAAGCGTCGCGGTCGCGTTGCGGCTAGATTCTGAACTTTTTCACTGATTTTCCCAGCTTCTCCTTATTTTCTCTCTCTCCAATATCAGCTATCAACAATTTCTCTTTCATTTCAATAAGGTTGTAATGCGAGACGAAAAGAGAAAAAAAGAAAAAATGAGTTGGTTTCGGCAACGACCGCCATTGTCTCACTTGTTCGACGAAAATCAGCGCCTTTTCTCTTTGAAAATTTCTTTTTCCTTCAGTTTTGTTTCATTTTGGAATTTTTGGAAGTTTGTCTGGACGCTAAGAGATGGGAGAGTTCAGAGAAAGAGACGAAAAATGTCCCGCCCATCTTTTATTATTTATTTTTTCCGTTTCATTTTTCGGTTTCAAGTGCGTTTTTCTCATTTTTTGAAATAATATTTTCATTTTCAACTTTAAAAAAGTATTTTTTTACCTGTTAAAAAAATTTCTAAGTTGTTGTTTTTCTTGACTCCCAAACTTGAAATCTTTCGATTGGAATGCCTTATTTTTCAACAATAAACTCTTCCTCGACTTTTTTTGAGAAAATATCTGAAAAAGGGCTGAAAATAAGTCGAAAACGATTCAAATCAAAAAAATAACGATTTTGGCTCTTATCTCGGCTCTTATTTGCTCTATGGCTAAGAAGAAATTCTTTTTTTAATATTTTTCTCAATGATTTTTCATAATTATTTTTTATATAATATTATTTATTTACAGGCAGAACAAAATAACATGTACAGAAAAAAAAGAGAAAAATTTGGCATTAAGCCTGAAATAAATAAATAAAAGGCACTTGAGGCCCTCACGAGCCTCTGAGCCAGTAATGAAAGAATAAGAGGTGAGGATTGCGCAAAGGTAAAATAAGTGAATGGTAAAGAAAGCATTATAAGTTATGACACAGTGTAGCACGGGTGAATGGGGAATTTAATTGTTTGTAATGATATAGACGCGCATAAGATGGATTAGAGTAGGGCTGAAGCACGGGTACCTGGTTCCACGGAGTCTGCTGGGAATAGATCCAAAAAGGAAATTGTTATCGAGGGATAGTAACAAAGACCTGAAACGATCTGGAGAAACATTGAGGTTTCCCAATTTGTACTCTCATGCTTGCTCTATTGCTAAGAACAGATTGACCTTTTTTTCCGACTTTACTACTCACCGCTAACTCTTATCAATCAACCTTTTGAAACTTCCCTTATCCATTTCATTTGAAACAGAGAACAGTGGAGGAAATCAAAAGGACACGAGAAATTATTTCAAATTGAGAGACACTTTTTCTTCTCCGTTCAATTCGACGAATAAAGATTGTTTCCTGCTTCCATTTTTAAACTGACCAAACAATTTTTGAAACAAGTTTCATTTATTTTAAAGTTTCATTAGTCATTCGGGCCCTACTTTTTGCTCAAAAATCACGAAATTCTCTTTTTTTTGTTTTCAATTTTTTTCAAGTGTTATTTTTGACAACATCTAACTTTTTTTCTCAAATTCAAAAACTCGAATTTGAAAAATTCTGTAAAATATGATATCCCCATGATTTTTTTCTGACTTCTTCAAATTTTTCCTTAGAGCGCAGAAGACCTGGAATAAAGAGTCTCTGATTATTTTTTTCAATTTGGAAAATGTGTTCTCTGACGTGAAGAAATTGAAGAAAGAAAGCTGAAGTTTCATTTTTTTTTTTCTGACTATCCATGGAGCAGATAAAATCCGACAAAAATAGCTTCATGAATCTTTTTTTCCAACTTCCTAACAACAAGTTCAAGAACTAATGACGATTCAGTTTCATTTCCTGGTTCTCCCTTCGCAACGATTATCCGTGGAGCAAACAAAAAGCGACCGAAATAGCCTCGGATGTTGATTTGTTGGAATTTGTTTGTTCCGTGGCAAAACAACATTATGTCGTGTGTAACTCATTTATCAATGGGGCACAAAGTTGGGCGATTTGCCAATAAAAAAAATTTTAACTTGATTTTTTTTCGATTATGATTGGAGCACACAAGATCTGAAAAAATGCCTCCAGAAAGCTTCTTTCATGAATATTTTGCCATTTTGAAGGAGAATTAACAAAATACAGACAAATTCCCAATGTTTGTGCCTATAGTCCATTCGCCACAACTCGAAGAGTTTAGTTTTTCTGCGCCCTCTTCTCTCTCGGCGACCTCTCGCTTTTGCTATTTTCATGTTCATATGATTTCACCGGTTGATTTTTTAAGTCTTTCGAAAATGTCCATCGTGTGTAACTCATTTATCAATGGGGCAAATAAGATTTGGAAGAAAAGGCCTTGATAATTTTCTCGGAGCCATTCCGAACTCGCCTAAAATTGATGATATTGAGGGATTTCATGACTTTTGGACACTGTATCTATATTATCCATAGAGCGCAAAAAAGTCGACGAATTAAGCTTTTTTTTCCATATTTTGTTTTTTTCGTTTTTTTCGTTTTTTTCTGTTATTGAGGGCTTATGGTTTTTATAAGCTGATTCAGAATATTTTCAGTTATTTTCCAAGTTTTTCTACTATCCGTATCAATAAATCATTCATGAAAACCCAAAAAAAAGAAAAATTGGAAAACTCCCTTCCTTACATTTTCCTACACAAAACGGCCCCAACAAAAGGTAAATCATATGCGTCTTTTTCGTCGTTTTCTGTCATTTTTTTTTTACCTTGTCCTTGCCTTTCTACCTGCCGAATTTGCCCCTCAGACGACCTATGACATCATCATTTTTCGCCGATGGACCGGCCAATAATTCCCTTTCTTCATCCGATTATTTTTCTGGGCAAAAAGAGAAGAAACAGACAATTTTTCGGCCAGGCAACCTAGTATCATAAAGCTCTTTTTTTCGGTACATTTGTTTTAATAAAAATAAAAAGTCCAAACTCCTCGTACAAGCTTTGAATCCATCACAAAACAGTAAAGTGACGGAAAAATTATTTTTATTTTTCTGAACGAAACCCGTATCTCCATGTTTCCTTGTTTATGATTGATTTCAAACGCTCATTTTGTTTTATTTTTAACCTTGTGATAAAAATAAACGTGTCTGATTCCGATTCCACATCTTCTATTGTTGCAATGGGGATTCGAAGCGAAAAAATGTTAATTTTAGGTTTATCTTCTCGGAAAAACAAGGAAAAAACAGTTATACGGAAGGTTCGAGTGTTGAAAAACGCGGTGAACAGCGACGGGTTGGCGGACGGCGGGATATGACACTTAGTTTGTTATTCATCATATTTTTAAATCATCAATTTGTATCGAAATCACAAAAAGTTATGAGTCTCATTTCAAAAAGTTAAGAAAGGGCGAATTCTGAATTAAATGAAGAAATTAACCATTTTTTTGCTTATTTTTCTTTGCAAAAAAAGCTTATCTTCCTTAATATTGAATAAAAAAATGGTGCAGTCTCGTTTACAAAATTTGATAGTTCCTTTCACCGTTTCTTTATTTTTCATCGAATAAAAAAGTGTTTTTTTTTTTTTTCAATTTTAAATGATTACGTTTCTACGCTATCACACTGGTGAACAACTAGTTGTTATACCTTAAAAAAACTGAAGCATTTATGAATAAAAAAACAAATATTTCAAAAACACATTTCGGTATCACTTATGTGCTCCATCGATAAGGGGCCAAAAAAATTAATTTTTTTATCGACTTTTTCTGCATTTTTTTCCGTTTTTTTAATGTTTCAGCTACTTTATAAACCACCAAAAAAACCGCTTAATTTTTCATTCGTATTTGAAAAAGTTCCTTATCAGCCAAAACATGCATTTTTCTTTTTCAATTTACTCAAGATCTCTGAACTCTGAGAGGATTTTTTGAGTCACTTGAGGGGTCTGAGACATCTTTGTGGTGTAACTATAATTTGAAAATTATCGAGTTTTTCTTAATTCATAATTTTCTTAATTTTTGATCGGAAGATTTTTTGAAATTAGTTTTTTCATTGTCGTTCTTCAGCGTCTATAATTTGTTCCCTTTAGTTTCAATGGGCTCAGATATTTTTCGTAAAGATCTCGAGGCGAAGATTCATTTCCTGTAATTTTAGGCCAATATAGATTCCTGCGCGTTTCCATTGCTTCAGTTGAACTGTTTTCTTCCATTTTATGCTTATATTTTTGTATTTCATATGAAAGAAAATTTTCACCAAAATTTCAAAAACGGGAACGAAAAAAAGATTTGTTTCGGACTCTTTGAAATATATAGAAATGTAGTAGAAATGAACTTTTTTCCATTTTCAGAGCAACACCGCGTCTGCGACTCAATATGTAGTGAGTGAAGTTGCGGAGAAGCGCACTAGAATAACATCAGACCAGATGCAGATGCGATCCAGACGGCGTTCGAGGTCGGCTCGGCGCAGTCGTCGTCCAACGACGTCGAGAAGGCGACGTCTTCCGGCGACTGGTGCGCCTGGCGACGGAAAAGTCGCGTCCGGCCCGCCAAGGCCGACGTCCAGCAAGCGCGTCAGGTGTGACGGCTAATCCCCCAGGGCAATTGGTTCAAATATCAACTCTTCTGTGTCTAATGCCACGAAATACTCGAAAAAAACTTTATTCGAACATTTTGAAGTGGAAATGTATTTCTATAGGGGCACAGATGGTTCAAAACCTTATAAACTGGAAATTTACTCAAGAAATTCAGATAGGTCCCTATAGGGACAACCTTAGGGGCCCTTGAAGGTTGCCTTTAGGGATCACTTTACTTCCCTGTAGGGGACACTAAAGCTAAATAAAACTTTCGGTTGAAATATCAACTCTTCTGTGTCGAATGCCACGAAGTACTCGAAAAAAGAACTTTTCCCTCAAGGGACCACTTTAACTTGAGAACTCTTTTGCTTGAATTATCAGCTCTTATGTGTCTAATGTTACGGAAGTTCTTAAAAAAAACTTTTTTCGAAACTTTTGAAGAATCAAAGAATTGAAAAAAAAGCTGTAGAAAACCGCTTCCCCGTTTTTGCAGATTGTTTAATAAAAAAAAAATGAATATTTAGTCGTTGGGATGTGTTTTTTTCCATCTAATTGTTATTTTTTCAACTTTTCAGTTTTTTTTATTGAACGAAAATCTTTATTGGGGTAACACGGATGATTCCGATAGAAGTCTCGAAGCGAAGAGTTATTTTGTTTTCCTTCCCATTGATATTTGGAAATGCCTCAAACGGTTTTTAAATGGTTCTGCGTTGCAAAAAAAGAAATTATGCTGAAAAGAACTTTTTTTGAAGTTTTTTTCCGACTATTCAACGAAGTTTTGGAAGTTATTCATAATGGTCTCTATATTGGAAATTCTGTTTTCGAAAAAAATTTTTTTGCGGGAAGATAGTTCATCAAAAGTTGAGTCAGAAAACTGTGAATTTACTTTTTTTTTTCAAAACGAACTTCTCAAGAAAGGAAAATAATTATTTTTTTCAGTCTCAAACCTCAAGATGATATACAAAAACTAATATTACAGGAATAAGAGGAAACCTGACATTTAAAAAAAAAATTATGAACTTCTTTTTCTTCAAGACTGAAATAATGAACTATAACTTTTTCAATGAACGCATTCGTGAGAACGATTTCTACAAGAACAAGAAGAAATCTGGATTTTGCAGGCGGTTGCCAGCTCGTTCGTTGAGCACCACCTCTCGGTCGAACAATTGAAGGACGTTTACCCCGATTCCTATATCCATCCGGAGTTCCCCGACCGCAGCGATGGCCTCCATTCCGAAGAGGCCAAGTAGTATATTAAAATAGAATCGAGAAAACTTGGAAATGACTAGAAATTTGCAGAAAACGAGTGAAAGACGGCGGAATCAACTGTATAGACCCGCCGAGAGAACCGAATCTCATCCGATTTTTCGTCTCTCAGTTTCACTTCAAATTTTGGCTTCTCTTAATAGGTGAGCATTTTTTAAAGGAACTTGTAGGGGAATTCAGAGTGGACCCTAAAGGGGCGCCCTAAGGGGCCCTTAAAGGTTCCCTTCTAGGGTTTTTAACTCATCTTTAGGGGCCAATTGAAAAAGTGACTACTCTAGAGGAAAAAGCATGCTGGTGGTCTCAATACGCCTTTTCAACTTTTAAATCAGAACAAAAAAGTTAAAATACCACTATAGGGACCACTTTCTTTGTTCTTTCGTCATTTCAAGTATATTTTTTCTTGTTTTTCAGTTTTTTTTCAAAATAAATTCGTTCATATAGTTATCAGCAATTTCGAAATGTTGTTACATATTTCTGAAAAAAGAAGCCTATCAAAACTGATCCTTGGCTTTAGGGAAATTCCAATTTTCTCTCGTTTCTCCATATTTCAACTTGATTTTACCTTCTTTTTCTTTTAGAAATTTCGCATTTATTTAGGAATTTTTCTGAGAAATTCATTATTTAACTTTCCATAGGTATTTCGAAGCTATAGGGGAGAATTTTTTTCAACTTAAACTTTGAAAAAAATCTTTCACGCCTTGCATTTTATTAAACTACTGATTAGTCTACCGCATTTTACTCTTATATTCATTATAAATATCTGTCTCTATATTTTATTCAATGTATAGACCAATAATTGAGGCGCCTCCCTGCTCTCGATGGCGACCTATTCGATTCACATGGCCCGAGGGTACAACGAACCGCTCAATTTGTATTGTGCCATGATTTTGTTGGCGGTGGTGATCGTCATGTGCTTTCTGTCCTATTGGCAGCAGAGCAAGGCCAAAAAGGTTGGGTTTTGGGTCGTGGAAAGATGAGAATATTCTCTCCGTTAAAAAAAGAGGTATGTCTCGGGTAAAGTGGTCCCTGAAGGGGCAGCCATAGGTTTAAGGTTAAAAACATGTTCTCTGATCACTCATTTGTGTTCAGTTTTTTATTCAAAAAAACATATATTGGCTCCTGTATTTGTTGTCTCCAAGCGATGATTCATTTCCTCTGTCGTGAAATATAAAAACTTGATTTATTGATTGAAATTGGAATGCTTTCGAGCTTTTTCACTAGGATTCTATGAACGCGGCATTCCTAATGGGGTGAGAAAAGGTGAGCGAGACGTCAAATTTTATGAATTTACAAAAAAAAGCAAGTGCGCGCTTCGGATAAAATGACGTCATAGTTACACTGAGTATTAAACGTTAATAACTTGTTTGTTCGATCGCATTTCTCCCCACCCCGTTTGGGAACGCCGTGAGGACATTGAATATTCTTGAAGGTGTTGCAATCCAACACGCGAATGATGCCGTCGCTCGCGGTAGTCATCCGGGATTGTGAAGAGCAGGAAGTCAAGGCAGATGAAGTCGTCGTGGGCGACATCGTCATTTTGAGGTGATTTCGAGTCGGAAAAGTCCAAAAATTGATCAGTTCCTCACAAGGAAGGTCATTGCACTTTGTGGTTTGGAATTCCTTGAAAATCGGTCGAAACGCTCCTAGGATTGACACTAGATGATGATCCTGAAAGTCTTAGCCTGCACAAATTTATATTTTTCGAGAATTTAGTCTCAAAACCCAAAAAACGACTGATTTTAGCGGTTTTTGATGGTTTTCTTTGAAAATTTGGAAGTTTTTCAAGGTTTTATCTTCACCTGTTAAATCAAGAGTATTCTCAAAGAATTTCAGAAAAAATAAAAGTTTAAAATAGATCTCAAAAAATTGCCAAGTGGTCTGAGAAGCTTAGTTTCTGTATCTTTTCGAGTTTTTGAACTCGAAACAGTCTGACCTGTCTGCGCTCTCTTCTCCCTCACCGACAGGAAAATAGCACGTAGACAAGAGAGAGTCGATGGAAAAAGGGAGTGTAGAGAAATCTGTTTGAAGATATGATAGATGAAATTTGTAACAGATTATTTTTTCGGGAAAAATATAAAATGTACGCTTGAAACTGTAATATATTTTTTGCTGTCGTTTTTGGGAAAATGACTTTTTTTGGGTGGGTATTCAGTAGGCAGAAGAATTAATTTTTTTCGGAGTTAAAAGTTTTTATCGAACAGAAAAATACTAAGAAGAATTTGCCAGGAGATTCTTTGATTATAATAAAAAAAAATTTTTTTAGTTTTTTTAAAGAAGATAAAAAAATGCGTCTTCAAGGTTTAATAAAATTAATTTGTTTCCTAGGACCGGCTACAAAGTTCCGGCCGATATGCGGATAATGCAAGCCAACTGTCTCACCATCGAAAGCGCTGAAGTTACCGGTAAAATCGACTTTTTGACGAACATTTTTTTTCAAAGTTCCACCAGATTACTGTTTCAGTTTTCATAGAAAAGCTAGACCTACAGGTTCGAAGTAATTGTGCCAGCTTGGAAATGCTCAGACCCTCCAAAATTTAGTTTTCTTTTTATTTCTCAGACAGTATTTCGAATATCGCGGTATCGATTTGAACATGAAATAAAGAAAAGAAAACATTTTTGGAGGTTTTTTGAATTTAGGAAAAACATGAACTCCCTTTTTTTCATGGTATTTTTTTATGATACATATTTTTTTCAGTCGGTTAGTTCTTTCTTGGTTTATAATAATATATAAAATAAGAAAAACTTTATCTGTATACTTTTAGAAAAAGTCAATAATTTTGTTGAATTGATTATTTTCATATAAAGTTTCGTCAATATATTTATTTTACGGAGAAATGGAACATCTTTGTTTAATCTGATTTGATTAAATCGGAGATTTTTCGCGAATTTCCAGGAGAATCCGCCCCAAAAGCCTACAAAAGCGAGGCGGCGACGTCTTCTGAATCAGTTTTCGACGCTTGTAACATCGCCTTCATGGGCTCCTATTGCACCGAGGGCGAAGGCATCGGAATCGTCATCCGAACTGGAAAGTTCACGGTGAGTCCAGGAAAATAAAGTTTGAGGTCTACAAAAAAAACTTCATGAAATTTTGTTTCTCTCCGACATTTTTGTCCACTTTTTCTGGTTATTTCGTTTCAACTCGACCTTGAGTCATTTTTGAATTCTCTGAAGTTTCAGAGAAAAGGAATAATTAGTATAGTTAAACATTTTTCATGGAATTTCACGCATTTTTTGCGACCTTTATGTCCTTTTGATGGTTTTTATGTTTCAACTCCATTGTTATATATCACATTTGTCTTTTAAAAAGTTCTTTGAACAGTATAACAACATTTGAGGCCGTTTTTGCGGTCAGATAATTCTGAAAATTTTAACTTCAAAGTCTTCAAGAATATCAGAAAAAATCTACGCTGATGAAGCAACTTCAACGGAGGAAGATTGTTTATATATTTCATTGAAAACAGGGATATGTCCTATAAATTCACAGTCTTTTTTAGTCTGTTTGAAAATTTCGAGCTCGTTTTTGACATTTCAAAAAGTCTCTTAGACAGTACAACGAATTTTAAAGCTATTATTATGGTCATTTTTTCTGGACGCTTCAACTTCGAATTTGTTCTGAATATATCGTAGAGTAACCAAATTCAGGTCTACCATTGGAAAATTCCAACGGAATGAAAAAAAATATTTTTTTTTTGAAAAAAAGGTGGAATATCTCGTAGAGAACTTCGAGTTTGCTTATGAAGTTTTGGTTCAGAGGCTCGTGAGGGCCTTAAATGCCTTTTATTTATTTATTTCAGGCTTTAATGCCAATTCTTTCCTTCTTTTTCTTGTACATGTTATTTTGTTCTGCCTGTAAATAAATAATGTTATGTAAGTTTGTTAGTAAGTCTCTTAAAGTTGACAGTTTTTTAACCCATACTTTGGCTACCAGCTCTTTTCTAACCTTTCCAACTTCAAACTTCATCGAAATCAAAACAAATCAACTGAAAATTGAAGATAATGGGCGCGATTGCCAGCCTCCACCATCACATCCCGCCGCCGAGCGGCAAACTTCAGACCGAACTCCAGAATTTCTCGACTTTCATCTCATTTTTGGCCATTTCCATGGCCACCGTCATATTTTTCATCGGTTGTTTTGTGGCAAGGTCAATTTCCTTTTCTTGATTTCTGATTTATTTTTCGAGTTCTCAGGTTTGAAAACGTCCTCGACCATTTTATTGTCGGTTTCGTGGTAATTATCGTGGCAAATGTCCCGCAGGGCCTCCCGGCAACAGTCATGTCCCAACTCAGGATCATCGCCCGAAGAATGGCCCAGAAAAATATTCTCATCAAGAAATTGGAACTTATAGGTGGGAATCATCAAAATCAAAGAGAAAATGGTTACAATAAAGTTTATTTTTCAGCCCTAAATTTTTTTTTTCTCATCAACTGTTGTAAAACTATCAAAACTGATTTTGGTAGTCGGATGATCAGGAAATCGAGGAATTTTGGGAAATTGAGATAAAGAATAGAAAATAAGTTATGAAAAAAGGAATGAAACGAAAGAAAATGAGGGAAAATAACCATGAAAAAGCATTAAACTCCTTAATTTATTGATTAGTCCTCGAACGTTTTTAAAGTCATTTTTTGAAAAATGTCGAAAAAAACGCAAAAAAAAAGAGGTGAACTTTAAGTTATAATTCACCAAAGATCGTTAAACTTTTATTAATGAGAGTTTAATTTCACGTTTTTGAAGCTTCTTTCGATTGAAATAGAAATTGAAAACTCGTTGTGATTCTTTTTTTCGATTTTTGTTTTCGCTCCTTCAGTTGACGAACTTTAAATCACTTCACAGTTTCATTTAGCTGGTTTTAGTATCTTAAACAGAGATTTTATGTTTGTTTACTGTGTAGGGGTCGGTTAAAAATGATGAAAAAAACCAATAAAACGAAATTTTTGGCTAAATAAATGTCCATTTTTTTGGAACTATCTTGTTTTTTTCTTTTGAAATGAGAGATTAATAAAAACCCGTGTTTTTTTATTTTTATTTTTTTGGACAAACTGGGGAAAAATTTAAATTAAAAACAGATAAATCAAAAAGTAAAACTGCGGAAAATGGGAAACCCAGAAAAATATTGAGATTCCGAAACCATTTTTTTACCATTTCTTCAAGTCTTTTTTTAAAAATGAAAAAAATTTCGATTTTTTTCAATTTCAACCCTGTTTTTCTTCTTCCTACATTTTTTCTTTGTTAATCGAGATGAAATTCTGGAAAAAAGGGTCTTCAGACGAACTCGGAGCCGCTACCGTAATCTGCACGGATAAGTCGGGAACTCTGACGATGAACAAGATGATCGTGACGGACTTGTGGTACAATCGGAGACTGCTCACAGGTTCTTGCGGCAAAAAATATTCTGAACATTTTGAAGAAGTTTCAGGCGGCGTCGATCTGAAACATCCGCATCTGAAGGCGATGAAGACGTCGGTGAGGAATGAACGGCTCGAAGACCCGCTTCCGGATATTCTCACCGGTTTACCTGGGCAAAAACGCAAAAAAAAGGACATATTTTTCCATGGAGCACATTTACTCAAGTCTCTCTGACTAATTTCAGGAAAATGACATTGAAATACCATTTTGAATTCAAAAAGTTTTTATTTTGCTTTTTTTAAAAATACAGACTTGTGAGTTTATATTAAGTTCAAACGAATTTCTAAATTCTTCCTTTAGCGGAAAATTTTTGTACTTGAATATCGTAAAAATTAGAGCTATTAGTGGGCTTTTAAATGGCTCTAATAGAAAACTCTACTGAAACGGGAAAAAATTGAATAAAGGTTAAAGTCGCGACGAACGAACTATAGTGAAAATGCTAGACAAAGAATCGACGGCCTTTAAGATTTCATTTTATTTTCCAAAGCCTTCAAACTCCGAAAAGCGAGGGGGAAAAAATGAAAAATTTTACAGTAATGTCCGTGTGCAATGGAGCGCAGTTTGAGTACGTCAAAAGAAGCATGAGAAGAGTCTCGACGATGCGCGCCATTCAGAAGTCCGCGTCCGAGGCGATGCTCAGCGCCCCGATGAGGAAGAAGTTCACGATAGTGTTAGAAACCTCTCAAGCCTCCCGGAAATGTGCCCTTTTTGAAGAGACACGAGGACGGGACAAGTCTCAGAAGCTGGCAAAAATCGAGAAATCTCCTCGATTTGCCCCAACTCGCATCACAACTCGTCGGATAGAAAAGGTGCGCAAATAATTCAGTCTTCAAAAAAAAAGACAACCTTTTACTTCGAAGTGCATGCGCCTTTAATATAGTGGTAATTTTCAGATTAAATTAAAGGCGCATGCACAGAGACATGCCGTCATTGAAAAAGGAGAGATGAGTTGACCCCTAGAGTGGAACCTCTAAGGGCCCCTGAGGTTGCCCTATAAATACCACTCTGAAGTCCCTAAGTAGCTCGGAGGAATGGAAAATCGTTCCCAGCTGGCTATGAGGAATCAGTTTCAGAGAACGGGAAGAAAAAGACGCGACGCGACGCTCTTCTGGGGGTGCCGAGCGACGTCGCCTTGGTGCAGTATGTGGAGCAGTTCGCGAGCGTCGAAGGCATCCGTCAGCGGTACCACGTCGTCCACGAGATCCCCTTCAACTCGATCCGCCGATGTCAGCTCGTCGTCGCCAAGTGCCTGAGCGACACCAACGGCCACGTCGACGACCTCCCCGACCCGCTGGAAGTTTCGTCGAGCCGCCTCCGTTCATTGTTCTGGCCGGTTTTAGAAGCAGTCCCGCTACGTGGTCTTCATCAAGGGCGCCCCGGAAGTCATCCTCGGCAAGTGCGCCAAGGTGCTCCAGAACAAGGAGCTCGTCGAGATCGACGACGACTATCGGAAGCAGTGTCAAGTGAGAGAGAAGGGTAAATGCCCCCAGCTGGGAGGTGTCCAACAACTATTTCTTGAAGCCTTAAAATCGAAGAAAAATAGAAAATTGCATTTAAAAAAATTTTTCATTCTTAAAAAAAGTAGGTCAATATTTCCGCTTATCACAATTTACAGTTTCAGAATCTTTCCGAGCCACCTATTTTAAATTATCGGCGCATAAACTTACAACGCATTTAATCAATCAAAAAAAGAGAAGATCAAGCCTCATAATAAGCTCAGCTTGAAACGGCGAGTTGAGTTTCAGACGGCCTGGGAGCAACTCGGGAACGAAGGCCGACGCGTCATCGCCTTCGCGCAGCGACACTTCCACGCCTGCGAAACGGCCAAATTCGGCGGAAAAGACGGGGCTGAATGGCCCGAAGAGCTCGTTTTCCTCGGCATGGCCGCTATTATGGATCCACCCAGGTAGGGTCGTCAAAGGGGTCTTCTTACTATGGAATGGTCTCCATTCGCAGTGGGACTTTTGAATGAGAATAGGCTCACTAGATGTAGTTTTTCACGCTGATTCCAAGTCTGGTCTCAAAAACTGCCCTCGAGGCCTGTGAAAAAAGTTAGGGGCTCTCAAAGTCGAAAATTTCGATGTCTCTGATTGATTTCATTTTTGAAGGGTATATAGTCCTTGTTCCTCCGGTCACGAAAAACCATTTGATCTTTTTTCGAAAGGTTCTGGAGCCAGATAGTTAGGGTAGAACTCCATGGAAAATCAGAAATTTGAGTAGTATTTTGTGTTGAGAAACTAAAAAGTAGTTTTAACGCTGATGAAAGTAAGGTGCTAGGACAACGCGAGTTTTTAATGTTCGGAAGGGGGGATTATCAAAAAGCTTCTCCTCTTTTTAATTCAATTTTTTATCAAATAAGAATGGATAGATGTTGCATTTCACCTGCTTCCTGCTGTTATAACTCATTTCGATAAAGTTCAAAGCAAACAGAAAAAAAAACGCGCTCTTTGTCGTTTTACCATTTTTTCTCTACATTGACTATCATCACAGTCTTTTAAAAAACTCAAAAAAAAACAGCAAAAAATGAACATTTCAAGGCCAGAAGCGGCCCACGCGATCGAGCAGTGCAAAGGCGCCGGCGTCAAAGTGTTCATGATAACCGGAGACCATCCGACGACCGCCACGGCCGTCGCCAGACAGATCGGCCTCATCGGCGACTCTTCTCAGGTAGGAAAAAGGATAATATCAGAAAAGTTTTATCAGTTGATCACTGATAAATCGGGGAGCCGTACATGACGTAGTGGCCGTCGGTCGCCTCGGCCACGTTCGAGGTGGTCGTCGGACGGTAGACGCTGGTAGAAGCCGCCGCCCTCTCGCTTTGGATTATCTGCAAGCTCAAGAGTTTAAAAAAGGCTTTAGGAAACTGGAAAGTTCGAGCAAGAGGCTGAAAATTGAAATGGAACGAGTTCTCGAAAATAAATTCGAGAAGATCGAGTTTCCTAGTTAGTCGTAACAAAAAAAAATCGAAGAAAAAATTCATAAATTTGAAAATAAAACCTACAGAAAACAGTAAAGTGAAGTTTGATAAAAATGCTGACTAGAGAATTAGGGTATAGTCTGTTCAGATTTTAAATGTCAAGTCCTTGCCGAAGCTCCGCCCCCTAATGGCGCGATGAGAGCGAGCCATCCACAGAGCGTTTTCGAATGACGTCATTCTAGTTGACATTCAAAATCTGAACAGACTATAGATTCATGATCATCTCCGGGCACCGTAGCTTTAATAGTCGAAATAAACTCAGCCTAAACCCAAACAACCCTTGAATGTTTTAATTTAGCGAATTAGCTGCATGAAACTGTAAAATTTAAGAAAAATGGTAGGATGGGTACCGCGCGAGACCTTTCCAAAGCACAACAGAAAAATAGCTACCGTAAACAGTGACTTTCATGGAAATTTGCTTCACAAAGCTGCAACTAAATGCAACAAAAAGGTCTTGAAGCGAAATTTTGGTCAAGTTTGAAAAAAGTCTTTAAAAAAAGACAAGGTGGCGCGGGATAGGCTCTAATGAATGAGAATACTGAAAATTGGATTTGTTGAACTATTTGAGAACAAATTTTAGATAATCGTTTCGATAAAAAAGTGACATGAAACTGTAGAGTAGAGTAACGAAAGGTTCATTTTCTATAAGTGATTTTCGATCGAAACTCGGTTACGAATGAAAAGATTGAGCTCAAGTTAGATTATAGAATGTATAGTTCATTTCGAAATAAGCAAAGAAAGGTCATTAGAAAATCTAAACACTGTAGCTTTGAAATTTTCCAAAAATTGAGATACGAAAGTTGAAAATATTTGCACAATGAAAGAAAGAAAAAATGGTGACCCACCGAGTAGACGCCGGCGCTCTTCTCCGCATAGATATTGAGGCCGAAAAAGCGGTTGAGAATCGTCTCCAAACAGTACATGGCGACCATGAAAAACGCCGCGATTTCGACGCAGATCAGGCTGCACGGATATTCCGGCGGCGTCACCAGACCCCACGTTTTTGGCCATTTATTTCTGGAAATAGAGGTTTTCTTCGAAAAGAAAGTAGGATCCACCTGTAAATCTCGAGCAGGATCAGAACCGTTCCCCAAATCGCCACTTGGAACACGTTTTTGAACGCCGCTTGAATCTGAAAAGGGAGCTCATTTCTCGGCGAAGGTCATTTTACTTTCGGGTTGGGAACGGCCGGAAAGTGGCCGGAACACTCCTTGATGTACCTTGGAAATCTCAAATTGCACAACTTCCTAGTTTTAGTACAATTCCAGGTCAGCGAAAACTCTCAAAATCTAACGAAATAGGCTATTTTAAGGCTTGGGCCCTCATTTCTCAAGAACCAGGAATTTTCGCAGGTTGAGACTTTTAGGGTCTTTTTTTTTTGGTACATCAACAAGTCTTCTGGCCCATTTTGAAAAAATTCCCAACCGCAAAGTAAAATGAGCATTTTACTTTGAAGGACTTTTCATAATTTTTCCCGAAAAGATTCCCATAGGTCTGAACACTACTAAGGAAGAAAAAACACTGAGAAGCTCAGTAAACTTGTTTTTACCAGAATTGAACGATTATTACTGGAACTTTAGAAGTATCCGTTTTCAACTCTTTGGCTCAACATTGACGGAAAATTGAATTTTTTTGAAGCTGATTCCCACTGATAAGAGTGTTCATTTTCAACAAGCCATGAGAAAAAATAATTCTTTAATTTCCCAACCATTCCCGGAGGCTTCGCGGAGCAGTAGAAATGAGCAACACTGATCAGGGTCAAGATTCCGGAGGCGGCGATCAAAATACAGACGATGCTCAGTCGTTGGAACTTCTCATTGATCAGGGTGTTCCCGCTGTATCCCCAGATGTCTCCTCTCGTCACCTTAAGTTTTCATATTTCCAAGCCAATAAAGGAGAGCCAAAGGAAAATAGGAGGTGGCACGGAATGCGCGCTCTAAGGATAAATTTTCTTTCGGCTTTTTTTTCCAGACTTACGACTACAAAAAGAAGCCAGGTTCAACTCAAAAAGTTCCGAAACAACCCGTGGATTTCAAAAAGTTCTGTAGGCTTTCGGATTTTTCGTTTATCCAGCTTTTTCTGAATTCACCTATTTTGAAGAAATGTCTCAGACTCACATTGATGCAGGACCTTGAGCGGAAGAAAATCGGCTCTCCACCAATCTGAACCTCTTTCCACGCTTTTGGGGCCGGAAGGAACACTTTTTCAGTGACATTCTCTTGAGGAATCTCAGTAGTCGTCTCGGATTCCACCTCTACCAAGATGACCTTCGACGTCACTTCCTCGGGCGTCGAGGGTTTAGTTTTCAAGGCTTCAGACGTCTTTGGAGCGGTAGAAGTCGTGCTTGTAGTCGTGGTAGTGGTCGTCGTAGTAGTTGTCGTCGTCGTGGACGTCGATGTCGTCTTGATGTCATCTACAGTCGTTTTCGGGACAACTTTCACCAGAGGGCTGTTCAAATCGATTGACTTGACTTCGACGGCCGGCACCAGAAGTCGCGGAGCCACGATTTTCTTGGTCGGGAGAGTCGGCGCAGGCTGATAGGCAATGTCCTTTATTCCGTCCAAGTTGCGGTCCGGCTTGTGCGAATATTTGTAGTCTTGGAGTGTGGTTTTCTGAGAAAAGAGTGGAATTCATGAAGTTAGAAACTAGTTACCTCGGTAACTTGGCGCTTCTTTCGTTCAGCGGGAATGATGGTGGTTGTCGGTTCGTGGTAGGAAATGTTGCTAACCTGAGCAATAGAATAGGAATACGGCAGTTCTCAATGTTGCAGATCGGTAAAAAAAAAAACAGGAAATTTTTGAGACGGATTTTTTTGGTTTAGAGTTTCCTAACAGCTCATTTTCACACGGTTTTCGAGATTCAAATTTTTCGAGAGGCTTGAAAGAAAACTGGATAAGTTCGGATTCGAGGAAAAAAGTAGCTTCAGTTAGAATTTTGTAAACTTCTATTGAATTTTTCGATTAATGCAAACTGGTTCGAAACAATAATAACAGTATAATTTCTAAATAAGTATATTTAAAATTTTGAAAAAAAGTAGAGGTTTGAAAATCTGTAGTATTTTTAATGTCAACTTTGTACTATGCAAAAAACCAGAATTTTCCTGGAAGAAAAGTCAGAACTCCATTCGATTCATCTCTTAAAGCAAAATAAACAGTTTTTTATCGAACATTTCCAAAAAAAGAAAGTTAGTTTGGCGATAAAAGGTTTCGAACTTTGGTCACAATTTTCCTATGTAGAAATTTTCGCCACTCAACCATCTCTCTTTTAAAAGAATGGCTGGCTCAAGCAATTTTCAATCTCTGATCAGCCGTTACGTGTTAAGTCATTCTATCAGGAGTTTAATTATGTCTTATAGAATTTTCAAACTATTGAGCTTTTTTTTACCGTTGAAAAGTCCCCGTCTTTGACCAGCCCGGACACGGTGGCTTGGAAGGCTATGACGCACTTCTCGTCGGTCAGTTTCTGAATCTCTTCGTATCCTCTGAATCGCCTTCGCATCGACTCACGAGGTTGGAATGGACGTTGAAGCAGACGCGGCCCAGGAAGATGATGCTGCCGAGGGCGCCGATTGAGATTACGTAATGGATCGCCTTGAGGATGTAGAACAACCGCATCTGTTGTAATTTCGAAATTTTTTTAATAATAATAATAATAGGTTTATTCACTGCATACTGTTAGAAAATAATAAATAAAATAGTTCAGAATACAAAAGCAGCAGAATAACCAAAACGGGAATTAGTCTACCCTAACGAGTAGACTATGACCCGGGGATAGAAAGGAAGTCAGAGCAAACGGGAAGGAATGGATTCGAAAAAAGCAGAGTTAGGGAGATCATTAAGTTTAACCCGTAGCGCATCCGTAGAGACGTTAAAATTTATTCTAGAGGTAAGTTTATTCCATAATGGAATAGTTTTTGGAAAAAAATCTTTAGAGAACTGACCGGAAGTGCGAAGTCGAAGTGGATTCCTCTGTAAAGGAGAAATAGTGAAGAAGTCATTGCGATTGAGAAAATGGTCAGAGCCGCAAATTATTTTTATGAAGAGAAATAATGTCGTTAATACAACGACGTACAAAGAGAGGTTTAAAAGCCAAATTGGCTGAGACGATCAGAATAAGAACTGAAGCGAACATTGCATCTTATAAAAACTTTTCTACTGAATTGGCGTAGAGAAGACTCGAGTTTGAAGCATTCCTCGGACGAGATAGAGGGAGAAAAGATTTCACTACAATATTCTCGACTTTATATTTTAACATTTCATCAGACAGGGCAATAAATTGAAGATGGAACAAGAAATTGGGTGCATGAAAACCATAAAAAGGTGACTTGAAGAGGACTACCTTGAAATTTTTGAAGACAGCTGTTCCAGGATGTCAGTAGACAATGAAAATGAGCCGGGTGGCTTGAACGCCACGTTGGAATTTATTATTATTTTTATAAAGTTTAATTTTTTTAATCGTTTTAGAACGTCATTATCGCGGTTGACGCTCAAGTGACCACTAAAGAAGCGCTAAAAACACTTGAGGGATCACTAAATGACCCAGGACGTCTGTTGGATAGGACCAGAAAAAAAATCGAAAAAAAAATCAAGGATTCATGAGTAGGCGTTGAAGTAGAGAAAGACATTATGGAACTTGATACAAATATTTTTTTGGTTATCTTCAAAAAAGTTTAGAATCTAGAGAACATATTTAATCACGGAAGACCTTATGGAACTTTTTAAGAATTAAAATTCAGAAATCGTTGAATACGGAAGACTCTATGGAACTTTTCAAAAAAACCTTTTTTCCAGAATCCCCTCACGAGCTTAAAATTATACAACAAACTGTTGATTTTTTTCAAAGCCTTTTCATTTTTTCAGACGGAAACTCGGGAAAGAGAGAAGAACAAATGGGCCGTTGTGACTGGTGAACAGATCGCCAACTATAAAAGACACGACTGGGACTCTCTTTTGACCTGCAGGAATATTGTCTTTGCCAGGTAAGCACTGAGATTTGAAGAAATATAGTTGATCCACGGGGTCATTGAGAAAGGGTTTTGACACGATTTCAAAAAGAGATAATGCCTGGTGGAGAGCGCAGGGAAGCCACGCCCCCTTGGGGCTCCAACTCTAATAAAAATAAAGTTCTTAACCGCAGTGAACCCCGAAATAAGTGAAATTTTCGTTGATTTTCGGGGTACAACCCAAGTTAGACCTGGTGGTACGCACCCCTGAAACGACGGATCGAAAAGAAAAACCGTTTTTGAGCTACCGTAACAAATCAGGATGGAACTGTAGAGTTGTACTGTTAAGAAACTGTTTTGAAATAGGAATTGGGGTGCACCGTCACTTTTGTTCGAGAAGCTAGCCCTGAATCGGCTATTTGGAGTTGGGAAAAGTTTAAGGAATATTTCGCTTTTTCAAACAGAAATGTTTTCCTGAACGTGTTACTACTCGCAGAGTTTTATTTCAAGCAAAACAGAAACATGAAAATTTATTAAATGGAACTTTTAGTGAGAAAAGGTTGTTTCAAAACTTTTGAAACTTTTCGAAAAGTCTATTTGAAATAAGGACGAAAGTCAGGAGTTTCCAAGAAATGCGAATCGAAATTCGGGTTTTGAGGCTAATTTCACGAAATTCAAATAACCATTAGAGAGTGAAAAATATGTACAAATGAAATTTTGGAGAGTCACAGATAATTTTGAATCGTGCAAAACTACTAGTTTGGGCGAGCTTTGTAACTCAGATCTGTTTGAAATGCATTTCATTTTTTTAATTTTTCACGATTCCAAAAATGATTCTTCCGTTTTTCCGGGGATCTATCGACTTTTTGAGAATTTTTGAAAAAGTTCAAGAAAGTTTTATTTTCAACTTGTTGTTTTTCTTCAACTTTAAACAGTTTTTTAGTAAAATGTGATTTTCTTTTTCAACTAGTCCTATTTTGGTCTTTTTTTGGTGAATGTACGGAAGTCATTTCATACCTTTTATAGTCGAAAATGCATACGTCTTCATCTCAATTTATTCGAAGTTTCTTTCAAAATTCGATTCCAGAACGAACCCGGAGCAGAAGCTGCACATCGTGCAGGAAGTCCAGAGGAGAGGCGAGACTGTGGCGGTCACTGGGGGCGGAGTCAACGATGCTCCGGCTCTTGCTCATGCTAACGTCGGCATCGCCATGGGTCTCAATGGTGAGCTTCAACTTGTGAAAAAAAAAGATTTTTTTTTTGAGTGGTTTCTTATAAGTTTCTCTTTCGATCGACACGTAGCACTTTTGAAACATTTAATTTTCAGCTCATAAGTTGAACTTTGAATACATCTTTTGTTAAAAACTTGAGTTGAAGGGAGCGATATCGCGAAACAAACGGCCGATATCGTACTGCTCGATGACAACTTCGCTTCGATCGTGATGGGAATCGAAGAGGGACGGTTACTCTTCGACAATTTGAGGTTGAACTCTCGGAAAAGTCTCCTCACAAAGAGTGTTCAAGACTATCACTGGCCTACACTTTCGCCCATCTTTGGCCCGAAGTTTTCCCGGTTATGTTGTCGTTCATCCTTGGTCTCCCTCATGGCTTATCTCCTCTACAGGTCAGTTTATCGGGAAATATAATTCTGGAAAAACGATATCCATTTTTAAAGGTGAACTGAGCGGAAAAATTATAATTGCAAGATAGTTAAAATGATGGAAAATGTGCAGAAACCCTGAAAATCTTCAGATGGACCAATTTTGCAATAAAGAGCCGCTTGAATTGAGAAAAGATACCAAAATCGATGATTATTATAATTATTACATGTCTGTTTTCAATAAGATCGAATGATAAACGATGAACCCAACGCTTCTAAAAGGACACCCAAACAGAAGAGTCCGACCTTAGTTCGACATTTTTGCAGATCCTCTCGGTGGACCTGGCCTCGGAGATGCCGCCGGCCGTGTCCCTGGCCTACGAGCAGCCCGAAAATGACATAATGCACACGCCGCCGCGTTCCCGGACCGCCCGTCTTTTGTCGAAAAGCCTTCTGGTTTACGCCTACGTCCTCGCTGGTTTCGGAATCACCATTGGTTGTATAGCCGCCTATCTCAGCGTTTATTGGTGAGCCAGGGGTTTTTTTTTTGATGAAAAAGTTTTTTCTTTGCAATTTTTTTTTCAAATTTTTATTCCTCGCTCATATTCCTCAAGATAAATTTCCAGGTACCACAACATCAGCGTAGGCGACATTTTGTTCACGGCGGAGCATCATTGGAAGGTCGGGGCCAGGAATTTCACGACGAGCGAAGGCCTCGTCCTCGATGAGCAGCAACAACTTTTCATCAAGGGCCAGGCCGCCGCCGCCTGGCAAATCACCTTGGTCATGTCTCAGGTGCAGCAATCAACCAAAACTTGCTCATTTTCAAGTTCAAGGTGTTTCACTTGTACAATTGCACGACACGTCGCGTTTCCGTCTTCAAACACGGATTTTCCAACATTGTCAGCGTCTTTGCCGTCATTATTGAGGTGAGCTGCAACGAGAAAGATGTCCTCTTAAGTGGCTACTCAAAGGTCACAAAGCCATCCCTTAAGTTGCCATTCTAGAATTCACTATGAAAAGACCCTGAACGAAAATATTTCAAGTAGCTCAAGTTTATAGGCGACCCAATCGGCATAGTGAATAAAATATTTCGATTGGACACTTGAGTGGTTTCAAAGTTATTTATTATACTTGATCAGAATCTTTAATTCGATCAATTTTGGTCATTTTTTTTTGAAACTTGATTTTTTTTTTCATAAAACATTCTCTACATCGAGTTGTTAACAAAAACTAGCCGTGATTGCAAAAATTAAAAGTGTAGGGTTCGATAAAAGTTTCAGATCCTGCTGCTGTTCATGTTCGTCTACACGCCGGTCTTCCAGTACATCATGGACATTCACACGCCGCCGCCTCACGTCTGGGCGATCGCCCCTCTCGTCGGACTCTATCTGTTGGTCCTCAACGAGGTCCGCAAGTACTTCATCCGCAACTATCCCAAGAACAAGTTCGTGCGGCTCATCAAATGGTAGTCACGGTAGAACGAGGCTATAGAGTGTGAGAAAGGTGGAGATTCAAAGACTTTTGCCAAATTTTTATCTGTAGCGAATTACCTCGCTCTGTCTTTGAAATATGGGCGTGGCCAGCCATCAAAAGATATTTATCGATAGAGCGCATTTGAACGTTGATTTTATTATTGAGTTAAGATTTGAGACTAGAGACAGTGTGATTCCTGAAGATACGCCAGGGAAAAAGAATACTTCCACTTCTCTGTGGTCTTTTAAAGCCGCCGTTGATTCCGCGCGATCCTTTTAAAATTTTGGAAAGTTCTCTGAGAAAAAAAGGTGAATCTCCACATTCCCCATACTCTCTCGCCTCCGGGTTTCCCTTTCAAGTCCTGGTAGTTTTGCATTTTTCGTGTAGCTCAATAGATTTTAGTCCTATTTATACATATTAGCGTTTCCTATCACTTTTCTCTTCTCAACTCTGTAAAATCCCTCCATTCCCGTTCTTTGTATCATTTCAAAGGTGACGTCCCCCAAGCACACAGGTAACCGCGTTTCTCTTCAAGTTTCCAGCCAAACATTGCTCAATTTCATTTTCTCCAAAATTTTCACAGGTTCTCTTTGTACATAATTTCTTTGAATGTTGTTTTTTTTTTCCTCGAGTCTTACATTGCTCTCTCTCGGTGCATATTTTATGTATAGATTTAAATAAAAGTTTCACTGAAAATTTTTATGTTTAGAAACAATAGTTTTTTACAAATCAAGTCTGAGGCCCAAAAAGGAAAAGCTCCAAAATAAATTGTATAGTACTGTTATCATATTGGTTTGGCTCAATATTTGGCTGAAAAACAAATTTAAAAAAACGCCCTTTTAGAACTTCCAAACTTCAAGTTTCAGAGAAACTAAGTATATCAATCAATTCGTCTGATTAAAGAACCAAATGATATATCTCAATCACTGATAACGTATCGAAATATTGATTTTTAAGCTGAGGCAAGTTTGAAGATTCCGGATGAAGCTCAATCAGTTGATAACATATATCATTGGAAAGCTGATGAAATGACAAATCGATTGATATAATTAGATAAGCTGTAGCTGCACTGGGAGCCGAGATATAAGCGTTCAAAAATCCCTTTAAAAATAAAAATGCGCGTCGGATAAAACGCCTTGTATAAGGTTGCGCGTTGGGTCAAGTGTTCGTCTGAGGGTCTCATCGGTGTGGTTTCCTCGCGAAAAAGGAAAAGCTCAAAAAAAAGTTGGTTGTTTTCAAGTTTTCTCTAGTGAAATCGATAGAGCAGCTTCTATATAGTACTGTTATCATATCAGTTTGGAGAGAAAAGCTCGAAAAATGGGACAAAAATGGGTCCGAAAAAATTGCTTTTTTCAGACTTTCAAGCCTGATAACTTTCTTCATTTCGAAGCTACGAAGAAACTGATTATATCAATAGATTCGTCTTTTCATCAGCTTTTCAATGACATAGGACTTCACAAGTTTTTATCAGATTGAATGGTGTCATAGAACGTCGCAGCTTAAATCTCAGCTTTTCCCTCGAACCGGATGATATCATTATTGATCGATAGAGTGTCGAGAGACGGATCGTTTGATTCGGTTAAATTCCTTATAACTCATCATGTTATCTAGTTGCAAGCTGAGAATAGTCTCAAGCTTCTGGATAAAGCATCATATGTTGACAACTTGTATCATCAGAAAGTTGATAAAAAGACGAATCTATTGATACAATCAGCTCCCCCGTAGCTTCAAAATGAAGAAAGTTATGAGGTTTGAAAGTCTGAAAAAAGCAATTTCTTCGGACCCATTTTTCTCCTATTTTTCGAGCTTTTCTCTCCAAACTGATATGATAACAGTACTATATAGAAGCTGCTCTATCGATTCCACTAGAAAAAGCTTGAAAATAACCAACTTTTTTTTGAGCTTTTCCTTTTTCGCGAGGAAACCACACCGATGAGACCCTCAGACGGGCACTTGACCCGACGCGCCATTTCACACGACATATTTTATCTCACGCGCAATTTTATTTTTGAAGGAGACTTTGGAGGCTCATATCTCAGCTCTAAGAGCAGCTACAGCTTATCTGATCATATCATTCGATTTGTCTCGTCCTCAGCTTTTCAATGCTATAGATTTCGAATTGATCAAGCACCATCCAAAAGCTTAATTTTTGACAGTTTGGAAATTCACAACTTTGTTTATAGGATTTTAGGAACCTCGAGACCTAGTTTTTCTTGCTCCTCTCGATTTCCTCTATCAATTGATGATGATTTCGACTTATTCTGAAATTTGACCTCAAAGTTCAATCGCCTCTAACTTAGTTCATAGTTCACCTACGGAGGTCAAACCTGGCCTTCGGTTATTTTCTCGTCGAGATCTATCGACTGATGTAGGTTTCGTCCGGATTGGCGTTCATGACTTCAGAAGCTCAAAAAAATCGTAAGTGGTTAGACTGTACTTTTTTCGATTTTCCCGAAAACCAAATTTTTCCAGATTATCACATCAACCGATAGATAATGACGTCAGAGGTCCGAAAATGCAGTTTAAAAAGTTCTAAGGCTTCTAAAATCAAAGTTATGATTTTTTAAACTTTTTGAAAAATCATAACTCGATTTCTAGGAGGTTAGGAACTTAAATATCTAGTTTTTCCTGACCTTTGTGATCGCCTCTATCGATTGATACCAGTTTTGAAAGAATTCGAGGTTTTTGATTCCTAAGTTAAATCGCCTCTAACTTAGTTCCCAGTTCACCTACGGAGGTCAAACCTGGTCTCCGGTTATTTTTTCGTCGAGATCTGTCGATTGATATAGGTTTCGTCCAGATCGGTTTCCATGATTTCAGAAGCTCAAAAAAAACCTAAGGGGTTAGACTGCACTTTTTTCGATTTTGCCGAAAATCGAAATTATTGATTTTCTTACATCAATCAATAGATATTTACGCGTTGTACCTAAAAATAGAGGTAGAAGACTACTGAGCCTTCTAGAAAAAAAGTTATGATGTTTCAAAGTTACACATTTTTGACAGAAGTGCTCGAAACTCTTGAATACGTAGATCACTGAAAAGCTGGCGATGAGACAAATCGATTGATGTGATCTTTTTCTGTCAAACTCCAAAATGAACGGAGATATGAAGCTTCAAACTCTGAAAAATACGACTTTTTGGACCTAGTTTAGACCGGAAATTTGAGCATTTCTCATGAAAGTGATATGATAAATGCACTATACAAAAGCTGTTCTATTAGATAATGTAGAAAAAACCGCGAAAATGTGGAAAAAGTTTCGAGCTTTTTCTTTTTCGCCAGGAAATTTCACCAGAGTGCAGTGCACCATTTTATCTGACGCCTATTGAAATTTTAATGACAAACTTCAAACGCTTATATCTCGGCTCGCAGTGCAGCTACAGCTTATCTGATTATATCAATCGATTTGTCTCAACGTCAGCTTTTCAATAATCCACGTATTCAATCGATTGAGCTTTATACGTGAACTTCAGACACGTCTCAGCTTATAACTCGAATCATTGCTTTTCTTCCATTTTTTCGTATCCTTTTTTGCTTTTCAGCTTTTTTTTATCGAATACTCCGTTTTTTCCGAGAACTTCACAGTTTCGAATAACGCGAAAGAAGGTTTCAAACGCATTTACTAGCAGCGCAATTTCATATGACATTCTTTGGCGAAATGAACAAGGGAAAAAAAATTGAGCGACTGGGAAATTCAGGAAAATTCGGTGGATTATTCGTCGGGCTCCTTTTTGTAGTGTTCCACGTCCAGGGTGATGGCCTTTTTCAGAGCCTAAAATACGGATCAACAGTTGAACTTAAGAGATTGAGGTCATTTTTTCCATAATTTCAGGATTTCGTTCGAAAATCTTCATGAAAATCAATGTACATTTAATAGCTTTTGGATAGTAATTTTTACAGACTTTTCCCTTACTGAACGTCAGGGTAAAAACTTACATAATATAACTCTGAAACTACTAAATTTTTTTGTCGGAAAAAAATCAAAATGAAGTTTTTTCAATAATTTAAAAAAACAGAACGTCTCAAAAAGCCTTGCTCTGAAACTCACGGCGATAGACTTGACGTAGGCCTGGTCCTTGGGGTCGACGTAACCGCAACGGACGGCGAAGTCGAAGACGACGTGCAACGACGAGAAGAAGTCTATTTTCCGGGCGGCCGTGCCACATCGATGGCTTCTCACTTCGACCCACGTGTCCATCGCCGAAAACGTTCCCGCCTCCAGGATCTGAAGGAAGTTGAGGATAATTCATAACATTCAGGTTTTGGATGTCAAGCTGACCCCGGTCCCGCAAGCACAATACCTTTTCGCTTCGATAATCCTTTAATAGTGCTTCAGTTTTTGATTTTTCATCTGCAGCGCTATTAAAGGATCATCGTCATACGCGAGTTAGCTGGATGACACTGAAAATCAGAACAGTCTTTATCCACCTGTTTGCACATGAGAGTCGCGGCGACAAAGGCGCCAGTGCGGCGAGTCCCGCTGAGGCCGTGGACGAGGACCGTCGTCGACGCCTCGCCGGAAAGATGGGCGGCCTCTTCGAAAGCCCACATCTCCTCCATCGCCGCGATCTGCACCTTCGTGTCGCGCACGCCGTTCAGCTGTAATGCAGAAAAGACTTCTTTTATTACTTTCTGCAGGAATATGTATGCTTCGAGATCCGTAATGGGGTGTTTAAAAACGGAACAGAAAATAGCTTTTTGCCTCGAGAACTTCCTAGTTTCTTCCTACTTTGAACTCCTCAGCGATAATTTTCAAGCGAGCAATAGTGGTAAGTGAGCTAAGAAAGCCAATTTCAACTCTGAGGAATGAAAACGAACAATCGTCGGAGTGACAATCATGTAAATGATTCGCGGCTCGGTATTCTTCTTCCAAGGCGCCAGCTTCAGTTGATAAATCGTCAGTCCATCTTGTGTTTTCTGCTTACTCAGCGTCGTCATCGTGAATTTAAACAGAATCTGAAACTTACTATCAACAAAAAACTATTTTCAAAGCCAGAAAGGCTCTTAACTTGATAAATTATCCGTTAAAACATACCGTGACTTTTCCGCCGACGTGAACATCAAAATAGTCGCCAATTTTTTCGGGCGGCGCCAGACAAATGATCGTTTGGACGTTGAAAAGCCAAATCATTTGCAGAAAATCGGCCCGAAACGTTGGCAATGGCGCCTGAAATAATTTTCAATCGAATTTATCTTTGTTTTCCGGCAAACTTGAGCCATGATAAAGTTTCCGAAAGGCGTTCTCATTGTGTTGGCGTTGACGTAGAAATGCTTGTCAGTTGGGTCCAAAAGTTCATCGTACGCGGGAACATTCAAGTAGCGGTTTTTCTGAAAAAAAAAAATGAAAAATACTGTGATTGGAAATTATAAAAAAACGCGTTCAATTTATCAAAGCAAAAAAACAATTTTTTTCGAGTTTTTTTATTAGCTGAAAAAGTTTTTTTCAGTTTTTTTACACCTGTCTGAAAAGTCTGATGCCGTGTTTGAAGTAGTTTCCGTAAAATTCGATTAATTTTGATTCTCAAAAAAATTAGTTATCTTTTCACCTTCTTCCTCTATTTTTTTTTTCCTATTCATAAGGTTTATTGTGCGTTGAAATACATCCAAGCTATTCTAAAAGTTGAACGGGCCTTTAATAACACTTTTTAACACTATAGTGTACTATTTTTCCACCCAGTAAATGCACAACATCGCGCCCCTATTGCAATAAACCGCGCCGCCATTGCACTTAGCCACACCCAATGACCACACTAACCAGGGAATGGTCTCAGCTCACAGTGGGACTTCTGAAAGAGACCATACTTTCTAGATGTAGTTTTTCACGCTGATTCCAAATCCGTTTTCAAAAGCTGCCACCGAGGTCTGTGAAAAAAGTTATGGACCCTCAAAAGTCGAAAGTTTCATAGTCTCCGATCGAGCTCATTTTTAGAGGGTATATAGTCCTTGTTTCCCTTGTCACGATAAACCATCAAATGTTTTCAAAAATTGTTCATGAGCCAAGATATGAGCTTCCAAAGCCCCGCCGCACACAAGAGAATGCGCGCGCGGTGTCCTATTGCGATCCGACGGCTGTCGAAGCAACGGCAGCGAGGAGCAGTGGAAAGGCGGCGGACTGGGGAGCACGAGGTCATAGGTTCGGTTCCCACGCTGTGCAAACTTTTTTTGAAGTTTTTTCTTTTTTGGATATTTCCGTGTAAGTGCTCCTTTTTTGAGTTTTGAAGCGTAGAAACATGAAAACACTGCGTTTTGAGCCTATTCAAACAGCTGGATTTTTTTTGTCGCAAATTTTTTTCGTAGATTTTTTCGTGATTTTCCATGTGTGCATGGGCTGGAGTGAGAAAATTTTCAGAAAAATTTTTTTGGTTTTTTTTATCTTTCCTTCTTCAAAATATTGTCTAACCCCAAGTCATCATAGTTACGCTTGGCGAACACAGAAAAACTTTTTTTCGCTTCAATAAACTCTTCGTGCTTTGCAGTGGGCTCACCTATGACCGTCGCCTTTTGCCGTCTGACTATGCATTTTCAGGAATCACATTGAACGAAACTTTTTTTTTGGGGAGTTTGTTCTAATTTTTTTATTTATGAATCAAAGAAACCTCCTCGGGAATTTCAGCCACAACCAGAAATAAAATTGAAAGTTTTTTTCTTCTCGTAGAGTGGTAAGTAAAAACCGGAGCCAGAAATTCCGGAAAAAATGTCTGCGTTTTCTATCAGCGCAGTTATGAAAACTTGCGTATAGCCAGCTTTCAAAAAAGAAAAAAAAACCAAAAAAATTTTTCTCACTCCAGCCCATGCTCATACACATGGAAAATCACGAAAAAATCTACGAAAAAAATTTGCGACAAAAAGAAGTCCAGCTGTTTGAATAGGCTCAAAACGCAGTGTTTTCATGTTTTTACGCTTCAAAGCTCAAAAAAGGAGCACTTACACGGAAATATCCAAAAAAGAAAAAACTGCAAAAAAAGTTTGCACAGAGTGGGCAGCGAACCTATGACCTCGTGCTCCCTAGTCCGCCGCCTTTCCACTGCTCCTCGCTGCCGTTGCTTCGGCAGCCGTCGGATCGCAATAGGACACCGCGCGCGCATTCTCTTGTGTGCGGCGGGGCTTTGAAAGCTCATATCTTGGCTCATGAACAATTTTTGAAAAAATTTGATGGTTTATCGTGACAAGGAAAACAAGGACAATATACTCTCTAAAAATCAGCTCGATCGGAGACTATGAAATTTTCGACTTTTGAGGGTCCATAACTTTTTTCACAGACCTCGGTGGCAGCTTTTGAAAACGGATTTGGAATAAGCGTGAAAAACTACATCTAGAAAGTATGGTCTCTTTCAGAAGTCCCACTGTGAGCTGAGACCATTCCCTGGTAAGAATAACTGACGAGATAAACGCGAGGTCGGTGGCGGTACATTGACGAACTCGCAAAAATGTCGCTTTTTTCTAGGCGCGATCTCGCATTTATCTTGCATTTCGGAAATTTTCAAATTGCGAGAGAAATGCGAGCTCGCGCCTAGAAAAGTGCGAGCTGGCGCCCAGAAAAATGCGAGACCGGCGCAAGAAAAAAAGCGAGATGTTTGCGAGCTCGTCAATGTACCGCCAGTGTCTCGCGTTTATCTCGGCAGTTATTCTTAGTGCACATCCGCCGCTCGTTTAGGAACCACGGCGTTCCACGCAGTGAAAGCAAATGTAAAAAGATTGCCGCCGACCGATGGAGCGCACTTTGTGCAGGCCCCCGCGAAATTCAAATTTTTTTCGGTTTTTATGTCATTTTTCGGTGGTTTTTCAAATTATTCTCTGTCTATTCATGTTTGGGCTTTGCGAGATGTCCATATTGTGAAATAGTAGCATATTACACGTCTATTGAAAGCGGTTCCATGGAATTTCGTTCAAAACTGAGGGAGGAGTTAGTTTTTTTGAAAAATTCGTCAATTTTTTTGTTCACAGTTTTCGCTGATTTTGCTCGTTTCTTTTTATATAACTCTTTGGTTTTAATTAGTTTCATTGCCAAATGTCATTTTTTTCATAATCCGAGATTCTTTTGGTAAATCACAGCTAGGCAGTGGTCGCGAAAAATATCCGAAATTTTTTTAAACGCAAGTGAATGTTTTTTTTCACATCATAATCTTCAAACTGACAAGATTTCGAACATTTCAGAAGTTATTATCCTAAAATTGCAAATTCCAAAATTGAAAAAAACAATTTGAGTATGCGATAGTGCGTCTCGGTGTGCTTACACCCTAAACATCATAATTTACGAGAAGTCTTGACCTTGCGTAATAAAAAAAACGCCGTGGAACTCTGTGCGCAGTAAACAGGCGATTTATAATAAGATCTTTTCAATTTCCCATAAATATTTTTCTTTTTTGTAGAAAAACACGCTTTTACAAGTTTTTTCGAGTTTACCTTTATTGATCACGATGTTTTTCATACCTCTCCATTCATGACGAACCGATTGATGGATTTTTCCTTCTTCTTCATCTGGTTGATATCTGTGATGTACTGAAGAAAAGAAAATACATTTAATACTTATAAAATCCGACAAACTTTTTCGTACATTCTCGTGGTCTGAGAACGGACAAATACATCGACATCTTCAGCGTCAATAATAGCCTGATATCCGTCTTCATCGCTGTATTTTTAGTTAATGAAATACGCATACTCATGCTTTAAAAAAATCGCGGCCTTTTTTATAGAGTCAAAGTCAAAAAATTTCGTGAATTATGGTGTTTGGGTGTACACACCGAGACGCGTCAAAGCATACTTAAATTTTTTTTAAATTTCCGATTTTACGATACGAGATAATAGTTTCTAAAATGAAAATTTGTACGAGAGAGTTTAAGAAAAAATTACTATTTTCACAAGCTCGAAGATTTAAATTTTAAAAAAATTGAGTTTTTTTCATTTTTTTAAGGTCTTCCTGAGCAAAACTGCAGCAGGTTTCTTGTAAAACAAAAAGAAACTTACGTCACTTCATTACCATCTCCTTCGGTTTTGTTAGCCCGAGGAGGCGTCTTGATCGGAGTCCCCATTTGTCTCGTAATGACACGAAATTCGAAACGAACCAAAACCATTCATTTCATTCAGATCACGTAAAGCTTTCAAGAAACAGCGTCAAAGTAACAAAAGTATTATGCATTTCGAAAAAACGAAGTGAATTATGCGGAAAATGTTCAAGAACTGAATGATGATCCCGAGTGAGTGCAACAAAATAAAAGGAGATTACAAAAAAAAATGAAGCTCCTAGTCAATTGAACAATTAGAGATTCACATGGAGTAACTGAAAAATGTAAAAATAAAATAATTAATTTCTTAGTCATCTTCAAACATTCGTTTCATTCTTTCGACCTCTTTCCTCAAGTTTTCATACGGCTCGGTTTCTGGAACAATTTCGGGCTTTAGATGAGTTCACCGTTTCTTTTTTTTTCATTTTTAAAAAAAAGACTACCAGTATGAGTTACTCCTGTTTGTTTCTGAGAAAAGCGTAAAAAAATTAATAACTGAAATTTGGATTGAATTTTTAAAAAAATTTAGAAAGAATAACTTTTTTTCCCTGAAAAGCTGTAAATTCTCAGGAATTATTTTTAGTTTTTTTCAATTCACCTCTACCAAATGAATCTTTTATAAAAAAATTAAAAAGTCACAAGTTTTTATTTTGAAATTACTTCGTACTGCCGAAAAAAAGTTGTGTAATTTTTTTCGAAAAAAATTTTTTTGATCGAAAAATTTACATTTGCATGATATTTTTTTGCAGATTGTTTTTCCTTCTCGAAAGCTTTTTTTGGGCTCAATTTCGATCAGCTTATCAAAATTCAATAAAACACGATTCATGCTGAAAAAAACGAAAAGAAAAGTAAAATTTCATATCTTTTGAAAAGAATATAAGGGCTGAAGAGAGAACTGATGTCCTGAAGAGACGGCAGACGAAAAGAATCCTTTCTTTCTCTGGCGTCTCTTCATGAAGTCTCGGTTATCTTTTTTTTTTGATTTCTCACCCCGTGATTTATTCAAAAGTTTATTTTAGCCGTTTATTGAACGTTCAGTTTTTTTCTTATTGAAAAATAGATGTATCTTTCAAATTCCCACTTTTCTAACCATTATACACTCCGCGCAAGTTACTGTATTCTTTCTCTAGGTTTTTCCCCCGTATTCCAACCGAGATCGTCCTCTTCCATTATCATTTTCTAAGCCTCTCGCTACCCTTTTTCACAGGTTACGGTATCTTTTCTTCAGCTGTGTCTTTCCAAACACGAACCGGCGCTCTGTGGAACGCCCTCAATGGGCAAGGGCGTCTTGGGCGGCGACGGCAGAGGGGTCATGGCTCCGACGAGAAGTCTGAACCCTGAAAGCTGGAAGGGCCGAGCTGTAGAACGGGCTGGAACCTGACTAGGAACTGGTCGAATTGACTGAACGTTATGCTGTCGTGCAGGGTCTCCAAGGAGCGGAGGGGCGGCCAGAATCGTTTGATTTCTGAAGGAAATTATAGTTTACATTAGAATTTTTTTTCTTTGTACCTCCAACAGAACAATCGTCCGACTCGTAGGTCATGAGCCTCGGGGCGCTCGAACTTCTCGAAATAACGGCCGTTGAAAGGACAGCCGGACCCACGGTGAACTCTTAATTTTGGGCTTTATTTTTCTTTCTTCCAGCAAAAGAGGGTTTTATTATATTGTATAAGCAAAAAATGTTTTTCTTCATACTTCATACTGGTTAGATATTTCTTTCCACTATGAAGGAGTCCATCTTTATTAGTGAATCCTTTCAAGAAAAATAGGGTTTTCTTCGTATTCAGTCATTTTTCAGCAAAAAAGGTTTTCTCTACATTCGGTCAGTTCGAAAAAACTTCCTCGCGGATAAAAAAAGGAGAGAAAAATATAAGATGACCTAAAATAACATAGAAAACACGACTCTTCTCTTCAAGGCCTTCCTAAAATTATTTGATGCCTCTCAAAGCCAAAAAAGCCTCTCAAAACGAACCTTTCCTTCGATTTTTCTCTGACGAAGGCTCTCCAAACTTCCCAGTCAGGACGTCCGTACTGATGAGCCGATTTTGAACCTCAGACCCTACGAAAAAACTTTTTTGTTGGAAAATTCTCAAGTTTCTTTTTTTTCCCTTAAAATATTCAATTTCTCGCTATGGACTCTTTACATGGAGTTAGTTTTAAAGCAATACTAAAGAAAAAGCAAAAATACCTACTTCTGATACTAATCTAGCCATAAACTGTTAAAAAAAAGCACATAAAAGTATCATTTTCGGAGAAAAGTGTTGAAAAAAGACCTGTTAGCAGGTTGACGGTGTGGTGCTTGAATCTGTACGGGAATCTCGAGCGTCGGGCTAAAATATTCAAACAAAAAATGCGGTTAGAAAATACCTATGCGTGGTGGTTAAATGGGTTTACAGCTTCCGATCTTGTACAAAACTTGATTATTCCTTTGCTTTCTTAATGTTGTATGAAAAATCCGTTTTTTTATAATCAAAAACCCGATAAGAAAAACTATTTTTTTAAGAGAAATTACGAACGGATTTTTCGTATGGTTTGCGAATTTTTAAATGAGTTTCTTAACTTAAATTTCTGGCGAGAAAAAAATAAAATTTTCAAGTTTTTATTTTTTTGAGGCTTTTCATTTATTCATCAAAAAAACCAATATTTGAATCAAAAATATTCAACTTCCTAAGCGTTTTTTTACTAGCCGTAAATGGTTTCACAGCCCAAAATCTTTACATTTTTTTCCTAAATTCTCACATTATTTAAGTGGATTCCGATCCCGATAACTGCATCATATTCAAAGCGAAATTAATGAAATTGAGAAAAAAAAAAGTGAAGTTTCAACACCGTTAACCCAAATCTACCGACCGTCAATTTTCATGCACAATTAAAGAATTTCCTGATCCAAAAAGGAAATCAAAAGAAGTGCAAAAGAAATTAATCGAGTTAGGAGGAAAAAAATGCATGCAGTTTAAAAGAATTTTAAAATCCAAAAGACCTTTCCTTCAGAAAAAAAAACTTTTCGAAAAAGCTCAGAAAGGTCAAAAAAAAAAAATTGAGAGAAATCCTCAATAAACCTCAACTTCCAGTTTCAAAATTTTGATCTCAAATGGATTTTTCATTTATCATCGATAAATAAATCTTCCACTAACCAAGTTAAATTAGAGGATGCAGAAAAATATTTCAGGCGCTTACGGAAGATTCTGAATCGTTCAGTGATCCCTCAAGTGATCTTGACACACCTTAAGTGACCCCTTGAAACGTCGAAAGCTTTCGCAAGCGTTTTTGGTTTTTAATCATCAATAGGGTTACAGCAAAAAGCATGCAAGGCTTCATATTTTTTTGAAAAAAATTTTTCAAAAAAACGTCTAATCGCACAAAAATGAAAAAGAAAATTAATTTTAATGCGAAAATCAAGATAGGGTGCGGGTCGAAATTCCTCTAAAGTTGAAAAAGTGAATTTTTTGTTTTCAAAAAATTTCATTCAGAAATTTGAGCCCCAGTTTACTTACATCATCCTCACAAAAAAAAACTGAAAAATCGAAAATAATTTTTTCGGATTTTAATGTGGAAATCAGGCTTTTGCGAGGGTCGGCCCCCTTCATTCTCTCGCTCGGTTCGCTATTCGCAAGTTTTGTTTAAGTCAGATGTCACCTTTTTTCGACAAAAATCACGTTTTGGGTTCCAGTTTTTACTTCAAAATTAACAATATAGGAATTTTTTGATAGAATTCGAAAATCTTATTTCAAACCTGGCTCACCAGGCTTCCATGCAAAAAAAAGGCATTAGAACGGGCCAGCCCGGGATTAAGAAGCCCGGCAGAATTTGAGACAAGCAACGTCGCTCCACGGAACACTCCAAACCCACATTTCTCGTCGACAGGCGGCGGCGTCTGCTCGGCGACTTGCAGAATCGAATAATTGGGTCGTCCGGAAGATGAGGCTGAAATCATGAACACGGTTCCGCCATGCGTTTATTCAATGTGGGGAGATTTAGTGTCAAGTTAAAAATGCGGGTTTTTTCGCTGAAAACTACCATTTTGAACTTTTGTCGATTTTTTTATTTTTTTTTCCAACATTTATTTTTTTAAAAAGCACAACTCGTTGGAGAACCTCTGAATCTTGACGAAGTGAAAAAAATCAAAAAAATTAGCGAAAATATAAGTTTCTCATAAACTTTTAGCAGTCTAATTTGGGCATTTTTCTGAGAAAGAAATTATAAAAAAAACTTTTTAGAATTTTTTTAGAACGGCTCAAAAATCTCAATTTCTGATTGAAATTTCTGTTTAGAATAGAAAAAAAAGGGTTTTTACTCAAAGTTTGATTTTGTAACTACGAGCATTCATTTTATCTGAAGTTGCCGTTTCACGAACTAAACAAATAACCGAAATAAAACGCTGGTTGATTTGAAGATGGTTGAGTCACGTCAAACTCTAACTTTTTGATCATGAGAATTTTTAAGAATACATCTCGAGTCTCACCCTGAATACTTTTCAGTTTTTGAGGGATAAAAGCATCAAAGTAGGTTTTTTAAACGGATTTCAAGGTTTCCGCCGACTTTGAGATGTCTATTTTAGAAAACTAGGAAATTGTGCAGATTGAGACTTCCAGAATCTTACATCAAGGAGTTTCCTGGGCAAATTTCAGGGAAGGAAAATTTTCTTGTCTCCATTTTTTTCAAACGACCAAAAGTCCAAATGGCCTCAAAAAGAAGTATCAAAAATAAGCTCCTTTTCGAGTTCCTTACAAATGTCAAAAAAAAAAATTGTTTTCACCTTTTCCGCCTTTTTTTTCTCCTAAAAAGACCAAGAAAGCTTGCGATTTTTTTTTAAAGCTTCTTTTTTGGTCCTTCTGGACTTTGCCCTTTGAATTCCTCGATTTCCAAGTTAACAATTGTATAATGAGTGACCTCCCTAGTGAGTTCTTTTATTTGTCCATTCCCCAACCCATTCAAAATGATCAGAGTCCTGTTCTGTCGAACCCCATCCCATTGAAAAGAAGGACAAGCGGAGCTGTTAATGAGTTGGTCACCCAGGTAGAGAGGAGCACGACAACCCATGCAGAAGTCGCAACGAGAGGGAAGAAGTTCGTGCTCACAGGTGCTCTCGCGTCGCTCGTGCGGCTGTCTCTTCTCCTCCTCGGCGACGTCGACCTCCTTGATGGAGTTCATCGCGCGACGCGTCTCGTCCAGCAGGTCCTTCACCCATTTGCCTCGGCCGACTCCGACCGTCGCTTGGCATTCCTCGTCGCCCACCGACACCTGCAGAAAAACCTTCTGTTCGGCTTGATCAAAAAGGTTCTAACAGATCATGGCAAATTCCTAACGAATCTCAAACGGACTTCTAAAGGAACTAAAGTACTGAAACTTTTTACATAAATGCCTAAAGAAAAATTGGCATAGTCCTAAAGTAAAGGGTGTTTTCGAAATCAAAAAGTATCGACCTGACTCGTGCTTTTCGTGACGGCGACCCCTTTGGCCCACTCTTCCCTGGGTTTATCGCCTTCCTGAAAATCTTCAGAATAAACCCCCTTTTTCTCGAAAAATCAACCTCCATAGCCTTCTCGGCTCCGGTGACACTGCGCAGCCGTTTCGTCGTTTTTTCATCCGCTAAAAATGGTTAATATGAGCCACACGACAGACACATGAGGTATTATGAGCTAGTGTGAGCAACGGCAAGGCCATGCACAAAAGATACACAGAGAAGCGTCCATAGCGAGAGTTTGCAGAGGGGCCGAAAACTGACGAGTTTTATTGGAGTTGAGTTCGTCGAGGGCGACCAGGTTGACCGATTCGACGTCGTTCAATTCGTCTTCAGAATCTCCATGAGCCGTCTTGTGCGACGTGTTCAGAAGTCTAAAACCGGAGAATAGTAGATTCATCTTTGGTTAGTTATTTTTTAAAAATTCTGGGGAAAAGTTTTGGAACTTTTCTGGGAAGGGAAGTTCCAATTCGAACAGAACTCTTCTTAACTTTCCGTTATGTAATAAAGTCGACTGCTGAAAAAAAGACTGCCTAGAGCTACTAAGAAACTTTGAAGGGGTCCCTATAGGGATTTTGGTAAATATAGAGATCACGCCGTCAACTCCTATAAGGACAACAAAACCCTATAGCGACCCCTCCAAAACTACTCAATATGCTACGACGTTAAGGGGCGTGGCCTGCCAGCGCTCTCCTCAAACCAGATACCGCCCCTTTTTTTTTTAAATCTTCTCATAACTCTTTTTCGATGGCTCAAGCCGACTCGAAAAGCCAGAAACGAACCCATTAGCCTCAGCGACGCTGGTGTCAACCACACTGCTCACGGAAAGTTCGTCGCTGGCTGAGGCCGTCGCGGGGGCCGAAAGCAAGTTCGAGGACGCTTTTTGGACTGGAGGAGCAGCCTTGGTGTCGCTCTTCTGGAACAAAAGAAGTTGGGACGTAGATTTTTCGGGCAGAAATGTGTCACTTGATTATCTTTTGGGATGTTGGTAGTCTTTCATTGTATTTCTGGCCTACTTAAATACATGGAAAAGTTTTCAACTGAATATCGTTTACAACTTTCCATGCCCAACGACAAAACTTTCATAAAAAGCAATGTGAAAAATTCGTCATAGTCCATTCTCCGCGACTGGAAAGTTTCAGATTGTCTGCGTCTCTCTGTTCCCTCACCGGCGAGGTCAGAGAAACATGGAAACAGCACGAAAACATGAGAGGGTCGCCGAGAGACGAGGAGGGCGCAGAGAAGTACTCTCAACTCGCCGAAAAACGGACTATACTCTAATTCACCTTTCTCTGGACCGTTTCATTGCCACTGGTGCTGCCGTTATTCGAACTTCCGCCATTTCCATTGTTTTTGCTGCTTTTCCCGCTGCTAGAAACCTTCCAATCAAGACCCCACGTCTTTTTTTCCACTCACTTGAACCGATTCTCGTAGATTCGCTCCTTTTCCGTGAGGAAACATGGGTACAGTCCGGGCGAAAAAAGGAGTTCGATGTGAAATCTGTCCTTCTCCTCGACGTCGCTCCGGCTGTCCTCGTAGACCATCAGAACTACCTGGGTCATGTAGTTGAACTCGGTGACGCCCGACAGGAAATTCATCGCCCGTTGCCATTTTTTGTCGTCTGGCTGAACATCTTTCAGTGAAAAAGCAAAATGATGAATTCTACAGAATTATTTTTTTCAAAATTTTTATCATACTCGACTCGTCAAAGTCACCATTGGGAAAAAAACTTTTCAAGTATTTTGCTCAAAGACTCGCGTAGGTTCCCTTGTGTGTCTACCTTCCCTATACGGGGTATTCAAGCTTGCAAAAGTAGCCACTCTGTGGAAGTTATCAGTCCCTATATTTTTTTTAAATTTCGAAACAGGAAAAAAAAAATTATAAGACCACTAAAGGCACCATTCAAACTTTAGGCACCAGACCCTAAACTCCTCCAGTGACCAGCTAGATTTTAGCCCTCTAGGGAGCACTATTTTGTCCACTATAGGAACTTTCATTCCCAAACTCCTACAGTGACACTAAGGCATCGCTGAGAAGCCAAAAAAAATGACTTTATTGAATAAAATTCCTCAGTAATCTATTCCAAAAGGTCACTTCAATTGAGACTTTTTTCGTTTTTTAGAACTTTCTGTCCCTTTATCCTACTGACCGAGCAAAGATTGCCGTATCGGATCAAGTTCATCAAGGTGTGGATGTGGCTCTCGCTGGTGAAGTAGAGACGGGTCCGGACATGGCGGAGGGGCGTCGCGATGCCCTGGGAAGCCCTCGGATCGAGTCGCGTCTGAGTCTCGTCCTCCTCCGAGTTCTCGAGACAACGATGCAAGTCGTTGCGGATCTTCTTGATGAGCGGCGTGCAGACACGCTGAGCGATGCACATCTTGTTCTCCCGCTTGATACCGTACTCCTGGATATTTGAAAATGTTTTTCTTTCAGTTCCTCATACCTGGGGGACGACGATATCGGCCATGTTCTTCACACAAAGGTACATCCGCTCGAATTCGACCTCGTTATTGATGCAAAGGTCCGGATTGTGCTCCATGTCGTACTTAAAAATGACAGAAGTATGTAGCCAAAATGTTGAACGTTTCGGATGCTTGAGAATTTTTCTAGACCTTTTCAATGAATTTTTGATTTTCGGGCTCATTTTCAAACATTCAAAATAATATCTGTTCAGATCTTGAATTTCACTGAAATGACGTCATTGCTCGAGGGCTCGAAATTCAAAATCGTAACATATTATAGCCAATCCTAGAAGACGTGAAGAAAAAGTAAATTTTCTCGAAATCAACTAATATTCCCAAACCGACCTTGATGTTATCATAGATATCGGGAATCTTGGAGATGTCGAACTCGACTTCGGTGAGCTTATTGACGCGGCGAAACTCGCGGAGCTCCTTGTTCCAGCGTCGCGCGGCAAGGTCCAGGGATTCTTGGAGGTAGAGCATCGTTTCGGACCTGTTTTTCGAGTGCCATTGGATCACCCCGCACATCTTCTCCACGTAGCCGGCGATTTCGTGGCACATTTTCCGAGGGTTTTTGATGAATTCCATCGCGTTGGTTATGGACCGAAGACCGTCCGGGTTGAGGTCGGCGTGGTCCTGGGCCGTAAAGTCGCGGTCAACCTGAAAATTGGAAAATACACTCCAAAACTTGATCAAATTCTCAATGACTCATTTTTCATAATCGAGCCCAGTCGATTCAGTTTCAAAATGAATTCTTTTTTTCTATAGTCCGTTCGCCGCAACTGGGAAATTTTAGATTTTCTGCGTCTCTCTGTTCCCTCACCGACGAGGTCAGAGAAACATGTAAAAAGCACATTACCATAAGTTCGATTATAGATTCTGATAAAGTACATAGCCGATTCACGGCCAGCTTGAGACGCAATGGGCGTGGCCTGCCTGCGCTCTCTTCTAACTAGGCACTATTTATTTTTTTTTTATCGTGTCAGGACCCTTTTCGATAGCTCAAGCCACTCGTGAATCAGCTATAGTCCGTCTTCTGCGACTTGAAAGGACTTCTCTGCGCCCTCCTCATCTCTTGGGCGACCCTCTCATGTTGACGTGTTATTTTCATGTTTTTCTGACCTCTACCGGTGAGAGGACAGAGAGACGAAGACATACAAAAACTCTCAAGTCGCGACGACAGTAAGAAAAAGAAGGAAAACCTGGAGAGCCTTGTGCAAGTATCTCTTCAGCTCGCTCTGATAATGCCGCGCTTGGTAGTCGTCGTCCAGAAGGCCGTCCGTATTTGCCGATTTCACCATTTGCACCAGGATCGGGGTCAGTTCGCCCTCCAAAGCGAGGAGACCCTGGCAAAGAATTTATTCAAGTTTGAAACAAAGATAATAAGAAGAGGTACTAAATCTAATAGAACCCAGTGATCTCAGTGAAGCTTCAATTCGAATGGAATAAGTTTGAAAAAAAGGCTTTTCCTCAATTTTCTAGATATTTCCAGGGTTTTGTTTCTGGGTTTTTGGGAACTTGAGCGGACTGGAAATGAATGTGTTTTTTGAATCGCAAGAAAAAAAAACTCCGAGGATTTCGAAAAATAATGAAGAAAGGAGAAAAAAAAGGGGTCACCAGTGAAAATTTGGCTTTTTTTTAAACATTTTATTCACCGAAATTTTACTTCTCATCAAGAAGCCTCTTCATTTTTTTCGAAGTAATATATTGCTCAAAAAATAAGTTACTCTTACCCAGATGACAACAAATACGTAAAGAAGTCAATAAAGCACAGCTATTTAAAATTTGAGACCCTTTTTCAAGAAACAAGCATTTTAACTTTTCGAAAATTCATCAAAAATTGAAAATTCAAACTGTCTGAAAGAAACCTTCGCGAAAGCCGCAGCAGTTGTCTGAACGCGACCCTCGTCCGACGCATAAATTTTCAAATCGTGACGATACGTCGAATGTAACCGCAGGAATCCGAGACCCTGGAAAAAAATTATAAAAAAAATATAATTCTTCAACTTCAAAAAAATATCAAATTTATACAGTGTATTCAATTTTCCTGAAACCTCCGAATGTTCTTACTCGGGTAGAAAAACTCTTTGAATCTTCTTTTCGAAAAATCTGTTTCAATCTTGCATATTTTTCACTTATTTCAATGAAAAGATGCTGGTAAGCAACTAAAAGTGATCAAAAAGATCATAAGGCTGAGAAAAAGGAGCTCAAAAGAATTTTTCTATTCTTTTAGGAGCTGGAAGTTTTTCTGATTTTTCTGGGGGACCTCAAAGGAACTTTTCCCGTGTACCTGAGTATCTTCCGGCGAGCTTTTTCCGTCGGTTCTTCGGATTCCCGGATAAAGGGTCCGGAAGAGTTTACCCAACGCTTCTGCTTGCATGCTTCCTGAAAAAATTATATATTTCTTTATATTTCTTCAATAAAAAAATATTTTTTTCAATAGTTTAATTATTTTTCCTTTGCCCCAGAAAATTAGTTTCCCATTTTTTTACACAAGAATTTTGAGCGATTTTTCCTACCTACTTTCAAAAAAATAGAATTAAAAAGAGTAAAATAAGTAGCTTTTTCACACAAATATTTTTTTATTTTGGCTTTCTTTATTCAAAAGGTTTTTTTAATCACATTTTTATATTTAATCATAAAAACGGAAAAACTGTCAGCAATTCGAAAAAAAGAACTGATTCTTGCCGAGAATTGGAAAAAAATTACTCTTGATTCAAGGAAAAAAATGGCGCATTTTTTTGAAAGTTATATAGTTCGATAAACCTCTGTTGCAGTTTTTCAAAATATATTATTTTAAAAAAACCAATTCAATCGATATTTCTGATGAATACCTGCAGTGGTGAGCTCGCCTCCCCACTTGAGAATGAGCAGAAGAGCTGCTTCCTGTTGACGCGTCTCTTCATCACTCGCCAAAACCTCAAAATCAACGAAATTTCACTTTAAAGTCCGTTCTTCATATCAAATACTCACTTCTCTCGCTTGCAAATACTTCAACTGCACTTTTCGGTTGATCCCCGAGAAGTGTCCGTACCTGAAAATACTTCTTTTTTTTTCATTATTATAAGAATATTTGAATTTTCTTCTTCTTAGGTGAGACTCATAGTGAAGCTGTTGGAACTGCTAACTTGAACGAGATATCCGTTAAAATTACAGAAAAAACGTGAAAAAGGGCGATTTTTGTGTTGAAAAATCCTTGCAGAAACCTTATAAGGCGTAAAATAGCGCTGAAAATGGCTTTTCGCTTCGAATATTTCAAAAAACTCGTCCATGCTTTTCTAACTACAGAGCAAAAGTTTACAACAGACAAGAAGACTTTAGAATTTTCATCTTTACATTCCCAACACTCCGGGAAAAATTTCGGAAAGGGAATTCGTTTTTTGATCATATATTCATGATGATGAGCTCTGTAGAGCTTCGAAACCTTGTAAAATACAAATTTATGAAAAAATCAGAAAAAAAACATGTACTGTCCTATACCGATCAGATTTTCTTGATATGTCTTAAAAATTTCTCTCAAGTATATATTAAATAGGTAAACGTAAAATTTCGTTTATCAATGACAAGAGATCAAAAAATTCAAAAACTTTGAAAAATAAAGAATTCGCGTAACGCGAAACTCTCTACAAAACTTTGATCTTGTTCAAAAAATATTTTACGATTTCTAGCCGGTAAAACTCCCAGAGCTGTATATGATTTTTTTGTTTCGTTAAGTTCCAACTATTTGAAGTGATCATCAAAAAAATTTATTGAAAGTAAAAAAAATCTGAAAAATTTTTTTGCGTATTTTTGAAGGATCAAAGCTTATTTATAATGGTCTCAAGGCGAAAAAAACTATTTTTTTACTATTTTTTTGTGTATCTATAGACCTTTGCGCCTTCAAATTTTCAAACAAGGATTTTTCAACAGAATGTTTCAAATAAGAAAAAATCCTCTAGGAAGTCCCGACGCAACATTTTCCCCTGTTAATAAGTTGGTTAGACAAGGCACAAATACTGGGTTAACCAAACCGAAAAAAACAAAGACCAAGAGAAAAAACGCTTTATTTGCAATTAAAAACGAACAAGTGAAAAATTGAGAAGTATAGGAAAGGGGGAGAATAAATAAGGCGAATATATGTACATTCATAGAAATTGTTAATGTATTTATTCACATAGAAGAAGTATTAAAAGTTGGAAAAATGAAGAAAAAGTGGATTAAATCCCGTAGAATGGGCTCTAGAACTCTGTATAATTTTTTGTTTTCCCCGTAACTAATATCTACATTCAAGTTGGTGGTGGTGGTGGTGGAGCTGGCATGGAAGAATTACTTCATTTATCTCAGAGACCACCGATTTCAAAAACAAACTTTTTTTTTCGACTCTTGAAACAGAGGAACTAAAATAAATGAATAAAATCAAAGTTTCGAAAACGATTTTTGAAAAAATAGCTTGAATCTTTTTTTTTTCTCTTCAATACTTTTGAAAAAAAAATTTTTTTTTCCAAACCCACCCCTACCCCACCGAAAAGTCCCCTACAGCTTCACTATTCGACCCAAAAAATAAAGAGGTGGCCGATATGGCCTAGGGTCCGGCGACGACCGAGTCTTCGCTCTCGGAGTGGGCTCCGGAGTCGGAGCAGCTTCCGCCGCAACTGCGCTCCAAGGCGACCGAGCAAAAGGCTCCGTCGGCCTCCTCAACAACCATGCAAGACGCATACATTTCCAGCACGGTCCGCATCTGCTCCCACTTCTTGGCCTCCTCCTCGACCAGCTCCAGCTCGTGCTCGATCTTCTGGGCCTCCGCCGTGCTGTCCACAGCCTTCAGACAGCTCATCAATCGGCACCGTTCAATCTGGAACTTCCAGTTTCATTCTGATCACAGCTTGTTCAGATTTTGAATGTTAAGTCGTCGATCAAGCTCCGCCCCTAAGGGCTCGATAAACCAATCAAAGATCGAGCTATGCACAGAGAATTTTTAATGACGTCATTTTACTTGAACAAAAAATCCGAAAAGCTTTTTCGAGGAAAATTTATAGGGCCACCGATGATTCCCCACCTGTTTTTCCGAGACAAGAGCTCGAGCCAGTTCCAGAACTTCCATCAGTTGATTCGGCTTCTTCATCTTGATCTCATTCTTCTTGTAGCCGTTGTACTTTTCGAAAAGCTCGAAGAACCGCTTGTCATGGACGATTACCTAGAAACAGGTAAGTGATAAGTAGTGAAGGAATGGAAACATTCGGAGAGAACCGAGAAACTCTCTCGATCAAATTTCATAATATGTACCGGAAAAAATCTAAAAATTTTTAATTTTCCAATGTGTTCATAGTGCTCATTTTCGTAACCTCAAATACTATCCGGAGCTGTTGGATTATGAGAAAAAACTGAAATTTTTGAGAGAGACATTCCTTTTCAGATGGAATAAGAATCGATTCGGAGCTTTTTTTTTCTGAAAACTGTATCTTGCCGAGTGAGTGAAAGAGCTGATTTTTTTTATTAATTCAGATATTCCAAATCTTTAGGAATTCCAGGGTGGTCACTATTAGACGAAAAAATAGCCCTTTTTGGTGGCGAAAAAGCGGTCCCTTTAGAGGTGAAATTATGGTGATCTCTCTGCTTCATTAGTTTCAAGGGCCCCTGATATTGCTCGTTTTTCCTAAAATTGGCAAATCTCAGGAGTCTTGAAAGGTTGATTCATAAATCGAAACGTGGAAAGAAAAACTCGATTCTTGATATTTTCTTTTTATTTCGGAACATTTCCTACCTTCATCTTCTGTTTCGGGGTCCTATCACCGTGTCTAATAACTGCGACGACGCATCGAAGTTCCATTAGCTTCCCACTTGGCGTCAAGCCAATTGGCGGGTTTTCTGAAGCATTTTTTGGAGATAATGTCAAGATGAAGCTCGAAAAACCTCCTAGACCAAGGTCCAGAACAGGTGGATCGATACCCTTCGGCACCTGGATGTGATATCTTGGCGCCAGGCGTCGGATGATCATGTTTCCGAGGATTTTGGCCGTGTCCTAGAGATTTTGAAGTAAGAAATTCAGTTGTTGATTTCTGAGCATCTATATTTAAGTTGAATCATGAGTTTTTAATTCTGTTTTATCTTCACAAAAAGCCATTTTTTAAAAATTATACCTGAGCTTATTTTTTTTCTAAACATTGAGCAAATTTGATTTACGCTTTTTTGAGAAAAAAAAGAGAAACAATCTCTCAAGGAATGGGCTATATGCATGCAAATTTGACTACCATAAATCCATTACTAATCAATTTTTACCACCTCAAACGTGGAAAAAAAAAAACAACAAAATGATTTCACAGTTTCATATCAACCATATACTCTTTGCGCTATTCATGTTTTTTTAATTTGTTATGTTCACTTATTTTTCAAGTAGAAAAAGATCATACTAATCTTTTTTTCAATTTTTTGAATCTTCAAAGATATTCATCGCTAAAGTAAAATTTACCTCATAATACTTTAACGACGTTTTCACAAAAGAAAATCCGTTCACGTCGCAAACATACGATTTTCCATTGGCCCGAAGAAGATCGAACCCGCAAACCGTTTGCTGAAAAATTGAATTCTTAATTTTTAAATTCGAACGCTTCAACTTTGAACGCAAAAATAACTTTCTTAGTTCTCTTTTTCCACGCCACAGATCTGTCTGTGAGCGAAATAAACATTTCAAACTTCTTCCAGTGAAGTAGCATTGAAGATTCACAGTTCAGTTCAGTTATAAAAAACCTGGCTGGAACAGTAAAATTATTCCAAGTGCTACGTAAGCGCGCAGGGCTGATTCTATTCAAGCTTTCCCTGTAGGGCTGCTAAATATTTTTGAAAAACTTTCTCAAAATTCCAGATATGACTCCAAAAAGCAGCTTTAAAAAAATCGACTTTTCGCCAGAACCAAATAATTGGAAAAAGAAACTTGAAAAAAATAAATCTTAACTCAAGTCAAAAACATCCAACTTTGGTAGAATTAGGTGTTCTGGACTTCCAAACAAGCCTTCTTTCATTTCAGATCAAATTTAGACTCCTGAAGCCTTGAAAGCTTCTAAAAAAATAAATGTTTCCAATTTTTTTCAGTTTTTTTAAAGGCCAAAAAAATTGAAAGAAAGCTTCAAAAAAACTTCAAAGAGAAGAAAAAAATCCTACTTTCTAATCATTCAAAAACCTGATTTTTGAAAAAAATCGTGCCTAATCATTAAACATACCCCGAAAGCCAAAACGACACGTCGAGCGATCATTTTCTCTTTGTGACTCAAAATGACCGGATATCGGACTTCTTTCCCGTCGGAATCACGTTCAACCTGAAAAAAAAATGAGGAACATTTCAAGTTGAGCTGTTTTTCAAGGAAACTAACTTACCAGAGCAAAAAAATGGAAAAAAAAATTCTTTTTTTGAAGTAAATTGAAATACATATTTAAAAAAATCTTTAATCTTATGAACTTTTTAAAAAAATTACTTTTTCATATATATTTTTCCATAGGCGAAATGAGGCTATAAAGTACAAAAAAATGAGAATTTTTGGAAATCTCATATTTTTTTGAATAAAGAAAAATATGAGAAAACATAAGTGTTTCTGAACATATTCCTTTCAGAATCCTTTCAAAATTCACCTTTCCATCGAGTCCTGGCGCTTTTCGAGCTTCTGCATGCGCGTAAAATGGGCCAACAGCATAAACCTGAAAAGCAAAATCAGAAACAAATCTAGAAGAAGTTTGAAGACTTGAAGAAAACGTAAAATGAAGTTATCTAATCAATATATGACTTGAAAACCAGTTTTGAGGCATCAAGTATACAAGAAATTAGAAAAAAATGTGATTGAAAAAAAAATTTCTAGTCTTTTTTTTAAACTTTTATTTTTGGTTTCAGAGACTCAATCTACGTTATCCAAGGTTTTAAAAATTTTCAACGCTGCGCGACCGCAACGCGTTGAGCCATTCTGCACGCGACCAGAAAGTTTCTTAACGAAAATTAAAAGCCATTTTCTTCTACAATTTTTTAAGCATCACTGGGTGAAAATTAAGTGAACGGGAGTAGAAGAGTAAATAAATTTGATTAAATTATTACTCTCTGAAAAAAACCAAATTTTCCCAAAAAAAAAATAGTTCCCATTTCGAACAAACCTTGACATCGGTTCCATCAGCCGGAATAAATTCTTCATAAATATAGGATCCATCTTTCCTAACGTCGCTACACGGCGAATACCAACTGCTTCGATTATTGATCTGAAAAATTTGATTAAATAGTAAAAAAAAAAAAAGAATTCATTCAAAAAGTCAGTATTTCCAGAGTTCTTTGAGAAGCTTATTTTTTTGAAGAAAAAAATAGATTTCTCTCAAAAAAACTCAGAAAATACCGTTTGAATAGAGAAAACCCGTTTTTTTAGTAAGTGTTAAGATAGGGGAAAATATGGTCGAAATTTCTTGACTGATTCGAAATTTTAGGTGTCACGAAAAAATAAGAATGAGTACCGTAACCTGAATGCGTTCGTTGTTGAAGGTTCGAAATTCTCTTTTTTTCTTAATTAAGCAAAAAAAAAAACAATTCCCCTGCTAGTTTGTCAAAAAGGGTTGTGGATTACATAGGAATTTTATATCCATAATATTGATTTTTATCTTTTAAATTTCGTAATTCAAAAAAACTTTTTTTGAATTCTTAAAAATTTTGTTCAGAAATGAATAAACGATTGACTGATTTAAATTTCGTGATAAGCCTGTGTACGGTGAGCTAAGCTCATTTCCAAGCTTAAAACAGAGAAATAATTAAAGTTCAGTCCTTGTGTCTCTAATCGAGAAAAATTAATAAGCAATCACAATTTGATCGACTTGCGTTTTTCCTTCTCACAGACACCTAGATTAAATCAAACAGAAACCTGTCAAGTGTTATTAAAGTTATTACATAAAAACTGTAGTAAAAAAATGTATTAATTCGAGAAAAGGAGCCAATTTTTCGCCCCAAGAAAGCTATTCGTAACGGTACCCACATTTTCCTCAATATTTCCCTTTTTCATTTCAAATCAGCCCTGAAAATCCGACCATAAACAACGCCAATCCAAGCGAAACACGTAATTTATCCGATTCCAATTTTGTTCGTTTTTTATTGGAATAAAAAGGAGAAAAAAAAACGTCACGCGGCAGCAACAAGGAATGCATATTATTTGGTTATGATTGTGAAATTGGGTGGAAGAAAATGAAGACGAGCAGCGAAAATGGGTGCGACGAGAAGAACGGTTTTTTCCGTCATCGAGGATTACTGTATGTAAAAGTCCGCACTGCAAGTGGTTCACTTCGCGTGTATGCACTTTTATTGCGTGACGTGTCCGAGTCTTCGCTTTTTCTCACAGCAAATTTTTAAAATGCGTCAGCCATCCATTTTAATTAATAAAAAAGTAAGAATTGAAAAACATGAAAGGGATATGACAAAATAAACGCAAAATAGGCCCCAGATGGGTTAGAAAAAAACAGCCCTAGAAGTACAAAAATGATGCCCTTAAAGAGTTAAAATTTGAAAGGTTCTATTGGAATTTAGGGTATGATTCCTACCCTTCTGAAGCTTAAGTGTTCCCTAAAGCGGTCTTCTTATTTGTTTTATTATTTGAAAGTAAAAGACGTCCCCACGATGTTCCCCTAAGTGGCCACTTTTGTAAGCTTCTTCAAAGGGAGAAAAAGTTGACCCTCAAGGGACCACTCTGCTGATCCTGAGTCACGCAAAAAAAGTGCAAAAACGCGCTGTGAACGTCTCAGATTGCGGACTTTAACATACAGTAATCTTCGAAAATGGAAAAAAAAGCTCTTTTCGTAGCACCATAAATATAACAAATCGAATAATTCGACACGAGACTCACATGCCACGATTTAACGGATTTCCCTTGAACCGACATTGTGCCCTACAAATAAACAACCCAACAACTCAGAAGCTTCCTTGTGAGATCATCATGAAATGTTTAAACCCACCCTGTCTTTTTTCAATTTTTAAAATCTTCTAAAAAGTTCCGACCGAGACTTTTCAGGCGCAAAAGATTTGGATAGCTGAAACCAAAAAACTGCTTTTCTTTTTCAAAACCTTTTTGAAAACCTCTTAAGCTCCTTTTAAATTTCCTTTTTTTCGTTTTCATTTCTCGAATTAAAATTTTTCATGATAATCTCACAAGGAAACTCGGTGATATGTGAAAAAAATTCGGAAAAAAAACTACAAAAAAATTTTTTTCCCATTATCCACAACTTTCTCACATATTTCATACGCAAGAAGATTTTTTTTCGAATAAAATTCCCATTGAAATCCCTGTTATTTCAACTGAACTGGCAGGTTTTCACTTGACAGAATCAGGCGATTGGGTAGGTTAATCAGTTTCCCGTTTCAATCCTCTAATATTGATTCCGAAAAGCAAAATTTTATAATCGTTTTTTCAAGAGCCGAGTTTCACAAGAAGTAAAATTTCCCTTAAACACCACCAAATCGCCTTTTTCCCAACTTACACCACCACTAAAATGAAGGAACTCTGCCAAAAGGTTACAGCCTCAGGCACTCCGTGAAAATATATAAAAGGGTACCCGAAAATCGAGTTTCAGTTAGGAGGAGACATTTGCGCTCCATGGATATATTTCCAAAAAATAAATTTTTTCTTTTATAAATGTTCACCAGGAAACAGCAAAATGTGCAGAATATGAAAAATGAACGTGAAAGCCTATGGCCGCACGTAGAATGGCTTTATCCGGTTCTTTTTAAGAAAGCCGGACCCAAAACGGCTTGCGCACTTTGGCAATGAAAGCCTTGAGGCAAGATGATTTTTTGACGTTTCAGTACCCTTAATTTATCCCTAGAAAATCTAGGAAACGTTCGGGGTGCGTACGGCTAAATAGGTCCAAGTTTTTTACCAAGTTGTCCATGGAGCGCAAAAGCCTTTTTCCTCATTTTTTCGGCCCAATTTTCCGGTATCCCAAACTGAGGCAGGAGAAGCGTTAGGACGGCCCTGAAGCCTCAAAAAACCTTGCGGAAAAGTCGCTGAGATCCGCCGCCGACACTTGTCGGATAGTAGATGTAAATGTTGTGATCTTCGGCTGAAACGGGCTTCTCGACGAATGGCTTGTTGAAAACGACGCCGTTGACCTCGATGTGGTCGGGATGCTCTTCCAGGATGGTGTCTGAAGAGGACGTTTTGAAAATGCGAACACTTTCCGGCAAAATATGTCACAATTGATCGTTCAAAGCAAACAGATAATCAGATTATGTTTCAAAATCTCCAAAGTTAATTACCTTTCTCATAGGCCGAATTCCGAGTCACGATTCCATGTCGCGGATGTTCGATTCCTTCCCTAGCCAAAGTCCGGAACACAGTTCTCCTATCCAGCTGGAAATTCTCGATAGAGCAACTTTTCCACTATACTATATTACCAAATCATACTGACGGTGCAAATCATTGATGACGTACGGTTTTCGTAGGTGAACGTAATCGATCGCCTGGAAAATGTTGAAAATTCAAAATATAAGCACGAAAAATCATCATATTTACTCGGAAATTTTGAAAGAAGAAAATAAGCTCGATAGATGGTAAAAGATTGAAAGAAGATTAAAAATGAATTGATTCTTGGGACAATTTTCAGTTTTTTTTCAAGGACTTCTTGGAGAGGACACTTAAGTGACCACTAAACCCACCTCTGTAGTGGCTCCTACTTTCCGTTTCAGTGGCCACTATAGAGGCTCAGTGGCCACTATAGAGGCTTAATAACATCGATTTTTCAAAACTAGAATCTTTTTCTCACAGCACTGGCTCAACATTCTTTTCTCTTCACGAATACCATTTTCAAAGAATATTTTCTTCCAAAATGGCCAAAATTTTCCGCTTTTTTCCAGTTATTTTCTGTCCCTATGTTCATTTTACAGCAGGTTTATCTGTTTTCCGGTCTTCCTCCTGAAATATTCACCTTGTGCAGTGGGAAATCGGTGGAATGGAAGGAAATGAGGCAGTCGCAGAGGGGCCATTTTTCGACGGGTTCGTTGAGGATCACGTCTTCCGGAAACACGAAAAACGCCAGCCATTGCTGTAATAAAAATCGATCCTTCTTCTTTTTTTTTCCTTCTTATCAATTCCGACGTTGTTCTCGAAGATCAATGACGGTCCTCCATTGATAAATTGATGATAAATAAATCGTATCAAATGTGAATTATGGCCCGGTGAACACAGATCGGCGGGAAAGTGAAAATTTGATTTCTTATTGATAATCTTGAAGTAAAACATCAAATTTGGATCGAATTTTTTTGTGTTTTTCTTCGGTTTATTTGATCAAATGCAGTTTTTTTACCCGAATTTATAGCCTGAATTATCAATTATTTTTCAAGAAATACGAGAATTTCAAGCTGCGTGTGGTTTAAATTTGAATAATTTTTGAAAAAGAGTCAGTTTCAGGTCGATTATTCTTTATTAAGATTTAAGATCACGTTAAAAAGTTATTTATGTCTTATTTATGATATTGAAAAATAGAAGAAACCCAGAAAAAAATCGAGTTTTTTTCAAAATTTTTTTTGTTTTTTTCAAGTCATACTCTTTTTCCTGTTTCTTCATTTGATAAAATGGATAATTTCAGTATTTTTTTGAAAGCATGTTTTTTTCATTCTCATAGAAAATGACACTGAAAAAGTGAAAAAAGAACTTTTTACTGAAATTTTTATTTCAAAAATTGTACGTTTCCCATTATATTTCATATATTTTCCGGTAGGAAGAACCCATAAAACATCAAAAGCGAAGCCAAAAACTACACTTTTCAAGGAAAATCTAGTACCAAGCATAAATCTCATCTCTAGATGTGGCATTTTTTTCAAAAATGAAACCGAAAATTAAATATTTTTACTAGCTTTCATTCATTTTCCTTTTGAATTTTCGAATGACAATATTGAAAATTGCTTTTCAATTAAATCCAAAGAACTATAAATCTTCACTGTTATGGGAAGCATTTTTCAACGTGAAACCAATAATTTTCTGTTGAATTAATTTTCTTTGAATCTATGGTTGATGATATTGAAGTAATAAATTATCACAAAAAAATCTTATTGAATTTGAAAAAAATAAAAAAATCTTCTCTATTATAGGATAAACTTATTATTGGATTAAAAAAATATTCAATAACTTGAAAAAAATCAGGATGTGTTTTTTTGTGTATTTTTCTAATCAAAAAGACAGAAATAACTTGAATTTTTGACAAATCAAAAGAAGAATATCGTTTATCCAAAAAGAAATTTTTAAAAAAATAGTTCGAAAAATTCTACAAGTCTACTGTAGTTCTTCTGTTATTCGTTTCTATTGAAATTTTTTTATTGAGAAAAAAATTAAATTTAACTAAAACAGTTTTTTTAGATGAAAATTTCGGGATTGAATTTTTTTCAAGTGTATTCATTCACACCCGACCCCTCAAAACATTTTTTTAAGTGATGACGTCATTTTTGAAAAAAAAATGTAACTATCGAGTTTTTTAAAATCAAACGCCTAAACTTTGATTATAACTTATATCGCTAATGAAACAGGAAGTTAGCGAACACTTTTCATCTTTCTCTTTTCTCTCTCAACTCTGCTTTCTCTGCTCTCTATTTCCTACTTTCTCGAAGAGAAGAGAGGGCCCAGACAGGTCAGACTGCTCTAAAAAGGAACTTAACTTATTCTGACCTGTTTTTTGAAGTATAAAATCGAACAGAGTTTCAAATTTCTTCTAATTATATAGACACCTTCATTAGCAGAAAGTTTATCCAACCCTAACAAACTCAATTTTCGTTCTCAGTAAAGGTGTTCCCTTTCCCAGACTTGCAAAAATAAAAAAAAAGGGAACCTCGTAGTAATCCAAGATTTTGCGCATAATTGCCCTCATCGGCTTGCTCGTCGCCTTGCGATTCATCGCGCAAATTCCGACGATGATCTGGAAAAATAGTATTGAAATGAAGGAGAGAAAATAAAAGTACGTTGGATCCTTCCAAAGTTAGAGAGCGTTCAAAAATGAGAGGGCGGCCATTTTTTTTTCTCTGAACGCCCTCTCATTTTTCGACCCACTCTATGACATTCCTGAAGTTAGAGAGCGTTCAAAAATGAGAGAGGAGGAAATTTTTTCTCTGAACGCCCTCTTGTTCACCAGTGTTTTATGTGCGTCTTCGAAAGTTAGAGAGTGTAGAGAAAGGAGAGAGCGGACCTTTTCTTTTTCTCTAGAGGCCCTATCGTTTACCAATGCTCTCTAGCCTTTGAAGCTTCGAACTTAGACCAAGAAAAAGGACACAAAAAAGTTGGAATTTTTTTTCGGTATTTTCCCTACCGTAACCCTAAAAAATAGTGGAGAATCTTTTGTCAAATTTTAATTATGCCGTTATTGTGACCACTATATGAGATCGTAAAACTCAATCTGAAAATCTGGGATCAATGGTTTTTTCTGTAATCCGTTCGCCGCGAATTGAAATTTTCTGGCTGTCTGCGTCTCTCCGTTCTCTCACCGGCGAGTTAAGAGAAACATGAAAATAGCATGTCAACATGAGAGAGTCGTCGAGAGACGAGGAGGGCGCAGATAGAAACAGCAGTTTCAAGTCGCGAGGAACGGAGTACAGCTACTGAGGAATTGGGACCCGTTCTCCCAACCTTGGGCTGCTGGCTGGTGCATGGCTGATGGTTCTCCTTGTCCTTCTTCGACTTCATTTTCTCGCCGTCGCGCATCTTCTCATCTGCAACATTCATCAAGTTCCGTGGGGGGCAGAAATGACGACAGAAGAGACGACGATCACGAGGGTCCACACGGATGACTTGATGGCCGGAAACATGAGAGAAAAGGCGAAAAAACGGTGGGGCGTGGCCGCCTCGGAAGGCGTTCGCCATTTAAAAATCGCTTCAGCTCTCATGCTGAGCAGGTGTCTCAACGGGTGTACCCGTATTAAACCCGTGTTTCTGAGGTTATTTTAGTCTCAGTTGGGCTAAAACGGGGGAACAACGGGTGTAAGAAAAATAGGTAACCCAGCTGGGCTAAAGCGGGGTCTCAGTTGGGCTAAAAAGTGCCAAAAGTTCTATCAGCTGGGCTTATACGGGTTTAATACGGGGGCACCCGCGGAGACCCCGTGTTAGCACGGCGGGGTTACCCTGCTCAGCATGCGAGAGAGAACATAATTGGGCCTTCCTTGGAGGGGGAGGAATCAGAATTCCTGTTTGAATACTTTGGAAATCTCAAGAGGTCACTTAAGGGAAAATCCTGCTCAGTCAGAAGCCTGAAATGGTCCCTTAAGGACACTTTGAAATTGACCTTAAGTAGAAGTTCCTTAAGTGGACGTAACAAAGGTTTAGTGGTCACTTAAGGAAACTTCTAGACATTTGACGTTTTTTGACACATGTTTCGAATAAACTGATGAGAACTGGAAGAGTCCACTCAAGAGATCAATAACAGTTTTATAAGCCGTATGGCAATCTTGTGAAATCGTAAATAGAAGGGGCCGAGGAGCTTTCATATATTGCAAAAAAAGTGACAGATATAACGGAAAGTGGCGAAAACCTGAAGTAGCCTCTTCAGAAATCAACAGCTCTTTTTTAGAAGTACTTCAAGTGGACCGTCTCGAATCTCTTAAATTAGGGAAAATATTAATAGTAGCATCTTAAGGGATCGGCCAAAAATGCAGTCAGAGTAATCTGAGAACTTGAAGTTCGCTTTAGAGGTTAAAGAATCCACTGAAGTTCCCGAAGAAGTCAAAAAGTTTCTTAAAAAGCAAAACCCTCAAATGACCACTCCAAGTTTCATCATCAATTGAAATTAGAAACGCGGTGACCGTTTTGTCGTAATAAGATAACTCGGATAGATACAAGACCGGTTTTTTTTTTTGATTGGAATGATTTTTTAAAGCTTCCTCAATGCGTTTTATTTTAATCAAAACCTCGATTTTTTGAATTTTTAGCGCTCCTTTAAAAAAAAAGTTATAACTTCAAAACTTCCTCAACATAAACTACAAAGGAAAGTCGGTCATGAAAAAGCTCAACTGATAAGTGATATCGTCTCCGAAAAGAGACAAAAGAGCAATCAAGGCAATGAAAACTTGGCCAAAAGGGCATAATGATAGGCGGAATATCATTTTTTTTTTTTCTACAAATGGAAGAAAATCAGAAAAACAAAGAAGACGGTCAAGTGTCCAAGGTCATGTCTAACTAAATTCCATGTAAACACGTGTCGGAAGAGCCGAATCGAGGAGAAATCAGAGATGATTCGAAAAATGGAAAGTTCCAAGTGATTTAAGAACTCTTTCAGGCAAGCATGTTGTGGCGTGTTTATCAGAAAAAAACAAAAATTGCTTCAAAACAAAAAGTAGTACTGTTTTGGAGCAACTTTGGCGCGCCGATGAGCACGCAAAGATCTTTGAAGAGATTATACTTCATAAAAATCATCAAAATACCAAAAACTGAGTTTTGATACCTTTTCGAGCTCTTTTTAACATATAAGCCCAGATAAAGCAACGAGAAGATTCTGTAAGCTCTTCACTGGAAGTGGTCGTTCTCTTTTCGAAGCTTCCACCTAGAGCTCCAGCCTCCGCATCTACTGAAAGCTCCTCATGGCGCAACTAGATCAACTACAGGCAGGAGAACAAGAAGGAGGATCGCAAGATCTCAACTTGATCAACTACACGTTCGAACTCCTAACTCGCCAAAGACGGTTGTTCGCTTTAAAGTTCTCGTTCACCGCCTAGTCAGTTACATCCGTGATTAAAAAAATGAAACAAATAATTATTTATTTGAAAAAAAGTGATCAGAACTCCCATCGGGGCAGCAATCGCACTGGTACGGAGCCCTTAAAAGTCAAAATCGAAAGCGTCAGCCGGAGGGAGGAAACTGATAAACGCGTCAAATCTGATAATAAGATAAGATTGTGGAGGGCTCTCGGTTTTCATTGAAATGAGGGTCGGATTGCGAGGTAAACCGCGGCGGCGGCGGCGAAGAAAAGACGATAATCAACTTCAGAATCGACCAAGCAATAAAGAAACAGAAAATCGAAAAGCAATGACGCCGAAGCGTCTGTGGCGGCCAATAATTCGTTCACGTGGGCGATGGCGTGATTATTTGAATTTCAATTCAATTCTTCCCCAGTTCAATGCAACCGACTCATCAAATTAAATCAACAAAAAGAAAAACATCTTTTTAGGAATTTATTCAAGAATTTGGGGTATTTTGGGATAGGCTAGGGCCTTCACGAAAAATCACAAAAGATGAAAAAAAAAACCTTTAAAAAAAGTCTAGTTATTTTTTTTAGCTTTCAAAATGCGGAAAAACTTTTCTCATAACAATAATGGCGCGTTTTTGAGGATAAGTGGGCGTGGCTCTGCGCTCCCTAGAAGTGAATGATGTTTATTTTTAAGGAGAACTCTGAATTTTCGCAAAAATCTTTGAGTGTCGAAAATTTTACCAAAATATCTTCTATGCTCCTTTAACTTTTCGATAAAGTTGTTTTCTCCAAGAAAATTTTTAAAGACCCATTGTTAGGACCAGAAAAAAAAACCTATTACAATCATATTTGTTAGAACTTTCAGAATTTTAAAAACGGGTTTCTTCCTATGACCAAAGAAAAACGGAATGCCTACATCTTTCTGACAAAATGAAGCAAAAAAACCGAGAAAATGACAAAAAAAGGTGATTCATATTGGTCGTGATGGCGTGGCAACTGATGTGTGGTAAATTGATATTTTAATGTGGCCTCAGGGGCCGAAAACTACGGTAGTTGGGCAAACATAAACCGGAAAAAAAAGAAAGGAAGAAGTTGGCCCCAAAAATTTATATGATGTTGATTGAAAGTGAAAGCGGCGAGAAAGTACTACAATAACATGTACGTATCGTTTTTGATTAAAAAAAAAAAGTAAAATCAAGCGTTAAAATGCGGAATTTTCTGAATCTTCTTCTTTGTGGAAGTCTTTTTTTCTTTGGAAAAATATGAAGATTCACTCCATTTCAGGTTGCATTTGGAATGGCTCAATGCGTCGCGGTCGCGCTGCGGTCAACATAAGAGAATTGGGGCACATTCATTTCAAATGATCAAACTACAAACAATCCTTCAGACAATGCAAACCGTACAGAAAAGTACGAGAAAACAGATTATTCGCTGTTCAAAAATCAATTCAGTTGTCTTTTTTGATACGCTTTGTCTTCAATCACCACCAAAACTATTCTAAATATTTATTTGAGCAATTTTTGAGAGGGAATCTCGCTTAAAATGGTAATCAATACTGATAATTTCAAATCAATTAGAAGAATAATATATATAGAAAGCTTACTAAACATTTTGTCTTTGTTTGAATTTTCTAATTGAAAAAAAAAATGAATTTCAAAGAATACTCGCAAAAAGTCACTGAAATTTTTTTCCAAGAACTTTTACTGCTGCAGGCGCCAATCGTTTCAGGTCGGGCGCATAGAGTCATTTAATTTATGGCTGCTCAAAGGCGCATAGTGATTTTTTTTTTAGAATATCTTCATCAAAAAATAAACGGAGCTCTCCGTAACTCACAAGTAAGAAAAAATGAGAATTTCTCTGGCCTTAGGTTCATTTCTCTCTAAGTATAGGGTTCAAACAACGGAGAGATGATATAAATATCTCATCTGGGAAGAAAAAAAAGAAGAAAAAAAGCTGAGAAAAGCGCCGTTTCGAGGGCCACTTTGGCCCCTCAACTATTTGCATTGAGCCGGAAATTCGAGAATAAAAGTAAAGAAATATACGGTTTTTGGCGCATAAATAACTTAGAATGTGTAGGCGTTCTTTTTCTCGTTGGTTTCGGTGACCCGGCAAACAGAGAAAGGCGAAAAACAGCGCCAAGACACACAGATTATCCGTTTCAAAACAGTTTTTTTTTGATGATCATCACGGATTCTTTAGAGTTCGAACGGTCTTTAAACTATAATGTAGTATAGTCCATTCGCCGCGACTGGAAAGTTTTCAAGTGTCTGCGTCTCTCTGTTCTCTCACCGACGAGGGCAGAGAAACATGAAAATAGCACGTCAACATGAGGGACAAGGAGGGCGCAGAGAAGTATTTCCAAGTCGCGAGAAAGATACTACAGGGACTTTTCATTTTTTGAGCTTCGCAATGAACTTTAAGCTTAAAAAAAGTAGAAAAATACTTTCCGAAAAAAACTAATAATTATAAAATATAAAATATAAAAAGGTATAAAAACACAAATCGAAATTTTTTCAGTTTCAAACATTGTTTGGTACAATTTTTTTACTTGATCTAATAAGATGGCGTCCAGAAAGATTGGCAGATAAAAAAACAATGAATTAAAGCTTGAAAATTGAAAATTGCTCTTATTCAATAAAAAATCGATAAACTCCGAGGTTCCTCGCGGTTTCCTAATCTTCACCTTGACAGAGTTTAAAAAACCCCAAAAATTGGTCAAAAAAGGAAGCACAATGATTTTTTCCCTCGGATAGCTGTCCAAAAATGAACTCAATTTCGAAAAAAAAACTCACCGAAAAATTGGGAAAAGGCATGAAATACTGCTCGAAATTCAATTTTCTCCCTATTTTTTCCAATCAAAACCACTACAATTTGCTAACAAAAGGCCTTTTTGTGTGTGGGTGAGAAGCTATCTCAAATTTGACTAGCAAAAAAGGAGAGAAAAATTCCAAAGAGAACAACAAAAAATTGCGCATCGTCAAAACAAGGAGACGAATATAAAGTGAAAAAGGAGAGAATTTTTCAGCTTTTATGAGCGATCGGTTTTTTTTTCTTCTGTCTGGCCAGAACATGTGATATGTAAATGTGGGTGGGATAATAAAAGTAAGAAATAAAAATATGAAAAAAGATGAGAAAAAGGGAAAAAACGTGATCGAGTGATAGAAAAAAATCAGAAAGCATGACATCAATATCGCTTGATTTACATCGAGAAGAAAATAAGTTTTCAATTCTATCCAGACTTTTCATTAAAATTAAGAAGAGCTTTTCATTTGGACTTGACAAAAATTGAAAAATTGGTCGCATAGTGAATGGATCAAAAGCCAGCAGTTTTGAAAACTGCACCCGACCGAGGAGCGGCTTACGCCCACAGGCATATTTTTTTAAAAGCTCAACTTTGAGTCGCAAAGCGGTGAGCCATTCTACATGAAAAAAATGGTTCCATGTTCATAAAAAAACTTCTAAGTGTAAAAAAATCATTATTTTTTTAAGCTTATTTTTTTCAAAACAGTTGTAAACTACAAAAATTTTGCAAAATTATAAAATAAATCTTTAAGCTTCTATAAACTTTTTCATGTATCAAATAGAAGAAATGAAGCCAACAAACTCAAAAAAATAAGGAAGAAACAGAAAAAAGCAAAAAAAACTCTCCAAAAAAACATAAATCCAATTATTTCCTTCAGAAATACATAAATTGTGAAAAAGAAAAACTGCTCTCGGAAAACTCTTGAAAAAAAAGAAAAGTTCTGAGATAAAAAGAGAGGAAAAGAAAAATATAAATATAAATAGTCAGCATGAGAATAAAAAACAGAGATCCTTGTATCGATTAGATCAAGAAATATTTCTAAACATCTTATTTGAGACAAGATTTTAATCAAAGATTCACTGGAAATTTCAAAATGTCCTTTTAACTCAAAAAAAAAATCCTATCAAAATATATCGTTTCAATTTTTAAGGTGGCTGATTACTTATAGCCAGCTAAAAGTTTATTCCTGAGCTTTCTGAAGAAGCAGAGAGGTCTCGAAGCGAAAAGTCGCTTCGTGCTATTTCAAATCATGTGAAACTTTTGCTTCAACGTCTCAGAAAATATTTTTGACCTGACTTGAAAGCATCATAACTGATCTCTGGAAGTGTAAAAAGATCCGCCTCTAGACACGAAAAAAAAAAGTCTGATCTCGAGTTTGACTCAGTCACGAGCTTCTCATTGCGATGTAACGTTGCAGACAACAGAAAAATTTGGTGGCGGCAACGAAGGAAAAATCGATTTTTCGAAGCTTCGAGAGTTCCTTCGGAGCCCCGAATAGAATAAGTGATGAATGGATATCCGCAGAAAAAGCAGTGCAGGAATCAACGAGGAAGTGAGGAGGGCAATGCTTGTACAGCCATTAGACTCAAGTTTTTTTTTCCTTTACAAGGCAAATTATTCACCATGAAATGATTCAAAAGAGTGCTGACGTGGGGGGATTAGCACTCAAAGTACACATCAATATGGCCATTTCCTTAAAAGGAACATGGACATGTTTGTCAAGGTTTATTGGCCAAGAGCCCTATTTAGGGTTGTTTATGGTTATAAAACCCATTTTGAGCGATGAAAATGCAAAAAAAAATGTAACGAAAGAGTACATTTTATGCATGAAAAGTTGAAAAAATCTTCATAAAAGAAAAAAAAAGAGTCTAATTGATCAGACAATTATAATTCCTTAATAAAGAAAAGATATAGCCATTATATAAACTAGTACTTTTTCTTTACAGAGCGAATTATTCAAAAAAGGCTGACGTAGAGGATTTGCACTATAAGTGCACATCAAGTCATACAAGAATTCCGCACTTTAAAAATAATGATGCAAAAAAATAAAAGTAACAACTTCAAAAAAATTAAAAAAACTACTCATCAGGAAAAAAATTAGAAAAAAATCTTCAAAAAGAGATCTTTTTCTCTGCATAATTCATTAGAAGTTCAAAAATTAACGCTCAAACTCTCCCTATAAATAATTAAATAATATTTCGTCAAATGAAAAAAATTGTAATATTTCATCATAAATATTTCTGATCTCTCTTCGCATCCAAACATTTTCATGACTCAAGCTAAACTGAAAATCATTTTTGATTTAGAAATTTTCGATTAAAGGAAATGTAAATGCATAAAATTAGAAAGCAAAGATGAAACAGAAGAATGTTGAAAAAAATTAAAAAAACCTTTTTCTAAAGAGAAAGAAAAACTGTGAAATGAAATTGAGTATCAATTGAGAAAATAAAATTATCAAAGAAAACCGTGAAAAAAATATCCAAATTAAACAAAAAGGAAAAAAAGGAAAATATGTTTCACTAAAAGACATAGATATTATGTTTGACGAGAAACAAGTTCAATAAAACAAACCAAAACATAGAAAAATATTTACTGATCCAAAAAAGACCCGCAAAAATATTGAAAAGAAAAAAGAAAAAACCCCGCAGAAATTCGAAAAATTTTTTATTAAGAGATTACGGTAATCAAGGCAGTTCCGCAGTGCACCAAGGCGTCAAAATGCAGTAAATGCAAGAAAATTTTCACGTTTTTCGAGTAACTCTTTTAGATTTAGGTACAAGGTACAGGATTCAATAGACAACTAAAGTCGGCCGCTGAAAGTACAATCAGATAATTCCGATGGGGCGGTGAGGGAGGAAAACTCGCAAAATGCAAATCGGAAACCGTGTCGCCCATCGCAACAATGGAACACACAAACGAACATTTTACACCATTCAAATCGAATCGTTTTCGGATCAAAGTTCAAAATGAAAGGAAGGAGCTCAGAGAGAGAAATTCGAAGATTCGAAGCAAAACAGGTTTTTGATGTCATTTTTTGTTGGCTCCTTTGACGTTTTTCGTTGTTTCTAAAATTCCTTAAATTGAAAATATTCCTTTTCTGATGCTTCAAATTTCATATTATCAATCATTATCATCGACAGAGATTAATAACTTAATCTGAAAAAAGAATTCTTTTTTTTTGAAATAAATGTCCTTTACAGTCCTACAAGACTTCAGATAAATTTTTGTAAAAAAATATTGGAAAAAAAAAAGAAAAAAACAGGATTCCAATCCTACGTACCATTGCCCGTTTGCTCTGGAAAAATATCATTTTTTGTCAAGAAATGATAATTTCACAAACTTCACTGAGAGCCTTCTCTGCCATCTCCGTCCAAGGTGATTCTGGCGACTGAATTTTTTTTCACGAGTAAAAATGGAACTTTATTTTGAAACTCACATAGTCCGGCGCTTTGGATTTGAGTACACGTCGGCCTCGATTGAAATCGTCTTTTTCGGCACTGGGCTGGAAAAAATTATGGAAAAATTGGGGATTTTTCTGATAATATCCGCTTAAGTTTCAGGGTCTAAATAAAGAGCCTAAATTAAATTGAATGTCTAAAATCAATCGATTCGTCTTGGAATAATCCAGAAAAGTTTTAAAAATTCGAATAAACGCGAACAATTCCGAAAAGAGAGGAAATTAAAAAATCAGCGACTGGATCAAATACTACTGCCTTCATAGACAATGAAAATAAACAAGCCAAAAAAAAGTCATAAAATTTTTTTGAGCGAATAGAGAGAAAACGTTTGAAAAAGAAGCTTGAATATTTAGAAGATTTAACATACTTTCCGGTTTCACAAATTCAAAGAAAAGACACGTTTCAAAAACACTTTCTCATTAAATGAAGATCAACAGAGTAACTCGAAACTCCCAAAATCGCCCTTGAAAAAAGTTCGAAATCTTCAGAAACTTCCCTCTTTTTCCAAATTAAATGAGAAATGAGGATAATCACACTCACAGCTACTTGCGGCTGTGCAGCCGTCGTCGATCCTGCTTTTTGTCTGAAAAAATATAGCTTTATTCCTATTGTTTCTTCTAATCTCACAAGAAAGGTCATTTTACTTTGAGGCTATGAACCCCCTGAAATTTGGTCAGACCTTTCCTAGATGTACCAAAGAAGATCCTGGAAGTTAGAACCTGACGTTCTTTTGAAAAAGGAGACTTCAAAGTAAAAGAAAACACTCAGAATCTGTTAAGATCAGTTATTTGGAGACTTAGCTTTCAACCGCAAAATAAAATGACCTTTTTTGTGTGTCAGACTCACTTCGGAGAGCTGTCAGAACCATCCGTCGGAACAACCCGTTCACTCCTCAATTTGGTGAGGGCCAACCCGCCGCCCCAGGCGTCCGGAATGAACTCGGGACATTGGAGAATCATCGCCGTCATTGTTTTGATCGACTAAAAAAAGTGAAAAGTAAAAATTACTGTTTAAATATTGAATTTTGAGCAAATAACTCCGCCCCCAAGGATACAGTATCTTTCGCGCCAATGTTTCATGAAAATATCAAAAAATAATAAATCAATAAACTTTAATATTTCTTTCAATTTGTGAGATTGAGACAACACCGTGAAAACTTTCGTTTTCAAAAATTGAAAAACGAAATTTTTGCAAAAAAAAAACTACAAAATCCCCTAAACTTCACTTATCTGTACATTTTTCAGGCATTAAGCTAGCCAAGGTTATTATTGAGATTTGAGAATGGTTAATGGGACTATTTTTAGCAACCAAACGGATCTCTTTTTTTTTCTACAAAAGAAAAACGATTCATGTCGATTTTTAACACTCTAACGCCGTGTTGAAAGTGACTTGACAGAAAAAAAGTTCTCTGACTCACTAAAAATTGGTTACTTTTTTCACTCTTTTCGGAATTCCGTAAAAACTGAACACGGGATAAAATCTGACCAATTTAACCCTTGAAAAGCTGTTTTTATAGCCAACGCACCTCGTTGGAGTTGCGTATGAAATTGCGCATTTCGACGCTGACGACGTCATCGAAAATGGTGGAATTGGTGGTGACGGCGTCCAATCCCTTGCTAATCGCCAGCTCCAACAGATTCGAAATCTGCAGGATTACCCATTAGGCCAGAAAAAAGTGACGAATCGAAATTCGCTGGTCAGAGGCTCAAATGATCATGATCTATTTGAGAGAGAATAATTTGAAAATTTCCCCCGTTTTCAGGGTCTAAAATAAATCGCAAACGACTCATAACAAGTCTCGAAAAAAAAAAGAAACAGCCCAACAAAACAAAACAAAAAATGTAACACAAATAAGCTTTTTTTGAAAAAAAAAACCCCTCAATCAAAACCAAAAAAATGCCATACTTATCAAAGAAACCATGAAGGGAATGAAAAATAGCGAAGATTAAAAATCCTAAAATCAATTTTTGATTATACGAATCCTTTTTCGGTATACTTGAAATGGAATTTTTTCTAGATAACACCATAGACTAAAAATTCAGTCTTGAAGTGACCTCTAGAAGGTTTTAGAAAATCTGCTCAAAGATCCCAACTAACATACGGACATCCATCAAAAAAAAAAAAGTTTCAACCAAATCTGCAAAGACTATTCCTAACGAAACTTAAAATTACTTTTATCAATTCACAGAAATGATCAAAATATCTCACCTTCTCGTTAGGCGGAATGCATTCGCGGAAGAAGTTGAGAAGAACGACATTGTCCCGAGTCGGCAAAGCTCTTTCCAGAACCTGGTTCCTTCTCATGATCGCCAACATTTCCCGAGCCATCTTTTTGGTTACTTCGCGCTCAAACACAAAGGTTTTTGACCAGAAAAATAGGATTTTGGCGATTTTGAAACCAATTTGCAAAGTTTTTCGTTGGGTTTGAACCCAAAGTCGGAACATTGATCAAAGGACAAATTTAGTTTTTTTTTCAGAAAAATACAGAATTTCGGTTTTTTTCTAATTTTTCCCACATTTATTATGTCATAACCCTCCTATCCATTTTATTTGGGAATTTTTAAAAGTATAAATCCATCAAAACAAAGTCGCAAAGTTCAAGAAAAAGATAGGGAAATTTGGAGATTTGCACCGCAGAGAACTCCTCCGAGGACATACATCGTTGGACGACTTGGCAGAACTGATCGAACGCGAAGTTGCCGTTACAGTAGACCCAGAAGAAGCGGAAGAGGCCGAGAGGGGAATGGGCAGGCTTCTGGGAGGGGAGGGCGACGCTTTGACCGGCTGGACGTTGGGTTCGGACTCGGCCTGGCAAGGCTCTTCGACGGCGTCTTCCCTCGAGTTGGGCTCCTGAGCTCGGGTCATCATCTTGACCTGGTCCTGCACCTCGATCAGCTTCTTCTTCAGGGCCGTGTTCTCCATCTCCAGGATCTCAATCTTCTTCAGCAGCCCTATTTCGACGGCTGTCAGCGTTTTCGCCGGATCTTTGCTGATCTGAACAAGTTTTATTGAAAATACTCTAAGTTATAGTGAATTCCAGAGATAGTCTAACCTGTTTCCACTCACCGGTCAGATCATTATTATAGAAATCACGAGTTGAAAAAAAAAACACAGAGAAATATTTTTTTTTTCTGCCCGGTCGCACTATTTCTAGTGATATTATGTACACAACAAAGGCTTTCAAACGCAGTTTTTTTATTTTTGGCTCTATAGCCTAACTTATCATTAAAATTTTTAAAATAAGGACTTAAAATTGTTCTCCGTTTTCAATAAAAAAAGGACAGGGAAAAATTAAACTTTCGATTTGCTATAAAATAAAAAGTTTCACACCCGCTTTGAAGTTTGAAAGAAAATATTTATCTTTAACAGAAGTATATTCCCCACCTTTTCAAAATCTTCATCTTTCTTCTTTTTATTTTTCTTCGACGACTTGCGCTGAAAATTGTTAGTTAATTTTTCTGAAAGAAAGCGAAAAATGAGGAACTCACATCTTCAAATTCATCGTCTTTAACCGAAGCAATCGATTCATCGGGCTAGAAAAAAATAGAATAAACTTTATGCAAAAATATATAAAACCTGATCTTCTTTCCATCGTAGCTTGTTCTTTCCGAAAAGCTTCGGATGCGCCGGACGGGCCTGAAAAGGATTTTTTTTATTAACGAACTTTGCAAAAATGAAAATAAAGTAGCGTTTCATTGTTTTATTATGGAAGCATTTCGGACGATTATGATGCCGTGTTCAAAGTAATTTCCGCGAAATGCAAAATGATCTCTGACTCTCCAAAATTTATTGATCTTTTCCTTTCTCTAACGTGTATTTTGCATTTCGCGGAAATCACTTTGAACACGGCATGAGCTTAGCAGAATATAGGAAATTTCTTATGCCGTGTTCAAAGTAATTTCCGCGAAATGCAAAATGGTCTCTGACCCTCCAAAATTTAGTTATCTTTCTCTTTCTCTGACGGCTATTTTGAATTTCGCGGAAATTACTTTGAACACGGCATTAAAAGTATTTGTGATATAAAAAAACAAGTCGAAATTTTTCGAAGCAAATGCGCGTGAAAGGTGATGCAGGAGGTAAGCACCACGACGCCGGAATGCAGGCTCAAAATTTTAAATTTTAAAATCTTGATTCGAATTTTTTCGTTTTTAAAAAACTTTTGATCAAAGAATGGACATGAATTATAGTGATGCATTCAAGAGTTCTAGAAAACCCTTTCTAATGCGATTTTCAGCGGTTCAAGTTCTTTTAAAATTGCTGAACACATTTTATCTCTTTCACTTCTTTTTCAGGATCCGCAAAATGAAACCTTTTCAACGACTTCAAATTCCTCATCGTCTTCAATTGTCGAGATTTTAGCGACGTTGGCATATTTCTTCTTCATTAACTGTTTCTCAGCGCGTAAGTCTAGCGGAGCCGACGGCTGAAAATAATTTTTGAAAGGAAAATAAATTTTCGCTTTTATTACATTTGTCGGTTTTGGGGTTGGCGTAGTGGCAACTAATGGTTTTGGCTGGTTTTGAGCTTGCGCCGCTTTTCTTCTTGTTTCGGAGATTTTTTCTTCTTTTTTCTCATCTTTTTTGTCTTCTTTTTTGTCTTCTTTTTTCTTCGAGATCCAAAACATTTTGCTAGCAGCACTGATAGAAAATCTGACATTAATGGTTCAGAAATAGAAAAACCTTCAGAAAGATAGTAGAAATCTTGAGACGAACCAGAATTGGTTCTGGTCTTGTAATAAAATGCCATAAGGTCACACCTTTTCGTACGTATTTTAATTTTCACAGAAAATTTCCGTTTCTTAAATTCAAAACAAAGAAACAAAAGGGTTTGAAATGTTTCCCCGAGATTTTCAAAACAAAATTCCTCGTTGGTCTTTGAAGTATGGTGTTTGCCATGATGATTTTTCGCAAAAAGGATATTTTTCAAGTCATTTTCATTTCTGAAAAATACATAAATCTAGTCTTCAAATGAGAAATATCCTCTGCTATTAAGAAAAATTCAAAAAACATCAAGTCAAAAATTTCGATTGATAGAATGAAAAAATAATCATATCGCTGAAAAGATCCTTACTGGTGGCTATTTTTGAACCAGGTGAAGATTCTCAACCTGACAAACTCCTAATTTCTGAGAAAAATCGGCTAAAAGTCTCAAAATGACTGTCTTTGAAAGGGTTTTTTTGACTTTTACTTGTCTTTTCTCATGAAATTTTGCCAGTTAAGACTTCCAGAATCTTTGATTGGTACACCGAGGAGAGTTCTGGCCAATTTTCAGAGGGTTCGAGTAAAATTACTTTTCTTGTCAAATTCTTTCAAGCGGAATTCTTCGCGATTTTCAATAGAAGTGGATAGACTATATACCGCTAGGCTTTCAGAAAACTCTCACATAACTATTATTGACAAGAATGAAGTTTTCCAAAAACTTTCTCTAATTCTTCCAAGCCTAACCTCTAACGGAGTTTTACAGCCAAAATGAAGAAAAGGAAAATTAAAGTCGCCAGGTAAAGACAATCAGAAACCATGAAAATCAAAAAAAAAAAAGGAATTCCGAAATTTTCAAATGCGAAGGCGCTTCGCGACCGCACTCAGCGGAACAGCGGAATGTCGTTGAGGGAAATTTCGAGTCGAGGCATACAAACTGTAGTTTCCAAGAGCTAGATCTCAGGTAACTGTTATGACTAGACTGTAGTTGTTTCTAATGTCTTTTGCGAATTCTCCCAAGACCTCCAACGGGGTTCCACGTCATTTTTGGGGTTGAAATGAGGAAGAAGGACTCGAAAAAGTCGCCATGACGCCCATCGGAGCAGAGGCTTCTTCTTTTTCTTCGTTTTGTTGCTCGGCGGAGCCCATTTGGACGCATTTCTATACATATACCTGCGAAAAGAGGCCAAGCCCTCGTCTCCTTAAAAACGGCCTCTTTGGACATTGTCTGAGCAAATAATTTCGGTCGTCTTGTCCTCTTCTGTGTTTGACTTGACTTCTTTTCCGCCTTTGAATCTTCGATTATTTTGCACTTTTGCTCTTTTCCGGAAGTCTAGATAGATTTACTGAACTTGTTAGTTTCCTTTTTTCTGACTTGAGAAATTTCTTGGGAATAGAGAATTTTGCGAAAAGAATTCTCCGAAAAAAAATATTACTTCGAATTACTTTTTCAAAGAAAAATTGATTTCATTAAACTTATAAAAGTTTTTTTCGGACTGTTTAGGTAACATAATATAATCCTAAAAACTCACAAAAATCGATCAACCTGTTTTTTTGAAAGTTCAAAATCGAACAAATTTTTAATTTTAGAAATGTTTTTATTTGACCTATTTCGAGCCGAGTCTACTTTAAAAAAAATAGAAGATTATTATCCTTTTTTTGGTTCGTTTATCAGGCTTCAAATTTCTTTTCAATAGTCATAAAATTACCCGTAAGGATTCCTAATCTCAATTATAGTCCTTTCTTCGAACTTTTGAGCTTCGAAAGATCAAAAATACTCTGTTCACACCTAGCTAGAGACGGAAAGTCTACAGGAGCGTCTGAACATCTTTTTTTGCACATTATTTTTCTAATCTTCTTGAAACCCATTGATTAAAGCCTCAAGATTCCGGCGAATGAACTATTTGTCCCAGAAAACTACAGAAATAATTTTTTCTGTTGCAAAAAATGACTATGTTGATTTTTAGCTGCTAACGTTCGCACTTCATAATTTCAAAAGCTATTTGAAGATTTTTACACCAAGACCACCAACATCACTGTTTCCAACACAGTTCAAGTGTTGGCAAACAGAGAATTCTGCTCCCGCTCAAACACATGTTCAACGAATTTGCTTCAAAATCGGTTCCTTAAGTGCTTTTTTGTGGATTTCAATTTTCTCAGACTATTTCCAATGCCGTGTTCAAAGTGATCCCGCGAAATGCAAAACTATCTCTGACTCTCCAAAATTTAGTTATCTTTTTCTTTCTCTGACGGCTATTTTGGCTTTCGGGGAATCACTTTGGAAACGGAATTAAAATTGGAGAAAATAAATCGATTTTTTTTGAACTTGGAATCATTACAGTTTATCCCGATTTCCTGTTCAATAAAAATATTTCTTTGAATTGGATAGCGTCAAAAAAATAAGCCGCTAAAAGCTATTTTTTTCTCGATAGAGCGCATAAATTCGTGTTCCACCCGATCCCACGGCTGTTTTTTCCTTTACTTTTCAAAGATCGATTCAATCTTTTTGAATATTATAAGCTTGATTTATGACTTATTGACCTTTTTCCGCTGAAAAATATTTTCTTTATTTTCATCCCTGCTATTTCTCATAAAGGTCCCTTTTTCAATCTTGGACATTCTTAATGATTTTCCTCGAATCATCTCACGTTTTTCAGCTTCACCTCTTCTCTGGGAATGACTAGGACAAATCGATAAGAAACACAAAAAACTCGATTCGGAATGATTCCTCCCGAGTATAATCTCAGCGACCCTCGGATCTACCGAGTCGAAACGGCAAATCCATTGATTCTCGTTAGTTTTTTTTTAATGAAAAAAAAAATTAATCAAAAATGGAAAATTGAAGGCGGGGCTGGTGAGCAAATCGGTGCCTCATTGGGTCCGAAGATACGCGGCGATTCGGCCTGACTATGTCTTCCCAAATACTTTGATCGACGATTTGAAGAGTGAGTTTGTTTGGAAGAACCTGGAAATATTATTTTTTTGCAAAGGTAAAATCCAGAAAAAATATCATTGAAAAAGTAAAATCGATCAAGTTTTGGAGATCAGTTTAAGCTTTTCTTCGAAGAAAACGGAATTTTCAATAATTTTTTCTTTTGTGAATTATTTTTCACTGACTGTCTGCACTAAAAATTCCACTAAACTGATATTTCGGAAAGTAAAGGAATTTCCTGAGTTTTGAGCAAAACTTTCATACGAATTCAACTTATATCACCCAACAAAACTTTAAAATCCGATTTTCTTTGATTTCTCTCTAGAGAAAACCACACCCCATCACTAAAAAATTAACCAGATCCAAAAAATAAGTCTAAAATTCAACAAAATGTTCCCAAACTTTATGCAACCCATGAAAAGTAACCTAAAACCAAAAAAAAAAATTGAATTTTGCCTCTTTTTCTCAAAAAGAAACCATCACTTCATCACTAAAAATAAACCAGACCCAAAAAAAAAGAAAGAAAATCGCAAAAATCAACAAATTTGCCGTCTTCAGCGATCCGTTTGACCAACAATGAAGTGTATTCGGTGCTGGGATTAGCCTTATTCTTCACACTCCTCCGTTATTACATCCAGATTAAGCTTCAGGTTCGTCTAGAGGGGAAAAAATTATCAAACAACTTTTAAATTCAGACATGGACCTCAACTCATCATATTTATCCTCGCTTCGCTCACAAGGTAAGTTTTGAAGTTTGTACTCGACTAAGGAGCTCCAGAGTGGTCCCTTTAGGGGCGAAAATATGGGCGTTTGTAGGTTCTACTCAAGAGACCATCTCACCTTCCCCTATAGGGGGCACTAAAGCTTGCATAAGTGGTCACTAAAAGGGTTTTAGTTAATGATGACTTTGAGATTGAAAAAAATCACTTGAGCACGGGCTGATAGATCAAACTCTAAACCCCCAGAGGGACCACCCTAGGTTTCCTAAGGATTAATCATACTTTTTTTTAAGCTTGAAAATAGATTAGTAAATTCAATAAAACTCAGAGAAGTATTGGAAACATTTGAAAATCTTTTGTGATGAAATATTGGTGAATGAGAAATCTTGAATAATCCCAATTTCAGGTCCCAGAATCGTTTTGGAAGCTGATTTATTACGGGTTTGCGTGGCTCCTGTTGCTCTACGTCCATATGTGTGTCGACTCGATCAATTCTTTCGATGATCCTCTTTCTATGTGGAAAGGTGAGAAAAGTACCTATTTCTTTACTTTCGTGATATAAAATGATCTAAACTCTGCAGCCAAAATGCCAAATTAGAAGTCTAGGTGTTCATTAAGGACGATAAAGTCTGTTCAGATTCTGAATGTCAAGTAGAGTGACGTCATTCGAAAAAGCTCTTTGGTTGGCTCGCTCTCTGAATGGCTTATCGTGCTATTAGGGGCGGAGCTTGAGCGATGACTTGAATTTCGAAATCTGAACAGACTATTCAACCTAAAAATCGCTCCTGGTCATTTTTTCTCCACTTTTTAGGAGATTTCAGCCTTTCATAACTCGAATTTTTCATTTTTTTTTTTCTGAAATTCCTAAAAAAAAAACTTACTGGGAACGCAAGAGTGGTCACTAGAGCGGGAAACTCAGAGGCACTTGAAGGCTCCTCTTCAGGGACGACATACCCTAGACCCTATAGAGACCACCTGGATTTTAGCCCTCTAGGGAGCAGTTTTTCATCCGCTTCAGAGGCTTATTTTTCCTCTAACCCCTTCAGTGATCACTCTGGCGTTTCTGAGCACCTTCTTTGTGAAATGAAAAAAGAAGAACCTTGTTAGCGTGGTCCGGCGGCAACCGTCCCGCAATGCACCCGCTGATGACGTTGATCTACGCGACGCAGTCGGCCTTCTACGTGCATTCCATCTACGCGACGCTCTTCATGGACCTCTGGCGGAAGGACAGCTGGCTCATGTTCGTCCATCACTTCATCGCCTTGGCCCTGCTGCTGCTCAGCTACGTCGACAAGTCAGTTGAAGATAGATAACACCAAAGAGCACTACATAAGCTTGATAGCTCGTCGCCTCGGGCTGGAACTTGTGACCCTGTGAACCTTAGAGATACACTCAACCTGTTGCGCTAAAACGCGTCTATAAACTAAATAGTTATTCTGGACCCACTCCAAAAATAACTGATTTTTTTTTTGGTTTTTTCTGGCTCTCAGATTCTCCGATTCCAAGTTCAGCTTGATATAGCAGTTTTGTAATAACATAAAGTTTTAGAACTTCTTTACCGTAACCCTTTGAGCAACCGTAACTCATTTTTTCGACGACCGGCTCCCAACTTTTTTTCCTGAACGAAAAGTTTCTGAACTTCTATAAATGTTTAGGTTAGAGAAGAAACTATCATGTCGACCTGTAGTTTTGGATCTGTTCATCACGAATAGAGCCGTCTAACTTGTCTGCGCTCTCTTTTCTCTCGCGTCTCGTCGTATCGCGTCGAGAGAAAAGAGTGCGCAGAGAAATTGAGCTCACCTTCAATAGATAATAAAAGCCATTTTCATCATTAAAATTTACAAAAAAAGTTTTTAAAATTGAAAGAAAAAAATAAAGAAGAGTAATTTCAATCAAAAAAATAAAAAAACACTTTCAGCTTCACCCTCCCTGGCGCCCTACTTCTCTTCCTCCATGATAACTCGGACGCGACCTTGGAAATCACAAAACTCTCATTTTACCTCAAGAAACGGACCAATGGAATGTACTACAAGTACTACTTCTACATGGGCAACGCCGCCTTCATTCTTTTCGCCATTATTTGGTGATTTTCTAGCTCAAAGTTTAAAAAAAGATTATTACGAAAAAAATAGTGGAGAAAAAGTAATTTCGAATCTTCAGTAAAAATGCGAAAAAAGTGTCCTGAGCCGAAAAAAAGGGAGTAAAATGTGTTGAAAAAATTTACGATTTTTCCTGAATTTAAAATAATTTTTTGAAAGTAATCAATTTTAGTTTCCAATGAAAAAAATGCCACAAAACCCGATTGATTTTTGTATTTTTCCTGAAAAAAATCCGTCCATCGAGCACATATTCACAGGAGAATATGACCTATGAAAATCGGATTTTTTTTTCAAAAATTTCCTCAGCAAACTAATTTTTTTCGCCTCTTTTCCATTTCTTTTCTTCCAATTTTTCAAATTTCTAATCTCTTCGAACTAAAACTAAACACGAAAACGATTTCCAGGGTGATTTTCCGGCTCTACTGGTACACTTGCAAGCTGCTCTACGCGACCTTCTACGGGGCCGTTTATTTGGCTCCGCAAGACGCCAAATTCTTCCCGCTTCTGGGCGTGATGCTGTTCATCATCTACTTGATGAATCTCTACTGGTTCAACGTGCGTTTTCATCCGCAATTTAAGAAACTAAGAGGAGTAAAAACGAAATTTTTACCCATGTATGAAGATAGAATTGGTCATAGCAAAGCATATGGTTAATTACTCTCATTCTGGCCGGGTGTTCCAACGGGTTCACCCGTGTTTTTGAGGTTATCTGAGACTCAGTTGTGCTAAGACTGGAGAAAAACGGGTAAGAGAGGAAATAGGTGACCCAGCTGCAGTAAGAAGTGCCAAAAGTTCCACCAGCAATACGGGTTCAGTACGGGCCCACCCGATGAGAGCCCGTGTGAGAATGGAATCTCCTTGAAAGTACATGTCAAAATGATTGCAGTTCATTGCTCGGATGGTTTGGCGCGTGGCTCTGACCGGAGAAGACCCGGAAGACAACCGGGAATGGGACACGACGGCCGTCAGCGGCCTCAACCAACAGGCTCTCGACCAGATCGCCGCCCAGACCAAGAAACAGAAGGACGTTTGAGCCGCTATTTATTCACTCACTTATTTGTACCATAAAAGGAAGAAAAGTTTTGATTTTTAATCGACATAAAAAAGAAGATCAAAAAATATTATAACTGAAATAAAAACAGAAATGACATGAAAAATCAAAAAATTTTCTTCAATCGAAGCGAAGATCTCTTTCATTTTCATTTTTAGAAGAAAAAAGCTTCCTTTGGAATAAAATCTGATCCATTCCGCGTTAGCTTGTTTTCCTTCGATCTATGGACCTTCTTTTCCTTGCACGGCTTGGCTCTGTCTATGCGCCTTCAATAAAACGGGAATTTTGAGCTCAATTAAAGGATGCATAGAGAAAGGCCGCGCGCAACGAAGGAAAGGGTTCTGTAGCACGAAGGAAAACAAAATTGTGACAAGCTGGTGCGGAATGACCTAAATTTTTTTTCCTAAACAATTTTTCATTTTAAAAAAAGATTTCACTATTAATTAACATATCAAAATGGAAATAAGAACAGGAATGACAGGAAAATCGACAAATTTCCGTTAATCGTAGGGGTAAAACTCGCGCAACCAATCTTGGATCACGTACCTTCAATTTTTTTCAGGCTTAAATTTTTTTAAAAAAAGTTTACAAAAAAACGGACTTTCTTCTCATTCTGTCGAAGAGGCAGTATTTCGATGCCAATTTGTTTTCGAATTGGGGCTTCGCCTTCGGTCAAAGCCCATTGAACGACGTAGATTAACTGAAAAAATTTTCTTTATTTATCTTTTAAAAACAGCAAAAAAAAAAATTAGGATTATAGCTTGGAAAGGAAAACTCGAAAAAACGATTACTGATCATCCCTCGTTCAAAAGAAAAAAATTCTGTATAGCCAATTTTCCGGACTTGAAACATAGGCGAATTGAGAAAGGGTATCGCGAGACCCTCTGAGGTTTATCGCAGGCTCTTAGGTATCACGATGGTACCTTGAGGATCTGAGGATTTTGAGCAAAATAAGAGGGTCTTGAGAAAGACTCTAAAGTACCTCCGAGATGGCTCAGATATATCTAAAAGGTATGTCGGAGGTCTCACGATGGACAAATCTTCACGATCCATTTGGAGAAGTACCTTTGTGGACACATCATGGTAGCCTCTCGATTCGCCTGTGAAGGCGGAAGTTCATTCAACCGCCAGCGACTATTTGAAGAGTTCGTCTACTGCTTTTTTCTTTCTTTTTAAATCGCTCACTGGTTTTTTCAATTGTGCATCAAAAAAAAAGTAGAATAGAGGAAAAAAGAGCGCTAACCGAGCTTTTTGAATAGTCGTTGGCGTTTGAATTGGACTTGTGCCAAGAACCGCGCACGCACACGCTACGCGGCCCGTCTCCCTCTCTTTTTGACTCTACAGACGTTTGAACTGTCTTTCTTCTCAAAAAAAAAAAACGGAAATTTTGATAAATTAAAAAAGTTCAAAAAAAAACTAAGAGTGTTTATTAATTTTTTTAAATTTTCGGAGCTGCATAAATGCCCCTGATAGCTTCAATTACGATGAAATTATTTCCGAAATTAGAAAAAAAGCTTCAAAAATGACTATTATCAAAGTTTTTTTGATAGGAATACCCGCTGCGCGACCGCAACGACGCCGTCAGCCATTCCAAGTGCGGCCCCGGGGTCCCAGAAAAAGTCAGAAAACAAATCAAAACCCACCAAAATGTCCTTCGGTTCCTTGTACGGATCGACATCAACCAGTACAGCAAAATGAGGTCCTTCTGTGCGATTCTGCAAATTTTCCTAGTGTTTTTCTGCACATGAAAAAAAGAAAAAAACGTATTTAAAACTCAATATCAAAAAAATCAAAATTTTAAAAATCCTATTTTTTATTATTCGCTGATAAGAGCTCTTTGCGGGTTTTTCGCCCCCATTTCAGATATTGATTTTTTTCAAATGGTTTGAAATTTCATAAAATCACCACCTTGTCATGGAAGATACGCCTAAAAATCAGTTTCTGGTATCCGAGGCTCGAGATCCCATCCAATGATCAGACCAAAGTCCTCGTTTATCTAAACAAATCAACTATTTTTAGATAATATCCATTCGCCAAAAATTTCGAAAAAGTTTGATTTCCCTGCGCTCTCTTCCATTTTTTTCGATAATATGAATAATTTTGGGGGGTTTTTTTATTTCGCTGGGAAATTCTCAGACGAAATCTTTTTCTGTTTTTTTCATTGATTTCCTATTTCTATGTTATTTTTTTCACGATCCACTGTACGATTAATATTAAAAAAATTAAAAAAAATTAAAGTCAAGGAAAAAAAGTAGAAAAAAATGTTCGTGATATGAAAAAAAATCGGAAAAAGTCTCCTTTGAAAAAAATCCCCGATCTTTTTGTTCATAATATTTTTTCCGCAAAAACTAATATTAAATTTGATCCAATTAAAAATCACGATTGATCAAAAAAAGGTGTTTATTGTAATCCGTTTTTCGCGCTTTGAAAGTTTTCATTTATCTGCGTCTCTCTGTTCCCTCGCCGGCGAGTCAGAAGAACATGAAAATAGCGCGTCAACAGGGGAGGGTAGCAGAGAGACGAGGAGGGCGCAGAGAAGAAAAAGACAGTTCCAAGTCGCGAGGTCCCACATATAGCTGATTCACGACTGGCTTGAGCCATTGAAAAAAGGGTCCTGACACAATAATGCACAAGATAGCGCTTGACTCGTGGAGAGCGCAGACACGACACGCCCCTTCGCGTCTCAAGCTAGCCGTGAATCAGCTATATTTTAACAAGTTAAACATCATTGCGTCGGTGTAATGGCAGGTAACACGTACGAATATTCCAAATTGTGGCAAATGAGATATAAATTGGAAAAACTTACAGTTTCGACTGGATCACAGACCCGAAACTTCAGATAAGGAGTCCTTCGACGCACATATCGGTCCACTAAAGTCACTTTTGTTTATAATTGCCCACTTCCATATATTAATTCAAGCTGTGGATTTCAGAAACCAAATAAAAAAATTAGAAACAGTGAACTTCGATAAATGCAAAATTCGAGTATCAAAATATTTTTAGAAAAAAAGTTTATACTCTTCAATACTTTTTTTCGAAAAAAAATTTTTCACACTGTGATATCGTTTCAATCTGATCATTCAAAGACTTAAAAAGTTAGAAAGTGATTTTTTTCTACAGAAAAGTATTTCAAAGAAAACAGTTATACGCTCTAGGAATTAACAGAAAAAAACCTTTTTGAAATTGCAATTTTTAAAAAAAGCTTATTATGTCGTTCCGTGAAATTTCAAGCCGTGGCACACAGAATATACAAAAAAATTTAGATATTTCAAATTAAAATTCAAAAAAACAAAAGAAGCACCTTTTTCCAGAATTAAAAAAATGTTGAATGGATATAATACTATATAACTATAATTTGCTTTCCCAACAAGTTTTTAGTATTTTTCAAAATTTGAATTTCGAGATAAATCTCACTTCCGTAATAGTTCCAATCTTCGAGTTGGCCCGATTTTTCCTTGACGAGATTCCGATGTTCCGCGGATTTGCAGGCTTTGTAAACCTCGTAAATGAACTTCCCCACGATTTGGGGACTTCTAGAAAATAATTGTTTTTTGTTTTGAACTTTAGCTTGTCACATTTAAAAAAACCCTAGCTTCCTGTTGTTTTTTTCTCTATTCTCATCGTCCCAAGACCGAAAAAAGAAAAAAAAGACCAACCTGTTGAGATTGAAGAGTTTTGGCCGTGTACTCGGTACCATTACGAAAAATGGTAAGTAGGCGAAAAAAATGACGTAAAGAAATCTTGCGATGAAAAACCGTCGACCTCGAATGTCGACGAATAGTCCGTTCAAAAAATCCATGGGAAACTCCTAAAAAGCGTCATTTTGATACGAATAATCAACTTTTTGAGAAAAAAATTGAAAGAGGAGAAAACGAGAAATTGACGAAAATATATGAAACCAAGATGTCTCTTATTGTGTCAAAAAGGCTCATTTTATATCATTTTCAACCAATTTCGAAACACTTTTTGTATAAAAATTATACTCAACACAGGACAACATAAATTATAACAAAAAAACGAGAAAAAAGCAAGAGTAAGAGATCAACAGAGACCTGAAGAGACGCTAGAGAAACTAAGGCGCTCTCGTTTCTCTGTTTCTCTTCAAAACACAAGTTTTCGGTCCATTTCTCTCAATTTTTGACAATTTTCTTCGCCTTACGATCCCATTTTTGCCACTCTTTTGAACCGTGACCTACAGTTTTGACCTACCTCTTGATCCTCGTCTAGAAGGCGTGAAGAATTTTTTTTTGGAATTCAAAAAGTTAAATCACCGGAAAAAGTAGATCTTTCTAAATATTCAAGGCTTCAAAAAAAATTCTGAAAATTGATTTCTAAAGCAAGTCAGAAATGTTGAGAAATTTAATTTTTAAAATTTCTATTTTTTATTTTCGTTTCAAGATATCGCAATTCCCGTATTTAAACATTTTTATATTAGAAAAAAAAGTATGATCAAACTTTACGATATTCCGATCATTTTTTTTTTCCAGTTTCTTTTCAAAAAAACACTTTTCTAACCCATAGATTTATTTTCGTAGAATAACATCGGAAAAAAGAAAGGGAAAAAATCTGAGACGAAGATAAAATGATGATATCGACTTGGAGTCAACAATTATACTCAATTAACGTTTTCATTCTGTCTAATGAGCTCCCTCCTTTTCGCCTGGTCGTGCCAGGTCCTCCGAAGTGAACCGATGCTCCAAAATCGTTTCGAAACCCGCTCGAATTCAAAAAAAGTACACATTTCAAGTAAAAACCGGAATGATAACGGAAAAAACCCCAAAAATAGAAATACAAGTAAATAAGAAAAATAAAACTATATGGTCCACGACCTGAAAAAATCTGTTCTTTGCGCTCTCTCGCTTTTTCTTGCTATTTTCTGATGCCTATGACCTCTCAAGTGAGGGAAAATAGAGCGCAGACAGGTCAGACTGTTTCATGTCGTGTCAAATGGAGTAACAGAAAAAGTTTCTCAATCATCGGGGAAAAAATCGCGGAGCCACGGCTTGGCCAAGTACCTTCAAAATCGAATTTTTAATTTATGTTATTTTTAAAGTTGTCGCATTTGGAATGGCTCAAGGCGTTGAGAAAAAAAAAGTCTTTTTCATAGTTCTTTCGCGCAAGCCGTTTTGAGTCGGACGCTCTAAAATAATGGTATCGATTTTGAGACGACAATTATATTTAATAAAACGGCAGTTTTACACTTTGTCTGAAGCTCTATCATTATTTCGCCTAGCTAAGTTCTCAAAAATCAGGCAAAAAGAGCCATTCCAGATGCAACCTTTGTTTCATTCGCAAAATAAGTTTACTTTTGCTTGAAAAATATAGAAAACCGACTTTTGCTTGTTATCATCGTAGTGCTCGAGGTAATTTTTCAGCAGAGGGTGGAAAATTCGGCCTTTGTCTCTAATCAGGTTTCCCTGGACCAGGTAGGCGATCTGAAAAAATTTTTTTTTTTATCAAAATTAAACTAAACTTTTAACAGCTTAATAAAGTCTGAAAACCTCACGAAACTTGAAAACTCGAAAAATAAGCCTCATAAAAAACGACTGTTTTTTATATACTAGTATGCCATTACTTTAGATTCTTCGATCTACCAAGTTTACCACATTTACTTTCTTTTTTCTTTTTTTTTCGGAAAAAAGCTAGTTTTTTCCGTCTTTTGTTCGATTCCATCTGCCTAAAACACCCAATAAATATTGATTGATGAAATATTGATACTAAGTTTTCAAAATTCTTTTCTTAAGACAAAACAAACCTGAGGCGTGGGTCTGTCCCTCACATCGATCAGTACAGCATAGTTGGGACTGTTGGACCATTCCTTAAATTCAAAAACAGTATTTTAAGATTTTTAAAGGAGCATAGGAAAAAAAAAGTAAAGGTCTCACGGGGAAAAGCCGTGTTTTGCGGTTCGACTTTGATTTTTGCTCAGTTTTTTTTTCGAACCAATGAGATTACCATCAGAAAACCAAAAAAAGATCAACTTTAAAAAAAATCTCTCAAAAAGTTTTTTTTTCAACTAAATTTCAATCTCTGAAAAAGTTGAGAAAGAAAGTTCTTTACTTCAAAGTTGCATAAATTTTAAATAACTAAAGAACCCCAAAGTGGTCCCTAGAGTGGCGAATAGATCAAACAGCCCATAGAGTGAGCAAAATAATGCTCGGGACTAGAACTTATGTGAGTCCTAAAGAGATTTAGGATCTTACTTCTAAGCCATTAAAGCTTAAGTAGTCCCTATAGTGGTCTCAATATTTTTTTTTATAAAGGGCCAAGCATGCTCCCCTGGAGTTTTCACTTTTGCAACCTTAGTGCCCCTATAGGGGTACGTAAGGCGGTCCCTAGAAAGGAACTTTCGAAGCCCTCTAAGCTCTCTAAGCACCACTTTTCCTGAGAAAGTCATAGCACAAAAACCGCCTTCGGTGTATGCCCAATTCCAGCCTACAATACTGATTCAAGTCTTTTCCTACCATTATTCACCTTATTTCCTTTGTGAACTTTCGTGATGAAATCCTGCGGAGCTCGGGCTTTCACGTCCCAACCGACAACAACACCACGAAAACCCATATGCTGCAAAATCGCAGAAAAATGGATGAGAACTGAGAAAAATTACATGTTTGACGATTTCGCCAACGCGAAATTCAACATGTGGGGCTCGATCGCGTAGGTATCGTCCTACTGAAAAAAAAATAACTTCGTTTCAAACGGTTTCGGACTTTTTTGAAGTGTACTGGGAACTTTATTTATTTTCTATTTTTTCCTTGAGGTATGGACGAAATATCGATTGGAATTATGCCTTCTGGTTGCAGCCTACTTATAAGAAAAACTATCCAGGGAATTAACTTCAATTAAAAGTATAAGAGATAATTTTTGGATTCAACTGGAATGACTAGGAGCGTCGCGACCGCGTTGTGGCTGGAAACAGCGTCCTTTAACGCTTTGCGATATCTCCTCGCGCAACTCGTTTCAGGTCCGACGCAACTATAAGCAATCAGAACCTGTTGATGGGAAGGGAAGAGGTTAGATCGTCAAAAAAGCCCTCTATAAAATATGGTCCAGAAGGAACTTTCTCAAACTCTTTAGGATATCTTCGCGCGCAACTTGTTCCCGGTCCAACGCAGCTAGAAGCGACCCTTAGAGCTGCTGATAAGAATGTCTAAAGAGCCATTTTTCTTTCCCTACATTTTCACTTATTTCCAAGATCGCGTCGCTCCGGGTTGACAGCTTCAAAGTGCGAGGTAGCCCCGGCAACCGCGACGCCAAGAGCCATTCCAAATGCGACTCACATCCATAAAAAGGCGTCGTGGCGACGTCCGTCTCCGTTTCCAAAGGAACAGCGTTGATGTCTTCTTCAGGCTCCACATAATCGATCTTCAACATCCTCGCCCGGTATTGCCTCCAGAAAGACTTCAAACTGTCGATGGCGCTGAAGAGTTTGAAGTCTAAACTTTCGACCAAAAAGAAATTGGACTTTTTTTTTATTCTACCGAAAAATCCTGAAAGTATAGAGGCTTTAGGATTAGAAAAGCCGGTGAATTTGAAAATAATGTTTTATTTATCTCACCAGGGGAGTATATAGGTAAAATGTATATAAGAAGTTATTCTGGAACCAAATTTAAAATCAAAAAAAGTAAAATTTTTTTTCAAGAAGACAAAAAAAGAGAAAGATTTCTTTTTTTAAACTGAGAGAAGATTTTAACTTTTTGAAATACTTGTTCAGGTCTCAAAAAACCTCATTTTCTCCATTGACATTTGAAAAAAAACAGACAAATTTTGGCAAATCACAAGGTAAGCGTTGAAAATTTCTTTATAAAAAGTATCAAGATTTCTTTTTCCATTTAATTTTCAGGTAAAACTAATTTTTTGATGAATGAAAATTAGCAACAGAGCGCATAAAATCGAAAAATCAAAGCGTATTTTTCCAGACTTCCTTTTTAAAAAAAAACGAGGAAAAAAAAAAAAAACCAGCGCAAAGCATGAAAAAAAATAACAGAAATGGACTACAAAATAGAACATTCTACGGTTCAAAATTTGCGATAAAAAATTTTTGTTTTGTCGAGAAGTTTTTCAACCAGAAAAAAAAAAAATGATAAATGATGTTTTTCATGAATAAATGAGAACAGATCGGACCTGTGCAAGTGATATTTGATATCAGAAGTAGATCTCGGCGACAAGTAGTACTGAGCCGGGACAATGGCCAGAAGCAGCACAAATACGGCATACGGCGGGATTTCCATGGGAAAAAATCAAGTCTGAAAAGCCGGAATCTCAAACTTCCCATTGATGAAATCAAATAGTTAACAAATAAGTAGAGTCTGTTGAAAAATTCAATTTTTTGATGAGACTGAAAGGTTCAGAATGGAGGGAAAAACCGTCTAAACTACAAAAATCGGCAATTTTATGTGAAAATCAATTCCGTAAAAGGGATACGAAATGGAAAAAGGCTCTCGAGAAAAGCTGAAATTTTGAAATTTTCATTAATTGAGTCAGAGAGTTAACAAGTATTTTAGAGTTTGTGGAAAAAATCCAGTTTTAGATACAAAACTTCTTGATTTCGCTGAAAATATTCAGTTGTTATGCTTATAAAAGTTCAGAAAAAACCGTTAGAATTTCAAAAAATAGGGCAGAGGTTCATGAAAAAATCATTTCTTGAAAAAAACGGGAATTTCAACTTACCAATAATGTAAAAGGAAAAGGTTCACATAGATTTTCGTGAGAAAAAGAAATCCAGAAAAAAAAACTGTGGGAAAAACTCGTGGGAAACATTCAGAAAAATTCGATTCAAAAGTCTTTCATTTTACCTAAAATTTCCTGTTTTTATGATTACAGGGGGTTCTGAACTAAAAAAAAACCATTAGAATCTCAATAAAAAAAAACAGCAGAAAAAGCACTTTCCGCGAATAACACGTCAGCATTGTGATGGCGAATGCACCGTCGTTTCATTTTCAAGCAAATTGTGAAAATTACAATGAAATCACTTTATATCGCACATAAAACCATCCCAAAAATGTACATTCACTAGGAAAAAAAATTCAAGAAAGAGAAAAATTAGATAAAAAGAAAACAAGGAGCAATTCGTCAAGGGAAAAGGCAGAATTGAGCGGAAAATGGGGAAAAAGACGGAAATAAGGTGAATTAACCGTTGAAGCTCTAGTTCATTCCTCATTAATTTAAGGCAATAGTGTTCAAAAAAGGAGAATTAGGCGTTTTTTTAAATAAATTTAGTGCTGATTGAAGTTGATTAAAAATTCCTTATTAAAGGCGCAGCAAGTGCATGTGAGCCTTATAAAGAATCAAGGCGTGTTTAGTGACAAGTGATCACTAAAGAGGACTTGATATCTCAAGTGATTCTGAATTTCTGAACTCCAAAAACTCATGCGAAATCATTGCCAATACTATTAAAGGAACATAGAAGAAGTGCCTGCTCCTTTAATAATGAAAATTCAAGAAGAGCAGAAGTTTCGAATGGGGCAAAGAAAATTGAATCACATGAAGTAAAGACGCTGAATCTGCTGAGCGGGGACCCATTGGTTGGTTTCGGGATCGCAGATAAGGTCGTCTTCGACTCTCAACGGCGCCAGGACGTTCTCGCCGCAGATCCGACCACTTGGAAGCATGAATGGGACGTTTTTCTCGTCACACAGTTGTCCGGAGATGCTGCACAAAATCCTGAAAAAAAACGGAGTGATTTTATGATTAACATAATCTTTCAGGGTTTAAATCACTTATAAGCATCTTCACAGCAGGAAAGTCTCGAAGAAAAGCTATTTAAAGAAATTTGAAAAGAAAAAAACAGGAAATTTTTCTAACCAACACTTGGGAGGAATTCTGAATATTAGCTCCAACATAAATTTCGATTCCAAGTTGAAAAAAACTTTTCTTTTTCTCGTTTAGTCGAGTTAAAACGCTTCAAATACTCTGAAAGAGATCTTTTTCTCCCATGAAATTTTATAATTATTACTTTAAGGCTTTATGACTCTAATAAGAAATGAAAGACGTGAAATTAATGTTTTTTTTATTACTGAGATTCGGGATCACTTCAAAGATTAGAATTCTTTCGAAAGTTCGAGGCTCGAAATTTTTTTCTGAATCTATAACAAAACATTGGAAATACATAGCTCCAAACCAAAAAAGGGAGCGGGTAAAGACTAAATGACAGAGGAAAAAACTCGGAACACATCCTCGAGTTTAGGTTTGCTTAATTTTTGATGGTCCTTCAAAAAGTTAATTGGAAAACGGACCTCGATTGAGAAACGTGTCCATTTGGAAGTCCCTCGGCGATCGGCCACGCATCTTTGTCGCACACGTAGCATTGGATCTGTAAAATCAAATTTATACAATTTCTTAAAAATTGATTTTTCAGAAATTATTGGCTTAAAACACATTCATCAATTTTTAGTAGATTTAAAATATTCAAATTAAACAAAGTTTAAGGCTTTTTTTAAGTTAAAATCAATAAATTACCACCTGAAAATAGAGGTCTTGCGGCGAACAGAGTTTTACAGTACTATTGTCCGCGTTGCTTCTTTGAATAAAATTTCAGTTATTTCAGCGAGGAAAACTTTATTTATTAATTCAAAGCATTATTGATTAAACCGCCAGAATTAGACAAAATCTCCTGAAAAGCGACGAACCTCCTTCTTGGAGCGGTCGTCCCTTCTACACAACGGCGTCTTGTGGGCAGCGAGGCCGCATTGGAGACACAAGGAGAAGGCCGATTGGAATGGCAGCTGGAAAGAAATCTCCAGTTGGTATCACTCATCACAGTCTTGCTGTTATAGGTTAACAACAAAACCAGAAAAAAGCAAGAATGGAAAAATTCGGATTAGAGTTTCATAAAGAGTGGTTGTATGCTCTATTGAGCACAATCAAAGGATCATGGTCTCACTTCTATGTTCTTTTAATAAGCATTGGCAATGATCTGGCATGAGTTTTATGGCGTTTTCGAAGTTTAGAAATCCAGAATCACTTGAATATATTAAGTATTCTTTAGTGATCACTTGTTTGATTTTCACATCACGCCATAACTCTTTATAAAGTTCACATAGGCTTGCTGCGCCTTTAATAAGGAATCCTTCATCGAATTAATTCACCCCTAACTTGATAAAAAAAATACCGATACGCCCAATTATCTTCTTTTGAACACTATTTCGTCAACTTCCAAGTCCCCTAGCGATACGAAAAAAACGGAAACTTTGCAATGCTTCAATTAAAGGCATAGGGGCAGTAAAAAACGGCGTTTCAGTTCAAAGCATTACTTTGTAGAGCTTTTCATTGCGAATCGAGCGGTAAACTTGAAAACGTACCGAACTTCCTAGTTTTGGAGAAAAAATAATTCAAAGTCGGAGAAAGGAAAGCTTGAGTTCCCGCGAAAAGGGCACTTTGCAGTAAAGTTGCTCTATGGACAACAGGCTTCGCCACTTTTCGCATTTTCGCTTTTTTCTTCGTTTCTTTCAATTTTCAATTTTTTTTTGTTGTCACCAAAGTTCTTTTCGTCACAAAAGCTTTCTATTCATGTATAATTTGCAAACTTTGGTCGCAAAAAAGCGTTTTTCGTGAAAAATGATGATTTTACACAGGTTTCGATTGGGATAGCATTATTTTGTATTTTCTTTATTATCGGTGTGTGTTTTTTGTTTGACTAAATGTTTTTTTCAGAGAAGAAATCCTTAATTTGAAGCAGAGAGCCGGTTATTTCTCACAAAATGCGAGTCTAATGAGACGTCCGCAACATCGCGTGCACAGCTACTGTAAACATTTGTCCGTAGGCCAATTCAAAAATTTTTTTCAAAAATAAAGGCGGGAAAGTAAAATCGCGTTTTTCTTCTAAAGTGGTCACATATTTAATTTTTTTGAGTACACCATTCGATTCGCAAAGAAAAACTATATAAGATACTGCTTTCACCTGAAACCCCATTTTTTACTGCCCCTATGCCTTTAATATCACCGGAATGTCCTTGAAAATTTTCACTATTAATACAAAGTCTTCAAACTCGTCCTATTTGAACAAACCAAGCTATTTCAATTAAAATATATGTTAAAAAAATGAAACTTTGATGAGAGAAATTGTGCTTCATTTTTTTTTTTATAGACTAACAACTCTATTTCAACGGTTATTGTTATAAAACCCATGCAGTTGTTCTGTGACAATTTTGACATAACCATTTTCGTTAAAACTTCATTCTATTTGAAGGATTGGTGAAAAGGTAACCTGATATAGCAAGAAGAGCTCTTCGACGAACATCCGACCGACTTTCTCCCATCTTACTGGACTGAACAGTTCGGCAAAGCGGTTGTTGTAGTCGGATAATCCGATGATTCCCATTATCTGCAAGAAATAATAATTTTCTTAGAAAAATCATTCGAAAATTCCAAAAATTCCAAACTTTTTTAAAGAAAAAAGTTCAATTTTCCGAAAATTTCTTAGAAATTTACTCCCGAAATTGTATTTGATTGACGTTTTTAGAATCTTAAACGAGCAGTATAGACAAATAAAATTACCAGTGCACAAACTGGTTTTTGCAAGCAATTCCTGACTATTTCTTTGTTTTTATATCTTTTTTTCAAATCGAAAATTTTGATATTACTTTAAAAAAATCAAATATTCTTATCAAAACTCTAATTTTTTTACTCGATTTTTTCAAAATGACTTTTTTTAAAAAAATAAAAAAACCTCTTCAACCGGCATAATTAGAACTCTTTTTGCAAACTAGTACTACATAGTTTTTCTCAGGTTTTTATTTTTACAAGTTATAAATTATATAAGTAAAGCCGATTCAAGCAGTTTTGAATATTTATTTTTATTCTGTCGAGCATTTTCTCTTGATTTTGGGAAAAAAGAACCGTTTGAAGTTCTTCCTGGCAGTCGGGCCGCATTTGGGGCGTGATATTGGCCCGGACGTACTTCAAAGCGTCGAGGATCTTCTTCTGCGACACCAAATCCACGACGTCCTGAAAAATCGATTTTTCAATGGGGTGTATGTTTACTGATTTCATATAACTTATATAACTTCCTATTACTCTTCTCTAAACCATGCAAATTTATATATTCTTTTTAATAAATATAAATATTGAAACGAACGACTTGTCTTAAATAATATAAATGATTATGCAGGCAATCACTGAACGATAACAGCGAATAGTAAAAAAACAGTAATGTATACTGAAGCGGGAAAGTCCGTTAAAAAACCTTCAAAACAGAAAAAAAATCCAAAATTTGTTAAGAAACTTGGAAAAATAGAACTAAAACATTTTTTTTTCGTTTTTCCAATGAATATGCACACCAGAAAATAACTTTTCATTATTTTTTCCCTCAATTCATATTTTCAGTCATTCTTTTCTGCAGTTCACATTTTTCCCGATATCGCTTCTGAAACTTTTGATTTTTGAATGAATCTCAAGACAAACCTGCTGCCGGACGAACATTTCCAGCTTGCTCTTCATCTTCTTCAGCTTTGGTCGATGCAATTCGATCCATTCGAGACAGAGACGCGTGTCTCCGCCCCGGAGGGAATCTTCGATCTTTTTGCAGTTCTCGAAGACGTCCAAGTCCACGATGTCCTTCATTTTGTACGACTGCAAAAAGAATAAAAAAATCAATTTATTTTTTTCAGCAGAATCTCTTATATTTTTGAAATTTTTCTCCTTTTTTTCTGAAAGTTTATCAGCTATTTTTCCTAAATAAAAACTCGATTTTTCCTTTTTAATCAAAATGAGACACGTCTTGCTGGAACCAGAAATTTATTGAGAAAAAAACACAAAATCTTCTATTTTTGGGCCGCAAAACTTGTATTTATTCTAATTTTCAAACTAACTACAATTGATAACTCCCCTAATCGGGCCCATTTATAATTAGGAACTCAAAAATTTTAAAAAGCGGCTTTTTGCAGCATGGTCTCAAAGAGAATTTCATAAGAAATTTTTCATAAACCCTTTTAAAAAACAAACTCATTATTAAAAGGCCTTTTTCTCTACTATAACGAACGGATAATGGCGTTTCTTGGAGAAAATCGATTTTCATCTTCTTTTTGATGATTCAACGAAACAGTAACCTCAGCCATTCTCTTCGCGGTCCCGAAATGGCCGCACCGCAACAAATACCAGATCGAGTAGCGAGCCACGCGATTTCGGTCATTCTTCCATTCGATCAGAGAAGTTGGACAATCGTCGGAGGGATCCTGCTGCAAACTCACTTCTCTGTTTCAGAAAAAGGTCAAAAGTAGCGAAACCAAAATAAACGGCTGGTCGAGGATGAAAACTTTTCAATGGTTGATACATTTAAAATAAATCTCATGAAAGTAAGATTTACTAAAAAAATAATAGTTTTTTTGTCGAGTATTTGGAGTAGACCAGGAAAAAATTTTTTTTGAAAGAATAAATAATAAATTTTTCAATCAAGTGCGAATTTTTGGGACCTAGAAAAAAATTTTTAAAAAAATTTCTTTCAAGTTCGAAAAAAATTGCAAAAAGTTCTTTGAAGCTCTTTTTTTCTTACTTTTTTTCGCCTTTAATCCTTTTTTTCTAAAAAAACCTTTAAATTGAATAATACAGAAGAGCACTTAATATTTTTTTCAAACCCCGTCTTTTTCAAAAAAACTTCCGTTTTTTTAAATTCAACTTGCATATTTTTTTGAACCGAATTTAATATTTTTTTCAAATGAGGTTAATGGTTGTGTGATCCTTTCCAAAACAGTTTTCGATTTAAAACAGAATCTATATTTCATTTCGTCAATTCCTGCCATTTCCCAACAAATTACCTGTTCATCCATGTAGGCGATACGGGCCTGAAGCCGTTCAGCGAGTTCGATTTCGTTTCCGACCGTTTCCGACAACGCGTTTTCCAGCTCTTCAACTTGAGAACACAGATTTTTGTATGCGCCTTTGACCTGAAGAATTTTTATATGGTTCTTGAAATGGGCATACATTTTTTTATTTTTTTAAAAAAACATCGGCAACTTGAACCATGTTCAAAGATCTTTTTGAGGTGCAAAAATAATTTTGAAATCAATGAAAAGCGTAGGGCATGAAATTCTAATAACTATGAAGAAAAAGTGTTATTCAGCTTTGAAGGATTTATATAAAAAAATTATTTTAAAGATATTTCTGATGTTGGATACCTTTTCAACGGGAATCGCATCTTGAGCATCGCCGATACGACGTTCCAGTGCTGTTGCGAATCGTTTTATCGCCATTCCCGCCATTTCCATCCTCTGGAACCGCTTTTTCTTTATTACTTCGATGAATATGGACATTAGGGAGCCATAGAAGATCGATTTTAGTTGAAACAAATTCTTTAAAAATAAATTTCCGAAACGGTGATGATAGTTAGAAAATAGTGAATTGATCTTTTTTATACCGAAGGATGAAGTTCAAATGCCATTTCTATTCTCTAAAACGGCTTTTCTCCAACAAAATCAATAGAATAATTAATATTAGGAGAACTCATTCTCAAGCAAAACAGACGGCATTCCTTTTTCTAGAATCAAAATAATTTCCCGAAACGGTAATAATAGCTAGTGAGAAGTCAATGTTTTTCATTCTAAATAAACCCGTTTTAGGCCTAATTATCTTTTTTTGGAACCAACCTTTTGCCCTTGACGAAATTTGCAGTTGAGCTCCTCATATGGAACCCGGAAAGTGGGATATTCGAGGGCGCTCGTTTCATTGATAGTCGAGATTTCTTTTTCCAATGACATGATTAATTAGGATTCTATTAATGAATCGTAAAATAAATATTAAGGAAGAAAGTTCGATAGAATTACAACAAGAAAAGTAAAAAGAAGAGGTACAAGGAATAAAAAAAGGTTTATCCAAGGATCAACTTGAACACAATGACGACAATGTTGATCGCGATCAAGGGCACTGAAAAATAATAATTTTTTCCCAAGTTGAAAAATAAAAATCCCGAGGATCCTTGTGAACTATTAAAGGAGCAGAGCCTGATTGAATAAAGATTTCGACGCGAAAAATCATCTTAAGTATTATTTTTTGACGTTTTGGAACATTCTTACGTCTTTACAGTGAAATGTTCAGTTTTAAAATATAAAATGTTTCAAAATGCGGAGAATTTAAGGATTTTGAAGCTTATGGTTAGAAGAATATAAGCGTTGAAAAATAGAAGATTTATTGAGTTTTCGGAAACATTTCAATTCGAAAATTTTTCTCAAATCAAGTTTTCATATCTAATTCAATTTGTTTAGGTTATGATCTCAAAAAAAGTTCGAGAGAAAATGTAGAAAATGAGTAAAAATGGGACAATTTGATAAATTCTTAAAATAAAAAAAAAATAGAAAAATAAACTATTCTAAGTGTAGCTCCACCAAAAAAACCACAAAATAATAAGTATAGAACCACTAAAAAAACTAAAAAAAATGATAGTTAGTTTAAAAATTTGAAAACCACAAAAGTAGCCGGAGCGTCAAAAAAGGCAACTAATTCGAACGGTAATTTTTTGGAAACTTCGGCCGTATTTTCCATTTCTAAAATGCGACCTTCTAATTAGAACGTTAACTTTTCTTTCTTTTTTTTCTCGACAATTATTTTGTTTAAGTTTCGCGAGTGCCCAAAAAGCTATTAAAACGCCCATATTTTCTTTTATTCACAGCCTGATGCCGTAGAACAACTTAGCAAGGATTTTCGGGCAACCAATTATGTTTCTGAATGAAGGGAAACTGACTGCGCATAACCGTCTGAACGGCGAAAATCAGAGAAACGAGTTGGTCCTTTACCGAATTATTCCCTTCGAATGAATGGCTCGGCGCCCCAAGGCCGTACTGAAATCAGAGGAAATAATTAATCTTTTTCATTTCTATTTTTTCGAGGGGAAAATTATTAAATTTTTCTTCAACAAAATTTTGAAGCGGCTGTAGAAAAAAATTTAATCAAATGAGCAAAACTGAAGTTTTTGAGCCGCAAATTTTTATTTCTCTGTTTTTTTCCGTACTATCCTTCAAACTTTTTTTATGACATTTATAATAACATAATAACAAGAGCTCACTATGAATTTTTTTCGAAAAAAACATTTTTCCAAATCGGCAAAAAGATAACTTTTACCAGAAAAAAAGCTGATTTACCAATTTTTGGTTAGAAAAAAATTCAAGTTTCTAATTAATTTTTGTATGAAAAAAACAGAAAAAAAGTACCTTTTTTTCAAAAAAAGCTGACTCTGAAGTTTTTCCATATTTTTACGAAGCAAATGAAGATAAGTTTTTAAAAAAAAGCTAATAAATCAATTTTTGATTTGAAAAATCAGCTTTTTTTCTTGTTGTTTACATACTACTCTTGTTCGTTTCACCTTGAAAAACATGGGAAACTTAGTCTTTTCTATAGAAAACATGATAAAAGAGGACCTTTTTCAAGAAGCGTTCCCTATGAAGGATGGCGATTCCGTTGAGGACGAGAAGGGCAGCCTCGAGAAGTCCGTAGAAAGACAAAGCCATAGACTTTCGAGCAGAAACCCTTTCAACTCTTCTTTTTTCGAAAATACAAAGTTCTGAAAAAATATTCAAAGGTCTGTGAAAGCCTTTTTGAAACGAAAAAAAATCGAAAAATGTATTGCAAAAAGTTTAAAGCAAAAATAAGGCATTGCACATCAAGACTAGAAATTCGAATAAATACACGTTTCGATAACAAAAAAATGCAGGAATATATTGATAGGCACAACGAAAAATGAGCGAAGAATGTGAGTTCCAATAATACAGACACTTGGGGAAAATATAATCTCTAATCAGGGTAAATTTCTGGGAATTAACGAATCGGCAGCAATTATTATTAACAAGTTGAGCAATTAACAGGGAAGGGTTTTGAAAATGATATTCTTAAAATAAAAACAATGAAATCGAAACATAGAAAATTAAAAAAATAACCAATTTTTTTCTTCAGGTGTTCTTGAGAAACCTCTTAAGTGGCCACTCAAGTTTTTTCCCGGGAGTGTAAAATTCAAAATTTTAGCAATCGTTTTCTTACAAACGCGCGAAGATTTTTGTGGAGGCCGAGTTGCCACTAAAGGGAAAAGACTCCAGAGAAAAAGATCAAGTGGCCACTTTAGAAAGGAAATCCTAAAGCCTAATTTCAGTGAAGTTGTTTATTTGATACTTACAAGGGAAACGTAAAATTAAAATTTTTCAGAATTTGTTGAAACTTGGGTAAGAAGCCCCTAAAGTTCTTTTTCAAACAATTTTTCAAATTTCAAGGTGAAGAAATTTTTCAATTTTTCTTGGCTTCAACGACGCCAAATCCCTCTTTTTTTCCAAACAAAAAAATATAGAGTAAAAATTTGAGGCTTTTTAATCAAAATTTAAATAAAATCACGTTCTTTTATCAAACTTTCAAAATTATCCGTTTAAAATTACCTTTCAAGCATTTTTGAGCATACTTCAGCGACCTATGTTTTCACAAAGAAACAAAAAAAAACGCGAAAAAAGAGAAGAAGAGGAAATCAGAAAGAAGGGACAACGGCATGGGAACCGGCGGGGGTCGGCTGCCCGACGGCGGCCCGGGAAGCTCTCCGGGCGCGGACCCTGCACGCGATGCACCCCGTGCGGCCTGCCATACAAATGTCGTGGTACACGTGACCTGCAAACGCGCAGAAATCCGTACTTCGCTCCAAATATCTCGTCTTGTTTTGTTTAATGGAGCAGACCAGACTAGTCTTAAGATAAAATTTGTTTTTTTCCTATTTTTCAAGCCAAGGTCATTTATTTTTAGTTGATGAGAAAGTTTGAACCAAAAACAAACGGAATTTATATTGAACTGAAAACGTACTTTCGCAAAACACGGGCAAAGTCCAGAAGGACCATAAAAGGACCTTTGGAAAATAGCTTCAAAGACTATTTTTTTCTTGATCTTCTTTTTAAAAAGGACTTTTGTTGAGTATGTAGAAATGAAGGAATAAGAAATAGATAATAAAAGGGGAAAAAGGAGATTCCGAGAACCGTTTGACACCATTTTAGGAACTAAAAGAGAGCTCTAGACTTAATTTTTAAGGCCTTAAAAGGGGACTTCGCCTGTGAAATATGAATTTCAATCATGATCTGACTTTCCAACAATTTTCATGTGAACAACCTCCTCAAATTCTTGCTTTTGAGAATGGGATAAAAATCGATAAACCCCTTCTGACGATAATTAATGAGGGCTCTTGAGGAATATCAATTAGCATGCGGAAAGGAGAGATTTAGACATCTCTGTAGTTCCTTTTTTACAAACTAGCGGTGAACGAAGTGTGTAAAAAGAAGGAATTTTTTAAAGATTATTATGAGGCGGGAATATAAATTTTAAAATTTTCAAGTTCACAATTAAAGTTTGACATTTTTATTTCGCTCTCTTTTGGTTTATTTTTTTTACTTTTTTTTTAAACTTTTTTAAAACTTTTTTTAAAGCTTTTTTTTTTAGAAAAGGAGAGTTTGAAGTTTCTTCTCCAGCTGGAAGACGTCAACCGGGACGAGATACGTTTCACGCCGACGGTATTTATTCCTTCTTTCTCTCGCAAAACGATTAGTCCTCTTGGTCTCCCATCTTATAAATTCTACATTTCTTAGCCATTGGAGATTTAAGAAATATGAAGGGTTTTTCAAAAAAATTCCTATTTTTCTTTGCACAAGACTAAAGATTACTTTTTGAAAAAGAAGTCGCGGACATCAGGAATCGTTTTTCTGATTTCCCTAACTAAGGAACGGTTTTTAGCCCTTGGTTGAACTTTAGCTGAAACTTTGCTGAAGTGTACTTTAGGACCTCCTGATTTCAGAACGAAAAGAAAAATTCTCGCAATAGATCTCGTTTTCGAGTTAGGACACTTCAAAAAGCTCGAAATAGCTCTTTTTTTGGTCTAATTTTTTTATTTTTTTCACACTTTGAAGCTCGGAAACGAGAGAGGGGGTTAAAACGCTCCCTGGTTAGTAAAAAGCTTCATCTCTTTTAATAGAAATTCCACATATTTCAAAAATTTTTTTCTTCTCAGTTTCTTCCACTGAATTTCTTCGAGCTATAGAGCCCTTGCATAGGCACGCCTCTCTCTGTGCATGCTCCTTTTTTTACCCTAAAATTTCCGTTTATATCAAAGGCGCATACACAGAGGAAAGTCTGGCGTCACGAAAAGAAGCTTCCCAGAAGGGTACCGTAGCTCGGACTAAAATAAAAGTCGCGAAAAGCTGGCAATGAATGGACTATATCTGATCGGAAACATCCAAACCCACCACACATGAAGGCGGCCACGCCGGAGTCCTTTCCACCAACCACAGTTTTGATGGGAAGCGTACAGATGGGACATTTCCTGCAGCGAAAAAACCGTAAGTTACAGTTTCCGTGTCACTTCAAACCCGTTCGCATCGACGATCCAACTTTGCATCGCCGAGATGTGCGGATTTCGTAGCATCGGGGCTCGCGGCGTTTTTGGCTCTTCACTGCTGGCAACCACCCAATCAGCCGCTCCTTCTTCTTTCAAAACGTTCATCATCGCCTTAATTGTAATATATATTTATTAAACCATATGGTGATAAGATTAAATGCTCAGGAGGGCCAGAGTGGTCACTAGAGGGGCAAACTTAGGGCTTTTGTAGGTTCCCCCCAAGAGACCACCTTTTTTCCCACTACAGGGGGCATCAAGCTTGCAAAAGTGGCCACTCTAGGAGAGCATACTAGCGGTCCCTATATGTCTTTTTAAGGAGGAAAAATTAAGATCCCTATAGAAACCACTAAAGCTATAGGGGCTGAGGAGTCAGACCCTATAGGAAACTATCTAAACCTTAGCTCTTTAGGGAGCTCTAATTTGTCCCCTTTAATCAAGAAACAAACTTTTTGTTATTTTTCTAACAACTTGAACCCTTTCTCTCATTTTTCACCTTGGCAGTGATCGGATTCCTTCTCAGGGTCTGTTCCCGGCAACACATGGCCACGAGAAAGGCCCAATCAATCGATTTCATCCTTTTCCCGACCGCCGCCTCGTTTTTCCTAACAATCCCCAGAACTTCCTTCGAGCCGAGCACAACCGACGCCAAGGCTAATATCTCAAAACGGGACAAAGTTATCGATTTTCTGGGGAATTCCCGAGTACCACATGGAGTTCAACAGCGCATATCCACTTCCAAGCCGTCGATTGCCCGAAATTCGACTCGATTTCAACGGAAATCGCGTCGTTTGAGCGATTCCCATTGGTCGTGGAACGTTCCGTCGAATTTTTTTCAATACGTTTTTCACCTAAAAAGGAAAAAAATTAATAAATTTTAGTAAAGTTCCACATTTAACTCAATTTTTGCGATCATTAGAAAACATACTTCTAAATTTTTGAAAAGTAATGTTTAAGTTTTCTAAACTTTTTACCTGCAGAAGCTGGGCGAGAAGATTCCCTCGGATGCGGACAAATGATTAAATCGAGCCGATCTTCCGAAATATTCGTACAACGTTCATGGATCTGAAAAAGAAAGATCGAAAATTTGAAGAGAAAAGAAATTTCTGCGATTTCGAAAAGCATCGTTTGAAACCAACCTTATCAATATTAGGACGAGTTCCTTCCGGAACAAAAGCCGATTTTCGAGTGCCTTAAATTATTAAGATCAGTTTTTCGTGTAAAAAACAAGCCTCTACTTCTCAATAAAAAATAATTCTGAACAGATTTTTCCACTCAAAACCCACCAGCGATCCTGGAAATGCCACCGACGGTCATTTCACAACGAGGGCAGATTTCGCGCAAATCGACCGGATTTTCGCGATACGCGACGTGTTTCAGGATTTTGGTCCAGTCATCGACCGTCGAAGGAACTCCGCCATCGCCGAAATCGTCTTTGATAATCACCGCGCGGGTGCAGAAAGTACTGAGAAGAGCCAGGGCCGTCCAACTTCTGAATATTTTATTGAAATCAGCTTTTGAAACTAAATACACCGAAAAAGAAACGGTAACTTTCTCAATGAACGATACTGTTCGTAATTCAAAGCAAACCTGTGCATTCCGCAGCTGCGGCAATGAGCTTTAGAAACGATTGGATAGTCCAGCGTCGGCGTGACTTCTTCATCGATCGATCTTTACAAAAATGAAATTAATTGATATGTTTATATGAAAAAAATATTTCTACATTCTCATCATCGGAAGACCATTTTCTAATACCGCAAACCTTACATCCGAACTTTCCTAAACTAAAGTTTTCCTGAGATTGGAAATTCTTTTTTTTTCTTCAGAAAAGCTTTTTAAGAGAACTCTTATGTTCATAGCCTTTTCAAAAACAAAAACTCCTCAGCAATCTTAATAAAAATATTGTGATTAGTATTTGTTTCCTTTATGAAAAAAATTCTAAAATTCGCAGAATACTATCAATGGTTTTTTTCTAAAATCATTTCTATAATATCTTCATGTTTTTCTTTGTAAAAAACGAACAATTCCTCAGCAATGGTAGTATCCCGACTGGGGGAGGAGGTTTCTGTAGCCAAAGTGCAGCCCGTGTCCGACTGTTTCAAAGTTCCCGTTTCTTCTTCGTCATTTCTTTCTAAAAACTAGACATTTTTTTATTTTTTTGATGAAATTAATATCAAGTTATCGGATCTTATTTCGAATGCATACGGGAATCAGGCCACTTTTTAACAGGGATGTCATAGCGCGACTTTTTTTGACTTTTTTTATTCATGAAAATTCAAATCCAAGGGTATTTTTTTCATTTTTACATCTTTGATTTCTTTTTCTTTTTTTCGTGATTTTTCATATTCTTTGTCAAATTTCACAAAACTGACCCCTGGAAATTTGAGAAAGCCTCAAATCGAGCCACATTTCATCGCGTAATCTTCTCGTTTCATCGTCTTCTTCAAGGAAACCGTCATGACCGATTATTTCTGGAATCCAATCTTTTCCGGCAGCCGAAAAGGGTTGCAAAAAAAAAAAAAACAAAAATTGATGCGCATTTCCTTTCCGAAAAAAAGGAGAAGTTATCTCACTTAAAACCGTCAAAGAGTGGAAAAAAATAGCTTCTTTTTAAGAGATTCAGAGATCTTTTTCGAATTTAAAGTTTATCAATTTCAACAAAGCATAAAAAAATCAAGCAAAAAAACTTTTCATTGAAATATTTTCGGATATAAGCTGTTTCAACGACAAATCATGCCACTTAAAAGATCACTCTGTATTTTACTACTTCGTGAAAAAACCCTTCGAGCAATTTTCGAAAGAAAGTTCAGAAAAATGTTCTCTGATACCAAGAAAAAATCCCTGACTTTGCAAAATACTTTTTTTTTGAAAATAAACCTCTCGTGTTGTGCAGAACGTTATTGGAACCGTCTCGGACGCTGGGAAGGACGATATTTTGATTGTCTTTGTCCTTGGCAGCGTTGAGAGGAGCACGGGGCTGAAAATAATGGTTTTACTCGAAAATTGTCTCATCAAAATGTTTCTGGAAGAAAGAACCAAATGAATCACAACTTTAATGAATGCGAAAAAAATTCAAACGATAGTATTGAAAGTAATTGCCTTAATAAATCCTTTTAGCACATTTTTTTCAAATTTTGGTGGATAAAAAAAATGACCCTAACGCCCGGCTGAACAACTTTGACGATTCGGGCGCGTTTTCCAATTTCGGGACGATTCGAATTGGGTTTTTCGGCGAGTTTTTCGCCGCCCCGGGTGGCATCTTCGAAGATTGTCGACACATCGATCGGGCCGGTCATCGCCAGTTCGGCCAGGGCTTTGGCCGCGTTTCCGATCGTCACCTGGAAGGATTCTCTCAAGGTTTTGAACACGGGAATATCGAAATTAGAAAAACAAAACATTCTCCGGTGACACGAAAAAATCCCCGACTTCTTTTTCAAAAAGTAATCTTTAGTCTTGTGCAAAGAAAAATAGGAACTTTTTGAAAACCCTTCATATTTCTCAAATCTCCAATGGCTAAGAAGGGTAGAATTTATAAGATGGGAGACCAAGAGGACTAATCGTTTTGCGAGATAAAGAAGGAATAAATACCGTCGGCGTGAAACGTATCTCGTCCCGGTTGACGTCTTCCAGCTGGAGAAGAAACTTCAAACTTTCCTTTTCAACCAACTTTCCGTCGGATTCCTGTAATTTTCATTCAAATCGTTTTTTTTTTCGGGTAGTTTACCCCTGCCAAAAACCATAATAATTTTCGCTTTGAGACCCGTTTTTTTTCCGCGACATACCAAAATCTGGCGGGCTCTGTGGAGGATATCCTCTTCGACGACGTCAGGAGTTCCGTTTTTGGCAAAACAAAGTTCCAATTTATTTTTTCGCAACTTTCCTGAGTACAAAAGTTGCTTCGAATCACCTATTATCGTGAAAACGTTTTCTACCCAATTAAAACCTCGCGTTTCTACATTATGACAACGCAGAAAGGCGGATGATGTGGATAGTCCATTTCCCGGCAGCTTGTCACAATTTTATTTTCCTACAGAATCCTGCGCTTCGGAACGCACAGCATGTCTCTGTGTATCAGGGTTGCGCGGAAGTGAAACATTTTAAAAAGGAAGAAGGAAGACGGGTTACGGAACAAAACTATGATTTAAGGAAGGAAGACGGAACACGGGTTAAGGAAGAGAAACTTATGCGGAAGACGGGTAACGGAATTCCGTGCAACCCTGCTGTGTATGCGCCTTTTTTTTCAGAAAAATGGGGGAAAATTATTTTCCACTTTATTGCATATGGGCTCGGGTAGTTTACCCCTGCCAAAAACCATAATAATTTTCGCTTTGAGACCCGTTTTTTTTCCGCGACATACCAAAATCTGGCGGGCTCTGTGGAGGATGTCCTCTTCGACGACGTCAGGAGTTCCGTTTTTGGTAGATTCTCTGGCCTCGACGATGGTCAAGGGAATCGAAGCGCGTTTGATCATTGGAGAGTCGGGAGAAACGAGATTTCTGTGAAAAAATACAGATTGGAAATTGAACTAAAATTGATAAATCGGCGTTAATTTCGTACAAAAAGGGGGGATTTCTGATCTTGGATCAAACTTCAAAGATAAAACCAGAATCGACACTTTTTTTCATCTTTTTTAATCACCTTTGATCGTCAGAACAGGCTCCCGGACTACTCCGACTTCTCTCCCGCAGAAGATTCGGCGCATTGAACGTGAAATCGTCTTCATAGCCACTTTCGTGGACCGTGTTCAGCACCTGCATAGTTATTATTACTATTAACATTGTTTTTTTAATAACCTTATGGACACCAGAAGACAATTTTTGAGAAGTTGGAGGGGGTGGTGAAGGCTCCGAAACTGAAAAAATCGATAAAAATACATAGAAATAACCAGGATCGAACCATTCTTATCCAAGTTGTCATACTCCGACCGTTTCATATTCTTTTCATCATTTTCGGCCAACAATTTCGAGAGGCCAGCTTGTAATCGTTCGGTTTCTTTCTGGAAAAAAAAAAATAGAAATCTGAGAAAATATTACAAGATTTTTTTAGAGGTGTTTTCAAATTACTCCTCGATTTTACTAAATTAAAATATTGAAAAAAAAAGCTAATAAAACGCTTATACGTCTTGAAAAAAAGCACCAATGAATGGATTACATTGAAAAAAATCGAGAGAAGATGTATTTTTAAAAACAAACGAAAAAAACTTTCAACCCTTTTTTTAAATTTTGATCAAAAAAATCTATCTAGATTTTTTTCTTTAAAGTTTCACGAAAAAAATTCTCTTGAAAATGTCCCTCAAAAGACAACTTTTTCAAACCTTTTTTTGCTCAGAGAGGCCAGTCCCTCGCAGGTTTTCACAATCGCTTCCTGTTGAAAACTTGTCCCCGGCGAACAAAACATCATAAATTGAGCACACTGTAATTTTTGACAATTCAAAAATTGATCCATCAAGTTGACGGAAACGCTAAAAGAGACCAAAAGGTCAAACTAATAGCAAAAAAAAATATTTGTTGGTAAAAAGGTCAATTTGGTGTTTTAAAGAGAAAAATTCGAAAAAGGTGTTTGATTTCCGGTTTTTACCTGACAAAAATCTTCAGTTACGAAAATAATTTTTCTTTTTTTTCTCATATTTTTTTAAAATAGGTATCAATCTAAATCTTAGGAGAAAACTATTATTATTAATTTTTTTGAGGTCATGAATTGAATGTAAAAGTTTTTAAAATTTAGAAAATAGGCAAAAAAAGTGAAATGAAAAAAAACACGGAAAGGTAATATTTTCATAACGATTATTCATTCTATTATTGAAATCACTCAAAAACGTGTGAAATAAGAACAGAAACTTCTGAAACCTGGACGAACAACGACTTGAAATGCATCTTCTCAACCGCTTTGCTCCGATCGAAAAGACTGAATTTCCTCAAGCCGATCGAGCCCGAGAAAAGGATGAAAATGTCATTGGCCGACGTACAGACGTCCAATATTTCTGAAGTAAATTGAGGTTGAATTTTCGGTCAGAAGTCATCAAATTAGTTCCCAAAAAAGACCTCTTCAACTCTTTTTTCGACTTTTGTAACATTTTCAAGACGATGCAAAAGTTTTGAAATAAAGGCTAAAAAACGCTTCAAGAAAAAAATACATTGAAAAAAACGATAAAAAAATTATTCAAAAAGAATCTTTTTTTAACACTTTTTTTGATTTTTTTCATGTCATTGAGAGGTCTCTCTGATTTTTTTCGTTGAACAGATGAACAAAAAAAGATGAATTTACCTGAATCGAGTTCACTAACGATAACGATCCGCGAAGTTTCCGGATCGACTATCAAAATACGGCTTCCGAATGCGCTGACAATGTAGGTGTGGCTAGAAAAACACGATTTAAAGTGGAAAAAATGACGATATTTCGTGAAAAATATTTTTCAAAAAAGATGTGCTACCTCAAAATTAATGACTTTAGAGAAAATTTTGATACAAAAAAACCAAAACTCGAAAAACTTCAAGAAAAAGGTTTACTGAAATTTTCAACTTTTTAAATTCAAATTTTTTTGAAAAAAATTAAGAGTCGAGCTAATATTTTTTTGAACGATAAATTTAAAAAAAGAGTATATATTTATAACAGGAAAAAAAGCTCAAAATTTATGAAAAAAATCACCTTTTTTTGTGGAGTTTCTAAAAACCTAACTAAATATTATTCTGAATGAAAAATTCTACAAGAAGGAATATTTTTTTCAGAACCTTATATGATAAATGAATGATGTTGATCACCTTCAATTTCAAGTAAGGTGAAATGAAATTTTCAAACTTCTGTAAAAGAAAAAGAGCCATTCGCTAAACAAACCCCGAAATTCCCCAATTTTCAGTTTTTTTGAAACGATTTTTCGAAACAAACCTCTCGATGACAATCTTGCGGAGGACGTTGAAAAGGACGTCCTGATTTTCCGGATGAATTCCTTCGAATTCCGAATTTGACAAGGGGAAAGAGCCGCGAAACGATATTGGCGGCGCTCTTGGGACACATTTGTTTTGTCGGAATTGATGGGTTCTTAAAAAACTCGTTTATTCTCGTTGAATGTCAAAATCTTCCTTTTAAAGTAGAAAAATTACAAACTTCGGTCAAAATATATTTAATTGCATATTGCACAAGCCGCAGAAGGCAAAACGTCACAAATTTGACTTTTTTTCTTTATACTTTTCGATGGTTACGATTACTTTTTTTCTAACTTGCTTTTTATTTTTTGTTCTTGCTTGTTTCTCATGAGCTCTTTTTTCGAATTTTCTAGATCAAACTATTTTCAAACAAACCTATAAACGACGCCGACCAAATTCGCCTCCCAGAGTCGTCCATTGGGTCTCGCCGCGACGACATATTCACAGTTTGGGGTTTCGTCAGCCCCGATTTGTCTCACGAAGCAGGCTCCCAGGTGGCTGGACCCTGTCCGGGGCTTTTTGCCGACCTGGAAGGTTCAAAAAAACTTTTTTTGAAGAGTGGATATTATGGTTATCAAAGTGTAAAATGACGATTAATATTTTTTAACTATAGAAGATTTCTATGAAAAAAATTCAGATAGTAAAAAGCTTGTTATTTGTTCTAAAAAAAAGATTAAAGGAAATTTAGAAGAAAAAATGAACGAAATCAGAAGAAATATGGAAAAAAGGGCTTCTAGAAAGATCAAAAAAAAATTTCAAAATAGATTTTTACTCGTTTTTTTCAGCAGTTTTTCAGCTTTTTCAGACTTTTTTCTTCAAATTTTCACCTGTTGAAAAGTTCCACCACTGTCCAAATGATACAGATATGCGGCAAAAGTTGTCGCGACCAATAATTGTTGGCCAGAAACGTCTAACTGAACGACTTCGCCTTCGAAAGACGTCAGCTTCTCGTTGGCCGCTCGGAAAACTGAGCGATTCTGGAAAAATTGCTTCAAAAAAGCTTCAAATGACAGTTTTGGACTAGAAAAATGGTATCAAAATTTGACAAGAGGCAGAGTTTCAGATTTTAATTATTTCAAAACACGCTCTGCCGAACAAGGAACGTTTTTTTTTCAGAAATATTGAACCTCTGTTCAAAAATTATGAACCTCATAAGATTGAAAAAAAAGCCAAACCCGAAAAGATCTAAAAAATGTTTTTCTTTTCTTCTTGACTTTTGGAGGGAAAGAGGAACTTTCGACTTCTTTTTAGGTACTCAAAAAGAAGCCAGCAACTATTTTCTCCTTTTTGAGGCCGTTGAGACTATGTCTATGGCAGAAAAATTCATGAATTACCAAAAAAAAAATGTGTCAAGATTGTATTTCTCTATCTTTCTTCATACAATGAAATTTAATATCTTTCTAGAAATGAAAGAAAGAAAATACTAACCCCTAACCGATGAACATGTACCAAGCCGCTGGAATGCCCAGAAAAAACTTGCTTCAAATTAGAAGACCAAGCGAGTGACGTCACCTGAACGAGGGTTTCTCTTCTTGAGAGATTCCTTAACCGACCTTGTCCGGCTTGCGCGCGTCGCCAGGGACCGTGTAGACGAGAGTCGGCGGCATGGCCGTGTGCAGCTGCGCCACGGTCACTCTTCCCGTGTCGCCGCCGATCGCCAGCATTTCCTCGCCGGGACTCACGGCCAACTGAGAGATCCCAACTTTTCCAGGCAAGAAAATGGTGTATGCATTTACCCCGTTACACACAGACAACATCGCAAGCGATATAGCAAATTATCTTGCTGCGACATCGTCAAACATTTAATATTCAAAACAAAATTTTTGTTCTATCGTTGACTTTCCAAATGAAACAATTCAAAGTAAAGAAAAAAAAAAGTTTTTGAAAGAAATTTTTTGAGGAGCGACATAGCGCAAGACGTTGGCGATATCGCTCGCGACATAGTTTATAGTATTCGGGTCCTTTTTCTCCCATATCACTCCTTTTTTTTTGAACCAACCATATTAACCGGACCATCCTTGGTGGTGAAAACTTGTACAGGAATCGAGGAACTGGTTCTGGACCGATTTCTGGCCGCATAACGCGAAAAAACATAAACAGTTCCTGTGGAAGTGCCAAGGATCAAGTTTCTCGAAGAGCTGGCCACACACGTGTACTGAAAACCATGTTATTGGTGACTTATTCAATGATTTTTCGATGATTTGGATCACAGATCAGCAAATTTTCTGATTTCTATATAACATCTCAATACATTCTTTCCGATTTTCATTAAATTGTTGGAACTTCCAAAGTGGTCACTAGAGGGGCCAGCTCAGGTTCCCCACTAAGATCCACCTTACCTTTCCCTACAGGGGGCGCAAACGCTTGCATAAGTGGCCCCTTTAGGGGAGCGTGCTAGTAGTTCCTATACGTATTTATAAAACATCTTTTTTTCAAACCTTAAGAAAAAAGAAAGCCCAATATAGGGGCCACCTGTTCTTCAGGAGCTCAGGTGTCAGACCTCAAACTCCTATGGGGATCCTTTCAATATTAGCCCTCTAGGGAGTTCTTTTTTTTTGTCCTCTGTAGGGGCTGCTTTTTTTCCCTAACCTCGCTAGGGACCATCCGAGCAAAAACCCCGAAAAGTTCAAAGAAAATGAGAAAGTTCTGAAAACTACTTTTTTTCAGCAACAACTTTCTTTGGTTAATTGAAATAATTTCATAAAATTAATGATTAAAAAAAGAAATAGTGCTTTAATAATAAATACGCAAAAGAAAGAGGAAAAATCAATGGAAAACCCATGGCAAATCTAGTAGATATTTTCCTAGCAATAAGCAAAAAAAATCTGAAAATACGCTTATCTTCACTTCCTTTCACCGATTTCTTACCTTTAATCTTTTGGAAGAACTTGTGGGAAAGGTGAGTTCCTCCAGGGATGTCAACTCGACTAGAATGTGTGTTGGAACGCAATCTTGGCTGTAAAACGGACTTCAAAGGGTTCAAAATACTAAAAAATTTGAAAAATCGTCTTGAAATACACAAAAAATGAACGAAGTTCAAGACATCAATGAAAAATTCTTCATTTTTCATTATTATTTCTTCCCGAACAGTTGCTAAATGAACTGGTTGCCCACCTAGAAGACGTAGAAGAAGAAGAAGTCCCTTGAGGGAAATCCAGCCGAGACGTGCTCGGGACGTCTTCCAATGACGTCATTCCGATCTAATCAGAATTACTAGGAGATCAACCCCAGACGCATCTGGATTGAAAGAGTATTTCTGGAAAAAAAGAAGCGAAAAAAAGAGGGAAAATAATTTGGATCGACAGAAACGATTTAGAAAGAAACAAATTTTCACCAGAAAAAAAATCTTTTATTAAAATTCACACGTATATAGTACCACTGGCTAAAGCTAAAAATTAAATTATTATTTGGAAAATTAGCGAAATAGCATATAAAAAAATGAGAGAATTAAAGTCTAGTTAGAGATGAATGAAAGAAAGCACCAAATTCTATAAAAAAAATATATAAAAATTCAATAAAAAAATCATCAAAAAAATCGAAGCGGCTGGCCGATTTCTCGCCACTTTCAGTTGAAAATCTCCAATTTTTCAGAAGAAACGGGGTTTCTTCAATAATTTCGAGAAGCTGCAAAAATTAAATTTTCAATTTTTCCACGAATTGAAAGCTAATGGTCGCACGTGGAGAAACTTAACACGTTTTTTAACAGCACCCGACCAAAAAAACTACTTGCGCGGGGTGGCATCGAAAACCCATTAGAACCATTTTTACATAGGAATTTAATTCAGTTTGGAATCAGGATCGGAAAGAAATGGCCATAATAATTTTTATGTACCAAATAGAGATTCTGAAACGGTGAACCTGTCTAAATTTTCTCAATTTTGGAAAAGGAAATCTTGTCTCAAAATGGCCTCTTTTTACAACATTTTGATTTTTTATTTGACTTCGAAATATACATTTGAGCAAGTTGATAAATTTATAGACCCTTTGGTTCATCAAAGAAATATTCGGCCAATTTTGAAAACTACATGCCGAAATAACTCGAAAAAAAGAATTTTTTTCAAAAGCCATTATTTTTAAAAAAAAATCTAATTTCCAGGAAAAGAAGGTCAAAGGCTCAAAACGTCATAATTTAACCAAATTTCGAGGCCTTTCTTGAAAAGTATAAAATTGGGCAGGTTGCTACTTTTATAGACTTTGATTGGTACATCAAAAAAATTAGCTATTTCTAAAAATTTCCACCGCAACGCTTCGAGCCATTCTACGCGCGACCATTTTATTTGGAACTTCAAAACCTCAACAGAATCAAGGGAATTCCTGGAATCCCAACCGCCAGCCACGACCAAATATTTCTCGCCAATAATGCCAGAAACGTGATTTTCTCGTGGAATCGTCAGTTTCGTGTCAAGAATCTACAATTTTCGAACATTTTCAATGTGAAAAGTTCGGTTTTCTAGGTTTTAAGGCTCGAATAATGTATGAAGTTTAGAAAAAAAACTCCGGATTACGTTTCCTTTTGTAAATTTTACGAGTTGCAAAAAAAATTTAGTGGTAAAGCAATTGTTTTCGGGAAGCATAAACAAAAAATTAAATAAAGAAAATCGTTATATCAAAATGTTTCATTTCTCACACACAAGTACTAAAAATTCACGAAATAGATGTAGGGAGATGTTGGGAAAATATGTGTTCTCTGACAATTATTCATTTCTACGCTTTTTTCGAAGAAAGTTAAATTATTATAAATGAACTCAAGGTATATAACCGACCTCACTTTTCCTACTTTCCAGGTCGAAAACGACGATTTTGTCTTGGACACGAATACCGTCATATCCGCCGATCACAAACAATTTCCGGCCTTTTTTGACGACAGAATGGCCTGAAAAATTGAAAATTATGAAACTGAGAAAATTAAAAACTGCTCTCCCAAATAGAAACAGTTTTTTTTAAGAAAATAATTTCAAAAAACCAAAAAATTTTAAACTAGAAAAAGGTATATTTATTTTTATAGTTATCACGTTCATTGAATTGAAAATCTTGTAGTTATCGAGTCTTTGAAAAGTCAAAAAAACAGTAACTTGGGATAAGATATGGATAAAATTCCTATAGTGGAATATAATGTCGCGTTCAAAGTCATTTCGGTAAACTCAAAATAGGCGTCATAAAAATAAAAAGATAACTAAATTTCGGAGATTCAGAGATATAGTTGAATCACGGCTAGCTTGGGACTCAAAGAGGCGTGGCCTGTATGCGATCTCCATAAACCACATACTTTCTGTTTTCCGATCGTGTCAGGACCCATTTTTCGATGGCTCAAGCCAGCCATCCATCAGTTATAATTTTGCATTTTGCGGAAATCACTTTGAACATAGCATATTTCCTTCTCAAAAATTTTTTTGATAGAAAGGGGAAAAAACCTTCAACGGGATAAGGCAAAGAAGTCAAAAATTCGTTTCGAACTTCCGTAAAATCTTCATCGAAATCGACTCTAAAACGATTTTTTTTTCTTCTTCAGAATAATTTTCTCCGGACCTCCTGACACCCGCGGACGTCCTCTTTTCATCTTCCCAGCCTCCGACCAAAAGGAAATATTCCTCGTCAATGTTGCAACAAACGGCGTTCTTCAGTCGTGGAAGTGACCCTTTAAGCAATTGAACCTTTCAAAAAATCTTTTCCCATTGGAAAATCTCAGACCAACCTTCAAATCTTCTTTTTCAGAACCTCCGTGTATTATTTGTACTAAAGTGAGACAATCGAATCCATTAAACCCGCCGAAAATCAACCTTTTGTTCTGGAATAATTTTATTTAAATATTTTTTTCCATTAATTAACTGCTAAATTATGTCTTCAAAACGATAAAACTTCGGTCATTTTAAAATTACCTAGAAATTTATTTTTACAAAAAAATTTGTAAAAAGCAAACAATTTTTCCTATAACAAAACAGAAATTTAAAGATCCACCTTAAAAATTTTTTTGAGAATTATTCCATTTCACATCGAGTTATTCTAAACATTCCAAAAATATTCTGAAAACGCCCTTCGAACCAAAAAAAAAGTACCAACTTTAAAATGCGAAAAAGCCGCGCAACTGTTCTCAGCCACCAGTTTTGCAGTGATTTCTTTCGACTCGCAATTTTTATTTTCCACTTTCAAAACTTCCATCGAATCCAGATGCTGTCCTTCGCCGCTGCAACCTTGGAAATTTTGGAAAAAGTTCAAAAATGAGTCTGAACCTCCACAAATTAAAATTCCTCGATATTCGTGATGAAAAACACTTGGCGACCTTCGTGGGCTCTTCAAAGTCCCGCAAAGTTCACTTTGAACAATGGGTTTTCTGAAATAAACACGATAAAGCATTTATTTTCTGCGATTTTATACCCAGTACTGTCGATTTGTACTGAAACAGCTTCTATTGAGTTCAAAGCTCCTTTTTCTTTGGCATAAGAACAACCGCCAAATATTAACAAAGCTGCTCTGCTAACCATCTAAAAATCAATATGATATTTGAAAACTGAATGAAAACACGAGGAAAACGGAAAAAAGGCAGAAGGCATGAAACTCCACAAGGAAAAAAATACAATCTTTATCTAGGAATATAAGTCTTATTTTCTATTCATAATAAGTCAGATTTTTTAAAGGAGACGTTACAATAAAACGGGTCATATATGTTCCTGCTTCTTCAGGAATCAAAGAAAAAATTTTTGAACCTAATAAATTCGAATAAACTTGAACTTTAATCTCGCAACTGTGAATTCAGTGCGAAATGCGTCAATCAAAACGTCAATGTTGCAATGTTACAGCGGTGGATCGCGGCGATTGTAACAAAATCCGAGTTAATTGGGTGGTAAGGCAAAAATAAACGAGCATAATGTAAAAAAATATAATTTTATTATTAAAAAAAGTACTGCTTTTTGCGATATCTACTTACACAAGTTACAGTTTTTCAAATTAAAAATTTCTTTTTGCATTAATTTCGATCAAAACTGATAAATTTATGAAAATAATTTGCCTTATTCATATCAAATTGACAAATTTCAATTTCAGACTAACTTGCAGCCATAAAATATAAAAAGTACGAACAGCTAAAAACCAATGATAAAAAACGCTGACCCAAAAAATCAAAAATTAAGTATAAGGCGAAGAACGCCACATCAAATTATAATTTATCAACTGAAAAAAAGTTCGTGAACAACATATGAAAGTGATACCGTTAAAACAAACTCGCGTGGCATTTTTTCACCTTGCGCCGTAAAAAGAAGTGATGGCTCGAAAACCGTGCGGCGAACGCGGAAACCGTGTGCGCCGATTGCAATCAAACGATAGAGGGCCAGATTTACCTTGTGCGTGCTCTAAAATCATTTAGAATCTAGTTTGCTATCATCTTTTTTAGTTTGCAGCGTCAGAGAAACTGTTTCAAAACAGGCTTCTTGAGTTCAAGAAAAAGGTCAAATGTTTTATTTGTCGGCTTAATTAAAAGCTCTTAAAAACTACGAAAAATTCAGAATTTCATTGTAAAACACGAAGAAAGTGATCATGAGTGAGAACATATGAACAATAAGTGACAGAAAATAAGAACAAGAAGTAAAAAACGAGTTTATGGTCGCGGCGAAGGGATTTCAAGGGTTTGTTCCAAATAATCGGCGAACATCATCAGTTCGTTGTGCGTCACGGAGTCTGAAAATATTCCAATTATTCATCGAATTATCATTATTGATGTTTGAAACCAATGATAAAAAGCGGAGAAACGATGGGCGGGAGGACGAGCCATTGAGAGTCCGAAACGATCGGCGGATAATTGTCTGGGACCACGATTATCGAAGCTTTCTCGATCGTGTAGGTTATCTGAAAAATCTCTTTTTGTATCGGGAGGTTCAAATTGACGTTAGTTCTGTTTTTGAATAACCGTTGGAGCTTTTAAAGGAGCATGGAGAAAATTCAAGGAAGTCTGAAGATTTCAGAGTTTATCTAAGTCATCCCGGACGTATCTTCTTTTAAAATGGATTGAAAAAAAAGCGCGTAATTTTAAACATGATGGGTAGAAAAAAAGAAATAGCCAATAAATTAGGCAGTGGGAAGCAAAAATTCAAGCGGAAAGAGCCGTAGAATCTTTTCTCCTTCTATAAATTTTTTTTGTAAATCACTTTTTGGAGCAATTTATCAGAACTTGGAGAAACAATTTACGACCAATTTTCTTCGAAAAAAAAACCATTTCATTCTTCTTACTAGGCCTCCTTAGCTTTCTAAGCTCGGAAAAGAAATGAGGAACCACAGCCGAAATTGGAAAAAAAAAATTATAAACTTAAAAATCGTCTAAACTGTCAAGAAAGCTACGAAAAAAATATGAAAAAACGGCGTATAAAGTTGAAAGTTGAAAGGTTCAAAAAGACACTGAAGAAAAACCCCTTAAGTGATCATTAAATCGTCCAAAATTGTGGAGGTCACCTGAAGCTTCCTTATTCAATGAAAGCCCTCAGATGTTGATAACGCAAATCTCTGCGTGATTTCTGAGCAATTCTAGTGATCACTTGAATGCACTCACGCCGCTAAAATTATCACTAGCATCGTCTGGACTTCTCTGAACACTTCTAGGGATCACTCAAGAGAACTGAAGCCAGTGATTGCTCAAAAACGTCCAGTTTGTGTTATCAGAGTCTAAGATGAATGATAAAAATAAAAAGGAAAATTCCAAAAATCGAGACTTATCCTTGGAGCGCACTTGATTTTCTCAGTTTCTCACTCATTTTTGCACATTTTCTCAAAAAGAAAACCGACCCTTCCACCGCTCGACCTTATAATCCACCGAATTTGATCGCTCGGCGGACTGCAGCCGTCGGCGACGAAAATCTTGCCCATGTTTTCGAAAATTCTCGAATAAACCTTTCTTTTCTGGAAGAAAATGCTTAAATTCTTTTTAATCTTCAAAAAAAAACGAACGGCTAATAAATTGCTCCATTTCTCGTAGAAATATTCTCTGATCGGCAATAGACACTCATTTTCAACACAATCTTCAAGCTGAAAATAGTTAAAATCAGCGAGAAAGATATGATTAGAAAAACATCATTTTCTTGTTGGGAAGGCCAGAATGGTCTCTAAAAGGTTAGGGAAAAACAGCCCATGAAGTGGTAAAATAGTGCTCTTTAAACAGCCAGAGTGGTCCCTATAGTGGTCTTTTTATTTATTTATTTATTCCCAATTTGAAATTTCTCACTATTTTTCAAAAGCTTGAAGTGATCTGAAGAAAAACTTGGGAAAGTTGGAGACCCAAACACAAAAAGAAAAAAATTTGAAAAATTGTTCCATCAACTTTTTTCTTTCTGCTTTCGTTTCAAATGCTCCTTTGTCAGGGCTTCTGACAGTCTGACCTGTCTGTGCCCTCTTTTCTCTCCCCGGAGAGACCATAAGAACATAAAAATAGAACGTGAGAACAAGAGGGTAGCCGAGAGATGAGAGGACGCAGTGAAGTCATATATTTTCCTATATTGCGACAATCTGGACAAAATTTTCAATTGAAACTTCACATTTGCTAAACTTCTTGGTTTACTAATTCTCAGCAGCCGAAAACTCATTTTCCCTCTGGATAACTTCAAAACCGACCCAAGCCGGTTTCACGACCGGGATCCCTCTGCAAACGGCTTGCAGGACGGTGAGCGTCCTCTCTCCGGCCCGGCTCACCACACATTTCGTGGTGGGACCCGTTTCCGTCGCTATAGTGAGATTCCAAAGTTCAGCGAGTTCGCGATAAAACGTGGCATATCTCAAAAAAAGATAAACTTAATTTATTTTTGAGTGTGTGAATCGAAATTTTGCGTTTGAACTTTGTTTGATAATCTTTTCTGTGGTTTATAAAGGCATTGAATTGAATAAAATATAATTGAAAACGGTTTCATCTCGATATTTTTTTCAAGAAATTATTTTCCTCGAAAAAACTACCAAAGACGGTCTAAAGGTGGTATGGCGTTGACTCATACAAAAAAATTCAAAAGAAATTTGTCTTTCTTTTTTTAGGTTGTTTATGAAACTGCAACTATATCTAGGTTTATAATTAGTTTCAAAAAATGTTGAACTGAGAAAATTATTTTCTAGAATCAGAAAATTTCACAGAGTCAAATATTATAAGTTGTCATTCATTTAATAAGTTATATTTTTTTCAAAAAACCAAAAAAAATTTGAATATATACTTGGAATTTTTCTGTATAAAAGTATGCTTGAAAACGCAAAAAAATAGATAAGTAATTATTTTTTTATTATTATTTTTTTGTGCCAAAAAAATCTCTCATAATACACAAATACTAGTTCAGCTTCCTTCACAGTTTGAAATTTTTTTACAGAAAATAAATAAAATAATTATTCTCTGAGACGACCTCTTGTTGAACCCGCTGAGGACTACGGCGTTCTTGACGACTTGATTTCGGATCGGGGAGACTTCCACGAAACCTTCTCCAGTACTGACGCACTGGAGGCGGTTGATGAACGAAGATCTCGTCGGGAAAAGGGGAGCTCGTCCTGTTGTTGCTGAACAGCTTCTTCGGCTCGTCTTTTTGAAAACTTTGGGAAAACCAGAAGAAGAAGTGTGGCTTTGTGGCGAGTCGGCCCGAAGACGTAATGATGCCAGAGCCGATTCTAGCTCAGCATCTTCACTGACGTTGATAAGATCAGTACCAAAGTGTCGTTGAGATTCGCTCACCTGGAATATTAATATTAAAACGTTTCCAGCAAATGTTGATTCTTAATGTGAGTTTGAAGAACTTTTGATATGGTACATTCAACAACTTGCAATATTCTGAGGACCAGTTTCTCGGAAAAAAAACTATTTATAAAAAGCTTTAAAGCATTTTTCCCCATAATATCTAAGAAACTCACCGTCTCGACATGATAATTCTTTTTTCCTTTGCCCGTCCTACTCTTCGAAATCGCCGCATTCTTTTTCAACGTCTGAAAACCAATGAGAGATCTTTTCAAAAGCTTCCTTTTTCAAAAAACCGTTCGAATCTGGTTCAAATCCGTGGAAGTGACCCTTCTCATGTCGTTGATGGCATCGATTGGCGGCATCTGTTTCTCTTTAAAAACAAAATTTTGATTGAGAGAAAAATGTTACGACAAACTCTGAGGTGCTTTCCTGGGCCGTTTTGCAGGTCGCAACACTTCTCGTACATCTGAAAAAGGCAAAATGAGAGGGCGACAATATCTATGAAAACTCACGAGGAAGACTTGAATATGTCTGAACAGGGAACGTTTTTTCAGTGATCAACCACGAAAAAAAAATTCAAGAAATTATAAAAACAACATAATAACAGCTTCAATTTCCAATGATTAGTTCTTTTTGCCTCTCCGAAGAGAAGCGGTTCCAAAATTTATCTTGACACCAAGTTGTTCTGGGTCAGATCTAATGTTTACCTCAAACTTGGGTAATTAAACCAACGCTTCAGTCGCGCTGCCAGGTCCCTATGAAACACGCAACCGACTCTAAACCAGGCACTCGCCAGCATGTGTCTCGTAGTGAAGACAGAATGTATTCGAAGAAGAGACGTTAGAACTATGAGACTTTCACATAGATTTCGAACTGCTGTGATCAGAAATTAAAAAAAAACATTCAAGAAGTTATAAAAACAACATGATAACAGCTTCAATTTCCAATGAATAGTTCTTTTTGCCTCTCCGAAGAGAAGCGGTTCCAAAATTTATCTTGACACCAAGTTGTTCTAGGGTCAGATCTAATGTTTACCTCAAACTTGGGTAATTAAACCAACGATTCTGTCGCGCTGCCAGGTCCCTATGAAACACGCAACCGACTCTAAACCAGGCACTCGCCAGCATGTGTCTCGTAGTGAAGACAGAATGTATTCGAAGAAGAGACGTTAGAACTATGAGACTTTCACATAGATTTCGAACTGCTGTGATCAGAAATTGAAAAAAAAAACAATTAAGAAATTATCGAAACTGACATGAAACCAGCTTCAATTTCCATGATTAGTTCTTTTTGCCTCTCCGAAGAGAAGCGGTTCCAAAATTTATCTTGACACCAAGTTGTTCAGGGTCAGATCTAATGTTTACCTCAAACTTGGGTAATTAAACCAACGCTTCAGTCGCGCTGCCAGGTCCCTATGAAACACGCAACCGACTCTAAACCAGGCACTCGCCAGCATGTGTCTCGTAGTGAAGACAGAATGTATTCGAAGAAGAGACGTTAGAACTATGAGACTTTCACATAGATTTCGAACTGCTGTGATCAGAAATTGAAAAAAACAATTAAGAAATTATCGAAACTGACATGAAAACAGCTTCAATTTCCAATGATTAGTTCTTTTTGCCTCTCCGAAGAGAAGCGGTTCCAAAATTTATCTTGACACCAAGTTGTTCTGGGTCAGATCTAATGTTTACCTCAAACTTGGGTAATTAAACCAACGCTTCTGTCGCGCTGCCAGGTCCCTATGAAACACGCAACCGACTCTAAACCAGGCACTCGCCAGCATGTGTCTCGTAGTGAAGACAGAATGTATTCGAAGAAGAGACGTTAGAACTATGAGACTTTCACATAGATTTCGAACTGCTGTGATCAGAAATTGAAAAAAAAACATTCAAGAAGTTATAAAAAAACAACATGATAACAGCTTCAATTTCCAATGAATAGTTCTTTTTGCCTCTCCGAAGAGAAGCGGTTCCAAAATTTATCTTGACACCAAGTTGTTCTGGGTCAGATCTAATGTTTACCTCAAACTTGGAGAATTAAACCAACGCTTCTGTCGCGCTGCCAGGTCCCTATGAAACACGCAACCGACTCTAAACCAGGCACTCGCCAGCATGTGTCTCGTAGTGAAGACAGAATGTATTCGAAGAAGAGACGTTAGAACTATGAGACTTTCACATAGATTTCGAACTGCTGTGATCAGAAATTGAAAAAAAAAACATTCAAGAAGTTATAAAAACAACATGATAACAGCTTCAATTTCCAATGAATAGTTCTTTTTGCCTCTCCGAAGAGAAGCGGTTCCAAAATTTATCTTGACACCAAGTTGTTCTGGGTCAGATCTAATGTTTACCTCAAACTTGGGTAATTAAACCAACGCTTCAGTCGCGCTGCCAGGTCCCTATGAAACACGCAACCGACTCTAAACCAGGCACTCGCCAGCATGTGTCTCGTAGTGAAGACAGAATGTATTCGAAGAAGAGACGTTAGAACTATGAGACTTTCACATAGATTTCGAACTGCTGTGATCAGAAATTTAAAAAAAAACATTCAAGAAATTATCGAAACTGACATGATAACAGCTTCAATTTCCAATGAATAGTTCTTTTTGCCTCTCCGAAGAGAAGCGGTTCCAAAATTTATCTTGACACCAAGTTGTTCTGGGTCAGATCTAATGTTTACCTCAAACTTGGGTAATTAAACCAACGCTTTAGTCGCGCTGCCAGGTCCCTATGAAACACGCAACCGACTCTAAACCAGGCACTCGCCAGCATGTGTCTCGTAGTGAAGACAGAATGTATTCGAAGAAGAGACGTTAGAACAGCGGAAATTTTAGAATTTCTGTTCACTTTGAGGTAATTTTCACTGACGTGATGATAGCTTGCAATTATCAAATTCAAATGTTCTTTTTTCTTGTAAAGAGGTTACGAATATGTTAGAAAACTGGATATTCTGAACCGACGGTTCCAGTAAAACCGGAGAAATAAAGTAAATAATGGTTAAACAGCACCCACCATGAGACGCCTTGTTGATCGGCACAGAAATATCCTCCGGATTTCGATGTTCCAGTACAAAACCGTCATGAGACCGTCTTCTCAGGATCACCAAACTTTTTGGGTTTTTCTTCAAAATTCTTCTTTTTCTCGTCATTTCTTTTCAAACCAACAAAAGTATTTGGTCCAAGTTTGGCCCTCCATTTGGGTATCGGTCTGGAAGGTCCATTTGTCGGCTCCTCCTCAGCAACTGTTATTGAATGGACTGTATGGTCTGAAATATAGAAATATGAAATAATAATGATCTCGCAAAATTGATAAAAGTTATATTTTTCAGTTCTCCGTTTCCAGAAATACCTTTTTATAAGAATAAAAAATGACATACTCGGACAATCTGTACAATGATGGAATCCTCGTAATGCCGAGAGGGGCTGGAGTCGGTATTCTAAAAAAAAAAGATGATCGAAATTCACGAAGATTATCAATTTTGATATCAAAATTCGCATTTGCCGATAGCATTTCAAAAAAATTTTTTACTGGTTACCATAAACTTTTTGCTTGCACGCTATTACGGTTAAAGTTCCAGAAAAATTCTCTCAAATATTCCCACAAGCTTTTTATTTCCTCTAAGACGCAACAGAGAGCCTTATCTCTTAAAATATCCCTGAACCTTTGATTTTTCGACAAGCTAAACATTGAAAATTTATTTCTAAAAATATTGGATACATTTTTTTAGAAAAAGCCTTGCATGACACTAGAAACGAATTTTTCGCTTCGAGACCCTCATGAATTTCGCTTACGCATTTTAAAAATCTTGAAAAAGTTTTTTTGAACCCGGAACCTTTGGCCAATTCGTCCAGTTTTTCCGGAAATTGCCTTGATTTTTTTCCTAGGAGCTCCTCGGCCGTCATGGAACGTTGCATCAGAGATTCGCCGGTCTGAAGAAAAAAAGGTGAAATTATCCAAAATTTATATATAAAATAGCAAAATGGTGGTATGAAAAAAATATTTTTTTGTGTTTTTAATCATGAACCAACTACCTACTTTATATAGGAAATTTAAAACGAATATTTTATCGAGAAAAAAAAGTCGGAAAGGGATTCGTCGGAAAGGTGGCCGTCGGAAAGTTCCCTAGCGATATGAAAAAATCGGAAAAGTCGCCATTTGAATTTTCGCTGGTGTTTTTTTCATACCACCAGCAAAAATACTAGGAAAAAAACCAAATGAGGGCTTTTTAGGCGTTTTTCAAAATTCTTTAGCAGTTCCTTCCTTTGATGTTTTAAAAAAATACTCTAATACCAAAAAAATGTTTAAAATTGCTCAAAAAAAATGGTGGTGAATCAACTATCACCAAAAAAACTTCACCTTTTTTTAAAAAAACTTATTCCAAGAGAACTTATGTGCCTAGAGACAAAGATATCGAAACTTCAAAAATTATAAATTTTCCGAAAACTTGTCAGAAAAAGGTCAGCTTCGAAATTGAATAAGAAAGATTCATTAATATAAAAGTGACGTGTTCAAAACAATTCCGCGAAATTTGAAATAGTCGTCCGACAGTGGAAATGATAACAAAGTTTCAGAAAATCAGAGAAAATTTTGAATTTCGCGCGCATCAATTTGACAGCGTAGTTAAAGAACTGTGTTTCTTGAATCCCCAGTTTGTAAAAGGAATCCATGAAAAAGTAAAATCTGTCCTCGCAAAACTGACCCCAACTTGAGCGCCGGGAGAGGCATTCTCATCATTTTCGTTGTCACTCACGTATTCTTCCGAATATTCCTGAAATGTCTTCATTCATCTTTTACGAAAGGAAAAAAAAACCAACCCGAATCGACAAAACCGAAGACACGCGTCGCAATTTTTTGCGCAGGTAACGACAATCGTACATTGAAAACTCCTCCTCGGACACTTTTTCCTTTTTTTCGTAGCATCTTCAAAAAAATTACATAGTTTTTCTTTTTGAGAACAAGACGATTTTCAAAAGGAAGGATGAAAAAAAATAACCACACAACAAAATTTCTCAACATCACATCAGAGAAATAATTTTATAAAATAGATGAAGTTTCAGAACAGCTCTTGGAAGACAGTGAAGGAATTATTATTATCAATTATGGATAAAGAAAGAAAGAACTTCTCGACCCAAAAAAATCCGGTCCATTTTTTTATGAACGAAGTACCGAAGAAAAGCTAACAAAATTAAATCTTGGGTCTTGAAGCGAATGGTGCAAAAAAGCTTTACATATCGTGCTTTTTCCGAGTTTTTTTTCGGAATTATTTTATGGTTAAAGAACAAACTTTTGAACTCAATATTTTCTGGCTTTAATCAAATAAGAGTTTGTTTCTTCCTATCAAAAAATGAAAGAACGGACTTTTGGACCCAATGAACGTCGACGAGAAAGACGGCCTGACGGGCCTGAAGGACCCTTTCGACGACTTCCAGAGAAGCCCGCGAGTCGACAACGCAGTGGGTGGTGGATGACGTCACGTCGTCGACGACCGCCGCGCCCATCTCTTCCAACTTGTCACAGACTTCCTGGCGCGCCTCCTCGCAGCATCCGACGTTCACCACCACTTTGGCTCCTTGCAAATGAAAATATGCACGAACAGATTTTTCTTTCAACAACCAACCTCGAAGCGGTATGACCAGTTCGACAGTGTCGGCAAGAACGTCGATAGTCCTGAACAGTTCCGAAACGTCCCTAAATTGCAGAAAATTGCAGTTCAAAGCAAAATAAATCGAGACGAAACCCCAGGGGAGCTGCTGGCCGTTGAGATTGTTGTCGCCTCGAAATCTCACGGTTCGCGTCATTTTCTTAACCGCCGGGATTGTAATGCTTTGGCAAAATAATCAACCTTCCGAATCTTCTTCGTTTATTGATGTTGTGCCAAGCGTTTTGTCGACGACCACTTGAGGAGGCTTCGATTTCTAAGCAAATTTAATTGAGTTTTCTATTTTTAGATTCTTGTTTTCCGATCCTGAAGGAATGACTCATCGCAAAATAGTATTCAAAAAAGATGCATTTACAGAAAACGCCCGAAAATCTTACTGAAGCTTTGAAAAAGCACAAATTAACTTCAAAAAACCTTGAGCCTTTCCCGCCTTATTTTTATTTATTTAATACTTCTGAGCCTTTAGAAACCTTAATAAATAGTCTGAAAACAGTATGAAACCCACCGATTTCCCGTCGGTTTCAAGGGAGCTCGTAAAGTGAACGGAAAACGAATTGGCTTCAGGTTCAGAACGAATCGGCGAAAGTGTTATATCGGGAAAATCGTGTGCGATCGACATTTCCGCAAAAAATCGTCACCTCATCCAATCTGCATTCATTTTAAAATGGAAACTTTACAAAAAAGATGAAATGAACGGACCGTGAAATATTCGAGAACTTAAACCTGATTATTTGCCTATGTAAATGCATTCTCAAGCCTAATTTTAAAAAAATGAATCTTAGAGGATGCTTTGCATCATAGATGGTGTAAAAAAATACGTTTGATTCAGTTAATTATAATATAATAAAAACCATTTTTGAAGTTACAAAAAAAAATTTGTAAAAATTTTAAAATTTTTCTGCTTCGCGGTAGTGCACCGCAGCGGTATTTTGCAGAACGGCCTACCGTACCCTGTAACCTTTATTTCTTTTTTTTCTGATCTTCTCGATTGTCTTTTTCATTCGTTCTATTGATATTGTTCATTTTGATAAATCAGCTTTGTAAGACTTGCCTTCGCAAAGATAGAAGATTTCATCACAAAAACAAGAAAAATAATGTTTCAATGAGTACATCAATTTCTCTACTTTTTTTTTTTAATTTAACTTTCACGTTTCTTCTCTTTCAAGGCTTCCAACCAACTTTGCGTCCCCAAAAAAACAACAATAGAGGAAATTTATTTCGCCATTAAAACGACACCAAACATGTATTTTTTTGTTTTTTTTTTTTTTCACCGAAGACAGAAAAAAAGAAATAAATGGAAAAACATAAGAAATAAAATGGAAGAGATTTTGTCAGAGATCTTCTATACAACGAGAAAAGTCGCGCCGAGCGTGTTAACGTCCCCACAAGCCATTCGCCATTTGCCATTGAGCTGCTCTGGAAAATGTATTCATTGATTATTGGTCTATGAATCAGAGTTGAAGTTACCTTTTTTGAAAATCGGACACTTCGAAATACGGATCTGATCTGCAAATATTGGAATAAGTCGGAGTTTTTTACATGAAAGAAAAATTGGAGTACATTCTTAGGAACGCCAGAGTGGTCCCTTGAGAGGGAAGCTTAGGTGCTTTTATAAGCTTCCTTCATGGGGCCATCTTATTGTATCCTATAGAGGGCACTGCAGCCTGCAAAAATGGCCACTCTAGGGGGAGCGATCTCTAATTGTCATAAATTCTATGAGAATAACAATGCAAAAAACTCGAAAAGTTAGCGTTTTTCGACAAAAAAAAAAATCAAAAACCGATTAATCGATATGAGGATTTTTTTTTCTATTCCATCTAGTGACCACTTTGGCGTTTTTAAGTCTCAGTTTTCAAATTAAGCCACATTCCAAAGTTTTAAAGCGAAATTCAAAATAAAAAAGCACTGATTTTCCTGAATTTCACACTCTTGAAGCTCTTATTCGAACAGTTTTTTATACTAAAACTGGCATAATTTTTTATAGCATTATAATTCTTTCATTAACATCTTTACTTGAGAGTTTACAGTTTATGAATGAGATTGAGTTAATGTGGAATTTTTCCAAGGAAAATATGTGGTTTCTCAGCCATTTTTTTCTCATTTTTCTGTGGAAAACTTCAAAAAAAGATCTCAAACAGAAATTTAAAAAAATTTTTTTGAACTAATTTTTTTAAATATCCCTCAAAATCTCAGATACAAATCCTTCTGTGAAGTTTCTCGAAAAGTTCTCCTCAAAAAAAAACTTTTTTTTTTTAAGATATTGAACTCACCGTTTCCCCCAAAGACCGTTGAGTTTATTAAAGTTCTGAACGGGACGCTTCTGTTGGGTGCCAAAAACTTGCTCGTCCTGCAAAAATGCAAAAATAAGCCCAAGTTTTCGTACTTTTGATCGCTTTTCGACGTTAGTGGGATTGGAATTCGCCAAAGTCGGTTCTAGAATGAAAAACAAGAGTTCTGCACTAAAGTATCAAGTTTTCGAACGTCAGAGCTGCATTTCCTTTTTTTCACAACAATGATTGTTGAATAAATTCCAATTATCGATTTTTTTGGAAATAAAAAGGTGAATTATATTCGCAATTTCTTTTAAAAAAATTTACCAAGAAAGCTTCAAAATGAGGAAGATAAGCAAAAAAATCTATCCAAATTTTCAAAAAGCTTTAATTAAACTTTTTGTACTACATGTTTTTCAAAAAAATATTGATTGATTGAATTAACTTATTGTGATTAATTTATCCTATATTCCTTTTGCAAAAAAGATTTTTAATTAAATCAAAAAAGCTTAGAGATCATTTAAAGTTATATACAACTTTTAAAAAAAAGAAACAAAAATATACGAATGAATCGGTGGGAATAAAATTTGCCTCAAAGAGCTTCACTTTCAGGCCTCGTAACTTTTTACCTACTCATTTCTTCAAATAATTAATTATATCGAAAAAAAAGCTCTTTGCATGCTTTATTGATTGTACAAAAAAATAATCAGATAAGGTATTGAGATATCGCAAATATCAAAACCCCGGTCATTCTTAGCCGTATAAGCTTTTTTTCAAGACCCATAACTTTTGACTTACAAACTACTATTAATCAATATCTATATCAAAATGAAGATTTTCTCATCTTCAATCAAATAATTCGATAACACGATCCTCGGAACGAAAGCATTTTAAATCAGCTTCCTTATCTTTCAAGGATCATAACTTTTGATCTACCCACTTCTATAAATCAATACTTACATGGAAATAAAGCGCTTTTCATGCTCATTTGAGTGGCACTTGTTAAAAATCATGAAATGAAGTACTTGGATAGCGCGAACCTCGGAACTGAGGGAGCGTTTGCCCCACAAGCCGTGGCCTTTGTTCCAGCCGACCATGCGGTCGTCGTCGTTCATCGCTTCACAAAACGTCAACAGAATGAAGCCTCAAAATTCGCAAAATAAACCTTTTTTCTTCAATTCACGGTTATTTGAAAATCAAAAACCAACCCAAGAATATATAGACGATCTGCATAATTTCTGCGTGTTGACCCTGCAAAATTTTCTTAAATTTAAATGATTTTGTTGAAATTACACTATAAACTCATCAGAAAACGAAACCAAAACAATATTTGAATATTTCTGATGGAATGATGACAAATTTCAAGAATGAATTCGAAATGACGTTTTTCCAAGTTTTCCTGCTCTTTCCGTTGAATAATTTCGGAAAACTTTGAATTATTAAAAACTTCTCCAAAATCATCGGTACTGCAAAGGAACTTTGAGGACTTGCCGAATTGAGAAATTTAGGATTGCGATGGGAAAAAAATTAAAAAGAAGGTTTAAAATTTTTAAAACACGTTATAAAAAAACAAAGAATGGCTGATATATTTCTTTAAAAAAAACTTGATTAGAAACGGAAAAGAATAGAAGAAGTTTCAAAAAAACTGGAACTAACAATGCAAAAAAATTTCAAATTTTTTTCAAAAACGTCTCATAAAGGTTCTGGAAATAGAGAACTTGAAATTTGAAAAATTTTTCAAGTCAAGATTCAAGAAAGTGCAAGAGAGGATATAAATGAAATATTTATTGAGTTCCAGACTATTTTTTTCTTGAATAAAATTGTAAAAAAACTTTCCATATTGCCGCAAAAAAAGTTTTTCTAGAACGTCAAAACCAAAAAGAAGAATTTCCCTCAAAAGTTCAAATTTTCTGTCAAATTTTAGCCAACGAAAAAAGAAAAATGCAAAAAACAAAAGTCTGACTTTGAAAAATCGCAGCTGATTATTCTCAAATTAGGCGATCTATGGAATTTCAACGAATAGAGATTGGGACGAATCTTTTGAGCACATCGGGTCTTGTCACGCGAGAAAATCGCCGCCAAATTCCAACAAATGAGAGAAAGAAACAGGAAAAAAGTAGTTCTTTTAGATTTTTCTGGTTTTTTTCCAGTTTATCGGAGCCGCGTCGCGACCGCAAGCGCGTGTGAAATGAAATTCTAATTTCCAGGGTTTCCGACATTTTAAAGAACTTATATATTGGTTTTTTGATAATAAAAAAAACTTGGAAAAACCTTGCTTTAACTATCAAAAAATTTCCTGATGGCTCTAAACTCTCTCGTTTCCACCCACTATTTCGCCAATCTCTTCAGATCCCTTTTCTCAAACCCCATCCCACCCTTCGAAATTTGTGACAAGCTAGAAGTCAATCGAGTATAAAGCTGTCCAGATCTCCAAAAATATCTCAAGAACCGAAAAAAAAGAGGCCAACTTTTGGATGAATGAAATTCCCTGACGTGAAGATGACAGAGAGAGGAATCTCGGTCATGAGGAATTTTTCTTCTTCTTCTCATTTTTTCAGAAGACGTACGTCTTCTGGATCTCCCCGGGGACTTTTGGAAACAATCCTCGGCGCCAAGGAAAGCCGTTGATGAATTTGAATTCCATTGCGAAGTGCTTCTTCGAGGAACGTGCCTGTGACGTCATTCGCGCCGGGGCAATCTGACCCCGGGGATTACGGTAGTTTGAAAAATCGATCCTTGCCGTGTACTGAATTCACCACTATCTTGGAGTAAAATATACTACAGAAACGTCTAAACCTCTTCATATTGTGCGCTATTTCGCTGTTCATAAAACATTGTCTCAATACAGCGGTGAATGAACTAACGAGGAAATCTACTGAAAGAGCTGAAAGTTCCGAAATAAAGTTGATTGAACCAGTTATGGTTCGTTGAACCCTAGAGTGGCTTCTTAAATTTTTTGTGATCTTTTAGAGCCACTAAGACTTCTAAAGAGGTCACTAATTTTCAGCCGATTAAGCGGCCACTTTTTAAATCGAAAAAAAAATGAGTTCTCAAAACTTTCATACGTTACTTTACTCCTTCGATGGGCTTTAATAACTCAAAAAATAATTTAAAAATCGAAAGAACTTTCTTTCCTTGGGGATCTCTGAACTTCAAAGATGAAGAAGTAGTATATAGGGAAGCAAAAAGAAAGTAATCAGGTATAAACGCCGTCAAATGGGTTCGGACCGGCGTCGGAATGGGCTCATAAAAGGCTTCCAGTACTCATTTTCCACCGGATAACAATTTGACAACGTCGCTTTTTTCCTCCTTCTCGGATCGAATGCTCTTTCCGACAATTATTAAGAACAAAAAATTCCGGTTAGGTCTGTTTATGAGAGTCATTCATGGTATAAATTTCCGGGCAGACTATAGAGAGAGATTGATGTTTTCAGAGATGGTTGAAAAGTACAGGAATCTCATTTTTCACGATTCACTCAAAATTTTGGAGTATGTCTTTCCAGGGACATAAGCCGTAAATAAGACATAAGACTCTACGTAAAACGAGACATTTCTTACGATTCCAACTTCAAAAAAGTAATTTTTGACGCTGTTTCCTAGATTTTGCCTGGAAAAAATCCGGCAGAACCTTTGAAAAAAGTTATGGCCACTGAAAATTCGAATGATAGCCTTCAGAACCAATACAGACGCTCGTTCTGAACTGAAACTTGGGGGAAAAAAATTATATTTTGATCCCAAAATGTTCTAAAAAAATTATTCCTTCTTTCCAATCTACCTACCAAATAAAAAAACGAGCTCAACCGGAAAAAAATAATTTTTTTCAAACTTTCTGAAAACTTTTTCCAGTCAGAAGTCAGACTCTTGATAGAGAATAATCACGATTTCGCAGTGCTTCTGATACTAAGAATTATATAAATTGAGAAAAAGTCTATATTTTTTTGAATTAAAAAAATTTACTAGTGATATAAATCAAGTAATCAGCTATGAGACAACGAAAAAAATATCTTCTTTTTTTCATAGTAAAAAAATGAAAAAAAATCGCGAAACTCTTGCAGTTTTGCTTTTTTTGAGCGTTTGCAAGCTTCAAATGAGCCTAATTTCGAATGTCGTCACAGTGTTTCGTTTCTTCATTGACCACGTCAGACGTGAAGATTTATATGATTGGGAAACTAACAAAAAATTGGATTTTGTCGTGAAATAATAACGGGGAAGCAAAGCAAAACCGTTCGAGCACTTTGAGTGAATAAAACGGCTTTACTATGATTTTTTTCATCGTTATCAAAAAGAACCGCTGAATTATTGATTGAATCGATAAAAAAACCACCTTTGAGAGATTATTGAACTTTTTGGTATGAAGAAAATGAACCATCAATGAAAATTTCCTATCAAAAAAATCTCAAAAATTTATCATATTTATATTTTTTTAAAAAAACCCGTTTCACATTCTGATTCAAGAGGAAAAAAATTTACTTTTTCTCAATTTCAAACAGACTTGGGATCCTTGAGACAAAATCTTACCTTAAAAGAAATTCTAACACTATCACATTAACATTAACTTAAGAACCCTTATTACAACATGAATTTTCTGAAAACTGAAAACGAATAATCCGGAATATCTTCGAAACAGAGAAATAATGAAAAAAGTCGGCGCCCTGTTCGAATATTTATTGTAACAATGGCTACGAGACACTTTCTTCCACCTTCTCGAATCGTAAAAAGCTTGAATATTACATCAATTTCTGAATAAATCGAGAAAAAACCACGAAACTCAGAAAAATACATCTTTGTGATAATTTCCCTACAAGAACTCCAAAGACCAGGAAATGGTTCATTTTTGTCGCGAGAGAAAATTCAGCAGAACGAAAAGAAAAATCTCCAAAACAACGTCTCGAAAAGCTAATCTAATGACGGAAAAGAATTTTTCAACAGAAAGATAGAAAGAGAAACAAGGAAATTGGGCGGAGCTTAAGAAAAGGGGCGTGGCTTGGGGCCGACGAGACCCGGCGATTTATGAGGAAAAATTAGGTTTTTAGAGATTGTAAAAAAATTTTTTTTTGGTAAAGCGAAAAATAGCTCACAAAATATGAACTTTGCCGAATTTTTCAAATTTGTAAAAAAATGGTAGGAAAAAGCTAATTTCGTCAATTTTTTTTTTTTTGAAACATTTCATGGTTTTTTTCAGAAATTCCAATCGATTTTTAATTAATAAGGTTCTGCCTCAATTTTTCAATTTATAAGTCAAATTTTTTTCAAAAAAAGACACTTTAAATCAGAAACGTCGGTTAGACTGGTTTTTAAACATTTTCCCGCTCTTTTTAAAAAAATTAATTAAAATCAAATTTTTTTCTCAAAAAAACTCTCGAATTGCGTTTGATTTGATTAAAAAAAGAGAATTTAGGGTTAATCTTTGAGAAATCAATTTTTTTGAAAAAAATGACGTTTATTACAATAAAAAAATGCCGTAAGTTCTTTGAAAACCCAATCAGAATGACGCGGAAAAACTTCCAATCAAAAAAAGAAAAATACTTTCCGGCAGAATAAATCATTTTTTTATTATACCTCACTAATCAAAAAATTCAATGGTCTGCTTTCTCTCTCCCGTTTACATGTTATTTTTCATTTTTAAGAGAGACAAGAGAGCGCAGACAGGTCAGACGTTTTCAAGTGGTCGAGCTTGTGGAAAGTAGGCTGTTGAAGAAACACGTGGGGGTTCAAAGAAAATTTCCATTTTTATTTAAAATATTCCTGCTTGCCTCTCCAATATTTTTCAGTTCTATCTTTTTTTCGTGAAATCAAAATAAGACCGTATTACCCACGATGAAAGGCTCTAAAAGGTTGGAATATAATCCCGAAATTTAAATTTTTTCGGTTTTCTATTCATTCTAATCTCGTTTTTCGTTTTTCACTGTTAAGAATGAGAAGCCGGCGGTATAATCGCATCGCAAAAAGCAAGGATTTTCAGTTCAACATTGAAGAATTTTTCGATTTTTACTTTTGATCAAAATAAGTATGCAGAACAATCATAACGAAGAAATCCGAAAAAGAGACGATTTTTGTTTATTTCGCTCCCATTTTTCGACTTTTTTCTGCTAGAAAAGACCAAGTCAACAGTACAATCTCGGAAAGCTCAATCCGAACCATACAAGAAAAAGAAACCTCGAAGAGCTGGTTGGAGGGATGACGTCAGGGTCTCGAGGCCTCTTCACTCAGTTTTATCTTCTAATTGGCGGTCGTCGGCTTTGCTCCGGCGCGTCTTGGCCAAAGTCCTCCGGGAGATTGGCCGCCGCGTAATCCGCGTGCGAACATCTTCCGTCGCGTCAACACCCTTCCGCGCCGTTACTTATATCGACCAACTGAAAAAGGACTTCAAGAAGGAAAGATCGAATAACATGGTGATTTTGGACTTTGAACGATGGGGAGTCTGTTGGTTTCAGTCAACAGAAAAAAGGTTTGACTACATAGGCGAATCGAGAAAGGGTATCGCGAGACCCTCTGAGGTATGGGTCTGAATTCTCACGATGGTACCTCGAGGATCTGAGGATTTTGAGTAAAATTAGATAGACTTGAGAGAGACTCTAAAATACCTCCGAGAGGGCTCAGATATATCTAAAAGGTATGTCGGAGGTCTCACAATGGACACATCTTCACGATCCATTTTCAGTGGTACCTTTGTGGACACATCATGGTACCCTCCTGATTCGTATGTGTAAAAGATTTTGAGACGGTTCTCGAGAGACATACTTCAAAAGGGCAAGATAGAACTATAACATGGAAATTTGGACTAGAACGGTGCTTTTTGAGTTCATGTAAGATTCATTATCACTGACATGGACAATCTCCTTATAAATCTCGAATCTGATCCAATTTTGGTGATAGGTGGCCGCAGTTATAGCGACCAACTAAACGAACTACTTCAGAAATAAGAAATCGAAAAGAATCGGGGAATTTTGGACTTCAAAAAGTAACAATTTACTAAGTCACTTCAAGTAGAAAAATCTTTGAAACCTCTGAAAACTGGTTCTACTTTTGGTAGTAGGGTCCTAGAATGTCCCAATGCAAACAAAATTGCAGAATAGTCAGGGAAACTGTTTTTCTTCGGAATTTTCGAAAAAAATTGTTTGGAATGGTTATTTTGTACAGTAGGACCACTTAACACGCTGTCTCTGTAATTCTCAAAATCAGTGGTCACAAAAAAAAAAAATTTACTGTAGCCGGGTTACGGTTAAAAACTTTGAGGGCTCAACGGTCAGACCCGAGAACCCTATAGGGCCCTCTAGAAAGCAATATTTTGTCTACTACTGTTTTCCTTAACCCTTCTAGTGACCACTCTGGCGTTTCTAACTAGTAAGTGTAGTACCCTGTGTAATTTTATTTAAGAAAATGTTATCTGTTCAAAAATTCGAAACTTTCCAGGGAAAACAATGAAAAAAAGAAGTAAAAAATACCTAATTTTTCCTTTCTTGTTCATTGGTGCATACTTCATTACCCACCATTATATTTTTAGAGTGAATGGGAAATGATTAAAAAGTTTTTTGTTGAAAAACAGCCGTAAACAAAATTTATGTTAACCCATAAAGAAAAAGTTATTATTTTCGTTGAAAAAAACTTTTTTTCTTAATTTTTTTGTTTTTTAAGGAAGTTATTTTTGAAAGTATGTTTCACATGATTGATTAAAAACAATATAGACATCTACGATTAACATTCAAGGTTCATTATTCTCTTTTTAGAGAAAAAAAGACAGTATGAATAGTTTTTTTTTTTTTTGCTCGCTAAGCTTTTTGAACAGTTTCATCGGTATGTATGTCATTTATCAGAACCAGAATCAATTTTTAAAAATTTTAATTTTCTATGTTCTGTTTAGAAATAAAGTTGAAGAGATATCAAAAAAAATGGGAATATCAGTTACACTTCAAAAAATTACTTTCAGCTTTTCTAACACTTGTTCCGGTTTTATATCGGTCCGCCCACAGTTAACTTGATATTAGATTGATTTTGAAATACGTATTGAGCTATTTTGGATCAATCTTCGACGTTCATTTGTCCTGTACAAGGTTCAGCGTTTTTTTCAGCTTAACTTTAAGGAAGCCAACCATTTGGACAGAGCAAATTTAATGATTAAAAAATTGAATAAAACAATGGAAACTTTACGCAACTTTTTTCAGCCCCGTTTGAACTTTTGATGAAATGTTGCTGGAGTTTCGGCTTTCGGAAAAAATAAAAATATTTCGCAATAGATCTTTTTTTTCGATTCATGAAGCTTCAAAGTTCGCAAAACGCACAAATTATGAAAAAAGCGGTATATCAAGCAATTAAAGCGTCTCAACTCGAAAAGCTGATCCATAAATTATTATAGAATCAGTCAGTTCTAGAATAGACTTCAGCAAAGTCAAAAGTTCAACCGGGGACTGTAAAACGTTCTCCAGCAAGAAAAATTATTCACTTTCAAGCCTTTTTTCAACTTTTCTCTCCAGCTTAACATCGAGCCGGCCACTTTGGCAGTTAATTACCGGCCGGCAGTCCGGTCGGGATTAAATCAAGAGGCTCGCAAATCGCATCATTTCGTCGCGTCGCGGAAACAACCGAGCAGAAAAAGCGTTACGTTTTTTGGTTTACTCGACCGAGAAATTGTCTGCAAATCAAGCTGGGAAAGTGATGCGACGTCACTTTTGAGGGAAATCAGGTGCAAGAAAAGTTTGGTATTATGATCAATTTTCTCCGAGTTGGAAGGCGAGATGGGTAGATTACCAAGGGAAACGTGTTGCGGTCGCGTCGCGGCTTTTCGGCGGGGAACTCCAGGTCAAACGCGATGGAAAAATGTAGGAAAAGTAACTTCATGGAAAAATGTAGGAAAAGTAACTTTTTTATAGTCTGTGTGCCACGACTTGAAATTTCACCGAACGACATTCCGCTCTTCCGCTGCGTCGCGAAGCATCTTCGCGAGCCTCGTCCTCGCTTTGAATTGGTTCTCCTTTCTGATAGATGGACTGCTTCACTAGGAGCACGTGTTGGACGAGTTCTTAAATAAAAGGAAAAATTAAAGGCACGCAGTGGAACAGCGGAATGTCGTTCGGTGAAATTCCAAGTCCTGGTACACAGACTATATTAATTCTTTAATCGGTCATATCCATCTTCAAATTGCCACCAAAAAACGGAAAGTTGTTTTTAAAACTGTCGAAAAAAGAGAAAAACATGAAAAAGGAGGTTTCCCCCAAAAAGCCGCGTCGCACACGCAACGCGTCTCTCTTGTCAATCTACCCATCTCGCCTTTCAACTCGGGAGAGATTGACTACCAAATTTGCACTTTTTCTGAAATCCAAGTTTTCCTCATCCTAACAAGATAACTTTTTAATGGATAAATGATAAATAGGTTTTTCAAAGTAATCAGCTCAACAGGAGGCTTGAAAAAAGCTTTTTTGAGTTGAAAATAGAAATAAAACTATTTCCCTCGGGACCTCATCAAATTTCTCAGAAACGCATTGTTTTTTGAGCAAACTTTGAAATGAAAAGAAGTTGAGAAAAATGAAATTTTCAAAAATTATTTGTAAGTTTCAAGCTTTCCACTCAAAAGGTCGACTACTTACGAGTAGGCTTTAAAAATTTTTTTGAAATCTTTAAAATTTTCTCGAGCCCTGGGAATAACTTTAGTGGCCTCTTAAGAGGTCTCTCAAGGACTACTTGGAGAGGACACTAAAGTGGCTACTAAATCCATCACTACAGAAGCCACTGGTTTGCCTCTTTATGGCCACTAAAGCAGTTTTTAGTGGTCAAGTAGTGCCACTCAGACTTCCAAAGAAGCCTCTAAATTTAACTTTTAACCTCATAAGTGGTCACTAAATCGACTATTATAGTGGCCACTAAAGTGCCAAAACCCAAGAGTGCCCACTAAAACTTTTCACAGTTTACAAGAAATAAATACATGATTTTCGTCAAATAAAATTCTAAGTTCGATCTTGAATTTTATTAGTTTGAAAAAAATGTCCCCTCTCCTCACCCATTTTTGAAAACTTCGATATGAAAGCTGAAATCAAGGATAAAACGCCATTTTTCTTCACTTTTCAGGTCAAATAACACCGAGGCGGAAATGCAATCGCCAATTATTTATAACGAACACCGGCGAACTCGTCGCAGCTACACACGTTTATTACAAGAAAAGCGCAAAAAGAAAAAAATGGGCAGAAAAAAGGGAAATTATTAAAGTTTACATGGGGAAAAATAAATATCCGTTTTCTTTTTTTTTAAACATTTTTCGGGCCGGTGGGAAGAAAATTACATGTTGACGATTTGGTCCTTGGGCACCTGCTTCGGCGGCGTGATTCCCAGCTTTTCGACCTGGAAATTGCAAAATATTCATCATTTTGAACGTTTCCTTATTTATAAGTTGGAAGAAAGTGCTAAAAACTTTGGCATCAAGCTCGGGCTGCCCGCGTAGGCCCGGGTTCGAATTTATTTTTCTTAGGAAAAGTCTGCGTGGGCTTAGGCAAGGCCAGGCTTCGGACAAAATTTTCGAAATGTTCTCCAAAAAGTTCTTCCTACTTGTTAATTAGGTTAAATAACAGTTTCTGTTGAACTTTAACTGAAAAAATAACGGAAAATGTGGTTCTTATTTTGAAAAAATTCTGATTTCCGATTTGAAGACAAAAAAAAAACTTCTTTTTCAGAATTTCAGAAACCTTTCGGGCGAGGCTCTGGAGGGTGACGCAGACGGAGAAGAGGTCGCGGCCGTCGAAGAGATCAACCGATTGGAACGTCTGAAACATTCAAATAATCCTTTCATTTGAACACATAGAACATGAGAAGGACGTGAAAAAGGGACTCTTGGCAGTCTTCTCTAGAGTGGCCACTAACTGAAAGCCCTAAAGAGGTAACTTTGCACGCTCTAGTGTCCCCTAGAGAGGGAAATGAGAAGGGATCCTTTCATTTTTCCATAAGGTTGCCCTTCTAGGGACCATATCCGGCGTTACTAAGCATTCTAAGAAAAAGGAACCTCCTCGTCCTTGACTCCCAAATTACGGGCGGCCGACGTGAACTGGTTGATATTTTCGAGGCAGTTGAAGTTGGAAATCGGCTTCATGATCTTTTTCACCGATCCTTCCTTGATCGCGTTGACCAGCCTAAATTGCTCTTGTGTTCTCTATTTCGAAAATCCCAGAAAAGGAAAAAAATTTCGAGAGATGTACAGTACCGCTCAAAAGTCTATTAAGTTTTGGTTTTTTGGGGATAAATTTTTTTTGAAGTGCGATATCGATTCAAATTTTTTTTCATAGTTTTCTGACACGGGAAGTGCGAAAGGTCGAGGTATTGGAATTTAATGAGACTTGGTATATAGGTACTTCCGAACACCCTGAATCCAAAGCAGTTGAAAAAAAGTGCGCCTTTTTGGTTTTAGTCGAGTTAGGGCGCCTCAAAGTTTGCACGCAAAAAACGCATTGGAAGGGAGGAGGGAATGTGTTGCGGCGGCTAACTCTAGCTGCCAGCAGGCTGCGTGGTGTAGTGGCTAGAGGCCTTGCGCTGTGAAACCTATGATGCAGGTTCGGTCCCTTTTTGGTGAAATTTTATTTTTGCCATGAAGTTTTTCGAAAAAATTGATGAATTTTTGAAGATGGAACGAAAAAAATACTGTTCAAAGTGTTAAAATTCACTATTTTATTTCGTTTTGAGAAAGACTTTCAACAAAAAAATTTTTTTAGTCTTTTTTTGTCCTGCTCTGTGCAGGAAATTTGGGCGTCGAGATTAATCTTGCGAGAGTTCATAGGTTTGTGATAGAAATAACAACTTATTGTAGTTCTATTCTTCTATTCTTATTCATCAAACGATTTTTTTTTTCTTCAAAGATGGCGGTTAGTTAACCCTTTTCCTTGTCTTTTTTTTCATTCCCAGCATCGCCATATCATCTCGATTGTGAAAATAAAGTGAAGCTGGACTTTGACACACATTTTTACACACATAACGTCATAAAGGAAGGAAAGAAGAATAAATCTCATAAAACTTTGATTTTATTGGTTCATCAGAAATTTTTTTGAAGGAATGGGTCGACCATAAGCCTTATGGTTAGGCAAGGGAAAATGAAGAAAAAAAATTTTTTGTCGAAATTCTTTCTCAAATGGGCGTATAATGGTGAGTTTCAAAATTTTGTGCTGTTCTTTCACTCCATCATCAAAACTTCCTCATTTTTCAAATAAAAAAATTGGCAAAAATAAAATTTCACCAAAAAGGGTCCGAACCTGCATCATAGGTTTCACAGCGCAAGGCCGCTAGCCACTACACCACGCCGCCTGCTGGCAGCTAGAGTTAGCCGCCGCAACACATTCCCTCCTCCCTTCCAATGCAATTTTTGCGTGCAAACTTTGAGGCGCCCTAACTCGAAAGAAACCAAAAAGGCGCACTTTTTTTCAGCTTTTTTGGATTCAGGGTGTTCGGTAGTACCTATATATCAAGTTTCATTAAATTCCAATACCTCGACCTTTCGCACTTCCCGTGTGAGAGAGACATACGTGTTCTGGCAAAATTTCAAGTTGCTAGCTCAAAGAATAATAATTTTTCGAGAAAAAAACGAATTTTCGAAAAAATCGAATTTTTGCTATTTTCAATTAAAAAATCATAGCTCAACAAAAAAAATTTTTATCAACACAAAACATTGTTAAAACAATATTCGGGACCTAGTACTTGGTTGCGAAGCCCCTGGCGTCAATCACTGCCTGGCATCTTCTCTGCATAGAATTGAGCAAAGTGTCGATGGTAGACATGGGGATCTGATTCCATTCAGACAGCAGTTGAGCAAACTTCTCGTTGCAATTCTTGGCTCTTTTTGTTGGCACAACGTCGCTCCAACTCTTCCCAGAGATGTTCGATCGGGTTCAGGTCCGGAGATTGACTTGGCCACCCCATGACATTGACCCGACGGCTCTTGAACCTGTCCTGAGTTTCAAAAACCATACGAATTACTTGTCAATTTTTCTCACCTTGACGAACAGTGAAGTGTGCTTGGGATCGTTATCCTGTTGATAAACACTCCCACGGCCCATGGCTCTCAAGTGCGGCAACATCTGGTTCTGGAGAATGTCTTTGTAGACGTGCTTGTCCAAGATGCCGTTCACGCGATGAAGCGGTCCGATGCCACTTCCAGAGAAGGCGCCCCACACCATGCAAGAACCTCCACCATGTTTCACGGTGGGTAATTGGTATTTCGGATGATATCTGGACCCAATTGGTCTACGAACCCACTGAATTCCGTCACTCCCGAAGAGGAGGAACTTGCTTTCGTCGGACCACAGAATCTTGTTCCAGTCTTGACGGGTCCAGTTGAGACCCACTTCACCCTGGCGGCTCGATTCTTTTCAGAAATCAGCGGTTTTTTCACTGGACGTCTTCTCATGATTCCAGCAGCATTCAGACGTCGTTTCACGGTCGAGACGGATGGCGGAGATGGCGAATTCAAGAAAACTTCCTGTCTGATCGCAGGGGCGGTGAGTCTTGGATTGGTTCTGGACGTCTTCAAAATGTTCCTATCGTCATTACGATCAGTGACACGTGGTCTTCCAGTGCGTTGGCTGTTAGTAGAGCCATCTTGAGCTTTCTGACGCTTTAGGAACTGAGAAATGCCCGCCTCTGTCACGCCGAACATTCCTGCCAACGTCATCATGGTCAGTCCATTTTGACGACCCACAACGATGGCTCTTTTGTCGTTATCAGTCAAATTCTTTTTTTCCAAAGGTTCTTCCCATGTCTGAAAAACATGAAAAAAATCATATGGCAACATTATTAATTTTTAAAAAAATTTAATAAAAAAATAAATAAAAAAATAAAAGCATAAAAAAACAAAAAAATGGAATTCAATAAAAAAATGCCTAAAACGCGTCACAGTCATTGCGGACATGTCTTTGTATACCGTATACGTTTCAAAGTATATTTTACATTATCCCTGAAAGTTATATATAAATCGGATAAGTACTCGCTGAGATATCCCCAAAAAACCAAAACTTAATAGACTTTTGAGCGGTACTGTATTTCGACATGGGTAGACCATATTTGAACCTTAATTTTTGTGAGCACCACCTCCGTTGACTTGAAACTAAACTTCCTAACCAGATTTTCAAAGCTATTGGACGTGAACCCTTTTAAATCTAGAAGGGTTGCTTCGAAATAAACCTTGACACGTTTTCTATGTTTCCTCCACCAAAAACCTTTGTGTTGGCAAAATTTAAAGTGTTCCCCTTTGAGACTGTTGACATTACACACTGGAAGGACCTTTTCTTCTTTCTTTCCTTTTTTTTGTACGACGGGATCTTGGCCTCCACAGCCAATCGATAAGCTTTTCCGTTTGTTTATTGTCTTGCTTTTTTTCGCTTTTTGACAGGAGGAGCTTTTGTAGTGGGACTTGGTTGGTTGGTGGGATGGATTCGAGGAAAAACGTGACTTCTCCTCCCGAAAGATGGAAAAAGTTGGTCGAAAGGAGTTTTTTGTAGCAAGATTGGTGTTTGAAGAATCTTTTGGGATACTTGAGACTATTCTCGAGAACAAAGAACTAAGAAAAATGAACCCAAAAATCAGAAAATATATGAGAAAAAAATGTTTTTCTTAAATCCGTGCAAAAAAATCAAGGTTATTTTTTTCAAATTTTTTTGATGCTTTTTGGCAATTCCAATCCTTTCTTCAAAATTGTTTCCCTTGAAAAAGCTTATCATTATTCTTTAAAAAACCTATTTTTAAAAATATTTTTGAAAAGTTCTATCGAACAGGAAATTTCCTGATTCAGAAATCCGAGATTTATTTTCAGCCGCCTCCAATTTCTCATTAGTCCTTTTCGGTCGACCGAGATCTGATACGGAACTAATTAATTCGAGTTCAAAAGGAGCAAAAATAAGCTTTCTTTCGGAGAATAGTAGGGAATTTTTGGAAACCGCAAAATCCAGCTTCAAAATCGATTTCTTTTTTCTTGAAATGTGAACGAACAACTGGACGAAACCAAAACGTTGAGGTTCGAAATCAAATTTTCATTTATTAGATGTGGAAATGAGCCCAATAGGAGCCGAAATCAAGACCCATGGAATTTCTTTTCATGCCCATTCTCTTTTTACATAACCATCCCTTTTTGTAAACTCACTTGCAGAGTTTCTGGCCGTCTTTCAGCTGCTCGCGGAAGTTGTCGCGGGTTCCGTCGACGTCGACGTCTTCTTTGATCAGATCCTAGAGTTTTAAACTTTAATAAAACTACCTCAGAGGCTGGAGAATGTTTTTTCACTTTTACATTGAAAAGCTGGGAAAATTTGGAAGGATCCCTATAGGGATTTTGAAAGAGGATTTATGAGGATCCCCTACGCTTTCCCTATAAGGAACCCTAGAGTCATTGTGAGTGACCCCAATATTTTAAAATTTAGAACCTACAAGGACCATTGAACCTGCTAATAGAGAATCAAATAATATGGTTCCGATGAATTTTTCAGGAAAATAGGAACTGTGCTACAGTAAAATGAACTAAAAATTTTCGAAAAAGGGAAAAAAAGACCCAATTTCAAGATTTTTTTCATAATTTTACCAGAATTTTTCTCACCCGAATCCATTCGAGCAGATAGCTGGCCTCGATATCGTTGAATTTGCTGGCTTGCTTGTCGAGAATGGCTCCTGCAAGACATTTATAAATTCATTTAAAAAAAAGCCGAAGAAAAAGTAAGATCTTGAATAATTATTTCAAGGTTATTGAGAAGCTTCTTGAGTCATTCCACATGCGGCCTTTTTAGTTTAAATGAACTGAGAAATCTTCGATTTTCTGTAAATAAAGATCTCTTCATACTTCTTGTTGAAAAAATGAGCCCAAAACGCTCGAAAATAAATAAATAAATGAATAAAATATTAACTATTGAATCCAACAACCGGAGCCCGCAGATTATCGTGACATTGATTGGAATACATTTTGGCGGGCAGTTTTTCGGACATTTTCCGACAGAAATTATGATCAATAAAGGAATTCGCCGTCGTTTCGGAATAGAAAGAAGGTGATTCATTTCGAGAACGGGAGGAAGAACAACAATTTTGGTTCTTTTCTATATAAACAAAAAAAGGAATTATTATTTGAAAACCTATTCATTTAAAAAAACTGGAAACTGTATTTTTCAAAATTTGAAATCGATTTACTTTTATTCAATTAAATGATACTATCTTCTTCGGACCAAATTGAGTTGAAAAATGAAAATAACTGCCTTAAGAACTTTTGAAGTGAAAAAATGAGCGGAAAAAATGTAAAAGCTTTTTTAGGAAAGAAAAGAAAAGAAAGCTTACGAATTAGGAAAGTGAATTAAAATTGTTCTTTTTTTGAGTTTTTTTCAAAAATTTTTCTCTCATTTGCCTTTATGAAACATATTTCAAAAACATTCAGTCAGTAAAAAAAAAACTAAATAAATATTCAAATTCGATCACCTTAGAAACCCCTGAATTTATTGATCAAGCGATCAAATAATATCAATAATAAATATTAGGAAAGCGGGTGATAGCCGATCAACAATGCTCGCACAAGGAAAACTTCAAATATAAGATCTGAAACTGGGAACAAGAGTTAATCCGCTGATTGCGAAAGCCAACCTTGACTTTAAAGATTAATCATTATTAGGAAAAACCTTTAATCATAAAAATTTGAAGCTGCTCAGTAAATTCTAACAGAACTAAAAAAATTATGAAAAAAACTTGAACTCAAATTTTTTTGGAGACCGGTTTGGATAATTATAAGGTTTCTTCATTTTTTTAAACAAAAAAATGCCATTTTATGGAGCGTCAAGCTGCATAGTAGCATCCAACAGAACAATTCGAAATAAAAAAAAAAACTAAGAAAATTCAAACTTCAATAAATAAAGTTCAGGCCAGCCAATCCGGACGTATTATCACATTTTTCAAAAGAAAAATCCTTGATTTCAAGCTGCACAGTAACGTCTAACTGAACCATCCAAAACAAAGAAAAACAAATAAAATACAAGTTTCAATGAAATTATCAGAAACGAGCAAGAGAGGTCTTTCCGTTTGGAAAATTGATAAATTTATCCCAATTTTTCGGAATAAATGCTTATTCCCAAGCTGCACAACAACGATAAAAAAGCATTCGAAAAAGGCAAAAATGATAAAACCATTGAATGAAACTGACTAGGCCTTAAAAATCTTCAAAGGTATGGCCGAACGGATTTCGAATATTCAAAAACAATTCAGAATTTTCTGACAAAAGTCATTGTTGATAATGTTCAAGCTGTACATCAACGACTCACAAAACTATTCAAAACAAGAAAAAAAGACCGTAGGAAACTGACCAGCCATGCCGGAAGGTCTGGGTCGATGGTAGTTCTGGGACATTTTCAGAGGGAAGTTCGGACTGTCGGGGGTGAGGCTCGGCGAGCCTCTCGAGGGCTTTTATACGAACAGCGGTGGGCAGCCCCACCCTCGGTCGCAAAAAGAACGGATCGTGTTTGACTTTTCTGCGTGGGCGCCACGAAATCTTCACTGAAATTCGCTAGCGAATCTTTTTTCGGTTCTTATTGTCCCCCACGCTTTTCTGACTCACCTGATATTGAAAAAAACTGTGAAAGTTCACAGCTTGACGTATCGATTTTCCGGATTTCAGTATAGAAATCTAATTTTTTCTAAGAATCGAACAATGTCCTCTAAGAAGAAGTTTAGGGAGAGGAAAAATCGTTACTTGAAAATAATTGCTGTCTCGCATTCCCAATTCGACTCACTAAAAAAATAACTTTCTTATCAATTTATTTTCTTCGCTTAATTTTTCTTGAGCTTCCTATTGTTTTTTTAAGCACATAACTTGTGAAATTTTTCCAGCTTGAAGAACAAAAAAATTTTTCTAAAAAAAATAAGTGAGAAATTCTGAAATTTTTCTTCATTCTAGCAGTTAAAATAAAACTGAAATCTATAGTAATATTCACTGGGTTAAATTCGCAAACGTAACAGCAAGGTTATTTTGCTTAGCAGTCTGCAATTGAATATTTTTCATAAGTTTTCCACAAGTTCCAAGAGAAAATGATAGTGAAAGCATCAGTTGAAACGAAAAATTTCGAATCAATCAAGAAGTTTTATTCGAACGAAGTTAGGATTTCACTGAAAATTGGCCTAAAGATTCCTTCAGTACCAGATGATGAGCCGTGAAGTCTCCAATTTCAAAACTTCCTATTTTTTTTAAAGGGAAACGTCGAAGACAAAGAAAAACTCAAAACCCCTAAAATAAGCCATTTCTAGATTTCGAGTCCTTATTTCTCAAAAACTAGGATTTTTTGTGAGTTAAAACTTGCAGAATCTTCTTCTGGTACATCGAGAAGTTTTCGGCCGAAATTCAGGAAATTCCGAAACGGAAGGTGAAATGACCTTCCTTTTATGCATCAAAATGATACCTTGTCTATTTTCATGCTCTTCTGGTTCGACTATAAAAGAAAAATATGACTCATCAGGAAAAGGAATTATCGCAAAGTCATGTAGTTCTATCAAATATAGTCACTTTATCACCAACTTCTCACAACCTAATTCTTCTCTATTTCTCTTCTATTATGATTCCTTCATGGTGCGAATTGAATATTTTTGAACTTTTTTTTTTTAGATTTGAATTTAATATTCAATTGCTGGTGCCAATATCATGAAAAGTTATTGTCAATTTACCAACTTTTCTTTTTTTAGGAAATCATAAAATGAAACCGTATTTATTCTTTCATTTTGCTGTTTTTTTGAAATCATAAAAAAATTAAAAAAAATAACAAGATTCTGTCAACGGTTTCACTTGAAAAAGTCGGTCGATTTTTTTGTGATGGCTATTTTTTTCAAGTTTTTTTATGTTTTGAAAAAGGTGGACCTAATCAAATTCAAAAAAATTTGAAGATTTTTTTGGCATTGTTTCATAAAACCCATATTTCTTCATAACAATAGTTCGAAGTCTGAAAAAAAGCTGTTGATTGAACTTCCAAAGTTCCCTTTCATCTGAATTGTTCTATTTTTCGGCAAACACATGCTTTCAAATTATATGGGATACTATTTCTCAATTAAAATATTTCTATTTCAGGACAAATAGAAAGGTTGACGGAAAAAAACTATTTAAAAAAAAGCACGAAATCTCATTTTGAACCGCTAAATTTGGGTTTTTTGGAACTTTTAAACTAACCACAATCCATCTACGCAATTTGGGACGAAAACAAAATTCAAATTGTAGAACCTTGTAAATTTTTCAAAAAACGACCACCATTGAAAATCGACCGACTTTTCGAGCATGTCGGCGATTTTTCGATCAATATCGATAAAAATGAAACTTTTCGTCAAGTTCTTTTTCGAAACGTTCAAAATTTCGAATTCAACCTCAAAAATAGTTCAACTCGCAAGGGATCAAACCACTCGAATGACGTCATGATGATACATTTCGCAACAGAGCGCATATTTACCAACAAAAACGGGCGCCCGGGCAGTTTTTCACCTGTAAAGTTGGAGCGAAAAGTGCCATATATTTATTTAACTCATCCACATTTTCGCGAGCCGTCATCCTTCTCTCGTTTCCTTGAAGTATGTCTTTTTTTCTCGTTTCAAAAGCCTGAAAATGATTAGTAAATTTTGACTCAGTTCTTGGGAACATCTGGAGCGTTTCAGGCCTTTCAAGACACATGTTCCCTTGGAAATTCTTGTGAAGTCCGTCAGGTGAAGGGATACGAAACGCTGTTGATCTTAAGTCAATATTTTCCTCCAAAAATCTGCCTTTTCTTTTCTTTTCGAACAAATAGAAGGGGAGCAACCGATAGCAACGTTTATAACAATGGGAAGAAGGAAAAATTATAACATTTACAGGGGATCAACAACAAATAACAACAAAAACAGAGAGATAACAACGAGGTCGAAAAAAGGTATCATAAAATTCTGAGTACTTTCCAGGCTTCAAACATTAAAAAAAAAACGAAAAATCGAGACAACAAACGCTTTCAAAATCAATAAAAAATCTCAATTAGAAGTTGATAGAAACATTTTCGATACTAAAAAAATCTAAAAACGTAAAAAAAAAATCATCTGTGAACTATTTTTTATCACTGGAGCGTGCTTTCACCTACAGTAATATCTTTGAATTTTTCATTTTCACCTATTCAAAATAATGAACTAGAATTTTTCGGTTACCAAGCTTCTTTTGAGACGAAAAGCTCGAGAAAAGAAAGCATGAAACTTTCAAAAAAGTATGGAATTTTATCTTGAATTCTAAGTTTTTGAAGTTTCAGAGATGGAAAACTTGAAAAGAATGCAAGTTTTAAAAGTGAGGATTTGTTGAGGTTTTACAGATCAAGAGTGGAAAATTTTCGAAGCCTTCTAGAAAATGTTGAAAAAAACCCTTATCATCTGAAAAGATCTAAGAAACAGTTTTTTTGCTTATAAATCAAGATACAAAAAAACTCAACTAGCAAAACTACAAAAAAAGGAAAAACCCCTGTCAAGAAGCGATAATAATGATTTTTAAGAGAAATGTTTTTCCACAAAAATCACTTAACAAAGCAAACTTATAAAAAGAAACCTAAGAAACAACTTTCTGTGGAGGCGGGGGTAACAAGGCCTTCTCGATGAAGAGGGGAGCAAGGAGGGTGAGTGGCGGGAGGGAATGACAAGGTCCGGCGAAGATCTTGGAGGCGTCCGGCTTGGGCTGGACGAGAATCGCCGTGTCCGTCACCACCACCGACTCGACTTTCCTGTTTCCGAGACGTTGGAAGGGCGTCTCCCTCTCGATCGGCTCTTCCTTCGATGTATTCGTCTTTTCCGGAGCACGGAGGGCCAGAATACCCTGGAAAATTTTCGATTTTTAGGCCCGAAAAGGTGTTTTTCAACGCCTAGTCAATCACATCTAAGGCTAAAATATAAAAAAATAAATATAGATTTATTGAATTTTTGGATTATTATTATTATTATCTCATTTCATCCCGTCGACTAGTCGGTCTCTTTGCCGCTCTCTCATGGGATAATATTCCGACGCCCGTCAGCCCTGGACAAGCTGCGCGCCGTACTGTTCCAACATGGTGAAGCAGTTTATTCGCTGGTACTACCAACGGGCCAACATTATTTCCCAACTCCAGCTGTCACGCCGGGACTTATCGGACAACGATTGAGGACCGTAACCCGCACCGACGACTGACTCTTCAATTATACCATGATTCAGCAGAGATTTTTTCTACATCTCACTCTGAAGACTGAATAAATTGTAAATTGAATTTTTGGAGAGAAATTTAGAAAAAAAAAAAATCAAATGAAGAACTAAAGATCTCATAAGGAAGGCAGTTCAATGGAGAACTTTAGGCTTTCCCAAAAATTGGATTTTTCTGCTTTTCTTTACTTTGATGCTCATTTTTTTTTTTCAAAAATGGAATCTTTAACGAAAAATGATGTGCAAGGAAAGATCTAAAGCTGTTTCACGGGGAGCTTCGAAATTTTACAGAGTTTGACCAAAACCGCCTTTTTTACATTTTAGATGAATCTCAACCTATAAAACTTCTAATTTTTCGAAAAAAGAGAGTACTAAAAATCAAAAATGGCTCTATTCAAATATTTTTTTAATCTATGAAACACCGACCGACTTTTGTTGCATTTGCGTGCAATTATTTTTGCTGACAACGAACCTTAGAAGTCTTTGCGATGAAACGGTAATGATCTCTTTTGACGACTCCCAGCTGGATGATGTCGGCTGAGAACTTCCACGTGTTGAGAACGCGGCCAGACAACGGATCGAATTGCATGACTAAACTTGGTTTCTTTTTTATTTAAAAAGAAAAAGCCCACTACTTCAAAAAAATTCTAAATATTCTTTCACCGTGACTTGAAATTTCTGACCTGCCTGCGCTCTCTTTTCCCTCACCGGCGAGGGCAGAGAGACAAGAAAGTGGATTTTGAAAGCGAGAGGCAAAGAGAGCAGATAAATCAGATCGTATAGAGTTATTTGCAATGGAGTGAGTATTTTAACAAGTTCAATTATTTGTTTCATTTTTAACAATTTTTTTTTTCTTACTAAAATTAAGATTTTCAGCTGTTCTGAAATAGTTCGAGGCAATAGAACAGAGGCAAGGAATATTGAGTCAGTCTGATCTCTCCGCGTCTCTCATTTCCCTCACCGGGGAGGACAGAAAAACGTGAAAACAGCTTGTGAAAACGAGAGAGTCGCCGAGAAAAAAAATAAGAATTTTTTTTTCTGATTTTCCGACAAAAATTCCTACCTTGAGAGCCGATAAAAACGAAAGATCCGCTGGATTCGAGACAAACTCCGACTTTTTGCTGGATCCTCCAGAGGACCGCCAAACTCATCGTGTCCCAACAGAAGACGTTCGATTCCGTCGCGATTATCGCGTATCTAATAAAATAAGTTGAACAATCAAAAAGCGAAAAATTGGAAACAAAATAATCACTTTAAGTTGAAACATGATCACAGTTTCTCGACGAATCCAACGAAAACTGAAGGGTTTTTTTTTCAAAAATTTTCATTTCCGTAATGAAAAATTGTATTTTGAACACGATTTCTCCTAATTTATCCATTCAAAAACTCTAAAACTCTCAAAAGGAGACTTCAGCTTGTGGAGAAAAGTAACTTTTGGGATTTTTCTAAAAAAAAAAAAGTCGTTTTTTGTTATTTCTTTGTTTCTCTATAAGAATTTGGCTGTGAACACGATTTTTCCGAAGTTTCAATTAAATCTTAAAATTCTGAAAAGCAAGCTCATAAAAGTCGATTACTTCCATTTGAAAAAAAAAATGTTGAAATGATGAAGTTTTGAATTTTTATTTGTTTGAAAGATTCAACAAAAATCGTAACTTTGTTGAGAATTTTTATAAATTTCCCTGCTTTTTTTTACCTAAAATTTACAGAGTATAAGATTTCTTTAAATTTTCCCTCCAATTCTCACCTCCCAGAACTTTCGAAATCGACGAAAGTGACTTGATCATCGCAGCACAACGAGTCGATCACTCTCATCTAAAACCATGAACTTCTTGAATGTTTTGAAAAATGTGAATTTGAACCGTTTTGACATCCCAAAGGACGAGATTTTGGCTGTGGGCGCTGATCCATTTTCCATCGGCACTTATGGAAGAAATCGCTTCGATTGGCGATTCCTGAAGGACGAGGAAATAAAGAAAAACATAATAAAGGGTGTATATTTATACAGTGTTTAAAACAATTTCACCAAATACGTAAAGTTGGGATTTCGCGAGCCGTTTCAAAAATTGAGTTCTACAACCATATTTCGCGATAAAGCGGCTTTTTACGCGCGATTTTTTTGATTTCGTGAAAAAAATATTAAATATTTTCAAATGTTCAGTTTCATATGTGAGAAAACAGAAAGTTGTATTCTCTTTAAAAACTTTGAAAAGATTTGTGACGTAACCTAAAATCGTCAAAAAAATAAAAACTAGTCTTTTTTTGTTGGCAAGCGAAGCCGAAAAGTGAGATTTGGTTTAACCTTTTTTTCAGAAAAAAATTTTTTTGAAGTTTTTCAGAACCTTCAAAAAAATAAAATACAGAAAAAAACTTCAACTAAAAAAATTGCTAATGAAACTTTTTTTACAACTTATATTTTTTTCCCGTACCTAAAAAAATGCTGAAAACTACAGACAATTTTTCCAAAAGGGACATTGTTAAAAATTTTTTTATATTTATGGAACTGCGAACTTACAAAAAAATACTCCAAAAGAACAATTTAAATTTTTCCAAAGAAGCCCTGAATAAAAAAACGAAACAAGAGAAGATGGGGAAAAAAATCCCAGGACAAATTATCAACTAAGGACCTAACATTTTTGCAAAAACAAAAGATAGAAAGATTTTTTTGAAAAATGGAAAAAAAGGTTATATTATTTGTTAAGAACTAAAATTTAAAAAAACTATTCTACTTTTTCAAAATGAGCTTTGAGAGGAACGGATCAAAAGTATGATGAAAAAATAAAATTCAAAAATTGGAATTTTTCAACTTTTAAGCCCTGAAAATACGTACAGAACAACTATCAATGTTTAAAATGAGTTTAGAGAAAAACAAAACAAGGAAAATTCAAAAAAAAAATTCCCAAACCTGCCAATTTCTGGCCCTCGTCACGTCTTCCTTTGCGTTATTCTCATCGTTGGAAAACTCGTAAACGTGGATTTTTCCACTCTGGGACGCCGTTATGAAAGTCTACAATTCCCTTTGACATGAATTTCTTCATTTTATTTCTACTTTGACGAATTCACTCGAAGAAGCCTTGCACGCGGCCAAAAAGACAAAGTCCGTGGGAACCATCGCCGCCGAGACAAATTCGAATCTTCCCGCCTTTCTTCGCCAGAAACGGAGTTGATTCTGGGAAAATAAGATGTTTGATGGAGTTTATGAGAAAAATTACAAAAAAAAAACCGGATGAACGCATTAAAAATTTCTTGAAATCGAAGAAAAATGTATCAAAAAGCTTTCAAAGCTTGTTTTAACGGTTTTTTTTAAATTCGAATCGTGTATTCCTTCTTTTTTCAACATTATCTTGTCACGAAGAGCCCACATTTTACTCTGTAATTGAAGAAATCGTTTCAAGACCACTTCCAGAAAAAAATTTGCTAATCCCTTGAAATACCACTTTTATCCCCTTCCTGAAGTCAAAAAAACGAACTTTTAATCGTTTTGAAATTTGGAAATTGAAATTTTTGAATTTTTTGTTAACAACTTGAAGTGCGGAACGTTTCGGATACAAAAAAAAACCGAATTTCAAAAACTTACAAAAAGTTTTTCTCAATCATTTTTTTAAATTATCTGAAAACTGGTCAGATTTTTTTTGATCATTTATCCTGAAAAAAATATTGTAATCAGATCAAAAATCGCATTTCAAAATGGATCGGGTAGGCCCGTTAGTGGGTTAGCCCGCGTATATTATTCAATGGACGGCTCTGACCAGTTGTTTTCTGACTATAATCTTTTTTTTTCCTTTTAAAAGTCCCTTTTTTATAACCTGTTTCCATCATGAGCTCATTTTCTTCTTGAATTTAAAATTTGAAATAAATATAAAACTAACCAACGAATCGAAATTGATGAATTTCTCGAGGGTGGCTGCAAAACCGACAGAAAGGGCCATTTCGAGGACGTCTTTGTAGGCGACCCTCACTCCGACCAAAGACATGTCTCCGTCGACCGCGTTATCCAACGTCACGTTCATCTTCAAAATCCCAATAGAGTGAAGAAATTCATCTTTAAAATCATCATATAAAGACTAAAAAATTCCTCATCAAAATCTTCTTCGAATTTCTTCCTAATCATACAAGGGCAAATAAAAACACAAAAAGTCTTGGAGAAGGGGTTTCCTTACAAGAATTTGAAAAGCAAGCAATAAAAAAACTTATTTTTCAACCTCAGGGAGGCGAACCGCGGTATAACGAAAAGATTGACGCTATATCGCGCCGAGAGATTTCGAAGGCTCTAGCCAACCTGGCGCGGAAGAGCGACATGGCGCGATATCGCAACTTTTCAGAATATAAATTTCAGAGAACTTTTTTTCCTAATTTCTCATTGAATATGATGGTTCACATCTAAACAATCGTAAAACTAAATTTCCTTTTTTTTCTGTTTTTTTTTAAAAATTGAATAAGAACAGTTCTAAGCCCCAAATAGCGAGCATTCCATTCAAATGAGAGCGAAAAAGTGTGAAAGCATCGTAACGCCGGGAAAAAATTCGACAAGAACCAGGCGATATCGCTGTCCCACCGCGGTTCATCTTGCTTGTAGTTTTATTTCTTTTTTTGAAGGATAAATGCGATTTTTAACCCGAGGTATTATTGAGGTCAACGACTTTTAAAAATTTTCTGGCTAAGAGTTGATCGTTTTGCGACCAGTTACGCTTCTAATTTGAAGCCCTTGAAACAGCGAACCAAAACAACGAATCTGAAAAAGAGACGAAATGCTACAAAAAGGAGAAAAATGGACAGAAAATTGTTATTCAGGGAATTTTTCAATCGAATTTTTCGACTCTAGGTGAAACGAAATTATTCAAAAAAATTCAAAAGTTCGATTTTTTTAAATTCATATTTTCATAATCAATCAAACAAAAATTCCTCGAAAATTTCAAAAAAACGAGAAAAATTAATATTTTTGAAACCTTTCATATTTTTTTCTGATTTCAAGTCAAAAAAAGAAAAAAACAAAACCCTCAAATTTCCTAAAAAAAAAAAAAAACAAACATTAGCAGATTGAATCCATCCGAGGCTGTCGACCCATTGAACGAATCCCGGTTTCGCGCTCATTATCCACTTTTTTATCGATCCGGGATCACTAAAAATGAAGAAATTGTGAGAAATAATTCATTTTCAATGGGAAAACCTCTTGAAAATGGTGTTCAAGGATCTTTCGCAATAGCAAAAAGTGGGGATAGTTCTCTCCAAAGCCATACTCGACAGCAAGATCACGTGCAGAGAATTGTCTTCTATAAAGAAAAAGGTAGATAATTGTCGTTTTTCTTCGTTAACATTCCTGTTTTTCAACTAAATTTAATAAATAATAAAATGAAATGTTATTCATTAAAAAAACTTCATTTAAAAAGGTCAATTATATTTTAATTGAATGAGAACCTAATTTTTTTAAAATCTATATCTAGCCAAACTGAAGCAAAAAGTTCAAATAATCCCAGACAAAAAAATAACACAAAAAAATGAAAGAAATAAGAAAAAAATAACTTCAAAGTAAATAATTTGGACGAGAGCCTCGGAACGATTTTTTTGAAGAAAGAGTGTGCGAAAAGAAGTTTATACTTCTTTATCTCAATTTTTTTAAAGTCAGAATTTCAGTTCAACTTTGAAAAAAAGAAATTCACGAAAATGGATAGTGATTCTTGCTGTAAAATTAAACATTTTTTTATTTTTTTCAATTTTTGTAATTTTTTTCCGTTCAAAATTGTCTCTCAAAAAAATTTATGACTCTAATAAATTTTTTTAAATGTTTCGCCTTTTTCCATTCATCCATTCGACACTAAAATTGTTTTATTCAATTAAAAATCGAAATCCTTTTTTTCTAGTTTTACGGTAAAAACTATTTCGCTCAGAACTCAACTTTGAAAAATTTTTTTCAGCCCTAAACTAGTTTTTTTCTTTTTATTTAGTAAAAAAATCAACCATAATCAGAAGCAGACATCACTGATTGGTTTAAAAAAATAGGATTTAAAAAGATGATAAATCGGCCTAGAAAAAAAATGATTGAAAATAAGATCATTTAAGCTCTCAGAGCCTTCCTATCGATTTATTTGATTTTTCGTGATTTTGTGAGATGTTGGTGGACCACTAACCCATGAGAAGGACGACACGACTTGCATCGGGGGAAAGTTTCAGCCGAATGACTGGGGCGACGAGACGAGGCAAAAACGTCGGTTTGGCTCCTTTCGTACTGCGGACCAAGGTACATTCGGCCCCCGCGGAGACGATATTTCCGAATGGAGTCAGTTCGAGTTGTGGGGCAACCTAAAATCCTTCTATTAAGGAACTACAAAAGTTTTTTTTCAAATGTGAATTTTTCCGCAAATAAATATTTCAAATATAAATATACTAATTTACGATCTGAAATATCTGAAAGAGATCAACTCGCCTTGTGCCAATGAAAAGTGTGAGCTTGATCAGAGACTCCAGACGTTTGGAAGTTTGACCTGAAAGATTGTTTTATGAAAAATATGCGCTATTTGAAACAGGAACCAGAGATAAATTCGTCCGTTGGCCATTGTAACCGCCAAAAAGTTGTCAACGGCCGAGGCGCGGATAAATTCGTTCAAATGCTTCCCATCGCCCAATCCGATTCCTTAAAAAAACCTTTTTGGAAGACTTTGGTGACTAAAACATCTAGAAACAATATTTTTGGTCTCTATCTTATGGACAAAAAATTCAAATTTTTTTGGATCACAAAAATTATAATTTTCAAGTTTCATGCAACTTCCGCTCAAAAAACCCCTCTAATTATTATAAAAGGCTCCGAAACTTGGAAACACTAGAAAAAAAATCCAAGAATTGCCTTGAACTTTAAAAAAACAGCTTTTTTGGAAGTATTTTCCACAAAAATCCATGGCAAAGTTACTCAAACTTTAAAAAAAAGTTTCTCCTGAAGTGAAATATGCAATTGGAAAAATCAAAAAAGAACCAACTTTCCGCCCTGCTTTCGTAGATGAAAGAGCTCTTCTTGGGTTTTTCCTCGAAGCAAGTCTGAGCGAAGACTTGATTTCCCTGGCAATAGGCCAGCATTTCTCCCTAAAAAATCGACAAATCACTGAAATTGGATGAGATTTCGAACATGGATGGCGATTTGTTCGGCGCGAATTTCGGCAGGAACTTCGACGACTTTCTCGATTGAACTGTCCGGACAAATGTAGCACAAATCGGCAACTTCCGAGTCTTCTCCCCGTTGGATCACCAGCCAAATCTCGAACTTTCGTCCCGTTTTCTTCGGTCGATCGACGAGAAATGCGGCGCTGAGAAAAAAATTCACTTTCCTTCAAAATCTGAGTTTCATCGATAGTATTATTACATGAATATATAAAAAAATTTCGTAAATAAACCCACTTAAAAAGATTTTTTTAACAAAAAAATGAATAAAAACGCATTTTTTTGAAATCGTATATTTTACTTGACCAACATTATACTTTTTTTCGAACATTTTTCCTTCTGTTTTTAATATAAAAAGAAATTTTTTTGGAGCTTTCTGTGAATTGGCCAGAAATTCTACCGCAGAATGCTTGTAAACAGTGAAATAAAGGCCAAGAAATTCTCCACTTGCAAAAATTTGCTCGAGAAAAAAACCATTTCGATCTCTAAGAAAACTTTTTTTGAAAATAATGGAATGTTCTTTAAAAAAAATAACCTAAAGGTGCACTAATTATCACGGAATCTTCATCTCAAAAAAATGATCAAAAAAATAATCAAAATTGTAAATTAAACACTTTTTTTCAAAAGTTATGATGTAAACTTAAGCAAATAAAATCCAGAAAGGTTTATAAATAGTCGAACTGAAACATTAAAATTATGATTAAAACAGGAAACGAGGTCAATTTTTTTGAAAAAAACACCTCAAATCCAAAAAAATACCCTCGAAAAAAATTCGGAAGATTTTTAAGCTCCACTTTCAAAAAAATCAAATAAAATATTTCAAAGTTCATTCCTTGACTGAAAAAAATGAAAAAAATATTTTTGTTACTGAATTATTGAAAATATTAAGAATCTTATCACCTAACAGGAAATGTGCTTACTTTTTTAAAACACTTCAGATTCATAGGAAAACCCTTGAAAAAAGGTTTCACTTGAGAAAAATTATGTGTACATTCAAAGAAAATTTTATGAAAAATCCAAAAAAATGTAAACTGATATGACTTTTTTTACACGTTTTATCATTGATTATAGAACAAATGCTAGAAATAATAATAATAAAAATATAATGGATAGACAAATATTCGAACTGAAACATTAATGATATCGACAATCTTCTCACCTGACAGGAAACGCGGTCACTTTTCTGCTCGAAATTTTCGCCGGGCCTTCCTCGTCTTCATTTTCCTCCAGTTGCCATTCACTCACATCCCCGTTCTCAGTAACCGTTATCAGCTATAAAATGAAAAATACTGGATGACTTTCTAATATCAAATTTTTTTTCAAAAATAAAACAAATGTCATAATTACACATCAGTTCATATATGGTTATTATTGGTGTCCATCTCCATTCAAATTACAAACGATATCAAATAGACGAAACCAACTGAGAGGCAACGGCCTTAAACTCGAACCACCACCAATCCATCATGTTCACTATAACTTTATTACGCAACGCGTGTATAAATACTGGAACGGCTTAAACAGAGTTATGGTTTTTGAGGATGACCAAAGAAGATTTAAAAGTTGTTTGAAAAAAATTGGTTTTTTTGAAAAGGAAGCTGCAAATTTCACAAAATGATTCAACTCGTTTATAGATTACTTTTTCTTTTTTTGATTCTCTTCGATTTCGACCTAAAAATATTCTTAGATTAAAGTGGAACTTTATCGAAGTGGAGGCAAATATAACTTTCATGGTTCTCTTCCTCCACGCCACAGATCTGTCTGTGAGCGAAATAAACATTTCAAGTAGAAATTTTTTTAAATATGTATTGAGCCAATTTTTTTATTATACAAGTTATACTGAGGCTCCATTTCAGACAAAAAAATGATTTAAAAAAATTTAAAATAAAGGAAAAATTTTTCTAAACTTTAAATCAATTCTAACTTTTGAATCTGTCAAAATCGCACGCTGAAATAATAAAGCCAAGTGGAAATTCAAGGTTTCTATTCAAAAAAATACATTTTTTTGAAACTGCATAAAATATTTGTTTATGAAATAAAAATGATAAGAAATGAAATTTCTTTTGAAACGGAAAACCTAAACTCAACATCGGATTGAAAAAAAAAACTCACAATCTTCTCTTCGACGAAAAACGAGGCAATGAGAAGAGAGTCGTGGGCCAGAGAGACTTTCGTCCCTTTCCCATTGTAAAAATCACAAGAATGGCCCGAGCAACAGGCCAATAATCTGAAAATCGTAATAATTATTGAGAACATTGATAATTTACAACTCACTCGTTGTTCTCATGCACGGAAATGTGCGAAATAACCGATCCGAGGACGGTTTTCTCGACCCAATTGAACGTTTGTTGCATTCTGAACGCGAAAAAAATGGCTTTGCGAATTGATTGAAGTAATCGCTTTGGGCTTTACAAAATTCATATAAAATTTTTGAAAGAGCCCCACAATATTTCTTTTAAAAAGTTTAAAAAAAATCATCAACTTTAATACAAGACAAGAACTTTTAAAAAAACAATCTAGTAAAACTAAAGTTCTGAAAAAAATTGTAATTTTTCGAATATAAATTCAATCTTGGCCATAATTGCCATGGCAGATTATTTTTAGCAAATCGAAAAAAATTTAAGAAAAAATACAATTTTTGACCATTAGAATTTCTGAAAGTCTAGCAAAATTTATATTAATAAATCAATTATAAGAAATCTTTCAATCAACAATTTTTCTAGCTGTATTTGAGAAGTAAATCAGTGAACTCGATTCATAACAGCTTTATGTGAATTTGAAAATAAACTTTGAAAAAAAAATTCACCACCATATTCCCAAAAAAAGTCGAAAAAGAATGAAATAATTAATGTGATAAAGTCCTCAAATTCAATTTTAGATGAAAAAAACTCTGATTTCAGGGATTTTTTTAGGTCAAAAAAGTATGATCAAGCTGTTATTTACAAACCCTACAAATGAAAACTTTTCTCGAAACTAAAATATAACAAATGTCTCGAGACATCATACCATTCCGAAAAATCCAGAAAAAGACCGAAAATAATTTATTAAAACCGTTTGACGCAAACAATAACCCATTCGAACTGGCAATAAATTCCAAGTGAAATGATCGGAAAGGAAGGCAAGATAGCGTTGAATAGAGTGAGGCAAGCGATAGAAGCACCCAAGAAGCACCAGAAGAAGTTATACATTTGACAGTTTTTACAGCAAAAGAAGTGGGTATCAGAGGAAAATATACATATTATACAATTTTGTGCAGCTCGTTTTTAGTGTACATGGCGTCGATTCTGCTGTAGACGTCGGATCCGTCGGCGACGACGCGGCGAACGAATTCTTTCAATTCGTTTTCTTCAGCCAGTCGCCCTAGAAATTCAAAAATGGAAAATGAAATTTTAAACATCACTGCTGAAACTCCCACTCATTTGTTTTTTGATTATTTAATCAATTCAAAAAAAAGCTGTCAATGAAAGACGGCACACGAACTCCGCGGAAACGTAAAATCACCTCAAAGTTCATCAAGAAAAAATCTTCCAAGCGACCCTAAAAGATACTTTTATTTCCCTTTTTCATCTTGTTTCTAAAAAATACCCTCGGAATTCAAAAAAGATCCTCTGAGGCTTTAAAAATTACTTCAGAAAACTCTTTTTCATCATTTTCGGATCTTTTAGCGTAACATTTTCAGCTCCTCATAAGGCTCCTCAAAGAAACTTTTTCCGTTTTCCCTATAAAACTTTTGAATGCATAATGAAACGTACTTTCTACAGTTTCCTATATTTATTAAGTCAGTTTACGAGAAATTATGAATTTTCATTCGATTTTGATTGAAATCTGATTTTTCAACCCTAATGGAAATGTAAAAAGACAGTTTGATTAGATTTGGCTGACGGAATATCTGATTTCAAAAAAGTCACAAAAATAGACACTCTATTATAGACTGCACATTTCGGATTCTAATAAAATTATGGCGCTTCGAAAACGCCTTTTTTTCTTTACTGAAATGATCTTTGAGGTGGAATGATACTTTCAAAAACGCCAGAGTGCTCCCTATAGGGGTATTTAAAGGTTCCCCTCTGAGAACACACTACCTTCCTTAAAGGGGCTTTAAACTTACTAAAATTATTCCTATAGGTGACATTTTTGTCATCTATTGTTGTAAACTCTATGAGATGAACCATTTTCATGCAAAAAAACTCAATAAATTATCGTTTTTTGAATGAAAAAAATATCAACATTTTGTCTCAAACCCTGAATTAGATTTAAAAAAAAACCTTTGATACAAGTAGTGAGACGTTCCTTTGAAGGCAAGGTGTGAACAGCAATTCCGACGGCTTTTCTCACTATCCAAGGGTGGTGTCTAAACATCAAAACATTGAAAAATAGTTTTTAGAAGAAAAGATAAAGTAGGAATTGGACCATAAACTTCAGAAAAAATGACTTCGCCAGTGTTTTGTCGTAAGAAGTTCTGCAAATCTGCGGCATACTGTCCGAATCGGCGGCCTCCGTCGCCGAATCCAAAAAGTCCATCACGAACTCGAGAGCTCTGAAAAGAAGGGAACGTTTCGAATGAAAATGTTAACAAGAGACCTATTGAGAAGCAAAACCGAGGCGCAGCAGCTTTTTCCCATGTTTTTTCCGCCTTTTTCAGTGACGATCATCTTCGCTATGGAACAATAGTCTTTTGGGTTCTGGAAAGAACAAAATGAGAAAAAATTACATTTTATCAGGATATAATAAAGCTTCTGAAACTTTTCAATATTAAAATAATCCTATTTCAGAGCTTTTTCTCGGTAAGTAAGAGAAAATTGAACTTTGGGCTCTAAATATTCGGAAGTAAATGCGTTTTTTTTTCAGTTCGTCGTTGGTTTATTATATACTTTTTTGAAGGAAACTTAGTCAAGGTTCACAAAACATCCGAAAAAAAAAATCTTGTTAAATCATTTGAGAGAGCTTCTTTTTAACCTGACTTTCAAAATAGACTCGAGACTTTTGGTACTTTAAAAATTCTCGAAAAATTTTTTGAACAGCTCAAAATGCTTTTTATGGATAATTTCTATTAAAGTTAAACTTTGCCGCATTTTTAGAGAAAAAAACCTTCTCATAAAATGAATTGATATTCCTTATCTTCTCGTTGACATCTTTCTGTACAAACTCGAAAATCCTACCCAGCATTCCAATGAATCTGTGAAATTTTCAGAACTTTATTTCACTTGTATCTTCAATACTCACTTGGAAAGTTCTTCATAGACCCCTGCAAAATGCTTCAAGTCGACATCTCCGCCGTCCAATCTACAAAACTGCAGTTCCTTGGCCACTGTAGCAATACAAAAAGAATCGGATGTCGGAGCTGGAAAAGGCCTCAAAGTAATAAAATTGCTAAAGAACTCACATTGAACGCTACGCACTTCAGAACTACCTTTCACTGCGTTCATATCTGAAAAATAAAAAATGAAATACTTAAAACATACGTTAACTTATATATGGACATATAATAACTTTACGGAAGCAATAAAATTATTTTTTTAAAATGGAAAAAAAGATTTCGGAAAGGACCGATTTAAAAAAATTTGAAATTCTTGTTTATATACAACTCAGATAACAAACGTCATTTGGTCTCTAGAACAGCGTCAATGACGCGTCATGTGAAAAAAAATTGAACATAAGAAACCAACAAAGTTTAAAAGCTTTGAACTTTTTGAAAAAAATTTTTTTATAAATATTACGGTGAGCACGCCATATGTGCACAAAATGCGGAGAACGCAGCACACCCTACGACGCTTTTTTCAAATAAAAAAATTATTCGTTTTTTCAAAGTTAAATGCGTAAAATGCTTTGCAATCAAGGAAAAAGGCTTCGAGATAGAAGAATTTGCTCTTTGGAGCTTCTTAGAGCCCTCAAAACAAATTTTTTTGATTTGAAAGCATGTTCTGTTCATTAAATCGGTTACTTTATTTTTTTCCTTCTCAAAGGAATTTTTGTTTTGTTTTTTTATTTGGGTTTTTCAGTTTTAAAAAAATTTTTTTATGGTGTTTGAAGGGCCATTGACCAATCTCATGGAGTTATCGAGGCGAAATGTTGATTTCATTAGAGTATTTAGGTTATTGAAGTGTTTAGTGATAAAAAAAACCTCCAGAAAGATTTTGAAAATTTTTTTTGTATTGTCGAGAGTATACATCATGTTATGTAAGAAAAATTTGTTTTTATTGATAGTTTTGCAACTAGAATAATCGTGTAAATTTCTTCGTTGAACTCTAATATTGTGTACTTGTTTATCTGAAAACCTTAAGGGAAATGGATGGTTCCATCAACGGAGGTGGTCACCTGGACGGTGGGCCTGAGGTGATTCTGAAGATTTTCTTCAAAAATATTATCTTTACCAGATGTTCGAAGCAAAAAACGTGTCCGACCTTATTGCTTTCAATGAAGCTTATCGGGAAATCGTGGACACGGCGATCCAAAAGTTCGAGGAGGCTGTGATGCTGAATTTGGAAAGAGCGGTAAAAACTTGAATCAAAAAAAAAAAATGTTGGAAAATGCGATATTTCAGGCCTATATCAAGGATCAGAAGGATCTCGTGAAAGCGAGTGAGTTCATGAAAAGAAAGATCCCGGTAAATCAGTACATGCCGCCGTATTTTAAAGACGACTGTGGAATGGTCGGATTTCATGGATTTTTTCGGAAAAATATCTTTTTCAGTGTCCTCCGATGAGTGCCGAAGCCAAGGCAAAACTGCAGTTGAAGTGGTTCGATCCGCTTATGAAAGAAGATAAAAAGTGTGAGTTTTCGAGTAAATGCTTATTTTTTGCTCTTTAGTTCACTATTAATTTTTTTTTTCATGCGGAAATTTTAATTATGAATAGGCCTTAGTTACATTTAAATTTTTCACAAGTTACTACTAGGGGCAGTTTTTCTTGTGTGTTTCCTAAACCCTGGGGTTTCCAGGGACGCCCGCAGAGCTGAAACTTCTTCGTGGCGGCGTCAAAGATAATCTCATTTGCCAACAAGTTGAACTATTAATCAACAGAAGGTATTGTGGAGGAAGATACATAATTGAAGATGTTTTCCAAGAGAAATAATCGCGGCGAAACTGAAGACCGCCGACGTGAACATGATGTCTGTGGAGAGACGGCAACTCGTCACCGATTTGGAGGAAATCATGCGCAAAATCGCCTATTTCCGCAATCAGAAGGACGAAGATGTTCTTCTTCCGGCGACCGATTACTCGAAAGTCCGCTTCGATGAGATCGCTTCCACCCTTGTTCGTGTAGTTTCTCTTTTTGGGAGGGAATATCCCAAGTTTCAAACAGATTCTCATGATGGTTAAACAGCCGGGCTATCAGCGGGTCTACCCGAATTAAACCCGTATTGTTCTTAAACTTTGGCGTTTTTAAGCATAGCTGAGGCATATTTTTAAAACAGTTGAGGCTCGGATTTTCGAAAGAAATCTGCCTATTTCTTTTTATTTTTCGTCGGTTTTAGACGAAAAAAGCCTCAAAAAACACGGGATTAAAATTGGCATGAAAGGTTTTAGAAAATCAAGAGAAGTTGAGGAAGCAGGGAGACCCGTCAAACCATTGAAATATTAGAATTTTGACTCCGCTTTTAATATTTTTTGAACAAAAGCTGCGAAATTGACCTGATTCACAAAGTTCCTGTATGCCCCATTTTGACCAAATTTGCGTCGAATTTTACTTTTCTGACGTAATTGATCGAAGTTTTCTTTTTCCTATAGTTTTTTAAAAATAGTTGTCGTAAATTTTGAACTTTTTTTTTGTTTGATAGGGAAATTTCATTGGACTTTGACTTTTTTCAAAAAAAAAAAAAACTCGAAAAGACCGAAGAAGATTTCTAGTTCAAAGGAGGAGTTCTAATCAATAATAAAGAATATGTATTCAAAATAAAGATGAAATATTCATTTTTTTAGTCGAAAAAAATTGAGTTTTTTTGGATAATCTTTTTGGTTCAGTTCAAAGGACAGCGAAGCGGGAACGCACTCAAAGCGAAATGGATGAACGAACAATCGCCCAAATGGAGCAAAGAGCCGTGGACGGCGACCGAAGTCGAAACCCTCAAGGACCTCAGAGAGGTTAGAAGAAAAAAAAACATTTTTTTTCAGTTTTTGAGTGGAAAATAACAAAAGTATGGAAAGAATTATCAGAAAATTATGTTTTTTCATTTTTTGATATAATTTTGCTCGAAAATCAAGTAGATCTTCGAAATCACGAAAAGTCTCAACAGAACATTCGAAACTCCTAGGCCCGATTTTCACAAAATAAAACGATTTTTCAGAGTCCGGAGTTCGTTTCCTGGCCCCTTCTCGCCCTTCAGTTGAACACCAACAGAACTGCTTTTCAATGTTTCGAAAAATACAAAACCGACGTCGTTCAAATCAGCAAGTGAATATTTTTCCTCAAAAAGGGTGAGAAATGTCATTTTTGCAGAGAATGGACACAGGACGAGGATCAGAAATTGATCGGATTGACCAAAGTTTTGACGATCAATGGCGTCATTCAATGGGATAAGGGTGAGAATGTTGTGGACATTTACTTTCTTTTCATGAATTCGCCATTTTTTTCATTTTTTTGAAACTTTTTCTGCATTCTTCATAGCGCGTTCAAAGCGATTTGCGCGAAATTCTTATTTATCTCTGGCTCTCCAAAAATTAAGTTATCTTTTTTTCCCTCTCTGACGATTATTTTTTTATTTTTTTGCGGGATATCTTTCAACATGGCATTACGGTTTCAAAAAGTGAAATGATAGAATTTTTTTCAAACAAGGAAAAAAATTCCAATCTTAAAAAAATTTTCGTCAACCAAAATTTTTCTAGAGGATAACAAAGATTTTTTTTCCAACTTCAGAAAATAGATTTTGTGAGAAGAAAAAATAAGCACGTTCAAAAATTATATTCTGGTTTCGAATTTTTCATAAAAAACAATTGAGTGAGATGTTGGATTTTTAAAAATTGAATCGAATTTTCTAACCTTGTGACAAACTTTGATCGCGATTAGTTTATTTTCTGCCGAGATATGGATTTTTCGGAGCTTTTTACCGTAATCCTTTGTCACCGTATCTGGAAAACATGCCGAGTAGGATATCTTTTTTCAACTAATTCCAAAACTCGTGCTGTACAAAATATTTGATTCAGAGAAAAAGTTACCATAACGCCGTATTTTTTTTTCAAGTAATCTAAAATTCAAATTTCGCAGAACAAGTCGGCGCCTACATGAGTTTTCTTTTAAAGATATTCGATAATTTTTCATTTTTCTAGTCGCTCAGTTCATGCCGGGACGTAGTCGGCAGCAAGTAAGAACACGATTTTCGCATACTTTGGACTCCCAAGTGAAACATGGGCGTTGGACGGATCAGGAGGACCTGGTGAGGGACCAAAATTCAAGAAAAAGACTGAAATAATCCAATCTCAGCTCCTCATTTGTTCCGTGAGCCGTTTGGGGGCAAAAGATTGGTCGAAAGTCGCCTTGGCTGTGCCGGGACGAAATGATTCGCAGTGTCGTGAAAGGTATATATTCAAAAAAACGATTACATAAATATTTTTGTATACATTTCACATTTTGAAGTTTTGGTTGGAACGTATTTTTGAAAGTCGATTTGAGTTTCATTCCTTTAAAAAGTTTTTTTTTTCTTTCTAGAGATACTTTGAAGCCGGACTGACTCTTTCCTTTCTTCTTTCTTCAAAAATGAAAAAAAAAATCAGATTTTCATATGTTAAGAAGAAGAAAAAAAGAGTATGAAAGTCTTTCGAATTTATCAACAAAAAAATTTTTCTCGGATTAAAAAAAGTTTTTAGCTTTTTATTTTTGACTGAAAAGCGACTGCGCTTCGAAATTTCTCTAAAAAAAGAATTTTTCTGTGTTTTTTTCCGCTTTGAAAAAAACGTTTTTCCTTCATGTTTTTTTCATCTGAAAAAAACTTTCGGAAATATTCGAAGACCCATTTGAAATTCGAAAAACTGATGAGGATTTATTTCAATTGAACAACATTTTGAAGGTTTTTTTAAAAGTTTTTTTGAAAATTAAAAAGTGATGACCCGAAAATAGTCAGATTAACGTTCCAATTTACGGTTTTCTGTGCCTAGAATAAAATTTAAAAAAAATTTATTTTGGGAATTCATTTCAGGAATTTTTGAACTGTTTTATTTGTTGTTGTCTAACTTTTTTCACTAGTGAATTATTTGTTGAAATGAGGCTCCCGAAAATGAACAATTCTTAGTTCAAATAATCTGGATGGCAATTTCCTTAACACCCTTCTCATTTTTAACTATTTAAGATGGGTGAACGTCTTGAATAAGCCGTCGAATTCCGACAAATTCACGGCCGAAGAAGACGAACAGCTTCTGTATGCCGTCAACGTCTTCGGAAAAGGTACATTTCTTTATATCATGTTTCGAAATGTTTCGAAATTGAGGAAATTGGGCGAAATGCGCGGCTTTCATGAAGAACAAAAATTGCCGACAGTTGCGCAGACGCTACGTTCAGCTCATCTCCACCAAACTCAAGGTTTTCTTTATCCTTATGTTGTTTTTTTTATCAATTGAAATTTTAGTAAAATCTTGATAACGTTTCTCAGAAGCAGTAAAAATTGAATGGTTTGCTAACTTTACCAAAATGATGATTTTTACGTGTAACTTTGCAGGGAGAAAAAGAAAACTCGTAACTTTCATTTGAAATTTTATTGACGCGTGAAAGTCGTTTTGTGGTCGGCTGCAAAAATTTGACTAGAATGAAAAGAGTGTAAAATTGCTCGAGTGAAAAAGTAGGGAAAAATTAATTTTAGTAGTTTTTTTCAAAGCGTTTGAGGAAATTTCGAATTTTTTTATTTAGAAAATTTTTGATTTCCTTTCAATTTTTTTCTTTGGATGGTGCGATTTTTTTAAATTTCCGAATTTGAAAAATTTTTTTCTTTCAAAATCACACCGAATTTGTACAGAAACAACGAAAATAGTAACTTTTAAAAAAAGTTGGAAAAAGTTGTCATTTTTTTCAATACTTTTTCATCCTTTTTTTAAATTTGCAAATTTATTTTTTTCGATTTTTTTCCATGAAATGGAAAGAAATTATTTTTCAGCTGGTCACCGGACAATGCACGGCAATGAGCTCCTTGACGCCAATCACAAAAAAATGCGGACCCAGATGAAGCAGATGCTCCCGCTCCGCCGAAAATCCTCAGGGTTTTTTTCTTCAATTTTTACTTTTTTTCTCTAAAAAAATAAAGATTTTTAGGTCTTCAATAAACTCGCCGAATACGCCGAATACGATGACGAAACTTGCGACGATTTCCTGAAACGCGTCAATCAGGCAACTTCGACCCAGAGGGCTGGGGTGGGACATTTTTTGAAGTGTGACAGAAGTGAAATAGAGATCAAAACAGAATTTTTTTAATATAAAAAAACGTATCGGATTGAGAGGTTTGGATGCTAAAATTTTAGGAAAAGGAAAAAATTGAAGTTTTTCTAACCGAAATTAGAGATTGCAGCTTTTTGAAGAATTTACCTGGTTTTTCAAAAAGGAAAAAGATCAAAAAAATTGGGTGGATGGGTTTGAATAATGGGCGCTTGGGAATGAACGAAATCTTAAAAAAATGATGAAAATTCGAAAAATTTCGTGGTTAAAAAAATTATTTATATATAAAACTGATAGAAATTTTATAAAAAAAATAATTTGAAATTCAAAAAAAATAAAATAATGAACCGACACTACATTTTTCCATAAGACTATGTAACTGAAAAGCTCAAAATTCTCCTTTTTTGGGTTTTTCTTTTTCTTTGAAAATTATTGATATTCTATTTTGAGTACTGAGATTTTTTAAAGGACCTTTTCTTTTCAATAAAGCTGCTAATGAGACGGGGCCCTGTAGCGACGCGACCGAGCCATTTTCTTTAATTTTTTCACAAATTTCTTTTCGAAAGTTTTACTCATTTTCAACTTTGCGCGGGTCACCCAGATCGCGTGGCGCTCTGTCGAAAGCTTTGATGTTCAAGCAGTTTCCCAGTTGAATTCCATTTTCGTTCACAGATGGCTCAGCGCTACGCGAAACTGCGCAGATCAGAACATTGGGACACGATCGAGGCGAATCTGAACGAAATCAGCGCCAAACATCGTTCTTCCACGGAGGAAATCACCTCGAATGACATCCTCAGGAAGCTTCATATCACTGACAAGTTTTCCTATTTTCTGTATGGATTTGATGGATTTTGTATCGATTTTCAGTGATGTCCGATACTTGTTGGAACGGGGAATCCGGCAGAAAATGTTCTATCGATGCAGATTGAACCGAAGGGTTGGTTTTGCAAGAAAAACTCATACCGAAGAAAGAAATTATTTTAATTATTTTTTTCGACCAATTCAAAAGAATTTTTTTCGCACAAAATCCTGTATATCAGTGATAAGTATACTATCGTTCGTTGCAAACAGTTTTTCGAATTTTTATTAGCGCAGAAATCGAAAATTACCTGAAGTATTCCTGAAAACGGGTTATCACTCGAGTGACCACTTTTAAATGGTCTATGCTCCTATAAAAAATTTTTTAACTGATTCAATTTGGAAAGAACTTTCAAAAATACCAACATCCACACGTTTTATTTTCTTATATTATTTTTATATTGACCTTTTTTTTGCTCCGCGGTTTCCCCCCAAGTTTCCATATGTTTCTAAAAGAATATATAAACCGTGTACGAAGGAATTCAGACTGTTTTGACCATTTTTATCCTCAAATTAACGTGTTATTCATTTAAAATGATTTCGCGAAATATATTAACGAGATGTGGTGGCTTTCACGCGCGATTTCAAAACTTTCGTTGAGAATATTTCTAGAATTGCAGTTTTGCGTAGTTGAATTGCCGCAGTTGAAGATTTCGTTGTTTGACCCAGTTTTTCTAACGACTATTTTTAATTTTACGTATTTCGCAAAATTCGAATAGCGCTTGAAATCGCCTAAATTACTATGAAAATGACATGATAATGGTAATTTAGTCGCAAATCTCGGTGGACCGGAATATTGGCGGCCGACTTCGACCCGTGAAAGCTCCACAGGACATTGCACTGCCGCAGTTGACGATCAGCATGCCCGAGGTTCATTTTCTTTCTTTCAAAGTTGTATGAAGAACAAGTTTTTCGACTTTACTACTTTGATTTTCAGAGGAAACAGGGTTTTTTGACAGCTTTTTCCGTGAAATTTTCAGATTTTTGAGTTTTTTTCTGAAAAAAAAATGACATTTTGAGAATGAAGCTCAGTGTGTATGCCGTTTGTTTTGCGAATTTCAAAATAACCGTCAGAGAGAGAAAAATAGAACTGCATTTTGGAGAGTCAGAGAAAGTTTTGAATTTTGCCGAAATTAATTTGAACACGACATAGAAATCTTTCAGAACTTTTGAGAGTAATTAAGAGAGATTTTAATCTAAAAAAAACACCATAGAAACAGTTATGTAGAATAAATAACAAGGTGGGTTTTTTTTTCTGAAAATATAGGCTTTTGAAGTCTATACCAACGCTCTTTCGAGGCTGTTCCTTTGAAAAGGTCCTTTTTTAAAAATAATGAGATTAAGAAAAAAAAAGAAGGTCTTATTGTCGAGAAATAAGTAAGAAAGATTTTTTTATTTTTTTCGATGGTTTTTTTCGTTTGATACGTTTTTCAAATTATTTTCAAATCAAAAAGAGAAGGCCAATATTTTTTTAAAAGTGACTAGGAAAACGAAAAGAAAAATGTTTTTTTATCCAAAAAAATGAGAGTTCGTTCTTTTTGGTAAAATCGTTCATAAAGTTACTCTTTTTTCTCAAATTGGTCAAGTTAATTCAATTTTGATGGGAATATTTCCAAAAACAATCGATTTCAGGACGAGAAAGTGATGTTGCTGGTGGAATCGCTGTGCAACGTCGTCCGGAAACAGGACAACTTCCACTGGTTCCAGATTTACAGGCGTTCCTTAAAGGTCAAGGTCAAGACCTGGGCCCAGTGCTATCTCTCCAGGGTATCCTTGATAAGAATCATCAGTGATCATATTCCGGATTCGAGGTTCTGAACGAAGAAATGAATGCGGTGGTGAGGGAGAGGAACGAGGAAAGATATTGGCCGCTTTGGTCGACCCTGGCTCCCAACACGGCGACCCTCGCCCTCCAGCACATTTTCGAGGTAATTTCCTCCTTTCAGGATTTTTTAGAGGTAAAAGTACACGGAAAACTCCAGAAGTTTAGGTTGGGTTAAAATTTGAAAGTATTCTAAGTTAGAACATTTTTGTAAGAAACCTGCAAAGTTTGCAAAAATCATAAAGATCTCTGAGCCCACATAATAGAAGAAAAAAGTGCTTAGTTTTGAAAAACATTAATTTCATAAGCTCTTTTATGCTGGGGTTTTTAACATTCTTCGATTATCTAAAACCAAAATTATCAAATTTTGTTCTCTAAACGATTTTAAGTACCCTGAAGTGAGCACTCGAGAAGCAAACTTTTATTCTGAATTTATATGCTCGTTTCATTTAACGGAACTTTCAAAGGCAGGCCGAGTCAACGACTTGGTGAAAAAAAAAGGTCTCAAATTTTCTAATGTACACTTTAAAAACGTTCGAAATTCCTTAAATAGCAACAAGGATTAGAAAAATTAGAAAACTGAACAAAAATATTTAGAATACTCAACCCTTCTTCAAAAAGGCTTGAAATTTAAGAAGAAAAAGTAAAATATAATATTTTATTTTCTCAGATATTGTAGAAATTTGTCGGAACTTTATTGAAAAAAAGGAGAAAAAAATCATTTCGAACGTCACATGAAATAACGATAATTCTACTTTTTCTAGAAAGCTCGTGAGCCTCTCAACAAACTCGCCTCGAAAATCTACCTTCCCGTCGAAATCCCCGAACGCGACCGCAAGGAATTCACAGCCGAAAAGCGCCTGAAACTCACTGTTTGTGGATTTTGACTAGAAAAATGGATTATTTTCTTGTGGCAGGGCAAGGATCGACTCGAATCACGCTGCCGTCGTCGATCACCGGCAGCGAGCAGTACAAACTTTTTGAGGTCTTTTTTTCATTAAATATTGTTTTTTTCATAACAGAAAAAGCATGGCCTACTTACAGAAAAAAAACGTCTTTATTAACTTTAAAGTTTTTTTAATATAAAATTTAAAAAAATATTATAAAATAACGCTCAAATTTGAGAAGTAAACAAGAATATGATTTTTTTCGATTCGCCTCTTTTTTTATTCTAATTATTTTTTTGAAGCAATTTTTCCAATTTTTTGCTTTTTATTGTGTCATTTATTATCATATATTGAAAAATTTTTTTCACTCAATCTAACAGTCCAAGCATTAAAAAAAAAGTTTAAAAAAAAATCTTAAAAATCGTGTTCTACAACGTATTTGATTTAGAGAAAATTTCACCCTAACGCTCATTTTTCCAACTCATCCCTAAACCCAAATGGCGCAGAACAAGTCTGCGCCTAAACAGTAATTCCAGTATCATGTGGAATTTTCCAACCGAGCAACTTTTTTCAGGCGAGAATGAGGGCTCTGCTCTTGGAGCCGACTCGTTTGGTCGTCGCCCGAGAGAGACGACAGGACGAGGAACGAAGACTCACTGTGAGTATCATTATTATATTATATTTCATTTTTTTTTTCTTTGAGATTCTAGCATCAACATCTTTTTTTCCAAAAATATTTAATTTTGAAAATAATGAAAATAGAAGTTCAAAGGAAAATGGAAAAAGATGTTTCAGAGAGACGTCCAGTTGGAGGAGCGACTATTGGAAGAAGATGAAATCGATCCGGACACTTTTGTCAAGGTTTTTGACCAAAAATTTCTTGAAAAAAAATATATTGATTTTTTTCAGAATGCTATGGATGACCAAGAGGAACCGGAAGAGATCAAAACGATTTTTGGAGGTGCGGAGAAGTTTAAAAAAATTTTTAATTAAGTTTTTTTCATAGGATAACATTTTTTTCACTCGAATCCAGATAATTTTTGATCATATTCGGTCATTCTTTTGAAGTTTTTGCATCGGAGCTTATATCCCAAGAAATTTTTTTCGAAAAAGTTGGTATTTCATGAAATTTAAGTAGTTGTTAATCGGTTGTTCGGTTCATTAAAAGCTTTGAAGCAATTTTTTAAACCTAATATTGATATTATCCACTGTTATTTAAGATTGCTGATATTGCTTCAAAAATTTTACTAGCAGGGTTGATTGAGATGCGCTTTTTTTGGAATCGAGATTTTTCGAGGGAAATTTTAAGAGAAAAAAAAATGGAAAAATCGCAGGTTTCGATTTAAAAATAGATATTTTTTCTCGAAATCGTTTCGAAAAAATAGGATCTCGCAAGATCGAAAAATTTCGAAACGTCAGAATTTTACCTAGAGACGAGATCGAAGTCTCGAAAAACCCTACTCGTCGATTAGTAAAAAAGATTTTTTTTTATATTTTGCGATTGATGAAAGATTGATTAAAAAATTTCTCAGAACGGAATGAACTTGGATATGAGCCTGCTCCACGAAATCTTCCCGGATACGGTCAATGATAGCGTCACTCGCAACAAACGCATTTGTGACGCGGTTGACGAGGTTCGCTGTTTCTTGAAAAGATCAAAAAAAGAAAAGATGTCACAAAATGATCATCTGCGCTTTTCCATTTTAAATTTTTGAACCTTTATCCGAAGCTTCGGAAAAAATGGGTCTTTTTGAAACGAATTGATTACATTTGGCCGAAATCCAAAAAAAAAAATACTTGAGAAAAAGATTTAGTTCCACCAATCTTTCAAATTTTATCTCAAAAGTCTACTCAAATTTTCTCATTTTTTTCTTCCCATTTATTTGAATATTTCTGAAACCCTGTTTTTTGTGTAATCTCCGCAAATCAGGACTCTTATTTTCCGAGCAGTTACCTGGATGAATGATAAAAACACTTCGAATTACGAAAAAAAACGCAAAATTTTTGATTGCTCGAAAAAAAGATCATCAGTATTTTGCAGGTTCTGAACAAAACTCGGAAACGTGCCAGGGTGTCGCCAGAAATAGAAGAGGTGGAGGAGGAGCCGGAAGAGGAATACAGCTACCTGATGGAAATGGTGAAACCTGGAGACGAGACGAATCCCTTGGAATGTCCCGAGAATATTCTCCAAGACGTCAAATCGGCGAAGAAGAGGGGACGGAAGCCGAAGGCACAGCAGAAGAATGGAACAGCTTCTAGAGAACAGCTCCAACTGGGACAAGGAGTCGAGGCTCGTCAACAGCCTGAAGACAGTGCTGAACATGGACTTCGAACGGGACAACAAGTTGTCTATGATCAACAGCAACAGTTTGGAGATGGTGTTGAACATCGACTTCAACACGGAGAAGAAAAAATTGCCTTTTGTGGACAGCATCATGCTGGAAATGGTGCTGGACATCAACATCAACAAGGAGAACAGAAAGTTGCCTTCTATGGTCATTCACAACCTGAAAACAGTGCTGAACATCGGCTCCAACAAGCAGAACAGAAAGTTGCCTCCTACGGACAGTCAGAGGCTAGAATTGGTATGGAACATCGGCTTCAACAAGGAGAAGAAAAAATCGCCCCTTATGGGAAGCCATATGCCGGAAATGATGCTGAACCACAACTGCAACAAGGAGAACATGAACAATATGAAGAAGCCTTGATAAAGTTCGAAGTCGAAGAGGAGGAGATGAATGTCGATCCAACGCCCTTCTTTTCGCCCGCAAGAGATTCGGAGGATGATGATGTAGTTCTTCTGGACGGTCAGACGGCTGAGGAATTGCATCGTCAGTTGGAGGAAGAACAACAGAACGACATGGATCATTAGAACCAGAAAATATTTTTTCATTTTTTCATCTTTCTTATTGTAATTTTTGAATAGAAGGTGATTTTTCTCGGAGGATTCCAAAAAAAAATTTTCAACTTTTTCTCAAATACGGGTCCTATTCAATCGATCAACTAAGTTTGGTCTACTAGAGTGAGTACTTAGGACTCTCTAGTGCTCGCTTAAAGGGTGTTTGGTCATCCACGAGCTCTAAATCTCTTTTTTTTTCAAAGAGTTCCGAGTAAAATGACCTTCTTTTCAGTTGTTTTTGTGCGTTTATTCTGGATTTTTTTGTGTTTTGAGCCAATTGGAACGCCGTGATCGTACGGTATACTGTAAAAATAAGTAACCATTTCTCGCGGGAATTTCGAATTTGAACGCGACTTGAGAAATCGGGCCCTCACTTTTTCATTTTTCGAACAGATCTCTGAAATTTATTTCTATTTATGATCTGATTTCATTTTTCCAAGTAGATAACTTAACCGTTTTTGCGATTTACGACGTATCAATTCAGCTTTAAACTTGAATTTTTCAAAAATTCTCCACAAAGGTCTTATGCATGATATTTTATCGTCCGAACATAGATTTACGAAAAAAAAAATGTTTTTTTGATTTTTTAACTAATAGCTTACCTTCAGCGAACAACCCTAGCTTTTTCATTTCAGTTTTTCCTTCTGAAAACAGATTTACGGACTGTAAAATATCTAGTAAGGACCTCAAGTTTTGGTTTCCACTCATCTTTAAAAATTTTCATTTTTCGAAAGTTTATCTCCAAGTTTTTCTGCACACACTCCTGTAAATGACCTGATGAATGTACTATGATCTGTTCAAAACTAACTTGTTGAGATTTTAAAGGCGCAGAATTCTAAGTCAAGCTTTTTGCCTCGAGACCTTCAGAACTTCAAGCCATGCTCCTTTAAACTCTCTTCTGAGAACTTTGAACAGATTATATCTTTTTTCTCGAAGTTCTGTATGACAGGTGAACATTTTTTCACTATAATTCCCCAAGATCTCTCTATTTATTCATTTTTTCTTCTGAAGACTAAATTGTTTCTTTTTTTCCAAATACGGTTCCAAAGCTACAACATTCCACATTTATATTTATACTGCAATCGGTGGCTCGTGGAATAAAGTTCTCACCAGAAAATAATTCTTTTCGATTTCTGAACCGTTGATCTTAACGGACAAGACTACTTTATAGACTGAATAGTTTGCGTGTATAACTAAATGTCGAGTCTTCAGATGACCACTTATAATAATGTTCCTAGAGTCCCGGGTATGGAGTCGCCGGAAGACGAGAAGCGCCGATTTGAGATCGAATGCGAGTTCGTCCAGTCGCTCGCCAATCCCAACTATGTCAATTGTAATTTTCATTTTGTGTTCACTTTGGCTCAGATTTTGAATCTCACGCAGCAAACTCCGCCCCCCTGGCTACAGTACCGTTTGCGTCAAAGTTCTATCGCCGCTTGACGATGATTCTCTGTTATAGTCTGTTCAAATTTTGAATGTCAAGTTCTCGCTCAAGCTCCACCCTCTAATAGCTCAACAAACCAATCAGAGCCATCCAGAGAGCGTTTTCGAGTGACGTCATTCTACTTGACATTCAAAATATGAACAAACTATAGATGTTTCGTGATCGTTTTGATCTGAGACAGAGAAAAAAAGTGTTTTTTGATACGAAATCTAGACGTTGTACAGTTATTGTCTGATCTAAAAGTCAAAATATGAAGCTCTGTTAGTGAAAATCACCGCGTTCGAAAAATTTCGACACGAAAAAGGTACTCGGAGTTGGCCGCATGACATTCAAAATCTGTAAGCTACATATAGAATGACCTGGACGCATCTACAAATTTACTGAAATTATTCTTCCTTTTCCTAGTTTTTTCTGGCGAAAATTCCTCAAAAACTTTATATTTTCAATTGTTCTATAGAGAAAAAAACATGATGGACACCAAAAAAAAACCATGAAAAATTATCAAAAAAGGTCCCAAAAAAGTATCGGAATTTCCCGTTGCGCGAAGATTTTATACCTACAAAATGTCTATGTTTTTCTCTAATTATTTGATTTTCCTATTTTCAAGTCCTGGCACAACGCGGCTATTTCAAGGAGGAGTACTTTATCAATTACCTGAAGTACCTGCTCTATTGGAAACGACCGGAATACGCTCGGTTCGTTCATTTTTTTTTTCTCGTTAGTGAGCAGTTCACGGTTTTTATCTAAATGATGAAAAAGCTGGAAAATTTGTAATTGACGATTTTTCGAATTTTTAAAACAACTTCAACATTTGTATTGAACTATAATAATTCAGATGAGGTTATAAACTTCAAATGAATTTCCAAACTTCACATGTAATTCAAAAGTTTCGATAATCTTTAACGTTTCTTAGATACTATCAAAAAGACAGTCTCTAATTATCTAATCTTTTTTTCAAATTTGTTTATTTGTTTTGTATTTAATTTTTTTTCAATTGATTAATTTAATTTCACCTCCTTAAAGACCGTTTCAAAAAGCCTAAAGTGGCTACTTCAGAGCTGTCCATTCGTAAAATGACGCAGCTTCTCAAATTTTTTCTCGTCTAACAGTACCATGCGTAGTGTTTTCATTTTTTCACAATAAGTGTTTCAACAAACCTAGAAGCGGGAAAATGGGAAAAGGGGTTCTTTTCTTAAAGGACTACTTAAAATTGACACAAAAAATCGTCTTATTCTTTTTTAAAGTCCCTATATAGACCACTTGAGGGGCTTAGGGGTCGGACCCTGCACCCCTATAGGAAACACCTATAGGAAGCACTATTTTGACCACTTTCATCATCACCAGTTTATTCATTTTACAATAAATTAAACATTTCTAAGGGCCATAAGACCTCTTATTAGAAAAGTGGGACAAGGGAAATTTTAGGGGCTTCTCTCCCATGAATCCTTTAGTGAGATAGTACAGACTAAACTTTGAGAAAAAAGCTTTTTATTTGGAAATTAATTCTCAGGCTAAACGTTGATGACCTTTTTCAATTGATAACTTAGCTATTTTCAGAGCGCTCAAGTACCCTCAAGCGTTGCACATTCTAGAAGCTCTGCAGAGCCCACAGTTCCGTGATGCAATGGCTGCAGGTTTTCATTAGTATCATCTTTGAAGTCTCTCATTTTGAGTTTCCAGGATCAAATGCCAAGTTCGTAGAAGACCAACTGATGCTACAGTGGCAATTTTATTTGAGGAAACGACAGCGGTTATGTGTGAGTTTTGAGAATGATCAAAAAAAAAAAAATCTTCTTTCGGTTTTTTGTCTATGGAAATTCATCTTATAAGTTTGGAAAATTTCAACTACCATTTTGAAAAAAAAGCTCAAGAAGCCGAGAGTAATGAGTTATTTTCCAGGAAGACCCAAATGAAGAAACGGAGTCCCAAGCGACCGAGGATCCTGAAGAAAGGATGGAGGTCGATGAGCCGCCGAAAGAGTCCGAGCCAGCAGCAAAAGCCCCGGAAGAATCTGGAGCCGGAGCTGAAGCTGAAACGGAGAAAAAACCAGAAGCTGAGAAAGAGAAGGAGAAAGAAAAAGATAAAGAGTTGAAGGAAGAAACGCCAGAAAGTTCGAAATCTGGGAATCGGTGACATATTCTGTTTATGTGTGTTGAATTTTATGAAATAAACTGATCTCATTTGCTCAAAAAGAATTTCGAAACTTTAAGAGTGAATTGGAAATATTTACAGGAATTTTTTTTAAAAGATGCAAGTCATTCGGTTCACAACTTTTATAAACTTGGCTTGTTCCATTATTTAAAAAAAAAGCAGTGGCCAGAGATCAACTACGGCCTGAAGAGACTCCAGAGAAGTCAGAGTGCTCTCGTTTCTCTGCCCTCTCTTCGTCTGTCGGCGGTCCTCTCATATTTATGTACTATTTTCTTGTTAATCTGACCTCTCCGGTGAGAAAACAAAGAGATGACCAAAAACAGCGATGGCCTGAAGAGGTTTCAGAGAAAAAAGAGATCTCTGGCGTCTCTTTGGGAGCTGTTCTCTCTTATCCACTTTTAGAGCCTTACCAATAATAAATAGAAAAAAATTTATGTTGCGAGTTATTTTATATCGAACCATGATCGATGAGGGAAGAGGGCGAAGAATATCGGGCTAATTGTACAATAATAATGATAAATATCACGTGCTCCAGTAAGATTGACTTTTTGTTAGTAGCTCTGGCTTTTTTTCTTCTACTAATAAGGGACTCTTGTCACATCAATGTCCAAGAAATAGGTATTATCGCGGTAGGCGGTCCGTTCCACGACCGTATTGTCCAAATCGCTGCCGCTCATCGAATCGTGGGCAAATTTCCGCGAGCTTCTCGACGATTGAACCTGTAAAATCGTCATATTTCAAAAAAATTTTTTTAGTGTTGTCCCAAAGGAATTTTTTTCCTAAGAAATTTTTCTAAAAATATTTTTTTTTTTGAAAAAAATAAGAACCGACAAGTTAACTACTGTGAGATCATCTATTGCTGGAGGAAATTTAATCTCAAAAACAAAATTTTTCTTTTCATCTTTTTTGATTATTGTGAGCATATAAAATTGAGATTCTAGGAGCTACATATTGAGTTTTTTAGTTTTATATATCAAAACTTAAAAAAAGGAGTTTTGACAATGTGGCCTTCGGGTCAACCCGGGGCGCAAATGTGACAGTTTCGCCGGTCGGGACGCCCCGTCTCATTAGCTCTCGCCTCCGCACAAAAATGTTCAAAAAAGTGTTTTTCGCAAGATTCCGAATAATTCTCACCAAAATCCTGGTGACCCTGCAGGTAGCCTCGAAAATAGTCCGGTCATCTTCGAGAATCTTGGGCAGGTCCTGCGTCCTTCGCAGCGGGACCTCTTCTTCGAAGTCAAAGTCCGTGAAGGACAACCCGTCGATGAGAATCCGTTCTCTTTTTTCTTTTTCCAATCTGAAAACATTTTTCTATCTCTTCATAGATTCGAACAATCGACAGTCTTTTACAGCTCAATTATGAAATCGCTGAAACCACAATAGGATGTAAAAAGGGTTTTGAGCGGAAAATGAAAGTCATTCAAAAAAATATCGTTTTTTTAGGTTTTGTTTTTAATTTTTTTAAGTTTTTTTAAATATTGATTAAAACTAAAAAAACCCTTGAGCTATCCTTATTTTTCGAAACTATCGAATTTTTCTCTGGAAAACTTCTTGAACGAACATTTTCAAACGCTGTCGCTGAATTTCTTCTCCCCAGTGGATTTCAATGACCGCATCAGCATCCAAACTTCTCCGCGACGTCGTCGACGAAGACGTCGACATCGAGGACGAGGATCGGCTGTTCCCGCCAAAATTCGTATCCAAAAACTGGACCTCGAAGACCTGAAAGAGAAAGTCAAGGTATAGCCGATCGTCTTTCCGTCAATAATTTTGATTCGAAAACCGTCAATAATTTTGATTCTACGTTCAATTTATGAAAGAAGTCAGCTTTTCTCGGGGGCGGCATAGGTCAGCTGGTAAAGACTCATTTCTAACGTCCGCGAGTTCGTAGGTTCGAGTCCTCCCGAGGTCGAGCAAGCCTTTCATCCCTCCGGAGTAGATAAAAAGGCTCAATCTCTGCCATCGGCCTTTGGAAAGCCGGCACCGTAACTCTTCCTACGACCTTTCTTGTACCTGATGTTCTACGAGCGAAATTCACAACTTCTCTGCCTAAGCCACAGCTCCTGCCGCCGTTTAAACACAGTTGAAATCAATGAAAGTCGATTGCACACGTATTGTTACATTGAAAATGCAATAAACAGTTCAAAACAGTTTTTTGTCTCACCTTTCTCGCCTTTCTTGGCAAAACGACGCCAAGACGAGGCGAAACTTTGCATTCTATGGGGTTCTGGTCCGACGAGATCACGTTGAGCCGTACAAACCCGTCTCTGAACCAGTGACAATACAAAATGATCCAGGGATTCCATTCAACCGCATTCCATTGTTCCGGAGGGAGAAAGTGACGCTGGAAAAGTTGGATGTTTTCAGGACGAAATCTTTTGTTCGAGTCGCGAATAAATAGGGCGTGATTTCTGGCTGGATATCTGCCACGCCGCCGCAGCCCCAGCATGGAACCTAGAAAACACTTTTTTTGCAACAGTTTCTGAAGTGTCTCTTAAGGATTTTTGAGGCTTAAAGCGCAAATTCTCCCTATTTTTACCTGATAATTAACGCCCAGGTTCATGGTGGAGATCTCCAGCATGAGCTGATAACGACCGGCGGCCATCGGTTTGAAAAGAATACGGACTTTACTCGATTGGCCGGGCGCGAGGTGCATTATTCGGTTATCCACGACCTAAAAAACTACTCTTCAAACAATTTTTAATTCTTTTTTTTTAGAATCAGAAGCTTCTTCTCTCGTTAGAATATAACAATGTGAAACTCTGACCGAGAAAAAAACTCATTGGACGCTTTTTTTGTAGGACTTAGTGGGGAACACATTTTTTGAGGGTTAGGGGATACTTTTTATAACAATAAATAATTGGAAACTACTCTTTTGAAGGTACTAAATTGATTTTGAAGTTTCCATTCTAAAGGTTAACATTTTTCGCGTAAAGTGAGAGTAAAAAAACGATGCTATTGGACATTTTCCTCAATTTTTTTTCAAATTAAATCTATTTTTAACCCTTTTTGGTACTTTTTCGAGTGTCACTCGATTTCAAGCCAAAACCGTCAATGTTCAATTTTTCTTCTCTCGAGTTTCTAAATTGAAATTTCGTTGTCTATTAGATGAATTCTGAACTTTTTCGTCTCAAAATTCAATCATCTTTCTCATTTTCGGTTTCTCACTCTTTCTGTATTTTCACCCTTTTTCCGAATCTTCTCTAATTTCGAGCCTCTATTTCCTACCTCGAAAGCCTTGCTGTTGCTGTCGAGAGTCGCGCGGACCTGGACGGCCCTCTCGCAGACATTCGTCAAGTCGAGATCCATCGAGAGGGAATCTCCGACCGCCACGTACCCGAATCCCAGGCGCCTCGACGACATCGTCAATGGGTGTTTTGACCTTGAAAAGGGACAAAGTCCAAAGTCAGGCCGAGATTTTCAACCTAGAAGGTCTAACAGCCATCGGGGCGATGCTGGAAGATGAAGTTGAAGAGGCCGTCGAAATTCTCGAACTGCTTCGCTGAAAAAAGTTCGGATCATGAAAATGAGGGGAAACTTCCGTTTAGGAAAACGGTTATTTCAGAGCAAAAGTTCATTACTCCTAGGTTTAAAAAAGCTCGTTTACTTGCCGTTTTTCAACTATAACTACAGAGCCGAAACTAAATGATCGACAAAAATAATGAATGGAAAAAAAGACTTATATTAAAAAGTATCAAATCAGCGGAATATTTAAATGAATTCTCATTTGAAAACGAAAAATCAGTAAATGTTACCGGAATTTTTTCTACGTCATTTAGAAGGTGGATGAAGCACAGAAGCGCAAAATACGAATTTCAGGTTATAAGAACCATATTGCTCGATTACGCCCAAAAATTATCAGGCGCCACCAAAAATTCAATTTCGTTTATTTTTCTTCTATCCTCACACCATCTACCCAAAGTTAAGAAGTCGATGGAGGTGCTTAAAAAAGGGAAGTTTCGATTTTTCCAAAAAAATCTTTTGTTCATTTATGCTCATAAATTGTTTAATTTTGTCAGGTTTCCTATATTTACACACTGTCTTTCCAGCATTAGAAGGTGGGTGAAGCCCAGAAGCTTAAAAAAAATTCCATTTTAGAAGCTCGATTGCTCAATTGTGTTCAAAAATCAAAAGATACTTTTCAAAAAATGCGGATTTCCTCTATTTCCCCCTATCTACCTACCGTATCCGCAGCATTCGAGGGTCGATGAAGTACGGTATCTACGGAAACAGAAGACGTGCGCGAAGGGGCCGCCGACCTCTCCGAACCCGTCAGGGAGTCCGCCCGTTGTCGCGATCCCGAAGAAGCTCTTTCTTCTTCGAACTGTCGATGGGAAATCGGTGGCGACGGCTCCCGAGTTTTCAGAAACTGGCTATTTTCGGTCGGCCAGCGTGTTTGGACTTCCTCAACCGGCAAACGAGGACCAGGTTGCGACGGCTTGAAAATCATTTTTACAACTTCAACTCGAACATTTTCTAGTTTCTTTGATTTTTGGGGAAATTTCTGAAAACTTCTTTTAGGGAAAGTTCTTTTTTTTGACTTTTCCCCAAGAACTTTACATAAAAGTAACGGAAAATTGACCTTAGAGAACTTTTTACTTCTCTGTTTTTTTTTGACCATTACATTTTCTATTGCTCTTACCATCTCATTGGGCCTTCTCAAAGTTTCCTGGGCGATTTGTCGGGTTGCTGGAACCCTCAAGGCGCCCCTGGAAACGTTGGTTTGGAAGCGGAAATCGGGCTTCGGTCGGTCTCTGTGCTGTTTGCGGGCAAATTCCAGCGATTCCATCAGATTTTCCGGTTTTTTCTGGGAACGAAGTCATCAAAAATCAGTTATTCCGAGGCAAAACCTCCAAAATGTCTTTGATGAGTTCGCAATCAACCGTAACATTCGACCGGATGGTTTCATCCTGTACATTAGAGGCTGTAATTGTTTGGATTTTTTGGTATAAAATCGGTATAAAAAACTGGGATTCATTCGGTTTGGGCTATGCGCATAAATGGAAGAGACATCGGCGAATTTCGGACGAAGACGACCGCCTCCTTCCGCTGAAAATCTTCCTTTTAACGATTCGAAAAGGACAAAGATGCACGCAAGATATTGCACGGATCAAAATCATCAGAGCAAAGTTAATCATAGCAAAGTTATTTGTGAGGAAAGAAAATGGAAAAAATATTCCCACAGAGGGCATCAAGATTTACAAAAACGCCCAAAAACAGCTTTACGGAAAACGAAAGAAGTTGCTATTTTTGGATTTTACTAACAAAAAGACGAATTATTGTTGTGAATATAATTTTTTTAAAAATATAGGAAAAAAAATGAAACAGAAAAACTCTCATAATACCGTTCAAAAATGAAATTTTTTTGTTTTTGTGGTCACTTTAATGTAACTTTGAAGACTTTCTTAGATTTTTGAGAAAAAAATAATAAAAATTAAATATTTTATTGCATTATTCTGCAAGGCAACACTTTCATTACAATTCAAATCAATAAGTTTTTATTTTTCATGAGAAGATCAAAAAAATAAAGCAAGAATTTCCATGCTAATATATTTGAAAAAAATTAATTTCCGGAAAAAAAACTACTATATAGCTCTGTATCAATGATAAATGATTTTATAGCGAGTTATGAAAATTTAGCCTTACTTGAAAAAAAATTTGTTTTTAATAAAAACATCTCTTTCAATTAACAAATACCTAGACATTTTAACCTTACGAAAAAATTTTTTCTCTCCCCTCATCTTGTTGATAAAAAAAGTCCTAATACCTTTTTTTATATACATTTCGTTTTTTTCACCTTTCAACATCTTCTCGATATAAAAATTTTTTTGACTAATTTTTACGCTTTTTCTTCTGTGCAACAAACCCCTTTTTGGGAGTACTCGTTTTGTATTCCATGGCCATGGAATATTCGCTCGGGCAGTGTGGAGAACTTTCCACGGGCTCCGCCGCCCGGAAATCGTTTTCCTCCTTTTCTTTGGCCTCCTAGAAATATATGAATTTCAAAAGTCTCTTCTGAGATATCGAACAACCTGGACTGGAACTGGTCGTTTCGTCTCAGTTTTCGATTCAAGCTGGCGATTTTCCTGGAACATCCGGAAAATGGCTCGAATAAAGGAAGAGAAATGTTACAATTGGCGGTTTATTGACACTTTGAGACTCGGCGAAGACTTTCAAGGGTTCTTTGGTTTTCCATTGAGCGTCGACCATTGGACTTCGCATCTCGTTGACCGGAGGAGGGGTCTTCTGCGGATGGTACAGTTTGTAGTCGGGTCGACTCGGCTCCCAGCTGTTCTCCCTCGAATGGTGCGATCTGTTGAACCTGAAAAAAACAAGAAAATTGCTTTTGAAAACTTTTTTTTACCGGCAAAAAAAAAGGAAAAAAAAACTATAGAAGCTGAGTACTTGAACTAGGAAAATTAAATAAAAACGCCTTCGAAAAACTTTTTTTCAATTCACAATAAACAAATTCAAAAATTTGTGCACATTAAGGATTTTCTCTATAATTTCTTAATTTTTGCAAAAAAGTTTTTTTATATGAAAAAAATTCGAAAACCCTTTCTTAAGCTTCTTCAAAATAAAAAAACAAATATGGAAACTTGAGTAAAATGTCCTTTCCGATCGAATTTCTTCGATTCCTCAATTTTTTTAATAGAACGAAGCTTCTCAAAAAAATTTTTCCCTTTCACAATTAAAGAAGCGAATAATTAAAAAAATTTCTCTATTTTTTTAAATGGGAAAAAGCTATTGAAAAAAAGTGTAAAAAAATATGTTTTTCGTCAAATCAACGTGAAAAAAATTCATTGCTAGCATTACTACTGAGAAAAATCAGTTCTGAAAGAAAGTGTTAAATTTGAAAACCAACCTAGGATCGTCCTCGATGAAGATGACGTCGGCTCCCCTTCCGAAAAATGAATTTTCAGCGGCATTCATTCTGTTCACGAGGTCTTCTGAATACAGAAAATATCAAATGACCCATTTATTATTGATAAAATCGCTTTTAAATCTTGTTAGATTTTTTCAAGCGCGAAAAAAACCAAAAAAATAACTGTAAATCGAAAAAATGAAGGGTTTCCAGGCTCCCCTAAACTTTGAGACGTGGAAAAAATAATTAAAAATTGATGAGAAATTGCTGAAAAACGACCTGATTTCAAATAAATCGAAAAAATTGCCCTTTTCGTCATTTAGTAGAGTTATGACGCTTCAAAATCACTGATCCCCATTTTTTTTTACTCTGAGTTCTATGCTATTAAAAGCGAGATTTTTCAATTGATTCGGGATCAGGGTGTTCTAAAATGCCTTTCAGCCAAGATTCTTCCAATTTTCTGCACTTTTCAAAAATATTTTGAAAATACCGCTGTTGTTAAAGTCGGCCGAATCATGAGGATCTGTTTCCTTGACACGGCCAGAACTGATATTTTTATTCTGCAACCTCGCGAAATCCTCCTTTTTCTTCGAAAAGCTTCGGGAACCTCAAAATCCACTTTTATTCTTTAAATTCTAAAGTTTTTCCTACTTATCACGGAGTGCAAGTCGTCCGTATGCTCTTCACAAATCGGCGTGAGCGTCGGTCTGCAAAGAAATATTATTATTTTGAATAATAAAATCGAAATTTTCACTTCATTTGACAAGAATGCGGAGATTGGTAGAAATCCGTGTCCGGCCGGCTCCTGCACTCTTCTTCGTCAACTGAATCATTTTGGCGTTTTTGAAATCATTTTCGGTGATAATTACAATCGGAAGCCGCATAAGACAACGGAGCGTCGTCGATTTCTTGATCGGCGAACTTGTCGTTCATAAGATCCATGTCCGTTTCGTCATCCATTCTTGTTTCCGCCTATAAATTCAACATTGAAAATCGTTTTTTTCTCAAAAATCGCGAAAAAAAATCCGAATCAAGAACATCGCGAAGAAAGGAAGCAAAAAATCATATCTAACTCCATCATCTCTCCAGTGTCGCTTTGAATTATTATTAACATATTATTAGACTCTCGCCTTCAAAAACCATTAAAAATCATAAAACAGAAGTTTCAAAATTAAGCCCTAGGGCAAAAAATTTCTAGTGGATTTTCTATGGCGTAGAATTTTGAGAAAAGAAAAACTCTAATTTTTTTCTGGAGCGAAAAAGTTTTCCTGTACTCACTCAACAATTCTCTCATGCCGTGTTCAAAGTAATTTCCGCGAAATGCAAAGTGATCTCTGACTCTCCAAAATTTAGTGATCTTTTCCTTTCTCTAACGGGTATTTTGCATTTCGCGGAAATTACTTTGAACACGGCATCAAAATTCACTTTTCAGAATTGGTTGAGATGTTACACCGGAAGGGTCACCGGCTCTTCCGTGTAAGCTTTAGACGTGTTGAAGGCAGACTGTCATGAAGTCTTTATTCGTGAGCCTCACACGCGTGTGGCCAAGACGCGTGCAGGGGAACCAAGTGAGATACAGGCGTGTCTGCCGGAGCAATTACACGCCGAGAGCATCGTTCACACATGAATACAATAGAACGGAGAGAGATAGTATTCCTACTGTAACATCCCCTTTCCCTAAAAAGCTTCGTCCCGGAGCTTGTATTGTTAGACAATTGAACTAGGTAGGACTGATCTTTGGGAAGAGTCTCACAAATTAAGAAAGTCGATACGAAAAACGGGTGATCCGAAAGAAAATTACGATAATTGGTAGAGTTACGATAGATATATGAACGAAAAATTGGCTGCAATGAAGTCAAACACAACAACACGGTCTACTCATCAACAGATAGAATTACACAACGATTTAGTCGCATGAATTTAATCTAGTGGCCCGGTAAAAAAAGAACAAGGCACCATGCGCATCCGGTCAAAGTAGTGGTAATACATGTAAATCGAGGAATTCTATTTTAAGTAAACTACATCGGTGGGCAGAACGACAGTAAAAAACGAGCCAGACAGCGGAAAAAAACCAACAATTGAACTATAATATACGGTCAGAATCGACATATAAGGGCTCCCTAGGCCTCGCGATAACACTGAATCTCATCCCTCCTTCCCATCCGTTAAATCGCGTAAACAAAATGAATCAAATAATGCTCAATGATCAATATACTTGTACAAAATGTCGATGAAGTCGTCGCTGTCTGGGACCGGCTCGGGTTGCGGCTTCTGGCTTCGTAGAGCTTCGCAGGCGAAAAATCAGTGGGTCATTGCCAAGGTTGAACCGAACAAAATAAGAATAACTGCTGAAGAGTAGAAAAAAAGCGAGTTCGTCGTGGAATTTCACCACGAAAAAGCGGCTGGGCAGAATAGATAGAAATGGTGAAGCCACAGAGGCTTATTCTTCGCTCGGGACCTCCATGTTACACCGGAAGGGTCACCGGCTCTTCCGTGTAAGCTTTAGACGTGTTGAAGGCAGACTGTCATGAAGTCTTTATTCGTGAGCCTCACACGCGTGTGGCCAAGACGCGTGCAGGGGAACCAAGTGAGATACAGGCGTGTCTGCCGGAGCAATTACACGCCGAGAGCATCGTTCACACATGAATACAATAGAACGGAGAGAGATAGTATTCCTACTGTAACAGAGAAAAAATTTGAAAAAGATGATCTGGCGCTCAAAATCGGAACACTACCGCGATAATGCACACTAAAAACTGATAAACTTACCGTATCAATGATGTTTGTCAATCTCATGGAGAATTTCTAACACGACACCGCCAAAATGAGTCTTTAAAAAAAAATTCACGAATTTAAATCTCACGCTTTAAATTTTTTTTATTTCTCCGACTAGTTTCCCGAAGTCACCGAAAAAAAGTGAAACTGGAAAAGCGTGAAAGCCATTTTATTTTGTTAGCGCGTTTGAAGGCGCGCCCTTATGTTACTTTAAAGTTACGGTAGATGAATCCCAAACTAGACAAAATTTGAAAGAAAAAAAGTTTTTGCTGTCCTACTTTTGCCAAACAGATGCGGATACCTAAACCAGGTACATTTTCAATTTTCATTGATTCCTAAAGTTCCCAGTTATAGCCAATTTTACACCAACAAAATGGCGGTTTCCTGGATTGCTCGCAATGTTCACGGCCTCATCTTCAGTGGGCGCAGCGTTGGGAAATTTTTTGGCAAATCAATTGGAGGACGCAAATTTTTTCTATCGGCGGCCTGCGGAGGGAGATGACGATTGACAATTATTTTTTTCCAAATAAATATTTCTTTCTTATGCTGTTTGAGCATCTCAATTTCACGAAAAAAAAATATAACAAGAAAGCTTCCCGCTTCGATTTTAAGGTGAAAAACAGCAGTAAACATGGTTAAAAAAACTCTTCAGAAAAATGAGTAAACCAGAAATTTGTAAATTTGGAAATTAAATTGCAAATTGGCAAAATTTCAAATTCGCGCGTCTCTGAAGAGGCCTCTTAAGCAGGAAAAAAATTGCCGATGGGGCGCAAATTCTCGCTATAATTTAAAAAAATTATTTTCTTTTTTTATTTTTGTATTCCTGCTATTTTTTTCAGCTATTTTCATAGTTTTTTCATCGGACAAAGCGAAAATCGTTTCGAAACGCATGAAAAATGCCTCAAAACAAAAATTAGTACAGTTTTAGAGCATATTTGGGCGCTTGTGAACACGCTTTTGCGTTTTGAAACATGTTGCGTTACTCCATTGAACATGCCATCAGCTTCTGGAAGTCAATAAAAATTTTCTGTGATTTCTTTTTGACGAGGATAAGATTTTGTACAACTTTATCATTTTTTCCCAACCCTTATTTGTAATTTCTCTTAAATTCACAGTTTTTCGTGAATTTCCGTAATTTCTGTTGCAAACCCACATTTGTCATATAGCAGATGACTGACATTGACGAAAGAGAAGGAAGAACACCCAGTTTCAGTCATCAACGTCACTTGGCTTCCAATGAGTGGCAAAATTGGCAAGGAAGCCAGGCGAATAAGTTCGTGAGAACAAATAAAGCTGATTATTATTTTTTTTCAGAGAAGCAGACAACCTTGCGTTTGGCAAATTTGATTATTCACCGAAGATGACCGATTCGGAAACTTTGGACTTTATCAGGAAGCTCGAGAGGTCTTTGCGAGCTCACCATAACAAGTTTATTTCTAATTATTTCCGTTTCGATTTGATTTTTGCAGAACCGCAAAGATGCCGAAAATTGTGGCGAAACTGTTCCTTCATCCAAATTCTTCCGTGAGAAAATGTGCCTTTTCATGCGCTGTTTTAATTTTGGCAAATGTTGCAACGGTAATAAATTTTCAGGTTCAAGAAAAAAATTAAAATTTTTCAGAAGCCTGAGCAAATTTTAGAAGCTTACCGTATCGCTTTATGTTGTTCCAACGGTGATATTGCTGAAAATGCGCTATCTTTTCTTCCACAATTCGTCAAAGTTTGTCCAGGTTATTCCCAACCTTCTCAATTGATAGAATCGAACATTTTTCAGAACAAGCCTGGAATTTGAATAAGTTTGGAATAGCCGGCCATGAAAGGATATCATTTCCATCGACCGAAATGGAGAAACACATCGCCATGGCGAATCAATCTTCCATGCGATAATTGATTGCAATTTTTTGTAAATAAAGATCTTTTCCATCATATCTTTCGATGTAAAACTGTTGCCGAAGGGTTCAGTATGCCTGTATTTTTTTCCGTTGAAAATTTTTTTATTCAAAAAAAAAAGGTCTAGAAATGTCGGCTTCACGAGAACGACGTCCGAATCGGCTCCATTCAGTTGAAGAAGCCCTGAGTTATCTCAAAAAGAACTGCAGGATAAAAAGCACAGATATGAAGGTTGATTTCAGTTTTTTAAATATGTAACAGAGAAAAATTCCGTTAGAAAGTGAAAAAAAATCTTCATCATTTTTCCAAATAGTAATTTCTAGGTCCAACGCTGCCACACGATAGCTTGGAACTCTGACGGAACGAAATTGGTTTGCGGGGCCCAAGATCGACGAGTTTCCATCGCCACAGTGGAACACAGCCGTTTGAGGTGGTCTTCCGTTGGATCGAGTCATTCGGATTCCGTCGAACAGGTAGCCAACTTGCGATTTCTATTGTTTACATTGAGTTGTGGGATAGGAGATACGAGCCGCCACATGTTTCTTTCCGAAAAATGTTATCTCTTCTCTTAGAAAATTAATTTTATTATCAAAAACCATATTTATTAATATTCAGAGGTCCTAAAAAAAAGCTCTTTTTGCCATAAAACTTTTTCAAAACAGGTTTTTTTTTTGTGAAGCTGCTTTTTTTTCTCTGCTGGTATTGTAATATACATAATCAACTCCAGATTAGTCCCTATAGGGAAACCTTAGGAGCCCTTTAAGACTCCCCTCTAGGGACCACTTTTTCTTCACATATATGGGCCACTTTTTCTTCACATATATGGGCCACTATATCTTTTAAAAGTGGCTCCTATAAAGGACATTTGTTCGAAATTTGAGAAGAAGCGTTTCCATGCGAAAAAAAAGTCGATAAGTTAGCGTTATCTGAACGAAAAACAACAACAGAAGATGATTTGATCTATTTTTTCTTTTTAATATTCAAATATTATCAAAAAAATTAAAGAATTCATAGGGACCAATTGACCCCTATAGAGACCACTCCCATGTTCCTAAGACTGTAATGATTCTGCGGGCGTTTGCCCCAACTTTGGTTACAACATCCCTGGGCGTAGCTTCCACTATATTTCATCCAGAAGAAGCTCCTCTGTCTTCGCTAATTAGATCTACGACAGTTAATCCGGATACTGAAACCTTTTTTGAAATTGACACCCCAAAGTTTGCAGTTTCAACGTTGAAAATGCGACTTATTCCAGGTCGCCTGCAGTAAATCCAACGTGAATTTGTTCGCCTCAGCCAGTCTCGACAAAAGTGTCTGTTTGTGGGATGTGAGGCATAGTAAACCCCAGGCCAGGATCAATACTAAAGGTTTGTTTGAGGAAAAAAAAAATCTGGAAGACTTATTTCATTAAAAAAATCCTGTTTGAGGTGTTCATCTCTTTTTAACTTGATTTTTTCAATAACTCGATGAATCAGCTATTGCTATATTAAAAAAATGAAAAAAATATTCAAACAAACGAGAAACGGTTAAAAAAATTTTTTTGATTTATTGAGAATCTATTGAGAAATTAAAAAAAGGACTTTATGTATCATGCGGCCGTTTCGGGCCAAAAAAATAGACGGCTTGACGCAGGAATAAAATAATTTTTATTCAGCAGCAAATATGTTCGTAGCTTGGTCTCCCGATGATAAATACGTTATTTATGGCGACAAAGACGACCGACTTTTCTCTGTAGATAGACGGACTTACACTGTTTGCAAGGTTCTTTTTAACGTTAACTTTTGGAATTACAAAATCAAAAATATTATAACTCCTTATTCCAGTCCTACGATCTTCGAGTACATTGCAACGAATTCGTTTTCCTTCCAAATTCCCCATTTTTGCTGGTCACGACGGCTTTGGGACGGGTTGAAGTTCTCAAGTCAGTTTTCCTGTTCAAATTTAATAAAAAAAAAATTATTAAAGCAAGTTTTAGTAGTAGTACCTTCCTGAGGTTGAAAGTTGATCTATGTCTTTCAAAACTACCTCTCTCAGGTAGGAAATTTTTTATGGATTTTTCGTAGAGTATTTGTGAGAAGAACTGTATTTGATTGAACATTTGATAACTCGGACCTTGGTAACGCGAACGTGACGCGAATCGGACGTGTCGGGGCAATTCTAGTGACCACTTTAGTAGCGCCAGCACCCTTAAGTGATCCCTAGAATTGTCCGGAGCACGTCCGTTTCGCGTTATCAATATCCGAAAAAACATAACAGGAAATTTCAAGAAGCTCATCAAAAAAGTTAGAAGGTTCTACTTCAGATGTGTAAACGGAGAGTTCGAGCAGACGACGCAGATCCAGGCCCATTCGCCCCAAGTCGACTGCCAGACGGTGGCCGTCAGTCGCGACGGGAAAAGGATGGCCGTCGGGGCGACGGACGCCGCCTGCTCCATCTGGGACGTCGAGGAGTTGATCTGCGAACGGGTTGTCGGCAGGTCACTGCGTTTTTTTATAGTTTCCTGAATTTGACACGATTCGACTTTTTTGAGCTGATAGGGCTTTTCGAGGTCTTTTATTCATTTCGCATGGAAGGAGACATGCTGGGAAATACAAAACAGTTGATTTTGTTTGAATCGGAGCATACCGCCTAGATTCTTGATTTTTTTTTTCCCAGAGTTTCTTATTTTAATCGTTTGGCGGATAATCGAGTTCTTTCGAAGCTGATGAAGATTTTAGTGGTCTCCAGAATAAAACGGAAATACAAGCTATAATTTCTCTGTTTCAGACTAGACTATCCCATCCGAAGCGTTTCGTTCTCCTGTGACGGCCAGTTGTTGGCCGCAGGAAGTGAAGATCATTCCATCGACATTTCCTACGTCAACGACGGCTCCAGGTGGGATCGTCCGGATCCTCTCTGAAGACGTCCATTCCAGAGTCCACGACCTGAAAATCGACGGCGAGACGTTCTCCGTCGCCTGGCATCCGACGCAGCTTCTCCTCGCCTACGCCGCCTCCAACGTGCACGACAAACGCGACTCCGCCTCCGTCAAAGTGTTCGGATACAGCGGAAATTGATAAAGTCGGGATCTCTTTTCATGGTTTATAAGCAGTGAAAAAAACGTGAAAAAGATTTGGTCTGGAAAGGGAGGCGTAGACAAGTTTCCGACTTGAAAGGAAATCGTCGACTTTTACTTGGGGCCTTTGAGCTGAATTTTCCGATATAATCCAAAAAACTCCATTTTTTGAATTTTCACATTCCAAATATATAGTGAGATTATAATAAAAATGAAAGAAATACAGTAAACTGATATGAAAGATTTTTGGAAAAAAAAAGAAAAAAAATTGAAATATTTTTTCGCTTATGTGATAGTATCGAGCTTCTCAAAAATTATTATACAATTAGACTTACTTTTCAAAAAGAAAAATTTCAAAACTCAAATTTTCCTCGTATTTTTCATCGAAAATTATTTTTTAATTCATGTTTCTGGAAGATAGACCGTTTGGCAATTTGACTTGTTTAAATTTTCACTCCAGCATTTTTTTCTTCTATGTTGTTGTGCATGGTCTTTGGAAGTTTTTTGAATCTTTCTCGAATTAGACTGAAAAAAAAGATGAAAGACCTCTTGATCATCTGATTGAGGTTTGAACTTTGTCTGCAAAAAAACCAGTTTTTTGACGATTTTCTCTATCATTCCAATCTACAACTGTTTTAGTTAATTTTTTGTTATGTGGGTGAAACTAGAAAAAATTTTTTTTTATGGGGAAAAACTCGGAATAGTTCACAAGGAAAAATCTTGGTCGAAAAGATACAAGATTTTTTTGTGAGTCGTAAATTCTAGTCAGAAAATCTGAGCGCCTTTTCGAGTTTTTGCGATTTTTGGGATTTTATTGTTTTTCGGATTATTTTTGTAAACACTAAAGAAAAATTGAAGGATTTTTCATTTTTTCAAAGCTTGTTTGGATCAATTTTCTAAGAGATGTTTGTGAAAGTTATGTAAAAGTATTCAAGTGAATTTTGAAATGTATTTGAACCTACCAAAATCGATTTTTTCATCATTTTCAAAATTTCATATTTGAAGATGTTTTTTTTTCAAGTTTTTCAAGGTTCTTAACACGGAATCAGGCATTTACCAGGCTTGTGAAACTTTGAAAAACTTGAAAATGAAAAGTTTGCGCAGATATTGACTATTAGGGCTCGAGCCTCCACTTTCCGAAAGTTAGAGAGCGTTCAAAAGTGAGAGGGCGGCCGTTTCTTTTTCTCTAACAGCCCTCTTTTTTACCAATGCTCTCTAGCTTCGAATTTTCGAACGGAGACTTTAATCTTGAAGAATTTTTTGAGGAAGTTTATAGCAATGTCTAATGTTTAAAATAAAAAATTCACTTTTAAAGTTCCTCTAAATCGGGTATAAGCTGTTGATGGTTGGACTTTGTAACAACAAGAGAAGAAGAGTATCCCAAAAATGGCTTGCATCAGCCATCTGGACAGGATCTCTGTCCAGCAGAATTCTCGCCCCAAACAGCCTTTCGGCGTCTCTTTGATTGATGATAGTAGCGGCCGATTTGCGTCTGATATATAAGGCAAATCAGCCGAGTTCTTGATTTTTTTTCCCTTCCCCTTTTTGCCTGAAAATGGAAGAGCTGGTGGCTGAAATGAGGCGCATTTTCGCGGTTGATGACGTCAACGTCCAGGACGTCGAGAAGGCCCTCAACGGCTACAAGAGCAAGTTCGTCGAGTGGCGGAAGTTTGCTCACTTCGACGATAGGAAGTTTGCTTTTATTTTCATTTTAATGATTGAGTTGTGAGTGAATATTTTCGCGGATCATTTCTTCTCGATTTCTTTCGGGTCAGAATCCACTCTTTAGGGTGGACTAATTTTCATAATTATTTTTTTACTGCATTTTTTTCATGTATTCGAATACTCATCGTTCGCCGTATGCAGTAAATGAACCTATCAAGATTTATGAAAGCTGGGAACTCAGTTTAGACGATTTTTGAAAAAGAAAAAAATGCCATTTTTTTCCTACTTCTTTTTCAATGATATTTGAACCTCATTTGTTGGTTCTAACATGAAAACTTTCTAACCCTATTCTTCAATCTTTGTTTTTTTATGCGGAAACTTTTTTTGGAGCCCAAATAAGGGTTTTTATTATTTTTATATTTTATGATAATTTTAAAATACTTTTATTCGGTATCTTTTTTTGTCGAAAAGCTCAGTTAATGTGTTTTTTTCAAGCAAACGTGAGGAATATTATTTTGATTTTTCTTCCAATTAAAAAAAGTCTTTCTTGATTTTTGAGCTTTTTTGGATCCATCTATCCATTTCTATGATTCTCAAATTTTTTTACTTCTGGATTTTTTGTTACGCTTTTTTTTTACAAATTCATTTTTCATAACTAAAAAGTCCATATCATTAATTTTTTAAAAACCATTTTTTTTTATTTTAAACAATTTTCAAGCCCTTTTTGAAAAGTGAAAAATAAAGCCAAACTTTATTCTTTTTATTTCAAGAACCTTTCATTACTGATTGTTGGTTTATGCATAGTTTTTTTCAGTTATACTCGTAATTTAGTCGACACCGGCAATGGAAAATACAACATGATCTTGCTCTGTTGGGGTCCTGGAATGTGCACGAAGTTTGTCTTATTCCCAATATTCTGATATAATTTCTGGTTTTGAAGCATCCATGATCATTCGGGCTCCCACTGTTTCGTGAAAATGCTCCAAGGCGAACTTTTGGAAACAAGGTCGGTTAGGAAATTTTCTGAAAAGGGGAAAATGAATGATTTTTCAAGGTTTTCCTTTCCACCGGCTGGATCGGAAATAAAACCTCTGGAAAAGAAGGAAGAACTGAGATTTGGATTGAATGAAGTCACCTACATGCACGGTTAGTTTGAAACAAAACTGTCTTTACTAAGATGATAACTTGCGAGAAATGCAGAAAAATGATGTGGGTCTGCAAACTCTGATAGTTTAGTCTATTCATCTTGACTCATACTAAATGACACGATGGGGAATCGTTTTTAAGACGCGTCGGACCAGAAATGACTTGCGCGCGGTAGATTCAAAATCATGAAACCCAATTACTGACGTAGTGAGTTCCAAGTACTGACTCGATTAAAAAAGCAACCTGAGCGCGACGAACCATTCCAAGTGCGGCCACGGTGTTTCAATTTTTGTATTTGCGACTGTAACTTTTTATTTAACCTTAAAACGCGGCAGAGGTTGGTGTATCGGCTCGCAACGGTCTTTTTTTCGGAAAATCCACAAAAAAGGTGTTTTTTCTATGCAGAATTTTTTCAACGAAAGCCTGTTTTTACATTTTTTTTTTTTGTCTGGTTACCCTTTTTTTTGAAAAGCAATTATTTGAGTTCTTATCTTTCAGGATCAAATTTTTCAGACAATATTGGCCTTCATCGAATGGAAAACCCAAGTCACTCTGAATCAGCCGTCAGTCTTCACCTGTACTGCCCGGCCTACGAGGAATGCCATCTTTTCGACCAAAGAACCAGTTTCGATCCGTTCTCTTCTAAAAATACACGGAAGCTGAATTGAAGGCCAAAAACACATCTCGAAAGTGACTTTCTGGTCCCAATACGGCAGCCTCACCAACAAGGACGACCTTCCCTTCGATCCGATCGCGAGAAGAATGGCTTGAAGTCTTTTTATCCCCTGATTCTCCTTTCAAGATTTCTCTACTTGAGCATGCTCTTACTGTGATAATTTTTGAAATTTTTTTTTTAAACGAATTTTTTTGAAATTGAGAAAATTGAAAAAAAGTTATTGGAGAATTGAGCCATTTTTTTAGGAAAGTTGTTGAGGTTTCGCTGAAAAAATTAAAAAAAACTCGAATTTTGATTACTCTCAAACTTTCCTTTTGAGTTCATGACCTCTTTTCAGATTTTTTTTTTAATTTTTTTAATTTTTAATCTAATTTTCTAGAGTTCGGGAACCTTCTATAGTGTAAATATTTGAATTCTTGATTTTTTAAAATTTTGAATTGGGATACTTTTTGTGAAGATTTTTTTCGATATTTTATTGTTGATTGCTAATATTATTCTAAGATTTTCCAGTTTTTTCATTTAGAAGTAGAATATTTGAACTTACACCAAGCAGACTTTCAGAATGAATATATCCAAAGAATGTCCCATCTTTTCCAATTAGAAGATTCAAAATAAAATTCCGAAGCCTATTAAAATTGATACGGCTTTTTATTGAATTCATTTCAAGCTTATGTTCTTTCCAATTGATTTTCAGACTTATATGATTCCCATTTTTTCTGCCAGGAAAATTAGTTCCGAAACTTCCATTTCTTTCCTGCCGAAACTTTCTTGAAACATTTTTTTTTTCGATTTCTTTACTTCATTTTCTATATCATGTCTCTTATTTTAACTCTTCAGAGCTAATTTTATTTCTATCCAAATAAATCCAGCTATCTTCCTTTTTTTGTGAACATTTCCCATAGAATCAAAACCTGTGAAACTTGCACAGTTTATTTCATTTGCCTGTGAAATTTGAGCCGCCGAGGCCGAGGCTATTCCAGAAATCAACATGAAAAACCGACAGTCATGTCGTCCGACCCGCATTTCATCGCTCATAAACGGTTATCTGAAGACTTTTTTGTAATTAGAGAATAATTTACCTTTTTCTAGGTTGTTTTATGCTGGACAAATCGGGAATTTGATTCTGATCTGCTCCCTTTTCGCCCACACTTCAATTAGGCTCGCGGTGGGTTTCGAAACATTTATTCAGTTGAATAATAATACAACCTAAATGTCAGGAAATCGGGTCTCTACAGGGTTTTGTTGTTTGAGGGACCCTTAAAAGGGGGAATACAAAAATTTTTTTATGTATTTCCTATAGTTCAAATTGGCTCAAAAAAATGTTATAAATTATCAAAAAAATTCTTGCGAACAGGATACGAAAAAAATGTTTTTTTGAAACCCACCTTTTTGCCTCATATGGTCCCTATTTCACTCCCTATAGTGACCCCTCTAAAGTTAAGTTCCTTCTGACAGAAATGAGCCTTTCCGCATTTACGGTTTTAACTGGACCATATCATTCAGTTGAAAATGTTTCCAGCAATTCGCCTCTTTCAAAGTTTTCTACACCTTTTCCAAACAGGAAATAAAATGCGGAAACTGCACAAAGTCGGGCGCACAAAGAAGCCGAAGGAGTGCGGAGGACGCGAAACAACTTCCAGTCGATTTGGAGGATTATACGATAATCATCGGCCAGGATACTATCATTCCGGTGAATATTCATCAATTTTTAGGTTTCGCATTAAAATTCAAGAGATTGAGTTTCCATTTCTCACCATCTTTTTTTTCTTTTTAGAACTTTCTTGGATTTGTTTCTATACTTTCTCAAGTTTGGAATTTATCTTGAAGTTTGAATTTTCCACTTCCTTTTAAGTCAAAATTTTAATATCGAAAGTTCTTATCTTTAAGTTTTCGTAGTTCTTGTTATTTGTCGAATTTTTGATTTTTTTTGTGTTAAAAATTAATTATTTTTCTCGCACTTCAAAAAATGTTGAACCATCACTTTGGACTCACTTTGGTCAGTTTGTGTTTTTCCTTCTTTTTTAATTTCCTAATTCGAAGTGTTTATTATTTTGATTGCAGAGAAGAGTCCTTGACCGATCTTGTTCACAAGTTCACAAGTTTTGTGCTGATCGAAGTCTGAAACTCGTTGGGTTTCCTGGACCTTTAGGAGAAGCAGGACCTCCTGGGCCTGTTGGGCCTCCAGGTTCTTTTTTTAAGAGGTTCTTTTAAAATCAGAAAAACTTGAAAAACAGAAGAATGAATGAAAATTCGTTTTTTTACAAGTGAACCATTACAAACCGTTCAATTATGGTCTGTTTTTCACGACTTTAAAAGTCTTATCTGCGCCCTCCTCGTCTCTCGGCGACCCTCTCATGTTGACGTGCTTTTTTTTGTGTTTCTGTGACCTCTCCGGTGAGGGAACAGAGAGACGCAGACACACGAAAAGTTTCAAGTCGCGGCGGATGGACCATAACCTCTCATGAAAAAAAGCGAAAAAAAAAAGGAAGAATAGAAACAAAAAAAAGTAAACTTCTTAAAAAAAGCTGATTTTTAGGAAAGGTATAATTATAGCTATGTTTAAAAAACCTCTGGAATAAATGAAAATTTTTGATTTTCCTAGGAAGACGCGGTCCAATGGGCAGTGTCGGCCCGACTGGATTGGTCGGAGATCATGGAGAACTGGGAGAACCTGGAAGAGATGGTTTTTCCGGATTCCTTAATTTTTGAAGAAAAGAGGTTCTTTAGGACGCTGCAATTGTTCATTCCCGGACATGTACATCCAAAGAGTTCCGATTCCTGGGCCGCCAGTTATTAAGGTAAAAAAAATTATAGAAAGTATTTCTAAAAACATTTTTTCACTCGACTGGTAAGAAAAAGTAAAGATCTCGAGAAAAAAGGTGAATAAAATTTCAAACGGAGTAGGAAAAAACAGCGGCTCTGAAGAGTTTTTGTGCGCTCCATTGATAAAAACACTCATATAGCCCTTTTTGTAAGATGAAATGCATGAAAGAAAATAAATGCTAGAAAAACTTGTAAACGTCAGAGTGGTCCCTGTAGGGCAACTTTCGTGGCCTTTCAAGGTATCCCTCTAGGTACCACTAAAGCTTGCAAAAGTAGCCCTTAAGGGGTGACCTCTTATGAGTGTTGTTTAGTAACTTTGAAAATTGAGGAATTTTCGAATTCGGTTTATATCTCTTTAGTTGTCTCAAAAGTTGTCCGTGGAGCGCACTGGTTTTTTGTTGCGGCTATTTTTTTTAAAATAAGAATTTTAAATTTTTTTCACATTTCAGCTGTGTTATGAACGTTTTTTTTTACATTTTCCTGAACTTCCATTCAAATTGAACATTTTTTCTCTCATTGAAACTTTTCCCAAAATTTTAAGATCGAAGAAAAGATGGTACCCGTCCCTGTAGTTGTGGTCAAGGAGGTCGAAGTGACCAAATTGGTTCCATTCGAACCGACTCCGCCTGGATTTGGACCCCCGCCGGGCTGGTCTCCAGGAATGCCCAGACCTGGGAGAACCAGAAAATTGCCTAGGTATTCTAAGTGTCAGTAAGGTTGATAATCTGATAAGAAATCAGATATTCAACGGTTCGGCCTCCAGCGACGCCTTCAAGAAGGAAGACCACGCCTGAGCCGGTTCTTCCCGACTCAGGTGCACTTTTAATTCTCAAATTAGATTGTCATTTTTCATTTTCCGCTTTGGCGGGGGTGGGGGTATTGGCCAAGAACGTTTTTCTTGGCAAAAGGCGATATTCTATGAAATTTCAATTCGAAAACTGTATTTTTGTACTTCCAACAGCTTCATAATAAGTTATAGGGAATTTGTGGAAGTTGGAATCAATATATTTTATTGATTTTTTTTGTGTTCGTTTATGCCCCCTTTCTGACATTTTTCTGTGAATCTATAGGTTTTAACAACACGTTCGGATCTGGAAACTGGAGCATCAATTTTTCCAACGTCACGACTCCGGCGCCTTATCTTGGACCTCCAACTTTGGGTTACAATCGCAGAGGTTTCATTCCTCTTTCATTTGTAACTTTAAAGGATTTTGATATTTTTTCGTTTGTTTTTAGCGAGAAAGACAAAGAAAAAAGTGAATTATTCATTTTTAGCCGTTGCTAGGCAAGATTTTCAGGAATTTCTTTCTTTGAGCGCTTTTCTTTTGATTTTTTAATTTCAGAATGTATTCTGGCGGCTGTTGGCATTCCTGTTCTTCATGCAGAGTCGCAGTATGGAAAGGTTTTTTTCGTTGAAATGAATGAAACTGTAAAATTGAGCTAAAATCAATCGTTTGCCTTTTTTCTGCTATAAATTTCGATGGTAATTTTTACTATCGAATATCTCTTTAAGGACCTTTAAAGACGTATTTAGTGACTTTTGAGATCTCTGAAGATTTTTTCCTGAACTTTTCTAGGCTTAGGAATGGCTATGAAAAATTTTCGAGGTCGCACTATATTTTTTTTTAGAACTTTTCATAGTTTTTTTTTTATATTCGTTGAAGACTTTTTTGAGGTCTTCAGGCCTCTGACGATTCTTGAGACTCTTCACTCTTCGATGTTTTCTTTTGAGGTCGGTTCTTGGATGCGAGATGCGCGGCCCTCGTCGAAGAAAGCGGCGGCCAGACGATGGCTCACCGACGGATTCGCTTCTCCCGTACTCTACGAATACGAAAACGAACAGCAAATGATGAATAAAGTCCAGAAAATCAAGTAGTTCGAGCTCTAAAATCGATTTTGAGTCGGTTTTTGAGGTACTACGTGGATTATTTGGCTTCCGGGACCGGGAATGTCGTCTATAATGGCAGCTATTACTACCATAAGCATGGGACGACTCAGTTGGTTAGGTCCGTTTCGATTTTTGATTTTTCTTTTTATCATTATTTTTTCATTAATTTCAAATTTTGTCCACCGAGATTCGAAACTATCTGACCTCTGTCTCTATTTTCCATAACCTGTACCCAATAAGCAGGAAAATATCATGTAAACACGAGAGAGCACAGAGAAATCCATCTTTTTCAGCCTTCTATCCCTGTTTCAACAAAGATTTTTGATAACTTTGCTTCACTGTTTTTTGATAGTCGTTTTGAAGTAAGATTGATATTTATGAAAATGTCTCGTTTTCAAAATTTATTTTTCAAAGTTTCAGGTACGACTTGGAGTCCAATGTCCAGCTTGAAGCGGAAATCGACCCCCAAATGGCGCATGTCGACTGTGGACGACTGCCCGACCACACTTTCGAGGTGAAAATTGAGGAAATACATATCATCAGAAGGATACTTAGGAAAGCCAGAGTGGTCATTATAGGCGTTAGGGAATTAGAAAAATATCATATAGGGCAAAATAGGGCTTCTTATAAGACTAAAATTTAGGTGGTCCCTAAACGAGCTGGTCACTCTAGGGCTAGTGATTCTCGCCCCTAAGCTTCTTAAGTTTGAGTGGACCTTATAGCTGTCTTCTGATTTTTTTTTTGTTCTTTATCAAAACTTGAAAAGACTTATAGGAATCACTAACTTGCTCCCCTAGAGTGACCACTTCTGCAAGCTTTGGGGCCCCTGTAGGGGAAGATAAGGAGGTCGCTTGAGGGTAACCTACAAAAGCCTTTGGCCACTTTAGAGATCATTCTGATGTTCTTAAAGTTATTAATCTTCTTGTGAAATATCGAAAAAATTGGAAAAAAAACGACTTATTTAATGAATTTGGGGATTTTTCAGACTTTCGGTTCGTTTAGAGGAATTTCTGGGTATCTTTAAAGCCTAAAAAGTGAACCTTGAAGCTGTAGATAATTTGATAGTTCTCTGATCTTTTTGAAAACAAACGTTCTCTAGACATCTTGAAACGTTTCCGAGTAACTTTCGAATCCGATAACTTGTTTAAGAGATCCTCTGTATTATTAGTGGTATTTTTTCAAGTAGGCGACACAAAGTAGACACTATCAAGCTCTTAAAATTTCCAAAAAGCTTCATTTTTGTAATTACTGAACTCATGCTCTAACTAGAACGTTAATGGTCGCACGTAAAACGCCTTCAAGATGCGCCCGACCTGATACGACTTGCGCTTTAGGGTATCTAGAACAAGTAGAGCAAGCTGATATGTTTCAAGTTTTAATGATAATGATAAATTTAAGATTAATAAAAACGAAGTATTCTATCTCCAACGTAGAAAACATTTTTCAAAGATCTTCCCAATTTTCAGGAATGCAACGCGACGGACCGGGATCCCTGGCTGTACAATCGCGACCACAACTATGTCGATTTCGCAGTCGATGAAAATGGCCTTTGGGTCATTTATACACATGCGGAGAGTGGAACCCTGCGAGTTGCAAAAATTGAATCGGTTTGAGAATTTTTTGTTCTAATAAAGAGGTTGTAGTTTTGAACTAAGTTAGCAATGAGTCTTCTTCAATCATGTTAAAGTGTAGAGTCAAAATTATCTCAAAACGTTATGTTTTTGTTGGAACCTAGGAAGAGTTAGATTTTCAAGAACTTTAAGAATCTCGAAAGAAATTATCACAACGTTACGACTATTCAGCTAAGACTCAGTTTATCTAGATTTTTATCATGTCATTTCTATTTTTTACAAATCAAAGTGACATAATTAAGGATTTGTGAATAAATTGTAATTATTGAATAAAGGTCTCGAGTCAAAAAGTCGTTCCCATCTTCAACTTGGGTCATAAAAGACTTCTGAGCCTTCAAATACCGAAAAAGGATTTTTTTTTTTGAGCAGTCTTGGTTAGTAAAAATATTTTATACAGCGGTGATAAAATGCTCATTAGAATAAATTGTACACAATCATGTCTCTAATATTTATTTATTTCCGCCTTTATAGGACTTTTACGTTGTGAACACTTGGGATGTGACTGAGGCGAATGCGACGGACGTTTCTGATGCCTTCGTGATGTGCGGAGTCATGTACTGTCTGAAGAGCGCCGTCGAGCGTCAGACCATCATTACCTACGCTTATGATCTTTACAGGTGAGAATATCCTTGAAATAGTTTTGAAAATGAAGAGACTCAACTGAGAATTGAAAAAAAAAGCGTAATAAGCTTCAAATTTTAGGGGCTATTATTTTCTTCACCTTTATAGGTTAGAAAAAAAAAACTTCAGATTAAAAAATATTAAAAAATTTTTTTGAAGTTTTCCTTTTCTATAACTATTTTCACGGAAAAAGCACAGGTAGGAACATGCTCGGGAAGATCAGAAAAATGCAGAAATTCAGCTGAAAATTGAAAAAAAAATTTTGGAAGAGTTTTAAGAAATTACTTTTGTTTGCAGGCTAGAACAAAAAATGTTTGAAAGAATGATTCAAAGGAGAATAAGTAGCAAAATATGAGTAGTATAGTCTGTGTGCCACGACTTGAAATTTCACGGAACGAAATTCCGCTGTTCCACTGCGTGCCTTCGCAAATCGTCTTTCGAATATAAGTCAAGCTTTCAATTGATTGTTATTGCTGTGGGAGCACATGAAAGAGAGTACCTTAATAAAACAAAAAAGGTTCGCAAAGGGGCGCAGCGGAACAGCGGAATGTCGTTTCGTGGAATTCCAAGTCGTGGTCCACAGGCTATACTTTGATAAAAAAAAAACAGTTGAGGCTCGCACAAACCCCTAAGCCAGTAAGGAAAACCGAGCCTAATTATTTCAGTACAAAGATGTTTAGAAACGACTCGATCCCGGGGCAAGTCGAGTGGTACAATCCATATGGCGGCCTCACGATGCTGCACTACAATCCGCTCGACAGCCGTCTCTACTTTTTCGACGACCGAAGACTTCTTTCGGCCAACGTCCGCATCGAGGAGGACCTTCCCGAGTACATTGACGATTTTTGAATCTTGTATCCTTTTTATATGAGATATTTTATTCTTTTTCAAACTGTGAACGATATCTTATGAACTTTGATCTTGAATGCCGCATCCTTTTTTAAAAAGAAGTTGATTTGTACCTCCTTCATCTTTATTTTGGATTTTAATTGCTTATGAGGGAATTTTTGTTTTTTAATAGCATAGTTGTTGTAAAAACTTCAATTTTCTGCTTTTTTTTTGAACAGTGTAGAAAATTTATGACTTTTAAAATTGAATATAAATTCCTGATCTTTTTTTTGAATAGAAGCAGATTCATAGAACCTCTTGTAATCTTCATTTTTGAATTTTATTTATTTCAGCCTTTGATTTTTCATTTCTCATCGTTCTTCTAGCTTTGATTTCAACGATTTTTTTATCTCAAATTATTTATTTATGGAAATTTTTCTCGTTTCAGACTTATTAAAATCTATTCCGCTAGTCATATGTTTGAAAAATTTTCAAAATTCAAAAAAACCATTTTCTGATCATTTTCTAAAAATATGTATCGATTTTTCTCATCTTTTTCTCTCATCTGAACTCAATAAATCCTTTCTAACCGGAAAAAAAAGAACTTGAAAAGCCTGTCGATTTGATGTTGGACCTACAGCGAAATACCTCGAAATCTATTTGACCTGGCGACGGCGCTAAAATCGCTTTGCCCTTTTTTGGAGGTTCGAAACGATCGTCTCCCTCAAATTCTCCAAATTCGTCTCCCTCAATCCGCGATTCAATCTCTTTTCTTTTGTTTTACAGGTGTTCTGGAATTTGTATTAGATCTTTATTCTGTTCTTTTTTGTGGAGAAGTAGAACTCTCGCATTATTTTTGAGGATTTTTAGAGATCTTTTTTTTCTTTCGTAGGAAAAAATTTTTTTCACGAATTTTTCATTTTTTTTTTCCAATGTTTTTAAAGAATTTTTAATTTCTTGATAGTTTTTCATCAAAGAAAGTAATTAAAAAGGTCTTCTAGAAGAGTTTTTCGGATCAAAAAAATTTCTTTACAAGTTTAAAAAAATACTCTAATTCTCGCAATTTGTTTTTTTATAACTAAATCAGAATTTTTTTGAACGTTTCCTGGCAAATCCAACCTTATTCTGTGGTTCCAAAAAAACGTTTTTCGAGCCTTTTTTTGAGTTTTTTTAAGGAACATTTGTAATGTGAAAAGGAAGAAATCCTTTTTGACTCTGATTAAATATCCAATAACAATGAGAAGAGTCAAAATGAGAAACTGAGTTTCTTTTTTTAATGATGTTATTAAAGGTTTGGAATATTTTTCCGTAGACGTTGATGATTTGAGCGTTGGAAGCTAGTTTTTAAAAAGGAACCTGAAAGGAAGAAATTGAGACTAGTAGAATTATAAATAATCCTCGAAGGAATTTTATAATAGACTTAGAACTTTTTTTTATTTTTCAAATTTTTTTTTTCGAACTGCAGTTCATTATTTTTTTAATTCTCATTCTTTTTGCTGAAATAGATAACATCCAATTATCATTGAATAATAAAAAAAGATGTTTGAAAAATATATCGACTTTTGCTAGCTCACTTTCAAAATCGAGTAAAATAGCTTGATAATCTCCATTTTTAAGGTCAATTTCTTCGAATTATTCCCAAAATTCTTTTAAGTTTTGATTGTGATACGGATTCTCTGGCTTCGAAATTATGAAAGTGCTTATTTTTTGACTTGTTCGCAGGCCAACGAGGCGTAATTTTTCCTTCTTTATTTGAACAATCTTTGAGCGACCTTGTGACTGGTATTTATTCGCGTTTTGCACTGATTACCACTATCCTCCCCTCAAAAAGGACGGAAAAAAACGAGGCCTTGGTTTTTCTGAATTTAATCACTTTTCCAGTGGCCTTTTGGACGTCGTTAGGTTTTCAAAGGTCGTTTATCATTTCTAGAGCTGAATTTCACATAGGAAGCTTCAAAAAGTATTTTGGAACTCATAAATTTATCTCTTATCGATATCATGACGTTTTTCTTATCAAAAAAATGAGAAACTTTATATTTTACTTTCACGTTTCAAAAAATTTCTTCATTTTTATGTTTAACAATTTCTTACCTGAGGACTTTAATGAGATTTAGATGCAGATTTTGAGTTTTAAATTAGTGTTCGATTTTTTTTTAAATTTTGTACATGAAAACAGTTTTTTTACCCTTTTTTCTAAGTAGATAACAGACTGGGGACCTACGCAAACTCGTAATCGCGGGTTCAAAAAAATGGTGGGCTGTAGACCTAGGTCAGACTAATTTTAAAAAAAGACTTTCTTAACCCGATGAGGTGCCGAGAAAACGATTGTTGAAAATGAACTGGACATTTCGCAGAACAACGTTTTTCTTCAGTTTTTTTTTTCCTGAATAAACCTTTTATGGTGTTTCTTGTTGCCGAATCATTCGAGGCGACCGTATTGAAAAATAAAACTGGGTAAAATGAAGTAATTTGAAGGTTTTCAAGTCCAATCTGCCCAAGAAGGTCTATAAGCCTCCAAAGTTTGAACTCGATCCCCGGGTTCGCGTAGTACTCATATGAGAAGAAATCCTTTTTTTTTCATCTTTTCACTTAAAATCCACTTTTTGGCTTGGGTGGGCGGCTTTTTGACTGGTATTTCTTTCCTGATGGTCAAAAAAAGGAAAGCCATCGCGGGAAAACATTAAACTTGTCCCGATGGATTCTTCATCCACTTTCCCTTCTTTTCTTGTCTTTTTTTTTGGTTTTCTGATTCTTTTTGTTTGAGAGTTATGTAGAAGATGATCTAGACTTTCTATTTTTGAGAATAAAAAAAACATTTCCGGTTGAATTAAAATAATTTGAAAGCCTCGAGATGCTTAGGAGTGCTAGAGTAGTCCCTATAGGGGTTAGGGATGAACACCCCTTCTAGGGAACAAAAAGTGCTTCAGTAGGGTAAAACTGGTAAGCCCTAAAGCTCTATTGGTTCTTGTAGGTTTTTCGCCTGGAAATGCTTCATAGAGTTTATAACCGTAATCTACTAGCATGCTTCCCTAAAGTGACCCCTTTGCAAGCTTTTGTGGCTCTATAGAGAGAGATGAAATCGTCCCTAGAGGAGAAATTTCAAGGACCCCTAAGGTAGCCACTATAGGGACCACTCTGCAGATCCTAAGTGCGTTCAATTTTCATTATTTACCTTTTTTAAGCCCTCATTTTGATACGTTCCATCTCCCTCGCTTATCAGTATTTCCTCCACGCCCTTTTGATCGCTTTTATCAGTTTGAAAAGTACGTTTTGCATGATATTTTGAAGTACCGTCGAGATTTTCGAACCTTTGCTCCGTTTCTGTTTTCGTTTTTAAAGTATATCTTGAAGTTCCCGTGTTTCTTGTGAATCTATGAGATTTGCGGCTCAAAACTTCTTTTATTCAACATTTTATAATTTTCTCAAATATATAGAAAGTAAAAAAGAAACGAGAAGTTAAGTATCGCAAAAAAAAATTTCATTTTTATTTGTTCTCAGTTTTGTAGGTTCAGTACGACATTAATCTTGAAAATTCGAACACGTTTCTTCGTTCTTTGATAAAATTTCCACGGCTGCATTTAAGAAAAAATATGTCAAAAATAAATTTTCAAGAAAAGTTTTATGAAATCAGATTACAAACTTCTTTCTTACTTAAACTTTGGGAAGGTAAAATGAGCCGAAACGCCTCTGCAAGGCCTAGAAAGGCAGCTGCGTTTATGAATTGTTCTGCAAACTTTTTTTTGAATGGTTTCGAAGGGCATTCGCACTTTTTTTCGGAGGGATCTACACTAATTTGTCTTTTTCGTTTGTACAGATGTCCCCTTCCAACACGTGCAATCCACCCGCGTCTTTTCATTACGACTAGAAATTGTCCTGAATTCGTTTTTTCTGTAATTTCTAAGTTTAATTCATGGAAAAAGGGAAAATTAGGAATTTTCAGACTAGTTTCAGCTACTGGTACAGTATCACTTGTAAGTAAAGTTTTTGCTGTTTTTCGATTTTATTTTTATTTCATCAAAAAAGCGTTCATAGCTCTCGAAGTCCTTAAGTAACACTGGAAGTCTGGAGATCTTAATGAAAGTTGTGCACATAGGGATCGAAAAATGCTTTCTAGAATTTTTCCTTTTAGGGTGACAGAGATCCCTTTATTTCTGCCTTTTTGCGCTATTTCATTATCTCTTATGCACCATTTTTTCTGCCTCATCCTTTTTTCACCATTTCTTCACCCTATAAAATCCGAGAAGAATGGAAGGCTCAATAAAGGGACTCTCTTTGCTGCCTTTCTGCGTCCTTTTTTGAGTCTTTCCCTTTTAGCGGCCATTCCCCACCATTCCGACTTTGCCCGATTTATTGCTTTGTATACTGTGACTTCTGAAATCCAAAATTTTGCTTTTTTTAATTAATAATCATAAATGTCTCTAATTTTTGCTGTAATTTCTCAATTTTCTGTATTTTTCCAACCTAGCCTAAGTCGAACCGTAGAAATGTTCCTTTTAGAATGACAGAGGCTCCTTTTTTGCTCCCTTTTTCCACCTGTAAACTTCTAGAAAAACTGTTAGGCTCCATAAAAGGACTCGTTTTGCTGCTTTCCCTCTCCCTTTCAGCGGTCATTATCCCCCATTCCGAGTTTGCCTTCTTTACTCACTTTTTTCGAAGCTATTTTGTTTTTTTCATATCAGAAGGCTCTTAAGAGCAGAACCCTTTCTGAACCCTTTCAAATGGATTTGCTTTGGAAACCATTCAGCTCAGCCACTTAACGCGCTTTTTGCGACATGTGGCGAACGCATTCCCTTTTTTATAAACAAACCGTGTGCCGCCGTCGTGATGAATTCGACAACATCAATGTTCTCGTTATTCAGATCGAGCAGGGCAGCGGACCGTCTGACGAATCGGCGAAATGTTCAAGAAGGTTCATTTCATTCTCTTTTCGTCAGAATCTCCCGAGTGAATCGTCTTGATTTCAATAAAAGATATAATAAACTCGCTTAAAACAACCATTTCTCTCAAATCTTGATTATTTGAAAATATTTCTCAATTTGATAGAGTGTAAGTTTTATAAACAATTGAAAAAAGAAAATTTTTTTTCTGATGTTGAGAAGGCTCTCCTTGAAGCTAAAATTTTCAGGTAGAACGAGTGGTTTGCGTCGGAGCGGGCTACGTCGGCGGGCCGACCTGCGCCATGATCGCGCACAAATGTCCCGGAATCACGGTGACCGTCGTCGACATGAACGCCGCCAAGATCGACGAGTGGAACTCGGATAAATTGCCCATTTTCGAGGTATATCGTAAAAAAGGACAAGTCTATGAATGGGCGGAACTATTTTTGAAGTTGTATCCATCCAGATTTCGTGGTAACCCTAAAGTTCTAAATTAGATATGTTGCTCTAAGGAAGAAGATTTTCTATAAGTTATTAGATTTAAACTTGAACTAACCGTTATTTTTGGATTCTTTCTGAATTTCTGGGTCGAATGGCACTTCTCAGTGCTCTGGAGGATCATAATACGGTGAACAGGACTGTTTTAAAGTTTTATTCTGGAAAACATTGTTGAGATTATGCTCAAAAAAGGCATTATTTCAAAGAAAAGTCCAGTTGATTTCGGTCGCACTCGATTTTTCGCGAAATTTCAAAAACAATGAACCGACTCAAGGCTCCGTGAAGCCAAAATGCGCTGGCCGAGGCTAGTTTAACGTTTTTTTCTGTTAAATAAGGTCAGTTGAAGCAAAAAAGGAATACTTTAAATGAGGCGAATCCAACTTAGTCCCATCCGATTTTCCGTATAATTTTCAAACCGAAGCTCTGTAAGACCAGACCGCGTCGACCAGGGAACGGCCTCAGCTCATACTAGGACTCCTGAATGAGTCCAAGTTTTCTAGATGTAGTTTTTCACGCTCATTCCAAGTCTGGTTTCAACAACTGCCGAGGATGTCTGTTAAAAAAGGACTTCTAAAGTCGAAAATTTCAGTGTCTCGAATTGAGATCAATTTGGAATGTATACAGTATAGATTCCGTCCTATCGGTAAAAAAAAAACAATAATTCTCTCAAAAAAAAACGTTTTTGAGCCTAGTGATGATGACATCTAGAGAAGCTGGACTCATTTAGAAGACCTACTGCTGCTACAGGAGACCATTTCCCGGAGATTTTGAATAACTAATATTACAAAAATTACGAAAAAAAAAAATGATTTCGCAGCACGGTCTGGACGAGATCGTCTTCGCCGCCCGTGGCAAGAACCTCTTCTTCTCGTCGGACATTCCGAAGGCGATCCGAGAGGCCGACCTCATCTTCATCTCCGTCAATACTCCAACCAAAACCTATGGTCGCGGAAAGGTTCAAAAGAAGGAAAAGGAAAAGGCAAAGGAAAATGAGAATATTCTCAGGGAATGGCGCCGGATTTGAAATATGTCGAATCCGTGGCCAGAACTATCGCTCAGTATGCCGGTGGACCTAAGGTTCGTGAATTTAAAAAAAAAGTTGAGCATGAAGGAGAACATTTTTTCATGCTAAAAATCGAAAGAAAAATTAAATTTCACTCGATTTTTTTTCAAAATTTCAAGTCTTTGTGGGAACTGTCCAAATTCGTGATATGGAAAAAAAACTGGACAATAGAAAATTTTTTTTCAAAATGTTGAATCTTATCGTCTTCAATGAGAGTAGGAGAATGTCTGAAAATAGTGCTCAGTTGACAAAAAATTTTATTTTTGTGCAGATTGTCGTTGAGAAAAGTACAGTTCCTGTGAAAGCGGCGGAAAGCATCGGATGCATTTTGAGAGATGCCCAGAAGAATTGTCCTGAGTTGAAGTTCCAGGTGAAGTTCGAAACTGAAAAAAAAATGATTAAAAGATAAGGATAGCATTGAATTTTTTCAACTTCTGTATTATCTCTAGACACTAAAGAGTTCATAAGAAACATTTATTTTATAATCGTTCCTTGAAGATTTTTGTTTCCTTTTCATGGGTCTTAAAGTGTTTCAGGTTCAACTGAACTGTAAAGGGGGGGAGGGGCGCTGAATCAGAAAAATAATGGGGAGAAAAGTTCGAAATTAGAAAGGCCAAACCGCAAAGAGTCCTAGATTTGTTGGAATTAATTTTCGAGCTCTAGGTGCTCTCCAACCCCGAGTTCTTGGCGGAAGGAACGGCGATGCGCGATCTGGCGAATCCCGACAGAGTTCTGATCGGCGGCGAGTCGTCGCCTGAAGGTTCCTCGACGCAAACTTTCGAAAAATGAATGTTTTCAGGAGCCCTGGCCGTTGAGGCTCTCGTTACGGTCTATGAGAACTGGGTGCCGAGGGAACGAATCATCACGACCAACACTTGGAGCTCCGAGCTGAGCAAATTGGTGAGAAGTCATCTCATAAGTCACCATTCTAATTGACGTCGTATTGATGAATTTTGACTTGTTAGGAAGTCATTCTGAAATGTTGCAATGTTAAATAGGAGTACTATCACGCTTTGTGGTTCAGAATTGACTGAAGTTTGAGCAGAACACTCCTAGGAGCACCAAGTAAAAGTTCTGAAGTCCCAACCCGCACGATCGATTCGTTTTCATAAAATAAGAGCTCCAAGTCGGGAAATGACCTTTTCAGCGTATTTTGATGGTTTTCTCGAATTTACGGGCCTATTGTCTCTAAATCGAAGAGTTTTGCAATTTGAGACAATCAAGATCTTCATTTCCAATTTAGAAAAAAGTATGAAATTTTTAAGATTTTTCAGAGCTTAAAGTGAAAAGACCTTCCTAGTCAGTTGCTTTTAAAGCAAAATAAAATTTTAAAGAGTTTTCTTGAAGAAACGGAGTTGGTTTTGAAAATTTATCTACTCAATTATGTAGTTGGCAAACGCTTTTCTGACACAGCCAACTAAGTCCGTTTAATTTCGAGAAATTCGTAAAGAGTAGCTCATTTTGAGCCCTCATTTAGGGAAACAAAGAAGTTAGGTAAGTTCAGGATCCGTTTTATTGTAAATGAAAGAGTATTCTGGCAATTTTCCAAAAAAATTATTCACGGAAGTAAAATAACCTTCCTTGTAAGCAAAATTCTATCAGGTTTCCAAAATAACCTTTTTCACAAGAGTCAGGACTACTGAATTGTTGAGAATTGTCTCCATGAAGGAACTTGAGCCAATGGAATACTGTAGGTGGCGAACGCGTTCCTGGCCCAACGGATCTCGTCGATCAACGCGATCTCGGCGGTCTGCGAGGCGACGGGCGCCGACGTCAGCGAGGTCGCTCACGCCGTCGGCTGCGACACCCGCATTGGCAACAAGTTCTTGAAGGCCAGCGTTGGTGAGCTTTCAGAAGATTGAAAGCTTCAAAACCTATCTTGATAGAAACCTATCGCTGTAGTTTCGAAACAAAATGTGGTTTAAAATTTGCATTTCCTACTGAAATATTAGTGGTTTTTCATCTTCTCCAGCAGTTCCTCGGATTTTTTTTCCGGCCGAAAAGGGGCGTAGCCTGTTTGCACTCTCTACCAAGCATGCACTTCCTCCTTTTATCCTGCCAGAACCCATTTTTCGATGGCTCAAGCTTGTAGGATTTTTCACAGTTTTGTAATTCGTACATCCTTCTTTCGCTTATCATGTTTGGACACGAATTGCTCTTAAAATTACGACTTTTGTTCGATTTAAAGTGGGCCGTTGTAATCGCGAGAAAAGCTTTACAACATGGTCCATTTTTTTCTCAAACCAAAAGTTAAAAAAAAAGCTTTCCAGGCTTCGGCGGTAGCTGCTTTCAAAAAGACGTCCTCTCCTTGGTGTACCTCTGCGAATCTCTGAACCTCCAGAAAGTCGCCGATTATTGGCATGGAGTTGGTATTTTCTCCACATTCTTAAGCTAAACTTTGTGTTTCAGGTGATCGAGATCAATGATTGGCAACGACGCAGATTCGCCGACAAGATCATCGCCGAGCTGTTCAACACGGTCACCGACAAGAAGATCGCCGTCTTCGGCTTCGCCTTCAAGAAGGACACCGGCGATACCAGGTTTTTTCAGGATTTTTTAAGATCGAAATGAAATTCGAATCGAGTAAGCTGTTTAAGATTTTTTAAAAACAGGGAAGTTTTTAATAATAGCTGTCAGAAAGAAGAAACTGAAAGCTTTTCGTTCGAAAAGTCTAAAAAACGGTTATTAGAAATATTGAAACTTTTTTGAAAGCATAGGCTTTTTTTCACCTTTTCCCGGCCGGCTTGTATTTTTTACATTGTCGAAAAAACGGGTTTTATGTTTCGAAGTTCAATTTTAAAAGCTTTCCAGAGAATCTTCGGCGATCCACGTTTCGAAGCACCTAATGGAGGAACATGCTCGCCTCGCCATTTACGATCCAAAAGTGCCCAAGTCCCAAGTTCTCTACGAGTTGGGCCTTCAAACTAGTCCAGCCGATGGTAAATCTTCGACAAAATTAAGACTTTCCAGATTTTTTGAATCGAAACTTCCGAGACTAATTCTTACGAAACAAAAAATCGAAAGTTTTTCATTTTGCCACTGTTACGTTCTTTAAAACTTGAAGACCTAAATTTGTTGAACATGGCAAAAAAAAAAAACAAGTTAGAATGATCTCCTGTTTCATGTCAAGTATTATTAAATTGCATCCAATTTATTATTGATGAATAAATTTTTCTCCCACAGAATTTATCAAAAATTCTCGTAATTTCAATGTTTTTGAATTCATTTATCAATTTCTATGAAAATGAAGGTTTTTTTCAGTCGAGAAGCTGGTCACGGTTTATAATGACCCTTATGAAGCGGCCAAGGACGCTCATGCCATCGTCGTTCTCACCGAGTGGGATGAATTCACGGTTTGAATTTCGGGATCGGAAAAGAAAAGAAAAATTAAATGAAAGGCGGTAAAAGGGCAAAAATCAAAAGAGGCGCCCGCGGGACAATAGTGACGTGTCTAATGTGGAAAAAATGTTTTTTTCTCTGTTTGAAGTTGCGATTTTTCCGAAAGAGTTTGAAAACATCTTTTCTATGTCTTCAAACTTGAAAGGGCCAGACCCTTGAGGGGTAACTTTAGGGGCACTTTCCAGGGCCCACAATGCTTTCTTATAGATGTCAGTGAAACTTTCAAAAGGGGCTACTCTAGGCAGTATGCTAATGCAAACTATATCCCTCTAGGAATGTTCTGAAATTTCAATCCACCGAATTTAGACCTTCGACTTTTCGCGAATCCACGCCTCGATGCGGCATCCGGCCGCAATTTTCGACGGTCGTCTCATTTTGGACCAAAAGGTGAAACCGAAATAAATGATAATATTTGAAAGTTTCGAAAAAAAAGCTTAAAGTTTTGACCTGCGTAACGAAAACCGCCCATGACGTTTCTAAGCTGTTCTAGGGATCACTTAAGAGTGCTGACACTTCTAAAGTGGTCACTAGAAATGCCCCGAGACGTTCGTTTTGTCTCAACGAGGTCCGAATCATTTAGAGACTTTAGTGGGAATTTTGGAATTTTTTATAAGTTCGCCTGAATGTTTTCTGAGGTCCGGCTTATAGTTTTTTATCGTGGAAACTCTAAATTTTTAGTATTTCATTTTTGTTTGACATAGAATCAGACCTGCTATTTAGCAACTCAAAAAAGTAACATGTCAAAGAAAAGCAAATGAAGAAAATCAATATTGATTTTCGAAGACTTTTTGGGCGGTTTTGTAGAAATTCCAAGCTTCAAACTGAAAGAATCCTCGTTTTAAGTGATTACATTTTCGACCAAAAAGTCTCTGAAGCAGTTTTTTTTTCAAAATATTAACACTACAAGCTGTCAAAAGTATAAGTCCAAACTTGAAACCGAAACAATTTTTGTGGCCAGAAAGTTTTCAAAACTATCAATCGATAATTTTGAAGGCTCTGCGCGAGATCGGCTTCCGCACGTTTGCCATCGGCTCCGCCCCCGACCAGGCCTACAATCTCTTCGGCACTTCTGGATATTAGAAGAGAAAAAGAACGTTAAATTATTCCTTAAAAGCTTTCTATTGCATAATAATGATCAATTTGTGATATCTGTCGCGTTGTTAAGAATGAAACGATTTGTCACGGTTCGAAAAAGAAAACAAAAAGAGACAAGAAGAGCTGACCGGCGCGTGTCTGCGTCTCTCCTCTCTCGCCGCCCATCGGCTCCTCCGCTGCCCTTTTCAATCCGAATTTTTCGCCCAACCTGTCGCCGTCTTCTCGACTTCTTGCCATGGAACGAGAATATCAGGTATTACTTCACCTTTTTTGGACATGATATGGTTTTTAGGTATAGCTATTGGTCATACTTGATTTTGAGCTTTCCGCTTCATCTTTTAAAGCATGAAAATATAGTTTTTTGAATGAGTCACGCTCTTTTGAACTAATCTAGCTTCAATTCTGAGAATTTCGTCGAAGAGTTTTTTTTTAAGTGGCTTTTTGGTCCGGTAAGAAAAATGATTCAGAAAAATCGAAATTGTTAAGCTAAACGGTTTTTTTTTGTTCAAATCCTGAGAAAAACCTTCGGAATAGTAGGAATAAAGTTCAACTCTCCGTTGAGGATTTTTACGAATTTGATCCGGAAAGTAACCATCCGCACAATTTTTTGGTTTTCTTTTCAAATTTCGTTGGAAGTCTTTTATGATTTGCTCGGTCCGAAAACTAAGAAGTCCAGACTTCTAGAGTTTTTTGCTCTTTCAAAAAAAAAAAAATGCACTTTCAATTAGTTTTCAGGTCGGTTTTGAAGAAGTAAAAGTTTTGGGAGTCGGTTCGCTAGTTTTTTCAGTGTTCCTATTGTGTACCGTTTACTTGCAATTAATCTTACAGGTATTAATTTTTTTAAACTCCTTTTTCTCGCAGGACGACTTGACAACTGAGGTACTGAGAGGAGACGTTGCGAAAGTGCGTCGAATGCTGCGCACAAATGTCGACATCGAAGCGATTTCCGAGCCGTCTGGATACACTCCTCTCACCGCCGCCGTTATCATCAACCATGTCGAGCTCGTCAAGTTGCTCTTGGAGAATGGAGCTGACATTGAAAAGAAGAACGGGGTGAGATTCTATTTGATGGATTCAGGAGATGCTTCGAAAATATCGATGTATTGAAGAGCATACAGATTTCAAAGCAAGAACCATTTTATGATAACCGAAAGTAAAATAAAATTTCCCGATTTCTCCCCTTTAATTTCAAACTAGATAGTGACCACTGTTACATTCGAAAATGGAGATAATGGAAAAAAAAAGAATATTTGCAAAGAATCTAAGAAATACAGTACCGCTCAAAAGTATATTAAGTTTTGGTTTTTTGAGGATATCTCAGCGAGTACTTATCCGATTGATATATAACTTTCAGGGATAATGTAAAATATACTTTGAAACATATATGCTATACAAAGACATGTGCGCAATCACTTTGACGCGTTTTAGGCATTTTTTATTGAATTGAATTTGTTTTGTTTTTCATGCTTTTATTTTTATTTATTTTTATTAAATGTATTCTCCGTGGAACATTTTTTCATCATACTCGAGAGCCTGTTAGGTCCGAATTGTTTTTATCGGCTATTTTTTCTGGGCTATCCTACGGTTCTCTTTACACGGGCTTCTTATAGCGGATTCACAGCTGGTTTGAGAAAAAAAATGGTACTGGCACGATGGAAAAAGAGATAGTGCCTGGTTGGTGGAGAGTGCAGGCAGGCCACCCCCTTCGGCGTCCCAAGCTAGGAAAAGAATAATATCGCGTTTTGAGTGGGACCTGAACGCTCTGATGCTCTCGATGACCGAGCGGTCGGATGAAATGTTCGACTTGCTCCTGAACAGCGGCGCCGACGTCAACTCGATGGATGAGGACGGCGTGACTCCGCTTTTCGTAGCCCTCGACCCCACCTTCGAGCCCAATCGTCGTCCACTCAGGCTCATGGAACTCGGCGCTCGAGTCAACGTCTCCAACAAGGTTTTTCTTGCGGTTTTCTCATCAAAATTCATCTTCCTCCCTTTAAAGTTCTGATTATTAGTGGCCACTATAGTAGTCGAATTAGCACCTCATTAAGAGTCTAAGTGGTATTACTAGACCTAGTTTAATTGCGTAAAAAAGTAGGATGACCTGTTTCTCAAATCAAAACTAAACGACCTTTGGCAGTTGCCTGATCGGTTTCTCTTCTTAGTATTTCTCCTCAAGAAGAAGTCTTTTTGAGGAAGGAGTGACTCCGCTGCACTGCGCCGTCGTCCGATACCACTGGGAGGCCGTCGTGAAGATGATCGAAAGGGGCGCCAACGTCAACGCCAAGACCATCGAAGGGTGCACGCCGCTGCATGCGGCTGCGTCTTTCAATAATCATTTCTCGCTCATCGACTTGTTGGTCAACAATGGAGCTGCTTTGGAAAATCGGGCCGAGGTCGGTCTAATTTTGAACTTTACGAATATATCCCATATGAACTGAGAGCTTTTTTCATTCTGGTTTATAGTTTACAGTGAAGCAAGATATTGATTACTTTAATCTTCATTTTCGATTTCGCCTAGTCGATTCCATCTGACTAAAACAACCAATAAATATTGATTGATGAAATATTGATGATGATTCAACGATAAAAATGGGTTCAATAATTCTTTCCCAGCGTGAATCGACCAAAAACGATTTTGAAGTTGTTTTTCGGTGTCGGACATTTTGTTGATTTTTGGTTTCGGGCTGTAACTTTCTGAGAAAACTAGCTATCGGACTTGTTTTTTTCTGATAATAAACTGGTCCCGTAGGAAACAACTACTGTATGTCTTGACAAAAACGTAAAAGATGAGTTCCAACCTCATGGTGGTACTGTAAACAAAAATAAAGTTAATTTATATAATAAGCGTGGCGGCCTTTAGAAATGGTATGCCTCTGCCTATATGGTCACGAAATAGCTTATGAAGAAATTACCCCATGAATATCACCGCATTATCACCTATAGTTATGGATATCAGCTAGAGAAACGCAATACCGCGGGAAAGCTGCGACATCGCAAACTTCTTACGCTATATCGCTCTCTGAAATAATTCCTACAAAATATTCTATCCTTTGATTCGATTCGCACGCCTATAGTGTTCCCTTGTTCCTTTCCCGACTTTTTCTCAAAATCTTTTTGTTTTTTTCATCTGTTGTTTCCAGATCACTTTTTGTTTTTAAAATTTGAGATGAAATGGTGAAGAATTCTTCTTTCTTCGAATATTTCTCACGCCCACGCTCAAATTCGATTTCCCCGCCAAATATCGTATTTGGGGGAAATTTCGTGGGGAACGTGCGGGAACTGAATTGAAAAAATAGTGAGCGGAATCAACACAAAATTGTGTGTTCCGGGTAAGAGGGTCATGTGATGGAAGCACAGCAGATTAAAAGCTACCGTAAACATTTTTTTTTTGCAAATTTGCACCACGAATCTAGTAAAAACGATGGTCTCGCAGCGAAGTTTGGTATGAGGTCTTTTTTGATGGAAAAAAGGGACAAACTTGTGTGGATTATGATGGTTTTTGATAGATTTCGTCATTTGATTTAATCGATAATGATATATCTTGATGCAATCAGCAGGAACGGATGAAAAGCAATAGTGTCGATAAATAAAGTAAAATTCTCGATTTGGACTTCTTTATTTCAGAGAAACCACACTCCGCTTCTGGCTGCCGTCTACTGTGGGAAAACCGAATGTGTCCAAGCTCTGATCAGAAATGGAGCGAGGACCGACGTTCGAGACCGGGAAGGCACGCCGGCACTCGTTCTGGCGGCCAAGAAGGATTGGCCGATGTGCGAGGCCCTCCTCAGCTCTCCGGAGATCGACATCGACGCCGTTGATGTTGTCAGTACTACAGAACTAGACTGGCGATCAATACAACTTGTAAATTGATGTCTCCGAAAAGAAATTCTGGAGATACCAAGTGGGCAAAATCTAGACCGTTAAGATTTGTAGAAATTTCCAACTTCCGACGGGAAGAACCTCAAAAAGCTATATTTCCGCCCAAACTTATTTTCAATTTCATCGATTTTCTAAGACTCTAAAATATGTTGATTGACAGTTTGGAAACACGGCGATGCACGAAGCCGTCGTCGCGGAAAACTTCCAACTCTTCGACGAGCTCATTCGTCGCGACGCCGCTGTCGACGTCCAGAATGGAGCTGGAGAAACTCCGTTGATGTTGGCCGCCCAACGGGACTTGGCCGACGTCGTTGAGGAGCTGCTGGCCAAAAACGCCGACCCTCAACTGCGCAATGGAGTTCGCGAATTTGATTTTTCAAAAATTGAGAAAAGCTGCGGGATCACTCTAGGGTTTTAGGGTTTAAAGAAGTGATCATTTTAGAGACCTCTTTGAGTAAATATGTGGAGAAAACGTATGAAAAAAATTTTTAACGATGTTTTTAAAGCCTCGCGCTTGAAAATCGATTCTCAGTATTTTCCAATTATTTCTAATACGAAATCGCAGAAGTCGTTTTAGGTCGGCTGCAAAAAATTTCATCCGATTGTTCGCGATTAACTTTAAGACTACTACAAAAGAAGAGTTTGAAAGCCTCGCGGGGACACATTTAGTAGACGGTCTTCTTTAAGTGACCCCTGAAGAGAAAAAGATTCACTCTAGGGAACACTTGCGTCTTTCTGAAGATGTCTGAAAGATAACGGGTCTCTAACGAGGCCTGAAACGTTTTTTCAACGCGTTTTAGTAGACGATTTCCAGTATGACGAGTCCGTTTTCGACATTGCTGAAAGAGAAGATGCTTCCGAAACGCTTGAAGTTCTGCGCCTGTGGATCGAGCAGGTCCTTTTCATAGACTTTATTTATTCTTCGAATCAAACATTTCCAGAATATTCTGCATCCTGGTCTAGTCTTTGAACTGGAAGATGTCAGCAGCGATGAAGAATGAGGAACTGAAAATAGGCGATGATGAAGTTGTTGTTGTTTGATCTGAGTGTGTGGACGAGTGACGTGAAGCTGGTTTTTATTGCATATTTCGTGCCTTTTTCTGTTGTTTTCTGAATAAAGTCGTCATTCAAGTAAACCTGACCTTCCATTTGCAAGAAAGTTGGATTTTTCATCTTTAATATATTTTTTACTCATCTTAATCTTTGAATCTTCAAGTCCCGTTAACTCTAATTTTCTGAGTGACGCCAGAGTGATCACTAGAGGGTTAACTTTAGGGACCCTTGAATGCTCATCTCTAGGGACACCTATCTTTCCCTATAGGGGAGCGCTAAAGATTCAAAAAGTGGCCACTCTGGGGATTTTGGCTAGTGTTTTTTCAACATTCAAATAAAAAAAAAGTTTGAAGACCGCTATAGGGACTACTTAAGCTTGAGGGGCTTACTCTAAACTCCTTTAGGGATCACCAAATTTTTACCCCTATTTCGTCCCCTATGGTATCTTTTTCCCTAACCCCTCCAGGGACCACTTTGGCGCACCTAAACTTTCAATATAAGGTCGTAACCAAGAACCTTTTTCTCTGTAGTTCTGCGTCTCTGAAATTTAATTATAATCTAACGAAAAAAAAAAATCGAAATGATGACGTCAAATCTTCTGAAAAATGAAAGAAATTTTCAAACTTGTGTACTTTCTCTCGTCATTACAGACCTTCTCTTCTTCATTTGCATTTCTATCAAACTTTTCGCAATGATGACGTTATTTTCTGCGCCATAAACGTTACCTGACCTGAAAAATTTACGGTTTTCGAATTTTATCAGCTCCTGAGCTTAACAGTTCCTTATCAGTGGGCGAAATGCCTCGGACGCTTGTATTTCTTTTTCTTTTCGCATTCTCTTTGCAAGTTCAACGTTCTCAAGAATCCAACGTTCTCTACGCCGCCAAAATCTCGAGTATCGATGGATTGGAGGCTCAGAAAATCGCCCAGCAACATGGTTTCCAGGTTATTCGGAAGGTGGGCTCTGAGATACTTTTTTGGTAGCTTTTTTCCGCTTTTTGATGTTGATCTATAGTTTTTTTTTCAAAGAAAGTAACTCGATCAGAAGAAAAATGATGAAGAATGGTTAAAAAAACTGATAGTAGCCGCTTTTTCCGCGTCAAAGGACTCAAATCTCAAGTAGGGTCTGCTCGGATCTCAGTAACGCAAAGTGGACCTTTCCGAGCATTTCTAGTGATCCCTCTAGCGGTGTCATAACTATTAAGTGACCCCTAGAGTTGCTCGGAAGCGTCCGGTTCCCTTTACCGAGGTCCCAGTATCTATTTGGATCAATTGGGTAAATCAGCCTTCGAACGCGCATTTGAAACACTTTTTCTGTGCTATTTTTTTCCTTTTTTTGAATTTCTGATTTTTTTACCTTCAAACTTAGATATTAGTAAAGATTCGACTTTTTTTATGATATTCTACAAATCAATTCATTTTTTCAGCTCCGTTCCTTCGACGATATCTATCTTCTACGGCAGTTAGTTCGTCGAAAACGGGATTTGGCTCAAATTGTCGATGGAATCCTCAAAAATCAAAATGTCTATTATTATTTTCGAAAAAGAATTCCAAAAAAGTTGCACAAAGTCTTGAAAATTGATCTATCTCAAAAAAAAGCTAAAAAAATTTCAGTTAAAAGTTTTTTCAGTTCGAGTGGAGTGAGCCGCTTCTACCGCAGCAACGCTTCAAAAGAGAGTCTTTCCCAGTGAAAATCGGCAAAAATCCTGTTCATGTCGTGAGTTACTTTGCCACTGATATTAACACAGGCAAAACGGAAAAAAATTACTTTGAGGAATACATATATATTTCGGTGAGAACTCAAGAAATTGAAAAGGCTCCGCTAGAAGCTCCTAAAATGATGAAAAACAGTCCTCCGAGCTCCGTTTTCATAGCCTCAGGATCCTTTTTCTGGCTTCTAGAATTTTTTTTTGTTGATGGAAAATTTGACTGGTGGAACCTTAGAAGCTTTATTTTTCCGAATTACCTTTTGAGAAGCTGTTTCGTTTTGCCCGAGTACTGAAAAATTAATAAAATGAACGATGAAGCTGTGAAATATTTTTTATGCTTTTCCTAGACTTTTCCGAGGTAAGTACTTGAACGCAAAAGATTACTCTTTTTTGAGTACCGAAAATGCTGAAAAGTTTATGCTCAATAATTTATTTTTCAATTTTTAAAAAGTAAAAACTTGTCGAGTCAGACTCACTTCAATGTTCTTTTTCCGGAGAAAAAAATCAAAAAGGGATGAATTTTTAAATAATAAAATCGAGCGGTTTTAAAAAAATTGTTTGAAGTATTTTTTCCATTTCTCATTTATTTTTTTGAGTTACAGTGGAAATTGCTTCCTAACATGAAAAATCGAAAAATGCCTGGAAACAGGGAATCGCCGTCAATTCGTCAGGTGTTACTACTGTCGTTGTGGTGAGCTCTTCTGATTTTTCGTTGTTTTTCTAGGAAGGGATTCTTGTAAAGGCAGCCTTGGGGTCCATTGAAGGTTCCCCAAAGATCACTTTACCCTATAGAGGCCGATAAAGCTCGCCAAGTGGCCCACCCAGGGATTTATTTAGCGGCCCCATAGGGGAACAAGTTCGTGCTGAGATGAAGCACGTCCATGGAAAAAACTCAACGAATCAGCAAAAATGTAGCAAATGACTGTTTTTACCTGAACCCTATAGGGATCACTCTGGCATTCCCATGTCAAAAAACCCTTTCTACAGTTTTCGGAAAAGCGTATTTAAACTATCCTGAAGGTAGGGACCGCAAAGCCACGCCCCTTTTCGCGATAGAAAAAGTGGCTTTTTTTTGGTTTTCAACTTTCATTTTGTTGTAGTTGCAAAATATGTGGAACTGGATAATAAATTTTGACACACATGTACAGAAAAGCTTCCTCTTTCGTTTAAAAAATATTTCACGCTTTTTTGATGCGTTCTCGCGGAATTTCGTACAAAAACGTGAATAGAACTAAAAAACTTTGTCATTTTTCGCTTTTTCATGTGTTTTCAGGTCGAACGCACTCTTTCTTTTTTCAAATAATGATTTTGATTCAAGTAACGGTAATTTTAAAACAATAAAATAAAAAATTCGTCTTTGCCAAAAATTTTAGGGAGTGCCGAAAGTCATAAATCAAAATATCGTTAATAAGCGAATATAATCGAGTTTTTGTTTTTTCAAAGTTTAGATCATGGGCTTACTTAAATATTTCTCCACACAATATGTGCTTGAAAAAGTTGTTTAATACGCAAAAATGCTCTTGAAACTAGAGAATAAAATTAGCGGCGTTTATCACACAGAATGCGGTCGAACGCAGGTTTTCAAACAATTATATACATTTATTAGTAAAAAATCTTTCAATTAAAAGAATAAAATAAAAAATTCGTCTTTGCCAAAAATTTACGGGGCCATTTTAAGGCAGCGATCGTTAAACGAGGCCAAAAGCACTAAAAAAAACAGTTTTTTCGAAGTGAATTTTCACGGAAAGTTTAAGTAAAGATTTGTGAACATATTCTGATAGAAATATCATAACTACTTCAAGATTTTCTTTTTGAAATAGGCAATCTGTGCTATTCAAACGGCTCAAGGCTATGGGGGATGGAAGCTCCCCTCGCTAGACCTAACAGCTTGGCGCAGCGCGTGCGCTGCGATTTTTCATTTTGAGGTCGCGAGTTCGATGCCCGCAAGCGTCAGTTTTTTGTTTTCTGGAAAATACCGACTTTTTCGGCAAACTGGCTGATGAGCATCATTTTAGCACTCTATTATGATTTGTTACATCATAATAGACCAGTATCAAAAATTTGTTCTAGAAGAAAAAAATCGAGAAAAAAATGTCAAAAAAATGGATAATACCAAAATTTCAGTACTAAAAAAATGGTGCGCGGCGCGCCACATTTTTCGTCATAACTTTTTTCATCCTCAATCTTTTTCGAAAAACTAAACGGTTCTGAGTTTTGAATCGAATCAGCTATCAAACCATACAAAGCTCAATGCTGAAAAAATTTTTTTGAAAATTCGTCTGCGGTCCCTACCTGAAGGTCTCAGAATAAAGATTCGTTTTCTGTACTTTTCAGCATTTCGACAAAAGCTTTCTGCCAAGACTATTTATTCTGGGCAAGAATAACTTTTATGAGAATTTCAGGACGACGGAGTTGATCACTGGCACACCGATCTTCAGGACGCCTTTTCGCCGGAAATTTCCTTCGATTTTACGAATTTTCAAGCTGATCCCATGCCACAGAGGATTGAAGGAAATGAGTTAGAAATTTACAAAAAAAAATGAGAAAAAAAGAATCAATTATTCAGACACGGAACCCAATGTTCGGGTCTCATCGCGATGGCCGGCGAATCCTGCGGAATGGGTGTTAGTCGTGGAGCGCGTTTGGGCGGCATCAAGGTTCTAGATGGTTCTTCTCTGAATGATGCCGTTGAAGGCGACGCCTTGGCTTTCCAACAGGACATGGTAATGAAAAAACAAGTTTTTTGTGGAATTGATGCTGAACTTGAACAGATTGACATCTATTCGGTGAGCTGGGGACCGAAAGACGATGGAAAAACGGTGGCGAAACCTGGGAGGCTGGCCAGTCAAGCCTTAGCCGATGGAGTTAGAAAGGTCTGGTTTTCAAAACTTGTGAAGTTTAGAAAAAACGAGGAAATGGTGGTTCTTAATGCACAAAAAAAAAAAATGAAAAGAAAAGATATTAGAGACCATGCGATGCGTCACGACCGGAACTTCATATTCCGTAACCATTTCTTGACGGAGTTAATTGGATGAATTCTTGGAGTCGTTATCGTGCTGAAATTCTTGAGGGTGGCCCAAACGGTCGATACACTTTTTGAGTAATGCTTGACCAGGTAGAAAATCTCATTTTTCGACCTCAAATGATAGCTGTACGCTTGGATTTTGTTAAGTTCCGAGAACCCTTAGGTCAATACTAAGAAAAATGAAATAAACTTCGAAAAATAGAAATAAAATAAAAAGGTATTGAAAAAACAAAAAACAAATAAAAAATCACGTTTTCGATCAAAAAAAAAAACGAAAAAATGTCCGTAGACACTTGCCAGTGCATAGTACTACTTTCATTGTTATACCTACCGTAAAACGCCCAAAGAAAAACCTTTGAAAACTTCATATGAAATTCATGTCGATTCCCTGGAAAAGTTAAATGAAAAAATGTGTTTTTTTCGTATCTTTTACTGATGATACTGTGTTATGCCATTTTTTTTTATTGTTGCAGCGTGAAAAAAAAAAACATTTTTTGTGATATGGAAATTTCTCGAGACGTAACATGATTGTCAATTTTTCACCGAGACGAGATCGCGTCTTGTGCATCCGTGATTCAAAGCTTTTTTGAACCTAAAAGGACTTTTTAGGGTCGAAACGGCCTGGGGAACATTTTCTTGTGGGCCAGCGGCAACGGCGGACATTTTGGCGATAATTGCGCTTTGGATGGATACGCCAGTAATGAAAACACGGTAAATGGACTGAAAATGACCGTTTTGAGTTAATTTGATAAAATTTTGAAGATAACCGTCGGTGTGGTGAATTCCGATGGAAATCCTGCGATTTATGCGGAAGGCTGTTCGGCGGTTCTTGCTTCCGTTTCCGGAGGCGATTCTTTGATCGTGAGATATATACATTGATGATATTTTTAAAATTAAAAAGTGAAAGTCTCATCGGGTACAAGAATTCAAGAATAGCGATTTTTCACTCCGCATTCGCCGTGTTCACTTTGCGTGTTTGCACGTTCTCATTCAAAAGCATCTGAAAAAAATTTATAAATTCTACTATTTATATTCAAAAACTCCTGCATTTTACTGAAAAACCCCAACTTTTTTTGAAATTTTTTTAATTTTGTTCAATTAACTGTCCGTAAGGTTTTTCTACATATTTCCAGCCTCTTTTCGAGAAATCTCAAAAAATTGAATATTCAGAGAACGACCGGATTTGATTCGAAATGCTCCGTTTTATCCGGATCCTCGGCGGCGGCCGCGATCGCCTCGGGAATCGTCGGTCTCGCTATCCAAGCAAAGTAAATAAAATACTACAAAATAAGCCTAAAATCCATTCGGACCTCAGATTTTCCGCAAATGTCTTCATTAATTCCGTTTTTCAAAGAAAATGCCAATTTCAGCCCGAATCTGAGCCAACGCGACATCCAGCATCTGATCATCCGAACTGCCTCTAAATCTTCTCTAAACGTGAACTGGAACAAGAACGCGGCGGGATTCCAGTACAATCCGTCGGTCGGATTCGGTCTTCTCGACGCCGAGGCCCTGGCCTGGCGAGCCCGCACCTGGAAAACAGTCGACGAGGAGATAGTTTGCTCCGCGGAGCCCATTAGGTTGGACATAATCGCCCCAAGGATACTGGGTGGCCACTTAAGAGGCTCCTCTAGGGCTAACAGGAGAAGGCACTAAAGTGGTCACTGAAACCGCCTTTGTAGAGGCCACTTTTTTGCGTCTTAGTGACCACTATAGTAGTTTCATTAATCTAGTAGTACAGGTTAGACTTCTGAAGTGGCCACTGAATCGTCGAAACCCTGAAGTGGCCACTGATTTGTTGTGTTTCAGCCCCGGGTCAAACATCTTGTTTCCGATTGGAAATTCTTGCGACGTCAGCTTCATTGAACGTGTTGCGGTTCGTCTGAATATTGATGCTAGAAGACGTGGAGACGTTCAAATCTTCCTGACTTCTCCGAAAGGTATGGGAGGGAAGGAAACGTCAGGTTAACGTGACGTGGCTAATAATATAAGGAATTCGTATGAAATTTGTACTTTTTTGGATCTAAAAAAATGGAATAATTTCAATTCACGTTTTTCTGATTTTAATGCGTAATCCCAGAAAAATGCAAGTTTTTTTCCAGATTTCTCAAAAATTACAAAACTTCTGAAATACCCCATAAATATCAAAAAAATTTCATAAGCGGGGATAACATTTATTAAAAGAAAAAAAGAGACAAATAACCTTTACAACTACGGAATGGACCAACATTTTTCTCGACTTTTGACTTTCGACCCAAGGTTGATGACTATCAGGGTATTCTCAATAACAATTAAAGTTGCGTTTGATAGGATAATAGACAGAGAGGGCAAAAAAATCGGATGAAGCGAATGAGAATTCTAAAAAAAAGATGTTTCTATTTTTTTCTTTTTCATTTGATGCAGTGAAATCAAAAAGATCCGGAAAAAAAGGAAGGTTTTGAGAAATTGTAAATTGAATTGGATTTTAGGAGGTGTTTGAAGAAATTATTTTCTTGATTTTAAGGGGGAAAAAGTCACCGAATGATTATAAAAGTGAGGAACAAGAATGAAATGAAGAAGGTCTGGAATAAATTAACTAATCTCAACATTTTTCTACAAAAATATTGAAATGAATAGTGGCTTGAGAACTAAAAAATGAGACTAAATTTCAAAAAAAAAAGTCATAAAAACAATGAGATCACGAAAAAGTTGACATGACTATTGGCGTTAAAAAAAAGGTGAACAATTTCCTCAAAATATAAAATTCTAGGAGAGGGAATGGAGAAAAAACTAATTTTCAAACGGAAATATAAGTTAAGGACTATCAAAAATTAGGCTAACGGATTATTTTTTTCCAAATCTACATGACTTTCGGCGTTTAAATTTGCCTAATTCTATTTTTCTTTTCTTAGAAAAAAAAGATAACTTCTAGCATAGTTGATTCATAACATTTCATTAGAAACTTTGAAGACGATTTATTTTTCTTGAAATTCGTCTTTTTTTTTATCAAAAGTTACCCCAAATCTCAATTTTGAAAACTTGATAAACTGTTTTGGATCGACTTTACACAATAAAACCTAACTGGAAAGCTTAGAACGCTCAAGTTCGTTTGCGTCCGACCTGAAACGAGTTGCGCATGATGGTATTAGAAAACATTAGGACAAGCCTCGAGATTCATTTCACATGCGAGGCCACTTTCAATTCTGCTGTGTGAGAGAAATGACTGGCGATTTTTTCGGCTGTTTCGTGAAGCCAAAAAATTTGTGGACGTTTCCGTCGAGCGCCAGTAGAATCCAAGGCATCGCCAGAGTTATCTTCAACATTTTTTTGAAAAATTTTTCTCGTTTTTGGAACTTTTACCATATCCGAGGCGAATGGAATCGTCGTACTTTTGGCTCTCCGACTGATTATGTTCCATTCGAACACGGTTTCGAGGCCGAAAACGATCTGAGTAGGATCTTTTTGATTTCAAAGAAAATTCGATAATTTACCGTGTAGAGTAGGTTTCCCGACATGACGAAGCTGTTAGCGGCGGTGACAAATGCCAGTTTTCTCATGAATTTGCTCGATTGCGACGAGTTGGCCGCTCAAATTGTCCAGATTTTTCTCTTTTCAATCATTTTTCTGGGAGGTTGTAATAGATTCGAGCTCCGAATAATAGTTTTTGAAGAAATTGAGGTGGATGAGAAAACTTGAAAAAGTTGTTTTTTTGGAAACTGAGCTTTGAAAACTGTCAAAAAAGCATGTGAAAACTTTACCGCATGGAATTGAGAAAAATTAAATTATTTTTATCTTATTTGTAATTAATATCAATTTGCCTGATTTTTATGATTTAAAAAGCTTGATTACTTTAAATTGTTGGGAGTTTCTCATAAGCTTGTTAAGGATCATGAAAAAACGGGCAAAAGAGAAAAAGTTTTTGATTTTTTAAGGACCCCAAAATTTTTTTTTTCGTTTTTGCACTATAAAAAGTCTTTCAGAAAGTTTTCTCGAATTTTAAAAAGGTCATTTTTTTTCCCAGCCCTACCTCTGAACTTCTTGCCGACGATGTATATGGTGGCTATACCGGACGATAGGATGAGACCAAAATAAATAACAGCGAAAATAGGGTTGATCGTGAACATCGTATTGACGTTGTACTAGAAAAGATTCCAAAAAGTTTCAAAATTGAATTTTCGAATTAACTCACGGCCTGATATCTCATAGTGTCATTTTCGATGTAATAATTGTACGAAACTCCGGCGATACGGTAGCCGCCCCAAGCCAGGGTACTGTAGAACATTCCCAGGATCATGACCAGCCAACAGAAGTTTTTCCAGAACTGAATGGAGATGAATTAAGGAGTAATGGCTCAGAATAATTTAATTTTGAAAAGTCTTTTGAGATGTTATAGTCTGTGTGCCACGACATGAAATTTCACGGAACGACATTCCGCTGTTCCGCTGCGTGCGTTCGCGAAGCGTCTTTCGAATATAGGTCACGCTTTCAATTTATTGATATTGCTGTGGGAGTACAGGAAAGTGGAGTACCTTAATAAAAGAAAAAAAAAATATAAGCACGACCAAGGTTCGCAAAGGCGCACAGCGACACAGCGGAATGTCGTTCCGTGAAATTTCAAGTCATGGCACACAGACTATAACTTGTAGATCTAACTGCTGGCTTTGGCCCATTTCAAGTTCGGTCAGAAATGTTTCTCTGAAGAGAAGAATAAACTCACCTTATCCGCCGAAACGAAAACCATGGTAGTCAAACGATGGAGGCAGAGTAAGAAAGAGGAAACATTTTGAGCGTGGAAAAACCTGAAAAGTACTCTACAAAAATCGAATTTCGCTTATCAAGAAATTGTAAACGCATTTTTAGTTCTTAAAAAACGGTTCTGCTGTTGAAGGTCTTTGAGAAGTCTCTAAGCCTTCTAAGTGCTTTATAATCTTCAGATGACTGTTAAGTCTTCAAATAGCCTATGATGTAGTCTACAACGTCTTCTAGAACTTTCTAAGGTCACTCAGAAGTTCCCACGAATTCGCTCACGTCTCTATGAAAGCTTCCTGATTTTTATGTCTCTAAATCCCCTCAGACGTTTTGAATGTTTGTCTAGAAGCTTTTAAAAGTTCTTTTTTCCGTTAAAAAAAAATAGTTTCTGCCAGTTTAAAAGCTCTGAGTAGTCTCTATGCTTTCTAAACTTCCTCTGGTCCTCCTAGAGATGTCACATAAGTGTTTCGCTCATTGTAAGAAGTCTTCATAATATCCTGGAACGCTCCAAAGCCTCTCCGAAGTTTTCAAGAACTATTTTTGTTATTTATAAGTCTCTGAACCTTCTAAGACGTTTTTGATGCATCTCTAGCCAGATGTTCCGAGAACTTTTCAAAACTCTTCCAAAAAATCACAAAACTGACCAAATGATCAGGACGGCGCTAAGGTTCATGATTGAAGGACAGAACATGACGACCGAAGTAAGAAGGTTCCTGCCGAACCATTCCTGAGACACGCGGATTCCCAGCCAACTGTTGAAGTAGCAGAAGAAGTTCTGAATAATCGATCTTGCTGTCAAAAAAATAGGGGAAATTTTTATTTTTAAATTGAAGTTAACTTTTTAAGTATTAAAATACTTCAGAAAAAAATGCTCAGATAACTGTAGAGAAAGAAATCCTGGACCTTTTTTATTGATTTTATCTAACTTTTTGTTAGAAATCCTTCAGAAAAAGTTTTTATTTAATGTTTAAATTTAGTAGATCAACAAAAATTTCTTGAAACCCCTTGTCAAAAAAAGCCTCAATTTTTTTCTGGAACATGTTCTAAAAAAACCCACGATAACTATGTCGAACTGGACGAGACGGTAGAAGGAGTAGCTGAAGACCTTGGCCGTCGAGAGAATGATCGTGAAAAAGACCATCAGGATCAGAGATGGGATCCCGTAGAGGAGTTGAACGATTGCCGAGACGCTCAGACCCATTTCTGACTGTTTTTTGATTTATTAAATGAAAAAAAAATTGGTAGAAATAGGCAAGATGGGAAATGTTAGGGTATCAAGGCTCAAAAATCAATGGTCTCAGAATTTTTGTAAGGTTTTTTTAAAAAAATAAATTTCTTTTTTTAAGAACTTTCAAACTTTGGAAGCGAATTTTTTGATAATCCAATGATTTTTGTGGGTTCGGAATAGTTTTTTGAAGAAAAGTATGACAAAAAATACAAAAAAAAAGATGATGAAAATAAGTTTTTCTCGAGTGTCAGGGTTTCTAAAAAGTCGATTAAGTACTGAGTTTTAATGACTTTTTTTAATTTAAAAAAATTTTTTTCAAACCCTTAATTGATCAAAAACCTATGCTTTTTAATTAAAAGAAAAAAAGAAAATGACTGACTTTTTTTCTGTTTTTTTGACTCATATACTTCTTGAAATTTTTGAAAGTTCGAAAAAAATCTAAAAAAACTTTATTGAATGACTATATAAACTTCTAATGAGAGCCAAGCGTTTTCAAAAGTTGAACGAAAGTTGAAAAATCTACTCGGAAATCGCAGGAAACAAAACTATAGTTCTGGTTTCACTAATGAAATACTTTTGATTGGAATAACGGGAACCAGGATTTCCCCGGGACTGATTACGTTTCAAGGGACATCCCATACATCAATTACCTCGTTAACTGCCGATTGCGCAAACAGATTAATTAACTTTATCAGTTCTTTATCATCCCAAGTAGCATTGGTATAGAGAAGTGAAAGCAGAAAAAAGTGGAAGGATGAGAAAAATTTCGCAATCTTTGCCAAGGGAGATCTTGGATTAGGCGCGAATTTTCTGCTTGACATATTTGGCACCTTTCTGTGTGCCGAGAATAAACCAGACCTTCCTTTTTTTTTTGATAAGGTTTTTTTTACTTTGAACTCTGTAATTTTTTTAAATCGCTCTGAAGAATTATCCTATGTTTCAAGCTGCACAAATTGAAGGAAAACTTTTTTTTGTTGCAAGGTCTGGGCTCTGGAAAAAAATGAAAATTTAAGATTTTTCAAGATTTTTTTCTAATCAATAAAAAGTCTTTTTTTGAGCGAATTTTTTAAAAGAAAAAAACAGGGTGAAAAACAATAGAACTTCTCAAGAAAACTTTGGATTTTTGTGAACAGCCAAACACGATTTCCGTGGCTCTTTTTCAATGAAAATTCCCGCTTTTTGATTTTTTCAGGGGAATTTTGAAGAAAAACGTTTAATTAGGGACCGCAGACGAATTTTCAAAAATTTTTTTTCAGCATTGAGCTTTGTATGGTTTGATAGCTGTTTCGATTCAAAACTCAGAACCGTTTAGTTTTTCGAAAAAGATTGAGGATGAAAAAAGTTATGACGGAAAATGTGGCGCGCCGCGCACCATTTTTTTAGTACTGAAATTTTGGTATTATCCATTTTTGACATTTTTCTCGATTTTTCTTCTAGAACAAATTTTGATACTGGTCTATTATGATGTAACAAATCATAATAGAGTGCTAAAATGATGCAAATTTGCTAGTTTGCCGAAAAAAATTCGGTATTTTTCCAGAAAACAAAAAAAACTGCCGCTTGCGGGCATCGAACTCGCGACCTCAAAATGAACAATCGCAGCGCACGCGTTGCGCCAAGCTGTTAGGTCCAACGCGGGGAGCTTCCATCCGCCATACCCTTTGAGCCGTTTGGATAGCACAGATTGCCTATTTCAAAAAAATAAAAAAATTTGAAGTAATTTAGCTATTTTTTTATCAGAATATGTTCGCAAATCTTTACTCAAACTTTTCGTGGAAATTCACTTCGAAAAAAAACTGTTTTTTTAGTGCTTTTTTTGCCTCGTTTAACGATCGCTGCATTAAAACGGCCCCGTAAATTTTTTTGGCAAAGACGAATTTTTTTATTTTTATTCTTTTTAATTGAAAGATTTTTTTACTAATAAATGTATATAATCGTTTGAGAAACCTGCGTTCGACCGCTTTCTGTGTGATAAACGCCGCTAATTTTTATTCTCTATTTTTCAAGAGCATTTTTTTGCGTATTAAACAACTTTTTTTCAAGCAAAGATGCTGTAGAGAAATATTTAAGTAAGCTCATGATCTAAATTTTGAAAAAAACAAAAAAACTCGATTATATTCGCTTATTAACGATATTTTTGAATTATGACTTTCGGCACTCCCTAAAAATTTTTTTGGCAAAGACGAATTTTTTTATTTTTATTGTTTTAAAATTACCGTTACTTGGATCAAAAATCATTTTATAAAAAAAGAAAGAGTGCGTTCGACCTGAAAAACACATGAAAAAAAGCAAAAAAACGACAAAAATTTTTTTAGTTCCATTCACGTTTTTTTGTACGACATTCCGCGCGAACGCATCAAAAAAAACGTGAAATATTTTTTTAAACGAAAGAGGAAGCTTTTTCTGTACATGTGTGTCAAATTTTTATTCGCCAGTTCCACATATTTTACAACTACAACAAAATGAAAGTTTAAAACCAAAAAAAAGCCACTTTTTCTATCGCGAAAAGGGGCGTGGCTTTGCGGTCCCTACGTTTAATTTCCGAAAAAGTCGATCATTTTGATGAATTTGTTCACAGAAAAAGTCATATCACGGTTTGGAATTCCCCGAAATTCGGCCAGAATGTTCGTTGATGACCTTGAAATTTCGAACGGGACAATTTTCGAGTTTTCCAAAAAAAAAGGTCTCATTAAAAAAATCAAAAAAATGGTAAAAAAATTACTATTCTCAGACATTGAACCCTTTTTTTTTATAAGAATTTGATTGAGACTTTCAAAACTTATATGGGGTTTATTAGGATTCACTCTGGGAATTTTTGGGGAACCTTCCTGGTGAGAAATATAAGCAAAATAAAGTCCGTTTCTGTTGAACCTTCGATATTTCCGAAGCTTCTTCGAATCCGCTAATCAACCCCATCAACTAACTAACGATTACGTCGCTTGTCTGGCAGATAAGGTCACTTTTACCATAATCACGCCTTTCCCTCCGCTTATTAGTTATAATAATAGAAAAAAACTAATTGGAACTCGATTTCTAATCTCCTGAAGGACAGTGTACCAAGAAAAAAAACGATGAAAACATCTTAATTAACTGTACCTTTTATTTACCTTTAATTGGTGCTCAATTATGATTCGCCAGTAGGAAAAAATAGAAACTCAGATAGTTATCAAGTTGATAAGACGAATTGAGTCATCGCCACTTTTCCCATAATTTCTTCCAGGTGAAAAATGAGTTGGAATTTTTCGTCATATTTCTTTATTTGACTTTCGAGTGGTATTCAAAAACTAAAGCTTCTTGGTATTTCCCTGATTATTCAGAAAAATAATGAAATATTTTCAGTACGTTGAAAAAAAAAAGAATTTTTTTATTACATCTTTTCTGATGTAGATCACTGTTTCAAGATTGAATCTTTTCCTTCAGAATCACTCAAATTTTAATTGTTTAATAGCACCGATGGTTCAAAATGCTTGGGAAATATCCCAAAAAAAGACCTTTAAAGGACATTTAAAGAAAAAGAAATTTTAGAATCGAATTTTGAGGTTATTTTTCATGGAATTTTCGACTTTCGACGCTTTAACTTGACGTAAATGATTTTTTTTTTTTCACTGATTTTTTTTTAGCAGGAACGGTCAACGAACTATTCAACAAGCGGAAAATGGGTTCTACGACAAGCGCGAATTTTATTTCCATAGAGTCCACCTTTCGAAGATTACTGTATGGAAAAGTCCGCATTTTGGCGTGAACTTTGTGTGTTTACACTTCTGTTGCGTAAATTTTTCGACAGCGCATTTTTCAAAACTCCTTCCACGCTTCTTGACATATTTCTCCCATAAATTGAAAAGGGTGATTCATTTTAAGTTTTCTGTCGTTATAATCCATTTCGATGAATTTTCAAATTAGAGAAAAAAACGTGGAGAAATTGTGGAACTCGGAAACTGCTTTTCGGAAACGGAAAGCGAGTGCTCTGTCAAATTCCGAATCTCAATCATCAGATTGATCTTCAAAAATTATCGAAACCTTCTTGAGGAACTGTGAGTGAACTACTGGCCCCCCGACGAGCCGACGACTCCCTGGACGGCCTCAGGGACTGGACGTTCGTCAGCGTACACTTCTGGGGCGAGCCGTCGCTCGGCTCCTGGCAGCTGACGATTCTCAACGGAGCTCCCGCGGTACAAATCCCATCCAATGTGTCCATCTCAATAAAAAGGCTGTTATTTGAAGGCCAACAACAGCGGCCCCATGAAGTTGATCGTCCGTGGCACGAAACGAAATCCCGATCAGTTGCAGTAAATCTTTATTATTCGTGGGTTCAGTCAAAAGTGAATTATAATAAGGATCGTGAGGAATTGAACTAATCGCTTGAATTGCGGGCTTTGTGACGATTAAAAATATATCTGATTTTTTTTATCCGGTTTCTGGTTTGATTTGAATACTGAAAAATCAAAAAAGGATATATTTTTTCTACGAAATCTTCACCTAACATGGTACAGTCTGTTTTTCGCGAATGCTTTTTTCTCTGCGCTCCCCACGTCTCTCGGCGACCCTCTCATTTTGACGTGCTATTTTCATTGTTCTTTGACCTTCTCGGCGAGGGAACAGAGAGACGCAGACACTCAAAAAGTTTCAAGTCGCGACTTTACTTATTCAAAACAAAAAAAGTATGAAAGTCGAAATAAAAGCCCGCAGCTCAAACGATTAGAACGGAGTAGGTAACATCGAATGACCCCAATAAGACTAGGAAGACAAAGACCCGTATTTGAAACAGAAAAGAGAGACAATTTGGGAGAGATCACAAGGGGAAATGAGCTCCTCATTTCAATAATTTTTCTTCTCACGGGAGGTAGCTAGGCCCGTGAATACGTATCTCAAAATCGACCACTAAAGTGGTTGCTCAGCTAGAAATCGTAGGGAGAATGTGAATATTTTGTGGAAGAAGGTAGAGAATAACGCAGGAAAGATTCGTCTTCAATGTCGGCCATCAGCAAGCCTGGCGAAGAGACGTGCACTGAAATTATCATTGATTTTGAGAATATTGAAAATCCTCAAAGGGGCTACTAGAATTTTTGACAAAATCTTACAGAAACAAAGTAACTTGCGTATACAAAATCAAATTTTTGAACACGGTTCCTTCAAAAATTTCGAGTGAAAAATCCTAAAGCGGCAACTAGAACGCTTAAAAATTCTCTCGCTACTAAATTCTCTAACTACAAAATTCTCTAATTCTCTCGCTACAATGACTTCTTGAGTGTTTTAAATCGGATCTTTTGTCTGAGCTCGATTGAAGAGATCAAGTCGAGTACTCTAAAGGGACCACTTCAATTTCTCAAAGACTCCGTTCACGTTCGATTATCCTCAATCTAATTTTCGACGAACTAATTCCACTAAGGCGACCAAATTGAAACACTAAAGTGACCACTAGAAAGTTTGAAATTGTCTCAAAAGGTGGGAGAAAGGAAAATTGAGAAAAAACCTTGAGAATATTAATGCAACTATTCTCAAGTGGCTACTTGGCTTGCCACTTGAGATGCAGTTATAAAAATTTTCTTTATTGAAGGATCATCCACTACAACGCCACGATATTCTCTGGAATTCCTTCTCTTTTTGACAATAAATTTCTACAGAACTAGAACAATGCATTTCGAAACCCCTTATTTCAAGAAAAAAGCTACCAGCTCATAAAAAATGATGATTTTCCTAGCAGGAGTATGACTAACAGATAATCGTACACGTTTTTTGTTTTAATAACTACTCACCATTGGAGGTGACTAGTCGATTGCGCTCCATCGAATATTGCGACGTACTGTTGGCCTTGCCGTCGTCGGACGAGCACAGGTGATGAACAATGCAGGCGCTCAGGACGACGATGATCGCCAGGGAAACGGAGACCACCACGCAAGCCGCCACCTTCTCCTTGTTCACTGCAAAAAAAACATTTAGCCTAATTTTTGAGTATGCGTTAAAAACTTGAAAGCTTTTCGTTAAAAAAATCGCAAAATTATTTTTTTTCCCCATGGGATTGCTTCTTCTCATAGAGTTTATAAAAGTGAACGACAAGCGTGCTCCCCTATAGGGGCCGGAAGTGGTCCTTAGCGAGCACCCTTCAAAGGCCTCTAAAGTCATCCCTATAAAGATTATAATTTTCGAAAATTGATAAATGATCATTTTTCAAGTTCTGGTAAATGAATTGCGACTTGGAACGATCCAGCCTGTCTGCTCTCTCTCTCTCTCTCTCTCACTTTCACCGCTGAATGATAAGAGAGCGCAGAGAAGCTAGTCTCTTGAGGAATACGATTGCTTGAGAGACAAGAAAAGATACAAACTTTTGAAGAATCTGAAGACTTGGAAGACGTCGTGGCCGATGCCGACGGCGTTCGCCTGAAGTTGATTTTCTTCCTGCGCCTCGTCGCCGTCGTGCATACTGTACTCGTCATGCGTCACGTAGGATGCTGTAAGGACGTCATTATTGGAGCCAATTAACACGCGTTCTCTGAGAAAGTCGATGAATCTGAAGCAAAATAAAATAAAATTTTTTTTTGATTTGCCTCAAAATGTGATCACGGCTCACACACGTGCTTCTGATTATTAAGCACCAGGTTCCAGGTGGCTCCGCCCCTTTTAAAAGATACTGTAGACAGTAAGCTGAAAAAAATTAACTTTTTTCCTGTTGAGAATTTTCATTCAAAAATGCTTGGAAATGTAAGAAAACACTATTTTGAGTGTTTGTTCAGTTGCAACTTTTTTTCTAACTCGACTTCTTCGGGGAGAAAAAAATCGAAATTTCCTCAAAAACAGCGATTTTTTCAGTTTTTGAGCCATAACTAGAGTAAGAACCCCCCTATGGTACGACTTTTATTTCTGATTATGAAACTAGGGGCCTTCTTGTTTAAGAAAAAGTAGTTCTACAACAAATCCCTGGGGTGGGATAGTTGACCTCCATTCGACCGAAGGTGATCAACTCGAATCGGCTCAAAATTCGAAAAATCATTTTTCTTCTAATTTGACAGCTTCTTCCTCTTTTTTGTTTTGAAACAAAAGACAACAATCACGTTCATGTTCTCCACCATTTTGGTGCTCAAAGAAAATTTTATTCCGAATTTCTCGAGACTTTTCGAATTTCAGGACTTTCGTCGATTTTTCGATTTTTTTCCGTTTTTCAGGTAGTTTTTTTCTGTAGGAACCCCCTGAATGTGGTCATTATCTTTTTGGTATATGGAAGAGTAGGTCTTTCTTGATAAGGAAAAAAATTAGTCCGGTAGAAATCTCTGGGGTGGCCCAGTTGACCTCCGATCGCCTGAAGGTGACGACCCCAAAAAAATGGAATTTTTCATAAAGGCTCGGAAAACAACTTTTTTTGTTTCCATTCTAACAAAAAAACTTTTTTTCAGTGAGACCTACATCACTTTTCGACATGAATCGGAGTATTTTCGGCAAGAAATATGTAGTTTTATTCAAATTTGAGGCATGGCACGCTTATCTTCGTTTTCACCGTTCTTACCTGCTCTAAATTGCTGAAGTAACCTGGAAACCCGTTCAAAAAGATTTTAGGGAAACCCAGAAAATGTTTGAATTTTTTTGAACACCTAAACAAATGAAATCGGGGGTAAGAAATGGCGATAAAAGCTTTTTTATCAACTTTTTCGAGAAATAAAAACACCTCATGACATTCAGAAATGTCAATTACTCTTTAAAAAACAACTATTGATGAAACTTAATAGAAAGAAAAAAGAGAGACTTGATAAACCTAACTTTAATCCGGAAAATGCATTAAAACGCTTCTAAGGTCAAAAAAATGCATTTTTAAAAACCTTTTTTCATTTGAGTTGTTCTGTAAATGAATGAAAAACATGAATAAGTGTCTGTATGAACGTTGCAACACAAAAAAAGCCAGAATTGTATTACAAGATCTTCTAAAAGCTTCAGAAACCTTAATTTCAGGGAAAAAGTGTATGAATAGAGTCGATTGAAAAAGTAAAAAACTGTCAGTTACTGTATTTTGGCGAAAAAATAATTTTTGAGAATCATCGACATTTCTGAATGTCATGAGGTGTTTTTATTTCTCGAAAAAGTTGATAAAAAAGCTTTTATCGCCATTTCTTACCCCCGATTTCATTTGTTTAGGTGTTCAAAAAAATTCAAACATTTTCTGGGTTTCCCTAAAATCTTTTTGAACGGGTTTCCAGGTTACTTCAGCAATTTAGAGCAGGTAAGAACGGTGAAAACGAAGATAAGCGTGCCATGCCTCAAATTTGAATAAAACTACATATTTCTTGCCGAAAATACTCCGATTCATGTCGAAAAGTGATGTAGGTCTCACTGAAAAAGTTTTTTGTTAGAATGGAAACAAAAAAAGTTGTTTTCCGAGCCTTTATGAAAATTCCATTTTTGGGGTCGTCACCTTCAGGCGATCGGAGGTCAACTGGGCCACCCCAGAGATTTCTACCGGACTAATTTTTCCTTATCAAGAAAGACCTACTCTTCCATATACCAAAAGATAATGACCACATTCGGGGGTTCCTACAGAAAAAACTACCTGAAAACGGAAAAAATCGAAAATCGACGAAAGTCCTGAAATTCGAAAAGTCTCGAGAAATTCGGAATAAAATTTTCTTTGAGCACCAAAATGGTGGAGAACATGAACGTGATTGTTGTCTTTTGTTTCAAAACAAAAAAGAGGAAGAAGCTGTCAAATTAGAAGAAAAATGATTTTTCGAATTTTGAGCCGATTCGAGTTGATCACCTTCGGTCGAATGGAGGTCAACTATCCCACCCCAGGGATTTGTTGTAGAACTACTTTTTCTTAAACAAGAAGGCCCCTAGTTTCATAATCAGAAATAAAAGTCGTACCATAGGGGGGTTCTTACTCTAGTTATGGCTCAAAAACTGAAAAAATCGCTGTTTTTGAGGAAATTTCGATTTTTTTCTCCCCGAAGAAGTCGAGTTAGAAAAAAAGTTGCAACTGAACAAACACTCAAAATAGTGTTTTCTTACATTTCCAAGCATTTTTGAATGAAAATTCTCAACAGGAAAAAAGTTAATTTTTTTCAGCTTACTGTCTACAGTATCTTTTAAAAAGGGGCGGAGCCACCTGGAACCTGGTGCTTAATAATCAGAAGCACGTGTGTGAGCCGTGATCACATTTTGAGGCAAATCAAAAAAAAATTTTTATTTTTGTTTTTGCTTTTATATTACTGAAAAAGTCATCGATTTTTCTCAGAGAACGTGTGTTAATAAGTTAATCTGAAGTTTGAAAATCCAGAATTTTAGGTCTTTTTTTTAAGCCTTTTCACGACCTGTTATTATTTTTTTTAAATTACTTCTGTATCATCTTAACTTTTCGTGAAGATTCCAAGTTTTCACTTGAGGGATATTTTCAATGGGCTTCATTCAAACTAATAAATATAAAGGGGCCACTTTAGGGAGTTTTGAAAAAACATTTTTTTTCAGCACGTCAGTTGAGGCTCTCAAAACTTTTCAACTACATTAGCCCATTCTCAGTTTCTTAAGTAACCACTTAAATAACTTAACATATCAATCTAGTATTATATACTCTTGAAAAACTCTTTATTTATCCATGAACCAAAAATTCACTTTAGTATCACAAAACTTCATTCTCTGCTTCCAAGTTCTACTGTAGTCATTTTTCTCCCTTAAGTGGCCCCTTTCGGATCGAATTCTCACCGTCATTGCTGAACATGTGCGTGGCGGACGACGTCTCGGGCGCTCGTTCGATTTTCGCCGACTTTTGTTGCAAAAATCGCCTCGTTTCCACAATCGGCTGAGGCTCGTGTTTCGGCTGTTTGGAAGACTCCTGCAACAACTCGGATACATGAACAAAAGGGTGTCGGGTTTCCGAAGATACCTTTAGGTATTGCTCCAATGAGGCCAACTCTCCCTTGATGGCTTCTTCGGAGAAAATCTCTTCGTTTACTGAAATGAATAATCAATGATTTAATTACCCTTTTGTAGCTATAAAATAGAATTTTCAATATTTATCGTTTCGAAAAGCCTTTTTACATGTCAATTAAGGCCAAAATCGAATTTTTGGAAGATTCTAAAAGGAAATTTTGGATAAATACTGATGATAAACTTCTTTTTAATTCTCTCAAAGTAGTTTAAAAAAACTCTCTTAGTCTTCTTGAAAAGTTATTGGACCTGAAAACCAAAATTTTGTTGAACCTTTTTTATTCAGACCAGTTATTTCTACCCTTCAAGTTCAATTATTTCTTCCTTAAGAGATAAATTATTAAAAGAAGATGGAAAAGTTCGAAAAAAAAAAAGAAGATGAATGAGCGTTTCAATAGGAAAAAGAGCGGTTTTGACTTCTCAAGTCCCCGGTGAGCAAAGTTGAAACAGAAAACTCATGTTTGGGAACTTTCCAATGTTTTTTACGTATCTATGTTACTTTTTTCCTCACTCACCGCACATGTAAACGATGTGAAGATGGCCGTTATGACAGCTCTGAGAGCCCAGAAACTCTGACGACACTCTCAGAGAACAAGCTTCTCTGGCGTGACATTCGCGGAGAACTTGCGGCAGAACGTCGTCCACGCATTCTGAAACACCTTCTCTTTCATTTTTAAGAAAAAAGTTGTAAGCAAGGAAGAAACTTTTCAAAATGAGCTCATGAAAATAAGCATTTGAAACTTGTCAGGAAATCTTTATTGGTGTGCTCTTCGAAATTCTAATCTCAGGTTCATTTTCGTCAAAAGTTTTCCAATTTTTCCTAGTCATTTTCCCCGTCACCATCCTGAAACATTCTCACAAGGAGAGTGATGCAAGAATTCAGAAACTTCTGAAAACTGCCCAGAAAACTTCAAAAGTTTGTGATGGCATTTTTGGAATTACCAGTCTGCTTTCTAGTTTTCGAAAAAAAAAATTTTCTCAAAATTTCAAAACGGTCTATTTTATGTTTTCATGATTTTTTGAGGTGAGATGTTTTTCAAAAACAAAAGTTTTGAATGGTGAAAGTTTATTAATCATCATCTAGTACATCCCAGAGTCTTCTGACCAGTTTCCATATATTTCTGAAATCATATGTGAAACAAGCTCCTTGTGAGGAATTGGCCCTGTCAACTCGATGTTTCACGGACCCCTTCCTGCAGAAGCCATGTCTCAAGCTGAATGAATGAATGTCAAGGAGGGAATAAGCCTGCGCGGTAATTATTCCTAAGAGCCGCGCGGACAATGACCAGGGCTCGTCGAGCCGAGCCAACCTCCTTAATGATATCCATTTACGGGACGAAGAACGCCACCAAAGTGCCGTTATTCAATGAAAGAGCTTCTTGGGCTCGTTTCTATTCAATGTGGATCTAGGTGGTCAAGAGCCTTTGATTATGAACCACAAAATCGAGTTTCCAGTTGTGAGTGCTGTGAGAGTTCAAGTAGAAGAATTGTAAGGAATTTGAAAGAATTATGAGATTACAGTTGTTTTTTTTTCACTCAAAATTAATTGATGCAGGTGGTCAAAAGCCATTCATATACGTTTCAAAACATCTGATAAGATCGATTTCTTCTTATAGGTCAATCAGACTTTTTTCAAATTTTTTCTTGCTTGAATTATTGTGAAAAACTAAGATATGGCTATATATCTCCGCTTCTTCCGATAGATTATTTATAACCCCGGTGCAAAATAAATTCAAACTCGATAAATTGATGGATATTCATAATTTCCTACTCAACAATAAAGAACTGAGAAACTAAATTCTTGTTCATCGATTTATGTTACTGCCAAATAGTGTAGCTTCTCAGAAAAGTTTTTAAAAAGAAAGCTCTTTTTTTTCTTGAAATTTCAACGAAAACTCTTTTCCTGTTTCTACAGCTTATAAAAATTTCAAAAAAGAAAGAGATTCGATAGGCCAATAAACCCGAACTTGAAATGGAAATTAGGACGTTCATAAACTCCACCAATTTTTTTGGCTTCAAAGGACTGGAAAAACATTAATGTAACTACTTTTTCTATTCCCAAACTAATTCCTTATTTTATTTCTCTTCCAACCCATTATCTTCTCTTCTATTGTTCCTGTCAGACAAGTCTATGGGTCAGGCCGTTTCGGCCTTCGGGCCTTGTTTTTTGCGAAGAAGCCTGCTCGAGCTTGGGCCAGGCTTCGAATGGACTTTTCGAGCCTAACCACATAATGTTCACCAAAATCATAGTTTCCGTTGAATTTTGATAAAAAAAAAGAACAAAACACATGATTTATTTTGGGAAAAAGTCTGATATTTTTTTTGAAAAAACTTTGCGCTTATTTGGGCCGTGCCAGCCTTTTTCGCTTCAGGCCTCGCCGGGCTGATAGGCTGACGGGCTGGCCCTCGTACAAGCCCGCTGTCAGAGAAAAAAAGGGGAAACAATGGCTCATTATAAGAATTCGCGCATCAAATCCCTCTCAAGTATCCTGTGCGTGTCAGCGCGTCTGTTTTTGGCACATCATTCGCTCATTCGCTCCGCATTTAATTACGAACGACACGCAATGTTGTGAAATGGACGAACCGGGGTCCGAATTGTTGCGTGGCGGACACTGGGCCGGATGCCGTTTGGGGCTGTTCTCGGCCACCGACGAGTACACGGCCAGACGACGGCCCTCGCGGCACACCAGCCGCATCTCCGAGCCGGCGCAGAACGACTCGTCGTCGAACGACACTGAAACTGCTCCTTTTAGGGAGGATCGAGCATACAAGCGCAATTCATATTTATAGCCTACCCAGCCTACCAAATTTTCGAAAATTAAAGTCAGTTCTGCCTCCCAAAGTTGAAATTTATGTTTATTCCAGTCAACACCACCTCACTATATCTAGTTTTCTCAAAATTTACGACAGTCAAGCCCTCCTGGGCCCGTTGAGCTCTGTATATGCCACGTATCAAGTTAAATGAAGTCATTTAAACGTTTCCTTCGGGAAACGTAGAATTTAAAACATTTCAGAATTTAAACACATAGAGGTCTAAAACTCCCAAGTTTTCGAATAAGCCCAAAACTTTTTTCCATTGGCATCGAGTCTTATCATAATTCGACATGAGATTTAATTTTTTTTTTCTTCGAAATGTTCTTACGGTATTCTGATTTATCAACACCAGCCATACTTCTTTTTCTTTCAAAAAGAACACGATGAAAAACCGAGGGTTAATTAAAAACAAAGGAGCGTTCAATTTTCCTAAATTATCTCCATTTTTCGGCATAAATTTTCCCTGATTTCTATTATTTCTACTAAAACTTGACTCTTTTGATCTTGACACACGTTCTCTAGGGAAGTCGTTGAACTGCAGGGAAGCGTTGGTACAAAAATTTCAAGTTTTGTTTTGAGAGTTGAAATTATTATCACAGTTACTAGTCATAGTGTGTAAACTTTTAGGCTAGTTATTGTGAGGCTCCGCCCCCACTGGGTTACGGTAGGGCTTTTAGTTCTTTAGACTTTTACCTTAAAAAGTCATAAAAAACTTCAGGTTCCCAGTCAAAAAAAAAAGTTAAAAGAAAAGTACTTCGCCAAGATTTCTCAATTTTTCAAAATATCCTCCTTTCGATCCGCTCACAAGCACTTTCTGGAGTCGTCCAGGAAGAACACGACAAAAATGGCAAGTAACAATTAAGGAGATCGACATTGCGTTCAACCCTCTCATTACGGGGAAGTGCACCTCAAGACAATTCATCCGCCTTTTTTGAGACAACAAAACAACAGCTGCGGAGCCAGGTCCATCTGGTCCATTCGTGTGGGAGGCAGAAGAAAATCGCGCGAACATAAACTGACCCCTGATCGGTGTCCGATTTCAGACAAAAACGTTTTGTCGCGCCAATTTGTTGATTATAGGCCAATTTGTACAACTTTATTGCCAAAACGATCTCGGAGTAGAGCTTTCCCTCCGTTTTTTTTTAAAATCGATACCATGTTAACAAAAAAGCTCTGAATAAGCCCGTGAAAATATGTTTTCATTTATGTCTTTTTAAGGCTAATTTGCCCGTCAAAAGTCAAAATTTTTTCCTATTTTTCAGCTCTTTTTTTCAGTACAAACTCAGGCTGGGAATCAGAAAAAAAGATACTTTGGTAGAAATTTTTTTGCAGTTTTTCATTGTCTCTTCAAAAAAATTTCTAAACAGATTCAAGTTTATAACCAGAAAATAAAAAAAGGTGGAAATAATTTGAACTTTTTTTCGTTTCAAAAAAATGATCCCTATGCAGAAGAAGAGGGGAAATAAATTGACCCTTGATCCGTGAATGATTTCAATGAGAAATTTATGGTTTTTATCGCGTCAAATTGTTGATTTAAGGCTGATTTGCATAAATTTATCGCCGAAAAAAATTTTTTTGAAAACTGATTTCAAAAATGAATTATTGAAACTCTATGTGACAAGAATTTTTTTCAGTGTGAGATCGAAAAATTTTTCAATAGAAAATTTTTGAAAAAAATCATCTTGTAAGCGTTGTTTTTAAACTAGACTTTAAAAATTAAAAAAATACATAATAAATATTTAAAAAAATTAAACTGTAGCTTCAATGATTGCTTCAAAAAGATTTTTCGAGTTTGTAAGCTATTTTTTTATCTTCTTAGAAACGTTGAAAAAAATCGAAAAAAAGTGAGAATAATGATGGAATATTGATAAAAATTCAAAATAAACCCTCAAAAAAAGAATTGCTCTTCCTTTCCTATAGATTTTTTTTTTCTTGGCATTTTCGGTACTACCCAACTAACAAGCCTTCGCTTAATCGCTTTTTAAATCTCGAAAAAACCGGAGAACATGCGAAAAAAGCTGCAAAAAGAATAGGATATCAATTTCACTAGAAAAAAGTGTTCTTCCGTCTTTTCTGGCCTACTCATTCCAATGAACAAGAGAAAAATCTCGAACTACCTGGCACGCTCATCTGCAGGTATTTTCAATTTTTTAAACCATGAAAAGCCGAAAAAAGATGCGAAAAAAGCAATATCAATTTCACGGAATAAGTGTTCTTCCGGCTTTTCTAGTGAATGAGTCATTCGAGAGAAAGATTGACAGGACAAGGAAGGGACGAGATCTCGAGTTACCTGGCATGCAGGCGTAGCTCATCTGCAGGTATTTCGAGGTCGAAGGACACGGATCGTCGTCGAAAGTGTGCGAATCGACCACGACCGTGCATTTGCGTCTCTTGTCGCACAGTTCCGAGATTTTCTGAAGAGTCAATCTTCAATACATTTTTCCGAAAGCATTCAAGTTTGTTTATGAAAATCCGGTATCACTTTTTTCTTGGTTCACAAAAGAAGTTTGAATTTTGTTGAAGTCTTTTAAAAACCGGTGGGAAGATTTTTTTTGAAACGTTGTCCGCAGAAAACTGATGTAGGTGATCATTTTAAATTGAACATCCGACAATTTCTCTTATTTTTTAGCCTTGAAAGTACTTGTATGAGGATGCGGAAACTGTCAAAAAAATGTTTTAATAGCTGACTTTTTGCGAAAAATCAAGGAGTTTTTAAAAATAATTTTCTTAACAAAATCCTTGCGAACGTACTTCTTGACCTTTGCTTCTATTTTTTTTCTACGATTCAGCCCGACTCGAGCCCTATTCTCCTATTGGTTACCCGGGTGAAGACGAGGAAGGAAGCTAATTGGAATTTTATGGAACGCCGGCCTTCCTTCGACCACTTTTCAATTATCCGTCGTTCCCTTTCTCTTGTTTTTCACTATAGTTGGTAGGGGAATTTATTCTGAAGATGCGAATTTTCAAGCTTAAGCATGTAAAGCTATTCAAAAAACCCGACAAAATTTAAAATGTCCTTAAAAGCCGGAAACTAGTGACTTGACATTGAAATTGCTAAATCACAAAGTAAAGTTTTTTTAAGAATGAACTGCTGGTTGAACTTTGGATATAACTTTTCTCAAAAAAAAGTGAACTTTTTTCCCGGCTAATCTCATTTTTTCTCACCTGAAACTATCAAAAAATCTCTTAAATACAGTAAAAAACAATCCTTTTTCAGCTGAAACCCTTTGTTTTTCTGATTCCAGAACCGTACCGTGTGAGCCTGGATGACGTCACAGGTGGAGGAATGATAGGCGGTTGGCGCCTGGCCAACGAGTTCGGCGGCTCGCCCCGGGCACAGCTGACTCTCCGGAACGACGCGTCCATAAAAACTGAAACGTAGCAAAAAAGTGTTCCGAGTCGACTGTACAATCAAGCGCTTGAGGGATCTTTTTTGGGGAACTTTTTTCGATAACTTGAGAATAAAAGTCGCTTTTTTCCCGCTCAAACATTAGCTCAGATGAAAAATAAAAAAGCTTAGTGGTTTTTTTCTCAAAAAGCTATACAAAAACCCTTTTAACTGAAGAGATTTTGTTATTTTCGACAAACTTGAGGCGAAGCTTTGTGACTTCTGGGCAATAAAACCCAAAAGCAAGGTGCTTTCGGGAATCTTCGGAAATTGCCTGAGGCGAATAAGCATAAAGCCGGACCCGGTCTGGACGAGGATTTGGGTGTTTCGAGGACAACTCAGCGTGATCCGCTCCCCGTCGCACGCCTGGACTCGATTCGAACGTAGAGATTCCTTGAAGATGGCTGAAAAGTCAGAAGAAATCATCTCGTTTGTTCAAAAAACGATGAGAATGGTCTAAAAGCTAGTTGAAAAAAAAAATGAAGAAAGTTAATTCTTCCTTGTCCTTTGATTGATCTTTATCAACAGTTTTTAGGCTCATTTACTTCTGAAATAAATAATATGCGATAATATTCTTCAAAATCCCATATATGAACAAATTATTCTGAAAAATCTTGAAAAATGAAAAAAATTATGACAGTTTACATGGAGGAAGAAATTCAAAAAAAAATTCAAAAATACAAATTTCCCTTTCGTTTTCTAAGCACAAAATATTTTGAGCGATCCCGCTCGAAATATAATAATTAACAAGCTGAAAGCTTAGGTGAAAACAATTGAATATTCATACGTTGTTACGAAAAAAGAAGAATATCATACTTTTCTTTCTCAAATTTTCTTCTACATAAGTGATTTCTATACAACCCGAAACAATTGAAGATTCATTTCTCTCTCAAAAAACCCAGAGTACCCAGGAAGCTTGTCACAATTTCCCTCGTTTCGGCAGTCAGGGCAAAGTCGATTTATATTTCACAGAAACAACACGGGTTGCCCGTGTTTCCCTCCTTAGGCCAACATATATCCTTATATGGAGCCTGGGAAAGCTCGCACAGCGAAAGAGAGAGCAGGTGAAGCATAAATGCGGGAAACACGAGCCCACCGCCGCCGAATCTTGTTTCCCGCTGAGAAATCTATCAAGCCGTCAAAACTGCAATGAAAAACTATGTAACAAAAAAACAGGAAAGGCCTAAAGGTTTTAAAAAAACAGAAGAAAATTGAGAGGATTAAAAAGGTTTTTAAAAAAACTTTTGAAACTGGTTTTTTCGGAGAGAGCTTTTAACTGAACTTTCTACTATAAAAAAAGCCCAAAAAAACAACATTAGGAACTTTAACCGCCAAATAAAACAAAAACAAAAAAATTTAGATTTTTTTGAAACGAATCCAAAAAAAGTGGGCGTAATTTGAGATGTTTCTGGTGTGTTACACCCTACACCGATACAGTAAGATTTTTTTTCAGATTTTTTTAGCTCGATTTTTTAAAAATTGTTTAGTCTGATCCCTATCGAAGAGATTCGAAGATTCTAGTTGAGATCTTTGCCAAGCTATCCTCCAGTTTGTATGGCCATTGTTCACCGATTGAATAGAGAGGTCGGGGGCCGTTTTCTCAGACCTTTTCGCACCTGCCAAAGATGGTTTTTTTCCTCTCTTTTTCATGAAATGTGATCGGAAACTGTGCCTGGCACTGGGAAAACATGGAAAACATGAGATTTGAAGTTGTAAAAAAAGCATTAATAAGCGAATAAAAAAAGATGTTCATTTTTTTCATTTGAAGTTTTTGCCAATTTTTTTGAAATCGTGTCGTCAAAAAAACGTCAAGTTTCAATCATGAGTTTTTTTATTTACAGAGAAAAGTTTATTTAAAAAGTTCTTGTGAAGGAATTTGAAGAAACAAACGGCTTGATAAAGGCTCTTCGCCTCGGGACCCATACAAAATTCACCAAACGCTCCTTTAATAATTTCACCAAAGATTTTTGAGCAGACTATGGCGAAATAATATTTCTTTGTCATTTTCCACTTTCAGATAGTCAAAATCTACTGAATGAAAGACAGACTTTTCAAAATCCATCTTGCCAGACTTTTTGCTGATTTTCCAACTTGTTCCTCTTTTCCACGGAAAACCGAGTTCGAAGAGTATCGGAAGAGGTTTCCTAATGGATAAAGGCGCAGCCGAAGTCGTTTTGCTGCCACCAACAACACTTGCTTTACACCCCTCCATACAACAGACTCACACCGGTTGCTCTTTCCGAGCTCAGCGACACTTCAATCATGTATCAATTGTTCGCTTGATTTTTGCTCGGAGAAAGGCTTTTTTTCCGAAAAATCAAGAGTATATTTAGATTTCTTTGGTCTTTTTGAACTAGAACTTTGAAAATCTCACGAATTAAAAGGAGGAGCCGAGAAAATTTGCCCAAAGTATCATTGTTCAGCTCAAGTTTTGCTGGAAAAAAGCTATTTCGAAAAAAAAAACCAGGGAAAAATGAAGTTTGGAAGGTCTTAAAAGCTCCGAATCGAAAGATATCAACGGTTCAAAATCTCAAAATCCAAAGGATGAAACCGGAAACTACTTTAACTGAGAAGTTTTCACAAGATCCACCTACGTATAATATGTCTCATTAGTTCGATTCGATGTTTGCTCGGAACTCACTTTTTTTTTAAAATAAGTGCAGAACAAAAAAATATATTTTTATTAATTTAACTTTTTAGAGCTTGAAATTGAAAGATATCAAATGCTTCGAAGTCTCAAACACCAGAAAAAAGTCAAAAAATTTAATAGAGAAAAAAAACTGATACATAGCATTTCCAGAGCGTTTTGAAAGCTAGTTACAACCTCTTTTTCCATTTTCAAAATTTCAAAATCTAGAAATACTCTAAAATCAATATGGTTTAGCTTGAAGAGCTATAAGAAAGAATTCGATTCAAAAATCCGTCTGGAAAGAAGGATTTTTGATTTTTTTCAAGAGAAATTTCAGAATTTTGTGGTTTTCCCTGGACGGGTGGACTGGATAAATGTACTAAAAGTCCAAATTTAGAAGAATTTGAAAACAGGAGATTATTATAAACGAAAATTTTCTCCAAAACTGAAAATTTCGATTCTAAAAATGATCAGCTTGGCGAATAAATAGAATTTCGAAATTTCAGAAGAAAAAGGATAAAAAAATGCCTTCTATAAAACTATAGAGTTCAAAAATCCATTCTTGCTGACCTGAAGCTCTGTTCATAAGCCATGATCCAATAGACTTCAAAACTTTTCAAGTTCATAAATATGCGAACTGAAACGGAGAAAAGAGGGGAATTTCAAAATTAGGTTCAACTTGCTCGGAAGGAAAAAAACACGTTTTTTTCTATTGATTCTGTTTTTTTCATTTTTTTCAGAAAATAAAGCTTTTTAGAACCAATTTTTTTAAGCAGGACACTTTTGAAAATACAACAAGAAAGATTTTTTAAGCCCAATTAATTGATAATTGGGAAGATGAAGCTCAAATTTGACCCTTAATATCGGAAAGCGGTGGAAAAAAAAACGAAAAAAAAAATCGAATTTCTCAGAATAAAGGAAAATAATTCAAATACCCTTCAAGGTCAAAAAATCTAAAAAACACCAATTTTTTTTTCAAAAATCGATAAAAATTTAAAAATCACCCACCATCAATATAATTAGCCGCTTCTATCGTCCGGAAATGGGCGAAAATTAAAAAAATCGCCAATGGCCACATATTTTCCGAGGCGCCGACGTGTGCCCCGATTCATTTGCGAGCCGCCGGACCCGAAAAGTGGGCGTGGCCCAGTGGGTGACAGGCCACGCCCACTTTTCTCGCCGCTTTTCCACTCGATATGATTAATCGAATGTCATTTTCCAGCATTGATTAATCACCCTTTATCAGAGATTAATCATTCTTCAGAGTGATTGGACTTTCCTTGGAAAAATGAGAACGGGAGGATCGTCGCAACGCTTCGAGCCATTCCAAATGCGACCATGTCGTCTTAAATTTTTGGGAAAGAAGTGGCTTCTGGAATCCACGGGGAAAAACAGTGGCTGTCCGCGGGCGTAGATGTCGAACGCTTCTATCATCACCGATCCATTTCTTTTTATCGGCTTTTCGCGGACCCCCGGACTGAAGCGTAAGCCGTTTTTGGTCGGGTGCAAATCCATGGATTTCCGTCGAATGATTTTTGCGTTGTGCCAGTGCTCGTGCTATAAAGAATTTCCATTGCTGAAAACCCGCACTCAAAATAATTATAATCAGTCCGAAAAAGTAAACTGTTGTAAGCAAAAAATTCTAGTTCAGAATTTCTGTAACTTTCTAGAGCTTTTTCTAATTATCCATTTCTTCCATAATGTTTCGTAAAAGGGAAAAAATTTTCTTTTAACGTGTTATTTTTATTTTCAAAATCATACAAATTTACTCTTCAACAACTTTTAATCCTGGAAATTTAAAACGATGGGTCAAATTTGAGCGATTTTTTTCTTTCATTTATTTTTCAAATTGTAGAAAAAAACTCGAAGCTCCTTAGTAGAGAAATGTTTTTTTCAAGTAAAAAAACCTTTCCCTTAAGAAAAATCGAAAAATCATTTTCAAAACCACTCAAATCTTCATTGAAAGCCTCTATCCAGATCGCAAAAAATTCATTATCCGGCCCATTAATTAGTCCACTTCCCTGTTTCTTCCCATCTTTTTTTCCTCGTCGTCCAAATAAGGAATGTCGGACATATCTGCGCGAATTATGGCCGCTAAGCAAGGAAAAGAGAGAGAGAAGCGGGACAAAAAATTTGCATGATTTTATCGATTCCATGACGAATGTCCTTTTCCCGCTAATTTCTTTCCCAAGGCAAATGAGAAGGGAAATAAATAACTCCAAGACGCAAAATATAGTCTCATTCGAATTACGTGAGGAAATTGGGGTAATACGATAAATTATGTCCTTTTTACACTACCAGAAAGAGGAAAAACATGAATTTCTTTATAAAATCCTGGTTTCCAGAGAAACTCCTTTCCACATCTCTAGGAAACTTTTTGAAAATTCCGAAATATTTCGAATTTTCTCAGCTACAAATTAATAATATTCCCATAAAAAGAGAAAAAAACCTAGTTAGTGATCTCAATTTCATGATAAAAACTTGAAAAAACAGAAAGATCATTTAAAAAATAATAATTACGCTGGAAAACGACTCGTTGGAAATTTATTTTTCAGTATTCCATATTTTTACTTTTTTTTCGTTTTTTAGAAACAGGAGTATTTTTTATTGCGTATTGGGTAAAAACTAATTTTCTTATAAGTTGACTTGATTAGGGTGCTATACCTTCATTCATCATCACTGCCAATCAAAAAAATAACACTCATTTTCCAAAAAAATTTCGAAACAGGAAGTTCAGCTAAAATTTTGATTTTTTTAAAAGAACTTTTTACGAAAAAAACTTTTTTCTGTTCCTTTCATTTCAACTCCTTCATAATTTATCAAAAGATTTTTTTCTTTGTTTAATAAATTGATTTTTGAAATCTGTCCTGTATGAAATTCGGTAATCGAAAAAAACCTCGGAAAAACATTTTTTTCCATTAGACTATTATCAATTTTTTTCTAGATTCAACTTATGTGTTTTTTTATCTACATGAATATTCTTCAAATTTCGGAGTTGTATTTTTTTCGAGCAGTCCGCACTTGGAATGGCTCTTTTCACAATTTTCAGATTTATTTTTGATTTTCAGCTTTTCCTTTCCCTTTTCTGGAGTTTCCAAGTAACAATATCCTTTTTTCATCCTCAACCCGAAAATCTGTCGGAGGATGTTCAAAGCACATGGAAAAATCGTGTCAACCATGGAGGAAACAGAAAAAAAAAGAACACAACTGACACACGAAACATGACGGCGACTAGAGTTTTTCAGTACTTTATAATTTTTTGGGGTTTCTAGAGAAATACAGTTAAAAATCGATAACCTAGAAAAAATAAAATTCAAATTCAATAACTGGTTTTTAAATATTTAATAAAAGTTGAAATTCATAATTCAAAATTTTTACTTTTTCTGATTTTCGAGAAAGCAACTTTTCCAGTTTCAATCAAGTTTTAAATCGAATAACTCCGAAGTTCCAGAATGACATGTTTTTTCAACGAGATGAGTCGATTTTCTAAAAAGAGATAAATGTCGACTGTCGACAGAACTCGACATTTATCGGGCACGGCATTCCTAATTGGGTGAGGGAAGGTGAACGAGGCGTCAAAGTTTCTGAATTTACAAAAAAAAAGTGAGTGCGCGTTCCGGATAAAATTACTGTGACGTCAAAGCTACCTATACGTTGCAAATTAAACTGAGTATTCAACGACAGGAAGAATACCGTACTCCCCATTTGGCTGCGTACTTGAGAGCTCAAATTTCGCGCCAAAATTTGTTTGACGTCTTTTCACCCCGTTTGGGAACGCCGTGCGGGTAAGAAACGTGTGGGGACTTTCAGATTGCAACTTTCCAGTAGCCTTTTTTTTCATCTTTCAAGCACAGTATAGTCACTTCTTCCCGGCTTGAAAGGGGAAATGGGTAACTTAGATAGGCTAATGCGTTGCGTACGCGACGCGGCTTTCTGGCGGGAAGGTCGAGGTCAAACGCGATCATGGAGAGAACGTGATAACAATAAACAAGTGTTTCATCATTTTTATATATTTTCGACCATCCACTTAAATCTTTTTAAGTTATAAAATTATAAAAAAAATATCAAAAAATAATTGAAAAATAATAAAAAGATTGCTCTCAATTCGCCTCGAGAAAGCCGCGTCGCGTCCGCAACGCGTCCCTCTTGCTAACCTGCACATCTCGCCTTTCAATTCAGCTTCAATCTTTCTATTTCGATGTCATTTGTTTTGAAGTTTCGAGTCAAATCCCCAAATCTTCGTGAGAGACGCAGAGAAATGTGTTTCTCTGCTCTCTCTTGTTTTCTAACGGTCTCTAGCTTACTAGCTCAAAAATGTTCGAAAACTTTATTTTTGGGTCTAAAGAAGAGAGCTTTGATCTGGATATCCAGGATATCTACTTGTTTTTTTTTCAACCTTGAAAATTGAGGAATTTAAATTCAAAGAGATTACTGCCGAAATTTCAAACTTTCAGTTCAAAAGTGACTAAAATCGCACTAAACCTCAAACAGGCTTAAAAAATCCTTGATTGACATAGGAAACTGTCGGAAAATTCGACGGGAAGCCGCATTTTCGAGGTCGACGTCGTTTTTCTTTTGGGGTTTATGGTGTTGGTAGTGGCGTCCTTGGCGCTGATCTGCAAAACTTCAACTTTCATTTCCGAACCTGGGCATTTGATGAGCGCAATGAGTCTTTTTTTTCGCCTATTTTATTGCCCGGTTCCAACGGTGTGAATAACTGGTTTCGTTTGGGGGTCAGAAATAACTTCCTACATTTTTAAAGGAGTTTTCAATTAATTTATAAAATTAGGAGTGTCGTGATCTCATATATCAATGACTCGAGGCGTCGCGACTCATCCTCAATTTCAAAAAGAATCGGAAGATAGAGATCATTATAGTTTTGGAGAGAACAGACAGTCATGTTTCTCTTTGTCTCTTCTCACTCTTTTTTTCCAATCACTGAGAAACATTTTTGATTCTGTAATCAGTGAAAATGAGAAAAGCTGCAGAGTACGTGAAAAAAGGAAGGCGCAGAGAAACAAATTTCCCCGGGTCTCTCAATTTTCCACACTCTCTAACTCTCCTAACGATTTCACGCCGAAATTAGCTGAATTTGGGCGACTAAAAGTTCGGGACCGTTAAAAAAGGAGAGCACAGACAATCAGATTTCTCTGCGTCTCTTCATTTCTATCAGTATCTACTGATTTTTTTGTTTGAAAAAAATGGTTTTTTTCTGGAATTCTGCATCATTAGAAAAAAACCAGAAAATCAGATTTTTCTTCGTCTCTTCAATAACCACAATCTATTTCTCACTAAACTCTTGCTTGCGGAAAAAAAAAGAATTTTTCGATGAGTTTTTTTTTTCTTCTGCTCAAAATTTCTTAAAATTTCCATATATTTCCGGTGATTTTTGAAAAATCGAAGCCTTCAAGAAGAAGTTTTTCTTTCCTTTTTGTGACATGTTCTTCTAAAACCAATCAAAAATGAATATTTTGGCATGTTCTAAAACACGAGCGGTTGTGGGGCACGAGCGGCACGACCGTTACTAAATCACGAGCGGTTTCATTTTTCGCTCCTTCGCGAACGCTTCTAAATCACGAGCGTTTTTTTGGCTTATCGTTCTGTTCGAGCGTTTCTAAACCGCGAGCGTTTCATTTTATTCATTTTCTTTATTACCATCCAAGTGTGTTTTTTTCATATTTCTACCTTCTTTTTTTCTCCTTGAATAAAAAAATTTTGACGATCTTATATGCACATTTTTTTCGCTCAATTTGTTGATTGATTCACATTTGAGGTTCATATAATGGATTTTTTTCTAAGTTTTTTTGCGGTCTCTATAATTTCACAGATTCTGCGTATGGCAAATTTTTTTCTAATAATTTCATCTGATTTTTCATATTCAATATTTCACAGATTTTTGCGTATGATAAACTAATATTTCACAGATGTCTCGCATGAAAGTCAATATTCTAGCGGGTAAGAGGAGAATAAAATATGAATGGCATCAATTCGAATATGAGATTCTATTACCAGAAAAATTTTGAGAGAAATTATTAGAAAAAAAATTTGCCATACGCAGAATCTGTGAAATTATAGAGACCGCAAAAAAACTTAGAAAAAATCCATTATATGAACCTCAAATGTGAATCAATCAACAAATTGAGCGAAAAAAATGTGCATATAAGATCGTCAAAAATTTTTTTATTCAAGGAGAAAAAAAGAAGGTAGAAATATGAAAAAACACACACTTGGATGGTAATAAAGAAAATGATTAAAATGAAACGCTCGCGGTTTAGAAACGCTCGAACAGAACGATACGCCAAAAAAACGCTCGTGATTTAGAAGCGTTCGCGAAGGAGCGAAGATGAAACCGCTCGTGATTTAGTAACGGTCGTGCCGCTCGTGCCCCACAACCGCTCGTGTTTTAGAACATGCCGAATATTTTTATCTCTAAGATTTTCAGAAGACGGCGGCGAAAAGTCTGGCCTAAGAGGGGCATCTGGCGGCCACCGTTTAGACCTCATTTCGCGACGAAAAACAAAACAAACATATGAATATACGCAGAAACGGCAAAGCTCCACAATTTATGTACTTTGGAAATTGTTTCAAATTCGAGGGAAGAAAGGGGGAAAGAAAGAAGAATTATGGCACTTAAAAAATTCCAATAACAAAAAAAAAATCATACACGAACTGTAGGAGTAAGGCAAGGTTCTCTAATGGCAAAAAAGCAGAAAAAAATTAGGGAAATGATATAAAAACTCTTCAAAAGCCAATCTCTACCTTTTGAAACCTTCTGACCTGTCAAACGGACGCAAATGAAATAAATTTGGCAGATTTTTTTGGTTTTTTCAAATGATCTGGTCGCATTCAGAACGGCTCAACGCGTTAGGGTTCGATTAAGAAACTGGAAATGCGCCTGAAGTGTAGCGGAAAGCGCAAGTCGCTTCAGGTCGGTTGCAACTTCAAATGAGCGTTTAGCCATTCCCAGTGCGGTCATAATTGTTTAAAAGGAAGATTCACTGTTTTAACTCTATTCTAAGCCTAAAAATTGGAGAAAATTGAATTTTTGTTATTAAAAACCTATACAGAAGGTAGATGTCTCAGAACGTTCAGAAATATGGAAAAAGTGGAAAAAATGTAATTTTCCAAGGGAAAGGACACGAAACTTTATACAGAACCTATCATTAATCGCTCATTTTTGGGCATTTTTCAGATAGGAAACATCGAGGGCGTAGATTTTGAAGTTCCTGCAGAGTTGGCGGACCTAAAAATGTGGAAAAATGAACTTATAGGCCCGAAAATAGTCATTTCTCACCACACAAACTCCATAATGGATGTGGAGGAGGAGAATCGCGACGGTACTTATCCGAAGAACGAAAAGTTCGTGGGCCGGTTGGTAGAAGGAATATCCTTGAAATTCATTTTTTGAATCAGAAAACTAACTTTTTTTTTGGGGGGGAAACTAACCAATCACACTCAAATAAATGAGCAATGTGAGATTGTAAATGTCGCAAATTGTGTTGGACATCTGGGCAATGATTAGTCGGCACTGCAAGAAAATAAATATTCTCAAAAACAGATGGAAATTGGTCAATGTATTATGAAAAATTTTTCTAGAAATAAATGTTCCTCGAAACCGGAAACACAATTCACTGTGGGAAAAAAACCCGAAAGATGAAAAATTTATACTATTTTTCTCACAAAAAGGTTTCATTTTCCTGCCATATGTTTTATTTTTTGAACTTAGAGTGAAAAAAAGCCAAAAAAAAAAGAAAAAAAGAAGCCAAAAAAAAATTTTTTTTTGCCAGCCAAAAAACAAAATTTGAATCATTTCAGTTGGAAAACTATAGGAAAGACGATCAAATTATACTTTTGCCAAAAAAAGCCAAAAAACTCATTTTATTTGGATGAGTATCGAAATCAATGGAATTTGAACGGAAAAGGTTCTCAAAAAATTCAAAAAGTTTAGGGAAAATTTTTTCAAAGATCTCAAAACTTGAAATCGAGACAAATTAGCCTTATTTTCACGAAGAAAAATCCTTCCGGACGCTTGAAAAAATCGTAAAAACTCTAAAAAATCCTGAAAAAAAAAATGAGAAATTGTCTACCGTAATGTTACTGTAGACGGTTCCCATGCAGAAGAAGAACATCCTCGGGTCGACGTCGACGATCGAGTTGGGCGATTTTGTGGCCCAAGCAACAGAGGCCAAGAAAAAGCGTGTAAATTGGGAGAGCCGGGCGGCAGCCTTCCAGCCAGTTTTTTTCTGAAAATTTCCAGAAATCACTTCAAATTTCCAAAAAAAACAACTTTTTCTCTCAACTATTACTGTGAAAATAAAAAAATTTTTTTGCACCAAAATATACGTAGAATAGTTGAAACTGTGAAATGAAGGAAGTTTACTGAAAATCTTGACATTTTCGAACGGAAATAAATCAAAGAAAATAAATAAAAAACCTGTTTCCAATTTTTGCACTCCATGACGTTCTTCAACGACATCACCAATGAACCAGCACAGCAAGCTGAAAAATTCAGGTTATTCAAAAAAATTACTTCCACTGTAGATTCGCGTTTGAAGTTTCAAAAATGACTAAATATTCAGTTTTATTCATGAAAATTAGCTTCTTTTATTTTGGCTATGAATTCGCTCAGAATCATCTGAATTCGCTGAAAATAGATTTTCTTATTCGAAATGGGAGCATTGTTCAAATTCATTTCAGTCTATTTTCTCTCTTTTTTTCACGATTACACCTATTTTTATACACATCCATCAATATTATCACAAATTCCAATCAAAAATCGAATTTATTAAAAAATTTCATTCCTTTTAATGGTTTTACCCCTGCTCACCCAAAAATCTGACAAGGGAAGTGTTTTTGGTGGCCGGTTGAACTTTTGTTGAAACTTTGCTGGAAGGTACTATAAGACCTCCTCTTTCCAGAACACAAATAAAGTTTCTCGCAATAGATCTCGTTTTCGAAATATGAAGCTTCAAAGTTTGCACGCTGAATAAGTGCTGCAAGGCAAGAGGGAATGTGGCTCGCGTACGATCCCTCTACTCCAGTTGGCAGCGTGGTGTAGTGGCCAGCGTCCTTGCACTGCGGAGTCTATGACCTAGGTTCGAAACTTTTTGAAGAATTTCGTTTTTGCCAAAACTTTCCTAGGAGGAATTTATCGACATTGGGCAAATGGACCAAAACTTTCTTTCCAAAATAACATAGTTTCTCATTTTGATTCGGTATACCGAGTTCTACGTGCCTTTTAATCAGCGTTTCAGTCCAGTTTATAATTTAAAAAGAATCAAATAAAAACTTACGCCACAAGAAGATGAAGCTTCATATTTCGAAAACGAGACCTATTGCGAGAAACTTTATTTGTGTTCTGGAAAGAGGAGGTCTTATAGTACCTTCCAGCAAAGTTTCAACAAAAGTTCAACCGGCCACCAAAAACACTTCCCTTGTGAAATTAATCTTGACCCTGCGAAAAATTTACATCACTTTCCGAGAAAAAGGCGAAATCGACCAAAATTTGATGGACACCCGAGTGATAAGATAATCAATTTTTTCCGTTTTCGTTGATAATTGATAAGCTGATTTTTGGATCAAAGTGCGTTTTTGGGATAATTTCGCACCGTAGAAGCCGATTTCCATGCAGGCGGCGATGTTCCATTTTCCGAAGACGAAAAACTGAAACCATTCGTAGCCGACAAAGTAGGTGAACACGTAGATGAACATCAGGCCCTGAGAGATACAAATAAACTTCATTTCTCTGAATTTCCATTCCCATAAATTTATAATATGGAAAATTCTTGGCTTTAAAAATCTTCAGAATGTCTACAATAACTATAAAAATCTTACTTCTGAATGTTTGAAACGAGAAAATTCTTCAACTTTTCGTAATTTTTACACGGAAAAGGTCTTTTTTTCCACATTTTCACGATTGAAAGAAACAAAAACTTCGAAATTACGCATTTTCCAACTGTCTTTCCATGCCTTTTTCTCTCAAGAACACACTTTCCGGCACTCAAAACAAACTAAAAGCTTCAATATCTTCTATTTTTGCACTTAAATTGCTTGTCCTTGCGAAAAAAAAAATCGATCTTTTAAAAGTCAAAATCATCCCAATACTCTATTTTTCTGCATTTTCAACCGTTATTTCCCCTCATTTTTCCTCTCAAAACTCACAAATTGACTGGCATCGTAGCCCCAGGAAAGGTACAAGACGCCCGTGTTGTATTTCTCCCAATGAGTCGTGAAAAAGACGATTTGTGTGCTGATCAAGACGCACAAAAGATGAACGCCCGAAATACTGAAATCGCAACTTTTTCTTTTTTTTCAATTCAAAGTTTTTGGGCATTCAAATTCAAATAAATCCTAATACGTAGTTGATTTTGAAACGCCCAGGAAACAACAATTTAGTGAATTTTGAAGTTTAATAAAAAAATACTGAAACAGAGAAATGAAAAAAACTTGAAGAATTTCGAGAAATTTATAGAATAGAAAAATGGAAATGAATAAAAAAAGATAATAAATTTTCAAATTTTAGCAACATTTGCACCGAAATTATGCGATAAATACTAAAATTTAATAATTTTATAACAAACCTATACAATCCATGGCCGAAAATTGAGAAAATCGTGATTGTGAAAGGGACCGTCGACCAGGAATCCAAGCCGTGATCAACTGAAAAAAAAGTTTTGAAAGTTTTGAGATTTTTTTTTTTTTAGCCACCTTTTAAGATTTTTACAAGACACCGGTATGTTTTTAAAAAAAAGTGGAATTTTTGGAAATTTTTCAGCACAAAAAAATCCAAAAAAATTGGATTCGCCTCCAATTTCGTGACAAAATACCGTAACTTACAGTTAAAAAAAAAATGTTTACAACAATATTCATCAATTTTATGGAAATTTTCGTGGAGAACAAAACAAAAAGAATTTTTTTCAACTTCGCTGTATAATTTTATGATGAGATACATTAAATCGATTCTCAAGTTTTTCGACGTAAAAAGTCCAGATTCGATGTTTTTTTCTTCAAATTTTTGGAGGAACTAAAATCTGAAAAAAACTTTCGGGACAAAAAAAGATCGATAATCGAATTTCGCCTTCAATTTTTGTAATGAATCAAGAAAAAAAATTTTTCCTTTTTTTAGATTTTTTTGCGCTTGATTTTTTTGCTCCGGAAGCAATTTAGAGCCTAGAAATTCCATTAAAAAAAATTTGAATGTACAAAAAAATATTGAAAGAATTACAAAGTTCTCCCGTCGGTCCGCTGGCCCCGATCCTTCTCGCTTGTTTCCCGTCGGTTCCGTCCAAAGTATGGCCCAAAAACGTGCAAACCGCCGCCAACAGCCAGAACCTCAACCAAAAATTTCATTAAAATGTTCGAAAATAGAGAAAAATTCATAATTTTGGTTGAAAATCGAAAATGAGATAAAATTTGATGGATACTCGCAGGAAATTATGAAAAAGATAGAGCAAAACCTTAGGATTTATCTGGCGAAGAAATATGCTGAGGAACTTCTATAAGCCCAAAAAAGAAAAATTCGAAGGCTTATTGAAACGTATCTTGCCCCTTTTCCGATACTTTCTGAGAATATTCAACAAAAAACCTTTATTCGCGTAAAAAAGGCTTCAAGCATCTTCAAACGTTCAGAAAAGGGTGAAAAAAGCCTTTTTTTACACTAAATTCATACAAAACCAAAATTACATTTTTCTTCGAAATTCCTTCATAGGGAAAGTTATTTCACTTCCTATTTTGAAATTTCTCAACTGAAAAAAATCGGCAAGAGCCTTTTTTTAAATAAACTATTCAAAAAAACTATTTTTCATTGAAAAAAATTGAAAATAATGCAAGGGTATTGGAAGAAGATTTGATGAAAATACAGGTAAAAAGGTAAATTTTCCAATTAGGATTTTTCCAAGGATTGAAAAATGCATAGCCAACTGAAAAACTGACTGAAAACATCAGTGTTTCAAAGAAGCAAAATTTTTCCGAAAAATAAAGAGAAAAAAAGTTAATTTTTTTGGTGATTGGTAAAAAGAAAAAAAGGAGTTCCTTGCAGAGCCTTTTTCACCTAAAAACCCACCAAGAAGGGATCGGATCGGCTGTTCCGAAAGAGTTCCGAGTGATGTCATAGTCGAGGAAAGATTCCAAGACGAATCCGCCCATCACGAATCCCCAGCCGACCAAGGTCAACACGTTCGGAACCCATGTTCTGGGATAGAACTGCAAAAAATCCCCGATTTAGTGCCTTTTCTCGTCTCGAAATCACTTGAACGAGCCAATTCCAAAACGGATGCGAGATGTAAACGGCGAGCGGCGACGTGTCCACACAACTGTACTGAACAAAATATTATATTTGAATATTTCCTCAAATTTTCTTTTTATTCTCTCTTTTCCTGACAAACTTGAGAAATCGGTTTGAGAAAAGGTAACTGACATTTTTTCAAAAAAATTCTGATTTCGTATTCGTATTAATTTCGGCAATTAAAATTTTGCTGTTCGCCCGTGAAAGTCACCGTAAAAAAAGACATATCGTTGTAAGACCCATTTTTTCAAGCTATATTTTTTTGGTTTTTGCTGCGCATTTGAACACTTTTTTAAAAAGGAACTGAACCGAAAAATTCACCTTGTACGAATTGAATCCCTTGATTTGCTCCTTGTTCAAATACTCGTAGTCAAATATCCCCATCGCGACAGACTTGGAAATTAAAATTAAAAACTGATAACGGAAAACGAAAAAAAATCAAAAAAAAACAGTGGCTAGCGGAGATTATTGCAGATACCTCGTGACAAAATGGAAAATATCAAATAGAATCAGGAGACAAAGGCGCTTTGTCTTAATTTTAAATCTGGCTGCGATATTAATTGAGAAAATATGAAAATAAAGTGTTTTTCACATTTTATTCAGGAAGCTCTATTCAATTGATAACTAATTTGAAACGAAAGACTTATAGTACCAGAAATCTAGTGTTTTTGAAGCAAGAACTCGGAAAATTTGGCAAAAACAAAAAAACAAAAAAACTTTTTTTCATTAAATTTTGCCCCTAGCGCGCCATTGCCTCTTGTTTCTTATTTCGTAACCCGTTTTTACTTTTTTTCTACTGATCTTACCAGTTAATTAGCTTAGCTCAGCTGATTCATACTATACAAATAAAAGAGCTTGGATAACTCAAGTTAATTTTTTTCCAAGAATGAGAGGCAGTCTTCAAATTTATAACATTTATTAGTTTGGAAACGTATAAAATTTCCAACTTCATTTTTACATATATCATTTCAAAATTGGAGAATATAGTATCAACAGAGAATGAAAAAGCTATTTTCAAATTATGTACACGATATGTTTTCATGTCATAGTTACGATATGGAAAAAAAAATTAAAAATACATTGCAACACAACAAATTATTGAGAAATTGGGGAAACAGGAAACAAGTACATGTAATGATTGAATGTAGGCGGAAACGGGGTACAACGGGACGACGATAAGGGGAAAAAAGAGACGATTGCCCGATCAAAATGGCCCATCACGCGGGCGTCCATTTGAGCCCCAGTGGTCGCTCTGCGAAAATGATTGATATTTCAGGGAAATTCGAGTTTTCGTGATTGAAATACGTTTTTTTTTTCAAAGCGCTCTATTTTCATCAGAAAGCTCAGAGTTCGGGCGCAGTTAACCTTTTCGACGATTAAACTCCGATGAGAAGCCGTTTTTCAGCTTCTCCGACCACACACTTTTATACCCTATGGAGCTTAGCAGATAATTATTTTGTTTCGGCGAACTCAAGGCTACCTTCTACTGAAGATCGAACCAGATCTGCGAAGTAGCCCTTCACATATTATCCAAGTAACTCACATTCACATAGGTTCCTGTCTTCTACGACTTCTCCGATCTGGCAGAACTTTGTGCCGTAGCGACTGTCCTCGTGTGGACAACGCCATTCCGGCCGTCGGCGATTCTTGGGTTTTGTCCAAATCACAAGCGCTGGCGCTTCTTTTCCGCATTCTTTCGCTTTGTTGGCTTCTAAACATTGGTAATTGGTTGATGAGAGCCGAAGTGAAGTATGAAAATGATACTGATCGAATTGTGAGCTTCGTGACAAAAAATATATTCAACTTGAGGTTCTTGAGATCTTTCTCTTGTACTTGAAACATTCGCAAAACGAAAATAGGTTTGATTTTTTTGTCAACATAAACGGAAAGCTAGAAAAAGAGTTGATTGGAAAAAAAAAGTGGAAATGGAATAATCCTATTTGAAAATAAAGAATTCCTTATATTAAAATAAATCGACCATCGTTTTTTATTTCTCCTTTTGTTATCCTTACCTTTCAAATTCTTCTACTTTCGAAGACTCCTTCTAAATTCTTTTATTTCTTCTTTCCTTCCGTTATTTTCTTTCAATTTTCCGTTCATTTTCCGCCGAAAAACCTCGTGACGTTGGCAGAACAGGATAAATGACGATCCGAGGCGGAAGCTTTCGAACAGGCCATCAGAAGCTTCAATTCGCTCTTGATATCAAACGAGAAATATCCGTAAAGATAAGGCGAAAGGGCCGAGTTGAGGACGGCAAACGCGTAAATAAACTTTCTGACGTCTTTCGGGATCCTGGAAAGTTAGTCTTTAGTTTATTGGGGTTGTACATTGGATAATAATAGACCCCCTTCAAGTTTCCCGGAGGTTGTCCCTATAGTGACCCCTCTGGCAAACCTGAGTTGAACACTGCCAAATGAAGAAAAATTTCCACAAACCAGTCAGTCCTCGTCAGAAAATGAAGAAACATGAGTACGGAATATGGTGTCCAGCAGAAAATGAAGGCCAACACGATGACAAACGTCATTCTGCAAGTGCTTTTCCTGTTTCACTTTCACGATTTCTGACGATCTTTTTTAGAATTCAAAATGTCCTTTTTTCGAAAATTGATCCTTATTTAAGTTTTAATCTTCCAGGATACAACACATCCGGCATTATTCTGGCCATGTTTCAATGAAACTATACAGTGTGATATAAATTACTTTCCCCTGCCAAATCAGAACTTTTCTTTGAAACAAGAAAAAGCCTCCTGGATTTTAAAGAAAAGAAGAAACAAAATCGAGCCCACTTCAAAGTCCGACTTTTCGCTTTCTCCAAGTTGTTCTGCCCGTTCCTCCTCAACAGCATATCCGAAGATTTGTCTGCAAATTACGAAAATTCCTAATCATCTTCAGTTTCCTTACCCTCTTTCTCGATAGATGGTTTAGTTTTCCTCGATATTTTCAATAAAATTAGCGAATAGCAGATAACCGTAACGATTAATGGAACAAAATAAACTTGTGCGATGTTGAGGATAGAGAAATAAAAAACGACCTGAAATCGATGTTCCCATTGAACAAGTAATGAGAAAGAACCTCATTGGATAGTTTTCCGATGAAATTTTTTGAAACACATTGCGTGTACCAGTCGTGGCAGGGATGCGTCGCCGTTTGAAAGAGATAGAGCTGCAAATATTTCGATTTAAGAAGAAATCAATAGATTTTCCTTATTCTCAGGCCCGAAAGCCTTTTGGCACATTTGGCTAAAAAAAAATAAACCACAAAAATCTTGTAAAATTTACAAGAGATGCCAGTCAGAAAAGAATAAACATAGAAACTATTCCCAACTATTGGAACTTTACATGAGATCCTTCGGAACCGATGTACTATTCTTCCCCTGGAAACGAAGAAATGACGACTTTCATATTGATTTCGAATTGAAGCCATCAAAATTGGAAAAACTTCTAGCATCATCAAAACTGACGTTATCACAACTTCAATTTCCAATGAATAGTTCTTTTTGCCTCTCCGAAGAGAAGCGGTTCCAAAATTTATCTTGACACCATGATGTTCTGGGTCAGATCTAATGTTTACCTCAAACTTGGGTAATTAAACCAACGCTTCAGTCGGCCTGCCAAGGCCCTATGAAACGCGCAACCGACTCTAAACCAGGCACTCGCCAGCGTGTGTCTCGTAGTGAAGTCAGAATTTATTCGAAGATTCTATAGAACTATGAGACTTTCATATTGATTTCGAATTGAAGCCATCAAGATAGAAAAAAAAATTCAAGAAGTTATCAAAACTGACATGGTCACAGCTTCAATTTCCAATAAATAGTTCTTTTTGCCTCTCCGAAGAGAAGCGGTTCCAAAATTTATCTTGACACCATGATGTTCTGGGTCAGATCTAATGTTTACCTCAAACTTGGGTAATTAAACCAACGCTTCAGTCGCGCTGCCGAGGCCCTATGAAACGCGCAACCGACTCTAAACCAGGCACTCGCCAGCATGTGTCTCGTTGTCAAGTCAGGATTTATTCGAAGATTCTACAGAACTATGAGACTTTCATATTGATTTCAAATCAAGGCCATCAGTATAGAAAAAACTTCTGGCAGAATCAAAACTGACATGGTCACAGCTTCAATTTCCAATAAATAGTTCTTTTTGCCTCTCCGAAGAGAAGCGGTTCCAAAATTTATCTTGACACCATGATGTTCTGGGTCAGATCTAATGTTTACCTCAAACTTGGGTAATTAAACCAACGCTTCAGTCGGCCTGCCAAGGCCCTATGAAACGCGCAACCGACTCTAAACCAGGCACTCGCCAGCGTGTGTCTCGTAGTGAAGTCAGAATTTATTCGAAGGGATTCTTTACAGCTATGAGACTTTCACATAGATTTCGAACTGCTGTGATCAGAAATTAAAACAAAAACAATCAAGAAATTATCGAAACTGACAAGAAAACAGCCTCAATTTCCAATGAATAGTTCTTTTTGCCTCTCCGAAGAGAAGCGGTTCCAAAATTTATCTTGACACCATGATGTTCTGGGTCAGATCTAATGTTTACCTCAAACTTGGGTAATTAAACCAACGCTTCAGTCGGCCTGCCAAGGCCCTATGAAACGCGCAACCGACTCTAAACCAGGCACTCGCCAGCGTGTGTCTCGTAGTGAAGTCAGAATTTATTCGAAGGGATTCTTTACAGCTATGAGACTTTCACATAGATTTCGAACTGCTGTGATCAGAAATTAAAACAAAAAAACAATCAAGAAATTATCGAAACTGACAAGAAAAACAGCTTCAATTTCCAATGAATAGTTCTTTTTGCCTCTCCGAAGAGAAGCGGTTCCAAAAATTTATCTTGACACCATGATGTTCTGGGTCAGATCTAATGTTTACCTCAAACTTGGGTAATTAAACCAACGCTTCAGTCGGCCTGCTAAGGCCCTATGAAACGCGCAACCGACTCTAAACCGGGCACTCGCCAGCGTGTGTCTCGTAGTGAAGTCAGAATTTATTCGAAGGGATTCTTTACAGCTATGAGACTTTCACATAGATTTCGAACTGCTGTGATCAGAAATTAAAACAAAAAAACAATCAAGAAATTATCGAAACTGACAAGAAAAACAGCTTCAATTTCCAATGAATAGTTCTTTTTGCCTCTCCGAAGAGAAGCGGTTCCAAAATTTATCTTGACACCAAGTTGTTCTGGGTCAGATCTAATGTTTACCTCAAACTTGGGTAATTAAACCAACGCTTCAGTCGGCCTGCCAAGGCCCTATGAAACGCGCAACCGACTCTAAACCAGGCACTCGCCAGCGTGTGTCTCGTAGTGAAGTCAGAATTTATTCGAAGGGATTCTTTACAGCTATGAGACTTTCACATAGATTTCGAACTGCTGTGATCAGAAATTAAAACAAAAAAACAATCAAGAAATTATCGAAACTGACAAGAAAAACAGCCTCAATTTCCAATGAATAGTTCTTTTTGCCTCTCCGAAGAGAAGCGGTTCCAAAATTTATCTTGACACCATGATGTTCTGGGTCAGATCTAATGTTTACCTCAAACTTGGGTAATTAAACCAACGCTTCAGTCGGCCTGCCAAGGCCCTATGAAACGCGCAACCGACTCTAAACCAGGCACTCGCCAGCGTGTGTCTCGTAGTGAAGTCAGAATTTATTCGAAGGGATTCTTTACAGCTATGAGACTTTCACATAGATTTCGAACTGCTGTGATCAGAAATTAAAACAAAAAAACAATCAAGAAATTATCGAAACTGACAAGAAAAACAGCTTCAATTTCCAATGAATAGTTCTTTTTGCCTCTCCGAAGAGAAGCGGTTCCAAAATTTATCTTGACACCATGATGTTCTGGGTCAGATCTAATGTTTACCTCAAACTTGGGTAATTAAACCAACGCTTCAGTCGGCCTGCTAAGGCCCTATGAAACGCGCAACCGACTCTAAACCGGGCACTCGCCAGCGTGTGTCTCGTAGTGAAGTCAGAATTTATTCGAAGGGATTCTTTACAGCTATGAGACTTTCACATAGATTTCGAACTGCTGTGATCAGAAATTAAAACAAAAACAATCAAGAAATTATCGAAACTGACAAGAAAACAGCTTCAATTTCCAATGAATAGTTCTTTTTGCCTCTCCGAAGAGAAGCGGTTCCAAAATTTATCTTGACACCAAGTTGTTCTGGGTCAGATCTAATGTTTACCTCAAACTTGGGTAATTAAACCAACGCTTCAGTCGGCCTGCTAAGGCCCTATGAAACGCGCAACCGACTCTATACCGGGCACTCGCCAGCGTGTGTCTCGTAGTGAAGTCAGAATTTATTCGAAAAGGATTCTTTACAGCTATGAGACTTTCACATAGATTTCGAACTGCTGTGATCAGAAATTAAAACAAAAAAACAATCAAGAAATTATCGAAACTGACAAGAAAACAGCTTCAATTTCCAATGAATAGTTCTTTTTTTGCCTCTCCGAAGAGAAGCGGTTCCAAAATTTATCTTGACACCAAGTTGTTCTGGGTCAGATCTAATGTTTACCTCAAACTTGGGTAATTAAACCAACGCTTCAGTCGGCCTGCTAAGGCCCTATGAAACGCGCAACCGACTCTAAACCAGGCACTCGCCAGCGTGTGTCTCGTAGTGAAGTCAGAATTTATTCGAAGGGATTCTTTACAGCTATGAGACTTTCACATAGATTTCGAACTGCTGTGATCAGAAATTAAAACAAAAAAACAATCAAGAAATTATCGAAACTGACAAGAAAAACAGCTTCAATTTCCAATGAATAGTTCTTTTTGCCTCTCCGAAGAGAAGCGGTTCCAAAAATTTATCTTGACACCATGATGTTCTGGGTCAGATCTAATGTTTACCTCAAACTTGGGTAATTAAACCAACGCTTCAGTCGGCCTGCTAAGGCCCTATGAAACGCGAAACCGACTCTAAACCAGGCACTCGCCAGCGTGTGTCTCGTAGTGAAGTCAGAATTTATTCGAAGGGATTCTTTACAGCTATGAGACTTTCACATAGATTTCGAACTGCTGTGATCAGAAATTAAAACAAAAAAACAATCAAGAAATTATCGAAACTGACAAGAAAAACAGCTTCAATTTCCAATGAATAGTTCTTTTTGCCTCTCCGAAGAGAAGCGGTTCCAAAATTTATCTTGACACCATGATGTTCTGGGTCAGATCTAATGTTTACCTCAAACTTGGGTAATTAAACCAACGCTTCAGTCGGCCTGCTAAGGCCCTATGAAACGCGCAACCGACTCTAAACCGGGCACTCGCCAGCGTGTGTCTCGTAGTGAAGTCAGAATTTATTCGAAGGGATTCTTTACAGCTATGAGACTTTCACATAGATTTCGAACTGCTGTGATCAGAAATTAAAACAAAAAAACAATCAAGAAATTATCGAAACTGACAAGAAAAACAGCTTCAATTTCCAATGAATAGTTCTTTTTTTGCCTCTCCGAAGAGAAGCGGTTCCAAAATTTATCTTGACACGAAGTTGTTCTGGGTCAGATCTAATGTTTACCTCAAACTTGGGTAATTAAACCAACGCTTCAGTCGGCCTGCTAAGGCCCTATGAAACGCGCAACCGACTCTAAACCAGGCACTCGCCAGCGTGTGTCTCGTAGTGAAGTCAGAATTTATTCGAAGGGATTCTTTACAGCTATGAGACTTTCACATAGATTTCGAACTGCTGTGATCAGAAATTAAAACAAAAAAACAATCAAGAAATTATCGAAAACTGACAAGAAAAACAGCTTCAATTTCCAATGAATAGTTCTTTTTGCCTCTCCGAAGAGAAGCGGTTCCAAAATTTATCTTGACACCATGATGTTCTGGGTCAGATCTAATGTTTACCTCAAACTTGGGTAATTAAACCAACGCTTCAGTCGGCCTGCTAAGGCCCTATGAAACGCGAAACCGACTCTAAACCAGGCACTCGCCAGCGTGTGTCTCGTAGTGAAGTCAGAATTTATTCGAAGGGATTCTTTACAGCTATGAGACTTTCACATAGATTTCGAACTGCTGTGATCAGAAATTAAAACAAAAAAACAATCAAGAAATTATCGAAAACTGACAAGAAAAACAGCTTCAATTTCCAATGAATAGTTCTTTTTGCCTCTCCGAAGAGAAGCGGTTCCAAAAATTTATCTTGACACCATGATGTTCTGGGTCAGATCTAATGTTTACCTCAAACTTGGGTAATTAAACCAACGCTTCAGTCGGCCTGCTAAGGCCCTATGAAACGCGCAACCGACTCTAAACCGGGCACTCGCCAGCGTGTGTCTCGTAGTGAAGTCAGAATTTATTCGAAGGGATTCTTTACAGCTATGAGACTTTCACATAGATTTCGAACTGCTGTGATCAGAAATTAAAACAAAAACAATCAAGAAATTATCGAAACTGACAAGAAAACAGCTTCAATTTCCAATGAATAGTTCTTTTTGCCTCTCCGAAGAGAAGCGGTTCCAAAATTTATCTTGACACGAAGTTGTTCTGGGTCAGATCTAATGTTTACCTCAAACTTGGGTAATTAAACCAACGCTTCAGTCGGCCTGCTAAGGCCCTATGAAACGCGCAACCGACTCTAAACCAGGCACTCGCCAGCGTGTGTCTCGTAGTGAAGTCAGAATTTATTCGAAGGGATTCTTTACAGCTATGAGACTTTCACATAGATTTCGAACTGCTGTGATCAGAAATTAAAACAAAAACAATCAAGAAATTATCGAAACTGACAAGAAAACAGCTTCAATTTCCAATGAATAGTTCTTTTTGCCTCTCCGAAGAGAAGCGGTTCCAAAATTTATCTTGACACCATGATGTTCTGGGTCAGATCTAATGTTTACCTCAAACTTGGGTAATTAAACCAACGCTTCAGTCGGCCTGCTAAGGCCCTATGAAACGCGCAACCGACTCTAAACCAGGCACTCGCCAGCGTGTGTCTCGTAGTGAAGTCAGAATTTATTCGAAGGGATTCTTTACAGCTATGAGACTTTCACATAGATTTCGAACTGCTGTGATCAGAAATTAAAACAAAAAAACAATCAAGAAATTATCGAAACTGACAAGAAAAACAGCTTCAATTTCCAATGAATAGTTCTTTTTGCCTCTCCGAAGAGAAGCGGTTCCAAAATTTATCTTGACACGAAGTTGTTCTGGGTCAGATCTAATGTTTACCTCAAACTTGGGTAATTAAACCAACGCTTCAGTCGGCCTGCTAAGGCCCTATGAAACGCGCAACCGACTCTAAACCAGGCACTCGCCAGCGTGTGTCTCGTAGTGAAGTCAGAATTTATTCGAAGGGATTCTTTACAGCTATGAGACTTTCACATAGATTTCGAACTGCTGTGATCAGAAATTAAAACAAAAAAACAATCAAGAAATTATCGAAACTGACAAGAAAAACAGCTTCAATTTCCAATGAATAGTTCTTTTTGCCTCTCCGAAGAGAAGCGGTTCCAAAATTTATCTTGACACCAAGTTGTTCTGGGTCAGATCTAATGTTTACCTCAAACTTGGGTAATTAAACCAACGCTTCAGTCGGCCTGCTAAGGCCCTATGAAACGCGCAACCGACTCTATACCGGGCACTCGCCAGCGTGTGTCTCGTAGTGAAGTCAGAATTTATTCGAAAGGATTCTTTACAGCTATGAGACTTTCACATAGATTTCGAACTGCTGTGATCAGAAATTAAAACAAAAACAATCAAGAAATTATCGAAACTGACAAGAAAACAGCTTCAATTTCCAATGAATAGTTCTTTTTGCCTCTCCGAAGAGAAGCGGTTCCAAAATTTATCTTGACACCAAGTTGTTCTGGGTCAGATCTAATGTTTACCTCAAACTTGGGTAATTAAACCAACGCTTCAGTCGGCCTGCTAAGGCCCTATGAAACGCGCAACCGACTCTAAACCAGGCACTCGCCAGCGTGTGTCTCGTAGTGAAGTCAGAATTTATTCGAAGGGATTCTTTACAGCTATGAGACTTTCACATAGATTTCGAACTGCTGTGATCAGAAATTAAAACAAAAAAACAATCAAGAAATTATCGAAACTGACAAGAAAAACAGCTTCAATTTCCAATGAATAGTTCTTTTTTTGCCTCTCCGAAGAGAAGCGGTTCCAAAATTTATCTTGACACCAAGTTGTTCTGGGTCAGATCTAATGTTTACCTCAAACTTGGGTAATTAAACCAACGCTTCAGTCGGCCTGCTAAGGCCCTATGAAACGCGCAACCGACTCTAAACCAGGCACTCGCCAGCGTGTGTCTCGTAGTGAAGTCAGAATTTATTCGAAAAGGATTCTTTACAGCTATGAGACTTTCACATAGATTTCGAACTGCTGTGATCAGAAATTAAAAACAAAAAAACAATCAAGAAATTATCGAAACTGACAAGAAAAACAGCTTCAATTTCCAATGAATAGTTCTTTTTGCCTCTCCGAAGAGAAGCGGTTCCAAAATTTATCTTGACACCAAGTTGTTCTGGGTCAGATCTAATGTTTACCTCAAACTTGGGTAATTAAACCAACGCTTCAGTCGGCCTGCCAAGGCCCTATGAAACGCGCAACCGACTCTAAACCAGGCACTCGCCAGCGTGTGTCTCGTAGTGAAGTCAGAATTTATTCGAAAAAGATTCTTTAGAACTATGAGACTTTCATATTAATTTCGAATTGAAGCCATCAAGATAGAAAAAAAATTCAAGAAGTTATCAAAACTGACATAATCACAGCTTCCATTCCCAATAAATAGTTCTTTTTGCCTCTCCGAAGAGAAGCGGTTCCAAAAGTTATCTTGACACCATGATGTTCTGGGTCAGATCTAATGTTTACCTCAAACTTGGGTAATTAAACCAACGCTTCAGTCGGCCTGCTAAGGCCCTATGAAACGCGCAACCGACTCTAAACCAGGCACTCGCCAGCGTGTGTCTCGTAGTGAAGTCAGAATTTATTCGAAGGGATTCTTTACAGCTATGAGACTTTCACATAGATTTCGAACTGCTGTGATCAGAAATTAAAACAAAAACAATCAAGAAATTATCGAAACTGACAAGAAAACAGCTTCAATTCCCAATAAATAGTTCTTTTTGCCTCTCCGAAGAGAAGCGGTTCCAAAATTTATCTTGACACCATGATGTTCTGGGTCAGATCTAATGTTTACCTCAAACTTGGGTAATTAAACCAACGCTTCAGTCGGCCTGCTAAGGCCCTATGAAACGCGCAACCGACTCTATACCGGGCACTCGCCAGCGTGTGTCTCGTAGTGAAGTCAGAATTTATTCGAAGGGATTCTTTACAGCTATGAGACTTTCACATAGATTTCGAACTGCTGTGATCAGAAATTAAAACAAAAACAATCAAGAAATTATCGAAACTGACAAGAAAACAGCTTCAATTTCCAATGAATAGTTCTTTTTGCCTCTCCGAAGAGAAGCGGTTCCAAAATTTATCTTGACACCAAGTTGTTCTGGGTCAGATCTAATGTTTACCTCAAACTTGGGTAATTAAACCAACGCTTCAGTCGGCCTGCCAAGGCCCTATGAAACGCGCAACCGACTCTAAACCAGGCACTCGCCAGCGTGTGTCTCGTAGTGAAGTCAGAATTTATTCGAAAAGATTCTTTAGAACTATGAGACTTTCATATTAATTTCGAATTGAAGCCATCAAGATAGAAAAAATTCAAGAAGTTATCAAAACTGACATAATCACAGCTTCCATTCCCAATAAATAGTTCTTTTTGCCTCTCCGAAGAGAAGCGGTTCCAAAAGTTATCTTGACACCATGATGTTCTGGGTCAGATCTAATGTTTACCTCAAACTTGGGTAATTAAACCAACGCTTCAGTCGGCCTGCTAAGGCCCTATGAAACGCGCAACCGACTCTAAACCAGGCACTCGCCAGCGTGTGTCTCGTAGTGAAGTCAGAATTTATTCGAAGGGATTCTTTACAGCTATGAGACTTTCACATAGATTTCGAACTGCTGTGATCAGAAATTAAAACAAAAAAACAATCAAGAAATTATCGAAACTGACAAGAAAAACAGCTTCAATTCCCAATAAATAGTTCTTTTTTTGCCTCTCCGAAGAGAAGCGGTTCCAAAATTTATCTTGACACCATGATGTTCTGGGTCAGATCTAATGTTTACCTCAAACTTGGGTAATTAAACCAACGCTTCAGTCGGCCTGCTAAGGCCCTATGAAACGCGCAACCGACTCTATACCGGGCACTCGCCAGCGTGTGTCTCGTAGTGAAGTCAGAATTTATTCGAAAAGATTCTTTAGAACTATGAGACTTTCATATTAATTTCGAATTGAAGCCATCAGATAGAAAAAATTCAAGAAGTTATCAAAACTGACATAATCACAGCTTCCATTCCCAATAAATAGTTCTTTTTGCCTCTCCGAAGAGAAGCGGTTCCAAAATTTATCTTGACACCATGATGTTCTGGGTCAGATCTAATGTTTACCTCAAACTTGGGTAATTAAACCAACGCTTCAGTCGGCCTGCCAAGGCCCTATGAAACGCGCAACCGACTCTAAACCAGGCACTCGCCAGCGTGTGTCTCGTAGTGAAGTCAGAATTTATTCGAAAAGATTCTTTAGAACTATGTGACTTTCATATTGATTTCGAATTGAAGCCATCGAAAAAAAAGTGTCTCGTAGTGAAGTCAGAATTTATTCGAAGAGATTCTTTAGAACTATGAGACTTTCATATTGATTTCGAATTGAAGCCATCAAGATAGAAAAAATTCAAGAAGTTATCAAAACTGACATAATCACAGCTTCCATTCCCAATAAATAGTTCTTTTTGCCTCTCCGAAGAGAAGCGGTTCCAAAATTTATCTTGACACCATGATGTTCTGGGTCAGATCTAATGTTTACCTCAAACTTGGGTAATTAAACCAACGCTTCAGTCGGCCTGCCAAGGCCCTATGAAACGCGCAACCGACTCTAAACCAGGCACTCGCCAGCGTGTGTCTCGTAGTGAAGTCAGAATTTATTCGAAGGGATTCTTTACAGCTATGAGACTTTCACATAGATTTCGAACTGCTGTGATCAGAAATTAAAACAAAAACAATCAAGAAATTATCGAAACTGACAAGAAAACAGCTTCAATTTCCAATGAATAGTTCTTTTTGCCTCTCCGAAGAGAAGCGGTTCCAAAATTTATCTTGACACCAAGTTGTTCTGGGTCAGATCTAATGTTTACCTCAAACTTGGGTAATTAAACCAACGCTTCAGTCGGCCTGCCAAGGCCCTATGAAACGCGCAACCGACTCTAAACCAGGCACTCGCCAGCGTGTGTCTCGTAGTGAAGTCAGAATTTATTCGAAAAGATTCTTTAGAACTATGAGACTTTCATATTAATTTCGAATTGAAGCCATCAAGATAGAAAAAAAATTCAAGAAGTTATCAAAACTGACATAATCACAGCTTCCATTCCCAATAAATAGTTCTTTTTGCCTCTCCGAAGAGAAGCGGTTCCAAAAATTTATCTTGACACCATGATGTTCTGGGTCAGATCTAATGTTTACCTCAAACTTGGGTAATTAAACCAACGCTTCAGTCGGCCTGCCAAGGCCCTATGAAACGCGCAACCGACTCTAAACCAGGCACTCGCCAGCGTGTGTCTCGTAGTGAAGTCAGAATTTATTCGAAAAGATTCTTTAGAACTATGTGACTTTCATATTGATTTCGAATTGAAGCCATCGAAAAAGTGTCTCGTAGTGAAGTCAGAATTTATTCGAAGAGATTCTTTAGAACTATGAGACTTTCATATTGATTTCGAATTGAAGCCATCAAGATAGAAAAAAAATTCAAGAAGTTATCAAAACTGACATAATCACAGCTTCCATTCCCAATAAATAGTTCTTTTTGCCTCTCCGAAGAGAAGCGGTTCCAAAAATTTATCTTGACACCATGATGTTCTGGGTCAGATCTAATGTTTACCTCAAACTTGGGTAATTAAACCAACGCTTCAGTCGGCCTGCCAAGGCCCTATGAAACGCGCAACCGACTCTAAACCAGGCACTCGCCAGCGTGTGTCTCGTAGTGAAGTCAGAATTTATTCGAAGGGATTCTTTACAGCTATGAGACTTTCACATAGATTTCGAACTGCTGTGATCAGAAATTAAAACAAAAAAACAATCAAGAAATTATCGAAACTGACAAGAAAAACAGCTTCAATTTCCAATGAATAGTTCTTTTTGCCTCTCCGAAGAGAAGCGGTTCCAAAATTTATCTTGACACCAAGTTGTTCTGGGTCAGATCTAATGTTTACCTCAAACTTGGGTAATTAAACCAACGCTTCAGTCGGCCTGCCAAGGCCCTATGAAACGCGCAACCGACTCTAAACCAGGCACTCGCCAGCGTGTGTCTCGTAGTGAAGTCAGAATTTATTCGAAGGGATTCTTTACAGCTATGAGACTTTCACATAGATTTCGAACTGCTGTGATCAGAAATTAAAACAAAAAAACAATCAAGAAATTATCGAAACTGACAAGAAAAACAGCTTCAATTTCCAATGAATAGTTCTTTTTGCCTCTCCGAAGAGAAGCGGTTCCAAAATTTATCTTGAAACCAAGTTGTTCTGGGTCAGATCTAATGTTTACCTCAAACTTGGGTAATTCAAACCAACGCTTCAGTCGGCCTGCTAAGGCCCCTATGAAACGCGCAACCGACTCTATACCGGGCACTCGCCAGCGTGTGTCTCGTAGTGAAGTCAGAATTTATTCGAAAAAGATTCTTTAGAACTATGAGACTTTCATATTAATTTCGAATTGAAGCCATCAGATAGAAAAAATTCAAGAAGTTATCAAAACTGACATAATCACAGCTTCCATTCCCAATAAATAGTTCTTTTTGCCTCTCCGAAGAGAAGCGGTTCCAAAAGTTATCTTGACACCATGATGTTCTGGGTCAGATCTAATGTTTACCTCAAACTTGGGTAATAAAACAACGCTTCAGTCGGCCTGCCAAGGCCCTATGAAACGCGCAACCGACTCTAAACCAGGCACTCGCCAGCGTGTGTCTCGTAGTGAAGTCAGAATTTATTCGAAAAGATTCTTTAGAACTATGTGACTTTCATATTGATTTCGAATTGAAGCCATCGAAAAAAAAGTGTCTCGTAGTGAAGTCAGAATTTATTCGAAGAGATTCTTTAGAACTATGAGACTTTCATATTGATTTCGAATTGAAGCCATCAAGATAGAAAAAATTCAAGAAGTTATCAAAACTGACATAATCACAGCTTCCATTCCCAATAAATAGTTCTTTTTTGCCTCTCCGAAGAGAAGCGGTTCCAAAAGTTTATCTTGACACCATGATGTTCTGGGTCAGATCTAATGTTTACCTCAAACTTGGGTAATTAAACCAACGCTTCAGTCGGCCTGCCAAGGCCCTATGAAACGCGCAACCGACTCTAAACCAGGCACTCGCCAGCGTGTGTCTCGTAGTGAAGTCAGAATTTATTCGAAGGGATTCTTTACAGCTATGAGACTTTCACATAGATTTCGAACTGCTGTGATCAGAAATTAAAACAAAAAAACAATCAAGAAATTATCGAAACTGACAAGAAAAACAGCTTCAATTTCCAATGAATAGTTCTTTTTGCCTCTCCGAAGAGAAGCGGTTCCAAAATTTATCTTGACACCAAGTTGTTCTGGGTCAGATCTAATGTTTACCTCAAACTTGGGTAATTAAACCAACGCTTCAGTCGGCCTGCTAAGGCCCTATGAAACGCGCAAACCGACTCTAAACCAGGGCACTCGCCAGCGTGTGTCTCGTAGTGAAGTCAGAATTTATTCGAAAAGATTCTTTAGAACTATGTGACTTTCATATTGATTTCGAATTGAAGCCATCAGATAGAAAAAATTCAAGAAGTTATCAAAACTGACATAATCACAGCTTCCATTCCCAATAAATAGTTCTTTTTTTGCCTCTCCGAAGAGAAGCGGTTCCAAAATTTATCTTGACACCATGATGTTCTGGGTCAGATCTAATGTTTACCTCAAACTTGGGTAATTAAACCAACGCTTCAGTCGGCCTGCCAAGGCCCTATGAAACGCGCAACCGACTCTAAACCAGGCACTCGCCAGCGTGTGTCTCGTAGTGAAGTCAGAATTTATTCGAAAAAGATTCTTTAGAACTATGTGACTTTCATATTGATTTCGAATTGAAGCCATCGAAAAAGTGTCTCGTAGTGAAGTCAGAATTTATTCGAAGAGATTCTTTAGAACTATGAGACTTTCATATTGATTTCGAATTGAAGCCATCAAGATAGAAAAAATTCAAGAAGTTATCAAAACTGACATAATCACAGCTTCCATTCCCAATAAATAGTTCTTTTTGCCTCTCCGAAGAGAAGCGGTTCCAAAATTTATCTTGACACCATGATGTTCTGGGTCAGATCTAATGTTTACCTCAAACTTGGGTAATTAAACCAACGCTTCAGTCGGCCTGCCAAGGCCCTATGAAACGCGCAACCGACTCTAAACCAGGCACTCGCCAGCGTGTGTCTCGTAGTGAAGTCAGAATTTATTCGAAGGGATTCTTTACAGCTATGAGACTTTCACATAGATTTCGAACTGCTGTGATCAGAAATTAAAACAAAAAAACAATCAAGAAATTATCGAAACTGACAAGAAAAACAGCTTCAATTTCCAATGAATAGTTCTTTTTGCCTCTCCGAAGAGAAGCGGTTCCAAAAATTTATCTTGACACCAAGTTGTTCTGGGTCAGATCTAATGTTTACCTCAAACTTGGGTAATTAAACCAACGCTTCAGTCGGCCTGCCAAGGCCCTATGAAACGCGCAACCGACTCTAAACCAGGCACTCGCCAGCGTGTGTCTCGTAGTGAAGTCAGAATTTATTCGAAGGGATTCTTTACAGCTATGAGACTTTCACATAGATTTCGAACTGCTGTGATCAGAAATTAAAACAAAAAAACAATCAAGAAATTATCGAAAACTGACAAGAAAAACAGCTTCAATTTCCAATGAATAGTTCTTTTTGCCTCTCCGAAGAGGAGCGGTTCCAAAATTTATCTTGACACCAAGTTGTTCTGGGTCAGATCTAATGTTTACCTCAAACTTGGGTAATTAAACCAACGCTTCAGTCGGCCTGCTAAGGCCCTATGAAACGCGCAACCGACTCTAAACCAGGCACTCGCCAGCATTTGTCTCTTTGTCAAGTCAGAATTTATTCGAAGGGATTCTTTAGAGCTATGAGACTTTCATATTGATTTCGATTTTACGCCATCAAAATTGGAAAAACATCTGGCAGAATCAAAACTTACGTTATCACAGATTCGATTTCCAATAAGGGCTCAATTACGATCTTGAAAAATAAGGCTTTTCGGGGAGACTAAAGACGTTAAATTGGTTATAGTGACGTTTAAATTATCCGAGCTATGTGTTCAAAGGTACCTGAGGAGCACTGGTGATGAAGGAAGCGAGCCAGGCGATGGCCACCATCCGTTGGACACTCTTCCGAGCTCTCATCGCATATAACGGGAAAAAGATCGAGTAGAATCGGTCGAGAGAAATGCAGATGAGGACGTTCATCGAGAGGCCGACGCCGAAGACGTCGAAGAACTTGCAGAGACGACATAACTGCAATATCAAAATGATAAGTTTGTTCAAAAATGTTCCGTATACCACCTCATATTTCATATCTTCTTTTGTGATACTTTGAAAACGCTTCTGGCTAAGTACAACTTCAAAATGATCAAGGGAATATTCTTGCCAGCAGTTTTAGTAAAGAATACAAAAGCAAACCTTTTACATGGAAGGTCATTTTTGCGTTGCGTTTGGAATTCTCTATGAATGAGCTCAAACCATTTTTGATGGACTAGGAATCGATCTCCCATAGTCGCTATCTGCGCAAACTTTTCGTTTTGGAGATATGATTTTTCAAAGTTTTTGTCCTTAAACACCTGACCGCGTTTGACGTTAGTTTTGTATTGTTTCAGAAACAGCTTTTAAAAAAACAATTGGTCAACTATTTTTGAGTTGACATGACAAAGTTGTGATCGGACTTAAGAGAACATTCAGAACAGAACATAGAAAATATCATTATCAGTTGCTATTGTTTCCACACGAGGAAAATGGTCTTTGAAAAAACAAACCAAGTCTCCGGCATTCCAGGCGACCGTGTAGTTGTGCAGAATCTCTTTCGGCATGACCAGCAAAGTCACCAGGAGATGAGCAATATTCATATGGAGTAGTAAGGAATGCACCCGTCGCACCTTTACCAGTTGATTTCTGGAATTTCAAAAAATGGTACCAGAAGATGTTTTTTCCAAGTTTTCGTTTTTTTTAACTTGTAATTTTTTTGTTTTTTTGATTAACTGAGTCTCCCATTTGCACTTCCAAAAAAACATCCTTGTCAATACTTCCTGTTTCTCTCTTTTTTTAAATACTCTCGATTAGTTTTTACTACGATCTCATCTCTTTTTTTATAAGGAGTTGGAAAATTGAGGGTCATGAAAACGTGGAATCGGATTTCTTATTTTTGATTTGTTACCCAAAACTTCGAATGTTCCGGTTTTTTTCTTCTAAATATGATTTCTCAAATTTGTTTTTATTCAAATTTCATCACAGAGTTGGTCGTAAAAAAATTTTTTTGCAAGCTTGCAGGTTCTGTTACTAAAAATTAAAGATCGGAATGGTCGAGACTATGAGATCAAGGCTTACAAAAAAATATCAGGGCAAATGAATTCAGCATTTCAAAAATTACACACCTTTCTGACCTCACAGATCTTTTTATGAGAAATATGGGCTCTGATCCCAAAAAAAGTCTCTTATAGGGGGATTTTAGCTTTCTATTTGACTTTGAAGTGACCTTTTTCAGAAACTGGTAAATTGTGCAAGTCGAGACTTTCTTTTGATAGATGGAGGTATTTTCTGACAAAATTTTAGGAAATTCCCAACCGCAAAAAAATAATTGTGCGGCTGGAGACTTACAGGGTCTTTCTAAAGTAAAATGACCTCCCTCGTGAGATTTCCTTAATTTATTTCTGATTCAAAAGAGCGTTCTAACGAACCGACAAAGAATGAGGAACATGGTGAAGTTGCCGACGAAGGCGACGACGAAAACCGTCGAATACAAGGCGACGATGGCGATCATCGACGTCGTGACAGAGACGTCCGGCGGCGCGTCTGTGCAGTTCTTGCCCATCTTCTGAATGACGTCTTCTTTTTCTACTCTTTCTTTCGTCCACCGAAACACAATTCGTCATAAAGGTTCCAAATAAGCTCTTTTGAGTCCAAAATTCTTGTATAAAATTCATTTGTTCTGAAACTTCCAGAAGTTTTGATGACTGTTATTTATAACAATTTAGTGAAATTTCAGAATCGCAGAGAAGAAGCGCAGCTTCAGAAAGTTTCAGGAAGATTGAGTTCCGTAAAAGGAAAGCAAAAATGGGTTTCCTCATCTTTTCTGACGGCACTGTACATATTTTCCGAATAAAAATGGGCTCAAAAATAAGGGATGAAAAAATAAATTTAAAAGAGAAAGAGAAAAATTAATTTTGAGTCCGTACTTTCATGCAGTTCTTGCCCATCTTTTAAATGACGTATTTTCATTTTTTTTTTCTCTGATTCAAATTTAACGAGATACTTATTTCTTGATGGAATTAAGCAATGCAATAAATCTGAAAAGAAAAATAAATTTTGATGGCTTTTTAAAGATGATGTGCGTTTCCTGGATTTCCCTTTTCTGATTCAAGCTTTTCGAAGTTCAAAAAAAAACCCTCCAAAAAGAATTGAATGTCCTTAAATTAAAGGCCTTTGTAACGTCTTAACAGAAGTTTTACTTTTTTTTTCAATTTTATGGGTCTGCAAAGTATCCTTGTTTCAGTTTCATAGCTTTCCAACTATTCGAGTGATGAAAAAGCGGAAAGTATGTTTGAGATCTTTAAATTTCGACACGTTCTCCAGCCTTTGAAACTTCTTGATGTTGTGGAAATGAATAAAACTCGGAAATATCAAAAATGTGGGTTCTCTGAATAGTTATACCTCTTTTATTGCAAGAAATGATCCAAAGTCACAAAAGATTTTTTATTTTGTTTAAAAATCTAATTTTTTAGATAAATAGTTTTCAAGATTTCTAGGAAAAACAAAGGCCTGAAGAAGTCAACCGTGAACAGCCTGAGAATACCCTTTGAATATTAACCTAAAAATAATCAACCTAAAGATGAAGACTTACAGAAAGGAAAATTAATTCTAGAAAATCAGAAAAATAGGAGATCTCTTCAGGAAATAGTTTTCAAAATTTGATCAGAGAAAATACTTTTTCAGAAAATTGAAAAAAAAAATCAAAAAAAAAATTCTTTCAACAATTTAACATGTAGCGAACAAACTAGGGTTCTCTTTAGGGAGTTTTTAAATTTACTATTTTGAAAAAATGAAGAATCCAACGCTTATTAATCTATCCATTTCAAGAAAAACGGGACCCGGAATAACTAATATGATTTCAGGAGCTACATACTCCAATCATTCCCAAGACGAAAAAATCCCCATTTTGGTCGAATAGAAAATTGGATTAAGCGAAGCAAAACCGTTGGTGGAAAAAGGGAGGGTGAATAAATTTTGGAATGAAATATTGAGGACGCCTCCGCTCTTCTTCTTTTTTTCGCCTTTGACTCGTTTCGAGGCGTCGAAATTCGAGTGAAGATGCTCCGTAATTGGCAATTAGAGGCTGTCGGATCGGTTGGACCGGTGGCTTCTCGCTTCGGATTACCAGCCAAGGAATCTGCTCAGACTTTTCTGACAAGAGAAACCGGTGAGAAGGAATAGCCGTGCTCATTTTCGAACCAAATAAAAAAGCCACGAAACAGGATCTATATGTGCTCTATGGATAATCTGAAGCTAAAGTCTACAGTCTTCATGAAAGTCGCTCAAAGATTTATTCAGAATGGTCTCTAAAGATTTATTTTTAAAAAAACCGAACAAAACAAAATCCGGTTGAAAATGCGCTCCATAGATGATGATACATCTTCCAACCAATAGGTACAAATAAGGGACATAATTTCCAAAATTTCTTCTCTGGGTATACAACAGAAAAGTAGGTGATAAAAAAATAACCGTATCTATTGAAGATCTATGAAAAAAACAAAGAAATAAAATTAAGAAAGTCCATAGATAATGAAAAACTTAATTGACTTCAGATTAATCTTTGAAATTTTTTTCAGACCTTTTTCGAATACACATACTCATACAGAGAAAACGTCTGCAGATGGAAAACTTGCTTCAATGATAATAAAAAGTGTTTGAGCCAGTTCTACCGACCAAAAGCTCCAAAAGTCCGTCGCTTTTGAGATATTAAAATAGAGAAATTGCCTGAGATAAAAGTCGCGAAATATTTTTCTATCTTTTTCGAGAATCATATATCAAGACTTGGAGGCAAATGATCGCATTTTGGATGGTATCAGCATCCGACGTGAAACGACTTACGCAAACTGAGTACAGGGGAATGAAAGATCAAGCTGTTTCCAACTAATGTGCGCCTTGAGCCATTCCAAATGCGACCACGGTATTTCAAGCAGCGGTTGGAATATAAAAGAAAGTTTTTTCACAAAAACTGTAAGTCCCAAAAATGAGCAGATCTGTTTGCAGAGATTTCTATCTCTTTAGAAAATCCAAGACCAAATTCCTGAGCCAAACAAAAAACTTTGTCCCAGAACTACGTGAGAAAAATGCGGCGAATGAGGCATTTTTATGGACGACTATTAGAAAGGGTTCGGATTTGGGTTGAAAGAAAGAGCTCTCATGTTGTCGACGAGAAGAAGGTCAGCTTGGCTAAGCGTATTCATTGCACCAAGCCCTGCCGCTTTTTTTTTGTTTCCTTAAATGGGCTTCCTTTTTTTGTGGTGGAATCGTGGGAAAACAGAGAGAAATAGCCGCAAAAACATTGGAAAATTTTTTGAAAAAGCTGTATTTTTTTTGAGAAAAAAATGAAGATGATAAAAAAATTATAAAAAAATTTACAGTTGAAAATTTGATCTCATGAAAAAAAATAGATTTCGGAAATTGCGCCTTACGGTTACACTTCCAAAAAAACCTTCAAAAAAAGTACTTTTTATGCAAAGGGAGAGCTCCGAAAAAAAGTAGAAAATTTTTTTACTTTTTCAATTTTTTTCAACAAAAAAAGCTTCAAAATTGCGCTCCATGACTATTTTTAGAAAAAAATAAATTTAAAAAAACTGACATGGAAACATTTCTAAAAATTGCAGTTTGAAGTTTTTTTCTCCTTTATTTGGTCGCATTAGGTAGTTCTCAACGAGTTTTCAATTGCGCCCCACCCAAAACGATCTTCGCAAAAACATCTCAAACTATTCATATTTGAACGGAGGGCTTAACGAAATTTTGATTGCATTCTCAAACCTTGAACTTTTGCTGAAACCGTAATTCATCTTAACCAGAAGCAGTTTCGGCGAAGGGTTACGGTAATGCAAATAGAACCCTGATCCATTTTAATCCCTTCCCATTAACCCATTTCAGAGTGAATGTGGCTTGAAAAAGACCTTCTCATAAAATAAAACTGCTCTTTGGCAAATATTTATCTACATATACTATCTACAAAAAAGCTTTGAGTGACCTCAAAAAACCGGAAATTTTCGATGAAATTGGTAAAATCAGGCGTTACTCAAATTTTTCGTTCATGGCTTGATGAAAATTCTGATTTTTTGAAATTCGTATTGAAATATGGAGAAAATTCCAATAAAACCTTGATTTCTTTTTTCGAAACTTGGCTTTGAATCGGTGGGAAAACGGATAAAATGCTTTTCTGGACTAATCTTGAAAGTTTTGGGTTTCTCCTTTTATAATTTAAATGTTTGAATCAAAAATTTATCAATGATATCATGAGATTTGAATAATATGAAAAATGCGTTTTAGAAATAATAAGCAACACATTCTGACATGTGAGTGAAGACATTATTTTTTCAAAAATGGCAACATTTTCAGCGACAGGTGTCGAACTTGCGACCTTGTGAACGACAGTCTGATGCTCTCGCCCTGAGCCATGAGACACAGATTTTACAAAGCGGCCTGTAGTAACCATAATCTTCAGCCACGTAAAATATTTATCGTTGATATGTTTCAATGCGCTTTTTTTCATCTTTTCGTGGTAAACTGAACTTTGATTGAAATTTTCAAACCTCTCAAGAGTCAGATCATTCTCAAAGAATTTTGATTTTGAACTTCATTTCTGCGACTCGAATCGATCTTCCAGTGTCCTGACCCCCAGAAAATCGTCGTCTTCTTCTTTTTTTTTTAATTGGCCAGAAACAAAAGCGAACGCACGTGTGTTAGTGGGGGTGCAGCGCGTCGAGGTTTTCTGGCAAAAGCGATCGATGGAATCGCGGCAATAAAGCATGTCATAAATCGTCGCTGGCTGAGGCCGAGAGACGGCGGCACGGACGTCCTCCTGGATCTGGCCCTCCAAGTTGCCTTTTTTGTTAAAATATCAGAGGAAACCAAGCTAATTCTAGGTCTTGGATCTACCAAGTTGCCTTCTTTTTTGTTGAATTATCAGGAGAAAAAGGGGATTTCTAGGTCTTGGATCAGGCCGTCCAAGTTGTTTTGTTTTGAAAATTAGGAGAAAAACGGGACAGTTTTAGGCCCGGGACTTAGCCCTACAAATTGCCTTTTTTTGTTAAAAATTTTAAAAAAAACGGCACACTTCCAAGTTGTAGAACTGGTCCTCCAAGTTGCTTTTTTTCTCAATAAAACAGGAGAAAAACGGGATTACCCTAGGTCCTGGATCTGGCCCTCTAAGCTGCCTTTTTTTTGTAAATCAGGAAAAAAAATTCCCATCGTTTGAAGTATTTTCTCGAAGCCGCTGCTCTCATTCTAGAGCTTTCTTCTAGAGTACGGTCATCGGACTCCAGCTTCAGAATCTACTCGGTTCTGAGCTCCTCATGGCGCAAATAGATCAACTACGGGCGAAAGAAAAAGAAGATGTTTCCAACTTGATCAACTACTTTTGGGCTACTTTTGACCAAGGCCGTTGTTCTATATAGCCTGCAAAGTTTGGCAGTTTTTAAATCAGTTTCAACAGATGGACAAACGCAAGCACACACGCGTCTTAGACTTTCTAGTGATTTCTTTAGTAACTTCAGAACTCTTAAGTGATTACTAGCTCAGAAACGTCCGGGGAGCGTTAACGAGGTCCGAGAATTAAGATTCGAAGTGATATTTGACATTTATGATGAGAAAACTAGTCATGGTTTTAAATTTCTCACTGTGTTCCTTAGGACTATGCTACTACAGGAATTCAAAAAAGTTTTACGACCCAAAAGTTATAGTGATCGTTAAAAAAACTAAATTCTGAATAGCTCATTAAAATAAAAAAATTAAGAAAAATATCGAAACTGGGAAGAATTTATGAAGACATAGTCAAAAATAAGCCAAACGAATTTCTATGATTTTCTGCTGTTAAAAATAATATGAACGCTGTAGGCTCGACGCAACCGACCTAAAACGACTTGCGCGAAAGGTTTTGAACAAAAAGCTTCGAGTCATCCTGCGTGAAACTTCAATTCTACAAAAAACGAGGAAAATGCGACTTTATGATCAAAAAAAGGAAGAGTGAAAATGGAAAGTGTGGAAGAAGCCTAGAAGAAGTGCGAAAATTATTCATCCGGGTTGTAAAAACCTAAAAAAGAAGCAGAAGAGCTGTCCTTGGCAACTAGGAAATGGAAAAGCTTCGGATTTCAGCCGATTCCTTCAGAAGTCTGCTCCTGAAGGAATCAAAGAACGTCGAAGTTTACAAGAAGAAGTGACGATGAACAAGAGACCGGAAAGACGCAATTAATTCCAGGCAACATACGCAATTTAATATTATTTTTTCCTTCTCGCACTTCAGAAAAAATGTTCTTCTCAAGCTTTATGTTGGGAGACAGTTGGGCCCGAAGAAAGGGGCACAAAGATGGGAACTTTTTCCGGTTTGCTTTTTAAAATGTAATTACGGCAAATCAAAAAAATATTTTTATACTAGTTATTTTTCATGCATTTCTCTCGAAAGCTGCAAAAAAATTTGAGTAATTAAAAGAAAAGTTCGAATTTTTTTGGGTTATTTTTCCGTTTATTGCCGTCTATCTAGCTTAAAGAATAACTTGAGAAATAGATTTTTTTTTAAACTACATCGCTGTTCCAACAAATTCACAAATAATTTATGATTCGGTAAAACTCTTCGGTACGAACTCTTCAAAATTTTTCTCCTCTTTTAAATGTGGAAAATAAAAATCTGAGAAAACTTTGAGTGGCCACTTCAATGTTTTCAAGTTTTAGTGGCCTATATAGTTGTCGAATTAGTGGCCACTTAATTGAATGATTTTTAGTGATCTTTTTAAGAGCCTAAGTGGTACTAAACTATTGTAGAGGCCACTAAGACGGAAAGTAGTGGCTTTCATGTAGGTGGTTTCAGTGGCCACTTTAGTGTTCTTTTCAAGTCCTTGAGGAGCCTCTCCAGTGGCCGCTAGAGATTTTCTCAGATATTTTAAAGTTCATGGACTAATTAGATACTAATTTTTTTATTGAAAATAAAAAAACCCCCGATTCTCTTTTGCCATAACCTTAAATGAAATCTCGGCTTCATTAATCTTTTTTTCAATTGTTTTTTTACTTTTTTTCAAAAATCCCACCTCGTGTAGAACTCCAACGGCTTGATCAAATGCTTTCAGATGCTGCTGCGCGCAAGCCGCTTTTTGGTCGGGCGCATGTCTTCACGGTGGCAAATCTCTCGTGACAACATTTCTGAAGTACCGAAGCTATGAAAGTTCCATCAGACTCGATCCAACTTTTCCGATCTTTATAACTTTTAATTTTTTTTTCGGATAATTTTTAAACTTCTTTATAAATTTCAAATGCAGTTCGAACGCTGGTTTCAAATTTAACCTCAAAAACTTCTGACAAATGAATGAAGTTACGGTTTTTTTGAATTTGCAACCTTGAACTTATTTTGAATGGTAAGATTTTCGTAATTTCTGTTGAGAAAAAAAGATTGATGTTGTTTTTGATGTGAAATACTATCATCACCTACAAATTATTCTGAAAATTTATTTTTAAAAAAATTTTTGACCCTTTTTTTGATGGACTGAAATAGTTCAGAATCAAAACGAGACAATATTTTTCCCAAATTTCATCTATTCTTTACCATACAAGACACTCCTCATCCATTTTCTTTCTCCTTTTTTTCACGACTGAACTTTTTTGGAACTCTTCTCAAATTTGAATTTTCGAGTGCATTGACATTTACTGTGCAGGAAGAATGCTTTTGCTTCGAGACTTTTATGGCTCCTTCAAAAATTTCGGTAAAGATTTTCAATCAGACGTTAGTTTTTTGGGAAAAATAAGCTTCGAAAAATTTGAGAATCGAAGTTTCCCGAAAAACTGAAAGCTATTTTTTTTTACTGATGATGAAGAACTATTAAAAAGGAAAGTTTCGTAAATTATTGGATTTTTCAGATTTTTGTCTCACTGGGGAATGTTCGCAACTCACAATGGGACTAATGAATGAGATCGATCAAATTTTTTAACTTTGACTAACTTTTCTTATAGGCTTCGAGGGCTAGTTTCGAGCAAATATTCGGAATCAGAGTGAGAAACTGCATCTAGTGAACCTATTCTTCTTCAGAAGTCTCATTTTGAGCTGATAACGATCCCTAGTCAGTGGAAAATTCCTCAAAAGACAAACTTTTTTTCAATTTTCTATTTCCAACCCACACCAGAATTGTCAAATACTATTCCAAAGTCGGAATCGCGCAAAGATTCCGCGTCTAAACCGACCACCCAGTCTGTAAATGTAACCCGAGACGTGCGCGGAACTTTTGGCCGAGTTGCGAAAAAAGAGGTTGTTTGAAAATTTGCATAAATCAAAGGCACGGCCTTGCGGACAGTACGCCGAGGCGCGTTGCGGCGTCCAGGCGCTGGTGGGCGGAGTCTCTGGTGTCCCCCCACGCGCCGCGCGCTCTCCCCCCGTCCTCCTCTCCTTCGCATTCTCCAATTTGCCTTTGCGAAAGTGCTGTGGCGTCGTCGACGTCGTTTTGTGTGCCAGATGAGCCGCGTTTTACTGGTTTTCGGCTGCTGGCTATTTACTTCGTCACTGGTACTTGCATCGATTTTCGACCAGGTTTGGAGATTTTTTAAATCTTTATTTTTTTCGATTTTCATCTTTTCCTCACTTTTCTGATATACGTGATTCAATTCTCCTTCCTCTGAGAAATTCCAACTTTTTTTGGCTTTATTTTATGTTTTGCAAGAACTTTACTACTTCAAACGACCTAGCAACAAGGTTGAAACTGGCTTTACTCTTCTTCAAATCGCAAAAACTTTCGAAATCAAGTGATAACTGGAAAAAAAGACCAACAAAATTCTTTCAATGGTTCGATTCTATTTTGTTCACTAGAATTGACAGAATTAAATCATTCATAATGTTGTCTAGATTACCACATAAAGTCCACTAACCCCATCGCCTACCTTTTTTGAAGAATCGAGAAATTCGAAAATGGTCTCTTCTCAGTAGGATAGGTCATGCACCTCGCCGGACCATTTTGTTCTCTGAAACATCTTGATTACGTTGATGAATCTTTTAGTATAAATATATTTTGAAAACACACAAAATAAAAAATAATATTTAAAAATTTTCAAAAGTGGAAATTTCCCGCCTGCAGGGAACTTTGCGTTTTTTGCGCTCGACGGATAAGAATGTTTTTTTTATCTCTCAAGCTTTCCTTTTTTCATCATTTTTTCGTTTTCAACTGTATACTGTATACATTATACATAACCGCAGAAAGTTCAAAACTGCGAAAAAAATATAATGAGTTACCTGGATTGAAAGTCTTTTTTAATAAAAAAACCCCGTAAATCCTGTTAATCCCTTTTTTTAAATATTTATTTCTTTTTTTTCATTCCAATCGTTGATTTTCCGATATATTTGAGTTTTCTCGCATCAGTCGATATCACTGATCTCCACGGAAAATCAATGAAACTCATCTTCCAATTTTTTTTCTCCATCCTAACGATCTTTTAACGATGTAGCTGATAGCCTTCGTCAAAATGACCTGTTCTCAGCGCTTCTCAAGTCAAAATTTCCCGCTTTTGTTGGCCTTTTCATATTCTCTTTCTACCGCATTGTTCTTTTTTTCGGACCTTTCAAAAGTTTGTCTTCTCGCTCACGTTCTGTATGAGTTTCGTATGGCGAACGTTTATGGAAAACGGATATTTTGATAAGATAAAAACCGGGTCCACCGCCGCCCACTTGTATTATTAATTACCTTCGATTTGCCACGGCGATCGTGTCTTGTTGCGAACAATTTTTTTTCAATTTTTTTCATTTTGAAGGTCAAAGTCAGATTGTTTTTGTGGTCATTTCTTCATGAGAAATCACAAAATAAGGGCTAAAAAGAAGTTTTTAGACGGGAAAAGGCAAATGTCAGCCGATCGAGATCGCATTGTGCAAGGATTTGCCCTACAATTACACTTTCTACCCGAATAATCTCCTGCAGAATGACCAACACACGGTGAGTTCATTTTTTGCAATTTTTATTATTTTCGAGAAAAAGTGTAACGAATTGTTGAATAACCTGTTTCAACTTCTGTTAAAAAGGAAATATCTTGGAATTTCGAAATTTCAGGATACAACTCCCATTTATTCAAATCAGCTTTCTTTTATTATTTTTTTTCTGAATTTATTCCGCTTCCATGTTTTGGAAAATTTTTGAAATAGTCCATTTATAAACCTCATTCTCTTAGTTTCTTTCCCTATTTCAACTTTTCTGAAGCCGTGATGTTGCGTATTCCAACTTTTTTCCAAGTCCATCGTTTGGCGTGCCAAAGGCTTAGCATTTTGAAGTGGACTCAATTTAAATTTACACTGCAAAAAAAGTTCTCCCTCTTTTTTGTTTAATGAAGGAGCTTTTTTTGAAGGTGAAATCGTTTAGTTTTTTTGGCTTTAGATCATAAAAAAATAGAAAAAAAGCTTAGTTTGTATTTTTTTAACTTTCTCATGTCAAAAAGCTCATTTTGTGTGAAATTCTTTCCTCAAGAACCATAGGCTAACTTTTTTTCATTTCAGTTAATTTCCAAAGGGGATTTCGATCATAAGGTCATTAAAAAAATCACTCTAAAATCTTCAAAAAAAAGCTTGAATCTGACTTAAAAAAATTTTTTTCAAAACCTTTGGTCAATTATTATGAAAAAAAGCATACAGACTGATTCAAAAAGGTGTTGAGGTTTAAATGTTTCTTGGTGTTTTTCAAGATTTCGGTGCATTTAAAAATTGTTTTGAATAAGCAAAACGGAGCAAATCTCCTTTCAAATGAATCGATCCATTCCGTCAAGCCTTTTCCCAAGCCACTTCGCTTCGTAATTCGCGAAAAAAGTGATACAAAAGGCGGGGAAGACTTGCAAAACGGAAAAAAGAGCCGACCGGGGCCCGTGTTTTTGAGGGGAGACGAGGCAAACGGCGTGAGAAATGGTCGACGGCGGCGCGTCCTTTGATCTTTCCGTCCCCCAAAGTCCGTCCCGAAAACCGTTAACGAGCCACATGCGTTATCGCGTTCGGCTCGAGACTCTTTTTTTTTCTTCCCCTTCAGTTCGGGTTTTTTGGGTGAAGTGGACGGAGAGAGGTTGAATGGTCATTTGGAAGGTATTAGTGAAAGGTCTCTTCAAAAACAAAGAGTATGGATTGGGTTTATTTGGTAGAAAGTTTGCTCCATTATATTCATTATAACTCAATTTTCCGCAATGTTTCAAATACTCTTCCAGATTTTTTTAAATTCCAAGTTTTTTTCAATCTTCAAGAGAAAAGTGGACGGGTGAGGTTGATTAAGTCATTTGGAACGTTTTATCAAAAAAATGTTTTTTTAACTTAAAAGTAGAAATAGCAATTTTCGAACTTACAGAGAAAATTTAAAAAGCACGAAAAACAGTAAAACGATTAATTTTGGGCTCAAAGATCAATTCATACTAAAAAATATTAAAATTTTCATTGTTTTGCAGCCTAAATTGCTCCGTAGAAAAATCGTAATTCTTCATAAAAAAAAAAAAAAATTTGGTCCGGCAGCCACCCTTTCAGGGCTAATGAATGAAAGGGAGTAGTAACTCAATTTTTTTCTCTTTGCAATTGGAATTCTGCTCCTAATTCAGTTCATTCAGCTCTCACCGTTGATTAAAACGACTAGAAAAACGTGAAAAAAAGCTGGATTTATCGTAGTCGCTTCGAAAATTCCATTAGGAAAGGTAAAATCAAGAAATTTCTGAGGAGTGTCTAAAAAAATGTTCGAAAAAAACTTTCGGGGATTTTTTTATTTTACAGATAATTTTTCGTTTTGAAACAAAAAAAGAGAATTTCTGAAAACGAAAGTCTACAGAAAGTAACGAAAAATTTCAAAGAAAAAGGTAAATTCAAAAAAATTTGTGAAACGGGAATGAGATGAAATTGTAGTTTCACCTTCGTCGTGCTCTAAAGTGTCATAAATCGATAAAAAATAAAATAAAAAAATTTTTTTAATCAAAGTCGATTTGCTTCAAAATAGGTTTCAGCATAGTTTTATCAAAGAATTCCATTTTCGAATTGTTCTCATTGGAAAAAAATCTTTCGGTATGAGAAAATAAATTGCAATCAAAGTTTATTTTTTTCACTCGAATTTGAAAAGATCTTTTAAAACATATTTCAAGTTCTGGATGAGTTCCGGATAGTTGATTTTGCAGCTACAAACGCACACGGAGCACTTCAAGCCGTTGATGAAGACCAAGTGTCATCCGCACATTCATTTCTTCATTTGTTCCGTCTTCGCCCCGATGTGTCCGGTTTCGATGCCTCAGGCCGTCACCAGCTGCAAATCCGTCTGCGAACAGGTAATTTCACTGTTTAGGGCGGATGGGAAGGAGAAAAATGAGTCGTTTTATTGGAAATCGAGTAGGAATGAGGTTGAGCATGATGGTTTGAAAAAAAGTTCCAAAAGCTCAATTTACTTGACTTTGTACGCTCTATGGCTAAAAAGCTACAAATTACCGTTTTATGTAATAAACAGTTTCGAAATTTATTTTTGAGAAATCCGTATCAAACTATAATATTCCGAAGTACTCGGAAACAGTTCCAATGAGTCACAAATAAAAAAATTATTAAATTTTTGTCATTTTTTTCATTTCATAGCGAGTATTTTTTCGATTTTTGAAGTTTTCCTAATGAAACTAAACTCCAACTTTCGAATTTTTTTCATTTTTTTCATTTTTTTTTTTGAAGCCAATCTTCAGTATTTCTAAAATTTTGGTTTTTCACACAATTTTTTACACTTTACACTGTAACATCTAAGAAAATAGAACCTTTTAAAAATGATTCATTCAAGTTCGAGAAAAACATATTTCAAGCTGGTTCTCTCAAATCACCTTCCAAGAAGCCTCACGCTGTCCACAGTTTCACTGACCTGTCCTAATTGGATCAACAGTTGACATGGGCCTTAAAAGGAGCAGCTGAGCCAACGAAAAGACGGTTTCCGGGGCGCGAGTCCGACGGTAGCTCGGGGGGCACCTGGCGCGCCAGGTGTTAAGTCCGTCTCTCTGGCCGCTTGCCAGCCGCCCCGGCAACACGTGTAAACAGTGACCTTATTTGACGCTTTCGTTTGTTTTATGCTTGATAGGGATTCTCACGCTCAAGTTTCAACTTGGATGATATGGAAAATAAGGGAATAAAACGGAATTCTTTGGTTTTGCCGCGTAAAACATAATTTATACACCTGTAAATGTTGTGAGACGATCTCAATTTTGAAAATTTACACATAAAAAAGGGGAAACGGACAATGAAAAATTAATTTTCGACTTAATGATGATAAAGAACCTTTTGTTGTCCCAAAATGCGCCTATAACTTCTTTTCAACAAATTTAAATTGAATCAATAACGGTTCAAATTTTCAAAACATCTTATTCAGTACAAGTTTGAATAGTCTGACTAGTCTGCGCTCTTTTTCTCTCACTGGAAAGTTCATAGAAACTTGAAAATGCTAAGAGTAGTTTTTTGATGAAAAGGAGCTTTCAATGACTATTAGAAGTTAAAGATTCAGAGGCCGATTTATAAGGTTTTTTTGTTTCAACGGTTCATTTATTCAAAGAATGTATAATTTCAAATTCCGCGCCAAATTTTAGCTTTTTTTGTAAAAGTACGTAAAGTCACAGCTTTTTTATTTGGTTTGCTTGAAAAGTCCGTTCATTTTCAAGTAGACTTTAGGATACAGGAGAAAAATTTCTACACGTTCGAAATTTCATCTCAGTTCCTTCACATTTTTTCAAAGGATGATTTTTTTGAGGTCAGAAAAGTTCGAAGAAAAGCTTCCGAAGAAAAGCTTCCGAAGAAAAGCTTCCCAACTTGGAAATTCCATCTCAAATACTCCAAATATTTCTGAATTTCCTCTGCTTCTGAATAACTATTTAGGTGAAAGCCGACTGCGTATCAATCCTCGAAGAGTTCGGAATCGGCTGGCCGGAGCCGCTCAACTGTTCGCAGTTTCCAGATCCTCCCGAACTCTGCATGAAGCCCACTGAAGATGAAGTCCTTGGAGGGTACTTTTGTCTAGGAAACATTTTCTGAATAAAAGGATTTTCCTTGAAGAATGCCGCCTGTGGTCCGAAAGCCGTCCAAGGCGAGTTCCTGTGCGACGGACCTCGTCGACGTCGACCCGCTCGATCCGAAGGCCGCCTGCGCTTTCGGCTGCAACAGCGACGTCATGTTCGACCTGTCCAGCAAGGTTTTTAACTTCCTTACACATAAAGGTTTCATGACATTGTGTAGAGTCCAAAAGTAGCTTTTTTTGTAAGAAAAAAATTTTTTTAATTCTCTTTCAATTTGAAGCATTTAGTCATTCTACTTGAGCATTGCTTGTTGCAAGTTTTTTTTTTCGAGATTTTCGAATGTTTTCTTAATTTTCGTTTTTGGAAAGAGTCTGTTTCAATTTAATGATGGATTTTTCTCAAAACATTAAATTTTTTTGTAACCTGTAAAAAAACTTTTTCAGAAAATGGCGACCTTCTGGTCGAAAGTCTTCGCCGCCGTCAACGCTGCTTTCGCCACTTTTTGCCTTTTTGACGTTCGTCATCGACAGGAAGCGATTCAGGTTCCCGGAAAGGTAAGGGCATATTTTTTTCTTCTCGTTTTGCAAAAAAGATATATCTTCTCCAATATGTTTCTCACTACGTGAAGTTTTTTCCTAACTTTTTCTGATCATATTTCAACTTTGATGCCTCTCCGATCCTGTACCGGTCATTTGACGGTTTTCTTCTTTGAGAAAATTTGAAACTTCCATATTTCAATTAGAATATCCTATGATTCAATTTTTCTTTTTTTTTCGATGATAAACACTTTAGATGAAGCAAATCTATGGTGGATCTTCAAGAACTGAAAAAAACAATTCAAATATCAAAATGCTCACTCATGTTCGTTGCCTTCAGATGCGTCCTCTACCTGTCGCTGAGCCTCCTGCTCAGCTCGCTGCCCTACCTGGCGCCCCTGGTTGCCGATCGGGACTCCCGGGCCTGCCAACGTCTTCTGAACGGGCGCTCGCACTTGGTCTACGGCTCGCTGGACAATCCCAACTGTCTCGGCTCCTTCGTCCTCGGATATTTCTTCTCGACGGCCGCCGCCCTTTGGTGGCTCATGTTCTCCTTCACGCTGTAAGTAGGAATAGTCTGAGATGGGCGGTCCGCAGAAAGGAAAAACGAAATATGACCACTAAAAAAGACTTCTAAAGACTTTTAGACTACTATGATCAGAAGAATTTTGAAGGCAGTAATAATTTTCGCATATTTTTTTTAGAACTATGATAGATTTTTTTTTTCTTGTTTTTAACTTGATTTCACAGGTACCAACAAGTAATTTTCCAAAAAAAAATGCTCTTTTCCGCTTTTTTGATTTGACGGAGCTGCTCGGTCCATCTCTGGCCGGAGTACTCTCGAGAAATTCCATTTCGGAAGACAATTACTGAGGGCATTTGCAGATATTTGTCCGGCGGCCGAAAATGGGTGCCTGAGGGGATCGAGGCCTGCAGCAGCTACGTTCATTTCGTCGCCTGGGGCTTCTCCGCCTTGGCTACCACTGTAGTTCTGGTTTTCAACAAGGTGAGGATCTGAATATACAGAAAACATATGGTTTACTCAAAAAAGGCTGAAATGGACTTCAAACGACGGGAAACGGGCTGAGAAAACAACCATTTTTGTAGAATTTTCGCGATTTTTTAGTAGCTGAAATTAGCCTGGCTTATTCAGAAAACTGCTAGAAAAAAATAAATTCAAAAAGATGCAGAAATGGCTTGAAAGACAACTTTATTTTTGTGGAGTTTTCATGAATATCTCATTTATTTGAAGCTAGCTGATGGACTTGAAAATTAATTAAAAAAATGCGCTAAAAAGGACTTGCAGGAAAATTTTCTTGAGGTTTATTTCATTACGAAAGGCAGCTAAAAAACTTGAGAAAGGCCCAAAAAGGCTCTCGTATCTTTTGAATGTTTTGTTAGGCTCCTTTCTATATCTTCTGCATCTGACACTGATCAAATTGATTGAAGTTTTGATTTTTGAACGATTTTTGGACGATTTTCAAAGTCTTACTTGAGATATTAAATTGTAAAACACTGTTTTAAGATGTTTATCGAGATTTTTTCAACCCTGAAAAGAAAAAAGAAACATTTCATCCAAAAAGTCTTTGTCCTCTCCCTTCAATGATAACTCCTCAGTGACAAAACAACTCACGCAACCAATCACAATGGCCCAAAAAGAAAAAGGTCAACCCTTTGAAGAGCCGCCCCGGACAACCTTTTGGGAGAAGAATGAAAAAAATACATATTTCTCTAACATTCTCGGCTCGTGTCCGTTGTGATAAAAACGCAGCGTAGGTATGGAATGGATGGGTGAGAGGATACATAAAAAGTTATTGGCCGTGAAATTTTCGCCCCATGCAAATATTTTTAGGTGTTGCTCGGCCCGACCCCACAAAAACTTGAATTGCCGTTTTTTTTTTCAAGGGACTGTTATAAGCTTAAGAAAAATAGCGGAATTCGTGAATCTTGTATTTTTTTTTAGAATTTAACACACGTTCTCCGAGATTTTCGAATAACCGTTGGTACAAAAATTTCATCTTTGTTCCTGAGAGCTCTCCTTGCTATCATACATAGTGAACAACCTCTCGAATATTTAGAACCAGGATTTATTAGGCTCCGCCCACTTTCAGGCTTACTGTAGAAAAAATATCGTAAAAATCAAACTTTTTTCCTAGTGGAGCAAATTGGTTCAAACCAATTTCAAAACAAAATATGTTCCCATATGAGCATTTATAGTTATAGAACTGACCGGGAAAAAATTTTCTTCCAGAAGAAAAAAATTAAAGTTTTTCGGAAAATGACGATTTTCTCAGTCTTTGAGCCATAACTAGTACTAGAACCCCCGAATGCCTGGGTTTTTATTTTTTCAATCGACGCATTAGGGTCTTGTGAGTAGAGAAAAAATGTCTAGAAACTCTGAATCCGGGTGATCCAGTTGACCTCCATCTCGGAGAACGCGGCCAACTTGAAAATCGCAAAAACCTTTGAAAATTTCTATTTTTTTGTGAAAGCCGGATTCCGTCTTGTTTCTTATTTTTTTGCTCAACATAACACAGCTTGCTGCAAAATTACAGCTCAAAAAGTAGCGAGCTGGAACCCTTTGAAAAAAATTTCTGACATTTTTTTCCAATTTTTTTCGTTTTTTTCGGCATTTTTCAAACTTTTTCGCTCTAACTAGTACTAGAACCCCCGAATGCCTGGATTTTTATTTCTTTAATCGACGCATTAGGGTCTTGTGAGTAGAGAAAAAATGTCTAGAAACTCTGAATCCGGGTGATCCAGTTGACCTCCATCTCGGAGAACGCGGCCGACTTGAAAATGACTAAATTTTTAAAATTCAGTTACTTTCTTGGGAGCAGGATTTTTCCTCACTTTTTTTTGCCAATAAGACACAATTCGCTCAACGCAAAATCGGAACAAAAAAAGTTATGGCTCTCAAGCATGAGGAAATTCCAATTTTTTTCACTTTTTTCGGATTCATTTTTTTCTTTCTGTCCTCTCCAAGTATTGAGCTCTACTGGAATAGGATGCCCGGAAAGTCTAGTGTTTTTTCGTCGTACTGATCCGTTACATCTTCCTAAGCTCATTAAAAATATTCCCAAGCTCTGTTTCCGGGTGATCCAGTTGACCTCCAAGCAACCGAAGCGGTCGACTTCGAAGTCCAGCTAAATTAAAACTTTTTTCAAAAACGTTTTTCTGCTTTTTAACCAACAGTTCTCATTATTTTGAGATTTTTCAGTTAAGTTTCCACTAATTGCTAGCGTCAATCTTATCAAAAAGCTTATTTTTATTGTTGTATTTTTATTGCTAAAAATTTTTTTTGTGACGCAGCACCAGCAGTACCCATGTTTGCCGAATAATCTGGAATACACTGGTATTTCTCCTAAAAAAAAGTTCCAACTCACGTTAAGCCACAATTCACAAAAAAATAGTGACTAATATTTTGTGGGGACAAATGTAGCCCCTTGTAGGGGCCGTCGAGGGAGCCCCTAACTCAATTTTCATTGGGGCCCTGAAAATCGGGTTTAGGGCTCCTACAGGGGTTAATTAAAAGGGGCCTTATAGGGGTTAGGATCAAATTTTCACTAGAATTCGCTTCTTAATGTTCGACCCTAACTCTTTCAAACAACTCTTCTTAAAAAAATTTTTTTTTTAAATTCACTCCCTATAGGGGCCCCAAATCGTTTAGGGGTTCGAGAGAAGCTTCAGGGTCCCTATCGGGGCCTCTAAAAATTTTTCCCCCTGCGGAGGCCCCTAATTTACGCCCCTATCAGGGGCCCCCTAAACACACACAAGATTCTAAAAAGAAACTTCACCTGAAAATTTCTAGTTTTTGAGAAAAATTCCTAACGCTTAATAAAACAATCACAGTTCTCAAAAAAGGCCATTTTTCGCACCTGAGTTCTCATTTCCTGAAGACAAGTGAGTCGTTCAGGTTAAAACTTTCAGGATATTTTTCTGGTACATCGATGAGTATTCTATAAATTTTTTAAGAACTCTTAACCACCTTAGTAAATAGACATTTCTTATGAGTAACTTTTTTCGATTAAAAACGAGTTTCTGAATTTTTTCCTATTGTTAAGTATAGAAACTTAACTGAAAAATCTCAAAATAATGAGAACTGTTGGTTAAAAAGCAGAAAAACGTTTTTGAAAAAAGTTTTAATTTAGCTGGACTTCGAAGTCGACCGCTTCGGTTGCTTGGAGGTCAACTGGATCACCCGGAAACAGAGCTTGGGAATATTTTTAATGAGCTTAGGAAGATGTAACGGATCAGTACGACGAAAAAACACTAGACTTTCCGGGCATCCTATTCCAGTAGAGCTCAATACTTGGAGAGGACAGAAAGAAAAAAAATGAATCCGAAAAAGTGAAAAATTGGAAAAAAAAATTTCCTCATGCTTGAGAGCCATAACTTTTTGTTCCGATTTTGCGTTGAGCGAATTGTGTCTTATTGGCAAAAAAAAGTGAGGAAAAATCCTGCTCCCAAGAAAGTAACTGAATTTTAAAAATTTAGTCATTTTCAAGTCGGCCGCGTTCTCCGAGATGGAGGTCAACTGGATCACCCGGATTCAGAGTTTCTAGACATTTTTTCTCTACTCACAAGACCCTAATGCGTCGATTAAAGAAATAAAAATCCAGGCATTCGGGGGTTCTAGTACTAGTTAGAGCGAAAAGTTTGAAAATGCCGAAAAAACGAAAAATTGGAAAAATGTCAGAAATTTTTTTTCAAAGGGTTCCAGCTCGCTACTTTTGAGCTGTAATTTTGCAGCAAGCTGTGTTATGTTGAGCAAAAATAAGAAACAAGACGGAATCCGGCTTTCACAAAAAATAGAAATTTTCAAAGGTTTTGCGATTTTCAAGTTGGCCGCGTTCTCCGAGATGGAGGTCAACTGGATCACCCGGATTCAGAGTTTCTAGACATTTTTTCTCTACTCACAAGACCCTAATGCGTCGATTGAAAAAATAAAAACCCAGGCATTCGGGGGTTCTAGTACTAGTTATGGCTCAAAGACTGAGAAAATCGTCATTTTCCGAAAAACTTTAATTTTTTTCTTCTGGAAGAAAATTTTTTCCCGGTCAGTTCTATAACTATAAATGCTCATATGGGAACATATTTTTGTTTTTGAAATTGGTTTGAACCAATTTGCTCCACTAGGAAAAAAAGTTTGATTTTTTTACGATATTTTTTTCTACAGTAAGCCTGAAAGTGGGCGGAGCCTAATAAAACCTGGTTCTAAATATTCGAGAGGTTGTTCACTATGTATGATAGCAAGGAGAGCTCTCAGGAACAAAGATGAAATTTTTGTACCAAAATTTTTGGCATTTGTTCGATTTTCTGGGAGAATGCGTGTTAAGGCCTAGGAATCGGCTTTTATTTAAATTTATGAGCTAAGTGGGAATCTACGGAAGGATACATGATGATTTTTTTAGAATCACAACTTTTTTGGCAAGAATTAAGATTTTAGCGTCGAAACTCTTCAAAAAAAGAATCAAGCCCCAATTTTTTTGATAATTCTTTATTATTTTATGAGCTCATCTTTGTGGGAATGTGTGCTCCACGGACAAAAAAACATGATGTTTTTTTGGAACCAGATAAAAACGTTGAAATCACCAAGAAGTCTGATTTTAAGGTTGAAACTGGAAAAAAAGCAATTTTATCGATTTTTCGTTCTGAATTCAGATATTCCTAAGTTACTCTTCAGCCAAGTTTTCATTCAAAATATTTTTCTAAGGAAACTTTTTACCAGAGAAATCAATGACGATTTTTTTTTGTTCCAAACCAGAATTCTCGAGTCAGTGAGATGATATGATCAACTTGAAAAGGATCTTTGTCCGAAAATGTTGAAATAGTCAAGAAGTCTGATTTCTTTGCAGATCGACGCCTCGGAACTGACGGGAATCTGCTCGGTGGGCAACATGACGCCGTGGACGCTTCTGTGCTTCGTGATCGTGCCGCGGACGGTGTGCATCGTCGTCGGCGCCTGCTTTGTCGTCGGCGGATTTGCGAGCATGTGTCGCGAACGGATCAGCTTCCGGCAGAGGGTCCGATTCGCCTTAATCCCGTCATTCGAAACGGTGATTTAGGGTACCGACACGTCGCGTCTCGAGAAGCTCATGGTGAAAATGGGACTGTTCTGCGCCCTCTTCCTCATCCCCAACGTCATCGAAATGGTCTGCCAGTCGTACAACTACCTGGTTCTGACGCAGTGGAGCAAGGCCACCGTCCAGTGCAAGATCCAGTCGACGCCTTGTATCAGGCCGCTGCGACCGCAGGTGCTTTCCGAGAAAAAAATATTAGAAATATTGGTTTTAGAATTTTTTTTTGTTTTATTGGTCACTTTTTAAGACCCTGACGCCTCAAGAGATGTCAGAAGGCTACAGTAAAAAAACTGGCCTGAAAAAACTTCATTCAGCTTTAATTCGAGCTTACCAATCGACTTTCGTTCAACTATACTCCATATTTTGGGACTTGAAACTGCTATTTTCTCTGCGCCCTCCTAGTCTCTCAGAGACCCTCTTTTCTTGACGTGCTATTTTCATTATTCTCTGACGTTGACGGTGAGGGAACAGAGAGACGCAGACAGTCAAGAAGTGTCGAGTCGCGACGAACGGACTATAGACAAATTCAAGCTTGTGTACCTTTAAAGGAGCAGGAGAGAGTGCTGTGAAACGTTCAATCGAAAATCCAGTTTCCTTGAATTTACGAAATACCCAAACTTTATGTTAAGAAACATGAAAGTAATAATTCAATTTGCAGTCCGAGATCTACATGACGGCGCTGCTGGCCTCTCTCTGCACCGGGGTCTCCTGCGTCGTGTGGGTCTTCTCCTGGAAGACGATGCACTCCTGGAAGAACTTCATCTTCTGCGGCCTCTGCTCGACGTCGCCCTCGAAGACGTCCGTCGAGCCGTCGGCCCGGCCGCTTCTGGAGCCACCGACGGCGCCGCCGCCACAGCCCCCAGTCACCTACATGCCGATGACGACTGCGCCTCAGTCTTGGCGTCCGAGCAAAGTCCTCTGAATCTCCAGATAGTCCATTTCTCACGGCTTGAAGCTGTCGTCTTCGGCCCCAATTTGAAAATTATCGCATCCTAGAAAGTTTTCTCTGAAAACTGTCTTTATTCCCTGAACCTTTTCAAAAATATTTTGATGTGAACTTATTTTTTTCTTTCACATGAATTCAAATCCGGTTGTTTTAAGCCGAGAAAAAAATGGATTATACTTGACTTGCCTTTGTGTTATCACTTGGTTCAGCTTTACTTCACTTCCTGTTGGGTATGAATTTTTTATGGGGCTTCTGATGGATTAGTGTGGAAAAATAGTCGCAAGAAAAAGCTAGCTTGTTCATTTTGGACTTGAAAAATGCAGAAAAATCAAAAATAAGACGAAAAAAAAGTGGATAATAACTAAAAATCAAAAAGTAATAGAAAATCTTAAAGATTCAAATATTGCCAATTTTTTTTTCTCGGTCCGTTTTCTGACAAGAAACTCAAAAAAATGGGAAAAATTTTGAGGGTGCCCCTTTTCGAATTAAAAAAGTTGGACTCAAATATTTTTGATTGTCAATGGAGCACCAAAGCTCCTTCTTAAGCGGCTATTTTTTCTATTATCTATCACTCGCCCTTTTTCCATCTCTGTTGCAATATTGTTCTTGTCTTTGTATTCTTTCATTTTTTTTTCTTTCAATTTCTAGAATATCTCATGTCTACCATGACCCTACACACTTTGTCTCTAGTCTGAGCTCTGCTAACATGAGCAACATTCTTTTTTTCGATTTTCTCACGGGTTTATCTCAAACCATTTTCTCTGTACCTCTTCTCTAATGTACAAATCGCGATCGAATCTACTACCCTCTCCAGAAACGTCTAATAATAAATCGTCTGAGGAATTTGCATCGGCGGCAGATTAGTATCGAATTGGGTCTTTTGGAGAAGAAGAAGAAGGAAAAAAAAATGCGATGCGGCTCATTTCACACAAACACACACACACACATATTCACAAACGGACGGCGCAAAAATGAGAATAAATCTTCGGTCCTCGGCCCCCTTGGCGCGTCTTTTTCCATTCCTTTCTTCGTCTCCTTCGTCTTTTGTTCCGCATTTTGGCGCCAATTTCCAGAGAAAGGGATTAGGTTCTGTAGGGATTTGAACCACCAGATTCGAAATTAAGCTTGAAAAAAATATATTGCTCATGTTATAGCGCTAACGAACTTTTCGACAATACCTCTCACTACCATGGGGCGAGAAATGAAATATTATTTTGTTTCCCATTTTGGCACCAGAAGTTTGATAAGATTTTGAAAATTTAAAAGAATACAAAAAGGAATAAAAAGTTCAAAAAAAGTAAGAAAAAGAAGTTTTATTGTTCATGTTAGAGGTGAGAGCCACCTTGAAAGTATTGCTCATGTTAACGATTAATTTTTCATTTTTTTTTTTCCCAGACCAGAAAGTCAAAATAAGTCGGCAACAGAGCTTTATTAAAAAATGAGTATATATTTTAAGCTCAGGGAGGAGAAACTTCTTGGTATTGCTCATTTTATAACACTCCGTCGAAACGGGAGAGGTTATGAATTTTCTTCAATTTCATTGGAATAAACTCCTTTCTCGAGTTTTCTGCCTGGAAATTAGCGAAATGCTCCCACTTTCCAGTCCAAGTTCGCCTCAATCAATACCTACTGTGCCCCGGCCAAAAGACAGGAAAAACGTGCCATTTGTCTTGCGACAATTCGTTGACCCGCGTGCAGTTTTTGGTCAAAAGGACAACTGAACACGCAAAAAAAGCGGTTGGATAGGGCGTTGCGAAGAAAGTTTATTGAATCGATTTGGAGGAGACCAGAGGGACAAGGCGATTTGTGAAGACTGCCATCACTCACTTTGAACGATCTTACAGCCGTCTGGAGATCGTGGGGCGGCGAGCCCGTGGCTGTGGTTTCGCAGGATTAAAGCATTTTTAGGGGTTGATAAACTTAGAAACCCAGGTGAAAATTGAGAAGATTGTGCTTTCGGCTCCTCGGATGGCGTTCGGAAGATTTCCAGCAAGTGGCTAAACGTCTAGCATTCCGAAACCCTCTACTCACCTTGCGGAAGCCTTCTGGCGGGCATTTTAAATTTTTACCTATTCCGAGGCCTTCCAAATACCTTCTGAACACCTTCCCAAGGCCTTCCCAAGAGCTGCTCCATTAACCTTCCCACCTCCTGATGGCTACCTTCCCAGGATTTGACTGAGAAGCTAGATTACGGTCGAAGGACCCTTAAAAGAACGTACGATCTGCCCGCAGATCACAGAAAAGAACTTCACTTTAATCAAAATATTGGAAGAGAAAGTTTTTTTTCATCGAAAAATAGTGAAACCTTGAGTCTTTGGAAATTATAAGTCAAGAAACTATTCCCGTCCTACAGTAGCTTTTTTCCCCCTAACCCCTATACGGGCCACTCTGTCGTTCTAAAGTAGTGCTGGCTGTTGCGGCGGCTCATTTTTTATTTTCTGTACAAAAGTTAAAAATACATTTTTTGGTGTTTTTAAAGTTTGTTTAGGAACTGAGAAAACCATAAAACTACTGTAGCCCTGGCGTCCGACGTAATTCAAAACGGGGCCCTGATTTATTTCCAGCATTAATCTTCTGACGAGAAGCAGCTGCTTTCCATTCTTTTAATCATGGTCGACCAAAAAAGTTCGGCCTTTTTTTTGGAAGATTAATTGGCTTCAACCTCGCATAGTAATATGGCCAATTCACTATGAGTCTGCTTCAAATCGAAGTTTTTTTATGAAAAATTTATATTCACTAATGCTGGAGGCAATAAAATTTACACTTCTGATGTTCAAACTTTTTCTCAGGACGTCATGGATTAGGTTTGTGACAATTTGCTAAAGGTTGCAAAAAAAAACTCGGTAATCCTTCTTGTAGTGCACTATTGATAGTATCAGCCGAGTTTAAGATAAATTTTCAACGAAAAAGTGAAAAAAATTTGAAAAAATCATTCTTTTGAGATAAAACACAACAGTTCCTAAAGTGTTTATTGCCTACAAAGTTAAAAAAGAAAAACGGTACAAAAATTGAAAGGCGCTGAAGAGGAGCAACCCCAAGAATGGTAGAGGTACTGAAGAAGAGGCGACGGCGGCGGCCGCGAAAGGACAGTCGACGGCGTCGACGATCCGCGAGCAGACGCTGTGGCGCGACGCCAAAGGCGCCACCATCTGAAAGCAAAAATAGCATTAAAGGCATCCAAAAAGAACAAGATTTACCTTTTTTCAAAGTACTGTAAGGAAAAGTCACCAAAACATTAACAAATAGTGTAAAATGGTTCACCTGGGCGCAGACTTCGTGAACGCCTAGAACGGGCCGGAGATTGACGGTATACTGGACCCAGGACTCGACTTCGATCGTCGCCAAATGTTCAACATGGAGCTGAAGTGTCCCTCCACGGACGATGTACTTCAGATTGACCGTGTTGAGTCGCGTCGGCCAATTGTCCGCGAATCTGATGAGCACGTCGCTTTTATCACAGCCGTCCAATCTGAATACCTTCACTAAGGAGGGAAATTGTTCGATTTTTCTTAGAAAAGTATTCGGAGCCCTTCTTGATGTATATTCTGCTTTTTCGCAACTTGAAAATGCTCTTTTTCTCTGCTCTCTCCTCGTCTCTCGGCGACCCTCTCACGTTGACTTATAATTCAAAAGACAAAATTATAACGGAAACCGTGATCATTTCTAACTTTCTCGATAGTCTCATTGGGCTGCTATTAATTATGCCGAAACGAACTTGGTCTGAACCTGCAGAACCCGTTGCAGCCATTGATGTTCAGTACCATTCCGATGGAGCTGACTTGTCGGCTGAACGATGAAGGAAGAGCTGGCGTTGGCCCAAAACGTGCCTGAAATCCGCGTTTTTTCCACAATTTACTCTAACCTGTGAATTTCAACATTTGGTCGCCAAAACTCCGAGCCTACCTGAGACTTAATAAAAATTTTGAGATAGAAAAAAAAATTAAAAATCAAAAAAAAATGTAAAATATTTCATACACCCACTACATTAGACACTATGACCTGTCTGCGCCCTCTTTTCTCTCACCGGCGGGGTACAAAAGTATGGAAATAGCGCAGAAATATGAGACGCACCCGAGTGGTCCCTAGAGGGGCGCTTGAAGGTTTTCTCTAGGAAGCAATTCACGTCCCCTATAGGGACCACTCTAGCTTGCAAGGGTAACTCTTATAGGGGTTTCCGTTAGTGATACCTATAGGAGAGCATGCTCAGACCCTAAACCCCTATAGGTAGTACTTAAACTTTTTTCCCTAGAGGGGCTGTTTATCCGCTAACCCTCATAAGGATCACTCTGACGTTCCTAAGCGGCACAGAGGTCTCAGACTTCAATCTATTAGGGAAACAGCATACGCAAAAAAAGAGATTCAGACGTTTTCTGTTCCAAGGAGTGTTCAGAAACCGAAAAAGTCAAAAGATGACGTCACCGTACCGTATGCCCCGTTTCTATAGGTCTCGTAGCGAAGCGTCGATTTCCAGTCGATGACGTACCATTCGTCACTCGTGAATTTACACGCCACGTATTCCTGAAAGTCATTATGACGTCATAAGTCATGATATTGTATATAATGACGCCACTAAGGAAAAAAAAGTTCGAATATAGAGCTATGGGTAAATAAGTTTTTTCAAAGAGGGAACTTTTCTAGATATTATTACAGGCTATGAAAATATAATTTTTGAAACGTAGAAATTTTTTTCAAAATATAAAAAAATAGAAAAAAATCAATGAAAGCGAAGTTCAGATAAAGAAAGCAGTACACAAATTTGAACCCCTGATTTTTCTGAAAAATGGCATTTTGTCTAGAAAAATTAAAAATTAAAAAGGTTTTTTTATTGAATTGACGCCTTCATTCCAGATAGCTTCAAAAATAAAAAAAACAAAGAAAAAACGTTTCTGCAGCAGTTTCCGTTTGTAAACTCTACAGTGATATACAAAAAATTTAAAAGTTTAAAAATTAAAAAAAAAATGCAAGTTTCCTTAATTTTCCGGTTTCAAGGAACCTTTTTTTCTCGGAAACCCATGAATTTCTTGTTTTAGGATACCTTCCAGATTCAAAAATATTTTTTTATCGAATTAAAAAAAATAGTTTAATCCCGCAAACGCTTATGACTCATATAAAGCAGAAAAATTACCGTATAAGTCGAAGGGACCATCAAAATCGGGCAATTTTCATTGGACGCGTTGAATTTGACGCCGTCGACGTGTTTATTGACACTCATGGCCTCAAATTGAAGATTTTTCTATTTTTCTCAGAAATATTGAAAAACCTGTGATAAAACGAATAAATGTCGAGAAACCGAGTTCTGACAAGCTTCGTAGCCGCCCATATCGGGAGAGATGCGGTATTCCGATTGATAGCCCTAAAGAAGTCACTTCGAAAAAAATCAATGATACTATCTCCAAATCTTTTTATAAACAAGAGAATTATAAAAAAAGGGGTTTAATATTACCTTGGAAAAAAATATTTTTTTCTTCAAATTTTTATGGAAATTTTTTTGAGTTTCTTAAGTACTAAATTCCAAAAAAATAAGTCTTGAACTTTAATTTTGTAGATAATTATATCACAGTTTCTCAAAAATATGATTCTAGCGCATATTGACTTTCAAGTTTGAGTGGAAGATGAAAGTTTTTCAGAAGATAAACTGACAAAAATCAGCAACGGAAGACAAAAAATGTATAAAACTCCTGAAAACTTGACAACAAATATTAGGTTGGCATGAAAGAAATGCGGCTCGTTTTTGTCGGCTTCTAATTCATCCAAGAAGCAATATATATTTGGAAGGGTATTTTTTGTCGAAAAGGACTTGTTCTTGTGCGTCATTGGATATATAGTTTGCTGACGTTCATTCCGCCTTTCTAAAAGAAAAATAGATCTGAAAACTTCCTTTCAAAAACTGTATTCGCGGACCTAGTTTTCGCGTTATTTCAAAAAGTTCAAATCAAATTCAGAAGCTTGGCACCTTTCAATATTATGATCACCATTGATGCTTTTTTCTGATAGTCAACATTGCGAATTGCTTTAGCGCTATTCACTAGGCGAAAAGACCTTTGAAATAAAAAAACACGAAAAAATCGACGATAAAGGCGATTTTAAAAGGCCATTAGACTGGATCCACAACAGACGCCTGTGAAACTGGCTCATCAGTTATTACACACCCATATCTGCAAAAGAAAATAGTTTTTTCACGCAACGGAGTGCAAAAAATAAGAAATGAAAAATGGCTTCACAATATCGCTTTTTCGCTTTTTTGCAAAAATCTGTTAGCCCAAAATCAGAAAAATTGTTCTGCGAATTTCTGCTTTTTCCGCTACAATGCTCAGACATGGCTCTTCGCATTTATCATCTGTCCGAATCATTGGATCGCTTAACAGCCAAAAAAAAATTGAAAAACTTCGACGAAGTCCAAATTTGGGGGTGCAACTTCTTTGACTCGTAGGCGGCCCAGTTTGTCAGAGAGAGTATCCATTCTCTGCGTGAGCATTGTTGACAAGGTGCTAATACAGATAGAAATTACATTTCGAATTGATTTGTAATGACCTTGTTTTTATGATAAAATTAAAGGACATCAAAAACACGCATTTCTTTCCTGCCACCCTAATATAAGTGAGTCCCCTGAAACAGTTCAAAAAAAAATACTACAAAAACGTCTAAACCTCTTCTTATATACACTGTTTTGTTGAGAAAACCCCAGACAATATTTTCTTGAAGTTTGATGAGCCACTTTTCTGTTTCAAGCAAACCTTGAAAAGAAGCTTGCAGGAAGTGGAAGTGGCGAGCTGGCGCCAAGAAACGAGCACCTCGCTTTTGAGTGACGTCGTCGACTGAAGATCTCTCATCTCGTCCCTCAAAATCCAGATTTTTATCTTTCCTTTCAAAAATGTGGCAAAGTAGGAAGTGTATGGATAAGAAGGTGAACGTCCTGCGCTCAAAAACCGTCTTTTTCAATCAGAAGAAGTGCGAGGTGATCTACACGCCCTACTTGATCAACGACAGTTTCGCGGACCGACGAACAATTTTTCAATTATTCCAAGAATCAGCAGAGAGAAAATCTTCTCTGAAGACTAAAAAAAATTGGTAACTTCTTTGGGAGATTTCATCCACCCATTTTTTGTAGGTTTTCAAAAGCTCAATCATTATGAAAAAATGAAAATAAAAAAAAATTTACTATAGGCTATCAGGCTAAAGGCGAATAAAGAAAGCCTTTTTCCAGCCTTTGTCTACCTGCGGTCCCTACTTTTAGAAACTTTGGAAGCTCCTCCTATCTTTGCCAAGATTTTTCAAGGCCCGTATGTTTTAACCCAGGAGGCTAAAGAAATAGTAAAACAAGAAAGAAGAATCAGAAGATTAATGAAAACACAAAAATTCGAAACCTTTTACGAGCCGCAAAAACCTTGAAACCTCTTTTCATCTTTCCCAATAAAATCAAAAATTCATTGACTTACTTGAGATTTTTATTAGAACGAATGGCGACGCAGAATTGTGTCGGCTGTTGGAAAAACTACAAAAAACGAGTGAATAATTAGAAAAAAAAATTTTACATTCATATTAGCGTGAGAATAGGTCGGCAGGTGAGAACAAATGTCGACGGAGACGTCCTTCGCAACCTCGGCTTCCAACTTTCTTGCCCATTTTGCTGGGAACCAGGCTGAAAATCATAGTTCATAGAAAACTAACTTACAAAGGATTATTTTAGTTTTCGCTCGGAAATTCCTTGAAAAATGAAAAAATTTTGAAGTTAGCGAGCGACTATTTATGAAAGACTCTCTGAATTCGGAATACTCACCCGCTTTTAAAAGACTTATCAGATGAAATATGCCACAATGAATGCATTTCGAAACATAATTAGAATTTTCCCATCTGAGAGACAGGCTTTTTTTCTGGTCTCGTTTTGACAGGAAGAAGCATACATTTCAATCTTGATGAGGAACGCTAGGATTAAAAAAATGTCGAACCAAAAATTTAGCTTTTTGTTTTTTCATTCGCCGTTTGTTTTCCAAGAATTTTTCCAACTTATGCTTTAGATGACGTTAGTCGTTTTGTATCTGCCAGTATTGTAAAATGTCGATTCACGAGATCCATTTTTTTTCATTAAAGGCTTTTTAAATCAAACAAAAGGTATAAACAAACCGAAAAGTAGTAAGAAGAGTCGCATGTTGAGTTCATCGACGTGTGGAACAAGAAGTAGTGGAAGAAAATTCGCTTTAGGCCGGGTGCCAAATTCCGAGGGAGAAAAGGCACGTTGGGAAATGTATGAAATTAGGAGGGTTTCAGATGGACGGCGGCCGTGGCTGATGAGAAGACAATGTCGTCTCGTAATTCGGTTATTGTTGTGTGTGCGGCGAGAAGCCGACGACCCGACGCCACCAATCAAGAACTTCGACGCCTTGATGCACTCTTTAGATAGTGGGACTGGCTCCAGTCGGCTCGGCCCCTTCCTCAATTTCCTTCCACAAACAAGGCCTTTTCGACAATGCATCGAATCAAGCCGTTTTTCGGGGGTTTTTCATCGGGATTGATGCTTTTTTGTCGAAACGGCTGTAATTTATGAGCATTTTTGGGAGAGAAAAATGAGTGCACCGGTTTCGAATGACCGGAAAGGTGGCAAGTCTGAAACACATGAGAAATTTTTGAACATTCGAAGCAAAAAGCCGTTTGAAATTTTACTTCAAGTCGTAGTCTGGACTTTCGAGCAGATTATAAAATAATAAAAATGTGTAATTGTTTTTAAGGTACATCATGCAGTGGTACGTAGTGGTGAATGAACTTGCAACTATAATTTGACGCGCATACTTTTCTATTTTTTTTTGTTCGTTTTCTTAAGTTGTCTAGCTTTTAACTGATTGGAGGAATAAAGTTAGACTATTTTTCCCTCCTGGCTCAAAAAAAAGCCACTGACATTTAAATATCAAAAACAAACGTTAACTTTTTTTGGAAACTTTCGGTCATTTCTAGTAAGATGCGGCGCTTTCTAAAATCTCCGTGAGTTCTATGGAAAATAGGGTTTTCAATAAGAAGTACGGAATTTCTAAATAAAAGTTATGTTTATTTTATGAATTAATTTCAAGGAAGTTGAGTAATTTGATAGTAAACATCTTCATTTCCTTAAAATCTCTAAAAAAGAAGATAACTCAACAAGACACATCAAGATTTCAAAAAAATTGAGTTATTGATTGAGATTGAGATAAAATATTGACACAGTGTGAGCAAAATTTCTTTTAATTTCATAGATAAGTCTGATTTTTTTATCTTATTGGTCTTTCGCAATAAAAAAATTTTTATTCAGGAAAGTTATAAGTAATTTGGCGTTGCAAAAAAATGTTCTTTTTTTCATTTTTCAACTTTAGATTCTCCTTTGAAATACCCGGAAAAAGCCTTCTTTCGGCACTGAAAAAAACATTAGCATTGTAGGAAAGCGCGCGCCAATCACAAGCTTCCCCGTAAAAAAAGTTGAAACCGCCGTTGTAACTCATTTTTTTGCTGCCCAAACCGGTTTTCCAGTAAAGTAAGTGTCTGTTCTCTTCATTTTTCTACTTCAGTATTTTGCTGTAAACACCAAATTTCTATCATGGCTATTTTAACCCGATTCCTGCCATTTTTAAAGTAACAAATGAATTAATTTATAGTTAATTGAGATAAATGTTTAAGATCGCCAGAATATTGGATTGAGCGTTGGCGGTCGCTCTTCTTCTCTGTTTTTGCGAAGAAGCCGTTGAAGCCAGTTCAAGCGCCGGTTTTTGAGCCTCCCAAACCGCCGGTTGTACAGAAAGTCGAAAACAAAACGATGCACACTTCTTCAGTTGTTAAAGCGGTTAGTTTTGATGCATTAAATAGAATTTTGAAGAAGAAAAGTGGTTTAGGCCGCGGCCCGAGTCCCAATGATCAAGTTCCTCGGGGCCAGACATCCTCGGCCACATTTTGACCGATCCTCTTTGCCTCCTCTTCAAGTTTCCGGTAATATTCAAGGTGAGAAGACTTTAGCAGTTATGAAAAATAATTTTGCTATTCCATGTATTCAAGGTGTTTAGTAAAGCACAATTACATTTAAACAAAAGCATAATTTTTCTAAATTTTAATTTTTATGGCAAGAAGGCTGCGCTCTTAATTATGCAACCCTTTTCAGATTTTTCAACATTTTATCTTTTTTCCTGTCTATTTCACTCCTTGTTGACTGAATAGTATTTGCAGTTGTCATAGCTTTTTTGGCTCATGCAAATGATTGAAATCGAAAATTCTTGTTGAAAATTTTTTCTAAGCTCATTAATAATTTGTGAGTTGTAGAGGTTTTCTTTGTGGAAGTATGCTTTGAGCGTCTTTTTTTTATTATTTCCTCCCGGAAACAGCAAATGAGGCATCCTTATTATATACAAAACCATGTTATCCATCAATAATGTACAAATTTTTTTTCGATTTCAGTGGCAAAAGCAGAGCAATCGAACTCCCCGGCCAAGGCTTCCTCGATCGGCTCCGTCGGGAAACTGCCGCGGGGCTCCGGAATCGAGGAATCGCAGCTCCCGCAAAATTACCGCCGACGGCCGATTTCCGAAGAAGAGTGCGACGCGATCAATGTTCGTTGTTGCTATTTTCGGGCCGTCGGTTGCCCTGGTGACCTCGGACGCTTCCTTTCCTTTTTTCTTCTTCAAGAAGAGCCAGCGGTCAAGAAATATATAGTTGTTTCACTTGAGTCAAAAATTCTTCGCGACAGATATTCGTTCGCCGCGCTTCCTATGTACCTTTAAACTTCAACTCACTTTCGAAAATTTCCTTCAAGTTGCTTACTTTCCTTTTACTGTGAAAATTTTTAGTGGCGACTGTAGGGTTTTGGCGTTTTATTGGCCACTATGGTAATCGTATGAATGGCGGCTGAACAGGCTAAAATTTAATGGCCTCTTTAGGAGTGGTACTGCTAGACCTATAAAAAGTACTATAGCGACCACTTAGACGCAATTAAGTGGCTTCCATAGAGGTGGTTCAGTGGCCACTCCAGTGTCATCTCTAAGTGGTCTATGAGGAACCTCTTAAGAGGAAACTAGAGTTTTTTTCCCAGTAGTGTTTTTCTCAAAAATCGAACACAAAAAAATAAAAAAATAAAATTTTTTTCTTTTTTTAACCTTGATTTTTTTCAGTCCGGCTTCTTCTACACTCGATAATCTCGTCGTCGAACAATAGAAATTCGTCTTCATCTTTTTTTTTTAGAACTTTTTGGCATAGCTTTATTATTTTTTTTCTCAGAAATTTTCTCGATGTGCTCAATAAATTCTCGGTTCTTCAAAGTTTTCTTTTTGTTGTGAGAAATGTTTTCAACCGTTTTGATTTATTACATTTGCAGTTTCAAAATGGAACTCGCTTATTTGAACTTTTGGTTGTCATTTCTCAAAATAATTCTTGGTTTAAATTTATTTTTTTCATGTTTTCAAAGGCGATTCAGCCTTCCAAAGTTGAAAATTGATGAAAAAAAGGTTTTTTTCTTTGATTTCTGATTTCGGAGGTTAGAAATTTTCACTCATATTTTTCGTACTTGAGAAATATGTCATTATTTTTAACCCTCTATTGAGTTTTCTTTTTAAATTTTGCTTTCATTGTTCAGAAATACGCCCGAATAGTCTGTTTCAAAATTATGCAGTTATTTTCGAGGTCCAAAAGGGATTTTATCATGATTTTTTCGTAACTCACATTAATTTTAGGCGTGTAATTTTTTCAATGTTCGAAATTTTCAGCCAGAATGGCCTCTTATAGAGTAAATAAATTTTTTCTGAGATCCAAACAGCTGATCTGTTTTTCGAACTAACTGTTATTTTTAAGCTTCCTCCTCTTTGAATTCCGCTTTAAAATTTCGGAAATTTGCAGCGAAAAGCAGGTGAATCTTGGCTGAGGAATGACGTGAGCGTGATCAGCTTCTGCCCGTCATTTCTCCAGCAAAGAGCCGATGAAAAACGATGACTCGACCTGGTGGGTTGATGTTGTTGGGCAAGGACGTGACCAAAAGGGATCCCAGGAGCGGGATCTCCGAACAAGTCGGCCTCGTCATCGACTCCGCCACCACCAACAGCGCCCAGGCGGCCCTCATCGCCAAGTTTGACTCTTTTTCCGGGCATTTCCATTTGATCAATAGCTTTTTTTCGCACGAAAAACTTTTTGGTGGAACAAAAATCCATTGAAAAAGCCTTGAAGTATTTTCGCAGAAGTTTCGAAATATCGATTTTAAGGAATTTGTTATTAAGTCTTTCTTCTTATATAGCCGATTCACGGCTAACTTGGGACGATGAGGGGCGTGGCGTGTTTGCGCTCTCCACCAACCAGGCACTATCTCTTTTCTTATCGTGTCGGGACCCATTTTTCGATGGCTCAAGTCAGCCTGAATCAGCTATAGTTCCTTTTTTCCGATCTGAAAGTCGAGAAGGATTTATTGAGAAGGATTAAGCGCTGCGTGTGCGACGCGGCTTGTTGGCAGGAAACTCGAGATCAAATTTAATCATTGAAAAATGTAAAAATAAATATTTATTCGCAGACTTGTACTGTGCCATTTAGGTTCAGACTAAAAAAGAAAAATAAAAGCGATATGACACTTTTAATTAACTTTATCCTTCTTCCGTTCAACCGAATTTTCTCAAGCCCATAAAAATTACAATTTGTTGAAAACTGTCGAAAAAGAAGAAAAAAAGTTGGCTCGTGTTTGACCTCGAGATCCTCGCCAAAAGCCGCGTCGCACACGCAACGCGTCACTCTTGTCAATCAGTCCATCTCGTCTTTCAAGTCGAGAAGGATTTACTATATCCAATTTCATTTTTTCAACTGTTCTAGGCTTGAACGAGTTTGGACGGAAGCAGAACGACAGGAACTGTATGATTCCTTCGGAGGCAAGAAAAAGAAGGGCGTGCCGAACAGCGGCATCAAAAAGCTCCTGTCGGCCTTGGAGGTTCTGAAAAAAGTCCATCAACTCGAAAAATAATCTTTAAGGAGGAAAATACGGACGCGATGATGTTGCTGCTCTGCCGGATAGTTACAACGCTTTTCGAAGTCGTCAAACAGGAAGGTTCGTCTGAGAATGATTGATCCCCAGAATCATCTCTGACTCTCCGAAATTCAGTTATCTTTTTCATCCTCTGACTGCTACTTTGAACTTCGCGGAATCAGTTTGAAAAAAGCATGAGAAAAAAAATTTAATATTCGGGTGTTTAGTCTGAATACTGAATAAATTGAATAAGACCGAATAAATTGAAATTGAAATCGGGTGTTTAGGCCGAGATTTCTTGAGATTCACAGGTTTCCTCATTTGATCAAATGCTAGAAGTTTTTTTTTTTAGTATCTGGCCGGAATTTTCTATTAAAGCTTTGCTGAATTTTATTTTCTGATCAAAAAACAAAAAAGTTTTCGTAATTTGGATCCTTTTTCTTGGATTTATGCCAAATTTTTTGAAAGTTCCAGATTTTCCTGAAAGTTGCTGATCTTTCAAAATTCTCAAAAGCACAAAAAAACGCGTTTTTTTAAGCTTTTTGAAGCGTCAAAAGTTGAGTTGCAGTTTTTTTTTTCTTGTTCCAGTTTTAAGAGTTTTCGAGTGAATTTCTCGTATATTTAAAAATCAAGTTTAATATAATTAATTCTCTCTCAAAAAACTCTCTTTCTACGAGATTTTCTCATTTTTCTTGGTTCCTGATTTTCCAAGAATTGGTTTTCAGATAATTAAGGTAGGAAATGAATGGATTTTTTTGCTATAATTTTTACTTGGAAAACATTATATTGCTTTCTTTTTCTGGATTTCTTTAAAGTGGTTTCAAGCTTTTTAACAGCATAAAAGATTAATTTCAGCCCTATTTGAACTAATTATCAATCCAGTTATCTTCAATTTTGTCACCACCACTTTACAGTTGTTCAGAAAGTTTTAAAATGAATAAAAGTCCAAACTTTTAATGCAGATCCTTTGAGAGATGACTATAGCTCGTTTAGAGAACATTTTCAGGCGATAAGAAAAAAGAACGGGGTCTGATCAAATCGGACGTCGTTTCTACGTTGGTCCGGGTGATACGGGCTCGGTTGCATCGGATTTCGGCCTGGGAAAATGCGGAAAGAACCGTGGATCCCGTCCTGTTCCAGATGCTCTACGATATCGGTGCTAAAAGGTACCCGGATTTCCATTTTTTTGTCGATAATTGGGGCAATTTTTCTTTCATTACTGTTTCTGGTATCCTCCAAATCTCAATTCTACTTTTTTTAATTATTTTTTTACGAACACTCTGTAGGTTTTTTTGGGCTGAATAATCCCATTAATGATCAGTCAGGGGCGTGGCCAACCAATCAAAATCATAGTTCATTAGAAAATTTTATATTTTTATTTTTTTGGAAAAAGTGTGAAATAAATATATTTATAAAAAAACCAATTTTTACGTTTTTTTCTAGACAACCGCCTATGCTTGAAAGTCCGTGTCGGAGGCCTGCTGAACGTTTTCAGCCGAATTTTCTGCAATTCCAAGCTCGAACAACTTCCCCGAATCTACTACCGTTTATTCATCACTTTCCTGCGATCCCGTTAGTATAAAAAGAGATTTTTGGGATTTTTGAATAAACCACAGAGGAGCAGCAAATTAAAAAAAAATTGTGTTTTTTGTCTTTTTGAATGAAAAAACTTTGAAGTTTGGCATATGAAGTCATCGATTTCCCTTCGAACTCTTGAAAACCTTTTTTGCAGCTCGAAACGCTCAATGGATGGGTCGTCAAAAAGCGATGATGACCAAATTATTGTCGAGTATCACGGTTTTGGGACGTTCCGAATCAAGCGCCGCTCTTCTGGATCAACACCTCCAAATTCTTTATCTCTTGGCTAAAAATCGGGAGTTTTTTTCTGTTTTTTGGGATAGAAAAGTAGCATTGAAATGTCTTGAAACTGTACAAAAACGTTGGAAATCTCACGAAAAGCAAAATTAAAAGAAATTAAAGTTCAGAGGGATCCTAAAAATCGATTTATACATCAAAATGAAAATTATTCTTCACTATTGATCGTTGTTTTTGAAGTTATTTTAGCCGTTCCTTTTCCTAAAAAATAACTTTTTTTTCGATTTTCAGGAAGAACAAGACTCCAACTGATGAAAGACGGTGTCGTCAAAGTCGCGATCGAGATTTTGTCGACATTTCTGGCGGCTCAACACACGATTTGCGCCCGATTCTTCTCCGGCGGCTTTTTCGGATCCTCGGATTCGGATCAAATTCGCTCCGCCCAACTCGACGTCATCATTGGGACTATCGCCCTTCTGAAGACTCTTGCCAATAATCGTTCGTTTTTGAGTTTCTTCGGTGAAAATAGGGCTGTTTTAAGCATAATTTCCCTCCTATCATAATTATAAGCGAACGCACGTATCGTCCCAAATTCCTTAAATTTAATTAAATTTTTCAGGGAAAGCCCGTGATGAAATGGTGACACTCGGAGCACTGACGATCTGCGAGAAAGAGCTCAAAAATTCGGGCGAAAAAGAGGAAAACGACAAGAGAAAGATCAAAATCCAGGTTTTCTGCCTGAGTCTGAACTTTGGAATCGTCTGTGCTGACCTCAGGATGGTCTGTGCTCCCTAAGCATGAGATGTCTGCCGAGCTCTCAGCTCCCTCTCGAAAACGTCAAGTCGCCCGTCGGATTCTCCCTTCCGGCCACCTGCAACTTGCCCAGAGACAGCTCGTTTGACGACATTCGGAGCAGTGGCGAGTTTCTTTCTTTTCCTAATCTCAGACCAGGCAAAAAAAATATTTGTATAGTCTGTTCAAATTTTGAAAGTCGAGTTGTCGCTCAAGCTCCGCCCCAATAGCGCTATGAACCAATCAGAGAGCGAGCCAACCACAGCGCGTTTTCGAATGACGTCATTGCACTTGACGTCCAATGCCGTGTTAAAAGTGATTGAGCGAAATTCAAAATAGCCGTTAGAGAAGGAAAAATATAACTGTAATTTTGAGGTTCAGAGATGGTTTTGAATTCTCCTGAAATTACTTCGAAAACGGCGTTAAATCTGAACAGACTAGAATGACAGGTCAATTAAAAAAATCATATGTAAAAAGTAAGTATTAAAAAGTCATTTTTTTAGGCAATAGGTCTAATTTGCCAGGGCTTATTGTTTCAATTTTTTTATAATTTTTTTAGTAAGGCCTATAAAAAAATAGAATTTGTTTTGAAACCGCTTTATGGCAAAAATCTTGAAAAATTTTTTTATTTTTTTCATGGAATTTATTTTTTTTTTTTAAATTATACATTGAAAATGTTTGATTCCGTCGTTTTTTTAAAATTAAAAACCCCCTGAGCCATTTTGCAGCATTCAAGTTTTCCCTACACAAATCTCATGGATAGACTTTTTTACCTCACTCTTTGACTCCATTCTATTTTTTCGTCCGAGTCCATCGGGAAGTATCTTTTTTTCCTTAGTTTAAAGTAACAGCAGTTGAAAGTTGTGACTATCGGGCAAGGATCACCAAAACAAATTGGAAATAAAAAAAGAAGGGAAGAGAAGAATGAAGTGTACAGATGATGAACGGGTCGAGGATGACGAGGACTTCAACAACTCCACGTCGATGATCGAACAAATCGACGACGACGAGGAGGAGAAGGTTCGTTTCGAGAAGGTTTCAAGACCATAACGAAAATTTAAAAAATGCATTTTTTTTTTTGCTCATAAGTTTTATTAGTGAGGCATTTTAGTAGAATTTTTTTTGTTGTAGAACACGATTTCTAGAATTTTTTTTGAATAAACAGAATATAATAACTCGGCTAAATTTTGAGGTACGGTAACTCAAAGGATTACGGTAAAAAAACCTTCGAAAATTCATATTCAAGATCAAAGCCTCTTTGTGGCTCAGAATAGATGAAAAGTATATTTCAATTATTTGAGACGTCTTTTTTCTTTTTATAAGATTAAGTACCGAAGGCAAGTTTAAAATTTATATCTTTCTCTTGTTCTAAAAATCTAGCCTTCCGACTTCAGGAGAAGGAAGTCGAGGACGATGAAGAAGAAAAAGAGCCGCCTCTTCCGAAATTATCGAAACTCCCGCCGGCGAAACTCGCCCGCTACGCGCCGATTTTCACGGAGTTCCAACTCGGATGCTCCCGGGCGTCGACTTCTTCAGAAAGTCTAGAAAGTATGAGATACCTTTACGAACAGGCACACAAGGTTTCGATACCGTAATCTGCAGAAAAAGGAATTTTCCTCAGGCGACACATTTCGTCATCCCGATTGCTCGATGGGTTCCTGGTGAGCTTTTGGCCGGTCTGGAACCTCGCCAGAAGATCGGACCCTCGAGGAGTATACTTAAGTGAGTACTCCGCCACTTGAATGTCTCTGGTCGCATTTGGAATGGATCAAAGCATCTTTTTCGGCGTGTCAAATTCGTTTCCAGTCGGCTGTAATTTTTAAAATAAAACCGCGGGGCGTTGAGCCATTCCCCGAGCGACCAAAATAATTATAATCTCTATGAACCTTATTTATTCCTTTTTTCTTCAAATTGTTTAAGCTGTTTACCTGTTCAGACCGGCTAATTTGCGACGCCTGCCAAAGAAAAAAAGAAAAATCCTTCTCTCGAGATATCGATCGATAAAAACCATTTCTGAAAGGCTTTTTTTCTTTTCTCATTTTTCCTTCTGGGTATGTGACAGAGAAGCTGGCAGAAAAAAATGATGAAATATATTATTTTTAATGAGAAAAGGTTGATTCTTTCGGAATTTTTTTTTCTTAAGACTGTCACAAGGAAAATATAATTTTGAACTTTTTGATCAGGTTTCTTTCCTTTGTTCTATGAATTTCAGACCGCGGAATTTTTTTTTCCTCAGAAAGTTAGATTTTTATTATGAGTAGTAATTATTGATTTCCTGGGTCAAATTTTAAGCGGATTTACAGTTTTTATGAGGCTTTAATAAAGAAGTACACGATCAGCAGAACTCGGTCGTTTTCTTTGTAGAAATTCATTTTTGGCAAGTTATAAATTGCGACCACCTATAAAATGACCATTCTTTTTCTCCGTCGCAAATAAATAAATACCGGGCGTTTCTTATTCTTAAATTTTTTCCAGCTTTTTTAACCCCTTTTTAAGTTTTTGAATTTTTATTATATTCATAAAATCTTTCTTTTGAAAAAAAACGACGATATGAGAAATTCATCATAATGAACTTTTTTTCATTCCTTAGAAAATTAATCTTTTTATTATAATTTTTTTCTACAGTTTATGGATCTTTATTACACCAAGGAGCAAGAGAAAAAAAGTTTTATCTTTATTTAAAAGATTAATTGAAAAAAATAATCGTTTTTTTAAACGTCCGCACTCTATAGAATGGTATTTTTATGATTTCTGTAAATTTCTCTAATTTCATGTTTCCTTGCCTTTTTTTCTGTTATTTTTTTCTTATTCCTCTCATCTCCAGGAGTAATTATATATCTTCTAATCTGTTATTTTCAGAGCGATTGTGGTAGAAACGATCGCAAAAAGCAGAAGTGGAAACAGTTTCCAGCCTGTGATCGTGTACAATTTGGACTTGTTGACGTGTTCCGAACCGCGGCTGCAAGTTTCCGAAGATCCTCCTCTGGGCGAAGTAGATCCGTCGCTTCCCCTGGCCTTTGAGAGCCGATTCGAGAGTGGAAACTTGAGATTGGTCACTCAGGTTTTTGGCCTGGTAGTTTACAAGAAAAGGAGTTTTTTTGAGGTGGCGCCATTTCTTTATGAGCTCCTCCTTTCGCCGGACATCAACGAAAGGACCGACCATTTTCAGTGGTTCTATTTTGAGGTCAGGGGTCAATGTTCATTTTTATCATTTTGTCGATTCCACCAAAAAGGAGGCAAGAAGAATGAAACTTTTTAATTTATTCGATATTCGAATTTTTTTGCGGCTCAAAAAAATTTATTGATCGCGGTTTCAAGAAACCTATTTTAAAAAAAATAAAAAAAGTTTTTTTGTTCTATTGTTTGCAGAATTTCGAAGAGTTGGTTTAGTAAAAACATTATTATAAAATTTAGTAAATATGAAATAAATATAACTTATTAGGAATCGACTATTTTTGTTTTGAAATCACTTTTCGCTTTTTTTGTTCAGGTCTCGAATATCATGAAAGATGTCACCTACACGTTTGAGATTATCAACGAGATGAAGGAGTCTTCGATGTACCGAGAAGGTATTTTTGATTCCGAGTTTGAGCACAATGGATCTTCAAACTTGAAAAATGTTGGCTTTTTAGAAAATTTTTTAGTTTCATTTATTAGATTTAATTTCTAGAGGAAATAAGATGGTTTCATTTATTTTCAGTTAGGTCTCAATAGCGCGATTTCTTAAAATCAAGAAAAAAAAAATCAAAGTTGTTCATATATTTAATGGTGAAGCTTGGGCAAATCAATCAATCAATTCACCTTTGTTTTGTTGTTTCAACGAGGAACAATTTCGTTTCATTTTTTAAAATCTCATTGATTATTTCGGACCAACCGTTGCTCAGAATCGTTTTGAAGTGAAAGTGGCCACTTAAGGTATGCAACCGGTGATGCTGTCCCTGATGGAAGCCGAGAAAGAAGCCGGCGGCTGGCGTCGTGTCGGCGAAAACGTCTGCTACTACCGCAACGGCTACAAGAGCTCGCAGATCGACGAACAGACCGGCGAGGAGAGGAAGAAACGGAACTACTCCTCGCTGCGGTTCGACGTCAAGTTCCGGCATTCGGGCGACGTCTGCTACTTCGCCTACCATTTCCCCTACTCCTACTCATTCCTCAATGTAAGGGATTTCGAAAGCCACTGGAATTTAGGTTTTCATCAAAGTTGCCCTACTCTTTTCTCAATCTCGAACCGGACGTCTCTGAGCACTTCTAGTGACCACTTTAGCGGCATGAAAACTCTTAAGTGATCTCTAGGATTGCCCAGAAATGTCCAAGGCGCATCCAGTTTCCGAGATGAAGACACTTCGAAGTTTCAGTAAAAAATTAGGGTTCGACATTAACAATGTCAAGTAGAAAAATGAAAAGGAATCATTTTATTTTTATTTGGCTTTCAACGATGTCTTGAAGGCGAGCCTGAGGATTTTGCTGGCCAGAGCGTCGGTCCTGAACGTGTTCGTGAGAGAAGATGTGATGGGTCTGTCGCTCTCCGGAAACCCACTGAAGATTCTGACAATCACGGCGCCTGGAAGTGCGGAAGACGTGGCCGCGCGGTCTGTGGCCGTCATCAGTGCTAGAGTTCATCCCGGGGAGAGCAACTCCAGCTGGATGATGCATGGTGAAGATCATTGTCTTGGATAAACTTATTTGATGATAAAGGGAGTTGTTAGACTTAAAGTTAGTGAAATTAAAAAAAGTTTGAATTTTAAAATTTGGATATCAGGTAAAGCGTGGGTCAGCAACTAATTAAAATATCCTCATAGTTTTCACTTTTTTTTTTTCAGTTTCGTAGTCAAAAACCAATAGTAACAATCACCAGGTCTGCTGGAATATCTGACGACATCGACGAGCGATATCGCGAACTCGGTCCGCAATCAGTTCGTCTTCAAAATCATGCCGATGTTGAATCCAGACGGCGTCGTCAACGGAAGTCATCGCTGTTCTTTGGCTGGCGTTGATTTGAATCGGTGTGAAATTAGATTTCCAGGCTTAAAAATATTTTTTTGTATTCTAGAACCTGGGACAGGCCGGATGAGATCACCAATCCGGAGATTTTCCACGCGAAAGGCGTTATTCAGTATTTGGTTGGTTATGAAACATAAAAATTGCACTTTTTTTCAAAACTTGGCCCTGAAAATTCTTTGAATTATCAGGAAAAAAAATCCGAAAAATTTTCTGAAATTCTGTTTTGGAAGAAAAAGGCTTGAAAAATGAGCAATTTTTGACAGTTTTCTTTGTCTTTTCGTCTTTTCAATTTGAAATAGGAGTTTAGTAGGTTGAGATCCTCAGGACACCAAAATTAAAACTCTGAGCAATTTTTGAAAAATTCCGAAGAGTATAATGAAATTAACTTCTTTCAAAATTCATCTCAAAAGGTGCCATTTTACGAGATTTTCACCAAATTTCAGTGCGAAAAAGTGAAGAAACCATTGATTTTCGTCGATTTCCACGGTCATTCGATGCGCTACGACACGTTTGTCTTTGGCAGCAACCCGAATTTATCGTGGCGGAAAGAAGATCAAGCCGTTCAGCACCAACAGAACGAGTGCATCTGGCCGGACATCATGCAAAAAGTTTGTGATTGAAGAAAAAAAGCTTGTCGTTAGAATTTTTTTAGAATTTTTCTCCAACTTTTTTTCTAGGTTTTGGTGATTTTTTAAAAAAAGTATCGAGTAGTGGGAAATTTATAGAAATCATCAAGGAAGGTACTAACCGAAATTTTTTTCAGCTTTATAAGGAGTTTCGACAAATTGGATCAATTTTTTTATTCAAAAAAATTATTTTTTTGTAAAAAGTTTCTTTAAGGGCTCTCTCAAATATGAAAAAAATTATTTTTTTGATCTTTTTTTGGAAAATGTGGATTCTTTTTCAAGTCGCTCGAACACGAGCTTATATTAATTATTAACAAACAATACTTTAAAAAAATTAAAAAAAATCTTTTTTTCAAGCTAGAAATGAAAAAAATTTAGTACTTATCGTCGTATCGATCGGCCTTTGCTGAAAATTTGCGATTCCGGATTAATTTTTTTATTAGATACTGAAAGCTAAAGGCTAGGATTTTCAGAAAAAAAAAGTGAAAATTTGCCCTTTTTATATAAATTTCAGAAGTAGAACTTCCTTAGTTTATTTTTTTCAAGCTGTTTTTCCCGACTTTTCTATTCCAGTTTTGAAAAATTGTTTCAAGAAGTGAATTTTTACCTTCAACTTTGAAGCTATAACCAAGACCTCCTAATCCATTCTTGCTACCAAAAAGGTTAGAAGTGATTTCCAGACTTGTCCCTTGTTTTCCCGGGACAACTGCGAGTTCACAGTCGTCCGGAGCAAGGAATCCTCGGCGCGGGTCGTCGTGTGGCGCCAGTTCGGCGTCACGGCCTCCTACACCCTCGAATCGACCTACTGCGGGTTCAGGGGTCGCGATTTGAAGGGAACTCAGGTCAATGCATTTTTCGACAGTCATAGAATCTACCGAAATTTTTAATTTTTAAAGAAACACGTTCAAAAATTATAACTTTATATAAGTGCAGCAAACCTTCAGATATTCCATTAAATTTTCTGAAAGTCGCAGAAATTACCGAAATTCATACAATTCGTTCAAAAAGTTACTTCTGAACACGTAGAGGACCTTCATCACCTAAAATTATCTTTTCCTCGAGACCTTTTTTTTGAAATCTACCCATGCTCCTTTAACACTGCGAAAAATCCAAAAACTCCTATATTTTAGAAATGCCTTCGAATTTTGAATGAACAATTGAATTGGCCGAATTTTCGGCTTTATCTTTGCTCACTGCGCAGAAATTTGCTTATCCACCTTTTTGAAATAAAAAAAAATCAATCATTTTCAGGCGACAACCAACGATTTGAAAAAAGTTGGACAATGTGTCGTCGAATCATTTTTAGAGGTAATTTCCTTCCTCATTCCCAATTCATTCCAATTTTTTTTTCAGCTTCTGCAATTTAAAAATCGTCTGTAATCATTTCTTATCTTGGATTGTACGAATACTACACAAACTCTACGGTACTTGGAATCTTTTCCGTGATCTCATTTTCTTTTTTGTTCATCAGATTGTCACAAAAACGTATTCTTTTTCGGTGATTTGTACACATAATAAACGTCATTTACATGTAATGTAAGATATTATTTATTTCCTATAATTTTTTTCTCTGTACAATGAAAGCGTTTCTATGATATTTGTACCCGTTATTCGGAAATGTGATTGAGCATTTCGAACCGTAATAGGAGTGGAATATGAAAACCGGAGAAAAGGTCAGATCTTGGCCTCAAGTTGTAGGGAATTTTGGAACTTTTCACAAAAAACACAGGAATCGACGAGGCGTGGGAGTGTCAGGGAGAGCATTGGCAGGTAGAAGAAGGTGGCGAAGACCCAGCTCGTCGAGGAAATCACCACCAGGAACACTCCGACCTGAATTATTGATTGAAGTTGATAATCGATCGATAATGGGTCTTTTTTCTGTTCCTTCCCCTCCTCACTTGGTAAAAAGCATGGGTCTTGGCGAAGAGCATGGACGCGCCGGCGAGAAACGAAGTGAAGGCGGCCAGGGTGACGGGCCCGACGCCGCGGACGGTCGCCTCGCGGATCCGATGTTTGGCGCATCCGCCTGGAAAAGTCTCCCGTTTCATGAATATTCAGGACAGATTCTGGTACGGGAAGGCAGGGCGGCGCCGTAGTGGAGGGTGTAGTCGAAGGAGAGGCCGACGACCAACACGAGGATGATCGCCTCGAGGACTCCGATCACCCAGCCGAGTTGGGTCACGATCCCCGACGACACCGCGATGATGCACGTTATAGTCACGACGGCTGTGAACGCCTGAATTTCCCGATGACAAGGGAGGCTTGGGATCTCTTCGAGATGGGATAGCGTTTTTTGATGTTCCGAAATGAAATCCTGAAAATCTGAGACTGCAAAACTTCCTAGTTTTCGAGGAAGGACACCTCAAAGTTGAGTCAATTCGAATTGACCACCATCGGCCGAATGAAGGTCAACTATCCAACCTGGGGGAATTTTCGTAGAACTATTTTTTCATAAAGACAAAGGCTCAAGGTTTCATAATCAGGAATAGAAGTGGGGGGTTCTTGCTCAAGAATGACTCAAAATTTGGAAGAAATTGTTGTTTTTAAGGAAATATCGACTTTTTTCCTAGGAAGAAATCAAGTTAAAAAAAATTTTGTACAGAAAATGCTGAAAACAATGTTTTTCTTTCATATCTGAACAATTTTGACTGGAAGTTTTGTTTAGGGAACATTTTATTTTTTAGCCTACTGTCTACAGTAACCAGAATTTAACGAAAATCGAGCTTCAAAAATGGTTCAGAAAATTGACAAAACGAAAAAAAAACGACTTTTTTAGAAGTTTATGCATGTCAATTTTCTAGATCAAGTCATTTTTTTGATTTTTCTGAACCCTCTGGCGAATTTTCCTCTTTTTCCTTGAACAGTACCTGTAACCGAAGCTGGATGAAGGCGAAAAGCGCCACGAAAGCTACGGATCCAATCACAGAGGATAGACAATCACTGACAATTGATTGCAGCAAATCGTACCTCAAAAAAAGTCTAAAGATTCGGATTTTCATCGAAGCATACCAGGTAGACATGAGCCACCACTCAGGAACCCACCAGCCATTTTCGGGCCTCAATTGGTCGAGAAAATCGAAAGATTTCGACAATTGGGAAAATCGATGGTTGTAACGGAGTTTCGTCGGGAACATTGCCGTGTATCTAAAAAGAAATTCAATGTTTTTTTGAATATTTTAAGAAAAAAATGGAGAATCTTTCATAATCTTATCATCCGAAAATAGCTACAGATATGCTCTTCAGGTGAAATTTTCCTCTTTTTCCCCCAAAAACTCCAATTTTGCACTTGTTATGTGAACTTTTACCTCAAATCGGTTCAAAAAGGCTACAAAATGACTGGAAAATGAATAAGAAAGGTTCGGTTTTTCAGTATTTACCTTGTACTGTTTGGAACAGCTTAAAAAGGAAAGTGAAATGTTTAATAAAGAATAGCTTTTCAAAACCCGTTTCGAACTGATAGGTTTTCTGAACGGGAAGATTGAAAAAACGGTACTAAACGGGTAATAAACCTTAACAAGTTGAAGAGAAACTGAAAAGTTATCGAAAAGGGTCCAATAGAATTTTTCCGATTTTCGCCAATTCTGTTAGTTGTCTTCTGGATTATTGACGATCATATTTTTCAATGTAGTTTTGAACTTTTGTACATTACAAACGAACCCGACGAGAGCAAAAGTGCTATTGTCGAAAATGGGCGTGTCGTTGTAGGAAGTGGGAAGATAAGTGGTCGAATTTCGGAGGCAAAAGTCAAGGTAAGAGTTGGAAAACAAGGCGTGAGACATGTTGCAGCACAAGAATCTGTAAAAATGGTATCTAACTTCTTCGAAAATTCGGAAAAATGACCAATAAGACTGAAAAAAGGGTTATAAAGTAAACTTCGGAAAAAGTACTGATCAATCTACTATCAAAAACCCTAAAATTGAAAAATCGAGAGCTCACCCTTGAGAGCAGGGATAAGCCAGAGACCAGGCCAAAAACCGTTCGGGCCAAAATGGGGCCTCATGTTGGACAAAGGGTAAACTTCGGAACTTGTGCAAAGTTCCGGCCAGGGATTTGACCGAATCCGAGTTTGACAGGGAGAACCCTTCATCAGACCTGCAAAACATGAAATATTCGGATTTCAAGCTATTCTAAGCTCACATCAAGGGAGTCGTGGCAAACGTTTTGAAAGTGGAAAGTGATTTAACGGGCTGGACGCCCCAGACGACGCGAGCCGTCAGCGGAATAGCGATTTTCGCCGCGACAAACTCGAAGTTCTTCTCGGCGTTGTTGTCGTACCTGAACAGGTAAGCAACTTGTTCATGAACTCGACAAAGGAAAAATGAAGAGAATAAAAAAAATTTCTCTTCTTGCATCTCCGATTTTCGAATGCTGCGTTTCCAAAAGCTTTCTAAGGTAGTTCAAATAAAAAAAGGTGACCTCAAAAAACAGAAAAAAATTTTAAAAATGAATTTTCTCAAAACCAACCACTCATGCAGGTTCGAGGAGGTGAACAACTGCAAGGGATTGTACTCAGGTAAATGAAGCCCGTCCCAGGTGATCACAGCGCCGCCAATCGCGGCGATCGTCAAGAGGGACAGATAAATGTAGCGCCCCTTAAAATTGCAAAGATAGAATTTTCTTTATAAAATATTCAAGATGGAAAAATCTATTAAAAACACATTTTACCGTTGTCCTCATCTCATTTATGAATTTTGAGAGTTGTTTGTTGGCTGATATCTTCATACGCTGAAGTCAATGAATATCCACGAAAGTAAGTCATAGAGTGAAGAAAGATAACAGAACATTGGAGAGTTATAGATCATTTGAAACTTCAAAGTATTGCTTCGAAAATTACATTGACTCTCATTCTGAAGAGTTTAACCAGCCGTTCAAAAAAGGGCTTTCAGCGGGTTTGCCCGTGAAGATGGTAGAAAATTCCGTCCCCCACAGCCGGGTCATCTTTTTTTCCGTGCACCCGTTGTTCTCCCGACTTAGCCCAACTGAGGCTGAAATAGCTTCAAAAAAAAAAAAACAGGTGTTTTTAAACGGGTAAACCCATTGGCCTTCCTGCTAATTAAGTTAACGAGTTAATCAAACAAGGGCTCTTAGCGGGCGTGCCCGTATCGAGCCCGTAAAGCTGCTAGAATATCCGGCATTTTTACCTCAAATTTTCGAAAAAAAAAAGTATCTATTTTTCTTGGACCCGTTTTTTTCCGGTATCCTCTCAACTCAAATACCCTCAAAAAACACTTGTTTGGTACGGGTACATCCGTTAGGACACCTGGCCAAAGATTTTCTTCTCACCTGAATCAAAACGTGAGGAAGAATCCTGTGAAGAAGGTGAGAGCACTGGGATTTGAAGAAAATCGGCGGCGATGGGATACAATCGAGATATCTGATTTTGAAGAGAACTTCTCAATAATCAATCGATAAAATATTACTTTCGCTGAACGAGAAGAAACGCGGGCAAAAAAGAGACAACCAGCAGGTAATTGATGATTACTGTTACACCGGCAAACAGTCCGAAACACCTTAAGTTTCTTTTTTTAATCGGTTATTTTTTTAATATCAATTCTTCTTAACGAGAAAAACTCAAATTTTTAAAAAAAATAGCCTTCTCTGTCATATATTTCGAGTGAAACAGTTAAGTAATTTCACCCCTATCAAGACCAAAAAACAATAATTTTCCTGCAAAGAAGCGTCGTTTTTAACATTTAAAAACGACCAAGAACAATAAATCACCTATTTTTCGGACGAAATCCCAGATTTAAAAATTTTATTATCAAATCTTTCAATTTTAGTGAAACTAACCGAAAAGCGACAACATTCGAGGTGACGTTGATGAAAAACGGGACGGCCGTCGAAAATGACGTCAGGAACATTGTGAAGGCCGTGTGCATCAGACACTTCAAACATTTCCATGGATTTCTTGTTCTTTTTTTCGGTAATCTTCATGAACTTTTTACTTTTTTTGGAAATTTCCATACGTAAGACAAGTCAATTTTTATTCGTGACGACTATCTACCCCCCTTATGAAAAAAATACGAACCTCATGGAAGGAATCCTCATCGATGTGAGTCGGGAAGTTGGTTCTGAGGAGAAAAGCGTCGTCCGAGCCGATGGCGATCAGAAGAACGAATGTGACCAAATTGAGCAATGGAAACTCGTCGGTGAAGATGGCGTAGAAGGCCAAGGAAGCTTCAAAATTGGAACCTTTCATTTCAAGAAGACTTTCAGAAAAAATGAAATATTAGGTTTGAGATGGTATTTTAGAGAAAGCCAAGGAAGCTTTAAAAAACGCGAAAAGATAATTTTTGAAAGAGAAAAACTTCATTGGAAAAAAAACGGCCAAACTCAAGAATATGTCTATTTAAAAGAAGGAAATCTCCTATCAGGCTACTTTAATACAGAAAGATGGGGAAAAGCTTAAAATTGCGATAATAATTATTATTCCAGGGCTTTTTCTGAAGTACAATAGCCTATTCAAAAAAATCTTTTTTTAAACTCTAAATAGGAATAGTTTTGCAGTCCTTTCACCGCGGGATGACCTTTTTCGCGCGTCTGCGTCTCTCTGTTCCCTCTCCGGCGCGGTCAGAGAAACACGAAAATAGCACGTCAACATGAGAGGGTCGACGAGAGACGAGGAGGCGCAGAGGAGTCCTTTCAAGTCGCGAAAAACGGACTATTCGGCTATATTCTTTCCTTTTTATGAACTCTCTGCCGTTCCGCCCATCTGTGCGGTCTACAGATGTCAATTTCTCACCGAAAACCGACAGAGCGAGTAGAAGAACGACGGCGAAGGCGTATAGAAGAGATTCTGAATGAATAGCCACGACGAGCATCACCAGCAAGGCAGCGACGATGGCTAGGTAAGAATCCTAGAAAAAACATCGATAAAACACTGTTTTTCCAAGGATAATAACTTTGATAGCGGCTTCAAGAAGTCGATCACGTTTTATGTCCATCAAAAGGCCTGGAAAAAACAAAAAATTCCCTTTTTCCGTTTTCAAGTATCGAAATGGCTTATCAAAAAATAGCACTAGCGAAAAGTTTGAAAGTCTTTTCAAAATTAGATCTCTGTGAAACTTATCTTCGCCTGGAATTAGAAAAATATTGAAAACTTTGATTTTCACTCCGAATTTTCATTTGGTGAGAATATTTGGGGCCTATTTTAATCAAAGCCGTTTCACAACAAAAAAAAATTTAAGAAAATGATTCGGCCAAAAAACGATATGACTACGTTTTGCACAGACTCTTACATCTTTTAAAAATCTCTTCTCCAAACTTCAATCATAAAACCCTTCAATATACGTGGTCGCATTTGGAATGGCTCCAAGCGTAGCGGTTGGAAAAATCTTTCTTATTCCGCCACGCGCAAACCGTTTCGAGTCAGACGCCGCCATTGAGATTAGAGCCATTCCAAATGCGACCACGAAACTCCCAAAATGGTGAACTGATCAAATAAGTTCATTTTCGATCTTCAGAAGATCAGTAATGATTTTAAATCGAATCTAACTGCAAAATTTTCGAATAATTGATACGTTTTCCCTCCCTAGAAAATCACACCTCTAAGTTTCAAGTCGTTTTTCGACGTGTAGGCGACGATCGAGTTTTCGAGGTCGTCGTAAAGTCGAACGTTGATTTGAATATTCTGGGTGATGTAGCCCGTCAGGGTAAACACGGGTAGAAACGTGTTGAGTTGAAATGGCCGTGACGTCATCGACTTGGGCAGAACACGGTAGAAGAGGTCGAAGATGATCTGACTCGAGCATTCAACTGGGATCCCTGGGAAATGAAGAATCATCATTTCGGGGATGTTACTTCCTTCACAGCTACCGTGTGGCATAAACACTGTAGAAGTGTCTAGTCCTCTTTTTTTTTGCGCACTGTTTCAATAATTATTTAGAAATCTAACTTGATAAAAGATCAAAAGAGGATCTTAAGACACCAGCGAAACAGTTATATACTTTTCCAAAGTCTGTTTTTTCCTCTAACCCCTATAGAGGCCACTCTGGAGTTCCTAGATATCCATTGAAAGAAGATAATCACCCCGACAAAATTCGCACTTGACGTTGTCAGTGCACTTGAGTTTGCAGTCGAAGATCTTGGGCCGGAACTTCCAGCAGGTCTCGACGATCGGCCGGACCAGTTTCAAGTCGTCGGCGTCGAGTTGGGAGCAGTTGACCCTCATGTTCGGCGAGATACAGGAGAACATGTTGGCGACGCTCCAGATGTTGCGGTAGGGCGTGAAGGCGTCGAACTTGGCCAGCGGCTTGCTGATGTTCCCGTGCATCTGGCAGAGTTTCTCCAACAAGTTCAGGTCGTAGAGCTGCTCGTAGTCGTCGAGTTCGATTACGACTTGGGAGAGGTGGTCCACTGCAAAAGTATTATGTACAGACATTCTGGGACCTTGTTGACGGAAACGGGGCGTTTCTGAACCTTTCTAATGACCACTTTAACGGCGTCAGCTTTCTTAAGTGATCCCTAGAATTGCTCAGAAAGGTAGTGACCGCAAAGCCACGCCCCTTTTCGCGATAGAAAAAGTGGCTTTTTTTTGGTTTTCAACTTTCATTTTGTTGTAGTTGTAAAATATGTGGAACTGGCGAATAAAATTTGACACACATGTACAGAAAAGCTTCCTCTTTCGTTTAAAAAATATTTCACGTTTTTTTGATGCGTTCGCGCGGAATGTCGTACAAAAACGTGAATGGAACTAAAAATTTTTTATCGTTTTTTGCTTTTTCAAGTGTTTTTTTAGGTCGAACGCACTCTTTCTTTTTTTAAATAATGATTTTTGATTCAAGTAACGGTAATTTTTAAAACAATAAAATAAAAAAATTCGTCTTTGCCAAAAAAATTTAGGGAGCGCCGAAAGTCATAAATCAAAATATCGTTAATAAGCGAATATAATCGAGTTTTTCGTTTTTTTCAAAAATTTAGATCATGAGCTTACTTAAATATTTCTCTACAGCATCTTTGCTTGAAAAAAAGTTGTTTAATACGCAAAAAAATGCTCTTGAAAATAGAGAATAAAATTAGCGGCGTTTATCACACAGAAAGCGGTCGAACGCAGGTTTTTTTCAAACGATTATATACATTTATTAGTAAAAAAAATCTTTCAATTAAAAAGAATAAAATAAAAAAATTCGTCTTTGCCGAAAAATATACGGGGCCGTTTTTAATGCAGCGATCGTTAAATGAGGCAAAAAGCACTGAAAAAACAGTTTTTTCGAAATGATTTTCCACGAAACGTTTGAGTAAAGATTTGCGAACATATTCTGATAAAAATAGCTAAATTACTTCAAATTTTTATTTTTGAAATAGGCAATCTGTGCTATTTAAACGGCTCAAGGGTAAGGCGGATGGAAGCTCCCCGCGCTGGACCTAACAGCTTGGCGCAGCGCGTGCGCTCCGATTTTTCATTTTGAGGTCGCGAGTTCGATGCCCGCAAGCGCCAGTTTTTTGTTTTCTGCAAAATACAGACTTTTTCGGCAAACTAGCTGATTAGCATCATTTTAGCACTCTATTATGATTTTTTACATCATAATAGACCAGTATCAAAACTTGTTCTAGAAGGAAAATCGAGAAAAATGTCAAAAATGGATAATACCAAAATTTCAGTACTAAAAATGGTGCGCGGCGCGCCACATTTTCCGTCATAACTTTTTTTCATCCTCAATCTTTTTTTGAAAAAAACTAAACGGTTCTGAGTTTTTGAATCGAAACAGCTATCGAACCATACAAAGCTCAATGCTGAAAAAAATTTTTTGAAAATTCGTCTGCGGTCCCTACAGAAAGGTCCGGGACGCGTCCGGTTACCAAATTCCGAGTTTGAAGAGTTTCAGGCAAATTTTTATAAATATCTAAACCACCTAGTAAAATAACGATTCTTGGTCTTTTTTTATTCCTTTTTGGTTCTCTGAAAGGCGAATATTTTGAAAATACTGTTTTTGGTTTCAAATTCATTTTTACTTATCATATCTCTTCACAGGGAAGGTCTCTTTAGTGAAAATTTGAAGTTTCTTATGAATTTTTTCGAAAATTATCTGGAAGTCCTGATTAAGATTCAGGATAACTTATTCAGAGTTTCCGTTTTGGAAATATGATTTTTCTGAGTTAAGAAAAGTTGGTTTCAGTCCTAATTTTGAGTTTGAAAAAACGCGAATTTCGAAACCCAGCCTTTAAAAATATAAACTTGCGCGGGACGTCAGAAAGACTCTCCAGGAGTGTTTGGAAAATCTTCTAAAAATTTCTAAACTTCATACTGAAAGGAAATTCTATCATCTTCCTAGAAATCACCTATCCAATTTCTACGGTCTCAAGTCACACAAAACCCTCTTCGGTTGCGAAAACCCATCAAAAAGTCAGTGGAAGACCAACTCAATGGAATGGGGGCGTCGTAGCAGGCGACGTTGTTGATCGCCTGGAGGAGCTGGTCGGCCCAACTGCGACGGACTCGCGGGCGACTCGGCACGGCGACCTCATCAGGGCGGCGAGTGCTGGGCTGTCGGGTCGCCGTCGCGTTGACGGCTCGCGGATTCGCAAAGTTGACGCGATTGCTGAGGGTGAGCGTCGATTGGATGCGTTGCCAGGCGAGCCGCGGCCCCGAATACGGCGTGTCTTTCGTGTCGAATCCCTGCAAAACGACCTTCGTCTTGTCCATTACGGGAAGTGAATCGAGTCTTCCTTTTTCGTTGCTAATTTTGAGGAAAAAGAAGTTTTCTAAGTAGTTCCTTGGAATATTTAAAAAAAGCAAATTTCATTTATTTTTCACGGCAGATTTCAAATGACACACTAGCGGAAGGACATTCAATTTTGGGATTGGGAAATATTAAAAATATGTTTAGGATTCTTCTTGATGTACTGGATGATTATTTTAAAACAACTTTGCAGTTTTTAAAAAAATGACACCTCGAATTCAATGAAAACCCTCAAAGTCCGTTGAAATACTGTCTAGAGAATTTAAGCCTTCATTTCCTGAAAAATTGGATGTTTTAGAGGTTGAAACATTCAGAACGTTCTTTTGGTAAATCAAGGAGTGTTTTGGGCAATTTTCAGAAAGTTTCAAACCGCAAGTATTCAAGACTTCCTTGTAAGGAAATCAGAAGATGATCAACAGTAAGAACAAAAAAAAAAGGTTTTCAGGTAAGTTGAAGAGTGTCTCGATGAAAAAGTAACACTAAAAAAGGACGAAAAGTGGTAAAACAGGTATTTTCAAAAAAAAAAACCTAACCGGGTAAATAAAATTTTTTGAAGTTTCAAAGCCTTTACAAAGAACTTCCTGGGGTATTTAATAGAGCAAAAAAAGAATCAAAGACTCAAAAAAATCAAAAAAGAAAAGCTATTTCGGAAAACTCACTTACAATTTTCGATATTCTGAATAAATCTTGAAAAAAAAATTAAAATCTTTTCTGAGAATGAAGAAACTCCGATTACTATTCTAAAAAAAAAAAACAATATTTAAAAAATAGAACTTCAGTAATTTTACGAGGAGACTCTATTTTTGACAACGTATTTATGCTTACACTGTGTTGATAGTTCCAAATCATAGGTTAGTCTTTTTTTTCTCCGATTTCTCGAACGAAAACGAATCGGACCGCAAAATGTATCAATTCTGACCTTTTCCCTTTCGTACTCTTACTTCTCCCCATGCGACGAGTGGACATAAATGTGAGGTCGGTTGGCCGTCCCGAGGACCCAGAAACTGGTTCCGCTTGGCCGATCGCCCCGGCGGCTTTCAAATCGTCAAAACCGCGTGCTTATATACCATTTTCGGAAGGATGGCACAACGCTTATGGATTATGACATCGGAAAGAAACGCCAAAAAAAGAGGAGAAGCTGGTTTTTGGTGGGAAGTTGCTACTCTCAAGTGCGATTAAACGAAAGTTTGTATGAAACTTTTTCGTCATACTAGCCGATTTGCCAGCGATCTGCATGGGAAACTGAGATCTACTCGTAATTTGAAGTTGTTTAGAAGATGGAACAATTCAATAAAACCTTAAACTTGAACTTCAAGAAAGGAAATGAAAAAAGGAGTCTCAAATCTCAAAAATTTAGAACAAAGCTCAAATAGTTACAAGATACGGAAATGATAAATAATTGAATAAATAATTTTCCAGCTCAAAAAATAACGAAAAAAAGTCAGCTATCAAAAAACTACAAAACGAATAAATTTTCATGATAAACGAAGAAGGAGAAGCAATAAATCGTGAGTTCTTTCTCCCGCAAAATGGACATCTTTCAATCACAAGGTCAAGAAAAAGAAGCAGAATAAATTTCAAGAGTGAAAAAGAGAGAAATGAATTCTTCAAACACTTGTTGCTAAATGTTTCGATGCTCATCAACAAAATAAATCTGCCGAATCCAAAAAAATCTCCATTTTCACTCAAATTGTTAATTATTCTTCCTGCAATACTGACAATTATTCGCGAGCTTCTAGAAGAAGCTTTTTGTGCAAAATGTAAAAATGCTGCCAGAAAAAAACTGCACAAAAAAATTAATTTTTTTGAAGAGTTCTGTGGAAAAACAGGACAAACTCGAAAAAAATTGTGAGAAAACTTTCTATTTCATAAATATGCTTTTCAAATAAAAATATACAGAACAGCATGAAAATAAACAGAACGACTTGCAAAAATAACCAAAAATACGGATGATCGGAAAAGATGATATAATTTTTTAACTATTTGCGCATTTTTTTTCGATTGCGAGAGAAATTCAGTTTTTTTTTCTATATGCAATATTGATATAAGAATCAAAAAACAGTTCTTCGAATAATTCCATGAAAAAAACAGGAAAAAATTAAAAAATAACTGTTTTAGTCGTGGAATTTGATGTTTCGTACGCAACAATAAATGCAGAACATACATCAAGAAAAACGCGCAAAAGGAAAATTTCGTTATTTACTCCCTAAAAAATGAAAAAAAGGGAATAAAAATAAGGAGCAAGTTTTAAAATTGGTAAAATGAATAAAAATTGAGTAAAAAATCTCTGAAAACTGACCACTTCTGCATTTGGGGACAAGCGGACGGGCTGAAAATGTAAGACAACAGCTGGAAGGACGGCAGTTATAAGAATGGGGACGACGACAAAAAGTACAGGCCTATCGAAGATGGCACGGCTGTAGGACCGTCGTAGGTCCATGAAGCCGCGCGTGTCGAAATCGAAATCAAAACGAAATCGACGGCGGGGCTGGTCACGAACGCGTCGATAGATCGGATATATCGGCGTGGAGAAACGGAGGAAGTGAGGAGAGGACTGGACGACGACTGGCTCCGCCCACCAACACCGCCGCCGGCCAAGAAGAACAACCAAACGTCTGTCGTCGTTGTACAATTACTTTTTTTCGGGATGCGCCGCGCTTTTCATCTTGTTTGTCCCTTTCCTCGAAATTTCCAAAGATGCAAAGCAGCTGGAACCGCACAACATCTTGAACGGAAAAAAGTGTCAAGAATCTTTTTTATTTTATAGTCCATTCGCAATGGCTTGGAATATTCTGACCTGCCTGCGCTCTCTTTCCCCTTCACGAATAATGCAAAAACATAGTCAATTCTTCGCGCCTTGAAAGGAGAAATGGGTGGATTGGACAGGCTGAAGCGTTGCGTGCGCGATGCGGCTTTTTGGCGGGAATTACGAGTTCAAATGCAAGCTTCCTTTTTTTCTCTTTTTCTTGACAGTTTTCCGATATTTTTTATTTTTCAGGGTTTCTAAATAATTTATTTGCAGCAATCAAAGTATGAAAATGATGTTTTTTTGCACATTTTCCATGATTTCGTTTGGCCTCGAATTTCCCGCCAAAAGCCGCGTCGCGTACGCAACGCGTCAACCTAGCCAATCTACCATCTCTCCTTTCAAGTCGGGAAAAATATATCTAGTTATTTTTTATTCTTAAGATTCATTTCTTCCAGATAATTGCTGTTAGTTTATCAAATCATTTTATCACCTCGAAAAAAAAGACTTGACTAGAGAAGTACACCAATTTAGAAAAATTCCACTTTACTCTGAACTTTCTGTTTTATTATCGAAATTCACGGCAAGACATCAAAAATCTCAGGAAATCTGATAAAAATGTGTTCTCACGGAGTAGTAGGTCAAGTGGCGGCAGCGAAAGTCGAGTTTAAAAGTGAAAAGTGTGAAACTTCTGTGAGAATCAGAAATAAACCAATATTTATTGAAAATGTCCAAACCTTATTTTTTGCTTGATGGAGAGCTTCTCCGCTTTTCCTTAGTTTCCATGAAAAAAAAAATCTATCTTTCTCATATTTTGAACAGTTCTCCTTGAAGACAACCATTTTTTCTCGGGAATTTCTCGCTTATCAATGATCTTTTCACTGTTTTCTCCGCGGGAAGAAACGGAAAAGAAGCGATATATAATCTTCTGTTGGAGGAACGTCGGGTTGCAAAATCTCGTCGCGCCAAAACTGAATTGGACCGGTTCTTGGGTTGACTAGAACATAAAGATAAAATAGGAGGGTTTTTTGGCAGAAGTTGAGCTTTTTATGGCATAGTTAAAACAACTGCAGTTTGGCAAATATTTCAGTTTTTTTTTAAATTACCGCCTTTGCAGTTTGAAAATGGGTATTCGAGTTCTGACTAAGTTTACACCTAGGGCAAACGGAGCTGTTGGGCCTATCAAAGAATCCCTTAAGAGTAAAATAATACACTAGGAGGATCACTTACGGCTGTTAATGGCATTTGAGAAGACCAATTACTTCACTTTTACAAAAAAAAAATCGAGTTTTGAGAGAAAAAGTCACATTTCGATCAAACGGAATAGTTGGTTCGCTCGGTAATTTCAAATTAAAAAAGTTAATAAATTCGACAGGCCAAAGTAACAAATTAAGTAGTTTCGTCTACTGCATTTCTCTCAAAAAAATGTCTGTTCAAAACTTTTATTATCAATTACTCTAGGCCGTATATTCTCAAAAAAATGTTATCATTTCGGATCTCTAGCCAAAAAAAAACTGTTCAAAAAGCATTTTCTAGTGACGCAAGAACTGATAAAAACTGACTAGAAAACGAATTCATTTTGTACTGACAATAAATGGAAAGAAAAGAATTAGCACTTTTTCATCTGCTGGCAAATCTTCTTGGGCGGCTCGTTCTTCTGGATTCCGTCGACGATGATTTCGACGCCGTCTTCGGCGATACTTTCGCATTCTTTTTCGGCGGCTGGAGTCGGGGCTTCCTTCAGGCAGATCTTGTCAACATCCTGAAAACAAGAACATTTTTTTCGAAACCTTCACAGGGAATCTCATTTCACTTTACGTTTCGGATTTGCCTGAACATTGGCCAGAAAACTCCTCGATATGCCAGAAAAAGATCCTGAAAGTCCCAGCCTGGCCAACTTTCAAGTTTTTGAGATGAGGCATCTCAAAGTCAAAGAAAACTTTTGAAATCCTTTAAAATCAGCTTGAGCCATTATTTTTCGAAAACTAGGAAGTTGTGCAGGTTGAGACTTTCAGAATCTTCATCTAGTACTTCAAGGGATGTTCTGGTCAGTTTTCAGCAAAATCCCAACCACAAGATGAATTTTTCACCTTTATCAGTCCACATACTTCACACCAAATATTATAATTTTTTTGAGAATATGTGGAAAAAAATATGAAAAAAAATTCTATGCGGATTGTGGAAATGTCCATTTTTTTTAGCTCAAAATAGTACATAATAAAGGAAAGGGAACCTCCTTGAGGACGTCCTCGCCGCTCTTGACCTTCAGCTCGACGCCGGTGACCGTGGCGACGCAGGTGAGACATTTCAAGGTGGTCAGGTCGATCTGAGGGACGACGAAAGCCGCGGCGACGGCGAGAACCGCCAAAACGACGATCACCTGGCGCATTTCGACAGCAGAAGCACAATAAATCGTCTCTTATCATACTTTTTCGAAGGCTTATCACCGAATTCCGGAGTCTCAAGTTTCGAGGAAAATATAATGCTTATCACTGTGATAAGCGGAACTTCAGACGCATGAAGCGTGCTTTTTTGAAAAAGAAACAAAAAATCAGAAACCTTCGTTCATTGATGTTTAAAAATAAAGAAATACTCAGGAACGCTAGAGAGGTCCCTCTAGTGATTCGGAGAAAAAAGAAATCCTCCTAAAGGAGAAAGAAATTGGGGAAAGCTTATATGGTTCAAAGTTTTGTTTAAGATTTGATAGAAAAAAAGAGAATCTTGATCAGTTAATGCTCTGTTGATTTTATTCAAATACCGCTAAATTATTGAGGGCCCCTATGATGGCACCTATAGGGACCACTCTGGTGTTTCTCAGTTTAATGTCCCTATAGGCGGAGGTGAAAAGGTCCCTAGAGGAGAATCTTCGAGGGCCCAGGACCTCCTAAGTAGGGACCACTCACGACCTCCTAAGTAGCTCAGAAAATAATTTTCTTTCTGTGTTATTGTTTAAAATTTTTTTCAGAAAAACATCAAAACTTAAAATAATCAAGCATACATTTATTTGCAACATAGGAAGAACTATTTTCAAAATACATCTAATATCCAAAATCGACCAGTTATTCATGTAGAAAGACAGGTCCATCGGAAAAACATCCCCGTTGATTCGACCTGAAAATTGATAATTAATAAATAGATAATAACAAACTTTTGATGGAGAAAAAAAGCCATGGGGGTCTGAAATTTGCCTAAATTATTTCTAAAATGCTATTAAATCAGAGATTACCAGGAAAACTCGGATTTGATTTGAAAAAATAGTTAAAACCCAGAAAATTCTGCTTTTAAGCTTAAAAGCGCTACTTCGAAAGTTCAAAAGGAACAGTTCAGGATGTGGTGAGGGACGAGGAAACTCCTAACTTGAAGAAAACTCGTTATCTTTTCAGAAAAGATGTCTCCCGACATATCTCAACGTCTTACAATTGGCTCCGAAGCGTTGAAGCCGAGCTCGTCGAGGTCTTCCTCCTCTTCTTGGAACTCTTCGTCGGAAGACAGGAACTGGTCGAGAACGGCGTTGTTGGCGCTGTAGAAGCATCTCTCCTCGTGGTTCCTTTGGTTCTTGGCGCTGGCGAAGAATCGGCCGCAGCCTTTGATACAGACGTACCTGAAAAATAAAGGAATATTGCTGAAAACTCAAGAACCGGATTTCTTAATATAAAAAAAGGCTATTTCACATAAAAGGAGACATTTTTGGAAACGAACTTCTTGGTCATGAAATGCTTGGCATGGACATGAACGTTGAGAAGAGCTCCCGAAACGAAACGTTCTCCGCATCCGTCGACTATACACAGGTACCTGAAATGAACACTCTTTTTTTAATAAGAAAAAAATCGATATAAGACAGGAATCGCCTAATCACGAGGCCTTTCTTTAATAAGGCCTCGTGACAAAGCGTTCAAAATGCTGAACTTCAAAGTTCCTTTGATTTGGAACATTTCATCTGTCCCGATGGCATAGGGACAGGAAAAGGCCAAAAAATGCTCCTGGTTTTTCCCTCCCTTTTTCCAGGGGACATACCGTACCTCCATTTACTTTTGTAATGCAGTAACCGGTTGGTCTAGCCATCTATGAGTGATTGAGATTGATCTCCTGGCTCTATCCCTGGACGTCCCTCTGAGCGTCTTTGTCACGTTATCAGTGATGAGGCAACTTTGGCATGCTAGATCTATTCCGACTTGACGTCTTTGAATCTTGCCGAAGGATCAAGTTCCAACTTTGCTAGTTGCTCTTTGATTCAGTCCCCCGAAGCCTCCAGATCTAGGCGGCTGAGCGGACAGCTCTCTGTACAGCTTTTTATCTCTCTCTTTTATGTCTGTTTACTCTTATGGTCCTGGAAGCTGCTGATTTCGGATCTTTTTTACTCCCCTTTTTTTTGAGAAAGTTTATCTGAAGACTTTCTTTCAACTTATTAACTTGTCCAGAAAAAATTTCGAATCGAAAAAAAAACGAACGGCTTCTGGTCGAGATGTCTCCGGAGGTGCAGTCGCATCGGAGTCCTCTGAGCGAAGCACATTCCACAAATTTCACATTTGAATGGCTTCTCGCCCGTGTGGACTCTCATGTGCGCCTGAGATTGAAAAATTGATTTTATTTTTATTCTGTGAGTTGCTAAAAGGAAACGAAAAACTACTAATGTCCTTTTAGCCCTCATATGGAATTTCGATGAAGCTCTGTGTACTTTGGGGCCTCTTCATTCCAGAACAGATTATTTTGGTGCAACCTTGAAAGCTTCACAGCTCGCAAAAAAGATCTACTGCAAGATTTTTTTTATTGTACAGCATCAAGAAGCCTTATAAGGCATTTCAGCAAAGTTTTATCAAAAGTGAAATATTTCCGTAGTTAGTAGAAATCTTACAAATTTCTCGCTTCAAAACTATTTTGTCCAATATAAATCCTGCATCTTCTTCAAGAAAACAGTTTGATGTAAGCTCAGGGAAAAAAACGTCTCTAGTTCTTCAAAAAGTGATTTTTATTGATAAAAAACGACCGGATTCTCACTTCTACGTCAAAATTATTTTTCAAAAATCAACTTTTCTATTGACATTTTCTTCTGTGAAAAAAAGAAAAATCAAATTTCAGATAAGGTGACGGAAAATTCTGCTATTTCACAAATTATAGACAAAAATCGTTTCAAAAACTTCTCAAATTGTTAATTTACGTGGAAAAAACCTTTATTTTGCTCGGATACTTGTCGATTTTGCCACAATATTCGCATTTATGGATTTGAGGCAATTTTCGACGATGGGGACTCGCCGAATCGACGTCGACTCCCTGAAAGATGGACCGAGTGAGAAAATGAAAAATTACAATTCTGTCAAAAGTTATCAATAAAAATTAGGTTCTACAACGAGAGCGATTTTTTCTTTTTAATTTTATTCTTCAATAAATTAAAATGGAAGTTATCAATTTTTAATTCTTTTTCTCTTTATAGTCCATTTCGACGATTTTCAAAATCGAAATGAAAAAAAGCGGGAATGGAAAACGGCTGACTTTGGCGACAGCGTCAATGATCCAGTCCAGGTTTTTGGGCTCTTTCACACGTTTTTTCTTGGTTTTGGGCCCGATTGTCGCCATTTGGAGATGTCGCGTCGGCGCCACCATTTCCAGCATCGAAGCTTCCACTTCGACCTCGGCTATCGTCTGAAAAGCATCAACTAATGAATTGGGGCGAGCCGTAGCGCAACAGGTTGTGAGCCTATCTACGGTCCACGGGGTCACAAGTTCAATCCAAGCCTCGACACAACCAAGGGGTTTAAGAAATATTGGCAGTGGGAAAACCACGGCTTCATAATCATCAGCAGTCTCACACAAGGACGGATATGTCACTAGAGCCAGTCCACTGATATCAGGATAGGACCCCGGCTAATCGACTCGGGGCACCGACGCCGCTCAAACAGTACAAAGGCGTATGAGGAAGAAGAAGGCTTTTGAATGGAGACTTTTCTCAAAAATGTTCTTCAAGAACTTTTTCATATATCTGCTTCACGGCCAGTTTGGCCCCAAAAAGGCGTGGCCTGTCTGCGCTCTCCACTATTTCCTTTCTTTTTTTTTTATCGCGTCAGGACCATTTTTCAATGGCTCAAGCCAGTCGTGAATCAGATACACTCCTTTTAAGTGAGTGACTTAAAAATTGAACTTTTTTTAACCTCGGAAAGTTTCCTTTGTCCTTATTGTTTCAAACTTTTTCGCCAGCTCTAAATCGAAAATTTTCAGGAGAAAATTGCAAAAAAAAGAATCTCCTCTTTTTCCAACAATTTCAAAAGATTTTTGTCAAAATTTCGTTTTATGAAGCCATTTACTTTAATTTAATTTTTTAAGAGTCAACTTCAGGGCTTTTTTTAAGGGTAATTATGAGCAAAGAAAATCTTTCAAAGTTAGACTTAAATTCTTCTATTTAATTTTCTAAACCCCGAATACTTTTAATTCACGGTTCATAGAATATTCATCCAGTTTCGAGCAACTTTAAAAAACTAATTTGAATGATTTTTTTTTCCGATTTCAAACCTTATAATTGGCGTTTTTCCTCGACGGATCCGTGTTCACCAAAACCCTGACCCGTTCTTCATCCTGCTCGTCGTTCATCTCCAAGTATGTGGTACTGAAAAACCAAAAATCTTTCTCAAACGGAAACAAATTCCAAAAACTCTTCCATGAGAAGTTGGCCAATCAGAGCGGTGTGATTCGGCTGCGCATAGATCATTTGTTCCGTTAAAACACCCCCGGAAGTGTGAATCTTCAATAATCCATTTTATAACTTCTTTCCTTTTTTTCGAAAACCTCGACTTCTTTCGTCGGCGGCGGCACGTACTCCGCTTGCGTATAATACATCTAAAAAAATGATAATTTTTCTTTTTTTCTTCTAAAAACCGTTTCGGGATGAATTTGATGCATCGGAGGATTGAAATTCTGTTTCGAATCGTCCTGATTTCCATCTTCGACCTCCAAAATATCCACAGGAACTTCATTTGCATCGAATTCTGATTGAGTAAAAAAATTATTTGAACATAAAAAAAGATACTTTTTTTGCTTATGAATTACTGTTCCCTGCATTTTTCTTCTCAAAACGCTTTCAAAATCACTCTTTCTTTTTCCAAATTTTTCAAAAAACTCGTAAAACAGAAGGGTCATTTTTCTCGAAAATTTCGACTCCGATCAAAGACGTACCGGACGGCCGGTCATCGTAGTGAATATATTCGAAATGATTATCGAATTGATTCCCGTTTTGACTGTCGTAAACCTGCCAGGTGCTTTCTTCAGGATGAACCATCAGAATGTGTTGCTCAATCTGAGAAAAATTACACTTTCAAGAAAGAATATTTATAAAAAGAATAGTGTAGAGATCATGAAAGAGATTAATAGCGAGTTGTTCAATTTTTTTCTCCCGTTTTCAAAAATTCAAATGAATATTTCCATTTTTCTCCACTACTCACGTTTTTTTGGAAAAAGCTTAAATTTTTATATTAAATATTTTTTTATTATAACTCGGACCATAAAGAACTCAAATTCAAAAAAATAAAGAGCATTTGAAAATTTTTTGCTTTTTTTAAATTCTCCATTATGCTGTATCAGATTTACCAGATGAAGATCTAAAAGCTCTATATATTTCGGAAAATTCTCTAATCAAACTTTAAACGTATAGTTTAAGGAATTTCCACATCATAAACTAAATACATGATGAATGTACAAAATGAACGGACAGAAGAGAAAAAGTTTAGGAAGGACATAATTTTTGGGGTTATAAAAAAAATATTTTTTGCAGATTTTAAAATTCAAGCTTTTCTGCGGAGCTCCAAAAATTTCTGACATTCATTCAGGTCTAGAAGCCATCGTCACAAAAGTTCAAACGGCGGATCAAAGTGAAAAAAGGAGCAAAAAGAGTGATTCTAAAAAGACTTTTGGCAACTTTTGCGGGATATTTAAAGAACTTTTAAGGTTTTGGTCCCATGGTAGTTCTAGGAAAGATTTTTGGAAGATTTTTTTCCATTTTATTTCTTCGTTTTGTTTTTACTTTGATGTTTCAGATTATCAGTAAATTTAAGAATGTTTTCCAAAAGTTCAATTATTCCGAGAAGATCGATGAATCATATGAAGCTTGAAATTCAAACAAAAAGAAATGTTCTCTTCATTTTTTTATTTTTCCACTTTTTTTCTGTTCTATTTCAGCATTTCAAGGAGATTAACAGCGGATGTAGGAATGATTCTAAAATATTCAATCATCTTGGGAATCTATGAACTATTCAAAGTTCGAAGGAATGAAAAAACCTTCTCTTCATTTTTCTTGCCCACTTTTTCGAACTCACCTCGCGTTCATCGACGCTCTGAGTTCCGCAATTGGGGATGGGACAGAGATAAAACTGCTGCATTTCGTTTACTCGGTCCGGATGAAGGGTTTCTGTTTGAAAATCTTCTTTTAGATCTGCAACATTTTCTTTTTGAAGATCTGGAAATTCTGACTTGTCAAACCGATAAAAATTAGGGTAAAATTAGTTTTTGAAAATTTTTAGAAGGGAAATAACTTGAGGTCAGAATAATATTTTTCAAAGAAAAAAATATTTTTGTTTACTTCAACTCAAAAAAAGTTTTTTTGTCAACTGACACCTGAAAAGAACCTGAAAAAAATAAACTTCTTGAGCTTGTAGCCTCAAATATCGAAAATTGCGTTGATCATTTCTTTTTTTGACTTTTTCTGAATAGTTTTCATAGACGTATGTTTTTTTCGGAACGAAAGTTCTCTTTTCGTGCGCCTTTTTGAAAAACTAGTTAAAAAGTAAAATTTAATAATAAAGCTAAAAAAAGAATATTGAGAATCTGTATCTTTTTGGAAAATCCTCAACATTGATTCGAGACTCTTTCCTCATTATAATTTGCTTTCTAAAGCTGAATTTCCGATATTGAAAATGAATATAACGCACCAAGTTGCATGATATCGCTCTGGTCACGGATTTCCTCCTTAAAATTTTGTTGCTGCCCCGGAGGCGAAGATTTTTCCTCTTGCATATGCATCTGAAGCCCTTTTTCATTGGTTGAATATGCATCTGAAGCCCTTTTTCAAGGTTGAAATTTCATTAACAGTCTTCCCTAAAAATTATTACCTTGGTTTAAAGTGATACATTTTCTGAGATCAATAAGAAGTGAGAGGCTAGAGATACCTTTTTTCAAACTTTTATCTTGAATTTTCTGATCTTGAGGAAACATGAAGTGACCACTTAAGGGGTGGAAATCTCCAAATACCGACTGTAATGGACAAAAATATTGTTTTTTAATCGCGATAATTATCATTTTTCAAGAGATCCAAATAGTTTCAACAGATTTTGACCGCTTATTCCACCTTCCATCTCGAATTTCGATCTTCAGGAAAATCAAAGTAATCCCTTAAGAGGTCGAAATTTCCTATAACAGCTGCTGACACTGCTGTATCTCGAAAACCTCTTGTTCTTTCTATATTAAGATGTTTATTGAATAATTCCGGATCTCGCAAGAAGATAGAAATTCTTTTTTTAAATATCCAGAAAATTAGCAAGCTTTAGAAGACTGATAATACCTTAAAAAACCCCTCAAACAGGCACTTCAAATTGTGTCAGTCAATTTTCGAACAAACCTTAACGTGATCCTTGAGATATCTGTCAGAGGAGAAGGATTTCGAACAGAAGTTGCATTGGAAAGGCCGTTCGCCCTTGTGAAGACGTTCATGGGTCTTGAGACAGTGTTGCTGGGCAAAGGTCATCCCGCAAAGTCGACAGCGGAAGGGGCGTTCCCCTTGAAAAAAATAATCAACTTTTTCAAATTACTCGATGGAACAAATTGGAAAAACTTCGGTTTTCCGACTTTTCAAATCTCAAAAAAATGTGATTTTTAGAAAGGTAAAAATGGCTTTTTTTCTTTTTTTAAATTGTTTTAAAATTGTTTCATTTTTTTGTGTTTTTCTCTTTGACCTTTCAATAGAAATTAAGACAACATTCAAAAAAACTGTATTGTTTTTTTATTATTCCGGAAAAAAACAGTTCTGCGAGACAATCCCTAGCAAATTGGAAAAAAACAGGAAAATTCGATAATTTTTTTGATTTCTTTGGTTAAAAAAAAATTTTTTTTTGATATTCGAAATTTTTCATCATCGGGTACTTATTACAAAAAAAGAACAAAACCTAACTATATTTGATTTTTTTAAAGATTTTTTCTCAAAAAAATCTTTCTAAATTGAATTCGGTGTTTGGTTTGAAAAAAATCACGGTTTAAAAAAGAGAGGAGAAGAAAATGCAAATTGTGGGTTATTTCGAATATTAATATTTATTTCTGAAGTGTTAGTTTATGGAGAATCTTTTCCAGGAAACACAGCGAAAAAAATGGTTTTCTGACTACTTTTCCCTTTTGAACTTTTTTTTCTTCTGAAAAATTTTAAATGTGTATATTTTTCTCTTCAATTTTCTCACCTGTATGCTTCCTCATGTGCTCGGCGATCTTCGAGGGGTATTTGAACTCTTTGTCGCAAATATCGCAGTACAAAACCTCAAAAAAGTAAAATTATGACTTTTTCCGAGAGTTTCACGAGAAAAACCTTTGCCGGATGCCTTCTGACCATTTTATACTGCCTGACAGGGGGTTCCTGGACTTGTTTGACGACTGGCGACTGCTTGACAACTGACGACTGTTTGACGACAACCTGAAAAATGCGAAAAAATATTATTTTCCTTCCTTTGAAATGATCATTTTGACCTTTCTCTGAACAGGTCGATACGTGAAGACACGCAGAGGTTTCTCCTCTTCCAATTGTTCCTGAAAATAATACTTCTTTGAGCTGAAAAACTGAAAAAACCTCGAATTCATACTTCCCCGAAGAGGAAGGTTGAATATTATCCATTCTGAAATCATGGTTTCAAAAAAAAAATTCAAAAAAAAAATCTATATAAAGAAAGTTCACGGATTTTGAGACCGTTATCTTTTTGGAAATTGAGCAAAAATCAAAAATTTGCATTTTATACAAGTATCAACAAAAATAAAGTAAAAGAACACAACGACCAACGGGAGAAGGAAGAGGAAAGTAAAAAAAAAATATAAAAAAGAGATTCAATTGGGTAAAATTACACGGAGAAAGAGAAAATGATAAAGAAAAAGACACAAAAGTAACATTTTTCCCGTTTTTGTTCATTTTTTCGTCTCCAAACCTTTTTCCGACCGTAAACCTCCATTTTTACAGACCTTCAAAAAAAACTTCAAGAACCCGAAAAAAAGTGTCCTCCTAACAAAGATATCTATCTAAACTAAAATATAAAAAAAGAATCTAAAACTTCACGAGAAAAAAAATTTGATAAGAAAAAAACTACTAAACTTTATAAATTTCATAAAAAAACCTAAATCAAAACGGATAATTTACACGTAACTGTCAAAATTTAGGTCAAAACTGCACCATGAAAAATAATAACTTTTTTTCTCATCTCAGATTTCCAACTAATTTTCAAAATATACAATAAACCGGTAAAAAAACAAAAAACCAGTAAAAAAAAATTGCCCGATGAAACAATAAGAGTTCGTTCAAAAGCCCTTTCTAAGGTATTGAAAGGAGCATGGGCCATTTCAATAAAGGTTCCGATGCGAAAAGCACTTATCACTGAAATTGTAAGTCGACTTTTGCTCCGATGAAACCAAGACAATATACTCAAAAACTGAAATCGCTCTAGGGAAATGTCTGACTTTCCGAGGGAGCCCAAAAAAGCGCTAAAGTCACTTAAGTGATTCCTAAGAAAAATCTCCTTTGAAAGTGAAAAAAAAGGAAATTTGGAAGAGGAGAGCTCAAACTTTTGAGACAAGGACAAAAATGCCTATTCAAGAACAGTTTCATCGACGAATTCCCCCTCGAAGACGTTGGTGGACCTGTCGCCGTCGACGTCGTTGCTGAACATCGGCTGCAGTGAAACTTCCGTTTCCTAAATAATATATACACTTAGCCTTGCCATAATAGATCAAAAAACGTTACGAAGATCTCAAAAAAATGAAAAAAAATTTCGCCGTGAATGAAAATTAACTTATCCACTCATCTGAAACTTCATTTTCTTATTTGAAAAAAGCTCAAAGCTGGATAGAAATCGAAAAAAAGACAAATTTACCGGTGGTTCAGTGAAAGCGACCGCATTTTCTAGATCTTTCTTCTCCTCAGCGATGACAGCCTGAAGAAAATCATAACCATACAAAATATGACAAGAAAAAAAACCGCCGGATCGAAAATGCTCGTGAAAATATCGGGATGTTGAGAAGCACGGTGGCTCATCAAATAGGCTCTTCGAGTGAAAAGTCGCTCGCAGCCTGGAAAACTTTCTTTCGAATCAGAAAAGAACCGAATCCACACGGTTTGAGTACTTCTAGGCACCAGATTCGTTTTATTTGATTTCTATAAAATCAGAAGAGAAAAATTGTTATACTTCGAAACCTCAAGTAAGGTATAAAAAAGCCTCCACAATGGAAAAATAAGTATCTGAGAACTGTTTCAACAAGAATATATAAATTTGATGCTTCAAATCGAAAACTGATTTACTCGAAGTGAGAACAAGATACGAAAAAACGAAGGAAAAAATAGGTAAAACGAAAAAAAAAAAACCTCTCTTGAACTTTTTTTTAAAATTTTGTTAAGATTCGTGTAGATTAATGGTATTTAAAGGAAAACTTTATTGAAAAAAAAAATCAGAAGCTATAGTCAATTTTTTTCCCGACTTGAAAGGCGAGGGAGGCGGGGCAGGGGGCGGGACGCGTAGCGTGTGCGTTCGCGGTCCTTGGCACGTGTTCAATTCAACCGCCATCTATTCTTTGAAAAGCCCGTTTTTCGCTTTTTCATTCCTTTTTCAATTATTTATTGATTATGTTTATATGTGCATCAAAAAATAGTAGAAAACATTGAAAAAGAGCGGTCGCCGAGCTTTTTAAATAGTCGGCGACAAATGAAAATTGAACTCGTGCCACGAACCGCGAACGCACACGCTACGCGTCCCGCCCCTTGCCCCGCCTCCTTCGCCTTTCAAGTCGGGAACATTGACTATAATTCTGAAAGCCCCTAAGATTTTGACTAACTAGGGAACATTTTTTACCCCCCGGTTGAACTTTTGCTGAAACTTTGCTGAAGTGTACTTCAGGACCCCATGATTCCAGAACAAGAAAGAACAGAAAGAAAATTTCTCGCAATAGATCTCGTTTTCGAGTTAGGACACTTCAAAAGCCCGAAATAGCGCTTTTTTGGTCTAATTTGCGTATTTTGCACACTTTGAAGCTCCATAACTCGGAAACAAGATCTATTGCGAGAAATTTTTTTCTTGATCTGCTATCAGGGGGTCCTAGAGTACACTTCAGCAAAGTTTCAGCAAAAGTTCAACCGGGGGGTAAAAAACGTTCCCTGGTAAGATTTCTTAATAAGTACTCATCCTCTTAATTGAGAGAACAACGTAAAAAAAAAAGAAAAAGGTCTTTTTTTCTAAAAATTCTTTTTCAAATCAGTTTTCAAACTTCCATAAATCTCGTGTAGACTCATATTTCTAAAAGAAAATTGAAAAAAAGTTCTAAAAAATTTAATATTTTGATCTCTTAAAAGCGAGAGATTAACATAAAAAACGACCGAAAAGGGCTTTTTTTATCCCTAAAACTTCTCTACAATTCGATTTTTCTTCTTTCAAGGAACCTTTAACGTTGCACTGATATCTCTTGACTTCGGCGTGGACAATCTTTTCGTGTTCGTTCCTGCTCGCCGCGCAGACGAATTCCTTTCCGCATTCGAATCGACAAGGATACGGTCGGTCTCCTGAATGTATTTTATAATATTAGAAGTTGTTATTTCAGTTGAAAACCGGTATGTTTCCTTCGGATATGGAGTTTCAAAGAAGTTGGCCTCGTGAAAGATTGTCCACATTCGCCGCATTTGTACGGTTTGAAACCTTCGTGGGAGCTCATGTGTTGCTGGAAACGAATTATGGAATCAGTTTTTGGGGCATATGGAAAAAGCTTTTTCAAACTCGAGAACTAGAGAAAATTTGAAATAATACATTTTACTAGACTAAAAAAACTACAAATTTTTCGTATGTTTAGAACGTTTTTTTAGAAATCTATTTTTACCAAAAACTTTTTTTCCAAAAAAATAACTGCAAACTTTTTCAAATTTTTCAAACGAAATTTTTCTTGAAAAAAAATACTTTAAACTAATATTCTAACTGGTCTCAAAAATCACCTTGATTTTGCTGGGATGTTTGAGCATGAGGCCACAAATGGTGCATTGTGCAAAGGTGACGGCTCTTTCCGTGTTATAACTCCTCGCCGGCTTCTCCACAATCACTCGCTGTTCCTCAGTACAGCCCGCCACGACCGATGCGATGATTTCTTCGATTCTAAAAATGTCAGTTTTAAACAAGACCCAGAGGATTTCATTAGTACGAAGTTTCCAATGGAATCCGCTTAAATTACCGACTTGCGATAAAAATAATCGGCTTTTTCTGAGAAAAACACACGGAAAGTTGACTTTTTAAAAAACGGCCTCTCATTAAAGTTCGAGATGGGAAAAAAAACGGAGTACAAAAAACCTAATTTTTTTTTCTGTTTTATTGTCCTTTTATGGTCGTCGATTTCAACCTTCCAATCGTTCAACTTTTTTTTAACTGTTGATCTGGTTTCTAACATGCTCTGTTGAAGAAAAGTTTGGGATGAAATTGATCAATTTTGAAACTTTTTTTTTCGTTACTCTAGCAATTCCAATACAGCCGAGAAAGGTTCGCAATCAAAAATGAGCCAGAAATCAACAAAAATGAAGGAAACTTGAAGAAAGTTCATGAAGAAAGTTCGAAAATAACTTTAAAATAATTTTATTCATAGAAACTGGAAAAAAAATCGAAATTTTTTTTTAATCTATTAGTATTCCTTGTTAATTCAAACCTATAACGTTCCATTAAAACATTGTTCAATATGAATTAGATACGAGGAAAAAGCAAGCAGTAATTAATAAGCAAGATTCAAAAAGAGGCTAATAAAATTTTTTTGAAACGTAAAGAAATTTGGAAAATGAAATTGACACTCTTCTTTCAAGTAACGTTGGTTTTTTCGAAAAAAATTGGAATAATTAGATAAAATCAACAATACTTAGGAACGCCCGAGTTCAAGAGCCCTTAAGGTTGTCCCTCTAGGGACTACTGTGGCGTTCCTAACTATATATGCGATGCCTTCTTTTTTTATACATACAAACAAGTATTTTTCAGAAAGATCCTTGAATATATTCAAACTTTGAAAGTGAGAAGTGAGCTAGATTTATCAATTTCCAACTATTCGGGTACATGTTCTTCTTCCCACCTCGAACTTGACGTCCTTTTCCGATTTGGGCTGTCGACCTCCTGAACCAGTTGCATTCCATTCATTTCCGACGGACTGACGAGTATCTCGACCATTTGTTTCTCTTCCTGTTGAAGTCTGAAAGCGAAAATTCATCTTTCAGTTTGGTATATTTCAATAACGATAGAGAAGACTGGAGATTTGCCATGTAGAAGGTCGGAACCGTGTCGAAAGTCTGGTCGATTAGTCGTTTTGGGGGCTTCAAATGAGGTCGAGGCCTTCCTTGGCGGGTCTGAACTTCTAGAACTTGAAAGAAACATTTCGAAATTCGCCGACTGCGTTTGAAACCCAGCGAAGCAATGGAATACAAAATTTATAGGGCTTTTCTGGCCTTTTTTCTTTGAACGAAGAAATGCTTTGGAGGAGTGTTTAAAAGCGCCCTAGTCTTCGAGAAAGGAAAATAACCCACCAAACCCAAATGCCTCAATTCGTGGGCATTTTTCCTGGCATTGTTCACGAATCTCTTGCCGCAACCGTAACCACAGACGAAGGAATAGTCGCCAAGGTGTTCCCTGTAGTGATTTACCTGGGAAACGCCGTCAATTATCTTCTTTTTCCTTTCAATTTACCATAGGAGTCCGTTGAGAGAATCTTTTCCCGCAAATGTCGCACTCGAATGGCTTTTCGCCCGTGTGAGTTCGCATGTGTTCCTTCAATTCAATCATTTTTCATTTCGAACGGTGAAGAAAAACCGCGATTCTCGACGGATGTTTCAAAACGACGCCACAAACTTCGCAGGCCGTCATTGTGACGGGTCTCATCGCACGTTCTCGACTTCAAAATATATTATAACTGTTTTTCAAAACTCTATTCTAAAATTCACCCTTTTTTCTTCGACTTTGAAGGAGATTGCTCCGCTGGGTCGACGTATTCAACGTATTCCACTTCTTCAATATCTTCTACTTCCTCTTTTTTCGCATTTTTTAAAATATGAACCTCAAAAAGTAAGTATTGAATTGAGATTTAGAAGCTACAAACCCTTTGGGGAACTTCTTCAACAAGGTCGTCTTCTTCTTCATCATGCCAAGCGTGAAATTCTTCAGAAGCAAGAGATGAACCCTGAAATTTTTTTGAAATAATATTTTTTTTTTGAAGAAAACCTCCACCGTAGCAGAATCCATGACAACAATCTCCTCTTGGAGCAAATTCGAGGGCAAATCATGGAGCATTTCCAGAGGCTTGTTCATTTCCTGAAAAACTTAATTTTCACATAAACTTGAAAAAGTTTATTGAAGACATGAATTCATCTCGAAAATTATACAATTAGACATTTAGGCCCACAAAAACTAGTTAAACTTCCTAATTTTTGTCGAACAAAAAAAGTTTAATTTTTTTCATAAGCAACTTTATAAAACAGAATGCAATTTTTTTATGCTTGACATACTTCTCGAACATAAAAAAATAAAGGAAAGAAGATTATTAAAAAAAGAAGAAAAAGAAAAAAATGCACCAAGTCTGTAAATCGACAGGAGAACCCCTAAAGAGAGCGCTCAGAAATTTGCGATGGAGCAGACTTCCCTCGACTAGGTTTGAAAAAAACTTTTTTTGAGTTTTTCATATTTATTTTTTTGTTTATAAATAAAATTTATTATATGTTTACATTTTTTTCTTTGACTCAAATTTCACTGGCTGCTGGAAGACGTTTAATACTTTAGGAATTTTTTTGTTTTCTTCGTCAGACACTTTGATAACGATTTTTTTCAACGAAAGTTATTGGGATATAAGTGATATTATGATCAGTTTCTTCATTTGATTATGTTTGACAGGCTTTTTGAGCTCCTTCTTCTTTTTTTTCTTTTTCATCATCTTTGAAAACGAGATAAATTTGTCATCGGAAAGAAGGTTCCTGATATTTTAGGGTGATGGACCCGCCCAAAGGTCCCATCAAAGGAGCAGATGGACATCCAGTAGCTCTTGAGATGGAGACCTCAGAAGCAGTAACTTTTTCGGCGGATTTGTCGGAAGAACTGTTAAAATTGCGCAAGCGGATATCGGAGCATATTGTGAGTCTTTTGGAAAGGACAAAAAGGAGATTTATTCATTCAATTCGAGGAAGTTACTCCGATGCGTCGAGCTCTCACTGCTCTTGGCGATGGTTCTGATTTCTCCTATTGCGATCCGTTACTTGCGTCCCATCTCGTTAGAATATTGAGAAAAATGGAAGATGTAGGCTGGAGTTTTGCATTTCTGTATAGAACTGCTAAATTTCAGAGAGAAAAGCTAATAGTCGTTAATGAAATGGTGAAAATCGTGCACGATTCGGGTGAAATTGCGGACGCCGAAGGAGAACCTTACTATATAAGGTCATTTTCCAAACTTTTAATTTAAATCATCTTTTTTTCAGAGTTGAATACGAGCAAGTCGTCGATTCAATGTTAAACCATGCATTTGAGGAAGGCGTTCTTACGATAAAGTTTGGATTTTTTTCCGAAAAAAAAAAACTAAATTGTTTTCAGTCAGCACATTGAGGGACTCGTCATGACGACCGATTTTTTTCGATGAGGTCGAAAAATAAACCGAAGGAAATGGGAGTTTGTGAAGAAATGCGTCCCAAAGATGGATTATAAGGGGATCCGGTCCCTTTCGAGGTTCGTTTTTTTGTTTTTAAAGGTAGAGAAAAAGTCTTCTGATTGAACAATTTTTTAAAAAAATGTTTTTTTCCATTTTTTTGCAAAATGTATGACTTTTTTTGGTAAGGCCTTTTTTAAAGAGAAGATAAAAGCTATATAAAATTATTTTTGATAAAAATTCTTTTCCTTTTTTTTCAGTCATGTCTCTAAAAAGAAATGGCGAAATAAAGCTTTTTTTAAAGTTTTTCAACTTATCTTCGCTCAATTTAAAATAGATATCAGAGAGTGAAAAAGATAACTAAGTTTTGGAGAGTCTGAGAGATAGTTTTGAAATTTGTAATATTACTTTGAACACTCTGATGGGACCGAAAATTTTGAAAACAATTTTATTTTCCGAAGCTTCTTATAAAATCATCTTTGATTATGAAGAAATCATTATTTTTTCATTTCAAGATACCTAATGGACCCTCAATTCAACCGCCTCCCATTAACATTATCCCTCGAGGAAGTTCAACAACTATCCATCATCGAGGAGGTTTTTTCCCAATCATTTATTCCTGTTTTTATTATTCCATTCAAAGATACTATTGATGATAATGGACCGAGATTCCAACGTGATTCCATCAATTTTCACGATGACTGAAGTGAATAAAGGCGTCGCCAAACAGGCGTATATCTTCCCGGTTAGTTTGGCGTTTCAAGGCTCTTTGAAGATGATTTTCAAGGATTTTTTCCTCATTTTCAATGATACTTGTGAAATAATTTGACTCCTCTGTTAAGAATGCAGAAAAAAAAAATTTATTTTTCAGATACCTTTATTTTTCAAATCTGGATCATAATTTTTGGTTTGCAGGCGTGTATTTTCACGGTTATTTATCTAAAAATCGAGATTTTAAGACTTCAACGCGAATTATTGAGGTTTTGTCACAAATATCGATTAAACATGTGAATAATTAAATTCTAGGTTTTGGAATCACGTTTTGATATTGAAACAAGGTTTTTTTCATTCTTGTTTTAAGGCTTTTTTGAAATTCAGTAGATGATCCTTTCTGAAGTCTGACAAGGAAGGTCATCTTACTTTAGGGTTGGGATTTTCCTGAAAACTGACCAGAAAACTTTTTAATGTACCAGATGAAGTTCCCGAAACTCTAAAACTAAGAAACTTTTTAAGTTTTGAAAAAGGCCACTTCGAAGTCAAAGAAAACCTTCGAAATTAGTTAAAAAGGCTTTTTCCGGGATATGAGCCCTAATTTCTCGAAAAATAAAAAGTCGTGCAGGTTGAGACTTTCTGGATGAAGATATATTTTCTCTCAAGAAAAGATTTCCAGAGACTGGCGCACGCCCTCTCTCAACTGTGTATCTACTTCCGACCGGTGGCCGACCTGTCCCACGTCGTCGGCCGCAGTTTCCTCTTCCCGCTTCCCCAACATCCCTGTTTCTCCTCCTCGGCGCCTTCCTGGCGCATCGACGGCACCGCCCTCCACGCCCACATGTAAGTGCTCCTCGCATCCGTCGATGGCTCCCTTCACCGGCTCGGTTTTGGTTCCAGCCCCCGGTTCCAGCATCAGTTCCTGCCCTACCGGACAGAGCAGAGCAACTCCCAGACGTATCTTCTTTACATGGTTTTGCGGCAACCTCGCGGAAAGGACCATATTTCGGTTGGTTCTTAGATTTTCAATATTTTCTGTGCTTCATTTGAAAAATAAACATAACTCAGAAAGTTTTTTTGTCATTCTAGGTTTATATTTCTCCTCGTTTTTTTATGTTTGAAATAAATTTTCAGGCTTTTTACACACAATCGAAGCCACAAGTTCAAAGCTCCATACGATGTCCTTCTCTCCGTTTTGATCTGCGAAGTGATGGCCGAGGTATCCAAGTTTCAAGCCCAACAATTAATTTTCATTCAGAAAATGAAATAGTTCCCAAAAATTTATAAAAAGAAACGTCTCTTTTGATTCTCAGTTCAAATGTTTTTCTACATAAATTTTCGAAGAAAAGGCGAGAATAAACCGTTTTTATTTTTAACATAAAACCAAGGAAAACTAGTTTTTTTCTCGAATGTTTTACCGGAATCGAAATGGATTTTTTTCAAATTTGCGGGTTAAAATCTTGAAAAAAATGCAATCAGATTCGAATATTTAGTTATTTTATTGACAAAGAAAAATCAGGTTAAAACAATGAAATGATTTTTTTAATTTCTCTGAAAATTCAAATATTCAGAATTGAAAAAAATGTCACAACTACTGTACAAAAATAGTATTTTCGAATATTTCAGGCGGAACAACTGCCAGAAAACGAGGCGATCCCACGATATCAATGGGAAAATATCCTGAGCATCATCCATCAGGGCATCCATCTGCAGATATTGTAGTTCTCCCGAAGTTTTCCGGAATATATCGACGATTTGAAGGAACATCCAGCACTTCCTGTCGGTCCTGAGAGGCCTCGTCAAGAGTGCCAACTATACGCGGGCCCGGGACGAAGTCATGTGGATCGTGCTCCAAATCACGGGAACGTTCAGCAACACGCCTCGGTTCGAGGAAGCTCTCAACGAGATCATCGAGCTCTACAAGGTTCTCTTTTTTCGGGATACGTGGAAAAAGTCATTTGGATAACATTTAAAAGAGCATTTTATGCCGGCATGCTGAAAAGGTTCTATAAAGAGGCCGTTTTGGGAAAATTTGAAAATTTTTTTATTCAATATGCGTAATATTTTTTTAACGGTGGTTAGTTTGAAACTTTCAAAAAAATCAAAACTTGTCAGCCAAAAAAACTGGAGATTTTATATTTTTTTAATTTTTTATGAAGCGTCTTTGTTTCACCTGAAAACGAAATATGCTTTTCAGGCTGTTTTTTTCAAACTTTAACACATTTGACCGAGCGTTTTTCGAAATTTATAAAATTTATTTGGAGATAAACTAGATCGATTCGAGAAAAAGTTAGGATTAAAAAAATATTTAAATGAATAAATAATTAAAAAAATATAACAAATCTATGAAAAATAGTCGAGCTAACAGGAAATTCATGATTTTTTTCTTGGGAATTCAGTGTCATTTTTTTAAATTAATTGTCGAGCTTCACGATCTTGTATTTGAATCTTTAAGAAATTGCAGAACTATTGGAGAATTCAGGTTCTTTTCGATGGCGAAGTGACTTGGATGGGCGCCTCGGACCATATCGCCCAATTCGTGCGATTTCTGGCCGCCGCCTGCACTTGGATGCTTCTCGAGGGCAAGGTTCGTCTTTCTTTTTTTTTTACTCAAATCGTGACCTTTGCTGATTTAAATATTCAAGAGAGCTTTTTATTTTGAAGCCTTGATTCCATTACGTCTGACCAATTATCACAGGGAGGTAGTTTCTTATGTAGACTATGATCTGATAGAAAATTGTGAAAAAATTTGGAGTTTTAGTAGAAAAAAACAGTTGTAGCTTCAAACGGAAACTTTCCAGGGACCAACTGTTTTCAAATTCAGCGCGAGCCCCGTTTTTTTTTCTGCAAAAATACCGTGATCCGAATTTGGTTATATCTGACTAATATTTGCTTCGAGACCTTTTTTTTCAATTTTTGCATTTTTTTTTTTGAGAGCAACAGCGCAAAAAAGGTACAGTAAACGCACCTTTTTCGCTTTTATTGTCGTGCATATCGAAGAAATCCGTCTATATATTTTTCAGGAAGGTCTGCCGGCACCCAACGAAAGTATCAAGCGACAAATCAATTTCATCGCTGAAGGGGCCGAGAAGATCGACTCCAAGGACGACGCCATGCTGGCCGTTCTGGCCAATGCTTGTTCGTTTTCCTTTTTTCTTATGTTCTGAAATATTCCACTTCAAATCTCATCATTCACTAGTGATTTATCAATTTTTATGCAGAATTTTTGCGTATTGTAACTTTTTTTCTTTTTTTATTTAACTTTCATAATTTTTTTCATTTATTTAAAAATTCAAGTTTTTTTATTCAAAAAAATTATCAAACTTGCATTTTTCTGTTGAAAGTTTATGATTTTTCTCATCATTTAGCACTGACTTTTCAACCATGGAAAACTCTTTATTTAAAAAAAAATTACGAACTTTTCTTTCCAAATTTAAGCTGGTTTCCTTTTTAATTGATAAGTCTCTTATTATTAACCAGGGACTTTTCAATCATTCATGACTTTTTTTCGTGAAAATCGCTTAAAATTCGAAAATGATACCTGATTTGGGGTGGTTTTCTATCCTTTGTTTGGTTTTTTTTTCACGCCATCTGGCTCTGATTTTTTTCATTTTTTGTTTAGAAAACTCATCAATTTTTAATTTATTTTTTTGTGTCACCGTGGTTTTTTTCTCTTTTTGAAATTTCCCTACACATTTCTCAATCATTCAAGATTTTTTATCAAAAAATCCTTCGATAGTCAAAATAATTGTTTCCGGACTGGAACTGATTTTTCTTTGTTTGAATGTGTTTCTTATCATTGATCGGTGATTTTTCGAGCTTTCAAGATTTTTGCTAGGAAAACTCTTCGAATTTTAACATTTTTTTTCTGTATTTTGGTTGGTTTTTATCCTTCAGTTGATTATTCTCTCCAAGTTGAGCACATTTCAGACCGGTCGGACACTCGAGTCGGCCGATCCGTCCAAATCGTCTTCCAGCAACGTCTGGACAGCATTCCCAACGATGAAACTCTCTTCCAACTCTCCTACGGTCGACACGCTTGCAATAAAATCACTTCTTTCTCCTCCGAGGTTTTTTTTCGTTTATCTAGAAAAATATTTTGAATCATAACACTTCGTGTGACTTCATAGTTAAAAATCACATAACTGTTGAAAAGAAAGGTATTCAGTTCCTGGATTCTTTAACTCTCCGAGCCAAGGGTTCCGTTCTTGGCCTTTGTTTGGGATCTCTGAGGAACTTCACCTCGGAAAGATGTCCCAGTCCCGCTGTCCTTGGTATGTTCGCCGATTTTATTTTCATTCTTAGTTTTAGGCATCGTTGAGACATAAATCAACTTTCAAAATATTCATTTTCAAGATATTTTGAGAAAAATGAATAAATTTTCTTGAAAAACTTTAGAAAAGATGAAAAATTGCTTTAAAACTGTTCTTTATCATGCTATTATTTAGAAAAATTTTTGGAAAATTCCCTAAGAAAAACTTTCAAATCATTTAAATGAATTCGTTAAAGTTAAAGATTGAAACAGCCATTAAAGTTTCTATTTGGATTTGAAAAACAGAAGAAGGAATTGTTATCAGCAGTTTTCGGGTTCTAAAGTGAAGAAAACAGTAAAAGCATTTTTTTTTTGAAAAAGTTAGTATAAAAAAGTGTGTTTGAAACTTTCAGCTTGGTTGATTTTATTAAATTTGAGAAGGTCAAAGACAAATCACCTAATTTTGTCACTTGATAAGTTTCTTTTCTTTAAAAAGTCCTTTTTCCAATTATCTGACTGCTCATAAGTTCATCATCAAGCACAAGAACCTGACCTAGAATGTTTGATTTAAAAAAAAACTGGGAGTTGAAAGGTTTCTCAAGATCTCTTCCTCGGAAACTAGAACATAAACTGAGAATTTTTTAGTGAAATATAGTCTTTTTTCAAGTTTTTCCGCGTTGTTCCAATCAATTTTTTTCTCTCATTCTTCAAAATTTTCTTTTCCAGACACCCTGGCGAAGCTGATCTCCACGCTGGAGTACGAACTGGGCGTGAAGCCGTTGATGAACCTTTTGCAACGATCTTTGTACATTTCGAACACTCCGAACAGTGTGGAAACGGCGCGAGAACAATGCCACATTCTCTACGATTTTCTCTGTTATCGGTCATTTTTCATATGGCTCTCTTAAAAAAAAGAAAATTGTTTCAAGAGAGTTTTTAGACATTTTTTCTTCTTGTTTTATTGGAAATGTTCCTATTTTTTCTCAAAAGTTATATTTTCCCTGAATTTCACGATTTCAGAGTTCCGACGATCAGTCTTGACGAGGTTCGAAGCGAATTCGTGATATTCAGTCTGAGTTATCTCTTCAATCTGGTTAGTCTCATTATTCAGAACAAAAAATCCATTTCTTTCAAAATTGTGGTCCTTAATGACCAAAAATAGTGCTGAAAACGGCTTATCGCTTCGGGACCATTATCATTTATTTCTATGATCCTTTAATAATCTAAGAAAGGATTTTTAACAGACTATATTATTTAAAAGCTGGAAATTTCTTCTTCCAGCGAATTCTTGAAAATTATCCGTTTTATGCCGCTTTGAGCTCCATCTATCAGGATAATTAGTTGAAAATCCTAATTTTTTAAAATTTCTCCTTTGAATTGGCAACATCTTTTTAACAGAATTTATTCATTTAAAGCTTCAATTGACTTTTTTCAAGCCCATCCTTCAAAATCATCAACTTTACTGCGTTATTGAACACACGGTGATGAGAAATTGGTGTTGGTCGACGTATTCCGAGACGATCGCCATCGGATTCAGACATTTCAGTTAGTCCATTTGCCACAACTCGGATCTTTATGACTTCTCTGCGCCCTCTTTTCTCTCGTTCATCTCTTTCCCAGTTTCTATGACCACCTCGGTGAGAGATAAGAAACGCAGATCGGGTAGATTCGTTTCCCACGACTTGAATCACTCTGACATGTCTGCGTCTCTTTTCCCTTACCGCCGACGACATTAAGATATGAAAATAGCACAGGAACAAGGGAGGGCGCAGAGCAATCAGACTCTCAAGTTTTGCAAGTCGCCTGAATATTTAAGTGACAGAATTTTCTAGGCAAGCCGATCCAGAGCAGCTCAAGAACAACGGTTTTCCTGTATCCAGGATCTTTTCCGACGCCTTCTGAAGGAAAACAATATCCGATTTGTCCTGAGGTTAAAAAAAATCACATAAAACGTGAAAAAACGTCGGTTTTTGTTTCTCTGGCGTCTCTTCTTGTCGCCGTAGATCTCTTGCTTTTAGAGCTTTTCTCCTTTTATTAATAATTTTTCTTTCAGATTTTTCGAATGTACCTGATTTCACTGATGCGGGCCATCAAAATTACAGGTTTGAAAATATTTCACTTTGGCCGCACTTGGAATGGCTAAATGCGACGCGGTTGCTCTGAGGCTCTTGGTCGAATTAAAACTGTTTTAAGTCGGGTGAAAGTCGCTTTCAGTCAGATGCACTTTGCAGAATACTTGTTGAGCCATTCCACCTGCGATTCCATTTGCTTCAAAATTTATTCAATAGATTTAAGGCCACGAAGTTTCAATGGATGAATGTTACTTTGCTGAACTTGTTTCCACACTCGGATGGCCGGAATCCATGGTTTTTCGAATTTCCAGACGAAAATTGTAAATTTCCTGGTTTAGAAACATTCATTTCCTGACTGGGCTCTACGATCTGTGAATACTGGAACGAATACTATTGTTTCCGCTGATTTGCAGGTTTTTAAAAGAAGCTGAAAACGCAAAGAAAAATAATCAATTAAGAATCAAAACTCGTGGAAACAAACAAAAAAACTGCCAAAAATCTGATTTCGTATTTAATATTTACCCACTTTTTCAGCAAATATGGAGTAAAAACGCCTAAAAAGAGAGCGGGAAATTGCAACTTTGCCTATTGAAAAAGCTTGAATTTTTCATCTGACATGTCAAATTTTCTCTACAAAAATTTGATTCTTGATGAAAAAAATTCTCCGGTTCTATAAGAGAAAAATTGGACATAAAAACGGATTTAGAATTATTGTTTGAAGCAAAACTCGGAGAAAACTTAGAAAAACCAAAATTTTGCATTGAGCTTGAAGTTTTGAAGCCTCAGACTCTATCAAAAAATCCTTTCCAGAAAGCAGTGAACACGGATTACAACCTGAACTTGGGGATGGGGGCCGAACATTACATGAACTACAGCCAGAACCAGAACGAAAACTCGCCGACCATTCTGGCTGTCATATTCTTCCACATAATCGAGAGACGCGACAACACTCTTCCGCTCGAATTTTACAAGTATAGTGATTTTTCACCTTCCGCAAAAGATAGGTAGATAAACCACAGTACACTGAGATATTGTCCCTTCAAGACCAGCGATTTGAAGGTAAATGGTTTTGCGCAGAAAAAAAATATTTAAAAATTGATTTTTTTTTTCTCGTTTTTTATAAGACCTCAATAGTATTCAGAAATGAATTTTTCACCTTTCAAAAAAAAAGTGAATAAACCACAGTATACCGAGCTTTTTTCGCTTCAAGACAAGAACGAAAAATTCGCCACAAAATGAAAAAAAAGTCTCATTTCTCTGCTCCCTCTCGAGTTTACGGGCTATTTTTCCAAGACCTGCCCGGCGAGAGACAAGAGAGCGCAGACAGGTTAGACTGTTGAGAAAAAAGAAAAAAAATATATGAAGATGAAAATGAAAAACAAAATGGAAATTTAAGGATCCTGCAACGGAAATCGGCGCGCGATATCGTTATCGCGACGAATTACCTCGTCGATTACGTTATCGCCAAAATCAAGGACGATTTGGACAATAATGAGTCGTTTTCCAGTGTTGGTTTTCCATTGTTATTTTATAAAATTAGGAAAAAATAGTGTTAGTGTAGTTAGTGTGAACAACCCCAAATGGACTTCTGGATAAATTTTTAGAGAGGTTGAAAAGAAAACTTCGATGTGTAAAATGCGCATTTTACTGTTTCGTAAGAGAATCAAGTGATGATTTGGAAAGACTCTCACTCAATAAACTCGGCCATTAAAAAATTTCCAAATAAGCAAAAAAAAAGTCATTCTTGTTGCAATAGCCGCATTGAAAAAAGGGAAATGAACTTTTTTCCATCAAAAATTGGAAGTTTCTTCAAAAAAAAGTTATTCATTTCAATTATTATCAGAATTCGAAATCAAAAATTGAATTTAAAATAATATCCCTTCACACAATTTTCTTTACGTTTGAGGTAATATATACATTTGACAGATTATGTGTGTGAGAAATAAAACATTTTGATTGATCGATTAAAAATTTTGATTTTTTCGAAAAATTTTCAGTCGAAAGCCCAATGTCAACAAAAGCAGAGTTTGAAATAATTTTGTAACTTTCAGGATCTAGTATGACCTTTTTAAGTGATTTTTTTCTAGAAAACTTTAAATAACAAAGTAAAAAAATTCCTTAGAGAATTCTCTACGAAGTTCGACTTTTTAAAAAAATTCCCAACAAAAAAATAGTCGATCACAGAGAAACCTCATTTGCCTGCTGGAAAAAGTTGTTCGGAGGGTTTTTTTCTAATGCTTTCAACATCTTAAAATTCAAAAAAAATTTCGAATAACATTTTTTCTAGAAAATCCTATAGAAGAAAGAGAAAAATAACAGCGTTGTGAGAATTTTTCAAAATGTGGCTTTGAAAACTGAATTTCACTAAAAGTTTGAGTTCAGATCTCGAAAGCCCTCATCGAGATGGTGTTCCGCTGGCATGTGGTCAGTGCAGATCGACTTCTTTTGGCCCTTGTTCTGCATCCGACCAACGACGAGACCTCGCACATCGCCATGCTCCTCGTGCATGTTCGACTCGGCCAACTTCTTCAAAATAAGCAGAATGGTTTCAGGACTTTTGTACAGTGAAAGATTTCACCGACCGAGTCGAATATTTCCACGCCCATCTCCCAAGAAAAGACCACCATTCCGAGTATATTCGCAAGCTTGTCGACTACCATACCGTTCGTTTTTTAAAGACATACGGCGGGTAAAACATGAGTTTTGAGTATTTACGAGATCTTGTAGAGCACTCCATCTGAAAGGTCTCTTTGAAACTGTTCAGAAGTTCCTATTTTCAGGGGCGATTCTTAGAGGTCACTTCAGGATTTTAAAAGTTTTAGTGGCCACTATAGTATTCGACTTAATGGCCCCTTTTAGGTGGCTATTGCTCTTTAAAAGTCTAAAAGGTACTACTAGACCTATAAAGCTACTATAGTGGCCGCTAATACGCAAAGTGGCTTCTATAGAGCTGGTTTTACAGGGTGGCCAATAAATATTGAAACGCGTTTGAAACGTTATAACTTTCTCAAAAGTCAATCAAACACCACCAAACTTGGAACAAATTTTATTCATACAATATAGAAACAAAATTCAAGAATAGTTTTCAAAACGTCCTCCTTTAGCTTTGATAACGGCCTTCAGTCTCTTCGGATACGCATCGATCACGGCACGAAGGTAGTCGTCGTCGATTTCGTCCCATTTCTTGATGAGCGCGGTCTTCAGGGCTTTGATACTTGGGCAGTTCTTAGAAGAGACCTTCTCGGTCAGATATATCCACACGGCATAGTCCATCGGGTTGAGGTCGGGCGAGGAAGCAAGCCAATCAGCAGCCGAGATGAACTCGGAAAATTGGCGCGACACCACTCTTGAGTCCCTTTGGCACGATGAGCGGGGGCGCCGTCCTGCTGGAAGGTCCATGATCGGTTTTTGTTGTGAGAATTGGCTCAGGGCAACACCCTCAACTTTAAAATCTACTCCCTGTAGTATACTTGGTTCACTTCGACTCCAGAATCCACAAAAATCAGCGGAGTTTTGCCGTCAGCGGTAATTCCGGCAAAAACCATCACGGAAGCCGGATGCGAAGTTTTATTCAGAATTTTTCCTTTTTCACAGGCACTCTGATAGTCAGTAGCGATGATCGGATGGTTTTGGCCGTTCTTGTTCGTCTCCACAGTGAAGATTTTCTCGTCGGTAAATAGCGTCGTCAGATGCGAGCCATCTTTCGTGCCAGCGAGCAGCTTTCGAGCCTTTTTCATCCGCAATGTCTTGTTTTTTTGACTGAGGAAGGCTCCTTTCTGCATACGGTAGGGAATCATCTTCAGCTTGTCCTTGACAATAGTACTTATCGATCCTTGACTCATTTCGTATTCTTTTGACATCTTTCTCATGCTTCTTTCCGGAGTGCGTCTGATTTTCTCTCGAACGGCTTCTGGAGTCGTGACGGTGAATGGACGTCCCCTCTTTGCATGTCATCTGAAGTACCGAGACGCCGATAGCGTTGTGCAGTTCGAAAAACGAGAACACGAGACACTTTCAGCTTTTTAACGATCTCTGAATTTGTCATTCCGCTTTTGACATAATCAATGATTGCGGTACGGTACGGAGATGGGGCCACCATTACCTGAAAACTGAAAAGTATGAGCTGTAACTTCAAACACATGATAAGTGAGCATGAATGAACGAAATAAACGAAAAAAATCCGAGGCCAGTCCTTTGTGCAAAAAGCAGCGATCAAACAAAAAACGGTTTCAATATTTATTGGCCACCCTGTAGTAGCTACTTCAGTGTCCTCTCCAAGTAGCCCTTCAGGATCTTCTTAAGGAGCTAAAAATGTTTTCCGGTCTGAAAAAAAAATTTTCTTGAACTTTCTCGACTTACATTAAGAAAATTACCATAAGAGTTTTTTTTTTTTAGCTTATGGATTTTGCAGTCTTTTCTCCATGCTGAAAAATTCGTTGGAGTTGTGAATTTTTGGGCTGCTAAATTGATTTTTTTTTTTGCAAAATAGATCACGGTATGAACGATTTTACTGTCTTGGCCCTTGGTTATAGCCCATCCAGCGCCAGCCTATCATATATGTTTTCCATCGGGCTCCAAAAACCTTCCCTTCGAAAGGTGCAGCCTGTCTATTAGCATGCGCCTTTAAAATAACGGAAATTTTGAAAAGCACAAAAAGACGTGACATGCGCGAAATTTGCTACAAAATTTTTTTTTATTTCGAAAAAGAAGTCTAAACCATGTTTCGCTGGCCATTCGTCTTTTAAATAAGAGAAAAAATTGACCTGAATTTTTGAAGAAATACCCGGAATACACTTATCAAGAGTGCATCAGTTCCTACGGAAAGCCGCCGACAATCATTCCGCAGACCCATATGCCGTTTTACTACGGATCTCTGATTGATCGACTTCTTCCGGTTGGTTTAATCAGAGTTTATAAAAAAACAATAATAATGATTCATTTCTCGTTAACTTTTTAAAAAAATAAGTAATTGGACTGAAGAGAGGGGAAAAACTAACAAAAGAGATCAATTTATTTTTTGGTTGCGAGTTCCCTTAAAATTGGCCGAAACTCTTTTTTATGTACTAAAATAAGATCCTGGAAGATAAAACTTGCAGAAATTCCTAGTTTTTGAACAAGGGCTCAAAAATAGCTCATTTTTACGGGATTTGAGGGTTTTCTTCCACTTTGAGGCGGTCTTTCCCAAAAACTAGGAAGTTGTGCAGATTGAGACTTTAAGAGCCTTCTTTTGGTATATCAATAACGGCTGTTTTTTCGGAAACCGTAAAGTAGTTCTATTTTCTTTTATAAAAATTTTTTCAATGTGAAAGAATTTTCCCCTAGGAATTTTTATGGAATTTCGGGAATGAAGTAGGAAGGAACGTATATACCGTATGTTTCTTGCTTCAGATAACCGACTACATCATTTGCCGGGCCCTGGAACTTCCTCTGGTCGATACCGCCTGTCAAAGATTGATCCAGTCCTTGGCACCGCTTTACAAATATCATCGTGAGTCCAACTATATATTTTATATTTGTTCGTTTTTTCGGCAATTTACGAATCAATTTAGCCCTATATTTAAGTTTTTCTCAAACAAGACGAGCTGACTATGTCGGAATTTCTTGATCCCTGAAACGGGGTCACTTTTCAGGTTTAGGTCACAAAAAATCTATTAATAAAAAATGGAGCTGCCGACATACTTAGCAACGCTATAGTAGTCCCTAGAAAAGCAATGTTAGAGGTACTTCAACCTTCATCTTACCTTCCCCGATAGGGACCACTAAAGCTTCAGAAGCTTAGAGGGCAGACCCGACACCCCAATAGAGACCACCTTAGTTTTATCCCTCCAGGGAGCACTATTTTGTACCCTAGGGGCTGTTTTTTTCCCTAAACCCCTATAGGGGTCAATTTGAAGTTCCTCAGTATGCTTGGACAGTTCAGCGAAAAAGTTCAACTCGAAAAAGAACCTCAAAAAAAATAGCTTTTCGGGTAGAACTCGAAAAAAAAAGCTTCATTGATAACGGCCTTGAAGGTTTATTTCTCTTTTTTTTATATATTCGCGAAAATTCAAGGCTTTTTACAAATTTTTGCTTTTTTAGTTTTCCTCTGTATTTTATTTTTTCATCTTCAGCCACTCCGCTAACGTTCACTTACACGGTTTTGTACTACCTGAATGACCATATGAAGAAGCCTCTTTCCAAAACTTTTGTCCTGACGATGCGACGGCATGGTTTGTTTTCTTTTTAAAATATTCCATTCATCATCTTTTTGCAGTAGAAGACATGCATCTGACGGAGGCTTTCGAGAAGTACAACCATCAGCGGGATTCGCTGGAATCCCTTTTCATCGAGCTCGTTGATCGGATCGCCCTCAGCTTGGACTTTGTCTTGTCGTCCGTTTTTTCTGTCTCAAAATTATTACTCTTCGAAAACAATTTCGTTCCGGATTTTTGTGGTCTTCCAACCTCTTTTTAGAACCTCTTGAACCTTTTCCATTGAAAATCCGTAAAATTTCGGAATTAGGAACTGGAAAAAAAAGTATATAATTTATAGATATTTCCATAAAGTCGAATCCGATTCTCAAAAAAATTTTTGAGGTCAAATAAGGAAAAATTTTTAATCTACTGTATAAAATCTTTCTTAAGAATTTTTAGACTTTATAAAGCTCTAGCAAAATTTTTTTGCTGGGAAAAACTTTTTTCCCTGAGGTCAATGATTGAAAATTGAGTCTATAGGATAGAATTTTTCTTTAAAAGTTGAAAATCCCCTAACACGTGTAAGAAAGCTCTTGTAATTTTTGTAGAAGCCAAATATATGTTTTTCTCAATAAGTGTTTGATTATTTTTGGATATTCAGACCCCCGCCATTCGTTGCGCAAGACTGGAAAACGGCTGAATTTTCTCCGGGAGCCCAGACAATTTATTTGGCCTGTATCGAGATTATGGCCTCGCCTCATCCGCCTGAGGTGAATTTTAGGAATAGAAGTTTCTGAAAAACTTTATCCTTCATTTGACCTTATTGATCAAACAAAAAATTTAAAAAGATAATATCTTTTTTCGTCTTCTCTCAAGTAATTAACGTATTTGGAAACCCTGAGACCGATCGGAAGATTTTGTGAAATATTGATTCAAAGATGAAATTGATTCCACGAGAACGCGACACACTTCAAAAAAAAAATAGACGGGAATAATAGGCTAGAAAAAAAGTTTACTTAATTTTAAAAAAAGAAAAATTTTGCACAGGCGATCGTCTCGGCAATGATCAACATGCTGATGGTGAAGCCTCAACAGAGGCCCTACAACGTGATAAATATCCTGGCCCTTCTTCTGACCGCCCTTCCCGACGTCTATGGAAACGTCCTTCATGACGAGTTCATCGCTGTGGTCGACCGGTCTTTGGCCAAAAGTTTATCTTAATTTCTCAAGTTCGCGGTCGTTTTAGTTTGGGTGCTACGACAAGAACGTTTTTTTTATTGAATTGAACTACATTAGGCAGTTAAATTGCGTCAACTTTCCATTCTTTTTACGCCTTTGTACCGCTTGAGCCCAATTCGATTTGCCAAGGTCCGGCCCTGATATCAGAGATGATCAAAAGAATGTCTCTAGAGACATATCTGTTCTTTTTTTTTTGACGGTCTTGGTTTTCCACTGCTAAGATTTCTTGAACCACTTGGTTACGTCGCGGCGGGGATCGAACTCGTGACCCTTCAGAGACAAGCAAACAACCTGTTGCGCTACGGCGCGACATCCAGTCTGACTTGTTGAAAAATAAATTCAAAAGCAGAGAAGCTGTTTGAAAAAATCGCTGTTGTAGTAGCATCTTACTTCGTGCTTCGTGCAATTTTTCGAAAATTAGTCAGTTTTCTCTTACAAGGAACTCTTTTTTAGCCTCGTTTGAACTTTTCTCGGCTTGATGTAACTCGGCTGTGTTTGAAGAGTATTCTGACAATTTTTCTAAAATTCAAGTGAAAGGAATTCGAAAAAATAAAATTGACTTTTCACCGTACCTGATGACCTTCAGACCACACCTTCGAAGAGATCGTCTTCGACACGTTCGAAGAGGCTCAACTCCTTCATCTGACCTCGCGTCCCTTGATCATCAACGCCTTGTCTCAGGCCTACTGGACCCACTGCAAATGGGTCCGTTTTTGAGAAATTCCCTCAATTTCAAAATAGAAGTTATTGAGGCTTTTTTTTTTCGAAAAATGACCTTATGACGGTTTATGAGAGTCTTTTTTCAGATAACTCTTGAAAAGTTCACCTGCGACCTTGCACCAAAGATCTTGGACCGTGTCCAGACTGAAAACGATTTGTGGTTAGTCCGATTAGTTTTTCGCAGAGGGAAAAATTTCAATTGGAAAATCTACTGTAAAAGTCATTTTATAGTTACTCGGATCACGTTAAAAAATCATTCGGATGGCCGGAGTTTGAAGGGATTTTTTTTTGATCCAAAACCTCGGAAATTGAAATTGGAGAGGAACTCAATGAGAAAGTATTATTACTTCGTTTTCTTTTTTCTTTTTTTAGTTAAAAAGTTGAGCTGCATTTTCATTTCTCATTTTTCCAAATAAATTTCAAGGTACGCTCTTCGACTGTTGGTTCCATTGCTGCAACGGTGTTACGAATGGCCGAAAGAAAAAACGAGGCATTTGACTGAGGTAAAGTAGACAATTTTACCTTTTTCGGCTTCTTTCTGTGCTTCAAAAGAAGAAAGGCCGTTTTAGTTTTTAAAATTTGGCCATAATACTTCTCGATTTACTAGAAGATGATTCTGAAAGTGTCAACCAACACAACTTTCTAGGCTCTGAGAAATAAGTGCTCAAAGCTCAAAAATGGCCTATTTTTACGCATTTTGAGGTTCCCTCTGACTTTGAGGTTTCCTTTCTCAAAAATTAGAATTTTGTCAAGGTCCAGACTTTCAGGATATTTTTCTAGCCTTCTTTGTGAATTTTAAATAGATTCCCAGTTCAAAATCATGATAAAAGGTAGAATTTATTCTCCATATAAAATTTTCAGATTTTCAAAATCTTGTTATGTTAGTTTCGATGATTCCAATTTTCATGATTTTTTTTCCGAGTTCAATTCAAGTTTGAAATAGATAAGTGAAGAAAAACTGAATTCCCCTGATTATTTTTCAGTCCCTGGAGGTTGTTCGAACAATTATTGACCGAATCGCCTACCTCACCAGCATCGGCATCGATATTGTCCATTCGGTTCGTGTTTTATCTGAAACAGAAATGAATGATAATAAAATTAAGAATATTTTCTTGAATGATAGGACCTTATTGGTTTCGAGATCGTTAACAATAAAAATTGAAAACCATTTGATTTTAATGAAGGATAGAAACAGTAAATGTTTCGATTTGCTTGATTCAGGACGAGTTGTGCGACCTTTTGTACCATTTCAAGTACGTTTTCGTCGGCGACTACCTGCGGAACAATGCCGAAGCCACTTTTGCCGGGTATTTATATCGATTTTGAGTCCCTTTTCAACTATATTCTTCAGGTTTCCGAAGAAAATGCGCGATAGATTGAGATTCTACGCAACGCAATCGGATAGGAAAACCGATGAGAAAAAAATGGTTGGTTTGGGAATAAAAAAAGTCTTTTTTTGCATACTTTTCGAAAGAAAATCGTCATTCTTTCAAAAAAATTTTTATTTTTTTATTTTTCAAAGTGTTTAATTGAATTTAAAAAAAGAAGTTTTATACTATTTTTTTCAATTTTTTTAATATTTTGCATAACTTTCTGTAGCTCCCAGTTTTTTTCAATTCATTGTGTCTTTATCAGATTTATTGAGAAAACAAATCCCTAATTTTTAGAGACAGATGTGCGAAAAAGAATAGATTTCACAGTAGAAAAAGAAATTCTGAGAAGAAAAGAATGGTTTTTTTTCGAATTTTTCACGATATTACAAAAAAAAGTTGTTTTTTTAAGAAAAGGATTCTAAAATCATGTAAAGAACAAACTTTGAAAAATCCTATTTTTTAAAATGTTTTCCCTACACTTCAATTTTCAGGAAGTTCTCATCCATCAGTGTCTCACCAATCATCGTTTTCTTAATAGTTTTCATTTTTCCTGTTCAATTTCTCATTAACTTATTAAAAATTTCTATGAAGAATAGCCAATTAACGTTTCCAATTACGTGTACCTTCCAAATAGCATCTCATTCTTTGTTTGTACATATCTGTCATTTTTGTTACACCTTGATCATTTCATTAAATTTTGAATTTTTTGTAATCCGATTTTTTTTTCTGTTTTAGGCGTTTCAATGACGCTGATGATACTTTTATGAAATTTTTTTTTTCCGATTTTCATTTTTTAAATAATTAGGTACGATGATTGATGGGTGAGGGGCCGGAAACGTGGAAAAGACGGTTGGCTGAGCTCTACGCTTGTTCGTGGTTCGTTTTTCTTTCAAATCGGGGAATCAGTTCAAAAAAAGGTTTTTGAAAAACGAGCTGTTTTACATATGGCTCGAAGATCTTTTTTTTGTTTCAAAACGTTTTTCTTTTTAAAAAAAAATCTTGCTTTTGAAATTTTATAGGGACTTGAAAACTTCCCCGCTCGAAAAGGTAATTTCTCGACTTTTGAAAAGATTTTGATCCATAAAACTACAAGCCTGTGCATTTCGAGATTTTGAGAATCTAACAAAAAATTTTTTTTGATCTAGTGTGAAAATTTTATGATGCTCACGATCAAACTTTTTTTTAATTTAACCGTCTTTTTTTCGAGTTTCGAACACTTTTACTATGAAGCTTCAAGTGAAATTATTTTTTTTTTCAAAAATTCAAAGTCCCATTTTTTTTTTTCGAGGCAGCACATAAATATGGAATTTATTTAGGTACTGGGGAGATATTTCGTGGAAATGGGCCGAAAAGCTTCTTCTTCTCTGCCCCGAGGGCTATTTTTTGGTTCGCGACAGTCGCAGCGATAGCCATCTTTTCACTGTCAGCTATCATTTGGATGGTCGGTTTTGTTTCAAGTATAATCTCTATCAGTTTCTTCCCATATTTTCAGGCAAAGTTTACCATTCGCGTGTCTCGACGTTCGGGACACTGGCTCATTTGGGCGATCGCCGGCCTCTGCATTGCAGCGAGAGTGTCGTCGAACTCATTCAGCACGTCGTCGAGGTGAGAAGTACGATAAAAAAGACAAAACGGTAGTTTCCACAAGGTTCCGTGTGCAACAGGGACAAAGAATTAATGGGAAAGAAAGCTTTTGAAGTGTTTCACGTGTTTGTGGAGAGAAAAGTAGTGGGTGAAGAGAATCTATCAAAAAAAATAATGGATAACAAGAAAAAAATTAGAAAAAAATCACTGAAATCGAAAGTGGACAAGGCTTTCGAGAAGTTAGAAACTCGCTTTATGAATCTGATCGATTCCGCTGTTGGCCGCTGGGTTCACTCATCTTTTTTCACTGTTTTCTGACATGTCATAATGCAATTTTTTCTTCAAAATGTGAACATTCACGAAGTTTCAAAAAGCGTTGAACCAAATGTAACCGATTTATTTATCTTTTAGGAATCTTTTAACTAGTTCATTGATAATGAATAATAATAATAATAATGGGTTTATTCACTGCGTACGGTAAAAAAGAAAATATAGACTGTAATCCGGGCTAGACAGGAGTGAAAGCAAAAAAACGTTCGAACGTTGAAAATCTACTCTAGAACTTTCAATTCATTTGATGAGCGAATAACGAAACAAATAATAATACGCCTGTGTCTGTACAATTTCTTTTAATCTTCGTTATTTCAACTTGCGCAATTTTTCAACCGTTCCTGAGAAAGATTTGTTTTCAGCAGTCGCAACGCGGCGAGCACGACATGCTGATGCACCGACGAGGAGCCGAAGCCGAAGCCTCGAAGATGCAGCTGAGCCGACCTCTCGGCCGCCTCGAGCTTCTCCCCTCGCTACAGTACCTCTGTCGTCTCAAGATCCGACAGAAGTGTCCTCCCGCGGCCATTTCCAGCCTCCGACTGCCGCCCAACCTCCTCGCCTACGTCACCCACACCAAATACCTCATTCCTGACCTTGAAGCCTCCGAGCAAGTCTTGAAGATTCGAGCTGAAAACGGCCTCTGGCCAGTCTCATGACCCTTGTTTCTCGATTCATCCTTACTTGGATGACCATCGTCGCATTTGGAATGGCTAGAAGGGTTACTGTCGGCTTTATTGCTCTTTTGCCACGTTTTGGTACCGTCTGACCTGTCTGCGCACTCTTTTCTCTTCACGACGAGGTCACAGAAACATGGAAATAGCGTTAAAGAAGTGAAAAGCGTCGCCGAAAAATAGACACTGAAGGCAGTGATATGATGACTGATTTAAATTTTTCTCAGAGTCCTTACCGCGAAACTTTGAGCCATCCCACGTTGTAATCTTTTCACCTTAGATAACTTCAAAAAAAGCTTTAATTTTTAATTAAAAAAATTTTTGAAAGTCTTTTTCTCTTGTATATTTACATTTACTTCAGATGGATTAAACTTATGGTCCTTTGGAGATAAAAAAAAAGTTCAAATCAATAACTGTAAGATTTTAATTTCAACAGCCAAAGTCATACTTAAAAATGTTCAATTTTGAGATATTTTTTCATTTTTACCTTTCCTTGACCATAGAGCATATAATCTTGATGTTTTTTCAGGTTTTCAGTGCATTTTTCCCTTGAATGTTGTACATTATACTTGTACTTTGAAATAAGCTGGCCTTATCTTTTGAACGAAGTTTTTTAAATCTTGACTTGTCAATTATTCTTGGAGCTTTTTTTCATTTAATATGTATGTAATTAAATTCCTTTTTCTCTATGAACATAACCAATTTCTTAGGTTTTATCATTTCTCCTCATCTATAATTTTTTTCCTGTATTTATGTTTCAAAATATTGTACACTCCCGAGAAGGTTTATTTTTCAAACCTGGACTTTCAGAAATCTTACGAATCTCAATCATTATTTTTAAATAAAAATTTTTTTAAAAAAAGTTTTTTTAATCTGTTAACAAATATATGTTGAAAATGCTCACGAATGTATCAGATATAATTTTTTTCAATTTTTTTGGAGCAAAATTTTTCAGGTCTTATGAAATGTCGACAATCTTCGCCATGTGTTCGGGATCATTGCCGGCGGCGATTTCAGTTTTTTTCGAGTTTCAGGTTTGAACAAATTCCGGTTTTGGTAAAACTTCAAGACTTTTTTTCTGATTCTATTTATTTTTTTTATGCCGTACCTCTGCTTTCAAGAAAACTAAGATTGCAATCAAATTTTTGAAAAACTCATAGATCAGTAGTTTTTGCAACTCTCATTTTTCAGTTAAGAAAAATTACCTTCTTTTGAGAGTTTAGTAAATTTTCATGTTCATAGTCCATTCCGCGCCTGCTTGTCCCGTTTTTTTTTCCTACATTGAAGACCGTTGACCGAGTTTTGCTTCGAGATCATTTTTCACAATTTTGTAATTGTTTTTGGAGTCTGTAGGGCAAAGGTGCTAGAAGGCTTCTCAAAAAACTGTACAAAAAAGCTGGGACGGTAGCTTTTTGAGATTTTGAATGTAAGAATCTTAATCCGTTCTCGTGCTACAGTATCTTCGGCGTTGAAGTTTTGTCACGCTTGACGATGATCCTTTAATAGCGCTGAATTTCTTGAAGTTTTCAAAGCTGTTAGATGGAAACATTTAGCGTTATTAAAGGAACATCGTGGCGCGCGATAAAAGTCTGATAATGAAAGGTACTGTGGCCACTGGGGTGGATTAAGCGACTTTACATTCAAACCCTAAACTGACTATATAATTCGTTCAGGAAAAAGTAGCCTGAACGTTTTGAAGCGGCTGAGCGGCAAGTCCAACTGGAAACCAAGACAAATGACCTACACAAAGTTACGAGATCAAAGAGAGATTATCGACCACGCGATGGCGGTTTTCATGCCTGGTGAGACGAGATTTTAATTGATTTACAGTCTGTTGAAAATTTGGTCTGATCAGTGTTTGAATCTCAAGTCGTCGCTCAAGCTCCGCCCCTAAGGGCTAGTTAGACCAATCAGAGAACGACCCATCTACAGAGCGTCTTCGAATGACGCCATTTTAACTGAAATTCAAAATCTGAAAAGACTAATGCCGATTCACGGCTATCTTGGGACACTATAAGGCCTGTCTGCTCTCTCCACTATCGAGGCACTATCTCTTCTTTTATCGTGCCAGGACCATTTTTTTTACGAAGGCGTAAGCGAGCCGCATTGTGGCTCTAGTTAAAGACCCAGAAGTCGTGAGAGCAAATACTGCGTCTTTTTGTATTTTTTCCTTTAAATATTCGAACAAGACTCTCGGAAAGCTTGTGATCCATGGAGCGCGTTTACTTCACCCTCCTCAGCTACCTTGAATAAAATTTCTGAGCTGAAAAATTCGATAGTTCTTTCTGTGAGCTCAAAGTTCTTAGACTTAAATTCCCAAGCTTCTGTGAGCTCGATTTTTGAATTTTTTTTGCAAGTTGAAGCTTTTTCCAGGCCCCCACACGTTCACTGGAGAAGACACGGCCGAAATCTTCGTTCATGGAAGTTTGGCCGTCGTGAATTCTTTGGCCGAATGTCTGGGTGGCATGGAAGACGTACGTGAGGCGAAACGGGGCGAATTCACGAGAAGGTTGGAAATTTCGAAGATTTGGTTCATTCACAAGCTTATCAGTAGCCTGAAGTAGAATCTTTTTCGAATAGTTATTTTCAAATCCGTTCGACAATGTTCCGAATATTTCCCAAAAAAAACCATTCAGGATAAAAAAGTTGAGCTGATTTTTCCTTTGTGTGTTCTCTATACCTTTTCCATAACCTCGTGGTTCCCGCCAAAAGCCGCGACGCGTACGCAACGCGCCAGTCTACCCATCTCGCCTCTCATATTTAGTTGTCGCTTCAGAGCGTTCTACAACGGCAAAATGGATCTGAATGAAGTTCGTGGCCTCGAAAATCTCATTAGGTCCAAAACGCAAACACAGCGACGGCTGGCTTTTGGCCAAATGCGAGGGGGCGAGAAATCCGTCGAGATTCGGTTCGAGTCAATAAGAATTCTGAAGATTTCAGTGATCTTTTTAGAGATCGACTGGCGGAAATGATCGCCAAAACTTTCACGATCATGGATTTTGGGGAGCACGTCGAGATGTCTCTGGACAGTGTCAGGTCAGTTATTTTCAAGGGAAAGATTGATGGAAATGGCTAGTTTTCGTATGCAAAGTTGACTTTCTCGAGAAAAAAAATTGGCATTGGTTTACGGGGGCTATGAGGGACAGAGACTCATTTCATAAAGGTCCTGAGACGAACAGCCGATTTTGGTGTTATGGGTAAGAAAAATTTTCAAATTTTTAAGGATTTTAAGCGAACCATGCCTATTTCAGCTTCCAAAAACCATGCAAAAATAAAACCTTATTGAAATAATGACTTCTTCGAAAATTTTGAGAAAATAGAGAGGTGGAACACAAAAGAGTCCGAATTTTCTGTATTAAGTATATATGGCAACCTTTTTCCCACTTTTCCCTTTTTTTTTCCCGAAAGTTGAAAAGTTTAAAGAATTAGGACATTACAAAAAGTTTATTTAAACAAATGAAAAGAAAGTTGAAATTTTTTCAAAGTGAGTTCTACGTTATTTGGAATATTTGTAAGGCGAAATCGAATTTTTTTTTGTTTCTCGTCTGTTGTTGCTCGCTATCCTATATATTTTTTTATTCTGTTTTCCAGGTCCTGTGATTTTTTAAAAATTTTGCGTTAAATAAATTTGTTGGAAAATGGACAGCGAAGATCTTTTCTGTAAAGATAGACTACCATTAGGTTTATAAAAAATGTGTATTTCAGAGATTCGATTCATTCTCTGGTCGATGAACTCAGCGAAATGATCAAAAGTTCGCGAGGAGCCGAAAAAGCGCAACGGGGAATTAATATAGTCCTTTTGGGAAGGCCGAACAGCGGAAAGAGTAGTCTTCTCAATCGGTTAGGTTCGTTTTACGTGAAGAGAGGGAAAAATTGGAAAAATATGAAAATTAGGCCGTAATTGCTATTTGTGTATTACTAATTTTTGATTTTTATCTACTTTTGACCCTACCCTGGGAAAGGAAAGTTTTGAGGAGGGTCTTTTTTCGAAAAAAAAAAATTAGGTTTGAGATAACTTTTTTCAGGTTTTTATTACTCTTTTTGAAAAAAAAACGGTAGTGCACTCCATAGTTAATATTGAAAAAAATTCAAGTTTTTCTTCAGTTTCTCCCTGAATCTCCATTCTCCTGCTTTCCTCATTTTTCCTTCTCTTCGTCCATTTTTCTTCTTAGCCCCATAAAATCCCCCCTGACTGAGGACGGCTTTTTCTCGTCTTCGTCAATAAATCATTGTATAATAAAAAATCGCCCCTGGTTTCAGCTCATAGAGACGTCGCGATCGTTAGTAAATTGCCGGGAACGACTCGCGACAGCCTCGAGGTACACGAAAAACCAATAAATATATCTCTTTTGCAAAGAAGGAAATAAGGAAAGAAAGATATAAATTTCCCTCTTAGCCGTCCAGAGTACTGTGCTTTTATGGCTCCTGCCTAATGGGCTGGAAAATGTGAAAAAGAAAAGAAAACTTCAGCTTCTCACGGAAAAGCAAGTTTCAAAGAGATTTTCGTTTCTCAGGAACCCTGAAGTGGTCCCTATTAGGACACCTTTAGAAATCTTCGGAACGTCCCCTCCAGGGACACTTTTACCACCACCTCTAGGTCACTAAAGCTTGCAAAGTGGCCCATGTAGGGGTTTTATTTAGTGAATCCTCCAGTGACCATGCTACCCGATTGATGTTATGAACTCTATAAAAAAAGCATTCCATATGAAAAACTCAATAAATTAATTACATAAAGGACCAGCTTGAAGAGACCGAGAAGAATGTCTGAAAAGTCTTACAGCGATTGGGAAAATATATATATTTCGTTTGAGTTGATTAAACGAAGAGTTTCCAGACTTCTCTGGAGATCGGCGGTGTCGGCTGTCGGATAACGGACACGGCTGGACTCCGCGACGACGCCGTCGACGAGGTCGAATCCGAAGGCATCAGAAGGGCCAAGAAGAAGTCAGAATTCGTTTTATGACTTGAATAACTGAATAACTTGAAAGAAAAGTTCATACCTACTATATTCGTTCATAAAACTGGATTAAATAATTTTTTTGAAAGCTTAAATTTATCAGTTAAAGAATAATAGTCGTCTCCAGAAAGTTCCAGACAAGTTGAACTGAAATAAAAAATTCGTGATAAAAAGTGGTTTCCAGTGTCTTCTACCCTACTTTATTTGACGAAATGAGGCCCAAAAAAATTAGTTGCATCTGAATCACTATTCAACCTCCTTGAAAGTACCGAAAAAGGGTAGGGCGATCAAGCTTCTAGGCTTTAGTAAAACTTTCTGAGAGGCTGCACTCAATAATGTTGACGACGTGGAAAATATCGACTTCTCGAATGATTGAGATGGTTGCTTCAGAATCGTCGCAGCCGACGTCGTCGTCATCGTTTTGGATCCCACGACATCTGAAGTCCAAGCGAAAGAGCTTTTGCAGACTTTCGAGGTTCTTTTCTGCTGGAAACTTTCTTGGAACTATGTTTTTTTGATTAGAAATTATCCTTTAGTTAGATAGTTTTTATTGAACTTTAATAGGATCCTCGTCGTGGATTTCACAAGAAATCTTACAGGGTAAAAGTATGACCTAGACCCAAAACTGGATGGAAAACGCTATTATTCTTCAAAAAAAAGTGTTTCAAAATCTTTTATTCAACATTCAAAATTGCCAGAAAATATATCTCAGGTCCTTACACGATTATAAGATTTTTCAAAGAAATTTCTGTAGTTTCAAGTTCTTACGATTTACTCTAAAAAGTTCGAGTTTTTTCTTCTTACAAAGTTCTTTTTCCTTCATTTGCCACCGTTAAAAATCGCAAAAACAACTTTTAGATTTTCTAAAATTTATATGATTTGAGTGAAGATATCAAGATAGGGAAAAGTTTAAGAGCTGTTATGAAAAACAGTAAAATTGGTTAAATATACTCAATTCTGATCCTGACACGATTATTGGGTACATTTCCAGATTTTGCTGTACTAAAAATTACCTTTTCTCAAAAATCGTTTTTTGTTATTCGAAACTACTGAGGTTCATGGATTTTACAAAAATTTGTATGATTTTATTGAAGATAAATGGCGGATTTTACGCTATTCTGGTTCTGACGCGATTATGGGGTTTTTCCAGATGTAACTGTACTTTGACTCCTTCAGACTTTCCTGCAATTTCCTCAAAAACACCTTTTTCTCCCGATTTCCCGCCACAAACCGCTGGTGTTACACCGGCCCCCAAGAACGTGTTGATAACGTCTCTGGGCCAAATGTTTTGTCATCTGACGAGGGACGGCCATTAAAATCTATCATCTGCTGGCCTGGGAGCCCCCGGAAAAATCGCGTTTTCCGGCCAGCTTTCTTCTCAAAACTTGTTTTTGATGGGCTCGACGGCCGAGTGGAAAGCAAAAATGTGAGAAAAGATTGACGCTCGGCCGCCGTTGCAAAGAGAAATAAAAAAAAGGGCTGTGAACATTTTTTTTTTTTGGCTTCATCTTGTTGATTTTTTCCGGATTGACAGGACCAGTTTTTATTCTGGGAAAAAAATATTTAAACTAAGAAAAAAATGCAATAAATGTGTATGAATGAAAAAAAGAACAGAGGGATCTCCTGAATTTTTTTCTAATTCATCTTTTTTTGTCTTTTTTTCTTGATTTATACTCTATGAAAAAGATTTTTGAAAACAAAAGAAAGTTCCTCAGAACGTGAGTGAAAAAAAGAAAAAGCTCAAATCTTAAAAAGATATCATAAAAAGAAAAAAAGCGCAGGAATTTTTATCTAACCAGGGAATGGTCTCTAGCCGCAGCGGGACAATTTTTTTCTACAATCTTTCTCAGCCTAGCCGGGTTTTTTTCTACTGCCCAAGGATGAAAATTTCACATTAATTTATTTTTACAATTATTTTGATATTTCTTGAGAACGGATTCAGAATCTGCGGAAATCGTGTAAACTTACAGGAAATTAAGAGCCATTCCCGTCAATTTTGGAACTTTTTTCATAGATCCTTCAAACCCCAACCAACATTTTTTTCCGACAGATGAAAGAAAAAAACCTGACTCTGTTTGCTCCTCGCAACTTTTTTCTCACTTAATTAATTAAATAGAATTTCTTCAGGATCTTTCTCATGCTGATGCCAAACTAATTATCGTTCGGAACAAGATCGACCTGAAATCCGGATTTGCCGCGGTGAATTTCGAAGCCGATAAGGTCGTCGGAACCAACGCGTTGTCTTCTGATGGTTTTGTGAACATTCAGCTGATGCGCAGCGAAGTTTTCAGGAGTCGATACGTTGCGAGAAGCTCTGTCGGATATTGTTGCGGAGATTTGTCCAGAGGCGACGTATTTACTAGATCATCGACTTTTGAGGTGCCTACACTAAAATTATCCTTTTTAAGTTATTTTTGATAAATAGTTGAGATTAGAGAGCTAAACTTATGTATAAAATTAACAAAAAAACTTTTTTTCTCCTACATTTTCCATTATTCACTACGACTTGAACAGTGGTCTCACGTAGAAATAGATCTGGCATTTTATTGTATTCTGGTGTTAATAATCCCCAAAGTATACCACAAAAAACACCTTGTTGTCCAACTTCGACTCAAAGTCGTATCGAAACACTTTTTCCTTTTAGTGAATGCCGCGACGAGCTCCTTCTGGCTCTGGAATCCCCCAAAAACGACGCTGCCATCGTCTGCGGCCATCTGGAGCGCGCCCAGGCCCGAATCGCCGAGTTGACGTCATCCAGCGTCACAGAAGACGTCCTCGACAAGATTTTTTTCAGAATTTCTGTATTGGAAAAATGAAATCTAGGTTGAAAACGATTTTTTTCAATTTTTTTACAAACTACATGAAAAGTCGCTCCATTGACAATTCTTGATAAAATCAATTTTTTTATTTAAATTCGAATGTTTTTTTGAGCGGATCATTATTCAATATGTGCCAAAAAACAACATCCAAGAAAGTTGAAAAACTTATGTGACGAATTCTGTCCATGGAGCGCAATTTCAGGCAAATTTCAGCTTTTCTCATTTTCTCCACTTCCTCCACAGTTTTTCCCTCATTTTAGAGGTATTCGTCATATTTTTCTCAACAGGTTATCAGAAAAGAATAGGTTACTGTATAACACTCTCGTTTTTCCACAGTATTCCGATTATCATGTCAGGATCCCTTTAAAATGGTTTTCACTGTTCATTTGAATTTTTTTGTCCTCGAATGTTTTTTTATTCGTTTCCAACAATTAGTCACATACTTTCCTGTTCATGAACTATAACGACCCATATTGGATATTCAAAAAAGATGTCCGCACTTGGAATGGCTGAACGCGTAACAAATGCGACCCGGTTACTAATAACGTTCGCCAGACTTGAAAACGGCTTTCGCGTGTTCCAAGATCACAGGCTTGTGTACAAACAAGCTTAAACCGCCGCGCGACCGCAACGCATTCAGCCATTCCAAATGCGAATGAAGGTGGCTTCAACTCGTAGCACCAACAGCTTTTTCCTTTCTTCTAACGGCTTTATTTTCCATTTTTTATCTCAAAAAAAAGCCAGTGATGTCGAACGTCCCCCTGGCCTCTGTCAATCATACTGGACCACCCTCTCTCTTCATTTCGTTCGGAAATTCGATACTCAAAATGAGAGCGCAAAAAGTTGTCGCAGTGCAAACGCTTACACACTAGCCACGCCCACTTTTCACGCCTCAAGAACAATTATTATAAAAAACTTATAAATTATCCAGAATTTTTGTGTGAAAGTTGTTAATTAAGTTATTTCAAAGTTTTCATGTAAATGAACAAATAAAAAATTTTCTTCTTTGAAAATTTATCATTTTTCATGTGAAGTATTCATGTTGAAATACTTGCCGGCTCATCCTAAAATGGGAAATATTACTGTAGATGGCTCTGATTACCTTTTACTATATTTGAAAAAAAATCTCGCTGGACCAATTTTGATAAAGATGTCACTGAATTCCCTATTTCGAAGAAAAGAAAAAAACAACAAAAATAAGAGAGCAGCATGGTTCGAAGAGACGTCAGAGAAAGAGACGTTTTCTGTTTTTTCTGTCGACTTTTCAGGCCGCCGTTGTTCCATCGCTTCAAATTTTTAGAGCTTTTTTGAATCGCCTTTCAAAATCACTTATGAAATTCTAAGTGGAAAGAAGACCTCCAAAACTCAAATAAAAGTGTTTTTTTAATGCATTATAGTTTCTTTTTGATTTCGAGACACATTTTCTTTTTAAACAAGGGATTTCTTTCAATTTCGTTAGTTTTCGGAGAAGAAATCAAGAAAGAACTGCTTTTGGAAAAGAATAAAGTGCTCAGTATCAACTTGTCGAGTGTGTATAGTTTGCTCCAACGAAAAACTTCTTCGATTAGCCGGCCACGCCCATTTTTATTTTCACATAAAGATCACAGCCAAAGGAGGAGTGCACGCTGAAACTAAACGTGTTTCATTCTTTTCAGACTGTTTTTCTTCTCAATAAACGAAAGAAAAAGCTTAAAGTGTATTGCTCATGTTAGCGTCGCCGCCGGCGCGTGCAACCAAATTAACGAGGCGATTTTCGACGGATTATCAAGGCGACGGCCGGGAAGCCACGCCCACAAACATTTGTCTTCTGAGGGAGAAAGAGGCCCCTCGAGGGTCCGGGACTAAAGCCGTGCGCTTTTGCAGGAAGACGCCTCAAATCCCAAGGTGCCCTGGAACGTCGCCAAAAAAGGAGAGGCGCGAAGAAGAAGACGAGCGGGAAGAAAAAAGTTAGGAGCAAATAACGCGACGATTCACGACAATTTGGCGGCCGGCGAAGGAGCAAAGATTTTTTTCCCTTTTTGAGAAACCTAGGGAATATTGGGGGTTTTCCAGGTATTTATTGAGAAAAATCTTCTAGTATAGCTCATTCGTCGTTGTCTTGGAAAAAATGAAGAGAAAAGTGGCCCATTTTTTGATTGAAACCGGCCAAATTTGAAGAGAAGAGAACTCCAGATGCCTGAAGAGACGCCAGAGAAGCGAGAGTGCACCGTTTTCTCTGGTATCTCTTCGAGAAACGCTTTTATTTCGTTTTCTTTTATTTTGGGCTTTTTTCAACATATCATTCCGAAGTTCACGAAAACATCTTGATATCAGGCTAAAAAGAAAAAATGAGAATTTTTTCGCTCTTTTTTGTTAAAAGAGCTGTGAAAAGGATTCTTTCTGTAAAAAGAAAATAGATTTTTGAGCGGAAACTCTGAGAATCTCCTGTTTTCCTCAGAACGTCTAAAAAAATTCTGGACAAACTTTTTCAAAAAAATTTTTCAAGCTTCATCTAATCTTAAAATAATTTCTTGAGCCATAGATAGTTGTTGAAAAAGCCTTCGAAAACGTCAGTTTCGTTTTTGAATATGGGAATAATTTGTGAGTCCTTACATCATTTTATTCTGGATAATCTCTTCAGAAGAGCTTTCACGACATCGATGACGTCAAAGAGGAGTAGAAGCTTCCTTTTTCGGAAGAAGACTGACAAAGGTCGACGTCGAACTCCGAACTCGACGACGAGCCTGAGGTGTGAGGCGGCTGCTGCCTCCTCCTCCTCCTTCCTCCTCTCCTTGACGCATCAGCAGAGGCTCTCCGCCTGAGGCGGTGGCTGGGAGGAGGAGGAGGAGAGAGGAGAGAGACGCGAGAGAAACGCGGCGGCTCGCCGACCCGACGTCGCCGCCGCGAGATCGATGGTTTGTGGGGCCGACGTGCGGCGGCTCCCTCCGTCCTCCTCGAATCGTCGTCAGTACCGCCGCTGGCAGTACTACCGACAGTACGTCCTGTCGTCGTTGCTCCTGCTGCTGCTGGCGGCCGCGACGTCGTCGGTTGGCGCCGCAGCCGCCGCAGCCGTCCTCCAGCAGGACCCGACGCCCTTGTCCGAACTGCTGTCCTCCCTGGACCAGGGTCATCCTTGCGGTCATGTCGTCGAAGCCGAGGCTTTTCTGGCCACCGCGGTCGCTCTCAAATTCCCGAGGCTTATTCAACTGTCGCACTTCTTCGCCAACCATTCCAAGAACTTCGACGTCAGCCTCATCGACAAGTCGTCTTTCTCCCGACAGCCGCCTTTCAACCTCGATCTCTCGAGGAAAACTCATTTCTACGGCTTGCAGCTGGACTGCACAGCTCCCACCAGCAGGTCGGTGTCTTTCTTTGTTCATTTCCTACCCTATTTATGTTCTTTTTCGAGTCAATAACTCGGAAATCTAGCTTCTCAAACTGGTTATCATTGTTTTGCATCTCAGATTATGTTCAATTCTGGAATTATTCTGCTGATAATAGATTAAAGAAGGTCTTTAAAGGCAACTTTTCGTTCGTTTCATTCATTTTTCATTCTTTGATACAACCTTTGTTTTATTTTAAATCATTCGCTTCTGAAATAACTCAGGAAGTGCCATCAAGTTTCCTTTTTTCCAAACAGTTTGGACCAAACTACTTTTTTGAACTTTTTGTGAGAAACTTTGTTCAAAACTATCTTGCGGGAGTATAGTAATATTAACTAAATGAGCGCAGTAAATCCCAGAAAGGTCTAGAAGCGTTTTTCAGTACCATTTTGCAATTTTCTGCTTGTTTAAACATTCCAAAAAACATTTTTTAATCTGAAATTCGTAATTATTTCTGAGAGATTTTTCATTTTAATTGCTGAAAATCATCCTTTTCCGAGTTTTTCGATTTCTGAATTATTCGTTAAAACTAGACCTTTTTATTTTTTTCACCTGTAAAACTTTTTAAAATTACTGAATTTTTTGTAGCTCAAAAATCTTGAGCACTGCTCAAATTTTTCAGCTTATTTTTTCTTGATTCCAGCTAGTGAAAAAAGATTTTCGAAGAACTTTCCTTCCTTTTCCTATCACTTTTTATGACCCGTTTTCCAAAAAAGGTTAGTTTTCCAGACAATTCCTCCAGAAATTAGGTTTATTTCGGTCTTAATTGAGTTTTTGATTGTTTTCTCCTACTATTTTCTCCATACCTTTTTTCCTTCTTCGAGGTTTGATTTTGTAGTTTTTCTCGATTCCAATAGTCGTCATTCAATTTTCGTAGTTTCTTAAGAAACTTCAGAAGATCTTCTTAAAGAATCTGAAAAAAAATAATAGTGACGTAAATTAAAATGTTTTTGTGTTTACACCGGCTGCCTCATTAGCACCGAATATCTTTACAGTAGCCGAAGATTTGAATTTTTCTTTTTTTGTTATTTTAGGCAGCTTAATTGAGTTAAAAAATGTTATTTTGATATTTATAATAACCAGAATTTTTAAAGATGGCTACCACGGCTGGTTTTTCCGTCGCAAGATCCGAACGCGACCTATCGGCAGGCATATTTAACGCTCAATCTCGACCAATTTGAGGTCGACTTGTGTTCTGCCGTTCCTTGTGATACAAAGGTACGCTTTTTTTATTGAGGTGTTTTTTTTTTTATTTTTGCATCTCTCTAGTGTTTATAAACGAGTAGACTGTATATTTCACAATTTTTCACGTGTTTTTGAGCATTTTAGGGCTTTTTCTAGATTTTTCCTTTTTCTCCAGTTTAAGACGTTTTTTTCATATTTCTATATTATAATATTTTTTTCATATTTTTCATATGGTTAATGGTTTTACGAGGTTCTCTGAGTAATATTGAGTTTTGATGTGCTTTTTTGTAGTACTTAAGCAAGGGTTGTGAATCAAAATTTTCATGTCTTTGAAGGAAATATTCTTGACTAATTTTTACACTAACACTAAATTTTAATTTTGGTAATTTTAATTTGGGATGATTTTTCAAACATTATTTTAACATTCGTTCAAAAAATAAGAATCTCTTTTTGCAAAGGAAAAATTTCTTTTTTATTGTGTTTGTTCATTCAAAAATAGTGATCGACTTGGTTTTTGATCCGTGACTCTTTTTAACTCATATATACATATATATATTTATAGTTTCCAAATTTTGTTCTCGACCAATTTTTCTCCAAATACTGATAAGATTCCTGTTAGTAAACTCTTTTCTCAAAATCTTAATGACACGAAAAAAATCTAATTTGATTACTCCAGGAATCAATTTTCCTTGTTTTTTATTTTTTTTTTTTGCACTTTGTAAGCTTTGATCCCAAATTTTGAAACCAATTGAATGGCAATGCACTCTTACACGAAACGCTTTTTGTTTCCCGAAATCTCGCACTTAAGCCCCGAAACGTCAGGAAATCCCCGCCGATTATTATCATCGAAACGTCACAGACGATTCATAAATCTAGTCGTCTTGAAAGCATCAACAAGGGTGAATAATCCGGAACATTAATTAAACAAATCATTATTTTTGTCAGTCTGTGTGGTTTGAGAAGGGGAAATCTATTTTTATTTCAAAAAAACTATTATTTTGTGAGATCCGATAATCGATTCAATTTGGGCTGACATTTTAAGATTTCTCGATTGTGAACATTTCGATGGAAAAAGATATTTGATTCAAATCATTGCGATTATCCTTACACAATGATGAAATTTTGCAAACCCTAATTCCATATCACTAATTTTTTTGTTAAATTAGATCTTGAAGTTGTTTGCTTTGTTATATTTTTTTAAAACAAGTTATAATGAAAAAAAGACAAATAAGTTTTTCCGTTTTTAGTTTATTGCTTTTTTGGAGTCATTCCTGTTCAGAAATCCGTTCTAAGGTGTTTAAAGGAGAACGGAAAAACTTTAGAAAGGTCTCGAGACGAAGAGCCGTTCGTGTGGGTTTTGTCAAGCCTTTCGCGCTTTTTAAATACCATAAGAAGGATTTTCGAACTAACAAAAATTTTCAACTGAGGCTCAACTCTTTTCTCTTTTTTTTTGACACAATTTGATCATCTTCAGAAAAAGAAATAACATTTTGGCCGGTTGGAATTGAATTGAAAAGAACTTCATTTCTCATTTCTAACCGGCCGACTTACTTGTACAAAATTCTCGTTTTTGAGATATAAAATCTCAAAGTTTGTTATGATAGATAATTTGAGCCCTTCTTTCTAGAAAATTAAAGAGTTGCGCAGGTTGAGATTTTCATTTTATTGTTTTTTTTTTTTCGAGTTTCCTTCTGGTAAACCAAGATGTTTCTGGACGTTTCAGGAAACCGCAAGGTTAAATTACCTATCAACCAATCAATTAATCATTTATTTGGTCTTTTTTTATGTAATAGGCTAGGCGAAGAACAAGAACTTTTAAAGCCATACCGAGCAACCGCCTTCGTCGAACTGGAATGTAGTTGATCAAGTAGAAAGTATGATCTGACGGTCCTCCTTCTTGCCTTCTGCCCGTAGTTGACCTATTTGCGCCATGTGGAGCTCAGAATTGAGTAGTTGAAGCTGGAGTACGAAGACTGTGCTCTAGAAGGAAACCTTGAAGAGAGCGACCAAGTCGAGGGAAAAGTCTACACGAAATTATTGTTAGTAACTTCCTAATTTTCCTTTTTGCTAACTTTATATAGCCGCGCGGCTATTTTTTCGGCGCTCCGCAGACATGCACGCACGCAACATCCGGCCACCCCATTTACATCTTTCGCACCAACAAATTCCTTCTTCTTCCACCGACAACTTATTCTCCTTTCCCTCCGATTGTTTTGTCGTTTCGAGGGGCCAAATCGCGTGTCCTTTTTTGGTCTTTCACAACCTGATTTGAGCCCTTTTCTAGGACTTTTCGAACTTTCATAAGAGGGAAATAGGTTGCTCTTCGGTATAGTTCGATGTAAATTTTTTTACTGAGTTTTGAAATTTCTCTATCCCCTTGAATAAAACTTAATAGCTCTTCGTCGTGAGATCCTTTATTAATTTTGCCCATAATCCTTGAAACAATTTTTGCAAGAGTTTTTCATAATCTTTAGCAAAATTATAACCGAAATTTTTCTTTTAGAACTTGTTTTCAGCTCTTTCTGATCGTTTTTGCAAGTTGTATAGAATTTTTCAATATTTCTGGCCTTTCACAGCTGTTTAGAGCCGGTTTTTTAGCCTATCGCAATAGGAAAGTAAATTGCCCGTTTGTACAGTTTATTTGAACGTTATTTTTAACTCATTTTCCGCCTTTTTTTTTCGCTAAAATGTTTCAAAAAAGTTCAGATAACGTGACAGTTCTCCTGGCCGAAAAAAAAGTACGAATTATCATATTTTTTTAGGCTGTTCAGGTTTGATTACTTTTTTCGTTCTTTCCGGCTTTTTTCTGCGAGAAAGTTTTAAAAAAAATATTTTTTTCAAATTACACAGAAAAAAAAGAAACTATAGCAATTTTAATGTTGAGTCTTAATTATTGATTTCGAAAAAAAGTTTGAGTAAGTCAAGATCACTTGAAAAAGTTTCTTGTAAATTTTTCACCGAAAAAAACACAAAAATAGTACGAATTCTCATCTTTTTTTGGCTATATTATCGATTTGGTTTGCCTCCTTTTTCAGCCTTCTTTTTTTCGCAAAAAAATGTTTCCCACTAAAGTCATATTATTTTTGGCCCGAGGCGTCGTCTGCATTGGGCCGTCTCGAGACGCTCTTTTTCTTTTTCGCCGTTGCTCATTCTCATTGTTTTGAGAAAATATTGTGCGATCGGCCATGCAATCGCCTCCTCCGCACAGGAAAAAAGACGAGGAAATGAAAAGAAAAAAATTGGGACTAATTTTTTTTTTCTTCTCTTCTCAGAAGAGCGAAATTGTTGTTAATAAGAAGAAAAATTGTTCTCGATAGGGGTTACGATAGAATTGAGACTTTTTGCGCGAGGGAAACTGAAGAATTCTTGTTTTTGCGGTGAGGGTTCAGGAATTATTGTACCTACTTCTGAAAAAAAAAAACTTGAAAGGGGAGTGAGGCGAAAAGGATTATTTTTCTTTTTAGATGTAGTTCTGTAAAAGATTGAAAAAAAGAATAATTTAATTCTGGCTATCAAACTAAAATCCCATTCTTCCGATGGTAGCAAAAAAATTAACGAATTTTTTTGAACTAAATGGTCTTCAAAACGATTAGCGTTTTTACAAATTGTCAAATTTTTTTGAGGTTAAAAAAATTTTTAAAAAAATAATTGATTTTTTTCCATTCAGATGGGAAGAAAGTTTTGTAACTTTCGGTATAATCTGTAAATATAGGGTTTTTTTCTATTAGAAAAAAATCTTTTTTTGATAGCACAAAAAAATATAAAAAAATTCAATATGTTTAAATTTCAAGACGACATCTTAGAAAGTTGAATTGCAAAACTTGATCTTTTCTTGATTAATTAGAAAAAAATCGGAACTCCCGGAGTTATGTCTGTTTCTTTGAACTGAGGACGTCAAACTGGAAAAGGTGCGAAAAATAGACATTTCGAGTTGGGTTGATTGAATTGGAAATTGGCGATTATCCACACTTGGACACACAATGACGAAGTAGTTGTACAATTTGAAGTTGATAAAAAAGTTCTGGATGTTATGAATTGTTAATATGTTTAATTAGGAAAAAGGATAATTGTCGTTCAAAAGAACAATTTCAACTTTTGTTCGAAAGTTTTAAACGACAGAGAAATAATGATAATGTGAAACCTGTTTTTTTAGAAAAACATTTTTTCTTATCGAAACCATGGGCTTGTTTCTTCACTTTCTGATTTCACTCCTTTTCTTGATTCATTATTTTTTTCAATTATTTTTTTCACAGCGCACAAAGTTTTTTTAAAAGTTCTAATATAGAAAAGCTTAAAACCCTTATGACTTTGATCAAGAATGGTAAACTCTAATTGAAATACGACCAACGCTTTTTTTTTTCGAAGAGATGAACTTAAGCTTGGATTTCGAGTTAAATCTAGACTTTTCGCCACATTTTGGCTTGAAAAAAGGGACAATCAACAATGATTAACTTTTTTTTTTTCGAACTGACCAGGAAGATCATTTCACTTTGCGGTCGGGAAGTCCCTGAAATTTGGCCTTTGTTTGTACCAAAAGAAGATTCTGAAAGTCTCAACCAGTACAACTGCTTAGTTTTTGGGAATTGAGAACTCCAAGTCCCAAAATGGCCTTTTAAACAGATTTTGAGGGTTTTCGTGGACGTTGAGGTGTCCTTTCTCAGAAACTTGGAAGTTTTGCAGCGTGAGACTTCCGGGATCATTTTTTTGGTACATCGAGGAAAGCCAATTTTTGGGAAATTTTTCAACCGCAAAGTTAAATGACTTTTTTGTGAGTTTCAAGATGCAACTTAAGCTCATCTCATTCCAAATTTAAGTTTACCCGAATCTAACACTAAGGAGCATCAAAAAATCCTGTAATTTATCTTTTTTTTTTTGGAGAAGTAGTCAAGCTTATTTGAATTCAAGCTAGACTTTTTGCTATGTTTTGGTTGGAGAGGCGCCGAAAAAGGGGGCCAATCAGCCTGGCCGCACTAATAATGGCTCGGAATATATTCGGCTCATTCTCAGAGCGAATCTATTTCGTTTTCTTTCTTCTTCTTCTTTTTTTTCGCGCTTTTCTCTTCTTCATCTCTTGAGATTAACGATCCGCATCCTTTTACGAGGTGTCCCTGCTCTCTGCTCTTTTTTCGCCCCTTTTCTCTATTTCTCGCGGCTCTTTGAGCCCTCGGCCTCCGGAAATTATATACGTGGCTCGGAGCGGCGTTAGCGCATACATACATATTAGGCGGCGCCATTTGACGCCGCGCCTGGATTTTCTCCTTTTTTGTTTTCGGAAAAGCTCTTTTTGAAGTGCTTGAGGGGCTATGAGAAGGACAAGGATTTGGGTACTGAACAAGAATGGACATTTTCAGAGGAATTCATCGGAAAACCTTTGCAAAATGCTAAAATCAAGACTTGCACTATGTATCTCTGTACAGATGAAGCTTTAAAAAAAGTTTTGAGGCTGTTTTCCGATCCTTTTAAATCCTACTGTAGACTTTAAAGACTCCCTTATTTTTGGAAAAGGACTTTTTGAAGTACTTGAGGGGCTATGAGAACGACAAGGATTTGGATAAACAAAAGAAGCTTCCACAAAAACTGATATCCATTTTTTCATCATGAAAAGGATTCGAAAAAGCCTCCAATAAAAAAAAAACTCATTTCCTTTTTCGTTGCCTCAATGAATATGTCTTGATCCGTGCACATTCGAAATTCAAATTAGAGAAGGATAATCCGTTTTGAATTGGCCGGATAATGCTTGATCCAAATTAGGCAATTTTGTCTGGAGGATAATCCAGCTTTTAATTGTCTCGGGTCGATTTTGAATCCTTTATTATTGGAAGAAAAAAGTAGTTGGAGAGTTTTATTGGATTATTTTTTGAGTTGCAGGAATTTCTAGGGCAAAACTTAACGTAAAATGAAGATTCCAACTTCAAAATTGATACATTTCCTAATAAATGTTTGCAGTGCTCATGGACGGTTCATGGCGGGCTTCGGGTACTCGCCAAGGCGTGCTGCGCCGAGATCAACAGCACCCTGCTCTGCAGGACCGACGCCGAAAGAGGTTCGTTCGAATGGGAACTCGTTTTCAAATCACCTATCGTTTTCGAGAAAGATAAAGCTGTGTTTGAAGAAATTTCCGCGAAATGCAAAATTATCTCTGACTCCAAAGTTTAGTTACCTTTTTCTCTCTCTCTCTAACGACTGTTTTGCATTTCGCGAAATCACTTTGAACACGGGACTAAAATCTTTGAAATCGCAACGTCTTTGAAATATTCTTATCATCTTCATTTGTTTCATAAAATATCGTGCAAGGGCTTTTACTGGACGAATCATTGCCAAACTTTGAAAGTAAAAAATTTTACGAAAATCGGCAAGCAAATGGGAGTTTTTTTCAAAGTACATTGAAAACTATCATTTTTATTTAGTACATTATTAAAAGTGCTATCTGATTTCAAAAATTTGAATTACAATGAAATTCTGAAGTCAATCACCCTGTAGCATAAAATCATTAACTCTTTTTTCTTCTTTTTTCTTTTATGACTTTTTTCTAGCTCTAAGCTAAATCTTTTATTTTTTCTCACATAATTCTTTCTATAATTTCGATATCAGTCCTTTTATATCCCTTCCAAATCTCTCAATTGTCCTCTCGTTGATAATCTTCCTTAGAGTAGTTATGAATACCCTCAAGCCCCATAATCCTCACATCAAACGTGGAAAGCACTTTGGAGGAAGTTGATTTGGCTGAGATCAACGAGAATGGTCCGAATAAACATGATAGGCTTCTGAGCAACACGTGCGAGGGTTCAAGTTATAAAAGAGTATAAAGCGAATTTATAAAATCTGAATTTTGCGTCCACATTCGAATCTTCAAAGCTAGAGAGTACTGGTTGATACGAGGGCGCTTAGAGATTAAAAAAAAACATACCCTCTCTTTTTGGAACGTTTTCTAACTTTCGAATATTCGAACGTTAATTCCCAAAGTAAGCTCGTTGAATAGTTTCCCTATCTGATTTTAAAGGCCGCCGCCTCCCGAATTTTCCTAAACCAATGTCAGAACGACATCCTTACAGAGGAGTCATTTTACGTTGTGGTTTGGATTTTCTCGTAAATTGGCCAGAACACTCTCTGATTTACCAGTAACTGATCCTGAAACCCTCAACCTGCACAACTTTCCATTTTTTTAGGGAGGAGGGCTCAGATCCCCAAAATAGTCTGTTTTGACGGATTTTGAGAGTTTTTCCGCAAAGTAAAATTACCATTCTTGTATTATTTTCGTCAAAACTACCTTTCTAGGTTTAAAAGTAATTTTCATATATTTTGTTAACATTTTTGCGAATCCTGGACTAATTTTAACTCTTTACCCGACTTACAATCAATTTTTGCAGGCCGACACATGCTGCTGGCGTTCAATTCGTTGTGCGCCTTCATATGTCTGGTGCTGATCCCGGTGGTCTGCTACCAGCGGAAAAGACAGCACGAGGTCCGAGGCTGGGCTCTCATGGAGCTCTTCCTCATCGGCGCCTCCATTCTTTATTCAATTGTCAGTTTTCTATTTCATTTCAACTTCTTACTGTCCTTTTAAACAAAAAGAAACTTAGAGTAGAAAAAAAGCTAAAAATTTGAAACTAACTATTCAAAAAACCTTCCAAGATCATCTTGTTTCCCATTTTCACGTCACATACGATAAATGTTCAAGAATTAAAAGTCAATATTAAATCGACTTAAAACTTCAAATTTAGGTTGGCTTCTTCTATTTATTTTGCTAATTGTTTGAGAGAACTTCAAAGAAATTTTTTTCAGCATTTTTAAACATTTTCTAGTAAGACTTTTCATCTGTTTCATTTTTTTTTGTTTAATTAACTAATTTAGGAGCTTGTTCTGAGCTGATTTCGAAAACATTTTTCATAAAATCTAGATTTTTCAGTATGAGCGATTTTTCTCGCCGTAAACAAAGAAGTCCATAAAAACTGCGAAATTGCGCTCCATGGACAATTTGTTTTTTCACTACCAAAATTATTTTTTGACTGAAATTTTTCAAATTCTGCAACAGGTTTTAGGGTCTTTGGCATTTTTCGAACATTTTGGTGCAAAAGATTATTTCAGTTATTTCTGGACTGGGTAGCTCCGCCAGAAGCCGGGTGCTGCGTGGCCGTTTGGCTTCGCCAAATTGGTTTCTCAATATTTTACGGGTCAATCGTCTTAAAAAAATTTATAGGTGAGTTTTTCAGGTATATCTAACTTTTTAATGAGCATATTTTTTTGAACATGTTTCCGTTCCTATGAAACTTTTTAAACAGGATGTTCATGTTTCAGAAGCTTATAATCAGATTCCATACAAAAAAAAATTGAAGAACAGTGACAAGATTTTAAGCATTTGTAGCCTTTTAACTCGAAATCCAAGTCTATTGCGAGAATTTAAATGAATTAGGAGCCCCTAAAGTATATAATAAAATGTTTATCAAAAGCTTAACCGGGGGGCAAACATTCCCTAGTGAAAGAAATTCCCCAGATAAAGACATTCCATGTTCAGGAATCTGCAAGAATATCGTGTCAGAAAAGCGCAACACGTGTCCGTCCGAGAACAGGATATGCTCAAATATTTGGCAGCGATGCTCGCCTTAACAGTCACAGGTTCTTTTTTTGGTTTTTTTAATTTATTTCCAAATTGTCCTAATTAGAAAAACTCAATAATTATCTCTAGTTACTCTTCGGTCGGTAGAACACAAATTAAATTTGAAGTTTAGTTAATGGAGTCATTTTTTTCTAGAATGATTAAATTATCAATTTGAAGAACCTTGCTTGGTTCATAAATTTTTCTGCAACAAGAAAAAAATTCTAACGATTTTATTTTTCAATTTTTCTTCACAGTATTTTTTTAAAAACTCATTTATTTTTCAAATTCGTTTCCGAAAACTGTCATAACATGAATTATTCTCCGTAAAAGTTACTATAACGACGTCTGAACCTCGTATTCATTAACACAAGACTTTTCAGCAGTTCAGACGCAATTTTTTTCCATGGAATTTCTGTTTTTCAGGCCTAATGGCTTGGACAGTCGGGTCATGGGGCGACGGAGCGCTTTGGCGGACGGCGTGGCCGCAATGTCACATGCAAGGCTGGCACTTCATCTGGCACGGCTACGAAATGCTCTTCCTGCTCTACGCCATCCGCCTCTGCTACAAGGTTCGCCTTATTGAACTACAGCTCCAGAATCACCTATTTACAGGCGAGAAACAGCGACTGGCTGGAGAGGTGGCAGTTCACCGTGGCCGTCTGTCTGGAGGCGGTAATCACGCTGATGGCCAACCTCATCCGCTACTCGATCCGTAATTCGGGTCGCTCCGACACACTTTTCATCGTGTCTTTTGTACATCTGCAGCTCACCGTCTCCGTCAATATCGTTATCATTGTGGCGCCAAAGTTCTATCTGGTCAGTTAATTTTTTTTTTTTGCAAAAAAGATAAGCACGACGCTTGGTAATACCAAGTTGGTATCAAAAATGCATACTATTTATCCGTTGAATAAAAAAATAAATTAGCGAAGCTAATAACTTTTTTTCAACATTCTCATGTTAGGTAAAAAAACTTTTGAGAAAATAAAAGTAAATTCATCCAGGCTAAAGCTTCGTAATTCATCAATTATAATTAGCTTTAAATTTCTTCTTTTTAATAATAAATTGAAATATCGATTTCATCAGATGTTTATGTGATTTCTAACTACGTTTAGTTCTTTTTTAGTCCTTCTCACTAAATTTCCCATACAATGCGTCTCAGACAAAGAAAGTTGCGTTGCGATAATAGATCACAGTTAGAAAGATGTCTTGAGGGCTGGCAATCTCGAGTAAAATAATCGGCTGGTCGGAAAACCTGACAGTAATACGATAATTTCAGAGTAACGGAGAGCCAAACCGAAGGTCGATGACTCTAGGCGGCCATTCTGGCCGAGCCCATCCATCACTTGCCAAACTCCGGGATAACATTCTCAATGGGACCATCGATTTTGCAGAAGTGCCCATCATCGACATGAATCCGGAGGACATCCGAGTGAGTCCCATCGGGCTTTTCATCCTTTCCTTTTTCAACTTTCTCTTGTCTAAATTTCAACTTTCTTGGGAGACTAGGGAGGGACTAATTAAGTTATGAAATGAACTCAAATATTTTGAATGAGATAACCCTTATAAACAATAATCGCAGATCTTGATTATAGGAAAAAAAAATTTTTAGAATGAAGTTGAACTAATCATTTTCAATTTCTCTTTCAGGCGGAGCTGAAACGAGTATATACGCAACTTCGGATGTACAAACTAAAAAACTTATATCAAGATAACCCTCACATATCCAAAAAGCGAGGAGGGAAAAAGTGGAGCGATAAAAATACAAGAACAAGGCGGATATCAATACCAACTTGCTCGCCTCAAGCAAAAAGAATAGAGGAAGACGAAAAGAGCGACCTAACCGTTGAATCTGCACCACACAATGTGTATCTCAGTACATACAAGCTTCAAATCGAGCCGAACCATTCTGTCCGGGTTTAATTCACTTAACGTTGTTTTTGTTGATATATGCTAATAAATATTTAAACATAACAAATCTTTATAAAACAACAAAAATACTTATGGGCGAGGGCCAGGAGCTCCGGGGCGTGCTTGAGCGGTTCTTTGTCCGAAACGTGGAGGTGGGTTGCGGTCCTTACGGGCATCACGAGATCTGTTTCTCACGACCTTGCTGTGGATGGCGCAGGCAACGCAGTAGTGCAGCTTATGGTAGAGCTTCGGCAGAACGTATTCTGAAAAAAAAATTATTCTTTCAATAAAGCTATGGGGAATGGAAGTGTCCAGACTTAATTTTTATTTATTCACGAAATACAGCTTATAGCTTGAAGGAAAAACCTGATTTTACTGATTTCTTCACACCACGCATTTTATACACAATTGATGCTTCCCTACTGTGAAAGTTTCACCTTTTCAGCTATCGGGAAAAGAAACATTCAACAATTCGCTAAAATCTGAAATTTTCGAAGCTTTCAAAATTAAACTTGAGATCTGGAGAAATCACATCGTTGAATGAAAAATTTCCCAGAGTTACGGAGAAAATGATATGAAAGTTGGCAAAATATTCCTATACAGTTCTTCACTCCAAATCAACTCTTCAATCATACATTTTGTCGAACTATATACAAAAACAATTTTTAACTTTTTTTTTCTCACGAAATAGCGAAGACAAAAAAAGTGTCAAACAGTTATAAAAGGTAAAAAAAAGTTTTTTTAAAAAGTGATTTATAGTCAATATTTTTATATTTTTTTCAACTTTTTTTAGTTTAATTATATGATGAAGCGTTCAATGGAAAAAAATCATTTCTTGAAATCAAAAAAAGCGTTCAACAAGTTATTTTTCACCTTCAGAAGGTTTTTAGGCCGGCTTTGTGACATTTTTTCAACCCAATAATATACGTAATTTCATATGAATATGCGGAAATAAAACTCTTGAACAAACTTTTATATGCAAAAAAAATAAAATAAAAGAAAAACAAGCGCTTTTCATTTCTGGACGAAAATTTTAGTGGACTCTTTTTTTGGTAAGGAATAAAAAAAGTTAGACGAATAAATAATTTTTTTCAACTTTTTAACGAATAAAAATTTTTTTAAACGCTTGAATGTTAAGTATATTTTGTTCCATTTCTGTAATTTTTGGCTGGAGAACTTTTAAAACCAGAGAGTTCAAAGATAGTGATGCCGTGTTTAGTGATTTGCGTGAAATGCAATTATATCTGACTCTCTAAAATGTGGATATCTTTTTGCGCTCTCTTACAGCTATTTTAAGTTTGAGTTATCACTATGGACACGGCACAAATTTTTGAAGAAATACTCGAGAGTATACTTTAAAAAAATCTTTCTGGGAATTACTTCATTAAAATTGATTTTTGAAGCTGTTCCAAACAAATGTCTGAGAAAGAAAAAAATTGATTTTTAGAAAAAAACAACCAATATATTATGTGGTGTTAATGAGACCTTCAGAAAGAAGGAAAGCTAAGAATCTCACAGTGAAGCTGAAACCCTCAAAAATTGTTCAAAAAAAAAACTTTCTCAACCAATCAAAAAAAAAGAATTTCAACTTGACTGAATAGGAAAACTATTAGGTTTTCCCACTTTCTGATAGCTTCTCAAACATATCACTAAATTATAGTCAATGTTTCCCGACTTGAAAGGCGAAGGAGGCGGGGCAAGGGGCGGGACGCGTAGCGTGTGCGTTCGCGGTTCTTGGCAGGAGTTCAATTCAATTGTCGCCGACTATTTAAAAAAAGCTCGGCAACCGCTCTTTTTTCAATGTTTTTCTACTATTTCTTGATGCCCACATGAATATAATCAATAAATAATTGAAAAAAAGAATGAAAAAAAGCGAAAAAAACGGGCTTTTCAAAGAGTATATGGCGGTTGAATTGAACACGTGCCAAGGACCGCAAACGCACACGCTACGCGTCCCGCCCCTTGCCCCGCCTTTCTCGCCTTTCAAGTCGGGAAACATTGACTATAGGAATGTCGCAAATCATCTGATTATTTGAACAGAAAAGAGAAACAAATAAAAATTAAAGAAACGAAGTAGTAGTAAAAACTTACGCTGGTAAGCAGAAGCATCTCCAATATCACGGACAGCGGCAGCCTCAACGATGTTTCTCACGACGAACTTCTTGATGGCCTTGTCCTTAGGGCAGCAACGGCCGCAGTTGGTGCAGCGGATGAAACCGACATGTCCACGGTTCTTCTTGCTTCGTCCGTGATTTCTGCGCTTGACAGTCATTGTTACCTGAAAAAAATTACCACAATTCAAAAATTAAAAATGAATCCGACATTTGAATCCGACGAAGAGAATAATCAAAAAAGTTTGGAAATTTCAAGTTCCTCGTAAATCGATTAAAAAAATTAACCCAACAAAAAAAAAGTCCGGTTACTAATCTTTGATGTTTGAATAAGAATGAAACACGTAATAATTATTAAAAAACACACTTTCAGTATTAAAAAAAATGAATCGGAAACTTTAGGAACAAAATGACGTAAAAACAGGAAAAAAACGAACAGGATAGGTCTCAGGGTCAGTTCCGAGCATTTTAAATTGCGAAGAAACATGGATTAACAGTAAAAAAACCATGAAAAAAACGATTTTTAATATTTAAAATTAAAAAAATTTTTGTTTAGGATTGAAGGACTGGTGAGGTTCGGGGGTATTACGGTACCTCTTCTCTGCGAGACCCGCGCAATATATTTGGAAAAAGACGGCCGTGGTCGTCAAAAACCAAAACGAGCCACTATTTTTTTTTTCACTTTAACAAAAAATGAAATCTGCAGAAGTGTTTTTTTCGAGATTCATGAGTAAAAAAGGGCTGATGGTATTCGCAAGCATTCGAAGATGAGCAAAAACTGCCTGGGGAAAAAAAAACTTATCGGTTCGTAAACGCGCTTGGAATTTTTATCAGTTAATCAGTATCCGAATTTCATAAACCATTTTAACTTGATAGAGGAAGTTTAGAAAAAAACAGTCCGAGTTTTTCGTCATTAAAATTCAGTAAAAACCCAGGAATACTGGTTGCTATGGTAACTGCATTTATTTTGAAGCGTCCAAGAAGGAATAAGAACTATCAATTAGTGTTTATTAGAAAAATGATAACTCCAAATACTGTTACCGGTGTATTTCTGTGTATTGTTGCTCATTGCGTCATGATAACCTCAGTTTTATTCACTCAGGTAAAATAGTTTTTCAAGGTTTTTATAAATGGCGTTCAGGATGGTTATGTGAAAGCGGCACTGAAAACTGCGGAAGAACCTTCTGAAGAGCTTCAAATTTCTTCAAACGTGTGCCTTGCTCTTAGTATCCTTGCTAATATAACCGAATTAGGCATAGCTTTTTCCAAAAAGCCTTCCATCAGTGGTTCCATATTTTCCCAGTTACTTCACGCCTTAGGTTGTTGTTTTTTCCTGTTGTTTGCAATTGACGTCCATCCAGCCACCCACTTCTGGTATCTTTTCGTCTTCTTTTCATTGACACCTTTGTCCATAAGTGCATCAAATTTATTCTTCAGGTGAACTAAGAAAAAGAATAAAGATAAAATTCATCTTCGAGCAACAAATATGGAATATGATTCGTATGCTTGAATTTTACACGAACCCAATAGTATGAGACCTTAAAATGAAACGAAGGGAAACAGATTATTGTTGTTGACAAGCGACGCCAGGATGGCCACCGTGTCCTTCGAATCCGTGGTGTGCATGACCTCTCCGCCGGGTTTCTGGGTTGAAGGAAACGGCTTCGAAGACCTCCGCCTCTTCATCGATGATCTCTTCTCCTGAAATCGAATTCTTAATACTTTCGGATAAAACATTGGAAAACCTCGGTCAGGCAAGAGAGAAGCGAGTTTTTCACGATCGGCGGCTTTGATAGTCTCAGGGAAAGTAACTTTGAATTCAATCAAAAGATCACCCTGCAAAAAAAAAAGTCGTGCTACATGATTTAATAAAAGTCAAACCTTCTCAGAAGGCGTGTTTACATACGGCATACCCTCACCATGAACCACCTGAAAATAGTTTTTGGAGCTTTCTCTTTCATCAAAGTTGGAAATAAAATTAAGAAGACAAAAACTCACTTTAACAGTTCCATCACTGATCACTTCACCCGGCAAAATTCTGTAGAACAACATTCTATTGTCCAACGTTTTAACAGTACTCGTAAAACCACATAATGCTTGAACCAACTGCAATAAATCGAGTGTAAAATTTTGAAAGTAAAACTCAAAAAGTAAAACTGATATTCAGAGCTGTTTTTGAATTACCTTTCTTTTTCTCCCTATTCTCTTTCAAAACGACTTATAAGATGTTAGTAAAATAATTCTAGAATCAAAATTTGTTTTTTTATAAAAAAACTTCTTTAATTATTTCGGTCGCAAACCGTTTTTTTGGCTGCCCCAAAATCATCAGTTTCATATAGAAACATTTTTATGCGATCGTGAGCTTCGAAATTTTATTGATTTGAGAAAAAAATAATCGTAAAGAGTACGTCATTTGAAAAAAAATCATAAAATTCAACCAACTATTTCACAAAAAAATTTAACAATTTTACGGATTTATAATTTAGAAAAAGAAAAATTAAAGATAGATACCTGAATTTTTCTGCTCAATCACAAGATTTTCGTCTTTGCGAGTGAAAAGTTCGTTTTTCTAAAAAATGAAACAATTTTCGAAATTATTCAAAAGTTTAACTACCTCTTCTTCAAGTATAATGATGACGTCACCCGGCGGAAGGCCAGGAATTTCGTCTCCTTTTCCTTTGAAAACGACCTGCTCGCCGTCTTTCATTCCTGGCTTGACAACGACCTCCAGAATACTCTCGTCTTGGATCTAGACACAACAAAAATAAGAAAAAGTCGATCATTAGGCCAAGAACCAGCTTGTTTCCTCTGCATTTCGTGCACCTGTCCTTATCTGGAATGATGCTTCCTTCGCCATCGCAAGCTGAGCACTGCGACTGCATTTGCTGGACCATCGGTCCCATTCTTATCACTCTGAGAGTACATTTAAATGAAAAATTTGCAAAATTGGACTGAAAACCTGACAACTACTCCGTGTCCATCGCAAACTGTGCATTCTTTGACAGCTCCCTCGGTTCCACCACGTCCGTCGCAGCCTTGGCAAACGATTGTCCGTTTAACCTACAAAAATAAGTAAGAAAGAAAAATACTTCTAGGTTTACCTTCAGCTTCTTGGTAACACCATTGTAATACTGTTCCAGAGTTACACGTATACTGTGAACCTTTGACTTGACCTTCGGTTCGCCTCTGGAGCCACGAGCTGAAAATTTTTTATATCAACTCTTTTTAGTATTAAAAAAAAACGAACATCCGCCACCGAAGAACGACTCGAAAATGTCGAAGGGATTGTGAAAACCGCCTCCTTCTCCGCCGCCTCCTTGAAGACCCTTTTCTCCAGCGGTGTCGTAAACTTTCCTCTTTTTCTCATCTGACAAAACTTCGTAGGCCTGAATCCATTTTAAAAATACCATAAAATTCATGTCCTATAAACCTGTGAGATTTTCTTGAACTGCTCGGCACCCTCCGGATTTTTATCAGGATGGAACTTAAGAGCAAGCTTTCGATAAGCTTTCTTCAATTCGTCTTCAGTGGCCGAGGGTTGCACACCAAGAGTATCATAATATCCCGTTTCCTTCACCATTTTTAAAAGATCTGTAAAGTGAAACTTTGATGATGAACAAACTTTTTCGAATAGAAAACAAAATTTCGAAACGATTAATAATGAAAAAAAATTCAGTATTCGTAGAAAAAAAAGATGATGAAGTCATAAGATTGAAACATGAAGAAAGTAATTAAAGATTGTTAAGGCATATTTTGAAAAGAGTGTTTTAAAATAAATTTAAAACTTAAACGGAATTTTCACGCTTTAAGAGTAGAAAAAAATTGATTATCAATAAAAAAATGTGAATTTCGAAAGCGTGCACTGATTTTTGCTAGGCTTAAGCCGAAAAAGGTGTCTCAAATAATTCAGCACCCTCCTACCTTTTCTAAAAAGATCGAATAAAAAAACGGAAAACTTGTAAATGATGAATAAAACACACTTTAAAAGATTATAAAGTCTTGAAATTTCTAGAACGATCCAAAAAAGTGTGTGCGATGGCGCGCATTTTGCTCACGCTGCCCGCGTAGTACCTTTTCCGCGTGATCAAAATTTTTTAGTTTTTATCATGGAAATCATGTTAATATAATCATTGAAACACTTATCGTATAAAGAAAAAAAAAGATAAATTCCGAACACCACCCGGTCAAATAGCCCAGAAAAAAAAGTTTGATCTCTAAAACAGACATAATTGAAGTTTCGAAAAAAAAAAGCTAGGTCGAAGATCTCTTCGAAGAAATATTCTTCGCAATAGGAAGAAATCATTTTAGCTCGTCGAAGAGAGTGGAAAAGAGCTTCGCTAGAAAAGGTCCAAAGTACGAAAAACCGTTCAGCCGTCTTGATAAGGCAACTAATTCCACGGGCGGTAGATAAGAAAATCAAAAGTTGAATTAATTTTTCGAGAAAAAAAAGCTTTCAGTTTTAAAGAATAAAGAAAATGATTCTAACTAAAAAATAAATAAGCTCTAGCTTAAAACATTCAAGAAAAAACTTTTAATGTGATTTTCTTTTGACTCGTTGAAAACGAGAGCCCAGAGCAGAGTTGGAGGGAACATTTTTTGGGTTTTTACATTTATCTCGTTAGCAGTACCACGCCGTCAGTGATTGTTTTCTCAAAATGTATGATTTTGAGAAAACAATCACTGACGGCGCTTGCCTATGGCTCTCGAAGCTGAATCTAAATCCGAAAGTCCCTTGCTGAACCAACTGAACGTCAGCTCGAAAGAAGTTCGGCAACTAGAGCGACCTCGTGATATCAGGCTCAAGTTGAAACTTCGAAAAAAGTAGAACAAAATTTATTAATGATTTATATTTATCAGAACTTTTCCGAACTTTTCAAAGGGTTTCGATGAAGGAATGAACGTGTGAAAATACTCGGACCTATGGAACGCGAACCAGTGGCGGATCGAACTTGTCGGGGCACTTCTAGTGACCACTTTAGTAGCGTCAGCACTCTTAAGTGAACCCTAGAGTTGCTCAGGAACGTCCGGAGAACATTTGATTTTTGTTACCGAGGTCCGAGATAATGAAAAAATCATTTTTTCTAAATATTTTCTATGATTGACCTCGAGCTTCCAGCTAAAAAGCCTCGTCAGCCTTGCCAATCTACCCATCTCGCCTTTAAAGTCGGGAAGGATTGGCTGTTAAATGACTTGCCGAAGATTATGAAAGTCCGGAAAGTCCCTTAACTGATCCGATTGATGAGCCGAGCTCGAAAATAACTCGGGAACGAGAGCTCACGACCTGCCAAACGGTACTCGCACTTCATCAGCCCATCAAAGTTGTGCCTACTAACGAGTCGTGACGTCAAGCCGCCGTCGCCACGGGCCGTAGTAGCTCCGCGCCGTGTTCTCAAGAGGTCCGCTGGCGACATGTTCGAGAGGCGAGGATCTCTCTCTTTGCCCACCGTTTTGTGGAGGCCTCGAGAGGTCGGCGCAAACACCTGAATAACTGCAACAGATAATCGGGCCGGCGAAAAAGCATACATCGAACAATCTACTACTCATGGCTCCTCACAGGTCTCAGCCGATCCCCATTCACAGGTAATTCAAACTTTTTCTCAATCAGTTTCCTGTTCTTTGAAACGTGATAGCTTTGTCTTGCTTCTCTGGAAAGTCGTTCTGCTCGAAACTTTTGACTTTCTGGAAATCTTGCTCACTCAATGCTCAAAAATAAGCTCAATCGGATCAGCCCCTTACTTTTTTAAGCTTCGAGGGCAAAGCCTTTGAGTACAGATTAGGTATCAGCGTAAAAATACAGCTAGTGAGCCTAAACTCCTTCAGAATTCCCTCTGAGAACTTCTCTAGTCATTTTGAAGTTTCAGAAGAAAATATAGCGAGCTTCCCACTGAATAATCCTTTTTTTTTTGAGTCCGGGGGCTCCAAAAATCTTGCCAAACAGTCTTAAAAAAGAAAAAACTCTGAATTTCTCAAAAAAAAAAAATAGTTTGAGCATCCTGACAAGGCCCGACTTTCATTATTGAGAAAAAGCATGAGTCTGCAGATAACTTTTTGAATTTCGAATCTTTTTCAAGTTTTAGGTACGCTGTTAGTTTGGATCTGTTATAGTCGAATGTTTTCAACTTTTTTTTCTCGTTTTGAAAGAATCCGAACGCCGTTTTCCCTTATCTGTGAATTGATTAAATTTGGATAAGATTTATTTCATCAGAATCCAAATTCAGAGACTTTTTTTTTCAAAATTTTTTTTTCGATGAAAAATTAGAAAAATTTTCTTGAATTTCATTTTTCTGTGACTCCTGATGTTTGTCCTTTCTACTTGCCAAAACCACAACCTTAATAATCTGGACATTTTGAGTGATTTATTGATTAGCTGATTAAAATAATATTTTTCTCACTTAAATGGGGGGTCCAATTCTGTACCGTAATCACATAATTACATCAGAAACTGTTTTTTTAAGAAATTTTGAATGACTTTTTTTCTAGAAGAAGCGATTCTTTGAGCGAACTTCAATGGAAAAAAATTAGTAGGTATCGAATTTCAGCCTTGAATCATTTTTTTTTCGGGGAAAAAGAAAACACCAAAATGTTTACACGATGTACTCACAAAAAGACGTGGTTTTGATCAAACATCTTTCTCAATTTTTTTTTTTTGATCAATTTATTTTTAACTCAATGTTTTTGTAACTGTTTAAAAGATTCTTTTTCGACATTTTCTTTGAATTATATATTTATCGATTAAACAACAAAATTGACTTAATTTAACTTCCCAAGAAACGGGAAACTTAATTTATTTTTTATTGGCAAGATTTGAGATTCGTAAAGTTTTTTTTTTCAAGAGCTTCAAGACCAATTTTCAAAATAAGTCACAAAGACGATGAAAATAATCAATAATTAGTAAAATTTATGAAAATCTACAATTCCTCAGTTTTTTCAAAATTTGTGGTATATATTCGGTCTTATCTCATGTTGAACTGCTTGAAATTCAGTTTTCAAAAAAAAATCACTATTTCTTTTCTCAGATCGGCGTCCCACACGCCATCTATGCTTGTGAATGCCAAAAAGTACCTGTCCGACCGACCACAGCTTCTCGACTGCCCTCGATGCAAGGTGAGGCGTTGAAAACTTTGAAAACTTGGATTTTTCGGGAGCCACTGACAAAAATCGAACTGGAATAGTCACGGTGTTTCAAGTCGTGACGAAAAAAGTTTGAAACTTACAAACTTGTTAGCAAACATTTGTAAATTTTCCAGAGGATCGACTATACTTTACAACAGTTTTATATCTTTTTCTAGTCGAGTTTGTTATTATTTTCATTATAAATTGGCTTGCCATGAACTTTCCCTGTCCTATTTGGATATTTCTGTTGTAATTCTGATCTGTTATTTTTTCAGCATATTTTCAATCGCATTGATTTGCATAACTATCCGCCACAAACCAAGACCTCCTGGTCGCATTTCGACTCAAAGCGTTGCGGTTCAAAAAAATGTTGCTTTAACCAAGTCAAAGTATTTTTTTTTTGAGAATAATATTGAAAAACGCGGAAAAATATTTTTTGCGGAGCAAGAATTCCGCCCATCTCTGGTACGCTTCGCAGCCGTTACGCGTTGAGTCATTCACATTGCGACCATTTTTTGCCAAGTTGGGAATATAGAGACTTCTCATCCTATGAAAATCTTTCAAGCACAATAAGGGAAAAGCTAGAAACACGAAAAGATGTTTTGAAATCGATTCAGAATACTTCTGCAGTCTGATGCGGATTTCCCTAGCCAATTCATTTTGAATATATTTTTCCAGCAACACGGAGAAACAGAGTTGCGATTCGTCAACGGCTTCTTCACCTACGTCGCCTTCCTCGTCATTCTCGTCTCGGGAATCTTCGTCCTGCCGCTTTTCTTCCTTTGGGTGAGTGGCCAAATATCTGAGGATCACCGAATCTTTTTTTGCTTACCATAGCTGGCTTTATTCAACATTATTCATATTATTCCGAGTGGTTTTTTGAGTAGCTAAACTGTAAGTATTTTTCAAAGGTTAGTAAAAAAATGTTCAAAAAAACAGAATAATTCGCTGAATTTTTCCGACTCTCCTCGCTTTTTATCATTTTTTTGAAAGAGTTGTTGATTTTTCCTTGAAATTTGTTTCGATCCGACCTTTTTATTTTTTTAAAGCAGTCAGTTTTTTTAAAAATATATCTGTAATATCTGAAAAAAATTCCGAATGCTTCTTTTTTTTGCATAATCTTTTTGTCTAGTTGCAAGCTACACTTTTGAACTTTCTCAAATTTTAGTTTTTTTCTCTCCATTTTTTTCGCTTCACTCCTATTTTTTTATAGTAGTTTTATTATCGGATTTTTCTGCCAATTAAATTTTATAAAATTGATGCGTGAGGTTTGATTGAAAAAGATGCGTTAAGCTCATTTCTTCAAGTTTGTTAATACATTATATTTATCAGAAAAATGGACATTTTAACTTTCAAAAATGGTTATCACTTATCAAGTTTATCTTTCAAAAATTCTTGGATACCTTAAACATCATAGAACTTTTTCAAATCGGTCTAAGATATTTTTTTGCAACTCATGAAAGCTTATAAATATGGAATCATAAAACTCAAGAATTTCCTTCCTTTCGTCCTTACTCAAGCTGCTTTTTTTCTCTGCGCCCTCCTTGTCTCTCGGCGACCTTCAAATTTTGACGTGCTCTTTTAATATTTCTCTGACCTCGCAGGTGAGCGAACAGGGAGACGCAGACACCCGGAAACTTCCGGGGAACGGACTATACCTTTTCCTTACTTTCATTTCAAGTTATTCACATAAAATTTCAAATCTACAGGTTCCCTTCTGCGTGGACACCTTCAAAGACGTCGAACACCACTGCTCCGCGTGCAAAGCCTGGATCGGCACCTACCGACGCCTTGGCAAAAGCACTTAAACTACGCGACTTTCAACGATTTCCTACGCGATTTCTGCCCCTCCTCAGCAATAAAGATATCAAACCTTTCGAAAGCCACTTTTTATCAACATGTACAAAACTTCTACACGAATAGTTCCATTGAACACAAGGTTAGAAACATGAAAAAATGAAGAAAATGGGAAAATCACAAGACAAAATCTCTTCGGTATCGACTACCTCGTCGTCAAAATTATCGAATTATGCAAGAACAATCGGGTAATGTCCATACCAGTTGTGGAATAAAGTTTAGGCAAGATACATCGGAATCAAAGTCTAGAACGCGGGATGAAGTTTCTCTTTCCGCCTTCAAATTGTCTTGGCTTTAAGTAGTTTCTGTTTGAAAAATTGAAAAAAATTTAAAAAATAACATAAAAACCTAAATTATTTTTTTCGATTCTAAATTGTCGTTCAATTCCTTACAATGATTTTTTTGAAGGAAATAACCCCCTTTAGTAATTAATTTTTCAATCTACTTTTAGCATGTTAGTGTGTCCACTCGCAGCAGCTTTTTTGAAACGTTTAAAGACGCAGACCTTGGTTATGCCCTATATACTATATTTAGCTTTAAGCTTGACTCTTCGCTCTGAGACCTTCCAAATGTTTGTATTTCATAGAAAAAATTGATTTCAAAAAAATGTCTCAGGACGAAGAGCCTTTCCAGTGTTATCATTGGCCAACGCACATATCTGCGCCTTCAAATAGTTTTTTTTTTTGAAATGGCTATATAGCTGATTCAAGGCTGAAACCATTGAAAAAATGTCCACCTAATTAAAAAAAAAGAGGGCCCACGCCGTTTTAACATCCCAAGAAATCCGCGAATCGGCTATATTCTCCTTTAGAGGCTACCAAAAGCCGTTGAAAATTACAGTACACTCATTATATGATAAAACGGAAAGGACTCGATAAAGCGTGAAACTTAAATGTCAATCTAATAGTTCTTGCGACAACGCCCTTTGTTATTGTTTTCTTCCTTTTTACATGCGATTGAGCCTTCCGAGACTGCGTTTGCAAGCCGGACACGTGTGGATGACGTCCAGACAACGGTCCGTGCAGAACGGGACGCAGCAGAACAGCCACGGGATCAAGAAAAGGAAGATGCCCGCAACGGCCAACGCCAGAGCCATCACCCAGGGCAAAACTCCGGCAACCTTGTCGATGTGGCTCACAATATGGTTCTGAAACATTCAAATATTCCCAGAAGCAAAGCTGCTGATAAGACGGGTCCCCTGGCGCGGGCATTTTCACTCATTTTTATCTTTATGGGTCAAGATGACTGCTTCAAATCGCATGCCAATTTGACAGAAAAACAACCCTAGAAAAATTGGAGAATTTATTTTTAATAGAACTAAAAAAACTTCCAATGAGCGATTTTTGACGCCTGACGCTGTTTTTGAACGCAATCCACACGCAACAGTTCAATGAAAAAAATCAATTTACGTTTAGGAAAAAAAGATAAAATAATTTTTAATCTCCGTACGAAATATTTTTTTAATGTTTTTTTCAATGTGTCGCGCAACAATAAGTTAAAATAAGCCGCTTTTTAAGGTGCCATCGAGTTAAGAGAATTAATTCAAAGTTAATTTATAACCTCTTCAAAAACTTTTTTACAAAAACCAGATCGTATTTGGATCTAAAAATGAGCTAATTCGTACAAGAAATACCCCCAAAACGAATTTCTTACCTGACAATGCGGACAATCCATTTCGATGGGAACTGAGCCGTAAGCGCTCGTTCTCGCAGAAACGAAATGACGAGGATGATCGTTTCCATTTGCGGTTGGCTGGAAGTTAAATATTCAAGGTAAAATAAACTAATGAAAACAGAAATCTTACAGCTTCAACTGGCTGAACGGTCACGGGCTGTTCCGGGGCCTTCTCTTGATATTCTGGTGGTGGACTGGACTCCGACATTCTAAAAAAAGGGTTTTATGAGCATTCGAATTAAAAGGGAAAAATAAGCTCATTTGCATCGATTCGAAACAATCAACAAATGGCTGAGATAAATTAAAAAAACATGAAAAAAATTGCTGAAGGAAAATTTCAAAAAAACTTCATAGTTTTAGTTTTTCAAAAACAGGGTAAAAAGCTTCGCAATGGCTCTCGTCGTTGATATCTTCAAAATAAACAATCCTTTCAACATGAATCACACTAAAAATTGTGAAATAAAAAAAAAAAAAATGCGCGGCGGGGCAAAATAAACACTATTCTCAAATGCGCTCCACGGAAAGCCTAGAAAAAAATTTTTCATTTTTTTCACAATTTCCAGTTTTAAAATCGCTTATTTCCTACTTTTTCAGCCCCGTTTTTTTATGGTTTTTAGGTTTTTTTCTAATGAAGAGATTTTTCTAACAACGGCTAGGTTCTTCGCTCTTTAGTTTGCAGTGTTTTTCCTGTTTTTTTATTATGTATTTTATATAAATAATGTCGAATCAATCTAGATTCTGTTTCAGATTGTTCAATATGGCTGACAACGACGTCATCGATGTCGAAGAAGACAAAAATGTGAACGACAAGCACAAATGGGGAGCCGCTGAACTGGAGAAGGTTTTCTATTTGTTTTGTTTTGAAAATAATTTTTTCTTGAAGGTCGGCGACGTTCAAGATGAACATGATGATTTGAACGTGTCCACTGATGCTTTGGGAAAACTTATTGGCGGCGTCCCTCCAGAACCAACGAAAAAAAAGGTTGAAAAAAATCTTTTTTGTAAGTTCAAAGGAATTTTCGTAGATTAACATCAAGAAGGAAGATTTGCAAATGATTATGAATGAGCTGGAACTTTCTGAAGTGAGATTTTCGAATCAATTTTTCCTAAAAAAAGGAGAAAAATTGCAGACGACAGTCAGACAAAAGCTGATCGAAACGAATGGAGATCCGGTGGCCGCTCTTCGTTCTTTCCTAAATTTTTGAGAAAACGGTGTTTGTTTTTCTTTTTGATAGTTCAGTTCCAATGAAAAACATTTTTAATTTGGTCGAAAATGGGCAAAGGCTTATATCTTTAAACCTTCGAAAAAAACTATTTTTTCCGGTTTCTTATGATATCATTATTGAGAGTTTTTGACACTAAAGTTCGAAAAATAGCGTTTTGTGCACATTTTCAACCAGCTTTTTCCCAGGACCTTATGGAGCTTGGCATATAACTCTTTTATAACACTACCTTGCAAAAATTTTGGGTCAGACCTGCGATACTCACTTCAGAATTTTTCTTCCTGAGTTTTTTCCTAGAAAAATTTTGTTAGGTACAATCAGGCTACACGGTCTGGCCCGGGCATTGAGATCTATGTAAAAATGGATCAAAACGTGGTTTTTTTTCCTCACTGAAAAAGTCGGAAGTGCGGAAAACGGGTGCAAAAAGGGAGTGACTGCAAAATGACCGCTAAAGGGGTCCCTTTTTACGGCCTTCATTGAGCCTTTCATTTTTGGTGGGTTCAAAAGGGTCATAAAAAGGCGAAAAAAGAGAGAGGCCGCAAAAAGGGTGAAGAAAGAGTGAGGATGCAAAAGGTTCCCGAAATTCTCTGCTATTGATGATTTTCGATTTTATTACTGTAGCTTATGTTGGTTCATACACAGTCACTTGTAAAGATTACTCATAAATTAAAAAAAAATTGTATTTCTCAAAAGGGTCTAAAAAGGCTGGATAAAGGCCGATGAAAGGACGCAAAAAGGCAGTAAAAAGGAAACCTTTGCCACCCGTTTAGGAACAATTAATGGGAACAGACGGATCCGTAACGGACTCTCAAAGGGCCCGTGAAGGGTCCTTCCGACTTTGCCTATGTATTTCTCAAAAGGGTCCAAAAAGGCTGGATAAAGGCCGATGAAAGGACGCAAAAAGGCTGTAAAAAGAAAACCTTTGCCCCCCGTTTAGGAACAATTAATGGAAACAGACGGATATGTAACGGACGCTCAAAAGCCCCGTGAAGGGTTCTTCCGACTTTGCCTATGCTATAAATTCTGATATTTGACTCGATTTTTCGGGCCTGTCGTTTCGGCTTGAGGCCCTGCCTCAGCGGGGCCAGAACGGGCTTAGTAAATGACCGGCGGGCGATAGGCTGACTGGCCGGCCCCTCACAAGCTTAGGTAGAATAAAAGGCTTCTTTTTTACCTCGCTCATCGGTCAAAATGTGTTAGGGCAAGCGGAAAATTTTTGCGGTGGTGATTGTCGTTTTTGTCCGTGTTTGCCGACATGTATCGGTTGCTGGCTGTGCGCCTCTCCGGAGTGAGTGTGAGAGGCTCTTCAGCGGAGTGATTATCTATTTCGCCCCCCTTGGACACGCCAGTTTTCGTGCTCATCTACCGTTTTCTCCTTGTTTTCTGTTCCGTTCTCAAGTCTCGACAACAACAACTCAGCGCCGAGATGAATATGCTCGGCAGCGTGTTTTCAAGCGTCAAGCCGCGGTTTTTGGGAGATTTTCGGAGGGAAATACTTTGGAGTTCAGGCTTGACGACTTGGGAACCGATCGCTTGAATTATTACTATTCGACGTTGATTATCATGAGCATGTCGTTGACCATCACGGCCAGACAGTACGTCGGCTCTCCACTGCAGTGTTGGGTCCCTGCACAGGTAGTTTCTCAGGGTCCTAGAAAGTTGCATCATCCTAATATTGTGGGGTTGGTGTTCAGAAAAGCTGAGAACTAATTCTTATCAACAAAAAAAGTTAGTTTGTACTATTTTCCAATAAGCTCCAGTTTTTCAAGACCTACTGAAGTGTTTGAAGACGCAGGCGTCTTACATCAGCTAAAAAAATTTTTGAAACCGACTTTCTAGGTCTAATTAGTTGAAGGACCGTGTTTTTTTTTTCAAAGTTTTCGAGGTCAGTTTTTCCTCATTCGTCTTTTTTTTTCTTCTAATAAAAGAAAATTTGAAGTTTGAATTGTAGTAGGTCTTCAAACTTCGACACAAAAGACCGTTCTTTTTTTTCAAGTTTTAATTCGCAGAAACGTATGAACTCTAGGCACTCGATATGAATTTCCTAATTTTTTCCCTCTCGAATTGTAATTTTTTTTCAAAAAATAAATCTGTTTTTGCCTGGTTTTCTGGATAGTTTTGATAATTGAACCTTTTTTTTGTAGTGAAAAGGACTTATGGCAATTTTCTGGAATTGTCATGGCTGTTATTTGTAACACGCTGGTGAAACTTCAGTTCACGGAAAAAAAACCGAGCTTTAGAGAGTTTCAGCAAAATTAAGCACCATACGAGAAAGTTGTGAGCAAAAAAATTTTTCCGTCTTTTTTTGACGAAAATTTTTAAAAGAAAAAAATAATAACTATTATTTTTTTCCAAAACTGGACTACTCTACTTTTTTTATACTCCATCGGGTTCAGTTCAGTTCACCCGCGCTTGGGAACAATACGCTGAAAATTACTGTTTTGTGTATAATACCTACTGGGTGCGACCGAACGACGATGTCCCACTGACGATTGAGGAAAGGTACAGGGAATATCCAAAAAAGGAAGAAAAGCCAAAATTCAGGATATCCCAACAATTGATTTACTATCAATGGGCGCCGTTCATCATGGCGATAGAAGCCGCATTTTTCTATCTTCCCGTCCTTTTCTGGAGCCAATTGAGCAGCAAATCCGGGATCAATATCATCAAACTTGTCGAGACTGCACAGAAAGCTGAAGCCGCCGCCGTGAGTCAAAATATTGAATGCTTTTTTCAATAGCCAAATAAAATCAGAATTTAAAAAAAAATTATTTTTGTCTCGAAATCACTATATACTAAAGTCTCCAAAATATTGTGACCTTCTTCTTTTTCGAAGTACTTTTTCTGGGTAAATATTTTTTCTCAAACCTAATTCAATCATTGTGCCAGCTTTATAACAAAGTCGGAGCAAAAAAATTACAAAATCATATGTAACTAAAGTTCATTTTTTTTATGTGGTTCATGAAATTCTTTTTTTCCAAGTATGTATCAAATATTTTTTTGCTCTGTTTCAGAATATGTTGGCAAGGTGAAAATTGGCAGAGTATGTCAAGAAAAAAAATCAATTGGTTTTTTTTTCTGAGGACTTTCGAAAATATTTTTTTAACGCAGAGATGAGTGTGAGTCGCAAAACTTCTAAGTCTGATTTGAAAAAAATTGTTTTTTTCTTGGCTCAGTTGTTATTTTATAAACTATTTTTTTGTAAAATTTACTTTTTTTCTGATATGGATTGAAAGGAGAACGTTTGCTTTTTTACATTTTTGTGATAAAGCTTAAAACAAGATTGTGAGTTGATTCATGAACTTTGTTTCATTTTTTTTTCCGTTTCCTGGTCGTGAATCTCTGAGCCTCATATTATAGCTCAGAAATTCATCTTGTGTTTTCATAGGCCGACGACCGAAAGAAACATGTGGACGTGATTATTCGGCACATCACGAACAACTTGCGGAAACGCGTCGATGAAGACACGCGGCTGGCGAAAGTTCAGAAGATTTTCGGCTATCAGCACGGAAAATATATCACGAAGTGAGTGTTTTTTGTGTCCCTGGTCGCACTTGGAATGGCTTGAACCGGCTTGAAACGACTTGCGCGCGACTTAATTTTGAACTAGGGCCTGTAGAACATCCTGCAAACTTGTTCGAATCGTGTCGAAATCTGTTTTTACTGCTAGCCTTTGTCTTGAATAGCTTCTTGCTAAAAGATCTCTACGAGGTATCTGAAACGCAACGCGGCCGCGACGCTTCCAGCCATTCCAAAGGTGATCAAGCTGTTTCTAAACAAGGAATCAAAAAATCACTATTTCCAGCGTCTACCTGGTCACAAAAGTCTTGTACATGACCAACTCTTTCCTGCAGTTTTACTCGACCAACAAATTCCTGGGCCAGAATGATCCCTACTGGGGCGCCCGGATTCTCTCCGATATTCTGTCCGGAACCGATTGGGAGCTTTCTGGAAACTTTCCACGTATCGCCATGTGTGATTTCCAGGTAAGGCTTTGAAAATGGGGGGTTTTCAAAAATCAGAGAGAAGATTTTTCAAGAAAAACTGTGATACTACTGGCATGATCTGTGTGAGTAATAGTATACACCTTTTAGGGAAAATAAGTTGTAGTTCAGGGATTTAACTCTCTTTTTCGGGTCATCAAAATCTTCTTCATGTAAGCTGGTGTGTCTGTTTTTTAAGTAAGGCTTTGAGAATAATTACAGGCGAAGAAAAAATACTTGACTTGGTAGATACTCTGGTAGAATACTCAGGCAACGAACAAGTTCAAAAAAAAAGTTCGCCCGCATTTAGAATGGCTTTGCTGTCGCTTAGCGGTCAGTTTCAAACGAGGTTGTCGGGAATATGTTGCATAGGCGACAAGTCGCTCAGAGTCGGGTGCAGCTGTAGGCTAATTTCAAAAATCAACGCTAGGTTTTTGTTCTAAAAAAGCGTTGACCCATTCCGAGACGTTTCATTTTGTGAGAATAGTTATACTTTTTGGTCCTTTTTTCAAGAGAAAAAGTTGAACTTTCCGTTCAAGAATTCTGACTCACGCCAAGTTTTCCCACTGTTTGACTTGAACTCAAACGGAAGCCCTCTGTTAATTCCAACATTCAATAATTGTGTTCGACACGATTAATCGCCTTAAATTTTTGTGACGTTGCGACCATTTGTCTCGATTTCATTCAGGGAAGAGGGTAATATTTAGAAAAAAAGTGTGGATGGAATGATAAACTTTTTCCAGACCTGAATTTATTCAAAAAAAGCAATTTGAAAACGAAAAAAAAAAGATAAGTGTCAAATTCGATCCGAAGAAAAAAAGTTTGGAAACGACTGAAAAAAATCTAACCTGGTAAGATAGATACATAACTTACAGAAATTCCTAGTTCTTTTTTAAAGCTCAAATTTTTAAAGTTTGGTGGTTTTTTTTTAATGAGCTGCACTTTCAAATTATCCATTTTTTCTTATATAAGAAGCAATAAATGGTCGCATTTGGAATGGCTTGATGAACGCAGAAATTTCATTGGTTTTTGGCTGTTTGCGCGTCACAAAAATCGTCGTAACTTGGCTCAAACACAATATATGTTTTTCCAAACTAGAATGATTGCATTTTTTGACAATGTGCTCTATCTGATGGTATAGAAATCAATGAGAAGTTCCTAGTTTCTAGAAATGGTTGTGACCCCTTTTTTAAGGCGCTCAAAGTATCTGAGCAAGCCAATTTATGTTTCAAGTCGAAAAAACACGATTCCGCAACGCGACCGCGTTGTTTTGAGCCATTCTGCGTGCGATTACAAGCTTCCGACTTGAAGTTTAAAAACGAAAAAGAGAAAAAAACGTTTTTTCCAGGTTCGCGTACTGGGAAACCTTCAAAGGTACTCCATCCAATGCGTTCTCACCCTGAACATGTTCAACGAGAAGATCTTCCTCTTCCTCTATTGGTGGTTTTCCTTGGTTTTCGTCGTCACCCTGGCCGACACCATAGGCCTGATGGTCAATATGCGCTCCAAAAATGGCCTAGTCACCTTCGTCCGACAGTGAGATCTTCTACCTCGAAATAACCTTCAATGGAAGTTTAGGTTCCTAGAAAACCAGGACGAGAACGAGGAGAAGAGCTTCAAGAACGAGCAGTTCGGCGCCCTTCTCGAGGAGTTTTGTCTTCACAAAATCACTCCTGATATTATCATGGTTAGATTCTCGACTTTTATGGAAAGAAAAACTCAAAAAACCTCTGACCTTATTTTTCTTGGTTTTTTTTTTTCAAATACAGAGTTTTTACTTTTTTCTATGCTCAATTTTCATAGTATTGCTTTTTTTGGCAGCCAATGATACTTTTCGAAATTTTGCCCGTAGAGCGCGAATAAACTTGAAAAATGAGCTCGCAACATTTCCGAAAATTTTTCCAATTTTGGATTTGTATATTTTCGCAATACCGCTTTTTTTCGAGAATTTTTCGGGTTCAACCAGGCAAGGGCCTGCCCGCCAGCCTATTTTTCTCCCTCCACGTGGTTTTCTAATCAACCGGGTCGGCCCGGTCTGCCCCGGGCTGCTCAGCCTGACACACAAGCCTGGACTCAACATAACTTCCAGCTTCATAATCCGTTTTCAGCTTCTGAAGATGATCAACGGTCACACTGGTGAAATCGTCTGCTGTGATATTGTTGGCCGGTTGTGGAGAGAGTTTTTGTGAGTTTTATTTAATTTGAAGCATTAAAAAATGATTTTACATTTTCTTTTTTTAATTTAATTAAAATTTTTTTGGCATATTAGGTCAAAAATGATGTAAAAAGTGTGCTTTTCAAAAGCTTGTTGACTAGAAAAATCAACTTTCAGAGAAAAAGAAGGAAAAACTTTGATGAACGAATCAGAGTCGACCGAAAACTTTCCGAAGATCATCAGCACAAATGAGAAAACAGTGGCAACTTTGGTAGAAACTCAACCTTTAGTTTAACATTTTGCAATTTTTCAACATAAAAATTTATTAATTTTCACAACGTATCACAGGGTATGGCAATTGTCTTTAACTTGGCCTCAATTGGAATGGCTCCGACCGCAACGCGACCGCGACGCTTGCAGTAGATTAAAAGGCAATAGAAGAACACGTAACTGGATTTATAAGTGGAATGGTTTAGATTGGAATTTTTCCGGCATGAAAATAACCAGATTTCTAGGAAAAAATCCATGAAAAAGGGGAATGTCAAGATAATCATTTCTAAGCTCAATATAATTGGCAAATATTGAAAATAAAGGCAAAGGAAAAGAAGGAGAAAAAGAAATCTAAAAATTAGAGGTATAAAAAAAGAGAAAAGTTCTCTCAATTTTCAATCAATTACGAAACATGAAGGATAAGTATATAGTTATTGACACGAAAAATTCAAAAAAACTGAATGTCTTAAAATAAACAAACTTTTGTTTTTTGGTTTGTTTCAAGTGCATTTATCCTCATTTTTCCCCAAGAAAAATCACAGATTACTGTGGAACCCTCGTTTCAAGACCGTTTTCGCAACTGATCTCGTGTAATTTGGAACGAGCTAAAAGCAAACTGGGTCTATATTTATTTTCAGAAAGGTGAAAATAGCTTCGAAGTTGTGACGAAAAATGTCAGTGTAGGTGATTTTCAGCGTTTTTTATATTTATTTTGAGGAAAAAATTCGGTTAAATCCAATTCGTGTCAGAGTGTTTTGGGCGATTTCAAAACAACGTTTTTTTTTAAATTTTTCGACAAACATTGGGATATCCGCCAAGAAAATTGAGTCCTACAACGAAATAGTGACTTTTCCGCGCGGAACGCCACGTTTTGGAATGATTTGGGCGTTTTCATACTAACATTTTCGGATTCGCTACCTCGTTGTGAAACCCATTTTTGGTAACGGCTCCTAAATCCCAGTTTCTAGAGATAATTTTGAGCGAAAAAAACGTCAATTTCAAAATCGCCGAAATTGCTTTGAACACGGAACCAGATCTAGACCACTTTCTCCACTTCATTTTTTTGAAAAGAAAAAAAAAAGAATTCAATCAAGAGTTCTTGTCCATGGTGGTGCTGTCGGGCGGGAGCATGAGCTCCTGCATGAGCCTGTCGATGGAAGCGAGGCCGAACAACTTGGCGAGCTGGACGTCTTCGATGAGGTCCCGGGCGATGGCCAACATCGGCGGCAGGAGCAGCAGAAGGTTGGGGAATCGACGGGGCATCTCTCGCAGTGGAGACACCGTCCGGACGTGCTTTTCGAATGAGTCGAGAACCTGGAAATGGTCTTTGAAAATCAGGTTTTAAACGGGTTGGCCCGTCACTCTATCGGCCGCCCGGTTCGGCTCAAAAAACGCAAATTTTCTCCTAGTCAAATATCAGACTTCTTCACGAAAGAAATTACATTTTTGGTTCACTTAAAACAAGAAGGAAGAGGAAATTTTGAAAAGGGATAATTTTCCATTTTGCTCTTTGTCGCAAAAAGTAAGGACCAAAGCAAAGCCCGCTTCGGGCCGGCCCGGGAACGGATAAAATATTTAAAACATGTCAAACTTTTGTCAATTTTCCTGATTACAGTTTTCAAGCTGATATAAAAAAGTGAGTAAAATCTCCAAGGAGATTGAAATATTTTCAAATTTGGGCGATAATTTTTTAAAATCCTCCTTAATAGGTTTCAAGCACAGCATCAGAGTCAGTGTGAAAAACTTCATATAGAAACCAAACTCGACCCCTTCATCGCTTTTTTAAACGCAAGAAATCCTCAAAATTTTATTCCAGAAGACTTCAGGACGTTTGGAGCTAATTCGAATTGACAAGTCAGAATGGAAAAAAAATGAGATGCGTTTGTGGTTGTCTGTTTTGATATTGACAAGTTCGCTGGAAGGATTTTGACTTCTTGGGGATTTTAATTTGTTTTTCCCGAGATTTGTAGTTTTTGAAAATTTTTTGAATGGGAAAAATTCAGTCATACTAATATTGTGAATTTCATGATCATTTCAAAAAAAGATGTCTTGAAAATGTTTTTTTTCCGTCATTGAAAAATAACCTTCCTCTAAAATTGGAAATGCTCTCAACTTGAAAATTAGACTCAGAAAAAAGGAACAAAAGCCAAAATTTTTTCGAAAACTCGAAAAATTCTCAAAACTTAGTTCAAAATAAAACAATTGTCAGTTTTCTTACAAATTTTGTGCATATTTCTTTGAACTTGAAGCAGCTATAACTTTTTCGCACATATTTCAGGCAATTTCTTAGCCTTATATTAATTCAAAAAATCTCATTTAATGACCCTTTTCTCATTTAGAAGTCCTGATATGAGCTGAGAAAATGAATCAACACAGAAACCAGACACAAACTGAAACTCTTTGTCAAGACAAACCTTTTGACGAGTTTCCTCGATCTGGTCGGCAGACTCGTCGGCCCCTTTCGCCACTGCAAAACTCCAGTTGTTGAATGGTCAGCGGGAGCCGCAGCAAATCGGATTAAAACGTACGAGGGTCGAAGAAGGCGATCGCCTTCAGGGCCACGTACTCGATCTCGTTCATGTGGAGCCGTCGCATCGGCGTCGTCAGATGGTCGACGATCCGCGCCGCCACACGACTGCAACTTCCCCGTTTTTGAAAACCTCCTATACGGAAAAAGATGGGCTCATGCTAGTCGTGCCTTTATTATGCCAGGACCATTTTTGGATGGCCCAAGCCAGCCGTGAATATTACCAAGAACTCACTTTACATCAGGAACTTTGGGACTGTCCTTTGTGAAGACATGAGTCATTGGTCAACCAGACGGCGTCATTTAAGTGAATACTTCGGAAAGCGGCGCACATCACCAGGTGCTGAGCCGAAAAATGTCTGAAGAGATTTCAAAAAATAAATTAATCGATGACTTATTTTGCGGATAAAACCTGAGCAAGGCGATTTGAGCGTTCATGGAGAGTTTTTGGAACTGTTCCAGGCTTTTCGCCCACTCAACCATCAAGATAAGTTGCTGGTTCATACTGAATTTAAATTTAGATAGTATGAATACGTAAATTATTCTAATCACCTATCAGTGACGTCACAAGTGGTTGCCTGTCTCCTAGCGTCCGAAGTTTTGGTGATTACAGTACAACGAAGCTGTCGCATCGTCGCCTCTACGTTCAGAAGTTGGTCGAGAAGAGGATCATTGACTACTGTACACACTGGGTGAATCCGTATTCTGGAAAAATATTGAGCTCGCAGTTAAATACAAGAAATTAAATTTAAAAAGTCTTAAAAAAATATAGCCATTATATAATTTTTGAACAAAACGAAATATTCAAGATTGCTTTAAAAAGCTGTGCTGCTCTGGTTTTAAATAGTTTCAGATACTAGCCAAATATTAAAAGAGTAAAGGATTTCTAAATATTTTTTTCATCTAGGCCACAGAAATGGCCTTTGTGTGCGATAGAACTTCAAAGAAAGCCATACGAAGTCGGACAGAATTCCTCATATCCTCATTAATTTCCAATCTTGCGACTTTCGAGATGGCTGTCACGATAGTGGCCACTTCTCTCGGCATACCTGTCGCGCTCCATCTGGACCGCCTCTCGCCGCATCCCTTTCCGTAGGCAAAGATCGTACCGACACTTCCTACAGGTGTTCCTTTGAGCTGAAATCAAAAAATTATTCTTTGAAAAATTGCAAAATTTGTTTACTTGAATCAACTGCGAATTTGCCACCAATTCATCTTGCGCGTTAAGGGTCTCGTGGAATTGCTTAGGCGGGGTCACGCATCGAGTGTTTTTATTAGTACACTCTTCCATTAGGAGGATGCTTGACGAATGCGAATGGCGAATCTTATTTTGGCAAAACATTTGCGAGGTACTGTAGAAAAAGTAGTCCATACACCGTAAGGAAACCAAACAGCGGAGTTAACGCGCAAAATCTCACTTTTTCCTCTTTTTTTCTTTTTGTTAATTCCTTGCTTGTTTTTGCTGTTACATTATGTTTAAAAGGCATCACAGAGTTTTCGGAAGATTGAAAAGACTCTGATGAAGCTAACGTAAGATTCGCTTCAAGGGGTTTATAAGTTTCTCTGCGCTTCTTAAAAAAAACCCCCCAGGAGGCTTTTTGAACATGCTGTAGCATGCAAAATCTAAAGAGCTGGAATTTTAAGCTCTCAAATGTAATTCCCAAGTTAATATGATCAACTCACAGACAGTAATTAAATCCCAATGTATATTTCTTTGCGAAATTGAGGTTCTTTTTTCCGATCACTTTTTGCGTGTGTTTTTGTTGAATAAAGTTAAAGATGTTTCTTCGAAATCCTGTGGGATATCGTAATAGCTTTGGTTGCTATGAAGTTCGCACGCAAATTGCGGTGATCGACCTTACTCCACCCTAGATTGGCGCTCTAATGCGGTCCGAAACTGGTTGAGATGGGAACCGTCCGCTGCGACGCCTCATCTAATCACAGAACTCTTGTGAAATATAAAACCGCCGTTCCTCCTTCATTTGCACTGTTTTGTGTTTGCAATTTCTCCCTGAGACTTGGCAAAGCTCTTGACAACTCGATTTTCTTGATATTTCTTGAACTAACATCGCCGGGGGCATAATAAGAATGTTCAACATGCTCGCGCAAGTGATGATATTTGCTTGCATAGAAGAATTTCGAGTCGCGCCGATGGAAACGGAACGAAAAGCCCCACGAGACGCTTCTGCGTCTCCATCCGATTTTTTTTTTCTGTTCCTGGTCCTCTTTTTCTTGCCAAAAACGTGGCTTTTGGCATTATTACCAGCGATTTTCTATTAGCCAGGGGAGTGTGCGGAATGTTGGTTTAGTTTTTGATTGTTCGTTTAGTACAAGCTTCTCGCCTGTTTTGTGAACGATTTTGTTTATTTTTCATTCGGAACCTCATATTTTTTCTTCGCCTTTTTATAGTATGTTCGAAATTTCTGTCTGAGGTTTTCAAAAGCTTTTTATGGCGAAGTTTCAATTTGAGAAAGATTCTTCTCTTGGAAAGGCTTTTTGAACAGTCTAAACTGTGGAAATTCAACAAAGTTTTTCAAAAACGTGCGGAAATTCTTTTTTATCATAGAAAAGAAAGGCTTTTAGTTGAATTATCAGTATCAAATGCAAATATCCGAAGAAAATTGGAGATTTTTTTTTTGGTTGCTGCAGAAAAGTTTTTTTTCCGGTTTCAATTGTTTTTTTTTACTAACCTTTATCCACTGTGCAGCCATGACCAAACCGACACATGTAGTTGTGTTTCTTGCGAACCGTTCGTCGGAAAAATCCTGAAAATGTGGTAAATTCCGAAATTCGAGTGTAATTTCTGTGAAGCACTTTGGTCAGTTTCCTGAGGACATCCTCTTAAATTATTTATAGCCGTATAATTCGATACCTTGAAGGAGTAGGCTCTTTGGATCGAATTTCAATTTGCACCTGCATCTTCGATCTTTCCCATTTTTGCTGTCCCTCAGGACTCTTTCCAAATTTTTATTTTTTTAAACAAAAAAACCCCTGATAAGAACTTGAAAAATTGAATTTTTCTGTTTTTGTGACTTTTGAAATTTCGCGAACAGAGTAAACACTTGAAGACAAGTTTTTTTGTTCTGAAACTGTTTTCATTCCTTTTGCTTGTTTTAGCGACTTTGATCTCGGCCCTTTGATTTAAGCCTCGTACTTCAGACGAATTCGTCTTTATGTGAGCGTTTTGTATGACTTGACTCACTAGCCGAAAAGATTTCTGACCAAAAACACGTTTTTATGAGCAATGGGCCGTAAGAAAATGATATGCGACGGCAATATTTCCTTCCTTTCAAGCACACAATAATTTTCGCTTTCTTTGGAAGCTGAAAGTTTTGATGTTTTATCGATTGATAAAATATCAGAATGAAAGGTTTTAAAGTTCTTTTTTTCACCGCCCAATCGACTAAATCTATGACTAAAAAGAAAACAAAATAACAGCTTGATTGAAAGATGAATTGTTTCAAAAAGAGAACAATTTTTTTCCAAACAATTTTAATCATCTCAGAACTGCGGCTATCTTCTCTTTCATTTTTTTTTTGAATCATCGCTCCAAATCTTCATATATTAAATGGATTTGAAAGAAAAGCGACAAGCAAGAGAGAATTGTATCAAGAAATGTACGTTGGCCGTATATTTTACTTAGCATGCTTTTACGAATGGATTTTGAGTCTATATCCAGCTTATGGGCAACTTTTTTCATCCTAACTAAGTGGCACTGAAAGGCGAATGTGGAAGGTTTTATCAAGTTTTTCTTTCCGATTTCGAAGCCTTCTTTTATCCTCGGCCTACAGGCTTTCAATTCATTTATTATACCAAAATATTATTAGGAAGCTACAAAATGAGATCAGGATATATTGCAAAACGGACTTATTTTATAGGCATTTTCAAGGTGAATTCTTTCACGAGCCAAGTCCAGAAGGACCTAAAAAAACCTCCATTGTTGAAAATTTTCTAGAAAAGACCTTTTTGAGGAAAAAAAAAGAAGCGAAAAAATTCAGAGACACTTTTGACTCATTTATAGGAACTCAAATAGAAGTTCTAGATTCTTATTTCTGAAGCCCTTTGCACTTTATCCGTGTTATAGATCTTCGCGCTCCCGCCAGTGCAGTTTAAAAAGCAATAAATCAAGAAATTAGCAACAAACACTCTGTCAAAATTTAATGAAGCATATGCCGGGGCAGTGATGATGTGAGGGAAACGGTCACCTTTACACCCATCGCAGCTAATGGCTCCGTAGTGCTTTCCAGTGGATTTGTCTCCGCAAATCGCGCACGTCGCCTCCGACGTCGACTCGTTTCCGTTATTGATCGCGTCCTGTGACATTTTTTGCCTGTAAATCATGTAGATACGACAAATCATCGCAGTTATAATGATCGTTCTCACGGTGGCCGACGAAATTGGGTCAGATCAGTTTAATAAGTTGAGAATTGAGAAAGAACAAGGCGTGGGAATGGATGGAGATCTTGAGATTGAGGAGCCGTAAATCATTTTGAAGTCTCTAGTCTGCTCCATAAGGTTTTCAGAGGCGTAGAAGTTTTGCAGGACCGAAGATACCCCGGAAAACAGCACTTCTGCACCTTTAATCATCGAAGCAACAGTTTTTGAACAGTCCCAAGTCTCTTTGTTAGAAAGTAAAAGCTTTGATCAAATTTTAGTTCCACTAGGATACAAATTCATGCTCAATGAATGAGTAAAGAGCGCCAAAATACTGAAAAAATTTTTTTTCAAAGGTGAAATATATATTTACGTCAGTAAAGTTTATTAAGAGTGAAATTTCAGAATATCAATTTTTTTAAAAATTAATGTGCTATTACTGCCTTTTATTTCATCAACTGAAAAAAAGTTAGAATTTTTTTATTTTTTTCAGCATGAAAAAGACAAAATGTTCTATAATACAAAAAAATGCACTGTTTCGGAGCGTTTTTTTCGCGTCAAATGAACCTAATTTTTTTGTTTCGAGGCATTTTTCTCTGGCGCCTATTGAACATGCCATTTATTTTTTTCTAAATTTTTGAACTCCATTATAAAAAAATTCCGGAAAAATTGATTTTTTTGTAAAAAAAAATTTTTTCCTTATTTTTTTTTTTTTTTAATTTTGGATACGACGTTAACCTCGAAAGAACAATTCCAATACTTGATTAGGTTTTGAAATAGTAATTTTCCAAACTGTTCACGTTTTTAAAATTTCTTGCTTTTTCTAAAACAAAATTGCTCTTCGGAACTCCGAAGTGATCCCTTTCGTAGTTTTGACTCAGCTCACCTGATGAAAATACTGTCCTATTTCAAACAAAAAAACAACAAAAGGTTAATTGAAACAATTTTAATTAGTTCAATGAGAGAAAAGCGGAAAAAAAAATGACAGGGTGGGGGTTATGAAGTGTGCGCGGGGTCCAACAAACGTATTATCGCAAAAGTTGATATTGATCGATTGTCTCGCGTGATTGTAAAGCTTTTTTTCCTTGATTTTTCCTGTCTTCCAAGTCGATTTTCGCCCAGATGAGACATTGGTTGGAGAGAACCTTCTTTATCAGTTCTTTTCCCGTCCAAAAAATTTTGGAAAAAGTTCAAAAATGACTTGATTTTGGCCCGGTTAAAGTTCTTTGTCTTAAAAATTCGCATTTTTTTCTCAACATTTTGAGAATTTTTCTGTATATATCTTGGGATTGAGCCTATTTTCCGTAAATTTTACTTGATTTTTACTATCTGAATACCTTTTGAGGTGTGTTCCTTTTTTCTTATTTATTTCATTTTCAATTGAGCCCTGTATCAGTTATTAATCTTTTTGAAACATGTTGTGAAAAGCAAAAATGAGAAGAATTTTTTCTTGGTATCTGTCTATACGAAATCCTTATCAAGGTTTGAAGAAATGGGTAATTTTCAATTAAAAAAAAAGACTATCAGGCATTTTCTAGTGTCAGTTTTGAAAGTGAAAGATTTTTGCGCCCTAAAATACCCGAGTTTGTGTTTTTCGAAGTTTTTCTCCTGGTTTCTAAGGTTCAGGAGCATTTTCCAACTGTTTTGCGTCTGTTGAGTGCTAATCGAGTTCCAGTAATCCAATCTCCCTTTAACTGCATCTTTCTCGAGTTGCCATTGAACTAATAAAGAAAATATGTTTTTCTCCGCATTGATTTTTTACGCTTTTCTTCTTCTTGACGGCAGTTAAGTCAGCTGGAATTGACGACCTCCGCCGGCCATTTTTTGTTCGTCTTTCGTTTCGCTTTTCTCCTTAATTCTGCCCTCAAACTCGATCGTCTATATAGTGCAGTTGTGGTCAATTTACGCATTACCATGTTCCCTCGGGGCTTTTTTGTTTTGTTTTGAAAAACGGCACTCAAGGGCCGGCCCGAGTTTCCTCTCATTCATTCATACGCATATATTTTTCCCAACCCGTTATGTTTGCCGCGTTGAAATTCCCATCGATCGTCAACTCGTTTATTTTGGTTTTTAAACCGCCGTTTTGGCATGGAAATGTTGAAGGAATTGGTGGAAAATTGGCCTAGCTCAAAACGAAGAAAAAAATAAAATAAAATAAAAGTCGAATAACATTTTCAAGGACAAAATACAGAATTAGAATGAGAACTACAAGAATACATCACCTCGAAGGCATTTTTTCTATTATTTATTTTTCTCCTTTTTCGTAACTCTTACTGTTGAACTTTGCCGGGATGAACCTGAAAAATAAAAGTATGAATCACAACGGTAAACGAAGCTTCACCTTTCACTTTACGATCGAAAAGATTCGTTGGAGCGAATTTGACCGCTATCAAATTACTTTTTCACAATACAATTGAGTCTTTTTTTAAACTTGTTACGAAATAATCACTTTTTAAACTCAAATTTTGCTTTTTTGACAATTTTCGCCAGCCTAGGTTAATTTTCATCTATTTTCGTCAAAAAGGGGCTCAAATTCAATTTTTGAACCCGCACAAAATGAAAATTTACTGGTTTCATCAATTTTTTTATTGTTTTTTTCGCACCTTTTGTGCTCTTTTTCAAGCTTTTCCTTGATAGTTTTCATTCAAGAGAGGAAAAATACTAATATCCACATTTTCATATTGAACAATATGATAATTCTATCGATTTTTGGTTAATATGCAGCTTTAACTTCGTTTTTCGCTATAAAGTTAGTATAAAAAACATCCTGAAGTGCTCTCGTTCAAATTATTCAAAAACATATTTCCAATCAAAAGAAGCGTCTTATTCTTGATATCTCGCCATTTTATCATCGTTTCAGAGCATTTTCCTTAATGTTATTCATTCATCTTTCGAAATACTTGAAAATGGCATAGTTGGTGGGATATGGAATGGCTAACATTGAAATTTCTCTTCTATGTCCTCAATCCACATTTTATGTCGAATATAAACCTTTTATAGTGGTTTAATGCTTTCTTTACATTAATTCGTTTCGATTTTCGCCTTCTAACCAATATATTTGCATCTTAATTGCAGATGGAAGATATAGGGAAGTTGAATTGGAACATAACCAATATTCTCGAGAACTTGGGAGTGGAATCAGAAAGTTCTTCGGGCGAAAACGAGAAAGGTTCGTCTTTTGTTACCTTCTAATCCCATAATATACTCTTTGTTTCTAATTTTGGTTCCGAAAATTTCTTATCTTATCAAACTTTGAACAGTTCCAAAGTCGTTGCTCTTTGAGATGTCCATGATACTTGTCAATTTTCTGTGTTTTTATTTACCATTTCGGTTCCAGAAGAAGAAGACTACTCGTCTTTATCAGATTATGATGACGCCACCTTGGACTTTGGCGATGTTGGTGGAGGAGGAGGAGGTCTTTATTCGTTCTTTATTTCATTTTGATCATCTACTTCCAGATTTCACCAAGAGATTCAATGCGGCTCGCCAGAATGCCCTTGGACCCAACAGTAAAAGCAGAATGAGTTAATATTCCTTCAAAACAGTTTTCCCATTGCTTTCTGCTTCAGATGAAGCTGAAAAGACGGCAGATTCCACGGAGGACCGGAAAAGAAAGAGAATTAAGGATAGGGCTGATCGAGCCACTGTTGAACAGGTTTGGTTAGATTTCAATTTTTTTGATCCATTTGAATAAATATCTTTATGATTTTATGATGAAAAATGAAAAACTTGGTCTGGTAATCAATTTGTTGATTTATGACATCTTTTTCAAAGAATTTTTTTATTATTTTTCATATGAAAAAAACTAGTTGTGAGATTGAAAGAAAAAAACGTTAACTTTTTTTGGATGAAATACAATTTCGAACATACTTTTTCAGCTTCTAGTTTTATTATGAAAACGTAAAAATTAAGTTATTTCTTCGTTCAAATCATTTGACCAGTAGCTCTGTAATTATTATTTTTCCCGGTTTTTATCTTTTCTGTGAACTCGGCAATTTTCTTTTTCGATTCCTTCAAAAAATTCCTGCTTGGACCTGAAATATCTGCGAAAGAGGCTTTTTTTTTCTTAACCTCTGTTAAATTTGTCTATGATTCTGACAAGAGAACATTTTCAGCCCCTGTTCAAATTTCGATGAAAACCTGGCTGAACTTTACTTTAAGACCTCCTGATTACAGAACGAAAAATTTCTTGCAATTGATCTTGTTTTCGATTTATGAAGCTTCAAAGTTTAAAAAATACGGGAATTGCGTCGAAAAAGCGCTATTTAAAGCTTTTGAAGAGTCTCTAATTCAAAAGAGATTTTTTTTCGCAAATCAGGAGGTTCTGAAGTACACTCCAGCCAAGTTTCATCAAAAGTTCGACCGAGGGCTGAAAAACGTTTCCTGGTTAGAGAAAGCCAATGAAAGGAATTTCCAGGTTCTGGATCCCCGTACACGGCTCGTCCTTTTCCGATTACTACAAAATGGAACTTTGAATAATATCCACGGGTGCATTTCAACGGGAAAAGAAGCAAATGTGTACCATGCGACCAGCGAATCCCAAAATTTCGCCGTCAAAATCTACAAAACCAGCATTTTGACCTTCAAAGACCGCGAAAGATACGTTACGGGCGAGTTTCGGTTCGGATTGACCTTTTGGTTTCTGGAGAAAATATCCTTTTTCAGCTATCGCAATGGCTATTGTAAGCACAATCCGAGGAAAATGGTAGCCGTTTGGGCGGAAAAAGAGATGAGAAACCTGTCGAGAATGCACGAAGTCGGCCTTCCCGTTCCAAAGCCGCTTCTTTTGAAGGTAGTCCACTTATTTTGAATTTTTAAGTTCTGACGAAAAACTTCAAATGAATTAAAAATTATCTCGAAACTTCGCTTGCTTTTTATTTATTTTTTAAATCTTTTTACTTTTTGTTTTTTATTGGTAAAGTGGACTCTTTTTGCGAGACCAAATTATATTCCGGAAAAAAAAATTCATTCTTTTTTTTCTTGAAAAATATTCTCAACTTTCCAGGGTCACGTCCTTGTCATGGACTTCATTGGGAAAGATGGTTGGCCAGCGCCGTTGTTGAAAAAAACGCCCAAGTGAACGCTGAAGTGAGCTTTTTTTGAGTTTTTTGGACTCATCTTTTCGAAAAACTCAACTTTTTCTTTACAAAATTTTTCGAAATTAGGAATTTGAATAGAGTATTTCATTTGAAACGAGAGCTTAGAGTTATTTTATTCGTTTCAGTAACACTTAAGGAAGCATAACACGATGTGAGAAAAAGTTTCAAAGTTATCTGAGGGCTTTAAAGCGCCTCCATAATATATTTTATTTGTATATCATTTAAATATTCCCTTCTATATTTTAACGCATTTTTCCAAACATGATCTTGAACGCCATAGACGCTGATCTCAAAATTTTGAATCGAGAATAAAAGTTTTTTTATCCTCAAAAAAAAAGGATACTTTAAAAGTCATTTTTCCAAGCATTATCGAGTGAGAATCCTCTTTCTTTTCTAATAATTTCATTTCTGACTGTTTTTTGCGAAAGTTCGTTTTTTCAATTCAAGCCCTCTTCTCGTACTTTTTTTGAGCCCTGCAATTGCTGCAGTTCCGTAAAGAAAAATACGAAAAACTGCCTTTTCGATCACAACTTTCTTGTTGGAGCTCAATCTTTCTGAAACCTTTTGAAGTTGTGATGAATTTTTCTTTTTTTTTTTTTTTTTTTTTTTTTGAAATACTCTAGTGGATTTTCAGTTAGCAGAAAAAAAAAACGCAGCCTTATTCGAAAAGATTGAGCTCCTTACAAGGAAGTTGCGAGTAAAAAACTGTGAGTACAAAACAGTTTTCGTGACGGTACTAAACGAAGGAAAGAAGAATGTTTTTGAGGACGGCGAGCGGATGTACGTGAAACTGTGCCGCGACATGCGCAAGTTGTACCGCGAATGTCGTCTGGTTCACGCCGACCTCAGCGAGTACAACACCCTCGTTTTCGACGGTCAGCTCTACATCATCGACGTCTCGCAGTCCGTCGAGCAGGACCATCCGCACGCCCTCGAGTTCCTCCGCATCGACTGCAACAACGTCAACAAGTTCTTCCGGTGAGTTGAGCAGATGTTAGTGTCTTCCGCAAAATTCATTCATTTCTTCTTCTTTACCTTCCAAATAAATCAACTTACCTTCATCCATTGATTATCTTTTTACCTTCTCGAGAAAAATTAATAATTTTTTTCAATTTTTTTGGTTTCAGAAAATATAAGTATCTTCAAGAGAGAACGTGAGAAATCCTTGTATTTTCATTGCTTTTTAATATTCTGAAAATAAAATAAAAATTAATATTTCTCCTTTTTACCTTCTCTCTTTGCTTTCCGCGTAAGTTGCGAAGATTTCAGTACCTTTCAGAGAAAAAAAATTTATCAAGTTTTTTTTTCACTTCTTGCTCTTCTAATAGGTTTAGAAGATGTCAGTCAAGTAAAAAAAATTCATTATCAGTTTTTCTTATCTTTGTTTGGTAGCCTCAACGTCTCTTACAAGGAAAGCGAGTTAACAAAAAGAGCTGAAAATTAGGGGATACTCTGAAAAAAAAACCTAAAAATAGATTTCCGAAACAGAGAAGCTATAGTTCTCACTTTTCAACAATTACTGACTGTAATTCTTCTTCATTTTTCAATAGTTCCATTTATGACTGTTTATTGCAAAAGTTGGCTCTCTGCTTTTAGGAATGATTTAATTTATTGTCTAAACTCTTTTGTATCTTTTTTCTTTTAAGAGCGTTCTTTCAATAATGTCTTCAAAAGATTTTTATCAAACATGCTGAAATTCTCACTTTTATAACTAAAAGGACAGCCTCAGTGCAGATATTTTGGGCCGAAACCTTGGCGAACAATTTCCGTGAGTGGCCCCTTTACCTCGTCATGGCGACATGTCTTGTTTCCTGTTTTCCTCCATGCGTTTCCAAGCTGTTTTGTTTCGCGAGGCCACCGGGCATTTTGCAGGGAACTCGGCGTCCGCGTCCTGAGCGTCCGACGCCTCTTCGAAGTCATCGTCGATCCGCTTCTGAGCTCGAAAGAGATGGAAAGTGTGCTCGAGAGTGAGAGGTTGGTGGTACAAGGCCATCGAGTGGGAGAATATCGCGTCAATTTTCGATCTTTTTGGTTCTCCTGATCATTCATGGGAAATTGGAGAACTCAAAAAAAAACAAGGTCAACTTCAAGAAGGGAGAACTGTCTTTATTTTTAAAAAAATATTTACCATGCTTGCTCCTCATCCCTACCTTGATTTTTACTGGGGTTCCGCAAAAGACAAAGAATATCTCTATAAGAGCCATTTTTATGCCGTGATCGAAATCATTCCGAAAGTATAAAAATACCCGTCAGAAAAAAAGAAAAAAATAGAATTAGATTTTTGGAGTGCCAGATAATTCTGGATTTAGCGCTAACTATTTTGAACACGGCATTAGTTTTCGTCGCTTTCTTAAATTTTTGAAAAAAAAAATTAATCGAGCAAGCTTTTTCTATAAACTTGACGCCAGAAAGAACATACAAGCCAAAAAACCGACAATATAACAAAATTGAAATTTGACGCGATAACCTTTTACCGCCGGAAGGTGTGAACTTGCCGAAACCGGGATCAATTATTCATTTATGACCTTCTTTTTTGCTCGCCAGGTCCTCGGATTGTAATGACGACGATGCATTCTTTATGAGCGCTTTCATCCCCCATAAACTCGAACACGTGCTCCATTTCGAGCGCGACGGCGTCCTCGCCAAGAAGGGCGACGAGGCCAACAACCCCTTCCAGAATATCGTCTCCAAGGTACTTTTTGTCGAAGAAATTGTTTTAAAATATAAAGACAAAAGTTTTCGTGCAGCTCCTGTTTCCTTGAGGCCTCTGAGGTACCGAAATTTGAAGGAAAGCAGTTTTTTGTCATTTCTCCTTTTCTCAAACATATATCCAACTTCTTCATTTCAAAAGTTGGCTCCGAAAAGTCATCTTCAAGGCACTGTTCTTTCGAAAAAAAATTCTTGCCATTCAGGAAATTTTTCCTCGAAAGAAAGGTTACCAGAAGTGCTTGTCTTCGTTAAAATTTCATAATTTTCATTGCTGATCCACAATCATTTTCTTTGAATATTACCCTCCAAAGTACATCAAAAAGTTTCTTACCGTCATTCTACTTTTTTGTGTCTAATTCGTGTATTTATTCGTTTACTAACTCTCTTATACTTCTTAATATATCTCGTTGTGATTTTGACTAAAATGATACGAAAAAAAATGTCTGGCTTCACAATCAAAAAGATTATTTTAAAAGAGTGGAAATTACAGATTGACCTGAAAGGAGATCGATTTGAAAAGGAAAGCTGCTCCTCCAGCGATGAAGACGACGAACCCCAGAAGAACAAGGAATCGAAAATGTTGACCGAAGAGGAATATGCCGAGAAGGAACGGAGGCGACAAATTCATACTAGGTTACAATTTATTTCAAGAAGAAATATGAAAGGAATATGCAAGGTTTCACAATATTATTTTTGGAGTCTTATCTTCAGAAATCCACCCATATTCTAGCTTTGAGCGAGTGAATACAGTTTTCAAAATGTCGAGCAGAATTTTCTTAGAAAATAAATTGGTTAGAAGAAAAAGAAGAAAAAAGTATTTGATTATTATAAATTCGGACCGGCAAGTTTTTTCAACTGGTGTTTTCTTTGGGAAACTTTAAATCAACTTCAAGATAAAAAAAAAACGAAAAAAAAGTCCAGACCGAACGATTTTCTCAGAAAATGCTAACTGAACTTCTTTTCTTTGTCTTCTGTTTCAATTTGTAGATTAAATAAGGGTTATATTTTTTTCCACAGTTTGACAAAGCACTTACTCAGTAATTAAGGAACAATAACTTGAAAAAGGCTTGTTTTTTTGTCTTCTTTGTCTTTTAATCAATTTAACATACATTTTTCTCATTTTGAACAATCTGTTCATTGCGAAAACTGCAAATAAATCGAAGGGAAACAGTTTTGAAGCCTTGAATCCCGGTTAAAATTAAAAAGGAACTTCGAATTTTATTATTTATTTTGGCTTTGTTATATTGAACACCGATTTCAAATAGCTTAAAACTTTATTTTCTAAAAAAATCGTTCAGAGGAAAAGAAGAGACCCCAGAAGAACGGAAAGCCCGAAAAGCAGTGATAAAAGAGGAAAAAAGAGAAAATAGGAAGGAGAAAATTCCGAAGCACGTGAAGAAACGAGCGCATCGGCAGCACATGAAATGAAACTTTTCTTTTTTTTTTCTCATTACACAAATTTCTACCGTTGTTTTATTGCTTGTTGAGTTTGTTACTATTGTTGTTATCCTAACTCCCGATGAATCGTTATAAAGTTCTTATAATTAACTCATTTTGATTTTTTGCTTTTTTGAGGGTGAACTCCCGATTTTCTACCTTTTTTTGAGATTTTTCCGACCAATTTTGTTACTTTTTTGCTCATTCAGACAGCGTCAGCAGAATGGATGAAGATCTGGAGGTGAGCATTTTTACCTAAAAAGTTATTTAAAAAAAAATAGCTTTGTCCCAAAAAAATAAAAAAAAGTTATATTTCCAATAATAACAGCTTGAAAAATCCAAATTTTGACTCTGAATAATTTATTATAGCTCCAGGACGATTATTTTTGCATTGTAATCAACCTAAGTTTTTCGTAGATAAATTATCGTCTAGTTGGATATGCTAGACAGGAAGACTGGAAAAAAATGGTTTTAAAAATCAAAAAAATAACTTTTTTTCTGGCAATTATCCTGAAAAAAAGTAGTCATTGAAGCTTAAGGGGTTTTTTTCCATTGAATTACGCTTTTAAAGTACTTTTTTTAATCTCAGAATTACAGAATAGGAACCCATTAAAAGTATGGGAAAAAAATAAGAAGTTACCTGTGCACCTTGAAAAAGTTGCGAGTTTTACCGTTAGTATTAAATAAAAAAATCCAATGAAGTTACATTGTTACGAGGAATTCATGAACTTTGCAAGTTTTGCAGATAAGAAGACGAAAGGAATATGCCGAACGAAAGATCCGCGAACGGCATATCGCCCTTCGAAAAGAAGAAGAGGCGAAAAGACGCACGAATATGGAAATCCATCGCGATCGGTAAAGAGTAGTTGAGAAAAAGCAATGGAAATCTGTTTCATTTCTGAATTTCTACATTAATTTTCATGAAATCAACATGTTTCTTCCCGTTATATCCATTTTGTACAAATTTTGGTCAATTTTTATTGAATTTCGGAATTATATTCCAGTTCTCAGTTCAAATTTTCCACTGATTTCTTAGGGAAAACTGAAATATACACTTCAGTCTTGAGAATAATGAACTTTCAGAGTTCAAAAAGAATTGAGACGAGAGCAGGAAGCTCTACAGCGAAGAATGCAACAGCTCGAAGCTGATGCCGCGAGAAAAAAGGTCATTTTTTGACAAAATATTTTGTGAATAAGATGTAATGACAGCTGAGAGGGGAGTTTTTCAGGTGATCATGGAGAAACAACACCAAGCGACGTCCAGAACATCGGCGAGGAACACGAGGTCCCCCAAGGCCTACGCTTTCGGATCATCTACACCTCGAGAGCTCTCCTACTTGGACAACTTGCCGAAAAGCGAGAAGGCCTACGACAAGAAGTTGGCGCCGTTGGCCGAATCTCCCAAAAATTCGCCGTCTCCGTCGCCGGTTCTTTTTTCAAACTTTTCATTTTTGGAAAATCAAAAAAACAAAAAAACTCAATATTTTTCAATTTCTGAGATTTTTAGAAAATTGATAATGGGTGGAGAAAGGTCAATACGGGCTTTTGAAAGGTCCAAAAAGGCGGCATAATTAACCTGCTGACTAAATTATCCACAAAGAAACTCAAAATGGGTTTTTAGAAGAAAAAAAACCTGAAAAATTCAATATTTCTTGGAAGAGTGGAAAGAGGGAAAAAGGATCTATAAAGAAACCCTTATCCTACCGTTTTAAGAGCAGCTAACAAAAACCTTAGAGGAACCATCCGAATTCACCAGGATTTTTCTAGTTTTCGAAATTTCAGATGCGAGAACTGCCCCCCAGATCGTCGCTTGGCGCCAATCGGCCGCCCCTCAGATCCTCGATGACGTCATCAATGTACGTCGCCTCGGCGCCCACAATGAGAACCAGGCCTGCACCGGTTATCATTTTTCGGCGAAAATCATCAAAAATGTTATATTTTCAAGGCAAAGCTACCTGAAAACCGCGTGAAAACGGCCTCTCTAATGACCCAATCGGTCTACGCGTCGACGCCTTCTCGGCCTAAAACCACAACGGCTTCTGCGGGACTCCCGAGGGCTAAATTGCCTCCGCGACCTGTTGGTCAGTACTTTATACTTTGAAAGAAATAAATTTAAAGCGTGTCGAGCCATTCTACGTGCGGCTCAATTGAGTTTGAAATATTATAAATAGAAAAAAAAAAAAAATGAAATAATAGAAATCAGGAAAGGCGGAGGAACACCTCTGAAGTTTTTCTGGAAAATGTCTGGAAAACGTTTTATCATGCAATTTTTTGTTCTCCTAAAGCCCGTTTTTCGTGAGACTTCTATGCACCCTCCTTATCTCGCAAATTCTCTCTCATGTTGACGTAATTTTTTCATGTTTCTCTGACCTCGCCGGTGAGGGAACAGAGAGACGCAGACACTTGAAAATTTTCAAGATGTGACGACCGGACACTATACCATTGCTTAACTTTTTTGAGTTTTTTTCCCTTTTTCTCTCTCAATCAAGTCTTCAAGTTACTAGCAAAAGCAAAAGGTTCAGAAACTGAAACCATTGAGCGCCCTTTTTATGCAAATATCTTTGAGACTTCCGTCTTTCCAGGATGGCTGCTCCGAAAGCCTCTTTGTTTTTAAATTAGGAAGAGTTTTGTGAAAAACCGATTTCTCAGTTTGAAAAGCCAATATAGTCCTTTTTCAGCAGCTTCTGAAGCCAGCAAAGGTCGTCGATCCGAAATCAAAAACGAAAAAGAAAAACTGCCAACGCCGCCGCCTCGACGAAGTCTGCCGCCAAAAGCCACGCCCAAAAATGCTCCCAAAGAAAGAGAAGCTCCATATAAGGAAACTGTTGAGAACGTGAAGATAATCGAAGAACTCGTGAAGGTTTGTCTTCAGTTTCCTCAGCCAAAATAATAGTTTCCTTGAAGGAGGAGAAGATTGTTGAAGTGGAGAAGGAGCAAGAGGAAGAAGTCTCGGTTCTCGAGAAGGTTCCAGAAGGCGAATCTGAATCTTTGGCAGAGAAGCAGGAAGTACTAGTTCAGGAATCTGAGCCGGAAAAAATTGAACTCCCGGCTGAAATCTTCGAACCGGAAGAGGTATGCTTCTTTGAACTTTAAAAGGGCCAAGAACCTTTTACGAGAACCTTTTTTTTTTTTCAAAATAAAGAGTTTTTGAAAATTTATAAGAAAAAGCGCCTTTTCATGTGAAATTTTAAGAGTAAATCAGAGATTTGAGACTTTTTTTTCCTAATTTTTCAAAGTTTCTGTAAGCCACCCTCTCTTTCCAGACTGAATGAGTTCTGTACATCGACCATACGAAAAAATTCACTGAATTCGATTATTTTTTAGAAATTTCAGCAGCTTGATGCTGAAAGAGAAGAATCGCACGATGATGTAGAGAATGAGGCTGTCGAAGTGAAAGAAAAACAAGAAAGAGCTCCGACTCCCGTTGAAACTCCAGTTGAAGAGGAAAAAATCGAGACTACCGAGCAGAAAGATCTGGAGCCTTGTGATCTCCTGGTAAAGATATCAAGCCAACCAAAAAAAAACACGACTGGATCAGGTCGACTTTGAGACGGCACCTGGGCGAATCGAGGAAGAACTTTCTGCCGCCGAGCAGAAATCTGAGATTCCCGTCGCGAAAGTTCTTGAAGAAGAGGAAAAAGAAGAAGCCGATCAACCGACTCGTGTCCTCGAAACAAACGTCGAAGCCATGTTCAATGGATTAATTGAGGAGGTTTTCTTCTTTTCCAAGCATTTTAGCATGTTCAGTGTGATTTTTTTTTAGTTGAATTGCTTATTAATTTGGTTAGAGTTTTTTTAGGGTTCATGAAATTTTAGGGCTTTTTTTCAGGAAAGAAAAGAAAAATGAGAAAAAAACCCATTTTTAAGTTCAAATATTTTTTCTTTTATTCGAAATTATCTATTTCTTTTTTCTGTTTCGAAATTCTTTGGAAAAAATTTACGACCCAATATAGAATATTAAAATTTCTTATTTCTGCTCAGGAAATTTTTTGTAAATGTTTGCTTCATTTTGAGCAGAAAGGTTACCTGTCAAAATTTTGGGCCAAAACTTTTTGTCATTTTTTGAGCAAAGATTCAGAAAAATCCTGAAAAAGTTTTTTCGATCGATCAAAGCCTCATTTGAGTTCTCATGAACCTAAATTTTCGTTTTTTGTTGAATTTCCCCCTCTTCTTTTTCAGCCATCCCATGTTCCTGTACAAAATGAGCTCACGGAGCTTTTCGGTAACGATTTTGTCGGTGGACGTGTGCCGGAAATCGTGACGAATGGAGTTGAACAGGTAAAGAAGGTGTAACCCGTTCCCCCGATTACAGAGGATTTTGTTCGTACGGATATTTTTTCGGTTCAATTCCAGCCTGAATGTTTTTTATAATTCACTCAATGCTTTAAAAAAAAATTTATGAGCTTTTCTCAGAAATTATCCGTTTTTTTTTTCCAAATTTTGATTATTATTCTTTTTGAGCTTTACTAAAATAAGCTTTTAAAGTTTTTCTTTTTTTGAGAAAGTTTGGTTTCGTGGAAGAACGGATAAAAATATCTGACTGAAATTTCGAAATTAAGCGGAAATCTGAAGAATTTCAATAAAAAGTTCTTCTCTTGTAAGTTAGGAAAGCATTCGATATATTTTAACATAGTAAAAGGTCTCTGATTTTTTTTCCTCGTTACCTCAGTTTGGACCTCATTTTGAGTTTCAACTTCACCCTGGGAACGTTCAGAATGTGGTGCCAGAAGAGGAGGAGGAGGAGGAGGAAGTGTCGCCGGCGCAGGACTGGCGACGACAGGAGAAGGAGCTCGACGAGACGGACAGCGGCAAGGCGAGTCCCACGGCTTCTGAGAGCTCCACCGAAGGCGCCATCATCCATCCGAGCAGCGTCGCCCGGGCTCTCAACGAAGCTCGTGTTCGTTCTTTGTGTTGTTCTTGAGATCCTTGTTATTCTTCCCAATCTGTGGTTTTTTCGTTACTTTATTAGTTTTTTGGGAAAGTTGGCCTTTTTTCACCTTGGAAAAGTTTCGAAACCGGTTTGAAACTGTCTATATCTCCGGATATTTGTTAAGATGCTCAAAGACAAAGTCAGTGGAAACTTCTATAATCGTGTAGATTTTGGAAAGTTTTTTCATAGCAGCTTCACAACAGTTTTATGTCCCTCATTGCACTTATCAGTTTACGAATCGTAAGATTTCCTCATTTTCTGTTTTTCAATTACTGATAATTTATCCCATTCACGAGGAAAGAGTATCATATTTCGATGAATTAAAGAAGGCAGAAGAACTTAGGTGAATGTAAAAGAAACCCGATTATTCAGCACCCAACGAAAGCTGATATCGGGACTAATAGTACATGTAGTCGATAGTTAGTTGGAAAAATATGTATTCTGATGAAGACTTTTTTCTGAACAGTCAAGAAGATGAGAATAACTGGTACTTTCTTTGCAGCAGACCAAGGAGCAGCAGGAAAGACTGGAGCGGGAAGCTCGTGAAGCGGAAGAACGACGGGCGCGAGTGGCCGCCATTTTGGCCAAGTCTCGTGGAATGGAGAGTGGCGGTCGGATATCGCCACCAAGTGGTTGGTTTTCCAATAATCCCAGTAGAATTCCTCTAGCTAAACATTTTTCGATTCAAATTTACATAAGGAAAATGAAAGTAATTTTAAAAAAACTGGAAAAAAAATAAGAATTTTTTTCTAGCGTACTCTTTGTAACAGATCATCAGAAAGCCTTTTTAAAATTGATCACAAAAAGTTTTTCGGTTTTCTGATGTTCAAGTTTTTTTTTTCCGGTTGAAATTCGTAATTTGTCGAATTGGAAAACTAGGAATTTTCTAGATTTCCTTAAATTGCACTTTTTAGTTTTTCTGAGGCTGTTATTACTTTACATAAAACTTTCTATCATCAACTTGAACAGTCTGACCTCTCTGCGCTCTCTCTTTTCTCGCCGGCGGAGTCAAAGCAAGATGAGAATCTTAAACACGAGAGAGTCGCCGAGAAAAAAAAAGTGGTGCGCAGAAAAATCATATTGTTCAAGTTTAAGACAGATAGAGCATACAAGCTTCAATTGGTCTTTAAAAGTTCGAAATGTTGTGGTTTGAGGAAGATGACTTTATTCGTATTCTGGAAATTCCTGAAAAACCGGTCAGAATTGTCGAAAAAAGGAAATATCTTTAAGCTTTTAATTTGCAAAAATTTTATTTTTCAAAGTTTAAAAATCTTTAAGTTTAAAAAAATCATGAAAAGGTAGAAAAATAAGCTGTTTGGAGCGTCCAAGCCTTTCCTTTGAAAATCAGAAGTTTATGCCGGTTGAGACTCAAGATTTTCCTCTGGTCTATCAAAAAGTTTTCAGAAAATCTAAAGAAACGACCTTTCTGTCAGAATTTATTCACGAACAATTAAAGCTCAAGCTTCAGCCTCCGGATAGGCCATTTTTGATCAATTTTTCTCGCAAACATTGTATATCTGCAACATTATTTGTACCTCTTTCTTTCTCCTTTTTTGGAAGAACAATGTTTAAACGATGTGAAGTAGGTGGAGAAGCGGCGCCACCAGCGGCACCCGTCGCCAAAGAAACTGAAAGCGTTTCTCAGCCAGATAGCGGTGAGCACCCAATTCAATTGCTCAGCACACACCTGTCGTTCTTTTCCTTTTCTCTCTTTTTTTTGTCTCGAACAGTTCTTGAAGTGTCGCCGAGGGGTTTGTGAAAGGGGAAAAAACAGCTGAGAAGTTTCAACGACTTTGAAAATAACTAGAGAGAAAAAACAGCCAACCGTCCCGAAAAGCATAAAAATTGCGCTTCTTGAAAAAATTCCTTGTCGGTCTCAAGCTAAAAGCGGAATAAAAATGTCTTCACGAGCAAGTCGTTTTTGGTCGGGCGCGTCTAAAAAAATCTCATCGCGTAGGCGTTTCACGTGCGCCTGTAGCAGTGAAAGCTAGAAGGAATATAATTTGAAATTGTATTTTTTCTATTGCTTTCTTGTCGGAAACGGCAGGTTACTGAAACATTCGTTGTGATACCATTTCTAGAGTCTGGTAACTGTGGAGTGGATTGACGTGTAGCGGATTTTTAAACGGCGTCCGACCTAAAACGACTCGCGCTTTTTCGATATCATTGGCGAAAGTTTCTGAACTTCGACCGCCACGCTTAGAGCCATTTCAAGCGTGGATTTTTGAAATTAGCTGGATAAAGGGAATTTCTGGTCACTTGAACAGTTTTCAGTTGTTTCTCTTTCACAAACCGGATGATTTGACTTTTTTGTGTCGTTTTTGCAAGGTTTTTTTTTCAAGTGAAGCAAAAAGAACTGCAAAAATGACCTTAAAAGTAGATGTGAACATTTTTGTTGAAACCGCCTTGGTGGATGTGCTGATTGTCGTAACTTTGTCCCTTTTCCAACATTTTTGCGCGATTAAAGAGTGTTAACATGTCGAATCCGAGTGGGGAAAGGTGAAAAGCAAAATCTGGATGATATGTTGAAGTTTGACTTTCTGAAAAAAACTGAAATTGAAGATAGAATCTCTATTCGTTTTTCTTTGAGCTTTTCATGATCCTAGCGGAATTCCAAAAAAAAGAAATCTGAAATAATCTAGGCATGGCCCGGTGAATGATGGTGTGTTTCCTGTTCTGTTTTTGTGCCTTGTTTCGTGAAATTGTGGTTTATTTTGAGTTTTGGAGGGGGGCGTGGCCTGGTGACCGATTTATTGAGTTTATTTTTTCCATTGAAATTTTAGGTTTCCCCTCGTAATCTTGTGTGATATCCGATTAATTTCCTATTTTTTAACCTAAGTGCGATAACAATCTAGTGGTTGTTCTAATCTAAAATAATTGAATTCTTGCTTAACCTTGTCATAAAAGTTCTGAGATTACTGTATAGATCTCGGTAATCGTTTTAAGACCTTCTTGAAATTTCGAAAAAAAAAATCGAGTTTTGTGACAATCCATTCATTCGCAGTGACTTGGAAGTTCTTGGTTGCGCTTGGAATGGCTCGAATAGTCGCGATTTACATTCAATACCTCGGTTCAATGCTTTTCTGCGCTGATAAAACCGTTTCGAGTCGGGCGCGTATTGATATAGCCGCGACGCTTCGAGTCATTCCAAACGGGATCTCAAAATTTCATGTTTCGTCGAGTTGAGTTAGTCTTGCAGTTGTTTGACTTAATGCTGAGCAAATAATTGGTTTTAAATGACATCTAAATTTTCTATTAAGTTGCTAATTGGCTTATCGCTAACGGAAAATCACTTGGGCCTGGTCCCCTTACAAAAAAAGTTTGTCTGCTTCTATAGTCCATTCATCGCTAGCTTAAAAAATTGACGTGGAGACGTCTAATTGTCTCATTTTCGCATAATGTTTCTCTAATTTTGATGGAAGCCTGTGATGAATGACCTATTCTGCAACTTACTCAGAATCTGTTTTTTTAAGTTGGAAAATCTGAAAATAAGTTCGATCATTCTATCGTTTGCAGGCATGAACGCGAACGATTTGTTGAAACGGCTCGCTTCAACTCACAATATTTCGTCGTTGCAGAAGATTCTGCAACGAAAACAAGGAAGCAACCCTTCTTTGCAGGTTTCTGCGCAGAATATATCCAAATATAACTATTTCTTGACAGGCGGACAATTCCAATGCTTCGAGTACAGAAGTTTTGCCTTGAGTGGGTACGGCCCCGCTCAAAAATACGGGTTATTTAATTTGGTGCGTACTTTTTTTCAAATTTCAAAATCTAATAACATTTTGCAGTTTCAGATCGTCCTTGCCGTCCAGAAAGCATTTATTGTTCTAATCATCTTCGTTGCTTTATTTCCCCCTTCAGTTCAGCTCATTTTCTTGTCCAATGGTCCTTATTGCTTGAAACTTCATGATTGCCTTATTGATATATTATATTTGTGATTTCTAACCCCCCTCCACTGAATTCGGTAATTGTGAATAGTCTCTGTGTTTTTTTATTCGCATCGGAGTAAATATTGAAGAAATCTTCGTTTTATTATCCAAAAAAATGTAAATCAGTCGTATGTATGGGAAGACAACGGAAAAAAATGAAAGTTTTTTTGGATCGAGAGATGTGATTGGGAAGTGTTTATATACTCAAACCGAATGCTCATCTTTTTTTATTAAAAAAAAGGTGAAAGAACGTATTAAATTAAAAAAAGTTCATACTATTTAAGGCCGACTCAACTTTACCAGAAAAACGAAAAAATACTGACTTTTTTTATCGAGTTTTTGCTGGTAGCTCAATTTGAAAAAAACATAGAAAAAAAGAAAAAAATTCTGAAAAGTTAAGGAAATGTTTACTCACGCGAAAAATGTGTGAGCTGCCGTGTTAAGCGAGTAAAAAAACTTGTTGATAATTCATAAATTATTCATATGACATTTCAATTTGAAAACTCAAACATATGGTCTTAATTTTGGTGAATAAAACCTTGTCTTTTTCGATTCATGAGAAAATGACACATTTTTAACCTTAAACCTTACAAATCCAAAAAAAGTTCTGACGAAAAATTAACGATTTCTTCCAGAAGAATATTCGCTTTGAAAAGGTTCTTTTCCACCTGCAAGGTTCAGCAAACGGTCTTTAAATGATTACCGTCTACAAACTTCCAAATTATGAATGAGCTCGAGCCCCCAATAGCTCCCATTTCGGTCAAAAGTCGTTGACCCGAGAAAAAAGCCGTTCGGCTCCTGAAAAAGACATTGGAGATCGGAAAAAACGTCAGCCTTCGCCGGCCTGGCTCATCCCGCGTGCCTTGTCCCACCGGCTCCTGCGACCGAGTACATTTCCAATCCTTGCACTTTTGCAGTTTTCGAGTGCACGTGCGAAATGTTAGAGTTTTGCGTATCTTTCGCTTCCTATTTGTTCTCTCAATATCAGGTGCTAACAGTGGAATAATTCTGTTCCTTTGTATTTCAAAAATTGGTAAAGAAAATCGGATAATTTACTATTCTGTTCATTTTTCATCAATTTAAATGGTTTCTGAATGTATTTCGGAGAAAAAAATTACATTTCCTGTGGTTTTTTTAATAATGAGAGCTTTGAATATTCCCAAAAGATATAAAATATTTGAAAATTTGACTACTTTCATTTAATGGTTGAGTGATCTTGATTTAAATTTTTTTATGCAGTTTCTTTCGTTTTTGGTTATTTGATAGTTTCATATTTATAATTTGAATTATTTTGGTAGGTGTTTTGTGCTTGTTCTAATAGAATATAATCTTCTATGGACGTCGTTTCCCAAGGCGATTAAAACAGCCTTTTTTTGTTCATACGAGAACTTTTGTTTTGGTTTTTTCCCCTCTTTTCGGTGGCCTTTTTCCACACAGTATTCTCTCTACTTTCAAATAACGAGTGGGGTTCTTTTTTTCTGTTCGAATCATTATATTTTCTTCTCATCTCTGTGTTTGTTTTGTTTTGTTTATTCCCAGCATCATGCGCTTCGTTTGAAATGAAAAATCAGCAGTTCTACCGTGAAAAACGCTTTTTTCCGTCTTTTTCTCAGTTCTTTTTTTTGAAAGTAAAAAGTTAATTTTAGATTGAATCCTAACGGTTTGTGGCGATACGAGCGGTTCGGTGATTTTCTTTCCTTTCGACAGGTTTTTTTTTGAAAGTTATTAATAGAAATTACAGTATTTTTTTCTTGGTTTCTTATCTGAGAAATAATCTTATATTTTTGTTTTTCGAGCGAGAAATTTGACATTTATTTTTGAGAAAAAAACGGGATTTTTTTGTTCCATTTCTGAAGTTGATACCGGATTTTTTGATTTTTCTTTGCTGATGAACGGTAATTTTTTTCTAATAATTCAATTGTTTCGAAAATTTCTAGAGAAAATATTTCTAAGATCGGTATTGAGTTTATATTTCTTCCTTTCGATTCTTTTTTTATCTGAATTTGAAGAAATTTTTGGAAAGCGTTTTTCAAGTTTTTCCTAACTTGTTAATATTATTATTATTCCAAAATTATCAATATTTCCCACAATAAGGTCTTGGAATGACTTTCTCAATGAAATTTTTTTATATTAAAGTAAGAAATCCTATTAAAATTGATATCGAAAGCCTGAAAATTTGAATGAACCTTCCAGTTTCTTTTTTTTTCGCGTTCAAAGCCGTTTTTCAGATTTTAAAAGATGTTTTCTGACCTTTTTATTAAATTTTTGTGTTTTTTTTTTGATTTTAACGCAATTATCTGAAATCTGTGACATTCAACTTATCGAATAAGAAAAAAATGTTGGGATTTTTGTTTTTTTCTAGAAAAAGCGACCTTTGATATTTTAATTACCGAAATAATTCGCTTGATATTTAATTTGGATGATTTTTTGCGAATTTTAAGTTTTTTCGGTAATAACAAAAAAATAAGTTACTGTTTTTTTGAAATCTTATGAGAAGACTTTTGAGAAGAAAAAAAGTCTTTCCCACAAATTCCTTCTCTCATAAATTCAGAAATATTTTTCTTATCTCACCTTCCTAAACGAAAAAAATTCATTTTTTTCTCTATCGATGACGCTAAAAAAATATTTTTATGGAAGAACTTATTTTTTTCTTCAATCATTGACACAATGTTAAGGCTAAAAATAGTTGATTTCAGTTAAGACGAAAAAAAATTGAAGATTTTTCTAGTTTGAATGGAAGATAGAACTCATCCTAAAGTCTGAATCTTAAAGTTTTCTTGAAGTCTAAGATTTTTTGGTAATTTTCATGAAAGAAACCTGTTGGTTGTTAATCAAAATGACGATAGATATGATTTTGAGGCTCGGAAATGGGTAGTTCCGAGGGAGAACGGACGCAGGCTTCGCGTGAACCGGAAGGCGACGCGGCCAGCGATTCCGACGGCGACGCCGCTGAAGACGTAAGATTTTTCATTTTCTTCCGATGCTTCTATACCATTTTTAAGCGATTTTCATAATTGTGATCATTGATTACGAGAGTACCATTCGAAAAGCTACGAAAATAATTTTTTTCTCGCAACTTTCCTATGGAGCTTCATCTTTTTGAAAATCTAGAAACCGTCTTTTTTCTGCAAACCTAAATTCCACCAGAGTGTTATAAATGACTGTTAGTTTCAGAAAGGCCTAACTCCATAAAAAGTTTTGATCAAAAAGGCGTTTTTCGTATTTTATAATTTTACTCTTTGTTTCACCGCTAAGAGTTAATTAAACAAACTAAAAGAATGAAAATCCCTGAATTATTTAATTTTGGAAGAATTCCCTACGTTTTAAACATTTTTTCATAACAGAAAATCAAAAATATATTTTATATGTTCGGAGAAATGAGCACTGTAAACCCGAAAACAAGATCTCTTTTTTGAAATATTTCGAAAAAAAAGGCCTAAAAAATTTTTGCGCCTTTTCAGTACTTTTGAATGCATTTTTTCTGAAAAAGGTCTCGGGAAAAAAACGCATTTTTTTATTTCATCTAAGGTTTTTTTGAGATTCTTCGAGAAAAAGTTATTTTTTTACATTTTATGGAGAAGAAAAATGAAGGAAGCACTGAAATAATTGTTATATAATTCCTTTTTTTGTAATTTTTTTAAATTTCTGTAGATTTCTTTCAAGCTGCACTTGCTTCGTAAAAAAAATACTTATTTGCGTAAATAATATTTTTTTCTTTGCGACACTAAAAAGAAATTATTACATTCTTATGCTATATTCATAAATCAAAAAAAGGTTTTTTTACATTTTATGGAAAAGAAAAACTGACCGAAAATGTTTGACTGTGGCCTGGAGACATAGCGGAATGAACACAGAATGGCGGAGAAAATGTCTTTTTTCTTATTTTCCACCCTTTTTCATAATTTGATTCGCAGTGAGAATGGGAATGTTTCGAAAAAGCTTTCAAAAATTTTAGATATCGTGAGAAAATTTTCCCATTTTTTCCGTCAGTTTCTTCTTTTTCTTTCACGGCTTTCATAGTGATACGATTTCTTTCCCTTCTTTCTTTTTCTTTCTTTTTTTATTTTTATTTTTACAACAATTTTTGAGTTTTTATATTTAAATTTTACAAGGTAGGAAGGAAATTTTTTTAATAGTTTTCTGTTTAAGTTTTTTTCTTTCCTTTCAGAGATTAGTTGAAGAATTAGGAAGGTGTTAAGTTTTTTTATTTAATTCATTTAAATTCCAAATTTATTTCGTACTCTTCCCATCCATCATTTGAAGCATGATTTGATGAATTTTTTTAATGAATTTATTAAAAAAATGAATAATCTGAAATTTTTTTCTCGGCCTATTAAAAAAAGTATTTTTTTGCGAGGACAGTTTTTCGTTTCTTTTTATTTTTCTTATTCTCATATTTTTGAATTTTTCCTGCGAAATTCGACTTTTTTTAACTTGAAGAAAAAAAGTGAGATCTCTTCTCTCAATACGCCTTTTCGAAACTTTTTTGAAGGACGAAGAAAAATGGAATTATAAAAGAGGATAGCTGAGATTAACCGTGTTCACTGTTTCGAATTTGCTTTTAAATGATTACAAAGTTTCAAAACTAATTAATGGTTATCCGATTTCTCTAAAGAATTGACTTTTAATCTTTTGTTCAAAGATATCAAAGAAAAGATTATAAGTACAGAAGCTCAATAGATTTTCTGACAAATTTTGAAATTGGTGAGGAAAGTTTGGGTTTATTTTCAAAATCAGAAATTGGATCAAGTATAAAAAGAGTCTCCGGAGATGGAGCCAATAATAGTTTCAAAACAGATCTAATCGATTTCAAATAACTTTGAAAGAGGTGAAGAAATATATTTAGATGTTAGAAAGGTCAAAAAGGGAGACCATTAATGATCGTAAAAAGCTCTAGTCGATTTTTCTATAGAATCTCGAGAGTGATAAAGAAATGATGAACTTTTTTTATTAGTTTAAAGTTTGAGATATTAAGAGAGTCTACAGGTAAAAGAACCATTCATAAAAACCGATCTGATCGATTTTCTAGAGAGTTTTGGAACTGATGAAGTTTTTTTATAAGTATAATGTTTGAGATATTAAAAGATTCTGCTGAAATAGGGCCAATAATGCTTGTAAAACAGCTCTAGTCAATTTTTTTTTTACGAAATTTCGGATTTGATGAATAGAATATGATTTTTTATAAGTTGATAGTTCCAGAAATTAGGAGAATATCCGGAAAAAGTGACATTAATGATGTAAAACAGCTCTAGTTGGTTTTCTACAGAATTTCTGGACGGATGAAGAGAAGATGAACTTTACATCAGTTCAATGTTTCAGATATTAGAGGAGTCTCCGGATAAACGGTGGTCGAAACGTCGGGAACAAGTCAAACAGCGCGACGTCCCCGGAATCGACGTCGCCTACTTGGCGATGGATAATGAAACTGGTCATTTTTTGCTTCTCCGTCATTTTGATAGTTCCAAAAGGAGTGAAATCGATTTTTCTCGCTATACCATGATTATCAGTACAAAAAGATGAGAATAGGAAAAGATTGAAAAATCCGAGCTTTCCAGTTATTAGAAGAAAAAAATCTTTTGCAGAAAATTTTGCATTATTGATTTTTTTTTAATTTATCAAACAATATTTTTAATTTTCATGAAAAAGCTCTGTTTTTTGCTCTTTTCTAGGAAAGTTTTGATAAGCAAGCCGGAGATTTTATTGAGAAAAAAGAAGACTTTTAAATCGAGTTAGAAAAAAAGCACGATGAGTTTTTCAAATTTGGCCGTTTCCGATGAAAGAAGTTGTTCAAAAAAATAAATAAATGAAATCTAGATCTTGATTTTTTTAGATCGGAATTTTTATTCCATATTTTTGGACCAACATTTTTTTCCTTTATTTCCGACTTATTTATGGAGTTTCTTGTAAGGAATTATCTGTTCAAAACTCGACTATTGAACTTAAAAATGTTTATTATTGTTGTAATTTTTTTCTGATATTTTATTTGAGTCTTTGAATCGAATCATTGGAAACATACATCAAAATTTAATGAAATGATAAATCTAAACGTTTTTTTATATTGAAGATTGATTGAGTTTTCCAGGAAACGAAGTTGTCTGGAACGAGGTCCAATTTTCCGAAAGGAAAAACTTTCGGGAACAAGAGGTAATTTCAGAAGCTTTTAATCCTTGCAATAGAACTTTCTTTTCGATTTTTAACAAATTTTTTGGCTCTTTTGATTTGAAACCATAAGCTCATTTTTTCCAGGAGAAGATCAACGCCGTGTTCGACAATCTAACGCAACTCGTCCACACGAATCTCGTCAAATTCCACAAATATTGGACCGACGCCAAGTCCGAGAAGCCTAGGGTAATTTTTTTCCCATTTTGTCAACGATATCTTGAAATTTCTCCAAAAAAAGATTTTTTTAAAAATTTTTTATCAAGTCTCAAGCTGATATTAACATTTTTCGATATCAGATAATTTTTTTGAGGAATTTGAAGGATCATTCGTCTTTAGTCCATTTATGTACAAGAATTTCACATTTTCCTACAAGTCTGACTTTTTTTCTTCCAAATTTTTCAGTTTTTAATCTTTTTCGAAGCGAGTTTTTGAAAAACTATAAATTTGAATTTCCAAAGGATTTTTTTAGCTTTAAATCTCTTCTTCAGAGTTTTTTTCGTTTTTCGAATAATTTTTATCCAGGAAAATCTTCGAGCAAAAAAATTAGATAATCAAGAAAAAAACCGAACTTTTTTTCAAAGTTGATCTTTTTTTAGAGTTAATCCTTTTTTTGAGTTTGAATGGGAAGAGAATGTCAAAAAGTAATTTTTTTAAAAATTTTTTTAAATCAAAACGATATCTTATAGTTCCTCTTAGCGGTTTTTCTATTAGCCATTTTTTTCAAACGTTTCAATCTTTCCAGACTCGAATGCTGAACCTCCATCTCTCAGAAATATTTTTTTGAATTCCAGATTATTTTCATCACGGAGTACATGTCTTCGGGATCAATGTCGGCGTTTCTGCAACGGACACGGAAGGCCGGATCGCCTTTGAGCATCAAGGTTCGAACAGATCAAGCAGAACAAAATGAGGAAGCTTTGTGAAGAAGAAAAAAAGTTTTTCCAAGTTCAGAAAAAAAGCTTCGTTCCCAGGATTATTCAAGTTTCTCCTACTATTAAAAAAATGATATATTGCTTCAATTTCAGATTTAGTAACCTAATTCGAAAGTTTCCTGTTGAATTAGTTACTTTTTGTTTTTTTGTAAAAAGCCATCAGATTTTTAGAATAATCTCACTTTTTTTATATTTCTCCGATTTTTCTCTCACTGAAAATGTAAAAGTTTAACTATATTAACCTAACTCGGAACTTTTTCTCCTAACTTAGCTTCTATTTTTTTGTTTGAGTTTAATTTTATCACTTTTTTTCGGATTCGTCAAAAAAATTAAAAACCATTTTTTTGCCTTTTTTTCAAAGTTTTTATTGTTCCGTGTTTAAAGCGATTTTTCAAGTCGGAATTTGTCAATTTTTCCACTAGCGAGAAGTTTTTTTGAGGTTTTTTTAAGAGATTAAATTTGATTTCTTTTCATTTTCGAAACTTCACATTTGAGAGTCATTTTTTTGGTGCATCGAACAGAGAAAGTGTCCAAAAAAAGATTAGTTTATAAGATAAAACGTTTTTTTGATGAGTAAAATTAAGAAATCATTTAACGGAAGTTCACTTTTTTTGAATTTTTTTCTACAAAATTTGAAGATATTTCGAAAATGGCTCAAAAAAATCGGAGAAAGTCCATTTTTTTCTAGCACGTTATCATACGAGGTATTTCACAAGTCCCAATTTCTTTAAATTTCATCAAAAAAAAATTTTTAATTTAGGCGTGGAAGAAGTGGACGACGCAAATTCTGTCGGCGCTGAATTATTTGCATTCTTCGGATCCCCCAACGACCCACGGAAATTTGACCTGCAACACGGTTTTTATCCAACAAAATGGTCTCATCAAGATCGGCTGTGGTTCGTTTTTTATCGATTTTTTCCTTCAAAAATTATCCGGAATGATTTTTTTCGTGCAGTGGTTTACACTTCTATCGATGCCGTGGTATTGCCTGAAAACAGTGATTTTTGAATATTATGTAGTCCTTTTCAGATTTGAAAATGATTCTTGTTCGATTTTTGTAAAGTTAGGAAATTGTAATTTGAATTTAAAATAGAAAACAGTCAGGAAAAAGTTTCCTTTACTACAAACATGGAAAATATCCGATTTCAAAAAGAAATACCCATCACAAAATTTGGAAAAAAAAATAGTCAATTTCCAAAATTTTGGAAGGTTTTTGTTCAACTTTTAATAAACCTAATTGAAATGAGCAGCTAACTTTTTCAAAGATGGTAATCGTATACAATATCCGATCTAAATTAGCCTGGTAACATGTGGAATGGCCTAACGCGCCGAGGCCAATTTTATTTTGCGCCCGACCAGAAAGCGGCTTTCGCTTGTTGACATTTGAAGAGTTGACTTTAATTCAAGAAAACGGCAATCAGACTGCGAAACGTTGAGCCATTCCACATGCGATTTTTCCAGAATGGAATAAGGGAAATGAAATAGAAAATCGTCTTTTTTTCTCATTCAGGAAAGGAATTTTCTGTTTTATAGAGGCCTTTCTTAGTCTCAAAATAGGAAAATCAGGGAAAATTTCGAGGAAATCTCAACTTTGCCATAATCTGATCGAAAAGAATGAAGCGGGATTCTGTCTTTTCGCAATTCAGGTATCTACATGTGTAAGGATGCGACTGGTCACAGTCTCCTTGGTGGGTACCGAAAAATGTTCCTTTTTTCTCTCAAACTATTCCAAATGTCCGGTTCAAGTTAATTCTTCCCTCCCTTGTCGCCGTGAAGTCCATTTTCCTTTTTGGGTTCTTTTTCTTGCTGTGTTCGCTTAGCTTTTTTCGTTTTTTAACCAGTTTTTGAAGCTTTTTTAAGTTGCCAGTCCGTTCAGTTTTTTGTTTGCTTGAAAAAAGTGTAAGAGCTTTGAAATTCAAATATACGTTTTTAATACGGAAAATTTGGGTATGAAATGTAGATTTTTCCGTTGGTTTCGTTCCTACTAACTATGGGAATTTTTTTCAGAAAAGGAAAAGTTCATCAAAAAAACTGCTCGAAATATTTGAAATTTTTTCTCTTTTTCTCGAGAATTCATGAAAAAAATTTTTCTGTTTAAAACTTCGTGGGCTCTGAGAACGTTAATTTCACGATTCTTTTGATTTTCCTTTTTTCGATTTCTCTAAAAATTAAAATATTCATTAGTGTTGGACTAATCTAAATAATTATTTTTACGAAAAATCAGGGTTTTCCCGACTACAAGTATTTAGTTTCCGTTTGAAATTATCAGTTGGATGCTTTCCAATTTTTTTCAAAGAGCCTTTACTTTTTTTAAATTTTAAAGGCACTAGGGTCGTCCAAAAAGAAAATTTCATCTAACGAACATTTTTTTAAATAACCGAAATAATTCTTATCGTTCCAACCGGGATGTTTTTTTCGACATAACTTATCTTTTTTTTTTTTTCAATTATTGATCTTGAAAACAATACTTTCTGAATTGAACTTTTGAAGATTGAACTTTTGAAGATTGAACTTTAACCTAACTTTTTAAAACCAAACCTTGTAGAATTTAATTTCAGATCTAACTTTTTCGAAACAAGCTTGAAATTTTGAAGTTTGCTAAATATTGGAGCGATTTGTTGAAATGCAAATTGTGGGATCCCTCTTGGAAAAGCATGGGTTTTTTGAAGATTTTCTCTTGATTCGCGTTTGTCGACCCCTTGGCGCACTTCCTCCGGGATCAGTGATCTGCTGGACTTATCAGCGCCGGTGGCGGCTGGCACCTCGGAGAGGGAGTCTTGGCCAAGGCGGAAATAAAGTCAACTCTTTAGTCGGACGGCAAACCTATCCGCATTTTGGGGTTAACTTTTCCTTTTTCCTGTGTCTCGTGTGTGTTGGCTGGCGTCGTGTTTGCCGGCGTTCCAAGACGTACCTGGTGCGCCGAAACTCCGACCGTTTCCTCTTTAAACGGCGGCTTATCGCCACGGCCCGAGCCCCCCTGGCCCCCCACCACCAGCCGCACTTTTATGTTTACTCGGGATTTGAGACGAGCCCAAAGGTTGAGCTAACTAATCAGTTTGTTTGTGTCCGCTTGACGAATGAGCCCTGGCCAGCTTTTTCAGTTCGATCTCAAGGTCAAGCCGGAATGCATGGAAGCTTTTGGAAGTAATTAGCATGAAACTGTGAAGGAAGACTTCTTTCAAGGTCTCATGGAAAGATGAGGTCGAGGGATCACAAAACTAAGCTTTTTTTTTAAATTTCGAAGAAAGGGCTGTTTGAACGGGGAATGACTGCCGTAGAGCGTGTTTACGCGAGGAATGAGAAAAACATTTATCGAAAAATCCGTTGAAAGCCAGGTTTATTCCGCCAATTTCGGACTCCTCAAAAAAGCTTTTACCAAAAATTTAGCTTAGGAATACCCTCAGAAAAGCTTTTAGTGGAAAAAAAAGGCTTGGAAATGTGACCGTAAAGCTTTTCCTCTCTAAATCTTTTTTTTTCATATAGAAGAATAAGAACTCCTCATCTGAATATGAAACTGTACTCTAGACAAGACAGGGTTTTCAGACCCAACAAACTAATTACCAAAGAGAGGCGGACAAGATCCACGGAGACTCTAAAAACATTCATTTCTAGGATGGTCGTTCTGAAAACTTTTCCAGAATTTTTCCTGACCCTTATTTATGAATCAAACAATCCAAAAAAAAAAGGAATATGAATTCGAGTTGAAAAAAAGGCAAAAAAACAGAGTTTTTAAAAAAATTTAGTGATCAGGAATATTATGTTAGAATAAAATTCAAAAATTAGGAGATTAAAATTTCCAAAATGTTTTTTCTGACTGCTGTGAGGTTGCAGGTGATTGTCGCGCCATTTCCGATGGTCAGTCTTAAATATCATTTTTTTTTTCATTTCTTTTAGTTTTTTCCGCTTGGATAGTAGTAATTATAGTGCTTCGATTTGTGTGTAACTTTATTTGGTGTAGTACTACGGGAGTTCAGAATGAACATAACTTTTCTGTTTCATTTAATTTGACAGTAATATACTTGAGAAAATGCAAAGGGAAACTTGAAAAGTCCGGCTTTGACAATTTCTTTGGATCTTTCGGAGATGTACTCTGAAGAATTTTCGACTGAGGAAACGTTAAACTTTTTTTTAGTCAAGTTTTAATGCCCTAAAGCTCGTAAGATGCCACTTAAGTGGAGAAAAATAGGCTTTTCAGTGTTCAGTGTTTATATAGGACCATAACTCGACTAGAAGAAAAACTTGTATGAACTCTAGTGACCACTTAAGAAATTCCGGAAGAAGTACTTAGAGAGGATATTAAAGTGGCCACTGAAACCATTTCAATAGAAACCACTCTAGTAGTTTTCAGTGAGGTAGACCTTTAAAAAGACCACTAAATTCTAGCCACGTATATGGCCACTAATTCGACAACTACCTAGACCTCTGAAACGTCAAATCCCTAGAGTGGCCCCTAAAAATTCCCCTAAAAAGGCGATCAATGTTTTTACGCGTTGGAATATTTCAAAAGCGATTTCTTACAAATTCTCAAAATCGGGCTTTTTGAGCTTCCCTTGTAAGCTTCAAAGTCACGCCTCGTGCGATGATACGGCGATGACGCGTCGTGATTGCGCGATTATCGCGCGCCTTCTTCATTCTTAACAGTCTTTAACTATTTGTCGTCAGTCGACGGACATCGGTGTCCGTGAAGGAGAAGAGAGGAAAAAAGGGCAAGAAAGTCCCCTCGAAAGTGCTGCTCCTGTTGCTGCTGCTGATCCTTCCTTTCTCTGTGCAAACTCACTTTTGTACGTGTGCTCTGTGTGCAGTGTACTACAGGATGCCTCGAAAGTATTGAAAAAAGAAAGAAGCATAGATTCTCAAAGTATTTGTGAATTCAGAAGATAGTATGGTCTTTTTGCAACTAAACTCTCAACCTCGGGAAAAATTTCTAAACTTTGAAAAGAAAATCAAAGAGAGTAAGAGAACGGGTCTCATAGGGAGGGATACTTGAGAAAACGCTGATTCAGAATTTATCGACAGGTCAAGTCAAGTTATGGTATCTCAAAGTTGAAATCTACCTTGAAGTAGATCAAAAGAAGGTTACAGCGTCTTTGAGGCTTCATAACTCGATTAAATGAGAAAATTTGTACTTTTTTTTTGATTAAACTTTGAATCAGCACATCCGAAAGTACCTCTGTACAAATTATCATCAAGTTCTGATATCCTGAACCTTTTGACCCAGATCAGGGTCAGAAATGCATTTCGAATTTCAAACAAAATTTTTTCCACCTGTTCTTTAAAAGAAAATTAATTCGAGTGGACTCGGATTATTTGATACCCGTAGTATTAAAGTGAAAACGGTTGGTTTTCTTTTCGAAGTGTATAAACTTATCCTGAAGCTGGAAGGTTTGTTATAAAAAAAACCTTGTTTCAAAATCCCAAAAAAAAAAGTTGAACTACCCGTTTTTTATCTTGGAAATCGACTTTTGGCAAAAATCAGACTTTCAAACATTTTTAAAAATATTATACCTTAGCCGATTAGAATTGATTTTATGGAAGCTTAGAGAGTTGTACTGAGGTGGCTAAGACCGATTTCACTTCAAACCTGACTAATACATCAAAAATTGTCCTTTTGACGATACTTTCGAGCCACCCTGTGTATAAATGTGTGCGTGTGTGTGGATGGGAGAAATCTCCGGAAACTGAACAATTTGGAAGAACAGAATCGAGGTTTCAGTGGCCCCCGACGCCATCAACCATCATGTGAAGACGTGCCGCGACAACTTGCGATATATGCACTATATCGCTCCGGAATATGAAAGTATGCTCCATTGAGAATATGAGAAAAAAAAGGAAATTCAGGCAGTACCGAGGTCACGCCAGCCGCCGACATTTACTCGTTTGGCATTTGCTCATTAGAGGTGCTAGTTTTAAAAAAACTATTGATTTAGCAGGAAATAAAGTGGTCCATCAAAAACGGAAAAAATGATTTCGGACAAGAATCCTCTTGAACTAGACTAAAAATTGAATAAAATTTGATGGCTTAATGGCAAACTTTTTAAAAAGTTTCTGGATCTACTTTCAAATTTTTTTTTTGTTTTCACAGTTTTACGTAGTTCAAAAGGTATATATTTCTTCTTCCCTTTTTTCTCTTAATGGTAATCCTAGTTTTTCGAGAGAAAGATCGTTCCTCCAAATTTTTGTTTGAGAAACCGGAAATTTTTAGCCATGCAGCGCAAATGTAAGGGCAAAAACAGCCATAATCTTTTATTCACCTTTTTTCGGCTTTGTTCGAAGATGACGTTGTTTTTCTCAGATCGCCGTGATTGGAGGCCTTTCGGGATGCCAAAATGGTAGTTCTGAAGGTCCCGTAACCGAGGAAGTCATCGAAAAGGCGATAAATTCGCTGGAAGATCCCCTCCAGCAGGTTGAAAATTTATCAACTCCGTAGAAAATTCCGATTTTGAGGACTTTATCCGACAATGTCTGAGGAAAAACCCGCTGGAACGACCGACGGCCCGGCAGCTTTTATTCCATCAAATCCTTTTCGAGGTACTTTTCAGAACCTCTAGATGACTTCATTCTTCTTTGACAATTAGTTATGATTTATTATATCCTTGAAAAAGAAATATGAAAAATTCTTCAGGTACATTCCCTGAAATTGCTGGCGGCACATGCGATCGTCGACTCGAAACGCTACGACAACTGCTCGGATAGCGTTTTCCGTATACCTGACAATGATAAGGTAAGCCTGAGGGAGCACTCAAGGAAAAAAGCTGAGAAAAATTGATAAGTTTGCCGAAAAAATACCAAGACATCCTGATAAAAAACTTTTTGAAAATTTTTCACTTTTGGGAGTGCTTAGAAACCATAGAGGTTAGTATCACTTCGACTTGAGTCTAAAATGTAAAGTTACAAAGTGAGTTGCGTCAAAAATCATTTTTGGAACGTTTTATTAAAGCATTTTGAAAAAAGATCGAGGCGATAAATAGTTTCCATTATATCACCTAAAAAAATTATTTTTTTCGGCCCAACAAAACTTCGTCTATTACTTATAAAAAAACTCTAAAAAATCTCTCTCAGACCATATGATCTCAAATTAGACTTTTTCCATTTTTTTTTTCTGTAGACTGTCAAAGCTACAAAAAGTCTGATTTCTCTGCACTCTCTTTTCTCCCAGCGAGGGTGCCGTTTTTACGTTAGCTTTGCCCTATTCAAATCAAAATGTTTTATTTCTCACACACAAGTACTAAATTTCCCGAAATAGATGTAGGGAGAGTTTTGGGATCATATGTATCGGAAATATGTGTCGGAACTATGACTTTGTCGGGAAGAGAAAAGAGAGCGCAGACAGGTCAGACAGTTTCAAGTCGTGGCGTTGAGATAAAACCATTAGGCGAAGCAACTATTCGTACATCTTTCTTTGAAATCTATTTGATTTTGGCTCCCAAGTCCTATTTGACCTCAATAGTTTTTGCAAGTAGAAAAAGGTCCGAATTTGGAGAAGAAGCTTCTCCTTCTCTCTTCTCGCTATGATGCTGATGAGGTGGTGGTGGGGCTCTCGCGCACCAAACCCAAAATCTTGTGGGTCAATATTTGACCATCGACTATCCCCTCGCATCCATCCATCCATACGTCCACTTGACGTGACCCCCCAACACAACGAGTCGCGCTTCTTCTAAGCGTTTAAGTTGTGTGATTGAGTCGGCTTGAGTTATCAGTTGAAAATCTGAATGAAAGAGATCCAAGAAAATAGTCTCTCAATTTGGCCCTCGAAAAATTGCCTCATAACTACAGAAACAAGAACAAATTCGCTTGCATTTTTGCTTGAGCAGCCATCAGAGGCTTGAGTTATGGGTTGATGAAGAAAGTCTACGGAACGTGTCTGTAGAAAAAAAAAATCAAGAAAAAAAGTTTTTTTGAAATCAATCATTGCAAAAAAAGGTTGCTATAAGAAAATAAAAATCATTAAACAGAATATTATGAAATCCATTCAAAATAGCTCTTCGTATATCAAGAAGCACAGCAAAAGGCTTTTTTGCTTATCACGTCACGCCTCTCTATGACGCCTAAACGGCGAGCCAATCAAAGAATTAGCGAGATAGAGCGCATTTGCTGAGTTTGAAGAGCATTCCGACTTGAACTATGCCCTTTAAATTAGTATTATGAAAAAGTGAAGTGAACAATTAAAATTAAGGGTTTCAATAAAATTGAGGAATCAAAGAATTGATCTGAAAAGAGTATTTTTATTGATGAAAATGGTCGAATCAAACATTGCAGGTGGCAGCGACGTCGAAGCTTCGCGAAATGGCCTACTGCCAAGTGGCGGCGTTCCAATTGGACTTGGAGAAGTTCCTGGACGACGTCCGCAACGGGATCTATCCGTTGACGGCCTTCGCTCCTCTGGCCCATCAACCATCGGCCACTCTCAAGGCCTATTCCAATGTATGTGGTCAACTTAAAAGGGCTCTCTCCAGGTTGAAGTCACAAAAGACTGATTTCAAAACTTTTTGGCTTACTTTCATGAAACTTTCCGTTCTGGAAAGAAAGAAAACAAGTATGAAACGAATTGAAAAGGCATAATGAACTGAAAATCTAGAAAAAAGATTTCGAAAATACAAATTTTAAGATCATAAGAAGCTGAAATCCCCAAAAAAATAAAAAAATTTTTTTCAAAATACCTCCATCACTTTTCGCACGTTGATGCTCCTTTTTTCCAGGAAAAGAAAAGTTTGATTCTTATTGGTTTTCTTTTCCTGGCGCTTCGAAGTATTCAATTTATTTTTCGTGGAGCAAAAAATAATATATTCCTTCATTTTGAGACGTGATTTCTTCATTGGTCCTTTTTCTAGAATTTGAAATAAATCTTATTTGTGTTTTAAAGCACTTTACGCTTTTAAAAACCTTTTAAAGCACTTTGAATAAATTGTGTTTGGATACTTTGCGTTCTTCCAAACTCGAAACCTCTGATTTCTTTGCGCTTTCTTTTTACTCGGCAATATTGTTGGCTTAACGGGTCGTTTTCAAGTTTCTGAGACCTCGTCGGTGAGAGAAAAAGAGGCGCAGAGAGTTCAATTTTTTTGTCATAAAATTATGAAATTTCTGTTTATTTTTGTAAGGCCTTTCCTGTCTGAAGGATTGTATGATTATCCTTTTTTTGAATTTTTTTAATTGTTTCTACTTTTTTTCAGAACACCCAACTGCCGCCGGTTCCGATCCCAGTCGACGTGCCTTTACTGCCGCCGGTGACGACCATCTCCCGCTCCTACACGGCGCCGGACATGGAGCTGACGACGAGCCTCGGAAGCAACGTCAGCGCCCCCAGCAGCAACAGCAACACCAACAGTTCTGGGGCTTCGATCGTGGTGGCGATCGCAGCGCCGACGACCGCGCCGAGTCCCCCGCCGATGAGGGACGACGAGGAGCTCAAGGACGACGAGCACACCGAGAGCCGTCACATCCGTCTAATCACTGTCTCCGTCGAGAACGAGTGGGTTTTGTAAAGAATAGTCATGTATTCACATATCCGTGTGAATATTTTACTTTGGTTTGAAATTTATAAGAAATCTGAGAGAATTTTTTATGATGGACTGAATAATAGATTGGTATCGAATCAAATCAAGGTTGATTTTTAAAAAAATTTCTTTCTTGAGTATACCTTTGGTCTCCACTACCCTTCAAAGAAAAAGTTAGCACAATTCGTGGGAAAATTCAAACAGATAAAATTGGAAAATTGTCTATTGAGCGCATTTGACAGAGTCTATCAGCTCACCGAGAACAAAAATCCGAACACAGGATCTTAAGCTTTTTCTTCGGTAAGCTCACTTTTCCAAGCTGAACTGTCATTAACTTTTGACTTTTCAATGTATTGTTTCTCGATTCCAAGTCCCTTCATTGAAGCAATTGCAGCGAACTGACGGTCGTCATGTTCCTGGAGGACTTGATGAATCGGCAGTTGACGACGAACCTCGCCCCGGACGACACGGCCGAATCTTTGACCGCCAATTTGGTTCTTCATGGCTTCATTTGTCAGGTTCGTATTAACTTTCAAGGTCAAAAAGACGGAGTGATTATTAATTTATAACAGCATTGATGAAAAATACAGTTAAGGAAAAAAGCTGTCAAAATAGATCGGAAAAAAACTGCTTGGGAAAGTAAGCTCCAATAACAACAAAAAAAAATTGACAATAAAATGTTTTGCTTTGCTGAGTTTCTTAATTGAGATTTGAGAAAAAAAATCAGATTTTTCAAAAAGTTCAAGTTAGCCGTAGAGCGCACTCTCATCACGACGGCTTTTTCTGTGAATAATATCTGAAGAAAAGTTCTTCGGGCCGAAAAAAAGAGCTCTAACTTGAGGAAAATTGGAAAAAAAAACCTAGAGTGAAAGTTTTATACTCTTAGAGCGCGCCCACTTTCCTAGTTAGCAAATTTAGATGATCAATTTAAAACAGAAGAAAACGTCTTTAGATTCCTTGGAAACTTTAAACTTAATCCAGTGAAACTGCGAGCGAAACCATTCTTTGTTTAGAAGGCTGATCATTTTTATTCTAGGAAGACTCGCTGGGCGTCGAGGAAGTCATCGAAGAAGCCCTACTGACCCACGAACGCGACATGGAGGTCTTCGAAGAGGCGAAACGACTGCGGGCACTGACTTGCGAAGGCCAGCCCGAGCTGCTCCCGCCGACGTCTTCAGTATCCGCTTCGATGACGAGCTCGACGTCGTCCTCCTCGACGGTGACGCTGACGTCGGCGGCGCCCAAGGAACGGAGTCCGCCCACTTAAGGGTCTTAGAGAGAGGGGAAGGGAAAGGAAAGGGGGAGTGTCGGCTCTCAAGAGACTCGAGCCGAGTTTGATTGTGTTGGGGCGGCGGACTGTGCATATACTGGCTGTCCTTTTCCTTCCTCTCTTCCTTCTTGACCCGCCAACGAATTCTGAGCTTATTCCCCCCTTCTGATTGATACAAAACTCTACTAGTCACTGTTTTTTTTTACTATTATTTTTCTTCTTCCTTACTGTTTCCCAGTTATTATTGTCCCTCGTCCGGTCGTGATGCCGTCGCGGCTGTCACTCGTGCTGCTGACGCTGTCGGTGACGTTCGGCGCCGCCAGCGCTCAGCACGGCACCGTCGGCCGACCTTGCGAGGTCTCCACCGACTGCGGCACCGGCAATTACTGTGCCGGCAACAAGCGCTGCGCTTGCCTCACCACCTATGTTGAGATTGATTCCTACTGTTGGCGAAGTGAGTTTTCCATTTTTTCTTTTTCTTTACCCTTTCAGTTCAATGCTTGCTTTATTCAGTTCACTCTTTCTCTTTTTCCATCATTTTCTCATTCTTATGGATGTGGAGTTTTCGCGCTTTCCATTAAAGTTCCTATCGAAACCGTTTGGCTAGGCTCTTCAGCTGAACTTTTGAGTTACAGTGCCTTTTAGCAAAAAGAACAATTTTCCGGACAGGACCATAACTGTTGATTTGTGCTCAAAAATGCGTCCCTTTATCAGAATCTTGACTTCGAATAGAGGAACCAACGACTTTTCAAATTTTTAAGAAGACTTTTTAGATCCTCGGTTAAAGTACCTCCCAATGAAAATAAAATTCGATTTCCGCGCTGAAACTTCGAAATTTCGCTTTTCGTAAATTTATTTTTTCAAAATTCAAAACGCTTTTGTGTGACCTCTCAAACTGTTTTTTAAACTTTTTCTCAAAAAATAAGTTTTGACGCGAAAATCCCACATCCGCTATGTTTTCATTGATAGTTGTATTTTCGAATTTTCTTCTCGAGTTCGAAACGTGGCTGAACCTTTTACCCGCACTTCCTGTATGGCGGAAAGTCCGACAAATAGTTCAACCCAACTATTTGCTCACATAATGTCCGCCGTTCGTGACCACCCACGTTTCCAACTCGAAAAAGCTTCGTTTTGATGATTTTTTGAACTCATCAGAACGCAAAATTCATAGCTATAGGTTATCATATTTTATCACTGGTGGGACTCGAATTGCTTTAATTCCCAGCTTTCTTGGACTTTTGATTCGATTCCTACCAAATCTCGATTTTTGTACGAGATTTTATTTCCCATTTTTAGGCCTATATTTATACGGTTTCCCCATTGAACTTCCCATTTCTAGCCACTTTTTGACGTTTTTTTTTTCCTTTTTTCGCTTGTTTTTCATCAATTCTATTCGAATCCTGTGTAAAGTGCCATTTTCTTTTGTAATATTATTGCTGAAAGTAATACAACGACACGCGAACCACTTTAGTGCTTTTCTCATGACGGCTGTGTTAGTCCCATTCTTCATTTTTTGATCTTTATTCTCGAAAAATCTTACTCGTTACACGTTTTGGGTTGTATCCCCGCGGGTTTTCTTCATACAATTCTTGTAGTCATTCGCTTCTCTTTAATATATGTTTTATTTTTTCTTTCCTTTTTTGCCGCTTCAACGTGGTTTTCTTTTTTGCAATGCACATAAAAAATTCAAAAATTAAAAAAAGTTGTTGAAGAAATATTCTCCACTAGGTGGAGTCGTTAAAATATTAAAATATCAGCTAATTCGAAAAAGAAATCAAAAAAAAAATTTTCAAACGTTTTGTCCTTTTTTTCCGATGAAGCTAAAATCACAAATTTCGATGCACACATTATTTGAACTTCTTCGAGCCTAAATTTTAGCCTCACATCACGATTTTTCAACTTCTTGCAAAAGAAATATTATATTTTTCTTGAAGCCCTGGAAATTTGATAAAAAAGCACTTTTTAGATGAAGTTTAGATGAAATACTTAGATACGATTAATCTATAAAAGTTGATTTTTTTTTCCGCAGAGATAACTATGTATCAAGTTCGTGTTCAAGTTATGCTTGAGATGGTTCAGAAAATACTTTTCATCACGAAAATTAAAATTTTCAAACGTTAAAGTGCTGTTTTAATTTTCAAAATAAATCTTTTTGAAGTTTGTCTGCCCTTTTTGTTATTCGAGTTTGGTAATACTTCGAGGAATTCTGAAGTTGTTCTACTAAACAGGATTTGAGTGTGAAAGTCTTGAAAATTTGTTATTTATGGACCAGAGCCATAAAAAACAGAAAGTCATTGACATTTTTGTGACAAAAATGTTTTCAAATACATAAAGTTACTTTTTTTAATTTAAGATTCTTCTTTTTTTTTTGCTCACCGTGAACTTGAAGTTTGGAACCTTGATCAATGAACGAACTGTAAAAAATAACTGTAACAATATCTTTTATCCCCACTAACTTTCATTGAATCCACACATTTTATGTCCCTTTTTCAACGTTTTCATTGTCAGAAATCAATCCGGGAGAGTCCGGATGCACACAAAACCGACAATGTGAAGCGGTTTGGCCTGGCGCCTACTGCCGGTCCGGCGAATGTCGATGTGCCAACAATCAGCCTCCCTTCAGGACCAGGGATGGATTGGTACGAGTCATTTTATCGCATTAAGAACAACCTTTTAGTGTGAAATTTTGAAACGCCAAAAAAATCCTAACTCTCCAAATTTAAATAATTTTTTTTCACTCTCTGACGGCCATCCTGAATTATGTGATATCACTTCAAAAAGGTATAAGTAACACACAAAAAGAGAAAGAACTTTTTCGGAGAAAAAAAATATAATATCGTGTTTTGGAGCTTCGTAAAACTTCAGAAGCGTGTTGCAAAAGTGCGCTCTGTTGATGACAATAATTTTTTCACATTTTCGGAATTTTCCTCAATTTTGTTTGGTACAGTTTGGAAATTCAATTCAATTTGATAATTAGATGGATTTTACGAGATTTTTTCTTTATTGTTATATGTTTGATTTGTTTTTTTCACGGAAGAATGATTAAATTTAACCGATTTTTCTGAGAAATATTTGCCAAAAAAACAAGATTACTCGTTTTTTTGTCCACCTGAGGGAAGGATCTATTGATTATTTTTACATTTTGAACTTTTTATAACATGTTGAATCAATAAAAATATCCATTTAGGTTTGCTTGAACTACGGCTTCTGTCCGCTCAACGGTAACAATCCCAAGTTCCGCATCGAGAACCAGGTTCAACAATGTTACGGAGGTTGGTTTAAAAGTGATATGAGAAGAAAGCTTTTATACGGGTAAAGATCCCCTCTCAAGGAACTTACGAAAGAACAAAGTTTAATTTTACGGTCCTAAAGAGGCGAAAAAGTATTATTTCTAAGATCCTTTTCCTAATATTTCAAGAGTAATCACCTTTTTTCGGCGTTCCATTCTCTCTACTCCCGAAAATATTTTAACCTTATTTAAAACATTCCCGAAACTCCATGAAAAGGCGCTAGGAACGCGCTTCAAAAGCTCATTTCCAGGTACTTTTACACTCCGCCCGTGTAGTCCGTTTAGAGAAAAAAGATTCTCGAAATTCTGCAAAACTGAATGAAATATGACTTGTGTTTGAAGGAGCCGACGCAACTTGCGAGGCGATCGGAGCTCTCGCCTACGATTGCATTTGCGATTCCGACGATTGCACGGTCAACAACCCGATCAGCTTCTGTTGTCCCAGCAGAGGTTCGAACATTCTCAGTTTTCACCTTTCTTTGCGATTTTAGGTTACAGTAACCGAATATAATCAGTTGATTGTTTCAAAAAATCTCGAGATATACTTTTTGGTACAATTAGCTCTTAGTGTTGTTTATGGTTTGAGGGGGAAATTTGTTAAAGAAGGTTTTTAGAGCCGTTTTTTGCGTTGTTTTCAGTTGTGATTGAAATTTAGGCTAAAACATTTCTGAGTTTTTTTCCAAGTTTGAGTCGCTTTTTTTTGAAGTTCACTATTCCATTATTGCGCCAAATTTTCCGATTTATCTCTCCGTTCAAATGCCAAAAAATGTTTGACTCGGATTATTTATTTTGATTAACTTTCGTTTTTGTTTTCAATCTTGTTCTATCATTTTTAACAAATCTGACTTGGTTGGAAAAAGTTGTGATTCAGCTTGGAATTTCCTATGGTTTTTTTATTCATAGGAAAATGGGAAAAAGAACCTTTTTTTCCTCCAAAGTGAACCTAATGCTGCATTGCTACGAAAAAGAACCTCAAAAATATCTTTTTAAATAAATTATTTCTGTGTTTTTGAGGGGTTTTTTTCTGATTTTTTTGAACTACGGTAGCCTAACTAGAAAAAAATTTTTTTCTCTTTTTTTATTATCTAACAAAGCACAGTTTCATAGCTATCAACTTTTTTTGGTCACAAAAAAATTTTTTTGCAGGGATCTTCCGCCCATCTCTGCTGCCTTTATTTTTCGTTATTATCAAAAAAGGTTTCTCCCTGCTATCATTTTTTTTTTCCTCCTTTTTTAATATTGTTTCTTTCAGCATTTGCCTGCATCCAACCGCCGAACGAGGGCTACACCCCGCCAGGCGGCGGCACCACTCTCAACCATTGGTACCACGATCCCATCACTGGAGAATGCCGTGAACTCAAGTACCAGGGATACGGTATCATCCTCAACTCCGTTCAGAACCATTTTTGATTTTTTTTTTTCAGGCGGAAACGCCAACAACTTCCAGACCAAGGACCATTGCGAGTCCTACTGCAAACAGAGTTAGTTTGAAATCAACTCACTGTTTCAGATATGAAATATCAAATCTAGAAAACCCTGGAAAAATGATCCCCCCATTCAAAAATTCACAATTTTCAAAAAAGGTTCAAAATTTTCAGCACATTTTACAGAAGTAATTTTGATTTCTTAGTCTGTTCAGATTTTCAATGTTAAGTAAAAGGACGTTATTCGAAAACGCTCTGTGCATGGCTCACTCTCTGATTGGTTTATCGCGCCTTAAGGGCGGAGCTTGAGCGACGACTTGAAATTCGAAATCTGAAGACTAGAAAAAATGCTGAAGATTGAAAAATCGACAGAAAGAAAAATCTTCAAAAGAGACTTTCGTTGGATCATTCTAGAATCCTTTTCTCAGTAGAAGCGGAATAATTGTTTGTTATGTTATTGTCTGGGGCTGTAAAGCTATTTCTCAACCGCTAATCGGATTTTTAGCTCTTTTAAATACAATTTTCTGCCTCTATTTCCATGTCTTCACTGTTCGCAATGTATCACGTAAGATCTCAAATGATTTTAGGTTCTGAAAGACTTTCAGCGATTCTAAATGTTACCAGTATCCAATAATTGAAAGTTTTCAGCCTGCAACCGAGGACTGCCTCTGTACCGAGACCGCACGACGGGCGTCAAGCAGGAGCCCGTCTACTGCCAGGGCAACGACAACGGCTGCAACAACCCCAACTACCAGTGCACCACCATGGGAACCCTCCAGCAGTGCTGTCCCACCTACCGTAAGCCTTCTTCTTTTCTGTCCAAAGATTCTCAAGGAATACCATTTTACTTTGAGGTTTTTCTGAAAGCTCGCCCAGAAACTTCTAGAAAATAGATCAGAGTCGTTCCCTTCGCTAACTTCCATTTTTTGAGATTCTTATTTTCAAATTTGCCAATCATAAGTTTCAGCCCCAACTTTTAAAATTCATATCTCAAAAACTAACCGGTTAGATTTCCTAATCCAAACCTTCAAAAAGCTTATCCAATGCGCTCCAAGGAGTTAGTCCAAATTTTAAAAAAAAACACAAAAAGAAGGAGAAGTTCATGAAAATTATCCATAGAGCGCATTTTCTTCAAATTTCTCATTCTTGGCTGAATTTTCCGAGCTCTTTTCTGTGTAAGGTCAAATATTCTGGGCTGAAAATTGTTCTAGTAGAAAGGCTCAAAATACTGAAACCCAGTTTTTGGAAGTTTTCTTACTCTACAGTTTCATGGATTTTATCTTATACGATTTTGAAAAATAGAAGGAAAATCCATCCTACAGTAACCAAAGTGTCACCTTTAAGTCGGATTAGATGTTTTTTTGGAAGAGGAGGAGAATAGAAAGTATTTCAATTTTCCACAGTAACTTGAATGTACTTTTTAAGTGTTCATCTGCTCTCGCAACGGAGGAATCCCCTCCGAGGTCTACAACACGGCTGGCGGCCTGCCAACCGAATACTTCGACGTCGGAATCCCCGACGGCTCCGGCAACACGTCGCCCCGGTTCTACTACGACTCGCGGGAAGGCCGATGCATCCAATTCTCGGTTTGAATCGAGTTCCCAACGAGTATTTACCGTCTCTTTCCAGTATCTCGGACAAGGAGGCAACTTCAACAACTTCCTGTCTCAGGATCACTGCGAGAAGTTCTGCTCGCGGAGTGAGTTTTTTTTTTTTCGACATTTCCATGTCATTCTTGCCACTTTCGGATGAGTTGAAGTTTGAAAACCAGCCTAAGCTCTACTATTTGTTCCTTAGTGCTTTTACAAAAAGAGAAAGTTTCAAAATTGAACTTTTTTTCTTTTTTTAAAAAAATTTATCTTAAAATTTTTATCATATTTGGTCTAGAAATTGAGTAAAATTGATCATCAGACAAAAAAAGTTTTTTTAAACATCTTGAAAAAAATTCAAAAATAGTTATTCCAGTGCTTGCTTTTAATTTATCCTCAAGTTTAGCTCAATTAGTTGTCTTTCAAAAAAAAGAACTATATTTAAATTTCAATACTTTGTGTGGTTTCGCTCATTATTGTTCAAAAAAAGAATCACGAAAAAAACTTCGTTTCTAAAAAAATTTTTTTAATCATAATTGAGTTTTTTTGCAATTCTAAGAATAAATGGTATTTAAACTAATTAAACCTAAATTAAACCTTTTTTTCATTCACTACTGAACTTCTGTTAAAAATCTTTTTTTCTTATAGTCACCTAGGTAGCCAGTTAGAATATGAGCTTTGCCGATTTTTATTTCTTTAAAAAAGCAACGTTTCGAGGAGAATACTCACTATCGCTGACATTATATTTAACAGTGAAAATTATTTTTTTATCATTGTATTTTTTTGGAGGATAGAATACCAAACGCTAATTTCAAACCGCGAAGCCTGATAGAAGACGTTTGAAACGGGGAGTTATTGCAGTTCTCTGCTCGGCCGGCGAACCGCTCAAGGACTCGTCGGGCGAGAGGAACATGGAGTGCTCGCCGACGGGAAGCGGCGCCAACTCGTGCCCTTCGACCCACTCCTGCGAGAGCACCAGCGGGTCGACGACCTTTGGAGGCGTCTGCTGCCCACGTCCGCAGTACGTGTGCAAGTTGCCGCGCGAGCAGGTTTGCAATCCTTTTATGCTGACAAGTCCCAGCGGGTGTCTTTTTTCGAGGCTTTTCGAGTTTCAGTAGGACTAAAACCGGTAAACGTGTAAAGATTACCCAGCTGTGTGTATTTCGGAAGTCTGAGACGCAACCTTGCTAAAAGGGTTCCTCAGCTGGGGAAAAAAGATTCAAAAGTTCTAGCTGTTCTTATACGGGTACGCCCGCTGAGAGCCCGTGTTAGCACTACTGTGCTTCCAAATGACTTTTAAATTTACAAGTGACAATAACGAGAAGTAGCCTCGTTACTTCATTTTGCAGTCTAGTCTTTGAATTCCTTGATCTTTTGATGAAAATTGGCTGAAACTTTCCGCCCGATACGAAATATAGGTCTCCAACTACCAGTTTTGCAACAAGTATCTTCATTACATGTGTATTTTTATCTTGACTTGTAGATAATTTGGAAAATTTTACCTTTATGAAAAGAGTTTTCTTCATTTCGGCAAGTCTTCTCAAGAATTTTCCTCTTTGATGTTTTCACTTTTTAATTTTATTAGACTTGGCCCTTGTAGATTTCCATTTCTTCTTTTTCGTATAAAAGGAATGATATGTAGGGCAACTGCGGAACGTACTCGAACCGGTGGTGGTTCAACGCCAAGACGGGCAACTGCGAGGAGTTCATCTACTCCGGCTGCCAAGGCAACGCCAACAACTTCGAGACCTACAAGGAGTGCCAGGACTACTGTCGCGATGCCAGAAGTGAGTTGGAAGGGGCTCGTCATCAACAAGATGATACAAATCCAAACCTGAGGCGCCGAACGAGTCTGCGCTTAATTAGGTTTTTTGAGAGAAATATTCAGTTCAATAATTTATTAATGACTTCTTTTTTTTGCAAGGAGAAGTAGAAATTTAGAAGACATAAGAAGTAGGAATCTGAATGAAAAAGGTATGAGAAGTGGAAATATTTAAAAATAAAATGTAGGAGAAGTAGAAATCTCAAAACATTTTTTTCCACTTTTCTCAATTTCTGAATGTCAAAAAACCTTGATGGGAGTATTTTTTAACTGGCCTGTTGTAGGTATCTACTAAGGGATGACAACTGGTGAAAAAGAAAATGAAGGATTTAATTTACCCTTGAAACGTAGGTGAAGCTGACGATCACTAAGGTTTTGATTTTCGGGAAACTTATCAAACTTATTTTCTTAGGTTTATTTGGGGTTCATTCTAGAAATCTAGTTGGATTCAAATCGATTTAAGAAATTGTCTTTTATAGATGATACAGTGCTGGTCTATCCAGAAGCAGGGTTCATAAGGAGTGTTTGAAATTTCGAAAATTAAGCTTTGAAAGATTTTTTTTTTTGCAAGTTTTAATACTTTGCATATATGATTATAAATATAAATAATAAAGACATGAATCAATATAAATATGAATCAGTATAAAGTATAAACTTCTAGGCGAACCTCAGTGCATCCAAGGGACGGCGCTCACCGATTCCAACGGCAACTTCATCATTTGCGGCGGATCTTCGGCCGCCTCGACGACCTGCCCCGCCAACCACTACTGCTACTACGACGGCACCACCTACGGATGCTGTCCGACTCAAGGTACATCCGAAAAATCGCCATGCATTTCACACTTACCATCGACTTTTCTGAATTGATTATAGTCCCGATAGCCTCTTAAAAAGAGAACTCAGACGTTGGATTTGTAGAAATCGCTTTCAAACCAAGATTTTAGTTGGAAATTGAACCTGGCTTACTTTCCGAAGAAAAAGATCCGGAAAATGGAAAAAGCATAGAAGTTCCACTTTTTACTTGTGAAACATCAGAATCTTGTTCTTAGAAGTTGAATTGTATCGGATTTTTAGTGATAAGGGGAGGTGAAGCTTAGAGCAATGAAACTAAAATTTCTTGTTTTTAAGAGTACGTCTCCTAGATCCACTAGTTGTACTAGAATCTTGTAGTAAATTGAAACTGATAACTTTGGCGGGAAAATGGCTTCTTTCATGGCTTTCGGAAGAAATGTGAGTCTTTTCCCGAACTTTCCTATCTAGAAGCTTCCAAAAGATCATTGAAATATTTGAAAAATAACATTTTTCAGCCTACACCTGCTCCCTGTCCTACAAATCTGGAGCTTCCTGCGGTCCTGCCGTCACCCGCTGGTACTACGACTCGACGACCAGAACCTGCCAGACCTACTCTTTCAACGGCTGCGACGGAAACTCGAACAATTTCGCCACGCAGCAAGATTGCAAAGACTACTGCCGAGTGGAGTCGTGTCCCGACGGCGGCGAGGTCTGGAAGGAGCAAAACGGGGCTGCCCGGGCCTGCACCACCAACCGACAGTGCCCGTCGACCCACTACTGCACTCCAGTCACCACTTGGACCGGTTGGTTTGGTTGGGAAAATTGGGCGAAGTAGTTTAGAAGGGCCTTGAAAAACTAACCAGACTGAGAGGAATGGTAAAGAAACTAGAGAGTTATCAATTTTGAAAGTTGAACTCATTTGGCAAGACAAATTCAAAAAGAAAAGCTAGAAGTTTAAGAGAAACCAAAAAAGTACTGGGTTTTGTTTAGTTTTTAGCATTCATTTTGGAGCGCGGACAAAGGTCTTTCGAATTTCCACAGCCCAAAGCTTTAGTGTTCTATTCTTTCAAAGCTACTCTGTCAAGTTCCGCCCGAATCCCTTGGAAATCAGTTATGACTGTGAGATTGTTTCCAGGAACCGTCTACCAGACCAAGTCTCTGTGCTGCCCTTCGAAGAACTTTGTCTGCTCTCAGCCGCGTGACGTCGGCGTCCGCTGCAGCAGCACCCGAATCTCTCGCTGGTACTTCAACGCCGACTCCAAGACGTGCCAGACCTTCGAGTACAACGGATGTGAAGGTTCTCTCCGAACCGATCTGCAGAGCATCAAGAAGGACTCTTTCCAGGAAACCGGAACAACTTCGCCTCGCAGAAGTCCTGCCAGAACTACTGCCTGTCGGAGGCTTGTCCACCTGGAACCGTCGTCGCCAAGGACGGCGACGGCAGTCGACTCGTCCAGTGCAGCAATCCTGGTAAGGACGACTTTGGAAAATTGGAACACCTTTTTCTTTCCACTGGTCTTTTTACTTGGTGGTCGGAATTTCTTTGAAAGTTGGCCAGTATACTTCTTGCTACACCTTTTGAAAGAAATATTTCTTAGTTTTCGTAAAGTGATGGCTCAACGTTTTAAAAACAGATTTTGAATTTTCATGCTTTGCTAGATATCTTCAATTTGTAACGATGAAAACTGCAGGAGGCAACGGACGGGTCTCCGGCGGCTGCCCTGAGGGCTACACTTGCTATTCGTCGCCACTTCTTGACCAGAACGTCTGCTGCGGCGCCAGCACCGAACTCCAGTGTTTGTTATCGTTTCTGACAATCAGGCTTGTGCAGGGCCGGCCCGTCGGTCCATCGCCCTAACACCTTTTTTCTGACCCCGGCACGGCCTTAGCCTGACCTCAAGCAAAAACGGCCGTCTCGACCAAAAGAGCCCAAATTCCCTTCAAGTCAAATATCAGAATCTTTTACGACAAACATCATTTTTAGGCTTTATTTTCGATTTAATTACAACAAAAACTATGATTTAATAAGTAAAAAACATTTTTGAGGGAGTTTAATGATTTGATTCAAAACCTGACCTGATTCTCAACAGGCTTTTTTGCCTAGAAGGCGACCTAAAGCCCGGGCCGGCCCAGGCCTGACGCGCAAGTCTGCTGACATCTTCTTGAAGTTCAACTGGGGACTTTTCAGCCCTTTGCCCGGCTTCCTCGACGCCCTTCATCTCGGCGCTTTCCCTGCAACCCATGCAGTGCACTCCGAATGTCGATGGCGCCTGCCCTGGTAACTTCTTCTGCTGGTCGGTTTTTGAGAACAGAAAAAGAGAGGGATAGGAATTTTGAAAAGATATTAATACTCAGGACGAACAGAACTGATCCTCAAATGTTTTTATTTGTTTTGAAAATTACTTCAAAAGCTCACTTTCTTCTCATTCAGAAAATTTATTCTTTAGAAGATTCTCAGGTGTCTCCGATTTCGGTAAATCGTTCGATTGAGCGTTTTTATATCGGGTTTCTTCACTCAAATACTTCCGCTCTGGAATTTTTATTTTTCGAGTGAAATTAATTAACATTGGTTATTATTTTCGAATGTTCATAGTCTCATGGCTCGGTTTTTTTTGGTTGTGGGAAATATTGATTGTCTCCGATTTTCTAAAAATTTTGCTTAAGACTATTTTTTATTCTACGATAATTTTTTGGAGTGCTTTTGAAAGGACTGCGACCTTGAAAGACATTTTTATTTGGCAATTTTCACTAATTTTTTCGAATTCATTACTTGACAAGGTTTTCGAACCCTGACTTTTTTCTGAAAAGGCACAGATGTCTTTAATAACTTTAGATAAAACTAAAAACAGCTCTTCGCTTGGAGACCTCTTCGAAAAGTATCGTGTGTGCCTTTAAACTCGATAGCAAGTGTCAAAGAGAGTAGCAGGGGAAATTAGAAATGAGATTTGTATGGCCAATAAAGTTTGTTTTAATGGATTTATTCAACTTTTCACGTCCATCTCTCAGGTTCTCGACCACCACGACCTCTGTGAACGCCTTCTACTGCTGCCGCTCTCCGGACAGTGTTGACACTGGATGTTTGTCCCAAAATTCCGAATATCTCACCAGAAACCATCTTCTTCAGACTGCCCACCCCAACTCGTCCCGGTTCCTGGTGAGAACGGCGCCCAGTACAAGTACTGCTCGCCGTCGGCGCCGCTCAACGACGCGATCCAAGGCTGCGGCGCCAACCGTCATTGCCAGTTCAGCACCAATTTGGAGCGGTAAGAGGTGTCGGCAGAAGCTCCTAGAACAGAGAAGTACAGGTATATCTGCTGTGGATTGGAGTCCGACGTCCGGCTTCCCAACGTCTGTCCACCCCAGCCGGCCAACCTAGTTCCAGTGGAACTTGCTGGAAACTACCGAACGTGCAATCCGTGAGTTTATAATATAACCGTTATAGAACAAATATACTAAAAATTTAACTGAAGTTTTAGCCCAATAATGCATGCACTATTTCACCCCCATGACTGCGAAGTTTCGAAAAAAATCTTTAAAAAAAATCTAAGCCTTTTTTTGAATCAATGAATCCGTCTCATTCCTTCAAAAAATTATTTTTCGATCTCCATTTTTCCGTCTTGAAGTCAGACAAAATATACTTCCTCACTGGCTTTTTTGGATTCTTTTTTTTGTTTGCCCCTGGCGGAAGATTTTTTTTCGCCTGAATCAAACATTCAAAATCTTGTTTGTGAGCAAAGAGGAATGCGTGGGAATTCGTTGAATTTTCTCTTTCTTGGATCTTTCTTTTTTCGTTAAGAAATGTGAGAATTCCAAGAAAGGTTTAATATTGATGAGTTTCTAGCGTCGATGCATATTTTATTTTAGATCGCGCGGCATTCAGTGGTCACAGGTGTATTATCAAACAGAACCATAGCTTAATATTGAGCTAAAAATTTAGTTGATAGCCTTATTTAAGAAGAAATGAAATAGAAGAGCAGAAAAATACTTATATCTAAGCAATATTGGGGAAATTTGAATGAAAAATTAATAAAAGAACCTTGCAGTTCCACGTCACCTTATTTTTTTTTTGCAGGGTTGAAGTTTTTCAATTAATTTTTGACAAGTCTATGATGTAATGTATGTGAAAAAAATAGATAGAGATAAATTATCAAGTTATATATAGAAATAGTTCAAAGGGTAGAATGACCTATTCCTACGATTTTATAAAAAATACGGGCTTTTTTCGCGATTTCAAAAATAATTTCAAGTTTCCGGATGTTCAGAAGTGTCTCAATGGATTATGTATTATAATCTTCAGAAGGAAATAACTGATAGGAAAAGTAAGTCAATAATTATGGATTTCACGTGGTAATCTTCCTACTGACCAAGTTTTAGAACTTTCTTGATGATAATCTCCCGAGTGAAATCACTGATGACAGGATAATAATTTGGACAAACTGCAGGTACGCGCGCGCCGGCACTCCGCAGAGCTGTCCGGACAACTCGGCGTGTCTCTACACGGGCAACGACAACGGCTTCATCTGCTGCCGTGTTCAGCTCGGCAGCGGCGGAGGAAAAGCTTGAATTTCCCCTCTCACTTAATTATTCATAACTTCCATCCTTGATCCATTCATTCACCAATCCATTTGTTATACGGCTCCCTTCTCTCGCAAAAAATATTGTTCCCTCACCGACTGTCTTTTTCACTATCATCTTGCTTGCTTTTTTCAAATCATTTTGAAAAGTTATTTCAAAATTTTATTCCTTATGTGTTGCCTATGTGGGCAGAGACAACGTAATTTGCTTTATGTGCAATAAATATTATCAAATTTTGTTAATTTCAATTTTTGAAAATGTTGAATTTCTCGTTTTTTCAGCTATTTGTAATAATTTTCCTTGAAAGGATCTTTCTTATGAACGTCAAATCTTACAAAATCACGAATAGAAGCTGTAGTTCCTTGCAGCGTAGTTCAATGATTTGAAAATTCCGATTCAGAACACCTTGATCGCATGTAGAATGGATCAAAGCTTTTTTCCAATTGTTTTCGATCTCAGCGCGGAAGCCGTTTTGAGTCGGCTGCAAAATCTTTGCAGTTCTCACCCTTCGAGCCATCCCACTTAAGACTAGGAAACTTCCACGAAAAGAGTTTTTTTTTGTTAGTTTTGAATGATACGTCAGCCACTAAAAATTCTTTAAATCTAAGTATTTTTTTTTCATTTTCAGCTTTTTATTTCGACTACCACAAACGCAGAAGTTTTCTCATGACTAGCCAAAAGACAAATTCAAACTACTGTTCAAAAATCTATTTTCGCAAACCTTTGCAGTAGGATTAGTTTAATGGTGGGTCGCGCGACGGCGGTGGAAAGAATTTAAAGTTCTCAAAACAAACGAGAAGCTCTATACTAATCCTCTTTGGCTTTTTTTTCTGGTCCAAAGGTGCTCCGAAGGTTATACTCCATTCATAATCTCGAAAAAACTAAAAAGACTATCAAACACCTCTTTCTTTCTGCTCAATTTTGCTGCTCATCTGCCAATCTAGATTTGAAGAAACTTCATTTTTTGTAGCTTTTATCTTTCTTGAAAAAGTACTTCGAACATGGGCTATACCTCTAGTTTGAGAAGTGAATATTTTGAAATGACTCTCACTATTCCGCTAATTGTGTCCTTAGACAATGGCGAATTAACTAAGATCCGTATAGCTGTTTTTTTCTGCCATGTTAGCTTTTGAATTGAGAAGAAAATGATTGGAAAAGAGTCAAAACCTCACCTTTTTGCACACTTTCTCGCTAATAAAGTCCTAAGACGACGATGATTGAACTATAATAACTGTACTTTTTTTTCTCCACCTTTTTTGCGGTACTTCCGCATTCTTCGTCGTGAGAATCCCGCACACTTTTTCTCCTATTTGAGCAGATTCCGAAGCACTTGAAAGCGCCGAGCACGAAATATCGGCTTTTTCTCGAGATGAGGGCCGAATATTGAGAAACGCGTTTTGGAATTTTCAGAATTTTCATGGATTCTGAATATTGAGGACTTGATTCTCGTCTGATAGCCGATTAGTCATGGAATTTCGCAAGCTAGAAAGAATAAGGGAGCAATTTAACAGCTTCTTTTTTTTAATGGAAAGGAACTGAGTCATCCATTTTTTTTACTGGTTTCTTATCATTTTTTGTGATTCTTATCGAGAGAAAGATATTTTTACTAAACGATGGTAGATTTTTTTTTTTGAAATGAGTCTGATTCATAAGGACATGGATTCAATTTTTATATGAAGTTTTCTGAATGAAACTGAAGTTTTTCAAATATCTTGAATCTTATGGGATACTTTGTTGACTTTTCATTTTTTTTTTAAATTATACTTTGAGCTGATAAATGAACTATAAGTTATATAGTCTATAACCGAAGTTTCAATGGAAACTGACGCGCAGATTTAGTTGAAAACTAGGGTTTTCTGATGGGCTTTCGGCTGCTTAAATAGCTCTTCTTCTTTCTGATCATGCGTCGGAAGAACTATAGTCTGTTTTTGCGTTTCGAACTATAGCTATTTCCATCGGAATCCGATAATATTTGGGTTCAAAATCGCCGCCACGTGTGTCCGTCCTCGTGGCGCGGTTCCAATTCGATAAGACAACAAAAGTCGGCGGGAAAAGCCGCGGTTCACGTTCAGCTATCCATCTCTCAACATGTTGCAGAGAGGGACGAAAGGATTGCGACAGGCTCGCCTCGGGCCAGCCAGCTGACGCGAGTGAGCCGAGAGTCAGACGACGGGAGTCGTGCGGAGGGCGGCCAGAGACGCAGGTCCATCGATCGGGTTTCCCGAAGGCGGCAGCAGCAGCCAGCGGCGCCTCCGGGGCTCACGTTTTCCGTCTTTTATCTGGGAAAACTTTCTTCTCGTTTTTCTTCAAATCAATAGTCAAAGCACGGTTCTTTTGATAGCACGGTCGTTTTTTTGATGCTCTTGACAAGTGAAGAAGTTTTGATAAATTTGATTTTTTTTTTCTCACGGAAAATTTCTCCTTGTTCGCTCATTTCATGTGGGAAGTTTCATGCATTCGGCCTCAAAAAACATGAAATTTTTGTTTTTTTTTTCTCTTTTTTTTCTCATTGTTCATCATGGCGCTCTTTTTTTTTTACTTTACTACAAGAGTTCTACTCCATCCACGTTCGAATTTTTTCTAAGTACTGTGAAAAGTTACTGGAAAATCGGTTTTCATTTTTTTCTTCAACTTTTTAGGTACAATTGTCCATTTTTTCTTCGTCAACGAAAATCAGAAAAATAATTAGCAAGTTTTTCAACAATTCATTCAAATCATTTTTTACCGGTTTCCCATTTGACAGTCATGTGTCAGTAATTAAAGTTATTTAAAATTCCTCTGAAAAAAATGAAGAAAAAAAGATTATGTAGAAGTTTCACGTCCCTTTCTTATGGCGCTTTTTCCCAATCGAAAGAAAACGATCGTTTTCTAACAATCTCTGTTCTCTCTTTCCTATCTGAACGTTTCCAGTAGTCCTTGCTGGAGTCCACGGATTCTGGTACTTGACCAGAAGATGGTGGAACTCTGCGAGCTGCGAATGCTGCCCGACGGCGACGACTGGCCCGCCGACATCGACTCGCGGATCGCCGCTCTCAACTTCGGCGGCGACTCGGTGCTCTTCGAGAGCTTCGACCCGTCGGTCAGCACCGATTCGCTGGATTCGCAGCAGCTCCGCGAACGATGCCAGCCTCGCAAGGACGACTTCCAGCTCGCCTTCGCCGATTCCGGCCATTGGCAGGTACTGTTTCATTGATTTTGAAACAACTGATAACCTTTTTCCAAGGACCTTGAACGTTTTTTTGAAATTTTTAACTTTCCTGGTTCTCTTCCTCCACGCCACAGATCTGTCTGTGAGCGAACAATACACATTTCGTTTTTTTTTAAATTGATTTTCTCTGTCATGAAGTTAATGTTGTTTCCTTTATTCGTTGATTGATTGAAATATATTGGTTCTAAACAAGAATAATTCCGATTCCAAAAAAAAAAGAAACATTTTTCGCGTAACAGCATTATTTCGAGAAGAGCCTTGAAAAGCCTTTTCGTGTATTTTTTTATCCTGGGTTTATTTTTTAAGTAGACTCTTCAGAATTTTTAATAAGTTTTTCTTCTCGCTCAAGTAAAATAGCTATTTCACCATTTGTCCAGCTTCTTTTTTTCTCGGATCTTTTCTTCCATCAGCCTTTTTAAACAGACTCAATAAAAAAATCCATCGATAAAAAAACGCGAAGAATCTCTTTTTAATCGATTTTTTTCGATCAAATTCACCCACATTCTTGTTTCAACCAGTTTTTTTCGATTTTTTTATTATTTCACAGTTTTTTTCAATTTCTTCTAGTCGAAGTTTTGCGATTCTTTTAATTGCCGTAAAGTGGTTTTTTTCCTTTTTGTGAAAAAAACTCTGAAAAACGCTTGGATTTTTCTGTTCCGAATCTCGTTTGGCGAGTGTTCAAACGAGGTTTTTTTAATCGAATGACCAATTCATTTCATGTTCTTGTTACATCACTTTGTAGAGGGCACTCATTGGAAAAAAAAATTGAAGGTTTTCTTTTGGATGGGCCTTTAACTGCAAAAGCAGGAAAAAATTGGAATGAGGAAGAAATTTTGACACTGATTTTTTACAAAAAAAAAACTGTGAATAGAAAATCTTTTCAATTTTTTTTTCCCAAAATGTTTGAAAAAAAAAATTAATCGAAACCATACTTCTTGGTCAACAGTTTTGTTCAGAAATTGAAACTTTTTGATTGATTTGACGGAATAGTTCAGGCAATCAATATTAAAAACCTTTCTTTTAAATTTATCTATGAAATATGAGATTTTGGGGTGTAATTTTCGGTCGTATAGGAGCTCTGAGCTTTTTATAAATCTTGAGGGCACTTCAGAAAGGATTTTCCAATAGAAAATACTTATCACTACTGAGATTTTCCTGCTAACGAGTGAGGAAGGTCGTCTCTTTCTTTCTCTCACTTCTTTTTTTCTCCGCCCTACCATAATTGTTTTTTCTTCCTTTACTTCAATAAAATACCACTATCTTTTGCGCCATTTCACGCCGAAAACCCGTTCGGCAGGCGGCCGAACGATCGTCAATAACGCACGCATCTATTTTTGCAATCAATGCCGATGGAGATAAACTTTTGACTTTTCCCTTCCTTTCATTTCATTTGTCGCGCTGTTCGTCTCCAACTTTTCATATTGAACAACTTATTCTTGAGGTTTTTCGGTTATTCATTCATTCCGTGTTCCGCGAAACGCAAAGTTATCTCTGACTCTCAAGAATTTAGTTCCCTTTTTCAATCCCTGACGGCTTTCTCGAATTTCGCCGAATCCCTTTGAAAACGGCTTTACTCAGCGGAAATTGTACTAGAACTTATTTGAGTATAGTTTATGGATATATTTTTCTCAATAACCCTCGCTAAAGCTTCCAAATTCATTTCCTAACTTCAAAACGGCTTCTCCACTCAAGAATTTTATTGAGCTTATCTTCCTCTTTTAATTCTCAATGCACTTTAAGGGAAAAATTATTGAAAGTTTGATCAAAAAAGTTTTTTTTGGGTTTATTGAAAGTTTCATTCGAAAAAAAGAAAGAGAAGGAATATGATAATTTCGCTGTTTTCTCAATTTTTTAGACATCTTAGGGCGTATATAAATGAAATCTTTTTCAGGAAAAAATATTATTCCGTTTTTCGATTCCAGTTCTCAAATGTCTTCTTTTTCGCAATACCTTGTTTAGATGGTAAAATTTAGAGTTGAAATGAAGATAAGTGGCTGTTTTTTTAATATAAAAAAATTATTTCGATGATGTTTTATTGAAAATCTCTTTCCAATAAAAATCTTGCTAATCTTGAAGAGAAATTAAATATCTAATATTGTATCAAGCTATCAAATTTTACATCGTGGTGCTATTTTCAGTGTTTTTGATTAAACTGGGAATTAAAATGAGCCAAAACAAAGCAGCTTAAAAAATAAGAGCTTTTAATGACATCGATATGAAAAAATGGCCTTTTCGGATACCACTTGACTGCAGAAATGAATAGGAACATATAATTTTATTGCAGCATATTCAAATTTTTAATCATCAAGCTTCAAAATCGAATCGACATATCCAAATTCCAGTTCCAATCGAAGGTCCATAACTGCGAGATTGAGATCTTTGTGTTATTTCCAGTAGTTTTGACCAAATCACTAAATGCTGGAACAAAAACAAAGCAATCGTTTTTTTCTCGTTGTAAAGCAGGTTTGTTGCAGAGCGGGGTAGTGATCGGGGAGCAGCCGCCGACGTCGCCGGGCTCGCTGACCACCTGGGGCCGCATCCGCACGTCTACAGAGCCGCCGTTCGATGAGCGCACGGCGAGCGAGCCGGACATGACGCGTCGCGCGACCAGCAACTCCCTCCGACCCAACAGCCTCATCGCGAACTTCGTCGGCGACACGCGGTTCGTAGACGTCAACGACAACGAGATCAACGGCGTCCTGACGACGACGGAGACGGCGGCGATCCGCAAAGATCGCTGGCGTCGCAGCACCGCCCGCTCGTCCGTCACGGCGACCGCGCGACGGACATTCGCCGACCTGAACGCGACCAAGATGGCGCCCGAGCTCGAGTTCCTCGCCTTGCATCATGAGGTTCAGTTTTATTTTTTCTGAAGGTTCTTGTATTTTCCGTCTTATTCTTGAATTGCTTCTCACGTCTTCCTTCAGGAGGCTCTCATTTTTGAGGGTTTTTCGATTTTTTGTAGATCTTTTCCAAAACTTCCTTATAAATTTTCGCGATTAAAGATAGGAACTACAAGTATCAGAAATTTTTTCAGAAGCCAGTTTGTGAGCATTTCAAAATTTGGTTGTCAAGTTCAACGAAAAAAACTTTAAAAGTCCTAAAAACTTACTTTGGCCAATCCCTGTTGAAATTTACCTTCTAAAAAAACTCCATTTTACAATTAAAAAAAATCGGTTAGTTATAGTAATAATCGCCGAAAAACTGAGTTTTTCAAAACTCAATTAATCATGTGTCATTTCAAAAACATAAAAAAAGCTCAATTCTTGACGAATAAAATTATAAAGTAATTTTAAAAAAATTCCCAATGGTTTGTTTTTCAAAATTTGTTTGAATATTCAAGTTTTGAAAAAAATCGTCTTTTTATATGGAAACAGAGCCGTAGAAATCGCGGGGCTCCCAGAGAATTTTTTTCTTCTCAAGATTTTTATATTCATCAAGAAAAATTCTTTCCAAATGAGATTGAATGTGTTTTTTGAAACAAGGGATTGCTCTGGAAAGAACTCGAATCGAAATTCGGTCTTCCAGATGCCAACCCTTTGTGAGTCTTCCTCCGCGTTCTCCCTGTCGGACATTGGCGGAATCAAACCGAAGGTCGACCTGGCGACACCCGCCGCGCTCCCCTCGATCACCTCCCCCGGCGACCTCAATTTTCCGGACTTTCTTCAGGTATCTTTTTTCTCCTCGTTTCGGACCATCTGATTAAGGAGCGCGTTTTGCCTCACTGAACCTCCCATTCTGATTTATTTCGTGAGAAATAAAAAAAAGGAGTTCTTCTTCGGAAAAGACTGAGAAAACTGTCCGATAATAAATATTCCCTCAAGAGACCGTAGATGTCATTTACCTAGTAACTGGTCAAGGAAATCCGCTTCATTCTTCCTGTTACTCGGGCAAAGTCGGAATGGTGGATAATGGCCGCTAAAAGGGAGAGGCTCAAAAAAGGCCCCAGAAAGGCAGCAAAAAGGCAGCAAAACGCGGCAAAAAGACAGCGAAAGGGAGCAAAGAGACTTTCTTTATCGAGCCTTCCATTTTTCTGGGATTTTAAAGACTCGAGAAATAGTGGAGAAAGGGAGAGGCAGCAAAAATTGTGCATAAGGGCTGAGAAAATGGAGCAAAAAGGCAGCAAAAAGAGAGCCTTCGTCACCCTAAAAGGAACATTTCTATGGTCCTTTATGGACCCTCGGAGGGTCCTTCCGACTTTGCCTATGTAATACAAATTTCTTGCATACGGCCTAAGATTTCAACTTGATGAATAGTGTCTCTACTATTACTACCGGGGCTAGGTGATATTTTTCTCCTTATAAGAATTGTGAAACCGGAAAAGAAAAAAATTGGAAAAATTTTTTTGTTTTTTTATTCGAAAAAAATTGGTCTTTTTTTCATTTTTAAATCGATAAATGAATCCTATCTCCGACATAGTTAATCAATTAGGCCTTTCGAAGCTTTTTAAAAGAAAAAAAATCGATCATATAGGCTGGAATAGAATATTAAAAAAACATACTATTCAAAAATGAATTACCCGACTTGAAAAAGAAGTGAAGTTTTTTGTTTGAAGGTGATTTTTAAACGCTGTAAACTCTGAAAATATGACCTAAAAATCAGATTTTTCAACTAGAATTCAAGTTTCAAGATTTTCGAAAAAGTCGCCTTTTCAAAGTGGCAACTTGAAGATTTTTTGTCTTACTTTTTTAGATGTGAAAATTCAAAAAAAAAAAAGACGTCCTTTTTCAGGACGATTCGCCAGACTCGGGACTTGGATGCAGCGGCCCAACTCACATCGAAGATTGGGCTTCTCTTTCGATTCTTCTGCCCAAGTAAATTGTCGAAAATAAGTACAGAATTAAAAGTTTCTGCCTTTCAGACACGTCGCAGAAGCTTGTTCGTTCTTCAAATCCAACTCACAATTACTGACTTCTTCCAATAATTGCATCGACAGAAGTCGTCGATCCACAGAAGCTTGTCGGACTTGCTACCGGGTCCGGAGAAGGTGATTGGAGTAGGAAATTCAACAAAATAGACGAAAAAATGAAGTTTGATGTGCTTCAAAAGCATTGAAAAAAACTTGAAACTAAATGAAAGTTGGAATCGCAAAAGTCAAACAAAAAACTTGAGCGAAGTTGGAAATTTTAACTTGAAAAAAAAAATGGTTTTTTTTTTGAGAACAGGCTGCTGAATGGTATTGTGAAGCGTATAGATTAAACGTTCGAATAAGAAAGTTGAAAGCTCAGTTTTTCGGAAAAAAAAAGAAAGGAGAATTGACCGACGGAATTGTTGAGAAAAAAAATTACAAATTAAAACCAGAAAGAGAAATGAATTCAACCTTCGACCTAGTGTATTACCGCCTTTAACTTGGGAAGACTTTGGTTGATAACCTTAAAAATGGTCTGAAATGTTTGCTACAAACCGAAATTCCTTTTTGGAATTCAATTGGACTCATTCAACTCATTCAGGATACACCCACCTCTCTGGGCGCAGACCAACGCCAGCAGAACAGTCCTCTGCGACTGCGTCGGCGTCTCCGCGTCCGCTTCAGTGTCTCAGACGCCCTCATCGTGAGTTTTGAGCTCAATGATGATAGTTTCATTCACTAGATATAGTATGAAGGTGAGTAGAATGGAAGGCATTGATAAAAAAATCCACAACAGTTTAAAAATGCTGATAGAAGGTGATCTCCTCTGAAACTGAATCGACATATTAAAATAAGCAATTTTAACTGTTTTCACAATTTTTCGAAATTTTAAATTCGCCGACAGCCACTCTTTTCAATTGTGGAACTGAAAAAAAAGTAAACCGAAATAAGAGTCAAAATTCATAGCCGTTTTCTAATAGCCGCACATCCCTAAAATGAAAATAAGAATCGCTTCAGAACGGCCCACCCGCGACACTCCCTCCGACCGAAGGAGCTCTCGATCGTCGGTCTGCCGATCTACGCCTCGAAAAGGACGTTGGTCGAGCAAGTCGTCGAGGGAGTCGCCGCCTTGTCCCGCGGCGACGGATGCCACGCCCTTTTGTGGTTGGTCCATTTTCCAGAAGTTGAGAATGTAAACGAAGCTTGATAAACAAGGTGTTACCGTTCAAAAAGATAGGCGAATGTTGATATACTTGATATGAAAGTGGAATTTGAGATTTACATAAAGTTTTTTCCATTTTTATATAAGAAAAACTGATTTTCCAAAGTATAGTAATAGCTTTGAAGTCGCGGCCAGCGGACTATATCAGCAAACTGTGATGAATGAACTATTCAACAAAAATTTGCAGCGCGATGCGGAATCTGGTGGAAGACGGCCTGAAAGAAGGCGTCTCCCCCTGGACAATGATCAAGACGGTGACGTCACGGGGTCCCGCCACGAAAAACGTGCACGCGATCGTCAAACAGCTCGACGGCTGCGAACAGTCGGAAAAGTACCGCGTCGACCTCTTCTTCGAGGAGTTGATCCGCGAGAACTCGCTCGACTGCTGGCTCTGCTACGTCGTCCTCAAGGAGAACGTCCTGAAGAAGCTCTACGACGAGCAGGCGTTCCTGGCTGCGGCCAGCTCCGAGTACCGGACACTTCTGTGGCGGATGGTTGACAGTCTCTCCCTGCTTCCAGGTGAATATATCCGTGAAGTTTCGGAGAGGGGACTTCCAAATATGACTAATAAAAATAATAATAGTTTGTTCACTGCCATTCACAATGATAATGTGAAAATCGAAAGAAAGGGGCAAATATGTCTAACCTTCGATAATTACCAAGAAAGCTTTTTGGAATATCCAAAAAAAATGCGTTTCTATCGGAAGAGCTTTTTTCATGAAAAGTTACAATAAACTCAAAAAAATTTTCTACCTATTTATGAAATCCGCGAAACAGCAAATTTAACGACCTTCAGCTCCAAAGTTCGAAAATTTTGAAGGAGTCACTAAAGGGTACTCAATAATTTTTCGATTAAATATCATCCATCCAGAAGTAGTTGATTCAAACATAGAAAAAAATTATGGTGATTCTAAATATTCAAAGAACGCAGATAGCCTTTTTTCGGCGACTATCAGTAGCCTGAAGTTTTTCCTTTTTTCAAATGAGAATAAAACTGAAAAATGATTTTTGCAGTATTGGAAGCTCGTGAGAACAGCTCGACGATCCAGACGAAATCGATGCAGAAATGGGGCGGAGCCTCGCGGATCGCCTCCGATTCCCGAGTTCCGAAAAGCTCGTCCGTGCCGGCCCGGCTCTCCAATCAGCAATTTCGACCCTCGCGAATTCCATTACCCAAGAGGTGAGCATTTTTTATGACCCGAACTTGGGGGCTCCAACAGCTCTCGAAGCAATCCTTTGAGTGTACTTGATAGTTTTTCAAGGAAATGTTTCATCTAATCAACTTATAATAAATTTCTAAATTTTCGTTCATTTTTATTCGAATACTTGAAATTGGTCAGAATATTTTAGAATGTTCCAGATGTACAGGCTGGAAATCTCAAAACTTGAAGAAGTGAAACTTTTAACGAAATCCATTCAATTTTCGTTTTTTAAAGAATTCCAATGTTTTAATTTAGTTATCAAAGAAGATTTTTTTCAAACTAAAATGACCAAGTCACTAACTCAACTGAAAAACGTTCAGACAAGCGTTGCCGTCGAGGAGTCGGACTCCTTCAGCCGGACTGGCCAAGTCCTACGTCGCCCTGGTCGTCGAAGACCACGCCGACGACGAAAACTTCGCCCTGACGACCGGCGAGAAAGTGCGCGTTTTCTCGGAACGTGCCGACCTCGTCCGCTGCACCCGCGTCCATGGCGTCCATTCCCTGGTGAACACCGGCCTCGTCCCGCGGGCCAAGATACGAGCCATTCCCCGAATCTAGTCGATTGCATTTCCAACAAGGAGATTTAAAACAGATCCAGCTTGAGGATTTGATCAATTCCGATGAAATTCTTTTGAGTTTTGACTGAAATCAGAGTACTCTTAAACTAATGTCAGGAAAGTTTAATCGAATTTTCAAACTGGCCCTGTTTGTATGCTCCTCAAAAGCTTAAATCGCATAAATCAAAATATTTCCTCGATGGTGCAAATTGCTTTTTTCCGAGCTTTTCCTTCTCCTTTTTCTTAACCCCTATTGCTTAACTCGATACTCACAAGTTCAGTCAAATCCAGTCCCGCATGCTTTTCTCCGGTTATGCAGAAATGAAAAAAAAAGATTGTAATATTATTATTGAAGTAGTCCTTGCCTTGTCATATAGTCTCCCAACACCCGTTCATATTGCGAATACGAATAATAAATCATTGATTTTTTGAAAATCTCAAAACTGAATTCCTGATTCCGAAAGTATTACTGAAAAAAAAAAATCTTTAAAAATCTTGTGATGAACTAAATCTCAACACCCTCTTCTCAACCGGGCCCTCATTTTCAAATTCTATTTTCCGTTCCTTTGGAGCGAAAAGAGAGCGCAGACAGATCAGACGATTTTTGAGTCGTGGCCAAGGTGTAAGAGATTTGAATTTTTCTTTCTCCAAAAACCCCTTCTAAACGATAGTTTATTACAAAACAATGTACACGCAAACAAACAAACGTACAACATAATTTTTTAAAACTTTTTCCAGGTGAAACAAAAAACAACAAATTTCGAAACCAATTGCAAAAGAAATGATTAAAAGAGGAAATCGAGCAAGTTGTCGATTCCTTTCCGGTAGAGAGATACGAGAGGGAAGAGAGATGATAGAGGTTCAACAGAATGAAGCAAAAGAGTCGACTGTTATTTCAGCTGCAAGAAATAACACGGATTAGCGGCGCCTAAAATGAATCAATTTTGAACTTGGTTCATAATTCATTTTTTTTTTTTTCGTTTTTGAGATTTTTGTCGGCTTGAAACAGCGATTAGCGGCATTTACATTTAAAAAATTTTTTCAAACTTTTGAACGTGTAATGGAGCTTGAAAGCTGAAATCATAAGATGACGGAGAAACAGAAAGATATTCTAAGACTTTCAAGACATTTGAACTGGTTTCTATACTACTCTGCAGCTAAAAATTAACCATTTTCAGCTCAGAAAGATGGATTATATATTGAAAAAAAAGACTTCAAATTTCAGTTCAGCCTTCACACCAGGTCAATAAAAGTGATACTCATTATTTTGTCTTTGAAGGAGTTTGTCATGTCTCTTCCTCCAAGACTCAATTTATTTTAACTTTCCTCATATCCTTTTTGAAGGAAAGTGACATCACAAGGGTCACACTGATCTGTGAATACATTATAATCATTAACAAACCAAAAATTCCACTGCGCGGACCCGGGCAGGCCACTGCTGCCTCCAACACTGCCGTTCCAGTTCGAAGCGACGTTGGTGTAGGCGCTAGTCGAGGCCCCGCTCTGCGGCATCGCCCAATCCGTGAGTCCCGCTCCGACGCTGCTGCCCAGCCGCGTCGACGACGACGACGTCTGTCCGTAGTCCGAGCGAGCTACAAAATGAATCTTGAACTTCGCAAAACTCAAAAATGATTCAATTGTGTGAATGACGTAAATTATCAGTATACTTGAGAGGTCCGTCAATTTGACGGAGAAAAAATTTTTCTCCAAAATATATATACAAGAAAAAAGAAACGGTTGAAACTGCATTAATATGGTCAGAGTGCAAAAAAAAAAAAACGACAAAACCGGTAAGGCACCAAGGGAAAGGCCTATTGGACCTTTTTTTAGTTTTAGGCTATTTATTGAAAAGCTGTATAAAACATGCTTATAGTCAGGTGAGAATGGATGCTGATAATCGCAAGTTGTAGCAGAATAGTGGGATTTGGAGTCGTTTGACCGCTACTTTAGGAAATGATGGAACCAAGAAGGAAGCTTACGAGCAGACGATGAAGTGTACGGATTGCGCGAAGAAGTCGACGAGGAATTGTAATAATCGACGGATCCGACGCTGCTGCTGCCGTAGCCGACGACTCCGTTCGAAGACCTCATATCTTCTCTTCTAAAAAGAATAAACCCATAGAAAATACGTTTACATCCGTCAATGAGTCAACTGAGTTTTCCAAAGAAACTCATTAAAATTTCGAATGAAAAACATTATAATGAGTTTTTGATCGAGAAATTCCCGTTTAGAACTCCAAAAAAATTGAATATCACCTATGACTTTTTTTGAAATTTTTGTTCTCTTTTTCATTATATGAAGGTCATCTCTATTCCTCCGGGATCACTATGATTTTGGAACAAACTTATATTATTTTCTTATTTAGCTGTACGTTTTTCCAGCGCAAAATAATTCAAAAAAGCAATTTTTCTCTTCGTGAATTGAGAAATTTTTCCTTGTCAAAAGTTGATATTTTCAAGCACTCTTTTTTGAACAGAAATCAAGAAATGATAAGATACTTCGACGAATACGAATCCTTGTTGGAGAAGGTCGAATGATCGGTATGAGCAGATCTAGAAGAGCTTGAAATTCCCTGCGAATACGTTTCAGCACGACGAGGACGGTGTCTCTCTGAAAAAAAAAAACTTGACTTGATTTTTTTCCCTCAGTTTTCATTTAAAAAAGGTTCAAAAAGCCCCTAACTTGAAATTTTCATCTCATTGAGATTTTTTTCAAACTTTTCCCGTTCCAGACATGAAACAAAAACTTGAAAGTTTCATCTTACCCTGAAATTCTAAACTTCAGAGTTCTTTCCATCCCAAAAAAAAGAGGATTTTCATCCCAAAAAAAAAAAGAGGATTTCCAGAACTCTAAATGGCTGAGTGATCAATTAAGGGCCAATTAGAAATCTTTTCAGAAAAGTACACAAGTGCCCGATTCTCATTAAGAACGATTAGAAACACTTTTTTTTCAGCTTCAGAGAAGTGCGGGAAACAAAAAACGGAATATTTCAATCTAAAATTAGTTCATATCTAAAGCACATGATACGTAATTACCAAAGCTTAAAGTTCTAAACGTAACTTCTTTTTTTTACTTTTCGTTTCCGCGATTACAATGGTTGTCGAGAGCCAACTAACCAGAAAACTCAACAGAAAAGTATTTATTCCGCCTGATTTCTTCGCAAAAGTAGCCGAAACCAGAAAGCTGTAGTCACGTCCAAAAAAAATCCCCTATTTCAGTTTTTAGACTACTTCTCGTTTGCATAATGTAAAAACTTTTAGATTAACAAAGTTCGACAACTTGTGGTCGAAAATATCAACTTCCATCTCTAATATTTTTTTAACTGCATTTTCTAAAAAAATTTTTGTCTTTTTCGATCTTATCTTGCTCAAGAGTCCAATTTCTCAAACAGGCTAGAAAATTACTTTTTTTGAAACTTCTAGTCGTTCGCAAAAAAAAAGACGTTTCGAATAAAGCTGAAATTTTACCGTTATTCACTTCTTCCTTTTTTTCAAAAATCTAGTAGCATATTATGGCCGCCAAAACTTATTGCATTCTCCACTTGATTCCGTTTTCCCCAACTCACCAGAAGTCTCAGTAGCCGGAGGCCGCGAAGTGGCGCCCGAAGGGCGATGATGAGGCGAACGGGACCGTTTCAGCGGCCGACGGTCCTTCTCAGCGTGCGTCGCGTGGGTCTTGGCTACGACGCGATTGCGGTCGCGATCTCTGTCCCTAGAGTCCGCCGGACGTCGAGAATCGGCAGTCCTTGCGCTGCGCGAGTCTCTTTCACGATCTCGGCCTGTCGGTGCGTAGCTCCTAGAAATTTACTCGTTCCGGAAAATTATTCTTTTTTTAACTTCGAATAAATAAGCGGCATAATCACTGAACTCTTGGAGAGCCATCTTCTCAATATTGATTTTGACAGATATTGATCAACGCGAACGAAAATACGAAGGGGACCTTTTCCTTCATTTTACCTACTTCCCCTCCAAATTGATACGTTTCTACATTTTTATTTTTAGAATAATTAAAATTTCCATCTTTTTTTAAATCAAGTTTAATAGAATTTAGAAAAAAGTCTAAAAAAAGCTGTTTTTTTCTAACCTGGATGGAACAAAATAAGACGACCCCGCTAAATTTCCCTTTTCTTTGGACGAAGTATCAGAAAACCACATTTTCTAGTAAAATGAGCCTTTGAGAAGAGAGAACGTCAATTTCCTCTAACACAACAAAAAAAAATAGTTGGAAAAAAACGGCAGTCCGGAAGTTCAACCTCGACGTGGTCGTCGTGCTGCTCTCGAGCTCACGACGCTGCTGCTGCTGCTGCTCGTGAAGGGCCAACTTAAGCTGCATCTCGAGCTTCTCCCGCTCGAGCTTCTCGCGTTCAAATCGGATGCGCTCCTTCTCGCGTTCGAGCTCCAGCTCCTGCTCCCTCTTCCGATGCTCCTCCTCTTTCTTGCGGAGCAGATCTTCGTAGTCGAGAGGGCGACCCCAAGATTCGACAGCAGGACGACGCAACGACGACACCGGAAGACGGTCGATGGGACGGGACATCAGGTCGACAGGACGTGAGACGCGTTCGTGGATCCGTGAATGAACGGGCGGTCGGCTGGAGATGAGAGGGCGGCTGGGAAGACGCGGCGGGATCGTCCGACGGGGCGGCGGAGGTCGGCTGGAGATCGGCCGACGGTCAGGCTCACGTCCTGAACCTTTCCTTTTCAATACTCCGCCCGCAATCATAGTAATTTCTATGGTTTTTTTTGCCTCTAGATAACTTTTCGATGAATACAAGATATTAGTATTACTTTCTTCATTCTGGTTCGCTCCCCTCAAGAAAAAAACAGAGTTAGATAAGTTATAAGCCTCGTTTATTACGTAAGTTATACAACTGAAAACAATATTTCCCAAATTATAAAGTCGTTGCTATCCCTTACCAACTTCTCAAAACCGATTTTCAAGTACATTTTACAAATCGCCTTTGAAAAAAGCGATGAAGCATACCATGTCGAATGGTCGTCCTGTGGGAGCTGTGAGAGCTCTCCTTCCTCACGCTGATCCGTTCCTTGGGTTTTTTCTTCTCCTCGACTTTTGGCTTGGCGACGACTTTTTCTTTGGGCTTATCCTTATCCTTGCGCACCGTGTCGACGGGCTTTTTCTCTTCTGGTTTCTTGACAGTTTCTGCGGAGCTACTGGCCGCGTTTCCAGTTTTCCCCTTAGCCGACATGATGGACGATTCATTAGCCTAAACAAAAAGAAAACGGTTTTTTTTCTGAAAATTAAAAAAAAACACAAGCTCGAGGAAGCCACTAAGATGATCGATATAAACCTTTTCAACATTGAGCGTTTTGCCATTGAGTTCAGTGCCGTTGAGTTCATTCAAGCATTTGTTGGCCATTTCTTCATCGACAAAGGTCACAAATCCAAAGCAGGTCGGGTCGTCGGTCGTCTTTTTCGACCGGGAAGTGAAGATTTTTGCTCGGACCACTTTTCCGAACTTCAGGCACATCGTCTAAAAGAAGATTTGCAGATGCAGCAATGCATGTCGTGTGTAAAAATGTGCCTGTTGGTCTCTGGTCTTCTTAATTTTTCTAATAATCTCAAATCTGCACAGAAAGGTCGTTGGATCTTCCACATCGTGAAGAAAAAGGCTGAGTCGAGCATCGCCATTTTTCCGGGAGCCATATCTTTGCGATCTTCTCGCCGAGGGAGCTCAGAGTTGAAGTTACACACGAATCTCTTTTTGTGATCATTTTTTGGTGTCACATTTGGTCGTATCAAAACATGTGCTCAGAATTCTGAGCCCCCAATAAAAATAAAGGAATTCATGTACACTGGTCGAGTGCAGAGACGAATTGAAATACAAATTTGCTCGTAAAATAAATAATTTTTCTTTTACAAAAACGCGTTCTGAAGCCCCCTTTAGCCCGTCAGACTGTGAAGAAAAAGACTGAGTCGATTATTTCAGACTTTTGGTCGTTAAATATTTGCAGTCTTCTAGAAGAGTGAGTTCGGAATTGAACTGATTTTGGTGCCATATTTTCTGGTATCAAAAAATGTTTTGCACCCTAAAAATCAACCAGAAAATCCTGTCGACTGGACGTCGGATTGAGATGAGAAATATTTTTTTTTGTGAAAGACGTCAAGTTTTCGTTTCAAAAAAAAGTGTTCAGAGCAATACTAAGCCTTCAAAGAACGTTGAAAAGTCGTGGGAGATGTAGACTGGGCTACCGTAGAGAAGAAGTTATATGCGTTTTTTCTCAAAACGGCCCAAAATTTCATTTCAAAAACATTCTGAGGGTCTCTAGGCCTTCGTAGAAGGACCTGGGAGACGCCTGCAGACTCGACAAGCGAGGCCACACCAAAAGGACAAAGGCCATGGCGGAGGTCAGCAGCAAACCTTGAGAGCGGCGGCGCTGGTCGCCTTCGAAATGCCTCGGATCCAGAGCGAGCGAGAGTCGGAGTCCTCGCCGGCGGCGATTGAAGGCATGGTGACCTTGGCGGAGGCAGACGTCGTCGTCGCCGAAGAGGCTGGTGGTGGCGCCGTGGTGCTTGTCGAGCTGGCCGCCTCGTCTCCGCCAACGTTGATGGCCTCCTTGCTGACGTCCTTCGAGTCCAGCGGATCTTCCAGCATTTCGACGTCTTCTGCCGCCGGCTTCTCTGTCGGCGTCGCTACGGGCGCCGGCGATTCCGACTTTCTCTGGTTGGCAGCAACCGAAGGCGCAGCGGATGGCTGCTGTTGACCAGTCGACGAGACTTCCGCGGGAGGTGCAGACGATTCCTTCGTGTCGATTTCTCCCGTCGCGCTTGCCACATTGTCATTTTTTTCAACTGAACTGTCATAGGTGAAAAATCGAACACGGAAAGAACGACGAAAAAATCAAATCAAACAAATAACGATAAAAGTAATGAAAAGCAATAGATCTTCTTCAGATTGACGGCCTACCAAGATCATTTTTTGGAGAAACCGGCTGTTGGGTTTCCGGTGCCTTTTTCGGCTGAGAGTTAGCGGCTGCAGGTGATTCGGCGCCAAGGGAGAATTGGTAGGTGGCGGGATCGAATCCTTCTTCAATGAGGGCCTGAAAGAAATCTTGTTCTCAAAAGTTAATTTCGAGTTCTGTTTCAAATCACAACTCCATATAAAAAAATAACTGTAAAAGGCCCCTTCTCGCTTCTTTTTATAATTGCATACTGCATTTACTACTAGTGTAAGTCAGAAAATATACTCCGAAAGCTTTCAAAATTATTTTTTGCGCTAATCGAAACTTTTGTTAAATCGTGTTGATCGGTGAATGAACAAAAAAAAAAACAATTTTGAAGGAATTTGTATCCATTTCTGAATTTTTATCATAATAAATTTTAAGTGATATGACATGTCCGGTTTGAAGCTCCAATCTTACTCTGATGAATAAATCTACCTAGAGATGATCAGATGGATAATTTAATTAACTTCATTTCTTGTAAGTTTTATTACGTTTTTCTAGTACAATTTCTATAAATCAATAGCTAACAATAATTCCTTTTTTTCAATTTCCTGAGAGTATAAAGACTCCAATAACGTAGGCTTCAGAAAAACAGACAGCCCGCATTAATTCCATCTATCCGAAATCGGGCCCCGCCGCCGTTCCACCAAGTCCCCATTAACGACGCTTCAAATTCAGATTGGTCTACAAGATGGGCTTCTCACTCGCTACGCCGCCGGAAGGAGCATTGAGCAAGTGGGAGTGGCCGAGTAGCGGACGGCCCAGTCATGGAGAGAGACAAACGAGAGGGGGGGGAGGAAAAAAGAAAAACGCCCACTTTTTCTTTCCGCATTCACATTTACCGCGATAACCAAAAACTTCCACACTGAATGGCGGCGACCGGCGAAATTGCCCAAATATTCTGCACCAACGGCGAAACCATAGAAACAACGCGACGGACTCTGAGCCGAGCTCCCAACTCGCCGCTGGCCACCGACCCCAACTGCGCCGTCCAATACGACGCTCGGATCGTCAGCATTCTGATAGACGCCCTCCGTCGCCATGACATGAGCCTAGTCGTTCCAGAATCCTTCGACCAGTGGGCTCAACTCTCCAGTGCGGCTCAGAAGTTGAAGTTGGCGCCAACTCCGGAAGCCGTCTTTCCCTCGACGATCACGATCGCTTGTCACGCAGCTCTGTCCACCGGCAGACTCAACCCAGAAGTCACCTTCAGGAAAGTTCTTCGGATCGTCGTCGCCGGCAAGGTTACCATGTGTCGCAGCGTTTTCGGCGACAGTCTCAACGAACGTCGCGATGGAGGCGGGGCCGACTTTGAAATGGACCGATACACGTCGCGGTAAAATTTCAGCTCGCTGCTAACAAAAAACTTGATTTTCCTCCCTCTCAAAATCGAAAATCGCAACCTTTCTACCATAATCGATCCTACAAACGGTTAAAGAAGCCTCGTAAAAAAATATTAAGCTGAAAAAGTTAACAGAGAATCTTCTTCGAAGGTTGAAGTTCGACTTTTCAAAAAAAAAAAAGATTTAAAAATACTTTGATGATCTCGAAATTCAACTTTTAATAACGATTTCTTATTTAATTTTATGTTCTGCAAATAAAAAAATTTTTTTCCAAGATTCTCAATCTCACACGTTCGTGTGATAATAATTCGAAAAGTCAAAACTTCCAATCTCAAAAACAAAAACAATGTCTGTGCGAAGAAAACTCAAAATTTTACTCTAAGAAAAGCGAGTTAATCAAAAAAACACAATTCTTATCTCTATGGCAACTTCTCATTTTTCTGACTAAAGTCTACTATTTTTTCTCCCCCTCGCATATCTCAATTGCTAAAAAAGTCCCTTTTTTTGCAATTCTGAAGACAAGGGTCTACAAAACAACTCGCTCCGTAAATAAGTTAGAGAAAACACACACGTTCTTTACGAAGTGAAATGAAATGCCTCGCGGGGAAATATAGCAACAAAAAATAGATATGAGGAAACTCATAATTTAATGGCGTCGGGTAGACAAACTTCATTTCGCTATGAATTCACTATTTCATGGTTACAAACCGAAGAGATTTTATGAGGAACCTTTTTCCTTTGACAAATTAGGAATATTGAGACATAAGTGAGCCACAGTTTCAAAACAATAAGTTTTATTGTCAAATCAAAATTTTTTTGAAAAAATCAATCAAAAAAGAATAATTCTATCCGGCTATAAATTATATATTTGTTTGTTCTAAACCTATGAATAGCTCTTCTGATATTCGAGAAATTTCCGAAAAAAGTTATCAGAATAATACAGCAATCTATCCATACAAAAGTTTTACGCGCTTTCAAAAACTCCATGGAAAAAGAAAAACTTTGAAACTTCACAAATTTAAACACAGATTCTCGGGAAACACAGTTTTCATAGAAAGACATGAAAATGAGCCTTATTTTAAAACTAAAATTTCAGCTTTTTCCTAAAGCACAGCAACTTGGAGCGAGCTTTCGACCAACTAGCTGCCGGCGGCTACCGCTTGACTCAAGCAAACACCTTCGCTCCATCGCAACTTCAGGTATCCCTTTTTGAAAGCTTCTCATCTTTTAGTTTCTAGTTGGCCGAAAGTCCCAGAGCCAAACGAAAGAATGAAAAAACACGTGTAAGAGGCCCCGATATTTAACAAAGTTCAGAAGCACGCCAACGACGACGTCCAATTCATCCATCATTCGCAGTTTTTGTTCATTCGCCAGCCCAAGGTTAGCCCGCACCGTTGAGAAACGAAAAAACGAAAGAACGCCCCCATAGGGGGGAGAAGCGGCTCCAGTCCAAAGGGAATTAGCATCGTATTGTGCGTGTTTTTTTTTTTTCGTCTTTCTTGAGGATTTCGAGCTAAAGTGAAATCAACGCTTCTCCCTGCGCAACTTAAGAGAGTTACAAATCTGCCGAACAACCAAAATTTTAATTTTTTTTTCTCGAGTTGAAAAATATCTTCAAAAAAACAAAAACTTTGCAACAAAAAAATATCAATTTAGCTTCTCAACGACCAATTAAAAAGATTATTTAAATTGATGAATACCCTATTTACGCGTCTTCAAGCTGCAAAGATTGAAACAAAGTTTAGTCAGTAAAGTGGTCAACTGGATGTTTCGCTATCCAAAAATTCCACAAAAACGATTTTCATTTAGAGGCTTAAATGGGGCCACGTAAGGATTTCAGGCCTTGAAACCGTTTGAAAACCTTTTCAATCAGTCAAGTGAAGCTCTTGAAAAATTTCTTTTTCAAATTCAAATTTCGTAATGAAAGCCAGTCTATATTTCTGAAATTTTTTCGAAAAAAAAACCCCCGAAATTAATTGCGCGTACAATGTGAAAAACGAGGCGTGTGTCGAATCGCGATGAAAATTATCCAAAGCAGGAAAAATGTGCTGTTTCGCACCCAATTAACATAATTTTATTGAATTTTGAGACATGGCTGAAAAATAATTACACCCTTCGAGTATGAAACTCAACAAAATCTCAAGTTACCGCTTCCAATTTTCTCAGTTTCAACATCCTTTCACAAGTTAAACTGCACCTAATCGAAATCGAAAAAAAAACCAACGATTATAATGAGAGCCTCGAACGCTTCATGCATAATAGATCCTTCTTCACACGCAGCCTTCCCATTAATTTTCCAGGCAAAAAAATGCGTCTATTTCTATATTTCCCTTTTTTCAGCTGAGCCCAAACTAACCTTCTCGAGGCGATTCGTGAGTATGATCTTTATCCCGTTTTTGTCGAGCCCCCGCTTCTCCAGCTCCTGACGCAATTCCGTCACCCGCAGATCCGATAGCAGCCTTTTCTCCTCAGTTTCAGTCATTTTGCACTGAAATTAAGATATCTATACATAAAAACTTGGCAATAAAGCAATACGATTTCACGAAACGACAAAAAAAAACAATGAAGAGAGAAACACGACGATTCAAACGTGTCTTTGAAAAAAAAAAAGTGAAAACGTGAATTACAAGATTATTTATTTCACGTTGAAAGAGTTTCAATTCGAGAGAAATTCGGTGACGTTTTGAAGGAAATCTGATGGGTGATCGACATGAACCCAATGACCAGCGCCAACGATTCCTTCGAATCGGGCCTGAATTTCGAAGTAAAATAGCAAAAAATGAGCGGTTCGGCATAGTTCAAACTTTTCTCAAATATTTTTTTTGCTGATGAAAGCCTCCTTATAAAGTGAAACTTTGGAAACGAATTCAATCAATAATGCAATCCCTGCTTTTCAAAAAGGAAGATCTCTGCAAAATTTAAAGTCAATGAAGAAGTTTTATATTTCCACCAAAAAATATTCAAAGTCGCCTAAGAGAAAAAATTTCTAGTAAAAAAACTTGTGGGCTAAGCGAAGCATAAATGAAAAAAAGTACTATGGTGGCATTTTTTTCAGTTTCGTTTTGCGAATCCGAAACCTCTCTATGAATGAGATATTTTGGCAAAGTGACAAAAACAAATTAAACTGAGAAAATATATTCGCTAGTATATTTTATAGCGGAAGGAAAATATCGAAAAAACCAGTGACTATTAAAATCTAGATGTTTAAGTCTTCAATAACAACTCAAACACCAAAAAACATAATTCAAAGATTTAAAGAGTACTGGTCTAAATTTCTTTAAAGTTTCCTTCTGTAATCCAGCACTTGAGTTAATATTAACCTTAGGGAACATGGAACGGACATCAGGCCAATGACTCTTCGGCAGGTAGTCGGACAAAGTTCCATACAGGAAAAGAGAAGGTCCTTCGAAGGAACCTCCACTCAACTGGCCACTGATCAAATCGTCCAAGTTGTTCGAAATTCCTTCCAAATCGCACTTCCATTCGAACTTGCTCGGATCAGCTTTAGAAGTCTGCAGATTGGTCAGCAAAAACTGCCGAATCTCAGTTTGGAGGATGGGCTTTTCCAGATCTCGGAAAATCTGCTGCCGACTCCTGGATAGATCCACGTCGTTCATCGCTTTAGAATATCCTTTCATCTGGTTGATCTTGCTTGAATATCCTTTCGGGGAGACGTCCTCCACGATAATCCTAGATATTGACTCTCTGGACTGCTCGTCAAGCGCCATTTCCATCACCACCTTGCCGCCCAACGAGTGACCGAGCAAGTTTACATGCTCATGTCCACTTGCATCACGAATCTTGAACAAGAAAATGAAACGGACAGTCGGAATATTAAGAAAAAAAAAAAGGAAGGCATTGGACCAAAATAAAAGGTACCTTACTAACGAACTTTGCTAAATCAGCCGCCATCTCACGGAAAGTCATAGTTTTCGCCCGAGGAGAGGTTCCATGATTGCGAAGATCGACACAATGTACAGAAGAATCTAACTTTCTCTCCAAAGCCTTGCCAAGACTGCTCCAGTTTTGCTTATGACCAAAAAGTCCGTGAACGATTATCAGCGGCGGTTTTCTATTGTTTTGATTCACAAAATTCAAAGCAGCCAAATCCACTGGTTCTATTCCGGTCTTATGAAATGATCTTCTGCCGTAGATATTAACAATGGATCGAAATAAAGGCATCTTAATCCAAACTTGAAAAAAAAATGTGAAAATTATTTCAGGACGAAGAAAGAATGAATTCGGAGTTGAATGACAATTAAAAATACTGACAAGAGAAAAAAAAGTTCAAAAAAAGCTGTGTACTTATTAGGACATAATGAAACTCAGAGACAGCAAGTTCTTTTAAAATTCGGTAATACGCGTAATACAAGTAAAATAAATGGTACCATTATGGTGCTTCCTAAAATAATGAAACTTTTTTAATTTTTCATTAGAGATGAAAGCGTTGAATAAAAAAGGAGTCAGCGTCTCTTTGATGAGATATAAAGACAGCACATTCGAATGAAAAAAAAAACGGTCCAATTAAAGGAATTTTTCAACGTTAAGCAAATTGTACTGAAACAAGCTCAATAGGGTACTTATAGTAGGACTACGAAAGACACTTATCCAATTTACTACCAAGAAATAAACTAATTTGAACGCGTCAGATCAGAGAAGAAAAGAAAATGGAGAACCCAAGTGGCTCAGCTCGTCAATCAATAAATTGCGATGGGGCGCACCTGCACGTTTATATTTTAAAATTTCGAGCCGATGCGGGGTGATTTTCTGCCGTGTTCAAAGTAATTTCCGCGAAATTCAAAACACCCGTTAGAGAAAGGAAAAGATCACTAAATTTTGGAGAGTCAGAGATCATTTTGCATTTCGCGGAAATTACTTTGAACACGGCATTCATCCATAGTTTCAAAGTGTCTCAAGTGTAAGAATGAGCTATAGGACATTACATATACAATATAGCAAGAAAAAAAAATAGGAAAGTTTGATTGACAAATAAATGACAGTGAGCTAATCTTTTTTTAAATTTTTCTTAAAAAACGCATATTTTCCGTTTTAATCGACTCCTACGAGACGATTCCAAATACTTCAAGCAAAAACAACAACAAAAAAACCGATAAAACACGTATTTATTCATTCCTATAAGAAATAATTACAAATTTGAGCACTCTATGAACGAAAATCTATAATAAATTGTGATAAAATTTGCTAACAAAAAACGTCTAGAGCTTTTGGATTACTTTTCAGACAGTTATCGTAAGAATTGGAGAGTTGTTGATGTTTTCGACCGAGAAGATGGTTCTTGACGACTTCAGCGAGGCCTTGGGCAAATATCCTGACGTCGTCATCCGGACTGACGAGTTCAGCTTTTGCCTGAAATTTTCATACATCAAACTCATTTTAATTAGAACTCTTGGCTAATTAAGCTCAAAATTCTGAGCCGATCTTTTTCATCTGATTTTTTATGAGCTCAATAATAAAGTGTTTCAGTCACCTTGTTAAATTTTGAAGAATGTACTTTGAAGTCTCTTATTGAAAAATAAGATAAATCAAAAAAAAAAAAAAATGAATCCCCGAAGTACATTTTGAGCGCGTTTTATCAAAAGTTCAACCAAAGGCTGAAAAGTAGCTTTCAAAGTTTTCTGTGGCTAAAAATCTTACAAAACGAAGAAAAAGACATTGAGCTGATCTTTGATGATAGTCATTTGATTAACTAATAGAAAACGAACCTCATTGGCCAGGATCTCCGGAATGACTTGGAAAGTGTCGAAAGTCGGCATCAGTTCCGTGATAGGGACCACGGCAACTTTCTGACCGACGTCAGCTTTTTGCGCCAACTTTTTCACTTCCGACTGAAGTCCTCGTCTGACCGGCGCGTTCCACGAGTCCCAGCTCGTATAATAACCGATTTTCCACGGAACTGAATGGGCCAATCGCGTCATGACTCGTTCGCAGTTGGCCCAGACCGCATGTTCAAACTCCTCTTTGTCATAACCTACCTGAACTCGGAAAAGTAAACATTTTGGAAAAATTCTTGAGAAAAAACTTTTCTTTGAACGGCGAAAACGATCCCAGCGAGTTCAGGGAGAAGCGGTCGCAATTTGGCTTCCCAGTACTTAAATTTGAAGGTTAGAAAGAAAATAATAGTCTGACGAAGATATATATAGTGAACATAATTAGTTAGAGATCGTTTAAAGCACAGAAAGAAGGACAAATCCAAAAAAATGGCTTAGATTTTTTGAAATATCCATGAAAATCATTTCATTTTTTTCGACACCTTTCAAAGTTTCTCTACAACTTTCTTTTGAATGGTTATGTTAATTAACAATGATATTTCTTAATTTTAAATAGCGCCAAAGCTTGCCAGATTAGAAGAAAAATGAATAAAAGAATAGAAGAACTAGAATTAATAGAAGAACCTGAAGGTTGAACTTTCTGAAAAAATATGCTTCTATCGATTTATTTTACTAAATCAGTTTTTTTGACAAAGATATAACAAACTATGAAGTTCATTTTTTTCAATACACTGTCTTGCTTATTTTTATTCTACTTTTTCTTCATTTTACATTCATTTTTACCAATCAAGTTTTCTATGACAGTCATAATACGATCTTTTTTTCACTTTCCATCTTATTTTCAATTATTCTCTAAGAACAAACCTCCGAGATGAGAGGGTGACTATTCCAACGATGAATCGCAGATATTTCATAAGAAAAGTCGGAGTTGAGCGATATCCGATTGTTGATGACGTCTCGGGAGTCTTGTACCAAAGGAACCGTCGAACTGAGTATTTTCTCCGCGACTTTCGATAGAAGAGCTCCAGTCTCCGCACACCAAAAGTGGGAATACAAGGGTAGAAATATCAACTTTTGGGATCGCTTTCTAAATTTTTATAATAAGTATTTATTTTCAGTTGAAAGAGGTTCGTAGGATCTTCCCGCAACGGAATATTCCTAGGAATGGTAACTGTATCGTGTTAAAACCTTGTGAACTTTTTGGTGTTTATCTTTTTTTTGAACTGTGCAATACGATTTGAAAAAGAAAATAAAGTATATATTTTTGAGCCTTTTTCCAGTTTTCCATCTCAAAAATATAAGGAACGAAAATTCGAGAAAAAAAAAGGAATTAAGCGTTTTCCAAGTTTTCTGTACCTTTCTGTACCTATTCACGCGTAGATAGGTACAGAAACACAAAGAACTTGATTGACACGAAAAATCCCATGAAAACGGTTCGAATGCAGCATCTCAGCTCATGAATACTGGGTTGCGCAAAGATTTAAAGACTAAAAAGCTTGCCAACCTAACAAAACTGTTGAACGCGTTCTCTAAGGAGCCTTCCTCACAGTACAAAATTTTCGAAACGTTGACAATTCCAGTCTCTGGCATTATCCTTTTCAGATTATTCTCAAGAGCTTCGCCAAGAGAATCGACCACAACTTCGAAGCTGGAAGCAGCTCCATATTTGTCAATGCATCGACGGATACGATCATCGACCAGTGCAAAAGATGGAAGCCTTCTAAATGTCGAATAATATCAAAAACTACACCAGAGTTCTATTTTGAACCTCGCAACCGGATCGGGCAAATTGTAAAAAAGCTGAGCGCGCTTGCTCACAAATTCCTTAGCATAGTACTCCGTCCTGGGCTGCCCAAAGTGGAGCAAAACTATCTCCGTGTCCACTTTATTATGACGCCTCGTCGTGCTGAATGCACGGAAAATTTGCCGATTCATCGTGTACTCTTCATCTGTTCAATTGAGTTACCCTGAAAAGTTTGTTTACCAAATTAAGAACATTCTATCGAATTTCAACAATTTTTGAACATTAAAAAAAGCTTTTTTTGATAGCGAATGCATCTGTGTTCTTGAAATATATATTTGTCGAATAAGTTAACATTTTTTTAGAGCAATACTTGAGCGAAATCTGAACAAAAAAAGATGGGAATTAAAAAAATATTTTTTTAAAAACTGTAAACTTTCAAAATTAAGGAAATGAAAGTTTGCTCCAGGGTTCAACCCTCTGTAAGCGGCTTTTTTAGAGTAAAATCGAGTTAAAGGGGCCTCTTAAGAGCCGCAAAGTGGCTCTTCGAGCGTTTTTAACTGTTTACGTTTCACTACACTTTTCCTTTCAAATGTTACACCGACCATTCGTCACTGCGAGTGAATAAGCGTTCTGAAACTGTATGATAAGCGCTACATACTCTATTTGTTCATGCGTTGGTGCCCTCCTTTTCTCCCTCTTTTTCCAACTTTATGAATTAAAGAAAGTTTGCTGTTTCCTACTAGTTTTTTACTTCGTATCAGCGTAATCTGAAAGTTATCACTTTTTCCTGCAGCTGTTCGAGGAAGATCAGATAGGCTCAGCTCTCCAGCGTCGTCGTCATGTCGATGACAAGGAGCACTGTTCAGGAACTTTGCGACTTTGTTCAGCGTTAGTTTCAATGCCCAAAACTCTTTGACATTCTTTCTTCTTCTAGAAAATCCTGCGACAGTTCTTGGCAACAAGTTTTTCGACTCACGGCTTGTCCTGCACGTGGAAGCCTCGGCCAAATCCGACAAGTTCGAGTCTCGTATTTTGGTTCTGTCCAAGTTTCGGGTCTTTTTTCTGTCCGGGAAAGCTCCCGGATCTCTGAAAGTCGAAAAAAGCTTCCATTTATTGTCGATAAAGGCTCTACAAGTTGTTAAAGAAGATGAGGTTGGGCTCTTTTTTCGGGAGGATTTTCAGACCTGCCTGTTTCAGCTGTCAATAACGTTTGAGGAGAACTTGCACAGAAAGAAAATTGTCGTGAAATCGTCGACTCAGACGGGCCTTTTTCTTTCTAAGCAAATTTTATCCGCCTTGAAGCACTATTTCCCTGATATTGGTCAGTTTTTTCGCGAAAAGTTGAAAACTTCATAGATATTTGCAGGAAGTCAACTAGCCACGACATTCGAGATAGCTCCAACTTCGCTTTTGGGTGATTTCGAAACTTTGCCGATTGACGTGGCCCCAAGGCCTTGTCATTCTTTCCGCAGGACTTATGCGGCCTTGTGTGATTTTTATGAACAGCCCTACCGCGAGGAAGTTTCTTGGGTTCGTTTCGGACTTGAATTTTGGTATGAGAAAATGTTTCAGGACGTCGAAAAGATCTACACGATCAACAAGCTTCGGGACTTGAGGATCGACGATTTTTCTCATCTTTTGCCGAGGTTTTGATGAAATTTCGGAGCAGTTTATTTTCTTCAATAATCCTTTTTTTCGATAAAAAAATTCCAAAAAAATTTTCGCTTTTTTTCAATGATTTTTTTCCAGAGATTTACTACCAATTGTCGGAGTTTTACAATATTCGGCCTACTTTTCCGGTTTAATCGCTGACGGCGTCCGTATTCCGCCGGAAGTGATCGATGTCATTTTGTCAGTCGTCCGCAAGTCAAACCACTTGCAACGGGTTCAGTTGCGGAATTGTGCTCTTCCCAAGTGACTTTTCAGACTTTTTCTCGTGACTCTTTTCATTTTCAGAGATTTCGTCATGTTATTCGCATCAGCTCTTCAGAACAGCTCTACGATTTGCTTGGAGTCTTTGGATTTGTCGAAGAATGTTCTTGACGACAAGAAAGGTAAGTAAATGTGGTTTTCTAATCTTTTATCATCCAATTTTTTTTCAGAAGAAGTTTTTCAAAAAAAAAGTTTCCGAGAGTAGATAAATTTCTGGAGAATTTTTTTTTTCAAGTTTTATGAATATTGTATTTTTTCGCGCCACCTTGACAAACTTTCGCCACACTGGGAAATGGCTGAAAAACGGTTGCTCATAAGCGCGTCCGACTTAATACGACTTGCGCGCGTTCGCATCGGAAGTTTTTTTAGGAAGCTTCTGGGTGTCAAGTAGACTTTCAACCGATGTTGTTCCCAAACTCGTCTCGAAATCTCACGAGACCAAATCCTTTTTTCGAGACGAAAATGTCGATTTCTAGCCTAGAAATCGAATTGAGTATTTTGCAAATTGAGTATTTTGTTGTTATTAGGGGTTATCTCAAAATTATTAATGATTTAGAGCCGAAAAATTGGAAACTTCAAAAAATCACTTTTGAGAGGTCGGAGAAATCATTTTTTTCTCAAAAACTCATCCAAACGGCCTGAAATTCGTAGATTCTGATTTATGATTGTTTTTTTAACATCGAAATCGGATCGATTTTTCGCAAATCAGGGATAGGCCGGGGGCCGCAAGCCACCAATTGATATTTATTCTCACAAGCGCAAAATCTTGTAATTGGACTGAAAAAGCTTCCAAAAGGTTGCAAATTAAGTAATTCGTCGTTATTAGGTGTTATCTCAAGATGAGTAATGATTTTGAGCCGTAAAAAAAGCGAAAATAAAAAGTTGATTTTTTTCTAATGGCCGGAAAATGACTAATTTTCAAACCCTTCCGATTGGCCTGAAATTTTGTGAGAACATGTAATATGTGTAATATTCACTTTTAAAAAAGAAATTGAATCGATACCTATCATTTTGAAGTTTTTAGGACATGATTTATACGATTCGCCTCAGTATTTTCGACCGTTTGGCGCTAGTATAAGATTTTGTCAATAATTTCACCACTCAATAAACTTCAAAAGGCTTAATGAATAAAATAAACCGATTTCCTGTAACTTATCGACCCTTCTTAAAGGATCGGGGGGCCCGCATGTGCTAAATGGGCTGCTAGCCCACGTATGTTTCTAGGTCAAAATTGCGATATTTTTATTTTAAAGTTTCCGATATTTTTCAAAATTCGAGACAACATCTCGTTCTCGAAAAGTTTTTGAAACATCTGTCTCGACTCCAAAAAAGCGCACCTCGAACGATTTTTTTTTGAAATAAGAATATCTGAACTAAAAAAGGTCGAAGAAGAGCTTTTTCTTGGAGTTAACTCCAGGTGTCTTTTTCAAGTTAGGTCCACTATGTTTTTTTCGCACTTTCATCGAAAGTTTTCCAGGTTTCGGAGCCTTATCCCTCGTACTTCCCCGTATGCCAACTCTCCGTCATTTGAACGTTTCCGAGTGCCAATTATCGGAAAAATGCGTTCAACTACTTTGTGCCGGTCTTTATAAGTGAGAAAAAGGAGTTACAGATCAAAAATAATAATAGTTTTGCAGTGGGGTGACGGCTTGCAAGGGCGGAAACATGCAATTGTCGGATTTGGTTCTTTCTTCGAATGTTATTAGGGAGGACGTGAGTATTTTCGAATTTGGGTGGAGTTTTCTCCATAGAACGATATTTCCATTCTCCATTTAAAAAAAAATTGATTTCCATTTTTTGGAACTTTTCTTGAAAAAAATTTATTTTTTTGCCATTCATAGGCAAAATCGGAAAGGGTGGAAAAAAAGGCTCCAAAAAAAAAGAAAAAAAATTGAAGGCTCGATAAAGGGACACTTTTTGCTGTCTTCTTTGAATCTCTGCCTTTTAGAGACGGTTATCCACCATTCCGACTTTGTCCGAGTTATTTGGTTGATAAAATTAACAATCAAAAATGGAAATACCTACTTTTCCAGGTGTCATCCCTCATTAACTTGATATCCCTGTGCACTTCTCTGAGAGTCCTTGATTTGACGGACACGGGATTTCCTTTGGAAAAAATCTGGCCTGCATTAAAGTATGGAGGCTTACAAATCGAGAAGCTGCTGTTGGGCGGCTGTTTTGTCGCCAAAAAAGCAATCGAGAATCTTCAGGTTTTCTATTCAAATAATTTTGAAAGTCAACCAATTAATTTCAGGCGGTCAAGGAGTACTTCTCGATGGCTGTGAATTTATCGCAGATCAATTTTAATAATACGACACTTCCCTCCGAATTTTTGAAAAACATGCTCCTGGGCCTGGCTTCCAACAGACAGGTCTTTTCTTTTTTTTTATGAAAGGTCGTAACAAAATAATTACTTTAACAATTGATATCAATTAGCGCGTTAAAGCAACATATGACCATTATAGCTTCTTTTTAACTGTTTAATGTCATCTAGTTTTTATCCCAATTATTCATGTCTTGCCATGTAAAGATTGTTATTAATGAATAAAATTCCAGTTGAAACCGTTCCGATTGGATTTGGACAACGTTTCCGACAAGGGATCGCCTCAGATTTTGGAGGCCTGTCTGGGAAGTATCCAGTGTGAAAGCCTCAGTTTACGGGATAACAATCTGGAGGCCGATCTTCAGGTTTTTTTTTCAATCTGGAAACTTTGCCCTTTTTGAAAGAGCTTTATAAAAGGTTCTGTATAGAACAGAAAAAGCCATTTTGACTTCTGAAGAGCAAATTTGAGCCTTTAACTGTTTTCGAATAAACTACATTGAATGCATTCACCACTTTTTTGCGTTCCGGGATAAGTTGACCTTTTTTTCAGGGAATACTGCAAAGTTTGTTGACAGTTCCGTGCCTCCGACGGCTGGACATTGGCGGCGCCAACTTTTCCAGCCTTAAGCGCTCCGGCAAACAATCCAATTCGAGCACCATCAACAAAATCCTGCTCGACGTCGTCAAACTGTACAGCGACGAATCGGTTAGACCTCTGAAAGACGACAAAAAAGAAAAAGAATGTTTGTTCCAGTCCTTGGAGGAATTAATCGTTTCGGAATGCCGGTTGGGAGCCTTTCTGAGCGTGTTGATGAACACTTTGGGAGCGACGACATCCCTTAAAATCCTGGATGTTTCGTCCAATGAAATGGGCAATTTCGGAGCCCGAATCTTGTCCAAGGTTCGTTTTTTGATGAGAGTTTCGGAGATGACTTTTTTTTGCGAAAACTTTGCTAATAGTGGGAAATTCCTCATTAATAATTTTCTCGACTTGGCTCCTTCCAAACTTTTTTTTGAAAAGGGAAAACAATGGAAAAAAGCGGAACTTTACGCTTCAAAATTGTTCAAAGCTCCTTCAAAAAGGAGTTTTCCGCATAGTATAAAGTAAAATTCTTGGTTCAATGCGGTGATTGAAATGAAACAACATAATTTGGAAGAATATAATTTTTTTTTTAAATTTTAATTGAAGATTTCATTTCTTAATAGAATTTATGAATTTTTTATTCTTTAGCCTTTTCTCGTACTTTCTAGTTTTTTTCGCTACCTATTATGAAAGTTCTATGAAGCGTAACAAAACTAGCTGCAATGAATTTTATCAATTTTTTAAAAATTCGTTTTTCATTTTTTTTTTTTCAGTATTCTTTTCTTCAATTTTTTTTTAATTTACGAAAGAGTATTGTCTTAAAATTTAGGTATGGAAGTGTACAGTTAAAATTTTTACAACAGATTTTTTTATTTTCGAAGTGGAGTGGAACAGGTTTTTAAAAAAAAAAACGTCGTTTTTTTCGAGTTTGATGAAATTTTAATTTTTTAAGCGTATTTAGCTGGAGTTGAGATTGAAGCAAGAGTCGTTCCATCTATTCCACATGAGTAAAACGGAAAAGTTCCTTTGAGGAACCTTAGAAGGAACTGTAAAGCTTCCGATAAATGCTCTAAGATTATCGGGAAAATTCTTTTGACATGTGAGTTCCTTTTTCATAGCCTTCGAGAATCTTTTTTGATTTCGTGAAACCTTTTATTTCAAAGATAATTCAGGCTCTCCAAGTGAACGTTTCTCTGCGAACCATTCTCATCGACAATAACCACATCGGCGCCGACGGCTTCGTCGACATTGCCAATGCGATGAGAATGTTCGTCTCCTCACAAAAATCTTCTAATTAATTAGGGAATTCTCAGGAACTATACTCTAACAAACATTCCCTACCCGGTTCACGACTCCTTCGAATGTATGCAACGGGCGGAACGGCCCAGAGCCATTTCCGCCTTGTCCCAGATCCAACAGCTCCTTTTCCGCAACAGAACTTCGGCGTCCTTCGAAGAGGCCAATTGCAAGAGGATCCATGCCGCTGGACTTCAGCAGGTTGATTTTTAGAACATTTTTTCGCGCAAAATCTATCGCTTGGTTTCTACTGTTTTTCATGACCCGTTCGTTGTGTTTCAGGTGTAAACTATTAGGTTTTCTGGAACTAATGTGGACCTTCTGACCTGTACTTTTTTTTAACAATAATAAAATCTGAGATGAAATCATCCGTTTCACCTGTTGTGTAAGGGTTTGGAGCGCTAGGACATCATTTCGTTTCGTTTCAAACTTGGAAAAGGGTCTTTATCGATTATTTGACGTTTTTTTGGTCTTCGAAGCTTTCATCGCCACTGAGAAAGCGCTGAAGTCATTGTCGACCCTGAGTAGCCAAATACTTCGACAAAAGAACAACAAAATTCAGCGGCCGATCGGTTAGATAGTACATATTTTTCTGATGGTCTTGTCGATATACTTTTTTCTTGCTGAAAAAAATCAAGAATAATATAGTAAAATGGCACTTCGAACGATGTACAAGAACACCCTTTTCATGATTTTCAACAAAACGTTTTCGAAAATATTTTGCTGAAGCCAAAAAATACATTAGTGTTTTGAGCTAGCCTTGTGTCGGCTATACAACAGAACCACGATAAAATCCAAGAAAAAACGCCCGGGAAAAAGATCGAAATAACGCGACATTTCTCTGCGCGGAGAATCTATGTCCGACTTTCTGTCAAGATCCTGAAAGACTCGAGTTTCAGCTTCTCGAAAAAGCCAGCGAAGAATCGTTCCGGACGGTGAACGGCTCGGTCTTCTCGTTCAGTAACGAACCGTTCCCCAGTCGCCTCAATGAGATTGTCGAGGACTTTGTTGAGCAGGTAATCGTTTTTGGTGAAACTGGGGTTTCGTGATTGCTTATCACTGAGTTGAAAAATAATAAATTTTTTTCCCCTTTTTTAGAACGAATGAGAAACTTTATAAATATTTCATTTTTCTTTTTTTCATTTGATTTGAAAATAGTTTGAACTAAAGAAATAAGAAAAAGTTTTTTTATGATTTATGTAAGCTTTGGGGTTTTCTTATTTCAGAAAAAAATTCTATTTCGAGTTATGACTCTTTTTAAAAAGCTTCAAAAACGACCTGTCTTTATTAATAGGTAAAATAATCTAGAAAACTTCGGTATTTTTACGACCAAAAAAGGTTTAGTTCCGACGAGAGGCTTCTCTATGCATCAATGAATCATTACCACGTGCCACGTCTCCCAGTGTCAATTTCGATTCCAAAAGAGCCGAGCAATTCGCCGGCTCGAGGCTCAATGAGCTCTGGGTCGAAGACGCCAAACACGTTTTTAGGTACCTTTGAAACGAAACATTTTAAAAATCGTTCTAAAATTTTCAGCGATTGGCGCTGGCGAGAGTTTTGCGACCGCTCCGAATTCTTGCTCAAATCGAACTTGGAAACAAGCAGCGTCGACAGAAGCTCACTGGGCAACGCTTCGCCCGCCTTTCCGGCCAAAAGGTACAGTTCAGTCGCGTGAAAGGGGCGGAGCCGATTAATTACAAGATTTTTTGATTTTTTTTTGTTTCAGATTATATACGGAGTACTCGGAAAAAGTTTTTGCCTTGTCTTATAACGAAATCTTGGCACAATGATTCAATTTTTATTCTGTCTAAGAGTTCCACACAACATAATTTGAAAAAAAAGACAAGGTCAATACCAAAAGGAGTAGTTAATGAAGTTTTAAAGCAAAATATTTCAGTTTATCGGGCTCTTCCGAAGATCCGAAGTTCAAAAAGAAAGATCAAACCAAAATGTTTCATTTCTCACACACAAAAGCTGTATTGAAGAAATAAATGAAAGAAATCTAGATGGCAAAACAATGAAATTGCAGATCAGAGGCTTCTTACCGTCCACGGAGCATAATCGGAGAGATTGCGGAGAACGGCGAGGTCGGCGTCAGTTTAGATGCGCCGCCGAAGCCGTCCCCTCTGCAACATCTTCAGAAGTCGCGGCCGCGACGTCGTGGACAGGGTTAGAGTTTGTGTCTTGAAAGAGGGCAGAGTTGAGTATCAATGAAAGATCTTCTAAAACTTGCCTCAATTTTAAAAAGAAAACCTTTGAAATCATACTTTTGATTACGAATTTGTCAGCCGAAGCTGTACTTTTGAGGTTAAAGAAGTTGAATATGAGAAAAAAATTAAAGTTCAGTTGCCACCATGATTTCTGTATAAACTTGACTATATCAACAGGAAGCTCGCCGTTGAAGCAAGTGATTGTGGAAGACGTGATGCTGACGAGCCGAAGCACTGAAGCCGAGGGCGACGACGAAGTTTCCACCAAAAGCACGACGGAAAGCGAAGACGGAGCCGATGGAGACAAGCCCGCCAAGGTAGGATATCGGCCATTTAGCGCTGTTTCTTGAATATCGAAAAAACGTTTTGAGGTTACGACTATTTCAGTTTCAGAATGAGCACATAACCCGTATCGCTATGATTCCGGATCCATCCCTACTCGCCCAGGTTCAGCTGAAGTCTCCAACTGACCGAGCTGCCGCGAACTTGTCGCCCGATTCTCCGCCGCCTCTTCCGCAGAGAAACAGGTTCGTTTCACAATAAAAATGACGATCTTACAAGGTAAACGCAAAAAGTGTGAAAACAGATCAGTTGAGATTGAACGTACAAATCTTATCTATTTTATTCGCCACTATCTGATTTCTTTGCGCCATCCTGATTTTACCTGTTATTTTTCTATCGCTTTTAGACCTCGTCGATGAGAGAAAAGAGAATGCAGACAGGACAGAAAGTTCTCAATAGTTGCAGAACGAAAACATCGTAGTTTATTTAATGCGTATATTTCATTGAATTTAGCGCCAAAATATTATATGAACTCCAAATATTCAGTTGAGTTCAAACTGTTGTTTTTATCTTTCAAAAAAATTATATAATATTTTTTTACTTTAAAGTTTAAAAATTTCCAAATAAGCCGCAACTGGATTCTGCTATTTTTAATCGGTATCTTTTCTGAAGCAAGCATTCAACAGAAATGCTTTTCCATGTAAATTTTGTGCACATAACCGCTGTCAAAGCAGCTTTGAAACTGAAGCTTTGAATCAAAAGAGGTTCTGCAGACCCCCTCCCGGCGCACAACCGCCGTCCCTGCCGCCCAAACCGGAGCCACGCGCCCGGACGACGATTCCGGCCGCCGAAGACGACGAAAACGCCAACAGCCGTCGTTCCGTCGCCGATATGACGCGTATTTTTCAGCAAAAATCAATTAAAAAAAATTATTTAATATATTTTTATTTCATGTATTCATGGTTTAAGTTTCAATATTGTAATTACACACTTTAAGTTACATACTGGTGATATTCGTCAGCATTTATTTAGTTTTATTCTTATTATTTTCTAATCAATTTGCTGTCCGCGGGGATCACACATGTCTAATCACTTCGTTCTATCATCTTTTTTTTTCAAATTGCTAGTGATACAACTGCCTATCATTTGTTGGAACTTCGATTCACTTTTTCAGCTATTATCCATTACGTGTGTGTTTGTGTTATCAGAATATCTATTTCCGAAAATGAGAAAATAATAAAATATTTATGCTTTACAGGTAAAATCAAAAGGCGAAAAGCAATGTTGCGGGGTTTTTGGCACGGGTAGTTTTAGCTTCTCTAAAAATGTCTTTTTAGCACTTTTTATGCGGGAAAATCGTTCAACCCCGACTCTCACCCTCAATCGTGATCGAGATGAATAAAAATCATCGAGAAGAGAAATGTAAAGCGGTATTTCGCTTCAAAAAAGCGATCCGAAAACCTCTTTACATTCAATAAATATAATAATAAATCACATAAACAAAGGAGTAAACAAGAAATTGAGCTACCTACAAAGGAGGAAAAAAGGCTTCAATTAAACAGCCGCAATAATTAGTAAAGCATAGATGGATGCGAAAATGAACTGAACTTTTCGGTGTATGAGAATGAGATTTTTTTGAGAAAAAAATGGCCGTTTTTTTCAAAAAAATTCATGTTCTTAACCTGGTTTGAAACGTTTTTCAAACTGTATAAAAAAATCACCTGCAACGGAAAAAAATTTACCGTTTTTCATCTTAAAATTTTTTTATTTTTGATTCTATTACTTTTCCCTCCTAAAATTATAAGGACTGTTCCAAAAACTCGATCTTTGAAACAAACAACTAAATTCATGGAAAAATTTCAACGGTTCCAAGGAGACTGTCCACATGTCTTTCATACATGAACATTCTAAAAAAAGTCGAAAAAGTTGTAACTCAGATTCGTGTTCAACTCAAAATTTGATTCAGGGAAATTTCGATAACGCTCAAAACTTTTTAAAAAAACCACTTCCACGGCTATTCTCCCTCATAAACCTTCGCAGACACCCAAAAACAAAAATCAAGGGAAGTTTAGGCGTCGACGTCTTCTGATTTGGCGGTCGACGAGGCGGCGCTCTTCAGAATCCGGTCGAGTTGGGCGGCCGTGTCGGCGGTGGGCGGCGCGATTGTCTTACCGCCAGCGGGCTTGTCCTACAACCATTTCGACCGTAATTTTTCTTCAACTACAGTAATCTATGCGATAAGGCGATAAATGGTTCACAAAGCTTCGATAGGGTGTATTCGCTGCTGACTGGGGGTGAAGGAATGCAAGGAACGATATGCACTTTTTATAGCTTTTCATTTCGAAAAAAAAATGGAAATGATTTTGGGGGTGCTAATTAAGGCTGAGCCTGCCCACTCTAAAATTCTAAAAATCTTTAAAAAGCATCAGGATTTGCTCATCGTATCGAGATCTTTCCGAACATCTTTATATGCTCCTTCAAAAAGTTTCTAAGAAGCTGTTAAGAACAAATTATATTTCTCGGCCTTAACTTCGCACTATTTCCAAGCGCATTTATAGAAATATTCTTTTGCGACACATTAAAGGTTAATAAAAGTTGTTTTTCAGTTCATTTAAAAATTTCTAACGACAAAAAAAATATTAAAGTTGCTTTCTTTTCTCGCTTGAGCCAGCTCTTTAACAAAAATATGATCATAAAATTGAAAAAAGCCAAAATACTGACTTTCTCTCACGTTTTCATATGCAAAACTAATCCAGTTCACATAAAAGCTGGATAAATGCAATTTCAAAATTCATGAAATCTGAGATTTTAAATGATTGAAATTTTTCTTCCAATTTTCTCTCGTCTAATCTGAGAAAATTTTATCATCAAATGCCTACAAAAGTGAGCTTTTCGTAACAAATTAGTTCATCGTGATCATAAAAAATGAGTGAATTCTGTCCTCAGCCAGCAATGAATACACTAAAAACACGTAAATCAGCAGTCAGTCCAAAGTTTCATGCGCGACAGAGCCAAGAAAACGAGAGAGAAATAGAAAGACGGCTGGACAATATTCCGAGGATAAAAAGTAAACGACAACCCTAACGTCGCTGAATGTTCCAGAAGAGCCTTGTCGCGACTCATCTGAGTCTGTTTTTGGTTTAAACGAGCTCTGCGAGTGAATCGAAATCGAAACCTTGAGTAGATTGGAGAAGAAATTCGCCAGGGGGCTGTCTTTGTCCGTCGGTTCCTCTGTCGGAGGCTTTTTCACGGCCGGCGGTGGGGCGCTCGCTTCTGCCGCCGCTAATCGTTGCAGGAACTTCTGGGAATAATTTTTTAATTTCTTTTAAGACCTAAAGAGAACAGTCATTGCACGCTTCGTACTTCCCGGATCAACTAAAAATTTGAAGTTAAAATTCTAAGCTTACCTAGTCCACCCGAAAATTTACGCATGGAAAAAAAGTTTAAAAATATATTTGAAGAAAAAAAGAGCCTTTTTTTCAATGATATCTTGAATCGTTAAAAAAATACCTCTTTTCAAAATTAAAAAAATCAGAAACAATGTACTTTTGAAAAAATCGAAAAGGACGAACTCATAAATTTCCTAATTTTTTTATTTGCTAATATCCATTTGTAAATTAAAAATAAATTTCATTTTTTTCATTTCAAATTCTCATTTAAATGAACTTCTCAACCCGTTCTTCTTGGGTCGCTTAATTTCGACTGTTCAGTGACTTTATTAGATTATTATCTCAACTCATGTTTGCCACAAAAAAAAAATTTCTGAAATCGAAAGTCATAATCAGGAAAAAATTCAGAAAATTCAGAAGAATTCAATTTCATTAACCAGGGAATGGTCTCAGCTCACAGCGGGACTTCTGAATGAGACCAATTTTATTAGATGTAGTTTTTCACGCTGATTCCAAATCTGCTTTCAAAAGTTGCCCAATACGTCTGTGAAAAAAGTTATGGACCCTCAAAAGTCGAAAACTTCAGTGTCTTCAATTGAGCTGATTTTTGGAGGGTATGTAGATCTTGTCCCTCTGGTCACGAAAAACCATTGAACTTTTTTCAAAAAAATTTCGCAGCCCAGATATGATCTTTCAAAGCCCCGCCGAACATAAGAGAATGCGCGCGCGGTGTGGTATTGCTAGCCGGCGACCGTCGAAGCAACGGCAGCGAGGAGCAGTGGAAAGGCGGCGGACTGGGGAGCACGAGGTCATAGGTTCGGTCCCCGTCCTATGCAAAATTTTTTGCAATTTTTTTCTTTTTTGGTTAATTTCGTCTAACTGCTCCTTTCTTGAGTTTTGAAGCGTAGAAACATGAGAAAACTTCTTTTTGAACCTTTATAAACACCTGGACTTATTTTTTTGTCAAAAAGTTTTTATTCATGAAATTTTTTTCGTGATTTTTCCATGTGTATGAGCATGGGTTGGAGTATGAAAAATTTTTCAAAAAAAAATTTTTTTGTTTTTCAAAAGTTGACTGGTCCAAGTAATCATGACTACGCTGTCAAAACTCACAGAAAAAGTTTTTCACTTCCAAAAAGATCTTTTTAGGTTACAGTGATTTATACGCGATGATTGCCTTTTGTCGGAAAAAAAGTTTGGTCCCAAAATCAAAAGAAGGACAATGCTCAAAAAAATTAAAGCCTTAAAAAGTTATATTTTTTTCTGAAATTTTACTCTCGACAAAGTCTGACTGGAAGGTAAACTTTCAAAAAAATCTCATTGTAAAGAATTTATTCAGGAGATTACGGTTCTAGCTTTAAAATTTAATAACTAGTAAGAAGTGCTTCAAGTTTTTCAGCAAAAAGCTAAAAAAAAACTTGCATTTCTTTCATTCTCATAGAGCCGTATGTGCGCGTTGAGGTCTGAAAAAACCATGAAAAAAATTTTTTTCTGTGAGTTTTGACAGCGTAGTCATGATTACTCGGACCAGTCAACTTTTGAAACAAAAAAACAAAAAAATTTTTTGAAAAATTTTCATACTCCAACCCATGCTCATACACATGGAAAATCACGAAAAATTTCATGAATAAAACTTTTGACAAAAATAAGTCCAGATGTTTATAAAGGTTCAAAAAGAAGTTTTCTCATGTTTCTACGCTTCAAAACTCAAGAAAGGAGCAGTTAGACGAAATTATCCAAAAAAGAAAAAATTGCAAAAAAATTTTGCAGAGGACGGGGACCGAACCTATGACCTCGTGCTCCCCAGTCCGCCGCCTTTCCACTGCTCCTCGCTGCCGTTGCTGCGACGGTCGCCGGCTAGCAATACCACACCGCGCGCGCATTCTCTTATGTTCGCCGGGCTTTGAAAGATCATATCTGGGCTGCGGAACTTTTTCGAGAAAAGTTCAATGGTTTTTCGTGACCAGAGGGACAAGATCTACATACCCTCCAAAAATCAGCTCAATTGGAGACACTGAAATTTTCGACTTTTGAGGGTCCATAACTTTTTTCACAGACGTATTGGGCAACTTTTGAAAGCAGATTTGGAATCAGCGTGAAAAACTACATCTAATAAAATTGGTCTCATTCAGAAGTCCCACTGTGAGCTGAGACCATTCCCTGGTAAGAATTTACCAGATCCGAAGCTTGCGACTGCTTAATTATTCTATTTACTTCCCTGGGACGTTCTTCCACACTTTTTTAAAATCTTTCACAAAATCCTTTTAAAATGCTTAGCAACCTGTTCATCTTCAGCTTCAATAAGAGGTTCTCGAGCAATCGAAGCCTTCACTTTGTCCCGAGTTGGCTCAAGGGCCGAATCGGCATCCGGGGCGCTTTCCTTAATATTTTCTTTTGAGGAATAATCATTTTTTGAGAAACCTTGATGATATCAATTTTCTTCTCGCCATCCCATCCAGCGGGAACGAAAATCGCATCTCTCTCGATCATTTGCGCCGCGTTTGTGAAAGGAAAACCGAAAGCGCGGTGCAGAATGTACTTGTTCAAGACCTGAAGCATATTTTTGACATTTTCCAAAATAATTTGCTGCAAAGTTTCAAGTTTTTTTTTCTCAAGGCAGCTGCAAAGAAACCAGAAATTCTGGCTACACTTGAATCGATTTTTAAATTCCTTTTTGAACTTGAAAAATCGAAAATGTATCATTTCGAAAATTTAGGATTCAATCAACTGATCAGAAATAACAATTTTTTTTCAAAAAAAAATTGAAACTTGTTTCATTATTTTTACAATAGTGAAAGAGCCCACTTTAACCTTTGTACGCTGATTTTCACTTGTTTTTATGCAAGTAAATACTTTCTACCGACATTCCTTTACAAATCTCAGAAAAAAACTCAAAAACGAATGATGAAAAAAATGGAGCACCTGAACATTTTTTTCGAGTCCTTCGAACTCGTGAACACGAGAGCGGCGCCTAGTTGCAAGCAGAGTCGGCGAACCTGCACCAGCACCTTTGCATATTGAGCCTCGGACAACTCGGATACTGCAATTCGGAACATTCGTTTGGTAAAAAGATCCAAATTTGAGGAAACGCTCTTCGGAGATTCGACGACCTTCGATAAATAATGAACTTTCGAAAATTCAGTAATTACCGAGGTCGGATTTGGTGATGACGACGACGAAATAGACGCCGCAGCTCTCGGCAAGAACTCCTTGCTCAAGGGGAAGCAGATTCGGCTCCTCGACGAATCCGCCGACCATCGAGGTGCTCATCGACGACTCTACTGGGTCGACGTACTCTTGCCACTGTCGTTCTTCTGCGAGAACATTGATTGATTCACGAAAACTGAAGGTGTCTTCAAAGAAATATGGTTAATACAAAAAGCTGTGCGTCGGGGTGGTAGGCTGCAGTTTTAGGGGGGTAAGCTGCACCCCGAGGTGGGATACAGCCGAGGTATGTAGTTCATATTGCAATCTTCAGGCTTACGACCATCGAAATTATATAAAAAACCAAAAACAGTGACGTCACTTCAAACAAAAACGAAAAAAAATGAAGATTATGACGTCACGTCCATAAAATATTCACTATGACGTAATCAGAAACTTTGAATACTTTTGATATCATTAAAGGCGTCCAACTTCATGACGTCATATTTACACGTTTTTTTTCTTAATATGAGTTACATATAGCCATATGAAAATATGAAATGGAAAAATAAAATGTCACCTTTTTTGAAAACGATTCTATAAAAGACTAAGCGAAAAAAACGAACGATGCTTCTTGGCGTCGTGGATCGTCTCCTTGTTGAACTTCTTCTGAACTTCCTGTGAACAGAGGTTGGCCCAACGTCTGAGGGAGTGGATGAGGCCTTCAAGGCAAACACGGGAAATTGGAGCGACAGGTAGTCTCTCACCTGGATTATCGAGTGAGGCTACGAGAAGACAAACAGTCTTCAGAGGGTTGACGGGCAGGGCGAACTGTAAAAGGCTCGAGAACTTCTCGTCGCCGTCCAGAACCCAAACCTGAACGGAAAAAGGCTGATTGTTGAGATGCTAATGAGTCTCAGAAGATTTTCTGACAAAATCTAGACAATTGAATCAGAAACAAGAGTTTGAAATGATTTTTTTTTATCTCTTTTCATACATGAGTGTTTTTTTACAATTTTTTTCCACCGTTTGCTCAAAAAAATCTTAGCTTCAATTTCGCAGAAATCTTCGATAAATTATAAAAAAACACTAAAATCTGGAAATTTTTTTGTCTCGGTAACTTTATAAATTACCCTACGAGCCTTCAAAAAGCCAAGCAAGAATCGGCAAAAAAAGAAGTTATTTACGGATATTTGAAAATTCTTGCTGAAAAATCTGAATGAATCACATTTCATTTATTGTCTTCTTACTAATGCTGTGTTGAAAGTGATTTGCGCTTCAAATTCAAAACTATTTCTGAATATACAGAATGTAGTTATCTTCTTCCCACTCTGATGGCTATTTTGAGTTTCGCGGAATCACTTTGTACAGGATCAAATCTTTAATTGAGAAAAATGGAACATACAGGAAGACTGAGTGCTTCGGCAGGCCCCAGAGCCCCTTGGCCGGCGGTTCCGAGCTGATAGGCGTAGCTGGCGTCTCTGGCGTCGTTTTGGACACTCAAAACGTGGTATTCCAGTGCTGAGCCGTGTTTTTCGACATCTGATCTTTCAAGACGACGGAGCAGGGAAGATTTTCCGGACAAATTATCACCTGAATTGTCGATAAACTTCTGAAATTTGCTTATTTGGTTACCGAGAATAAGAACTGCGCTGCCTTGTTGCGTATTAGTTCCTTTGGAACAAAACTCGGATAAAATTAACCTCCTTAAAATGATTCATTATTTATTTTCTCAAAAAAGCCTTACCAAATGCCTTCTTCGCTTTGAGTAGTACCGCTGACGGTAGCAATAGCCGCCGGCAGGGCGAATGTGCTGTTCAATACGTCGCTTGAGGCTGCTACCATAGCTCTAAACTCATTCATTTTGAAAATAATGAAAATGAAAAAGAAAGACGTTGACGCAATGACATGAAAAAAAAATATTATAAAAAAAACGATAAAGCGATTTCGCAATACTAATGAGTCATACAGAGGGATAACTTTTTTTTTTCAAACTATTTTCATGAACTTTGCCCCTCAATTTCGATGACAAAGTTCAACAATAAAACGTGATTGGAAAAGGACATATCTTTTGAGACCGATACTGTTACTCGTTATTCTTTCTTTTTTTTTTTACATCGATTGAGTTCCTCCAATGTAATTTTTGCAAACAAACCACGGAAAAGCAAGAAAAAAAAGAAAAGCTGCGAAAAAAAACTGCATTGCGCCAAATTTTCTAGAGTTATCGACAGAGCGCAGTTTCCACTTTTATTGGACAATCCGGTCCGGAACGCTTTTCCTGCAGTCAGCTGTTTGACGTTGACGTTTCGCTTCGTTAGCGCCGCTTGATTGCTCCAATATTTGTTAGATTGAACGCTAGTACAGAGGCTAGTTTTCTAGGAGAACAATTTTCGAAGTAAAGCAATTTTTATCGCTTTATTCAAGCCTCAATTATTAACTCTTTTTTGGCGCAGATTTGTTGAATCCGCTGTTCTATATAATCATTGTCGGTAAGCTATAAAAGTTATCTCTTTCCAGGAAATGACCATTGAAACGAGTGTCGACAGCACAGCGCAACCGGCGGTCGAATCGGCTAGCATTGGAGAACTCACTTCACTAGTGAGATTATTTTTCATTGAAATGTTTTTTTTTTCAAATTTTTATTTGAACTGTTAAAATTTTTCTGAGTATGAGTTGAAGTTGGAAAAAAAAAGCGCTTTGAAACATCCCAACAGGTACTTTTGGACACACTGTATTTTTTCTCGATAATTTATCGGTATGGCTTTTTTTCTCAAATTATCAAAAAAACATTTTTTTGAGGAACCTTTTTCTTCTATTTTATTTTTTTGCTGCAAATTTCCCATCTTCCTGATTTCATAGTTTCAACAAAAAGCACGCCACTTAGAAATTGCTTTAAAATATAAAAAAATTTATTTTTTTCAAATCGTTCTCAAGCAATACAAGAAACTTCGATCAAAAGAGTTTTTTTTTTCTATTTTCATGCTTCAATGAAGAGCGAAAATGCTTGAACAAACGGAGTTTCAGATCCAAGGCGTGTTGGCGCAGACGCAGGACCGTTTCCAGCACATGTCTGACCAGATAATCCGACGGATCGACGACATGACCAAGCGGATCGACGACCTCGAGAAGAACATCAACGACCTGATGACCCAGAATCAGGTCGACCAGCCGACTCTCTGAACCTCTCCTGTATCCACACTATCCCATTGTATTGGCCACTGTTTTTAGTATATTTTGTCGCCATTCCATCACCATCTATGTATACATCACATCAATTGCATAAATTTTTTCACTTTCACTGTTCCGACGGACTTTCGCACTTAACGGAGTTACTGCACCTTCTCTTTTCGAAATATTTTTGCCTACTGCATTTCTCGTCGTTTTTCCTGTTTAATGAATACTTCAGAAGTATAAATGGGTGCTGAGCATTCGAAAACAAAATCGCAAAACTATGTGAATCTTGGAAAGGGCAGGGTTGACGAGGTTAGAGCTCAACTGAAGAGGTTGGGTGTGGGAGAATCCTTGGATTTGAAGTCTTTCGAGGTTGGTTTTTCATTTTTCAACACGAATCACGTGAAGATAATAGCTTTAACGCCAAATATCAAAGAAGATAAATTCTAGGTTAAAACTATGAATATGGTAAGGGGCAGCTTTTGTTCCTTTTTGTGAGGATTTTTCAAAGAAAGTGATGCATAACTTGAAATAAAACTAGAAAACACCTTAAAATTCAAAAAAAAAAAGTTCATAAGTTCCTATTGTTCATTATTAGAAAGTCTACCCCGGCCTCCGACAGATCGGCCCCAATTTTATCGAGAAATTCGGCAAAAACGGCCATTTACCAGTTTCACAAGTGCTCAACTTTGCTGATAATATGTTGTCGGACCATCAAAGCTTCTCTCAAGCGCTCCTGACGATTTTCGAAACCCCTGAGGAAGTTCTGCATGACATTTTTTCCCAAGAATTATTTAAATTCAGACAATATCCGTTGTCACTTCACTTTTCGGCTCCCAAAACGACTTTTCCTATGGTCAAATTGAGGCTTTAACTCAGTACTGGAATTCGTTGCAAAGACACGATTCCGCGACATTCTACAAGTTTTTCAATGAACATCCGTATTTTTACCAAGTTTGGGACGAAAAGTTCTACAGTCAGACTTGATTTTCAGATGAGTGAGAGCGTATTTTCTCAGTTGATTTTTCTGAAAGGAGTCAATTTATTGCCAAGAACAATTGGAAAAGTCGATTTGATGGATGAAAGTGCAATTTTAATGGTTTGCTCCAATCTGCCAAATGACAAGCAGCAGGAATGGACCCAGCTTTTCTCGAGGTATGGATCTGTTGAAAAAGCGTTGAAAATGTTAACATAGCCCAATCAGCTTGTTACTATTTTGATTTCCCCCCTAGCTGTTGAAAATTCTCTTTGAAAAGCGCGACCTGTCTCTGTAGATGCGCCTTTAATATAGCGGATTTTTTTTTTCAAACAAAAGGCGCATGCAGAGAGGTCGGCCGCGCGAACCGAAAGGAAAACTTCCCAGAAGAGTTCTGTAGCTCGAAAGAAAATAAAAATGGAAACAAGCTGGCCCGGAATGGGCAATAACTTGAATTAAGAACCAGTTAAAACCGTAGCAATAATTATGTAGCGTGAGCCACGGTTCGTCGTTCTCGCGGATGATGTCGGCGGTAAACGACGCCGGGCCTTGTGTCGTCACCATCGAATCCAACAGCGGAAACGTCTTCGGATTCTACGCTTCAGATGGTTCTTTTTTTATCAAATATTCTTCTGAAAGTGCCGCTATACTTTGTGTTTTCCTTCTAACCAAGTGAAGTTTCGGGATCGGTTTGCAGGTTTCCACGCGGGACCCAACTACCTCGGCAACGAGACCTGCTTCCTTTTCCAGGTCCGACCTCAACTTCGAACCTTTTTTGCCACCGGCAGAACCCGCAACTACGCCTACTTGAACTTCCAGCAGCAAAGTCTGCCGAACGGATTGGTTTTTCATGAACCTCACAGCGACAAAGTGGTCATTTAAGGGCCTAGGCGGCACTGGCGATGTCTGGCCGATATTCCTACATGAAGAGTACGGCACTGGAAGCTCTCAGGCCAATTCTTCACATTTCGACAAATGTCATATCGCTGGCGAGGAGAATTTCGGGATAAGGTATATTTGGTTTAAGGTTTCAGAGGATCAAGAACGAAAATTATTTATTTACTGATTTTTGTCTTTGCTGTACTTTTTCGTTAGGGAAATTTATCTAGATTTAATATTTCCTATTTTTTTGTTATATTTCGGTTTTTATCGATTAATTTTTATGAAGGAAAAAAATAAGAAAAAAATCAAAAAGTTAAAAAAATCAAAATTAAATGAGTACAAAAAACACAAAACCCTCACAGCTTGAGACATTTTTCAAACAATTTAATTTTTTTTTAAATGTTTTTCAACTTCGTTGGTCAAAAATGGGGAAATTTCAGAAAATTAGAAGTTTGGAGAGTCGGCGCGAAGCCGAGAAGCGCACATGAGGATGAAAACGGCGTGATTAGTGAGAAATCGATTCTCGACAAGGTTTATTCATTTTTTAAATTCAAATCTCAAGTTCCTTAGGACCCCGAAGCCCGCGCGATGCTGGAAATGGCTGGCAGGGGACTGAAATCGGACGCCTACAGAGATCCAGCGCCGCTACTCGGTGAAAATGAATAGTATAAGAAAATTTTTTAGCATAATTCGCTGAAAAAAGTTATTGCATGTACATAGGTTTCTGTTCATAAACTGTCTATAATAAAGAAATTTACTTTCAGTTACTACATCTATCAATTACACAAGGTAAGAGGAACAAACGAATCAAGAGAAATAAACAAAACAAAAAGAAAAACTACTTTTCCGGGGCTTTCAAGTCGATCGTCTCGTAGCCACTGGTGATGGATTTGTTGCGGAAAGCCGGGAACGACTCCCAGGGCGTGTCGAGGTCAAACTTGCGGAACTCCTGCGCCAATTCGGAAGGCTCGTAGACGACTCGCTTCAGTTCGGGGTCGTACCGGACCTGGAGATTGCGAAAATTAGGAAAGTATCTTCTTTTGAATATTCGAAGCGAGAGAGCACTGGAAAACGGGATGGCGTTCAATAGAAGGCCTACTCTCTCCTTTTTGAGCACTCTATAACTTTCGAAGATCCGAGCCTCGAAGATTCGAAGACAGACTCTTGAAAAATGTTAATTTTTCCTATTATAAAAGGTAGTTAATATCTTTTTATGTGAAAAAAATTCTCATGATTTCAACCTTGAAGAATAAATTGGTTTTTTTGAAAAAGAAAAAAAAAACGATTTGTTCTACTCTAATTAAAAGAAAACGAGAGGACTCTATCAAGTTCTTAAAAAATTATCGCAAAAATAAAAGTTGAAAATAAGTTCTCCGGCTTACTCACTTCGGTATATCCGGTCAAGGGGAAATCCTTCCGGAAAGGATGGCCCTCGAATCCGTAATCGGTGAGGATTCTCCGGAGGTCGGGATGGTTGTTGAACCAGACGCCGTACATGTCATAAACCTCGCGTTCGTACCTGGATAATCGATATTTTCATGGAGAACGCAAAAAAAATCCGACCAATTGGCTCCGTGGAAAACAGGAGTGGCCGATTCCAGCGGCGCAATTTCATCCGTGTAGGTTCTTATTCTGATCCTGGCGTTAAATCGGACAGAATACAGTGAGTAGACCACCTAGAAAGATTGTTTTTTAAATTTTTGACATAAAATATCCTCATCATTTATTATTATATAACTTCTTTTATTTATTTGATCACCTCAAAACGGTTCTTCCTGGTCGGTACGTCGACGCCACAGATGAAGGTGAGGTTGGTGAACTGAGCTGAGTGATTTCCCTTGAGGAAAGAGAGAACCGGAAGAACTCCGCTGGGGTGAATCAGAAGCTCCAGTTCATCGCCAGCGGCAAACTGAGCTATTTTTTATTAACAGCAAAAGGTTTTGATTGAAGAGCTTTCACAAAGAAAAAACTTTATCTGAGATTTCACCGAAACTTTTTCTTAATTATTGAAAAAAAACAGTAGATCTGAATCTTCTGAACATTTTTCGAACAGATCCAAAGTTGATTTCTTAGAACATCCTGGGTTACAAAAAGGTCAAAAAATCTATTTCAGAAATTCTCGATGAATCAAGAAGACTTTCAAACATAAAAAACTTATTATACTACACACTTTATTGTTCCTTTTTCTATTCCCACAGAAATTAATTGTATTGGAAAGAGCAATAGCAGATTTTGAAACTTTCTGAAATCAAAAAAAAAAAAAATTGAGAGTACTCACTTGAACCTGCTGAACGAACTTCGGCAGGCATTCGGCGGCGTACCGGCCAAAGTTGGCGAGCCGCTCCCGTTTCTTGTCATCAATCTTCCAGATTGTAGCTTTAAAAAAAAGAAAATCTTTCTGGTGCAACGAAACAACACATTGATCAACACGAAACTCGTTAGCCACTCGGAAAGTGTGAAAATCGGAATAAAAACGGTGAGAAGCGTTTGTTTCGGACCGAGATAAAGCGGCGCGCGGTGGTTTCTCCTCTTTTTTCTGTGTTTTGAAAATCGGAAAGCCTCCCGAAAAAAGTAGCGGTTTGCGCAACAAGTTTTCTAAGCGTAATATTGAAAAAAAGCCAGAAAAATTCTTGATGCAAAGATCAACGGTCGATAAATGATATTACAGTCCCCAAAAAAAAGAAAAAAAGAAATTACAGTCATCAAAAAACGCGATTTCGTGAATATCCCATCACAAATGGATTCACGAAAAAAAAAAGTTTCATGTAAACTATTCTATACCAGAAATGAAAAACGAAAAGCTCAAACCTTTACTTTGTTGAATTCTTTAAATTTCTTTTTTTACATTTTTTTGTAAACTTCAAAACTTTATCAAACAAAAAGGTTATAAAACTGAAAAAAACCCAAAAAAATTTTTCCCATAAACTCAAATGAAAAATGAAAAAAATTAAATTTTTTTAAAGTTTAGAACTGTCAGTTTTTGGAGTCATGAAATATTTCTGCGTCTTAAAAACACTTACCAAGGACTTTTTGAATAGAATCTGTGATAACAAATGTAAGTTAGATCGAAAAAAATAAAGTAACTAAATTTTACTTTGAATTCATAGGTAAAACGGAAAAGTTCCTTTGAGGATCCTGAGAGGGAGATAAAAAGCTTCCTCTAAAAGCTCCTAAGATGATGTAAAAAAGCTTTTGAGCACCTTTTTCATAGCCTCAGAGGATCCTTTTTGAATCCTCTCGGATCTTTTTAGTTGCTTTCCAGCATCCTTTTTGTCAGAGGATGTGAAAAAAACGCAAAAAAGAATTGAAATGATGTAAAAAAGATCTTTTTTGAGAAAAGCTTCTCGGGCAAACTGAAAAGCTCCCTAAAAGCTTTTCTCAAAAAAAGACCTTGAAAGGGTCCCCAGCAGATCTTTTTTACATCACTTCAATTCTTTTTCGCATCTTTTTCACATCCTCTGACAAAAAGGATGCTGGAAAGCAACTAAAAAGATTCGAGAGGATTCAAAAAGGATCCTCTGAGGCTATGAAAAAGGTGCTCAAAAGCTTTTTTACATCATTTTAGGAGCTTTTAGAGAAAGCTTTTTATCTCCCTCTCAGGATCCTTTAAGGATCCTCGAAGGAACTTTTCAGTTTTACCTATGTTTTGGGGAGCTTTTCAGTTTTTCTCGAGAAGATGGTATATCATTCAAATCGAAGATGAGTATTTACGAAGCCAATAAGAAAACTCACGCTTCTTCTTGGGCTCTTCGGCTTTTTCAGCCAAGCAATTTTGCGTCGTTGAGAATGCGGCGACCCGAACCGCCGTCCGTGGAAGGAGCGCCGTCCTCGCCACGCTTCCCAACATTCTTCAATTTTCGGCTCATTTCCAGACTACAGGCGAAAAAATGATAAGCGAAGCAGCAATAAGAAACATTGGAAAGAAAAATTTTTCTCGAGAAGAGTCCTCGCTAAGAAACAAAGATCATGAAGATTTTTATCACATGTACAAAAAGTCAAGCTTCAAAACTTCAAAACTCGGAAAAATAGGATTTACCTTTAGAAAAAAACTTTTAAAAATATATATCCTCCTTTTTTTAAAGAGAATAAATACGTTATCATATAAAAAGATCATCAAAAATCATCCTTGTCTCAATTGAGAATGAAAAAAAGGTTCAGCTATAAAATCTGCGGAAATTTATGAACATATATTAAAGTTGAAAAGTGTACTAAAAACTATTAAAAATAATATATATATGTATAAAAAAAGACGGCGAAAAATCCGCCGCTCTGCAATCACGGGCCGTAATTTGGATCGTTGTAAAAAGTCTTCAAAGTTTTGTGATCCAAAATTGCCAAGTTAAGCGATTACTAAGGGGTTCTATACATTATTCTATACATAAAAGAATTTCGATCACTTAGGCTTCTTGGAGACAACCTTTACAAAAAAAATAAGAAGTTCAGAAATGTAACTGAAAAAAAATGAAATAAAAAGAAGCGATTTAAAAAAAAACCTTTATTAGATAAAGTACAATAATTTGGCATTTTGGAATACAATATTTACATAAAATTGACGTCTAAAAATCTTCGTCGTCGCCTGTGGCTTGCTTTAAATTTTCGACCAAATGACTCCGAATTTCATACTCTGGTGGAACTTCAAAAGAATCCAGTCTGTCCTTAATGAGGTGCAGGGCGGCGAGAATGGACCGATTGTTCCCTAAAAATTACGAAAATTTTCGAAAAGAAAACAAAAATACTACCAATGATCACTAAGGTGGCGAAAGAAGATTGATTCGAGTTTTTATCCAAAGGCCTGTTTATTTCGATTGAAACGCCAGTTTCGCCCCGGATATGGTTGATTTTCGAGCCGTGACGGCCTTAAAAAAATCTATCTGATTTCACCTCAATATTCAATAATTATTATAATATGCAAGACTCAGCTTTAAAAAAAATGCGTCTCAAATTTTTATGAAAAATATCATTTTAGTTTATTTTGAATAGGAAAGCATCCATAAATTTGACAAAATCAAGGAGAATTATCCCACTCACCAATCAAAAACCCAATCATCCTCGATGGAATTCGGACACAGTGAGAGGTGGCATTGTTTCGAATTTCGTTGAGCAGTTGAAAAACTTCAACGTAGGCCGATTTTACATCCCAGTATAAGCCGGTCACAGAAATAGTCAACTTCATTTCCTCATTCTTCAGCTCCACAATCACCTAAAAGATATCGTAATGACTATTTGAATTAGAAAAAATTTTCAGAAAACGCTTCACTCTAGGAAAATAATAACCCTCGATGTTTCAAGAAAAAAAAGAGAATTTCACCCACGAATCAAAATTTTTCTGAAAAAAAACCAACTTGCATTGTGTTTTTTCTCAATCGAAGTGATATTCGCACCTTGAGGCCCAATCAGTTCCCCGATGAGATCGCAATCTAGCAGGTCTGTCAAATCCAAAGAGATAACATCGCTGAAGCTTCTTTGGAAATTCTTGAACATCGCTGTAAAATATCATGTAGCTGAGATTGAAAAATTCTGTGTCAGAAAAAAAAGAAAAACAAATAAGTTATACATATTTGAGTCATAAAAGAGTAATAAACTTTTGCAATTGCAGCTGCCGCAAGCTTGAAACTTTTTTTCCTTCTGAGAGACCAAGCGACTTATCAATTCGAGAAATAAAATTAAAAACATTCTTCCTAGTCTCTCCAAAAAACGCTCTTCAGGCCCAACAAAAAATTTGAAATAGACTCATCCTTACAGTGAAACCGTCCTCCGCCCTCATATCTCTTAAACTTCTCTACCGTCAAGAATCCCAGAGTTTCAGAATATAATAATGACAAAGTGCTATGCGGAGTTCAAATCAACTTCAGCGCAACAGAAATGACCAGGAGTGTAAAATAGAAAAACAATATTTTGGAAAGCCAAAGATTATTTCTACTCCGCCGAATTATGCGAAAGCGGCAAAAAAAGTTTATGTTCCAAACTTCGGCGAAATTCAAAATTCAAAATTATATAAAACTTTTCGAAATTTAGTTATCTTCTTATTTCTATGCCGGATATTTTGAACTTCGCAGAAAAAAATTTGAACACGTCACTAATAATGAAAAAAAATTATTTTCATAATGACGTGTTCATCGGAGAAACAGAAATTGCTTCAAAACACAAAAAAAATGCTCAAAAAAACAAAAAAATTAGTATAATGTTTTTGGAGCAACTTTGGCGCCGATGAACACGATTATTCGTTTTGAAGCACGCCATAAACCAATTTTCGTTTTGTCCGATGAACTCGCCATTATACTTCGGCGTATGGTGTGAATTTATTATTGATTCTCCACGGTTTGAAAGTTATTCTTTAAATCAATTATTAAGTTAAAAAGCATCAAGTCGAAATTTTTTTTCTTAATTTTCAGAAACTTGAAATACCTAACACTGAGAAAATCTTTTAAAAAAATTGCTTACTCTCTTTTAATTTCTTGTTTTATTCAACTGTTTGACGTCAAAGCGGTCATGACCGTTTGAAAAAAATTCAGCCAATCTTTTTTTCGAACTTGTTTCGGACAACGTTTTCAAAACGAAAATTTATGAAGAACTACATATTCAACAGAAAATGTCCGCTTAAAATTGATGGATTTCTCAAAACCTACAATTAAAAAGCCTCAACTTTTTGCATATATAACATGATTGATTTCTGTCTTCGTAGGTCTTGTCGTAGATCCATATTTAGTGCGCAAATTAAACGGAATGCTCAGATGAGGAGCCTGAGCTCGCACAAGCAAGCTGAAGTCGGGAGAGGGGGAAACGAGATGGCGTGGCGGGGCGGCTGCGGTGCGGCGTCATTATATTCTGTGGATGCAAGCTGCTCTCAACGGCCTAGCTAACACCGTCAAACATGCAGCTAGCAAGGACGCCATTAACCAGGCCAAAGGTACCGTTCGTAAAATGTAAGGACATACAAACTATCATTTTTTGTGACTTGTTTTTTCTAAACAAAGAATTCTCCGATAGGAGGTTTGATTGCCTAAATGAAATGAAGTACGCTGTGAGTTTGGTTAATTTTTCTACATGAGCAGAAAAATATTGAGAAAATATCTTAAGCGGCCACTAAAAATCTTTTAAAAGGACATGAACGTACAATATGGAGTAATCATCAAGAAAGAAAAAATGAAAGAGTTGAAATCTTTCAAATTTAAGAAACCCTGAAAAGAGGCGAAAGCTCTTCGGAGATTCCGGTGCCTTACTTGCGAGAAAAATGCCTGACCGCCGTGGAACTGGCGTTCGACCACGGCAGCGAGAAACATGCACAGTTCGCCGTCGACGCAGTTCAAGTGAATACAAACATTTTAAAAAGATATTCTAATCGAGAAGTGCAGGTTTTGCTGAGGGATAAATTCTTCCGAGATTCTGGCGTCGAAAATAACCAAAACCATCTCGCGACTCAGGTAAAACGCAAAAATTCTTCGAAAACTTGGTTTTTCACTAATTGGTTTTTTTTTTGTTCAAAAATTGTGTTTTCTTAAACATAAGGCAGCTTCTCAAGATGATTTTTTTTGTCTTAAATGGTTTTTTTTACTAGTCTGTCTTCAAACATAGTATTGAAGATTATCGTGAATTTTTTCTCTTCAAAAAATCTTTGTATGTCGGTTTCAAAGGCGCAGAAATTATACTGAAAGCTGCTTTTCTGACCTTCATCAACTCTGTCTATGCTGCTTAAAACATCCCAGAACATTTTTTTAGAAGAACCAAATCAAAAGAGTTAAAATTTGACTTTTCTCAGGTTCTGACATCTATGACCGGAATTGAGCAGTGGAACTCGCAGCTACAATGCAAATGTACAGCTGTAAGAAGTGGTCATAATTTCCCGATTAAAATGTGTTTTTTTGTTTGAAGCTCTTGGTGGAGATGATCTGCAGCAATGAGCTGAAGATCGAACTTCAGCACGTGGAAGAATGCCTCCAGCTGTATAAACGGTTGTACGGGGCCAGTGACGAAGAAAGTGTCCGCGTGTCCTGTCGCGCGGCCACCACTCAGTCCATTTCCTCCTACTTCTCGAACCGATACCTATCTTGTGTCAGTTTTTAAAATATTCTGTCCATTCTGGGAGGTTTCATAAGACTTATTGCATTTCTCGAGCTTTAGAGCTCATTTGTTAAGACTAAAATTAATTCTTATTTTTGGACTCATGCTGGTGCGAATGGACTTCGACAATAGCGGCCGAATGGAATCTAAAATATGTCTAAAAAGAACTAATATTTTTATCTCGAGTTCTTTCCATTCTTTTCAGTTTCTCCTCTTGATTCCAGTTTTTTTCAAATTTTTGCTGTGGATTTTACCTTCAAGCATCAATTATCGGTCAAAATTTTGAAATTTTGAAAATTTGAAAATTGCCAAAAATATGAGGATAATTTATTTCTATTATTGCGATTCTGAAAATGGTTTCATTAAAAACTCTGTTTTACCTTAGACACGAGAGGACTTAAAGCAGCGGCCTTCCAAACGGTAGATAATAGTTTCATTGAATGATGCTCGTTTCTCTACAAGTATATCATCCCTGGAACCTTTGCAGGAAGGATCTCAGGAACACATCGCGGTATACCTCGACGCAACGAAACTTCTCGAGGCGGTCATCGTCAACCTGGAGCAGGTCTCCGCCAGCCATGAACAGTGTATTATTCTGCTCGACGCCGCGAACGCTCTTCTTTCCTGCCAATCGCTGTCGATTCTCTCACATCAACCTTTCGTCAATATTTTATGGTTTGAACGCATGTTATGATAAAAAAAAATCGACGTTAGTCTTCTCTCAGATTTTGAAATTGTTCTGAAAATATGCCATTTTGCAGCTTCGCTCATTCTTTTTTACGTTGAGAATCTAGGAAAAACTTTCATGATTGGCTGAAATCAGCAAAATTTGAGTTTTCGTTATTCTATAGTCTGTTCAGAATTCTCACTGAACAAAGAGTATAGACATGATTCATCAAGATCTCGAAGCTTATCGTTCTGTTACAAAGTTTCTGAAAATTGGCCAGAGCATTCTTTTTTTTGCCTTTGAGGTGTCCTTTTTCGAAAACTAGGAAGTTGTGGAAGGATTTTATGATCTTATTTGGTACATCAAAGAAAGAGCCTTCAAAAAAATTTCAAAAAAAATCCAGTTTATGAGTTCGACTAAAATCAAGAAATCAAATTTTCTTTTCAGGGAGAAAATGTGTCCACTGATGATTTTACTAATCGGAGTACCTCAAAAAGGCGGCGTCAATAAAATCGAGATCCAAAATGAGCCTGTGGGGCAAGGTCAGATCGATTTCTCCTTGAGTCCGTCGGTCAGTGCCAAACCCGACGTGACCAGAGCTCTTTATCAGTAAGAAGATGATGTGATGAACTTCTAACCTGAAAATGTTATCAGAATAGTAGAGCAGCTGTTCCGATTCATGGCCTCAGTCCCGTCGTTGTATCCCTCCCTTCAAGCGCTTCTCCACAAAGCTCTGCTTTTCCCCAAAATCGAACAGAGAGCAGAAGCGCTGAAGCTTGTCAGAAAGGTGAATCGAAGTTTCGCGGAACGTATCACGGAAAAGTAAGTTTTTCTAGCTGGTCAGCGATAGGGAAAAGCTGCGCGACGTCGCGGTTTGTTGCGTAACGATGAAATCGCAGTCAATCTGGCAGATGATGGTGGCGTCTGTGGCAGAATGTGCGAATCCAAAGCATGAAGTTTCGGTGGACGCTGTCAGAAGTTGTGTTGCCTTGGTGAGACCGATTAGTCCCGGACGAGTCGAATTTATATGAATCACTTGACAAAAAAATCAGAAAAAAATTTCAAAAAGCTAGCAGAAAATAAATTTTTAAAAAAACTTTCTTCTTCAATATAATTTTTTTGATACGTCATTTTGAGTGTTTCATCTCCATTTTGACTGTTTTCAATTTTTCAGAATAAGAAATTTTTTCGAAAGTACTCTTATTCAAAAAGAAAAATCTGTCTGCAAAGGTCCATTTCTTGATTCTGAGGCTTCCTCAATTGTTCCTCATTTTTCCATTTGAAATTTCAAAATTCAGCTGCAAGGACTTCATGACTTCTCCTCGGAGCCTATATTCTCAGAGGAAACTCGCGAGGCTGTCAAAGCCTTGTTTCCTCACTTCCAGGACACCATCGCCAAAAGTTTTCCCGCATTTCTGAGAACCAACCGATTTATTTTCTAGGTTTCACTTTGAGAAGCGATGTGAGCACGATATCTCAAGAAGGAAGCAGTCTTGACGGGGCTGAAGCAGACCAGGATCAGTTCGAAGAGGGCGGAAAGGAGGACTCTGCAGATGATGTGAAAAAGTGGGAAGATTGTCAATTAGTTAAAGAGTTCAGAACATGAGCGAGACCTTGCGCCGCCTGGAGGAAAAGTTCTCCTGTGGAAAGATCCGTCCAACGATCACACGGCAATCGAGCGAATTCGACGAATCGGTCATATAATTTTCGTCTTGTATTTGAACTTTGAAATATGTTCAGAGTGAAAAGTCTACGGCTCAAAAGTACACTGAAAGTCTGAACGAAGCCGTTCCACGGTGGGCGACTTTGAAAAACTCCCTCGAAGTCGACGAAGCCATCCTTCAGTTTTCTTCCGAGTTTTATATTAGTCAGTTTTTTTTCGTCTTCAAGAAGAAATAAGAAGTTTAGAAGTTTGTGCGGTACATGCAGAAGCTTTCAAGTGCAAATCGAAAGTTCAACAAGATTTTTTGAATACTGACGCTATTTATTTGACGACATACGCTTGTCTGAGCATGGCCACGTTCCCGGCCAAGCAGAATTATATTGTAACTTGAATAAAACAATGTTTCTGAGAACTATAAACTTTCTTCCAGGAAAAGTTCAAAAAAATGGTGCTGAGCTCTGGATGCGTTATTCATGTCAGCGAGAGTTGGCTGGAAAAAGTCTTCGAGTTCTTGAAAAATACCAAGATTTCGTCTTCCTTATCGCCGTTGCTGAAGAATATTATCAATGGTAAGAGGTTAAAAACCCGGAGTGAATCAAGATTTTTTTTTAAAGCTCGAAGCAAAAATCCTTTTCCTGTTTTTTTTTTTCAAGTCTAGCTTTTAAGTCTTATATGCTATTGTGAAAATTATGAAGTTTCTGGAATATTTCTTGAAGATTACGATGGAAAGGAGAAAAACGTGCTGAGTGATGTTCAGAAATTGAGGAGTATCGAGCGACGACCTGACGAGCCTCAGACGAACGAAGGTTTTTCTGGAGGCCTTTATAACATCAAACATTAAATGTTTAGAAGTCGCGGTCGGCAGATGGCTCATTTGTGGCGCTTGGAAGTTAGTCGTGGACGTTCTTTCCACTTTTTTGACTATAAAAAGTGAGAAATTCAATTTGAAAAAAGTAGAAGTAATATCATTTCAACAGGCCAAGGAAAAACACGAGAGAAAATCAAAAACGCTGTCGAATATTCAATCAATGGAATCCGAGCTTTTGCCAAAATCGCTCAGAAGTTTGGTTGGTATTCTAGAATTTCGAAAAGAAAAGGTATAATTTAGGCCTTGCGGACCGTTGTGGATGGATCTTCGCAAGTCTTGTGGAATCTTCGTGTTGTGTGGAAGACCTGAGGTCGGCCGCCGCGAGCAACGACGAAAAATGGACCTGCACCAGTCGGGAACAGCTTCTCGCCATGCAGTTGGTCCTCGATCACGCCGATGTCGCCATTTCTTCGCCTCAATGTTGGAAACACGTCATCCGGTGATTATTGCTGCACAGGGACCCTATGCAGCAAACTGATAACAGTTTACCGAAAAAGGGGCTTGAAATTGCAGATTTTTCAAAGTCTTCAAAAAGGCAAAAATCGAAAAATAAAATTGATAAATTAATTGAGTGAACAAAAATCGATGGAATCTTTTGGAAAATTTTGTATTGCCGCTGAAAATAAATCTTGAAGGATAAAGAGGATTTGAGGGGAATTTTCGAATCTGACTTGGTGAGATGCCCTCTGAAGCACCTTTTTTCTCACTCAATAGACGTTTTTTTCACGCGTTTTGGCTCTTTCTGAATTTGACGTCTTCAGTTTTGCTCGACCTACTGAAAGTGTTCAGAAACGTTCAATTTGAGGTCCTGGCTACTCGGAATATTTTGTATAATTATTATAATTACTAAGCTATTGAATAACACTAAGCTTTTTGTATGAATCGACATTTTGTAGATGTACCGAATACGTGTGGGAGCTGGAGAAGTACATCTACGGCGCTCTCTGCTACGAGAAGCCTTCAAGATTGCGTTTTCTACGGAAAAATGAAGAAGAAAAGCCTCCGAAAGAAGATCCAGACGCTCCGAATGTCGCTGAGAGCACTGTTGAGAAGGCGCTGGGCGATAACGCCAATCTCTCGCTTCACTCGATAAATCGAGCGATTTGCGTTCTCATCGCCAAAGTTGATAGGTTGGTTGAGATTTTAGCTCAGAAAGAAAAGTAAACAATTTAAATTTCGAACTGAAACTATGATGTTTTTCTGTGTGAGTCGGCTTTTACAGTTTCTTGAAGTCAACTTTAAAAGGCAAAAATTTTCAACTGTAAATCGTTTTAATTTAATTTTTTGCATATTCAAGTGAACTAGTCTTTTAAAATATTCAAGTAAAATGAGAATTCAAAGCCAATATTTTTTCTTCCTTTGTTTAGAGAGAAAGAGGGAAAGACTTTTCAAAACAACTTTCTGAAATTTTTGAAAAAGCATGTTCTCAAAAGTTTGGCGACAAACAAGTTCTGAAAAGCCTTGCAAAATCTTGTCCAGCACTAACCGAAAAAGGCATTTTGACAATGTTTCAACGGAAAGAAACTCGAGAAACCTCTTTTTGGTTTCAGATTTTACTCGAAGGTTCCTCGAGAACTGTGCCTGCCAGCTCTGCGTGATCTCTGCATCTGTTTGGTCTCGTCCAGTGAGAACCGAGTCTTCTACAGCGACCAGAAACAGTCTATTCTCACTCCCACGGTCAACCTCCTCTCTCGAGTACAACGAGCTCTTCTGAAAATCGATCAAGAACTTGCTCAGATCTCCGAAGTGATCTCGACCCTTTCGCACCGTCCCCTCGTCCATCAGATGTTCATTTGGCCTGTCATCAGCACCCATTTCGTGCAAGTCTGCGAGTGTGAGCAGGAATCTCGGGTGGCGGCGACGGTTCTGGCGGACAGCGCCTCTTCTCTTCTGCTCCAGGAGCCGCCGGGACTTTGCTTCAACCATTCACTTATTGTTCCTTTCCAGGTTGATCATTTTCTTTTCAGAAGAAAATTTGAATTTCTCTAAAGATTTACTATTCTATTCCATTATGGAATAGTATAGAATAGTAAATCTTTAGAGAAATTCTATTCCATTATGGAATAAACTTACCTCTAGAATAAATTTTAACGTCTCTACGGACGCGCTACGGGTTAAACTTAATGATCTCCCTAACTCTGCCTTTTTCGAATCCATTCCTTCTCGTTTGCTCTGAATTCCTTTCTATCCCCGGGTCATAGTCTACTCGTTAGGGTGGACTAATTCCCGTTTTTGGTTATTCTGCTGCTTTCGTATTCTGAACTATTTTATTTATTATTTTCTAACAGTATGCAGTGAATAAACCTATGAAGCAGGAGGACTCTTTGAGAAAAAGACAATCTTTTGACGTTAATTCGTTGAAAAAGGGATCGAAATTTCCGCTTTGCTTCTTTTGCCGAATCGCAATAGGACACCGAGCGCGCATTTCCTTATCTTGCGCCGAGCTTTGAAGAATCATATCTGAGCTCCAAAATAGTTTTTGAGACGAGATTTGAAATCAGCGTGAAAAACTACATCTAGTCGACCTAATATAATTTAGAAGTTGCACTGACCAAAAGACAAGGAGAATTGTCAAGGAAATAATATAATTTTTTTGAAAATTATATTTTTTTCTGGATAATTTTATAATGGATATATGAACTTTATCAGAAGTTGCATCCAAGTTTCCCCTCATCTCCGTTTTTAATCCTTAAACATTTGTTTCAGACGGCGACTTGTAGCGACGCCTGTGCCGATGAAACGAAAGAACAACTGATCGCGTCACTGACTTCTTTCGTCAGAAGTCACGCCGAACGCATGGGCTCTGGTTGGAAACCACTTTTCGGCGCCTTGAGAGCCGTCCGTATTTCTCGTCTTTCCACCGTCCAATGGGCCGTCATCGATGGAATCTCCGCTTACCTCAACGTCAACAAACCGTTTTTTTTAAATTAATATGGAAGATTTGATTACCAGCCGTTTCCAGGGCGGTCTTATCTTCCTCATTGCTCGATTGCATCGCGAGTGTCGTCCATTTTCTGCAGTTCCACGGAGATGACATCGAAGAGGAGGCCGACTCTCAGTTATCTCAAGCGGCTCTTCGTTTACTTTCTGCTCTTTACAATGTCATATCCAATTTGTACGTCACCCAACACGTTCCCAGCTACCATCTATTGCACAGGTCTGTTTTTGTTCTTTTTCAGTTTATGAACTGGGGTGTGAGAGAAAAACGGTCGTTACATACTGTTATTCATGCAACCCCAAAACAAACACCTTATCCTAAGAAAAATCAGCTCCAAAGATTAGTAAGACCTTCAAATTTAAGAGAAAAGGGGGAGAAATTGTATATTATAACGGAACCAACAATTCGTGGCCAATAGTTGAAGATTCTATCAAAAAGCAAAAATTCATGGGTTTAGAAAAATAAAAAGTAAATGAACGCTCCTTAAAAAAAGAGAAATTCAAGGTGTGAACTGAGGGCTAGATGCCTCGATCAAGTAGATCCCGTGACGAGCCAAGAAGATGTTCCAAACCTTTCGACATGCCTTCCAGTACCTCCAGATTTCAACATCGATGCCCAAACTGCTGGTTTTTTCCTCTTGGTTTCCTCTATTGCCGAATTTCAGTGGAGCATGGTCCTTTACCATGGGAAGGCAAGCAGCCTCATGAAGTCGCCGCCATTGAGCTCTTCTTCACGTATAGTACTTCCAAATCCTCAAACTTTTCATTCATTGAATTGTATTCCAGTGGAGCAAGTCTGTGGCGCTCTTCTCACCTCCGAAACTTCAGTTCAGACTTCTCTACTCGAACTTATTCATAAGATTTTAGTAGACGTGCCCAACTCGAACTTTGGTCTGGAAAATAAGGGTCCGACTAGGAATAATTATTCAAATTCAAGGTCCCGATTGTAGCGGTTTCGGAATGTGCAATGTGTTGCTGCCCTATATCCAGAAATGGTTGAGAAGAGTCCGAGAAGAAGATGTGAAGACGTTGAAGCAAACTATAGGCAAATGCTCACAGACGGCCATAGATTTGATGATTGACGAGAGAAGTTCGAAAACTATTAAGTAAAAAACAAAACATGATTGGTTTCAGTGAACAAGTGGAGTGAGAGAATTCTCCAAGACGTCTGCGAAATCGGCATCGAATGTTGTTCGTTGGCCAATAAGATCTCTACAGTTGGAGCCGCGAGTTTCAGACTCATGGCCGAAAATTCGACCAGTTTCGGCACGAATCACTGGCTCATTTTTGCCAATTCTTTGTGGAGAGCCGCGTTAGTGTTTAGTTCCCCAGGTTGCATGTAGAATAATTCAATTCGTGGTGGTCGCTTCAAGTATTTTCAAGATAGGGATGATTTCAAGATTTAATTGTTTGCTGCTTTGTTTCATAGGCAGCAATCGTTTTTATTATCTTCAATTGCAGATAATAGACTGTAACTGGTCAATTTCGACTTTCAAAACTTTTTGTTTTACTGTAGCTCAGTTTCAGACTCGGAATACTTTTTCAAAGAAAAAACTTCAAACGTAAATATTTATGCAGAATTGCAATGAGTCATAATCACAGGCTGCATCCGCATTTCAATTATTTTGTCTTGAAATTTCCAAAAAAGACTCAAAAAGGACGAATTTCTAGGAATTGTCCAGGCAGAGGGTCCTTCTGGCTTTTTTTCCTTTATTAATACTATTTATTTACAGGCAGAACAAAATAACATGTACAGAAAAAAAAAGAAAAAATTGGCATTAAGCCTGAAATAAATAAATAAAAGGCACTTGAGGCCCTCACGAGCCTCTGAGCCAGTAATGAAAGAATAAGAGGTGAAGATTGCACAAAGGTAAAAAAAGTAAATAGAAAAAGAAAGCATTATAAATTATGACACAGTGTAGCACAGGTAAATGAGGAATTTAATTGGTTGTAATGATATAAAAACGCATTAGATGGATTAGAGTAGGGCTGAAGCACGGGTACCTGGTTCAACGGAGTCTGCTGGGAATAGATCCAAAAAGGAAATTGTTATCGAGGGATAGTAACAAAGACCTGAAACTATCTGGAGAAACATTGAGGTTTCCCAATGTAGCCAGTTTATTCCAAAGAGGGATGAACGTCTCAAAGAAATTTTCGAAACGAATCCCTACTCTGATAAGACGTGATGGAGCACGTACTGAATTTGATCTCCTGAAAACACTGTGAGAAACTGGCAAATGACTCTCCTTAATATAAATTTTATGTAGTGTTCTTAGACAAAATTCGACTCGTCTTCTAAAAAGAGAGTTTGTGTTAATCTGAGCTAACCTGTCTTCATAACTAGAAAACCTAATGTTTGATCTCATGAATGTTTGACGAGTAAATTGACGGAAGATGTTTTCGAGAGTGTAAGATAGTTCTGAAGCTAGGGGGGGGGACTGAACAACTCACAACAGTAGTCCCTATAGCGAGCAACGTAAGTAAGAAAAATCCGGCTCATTAGAGCGGGAGATAGGGCGCGGAACGCTCTGATGATTTGTTTAATTTTTAGTTTGCATAAGGCTATAACTTTACGAAGGTGAGGCTCAAATGTTAGTTTGTTATCAATAAGAATGCCTAGATCGCGAACAGCTTCCGCGGAAGAGATAGTTATATTATTTATAGTATACTGAACATGAGGGTTGCTACGGCCTAGATGGAGAAGGGTGGTTTTGTGTTCGGCCAGGGGAAGACCCCATTGACTAGACCATTGGAAAACGTCGTTGAGACCTCGCTGAAGCGCTATAGGATCGTCAGAAAAAATTTTAAGATCATCAGCAAAAAGATATATCCTTTCTTGGAATATGCGCCTGGAAATATTTCCGTTGGGCATTTAGGGGACGCTACTTTTTCCTAGAAAGTTCAAGTTTCTTTTTTCTGCAGAAGCGCGACTCTGGATCCGGTCCGCTACATTTCATCCTATTTCATCGTGGACTCCCAAGAAGAAGGAGGAGACGTCGGAACAGTTCTTATCGAAAATCGGTCAAGCCTTCCTTTCGAGGAAGTCGTCCTTGCTCATCAGGTATCTTTTTGGAGAGTACAACTCTATCAAGTGCTCAGATCCTTTCTCCTGACGTGGAAGGACAAATGAAGGCTCCCACTGGAGAAGAAGACGTGGGAGATCCGACGCTCCGTTGTCAACTTCACAACGAAACAAAAACGTTAGTTTTTTTTATATACAAGGAATAAATGAATTTTGAGGGTTCGTGTTCGTTCTCTGGTCTATGCAATGGCGACGCATGGAATGTTGCTCCAAACCGTTGGTTCTCTACTTCTTTCTGGACAAGATTCATTAGAAGAGTCTTTGCGAAAGTCGATTCTTGGAATCCATCGACCGATTGGATGTCGCCTTGAAGGCGACGTTTTCAATCGCTTCTACGAGTTTCTTGATGCCACATTTGCGGTAAATCTCAATTTTATACATTTTTTCATGGTGATATTTTCCAGGTGGCGCTACAAATAGATCGACGACCGGCTCTGCTGGCGGTGATGAGCAAGGTTACAGGCGTGGAGAACGCAAATTGCTTGAAATTTTTGGTCAATTCGTCGTTGATCAAAACGTTCAGCTTGTTGCAACGCTACGAAGTCAACAAGTGGGACGAATTGAAAAAATAATTTGATTCCAATAATGTTTATAGAGAAGAAAAGCTGCTCGCAGAGTTGACCGAATGTTTGTGTCGATTAAGCCGCGAGCTGAAACAAGTCGAAATGAGCATCTGCGCGAAACGCTCAGCCATGTACTCACGAGAACATTCGGAAAATGTGAGTGGATTATAATTAACGAGAAATTTATCGTGAATTTCAAGCAATATCACTTCATGTTGGTCGTGCACGAGGACCAGAATATGTATCAGCTCGTGTCGCAAAAAGACGTCGAGAAGACTGTTTCAGGTCTCATAAACTAGATATAACTAATTTATCTCAAGAAATTCAAGAATACGAACAGCACAGAGAGCGGCTGAAAGTGGAGAGGAAAAATCCGTTCACTGACTCGGGAAACAATTCGGAAAAAAGCGAGGTAATTAAAAAAAACTGTGAAAAAAAGAAATCAATTGAGACTTTTGCCTTTTCAGGACCGCGAAGGACCCATCGACATGGACGAAGTTCGTCTAATCGCCTACCGCGACGTCTGCCTTCACCCACTCCGAAGACTTCTCCATCTCAAAGCCTTAAAACCTGCGGCCAAAGCCTTGTCTGCAATACTCATATCATCTCCAGATTTAAGTGTCAGAACACTCGCTGTACAACTTATTGAATTTTTATGTCAATGAATTCGAATAAAATACTTTATAGATTCGTACTTTTTTTCAACCAAGATGTTGAAAGAAAAGCCATATTACGATTTTTCACCTTCAAAAATAAGTGAACATCTTTTGATCATAGAAATAACATTATTTTTTTTTATTGATGTTTGTTTTACTTCCATGGTAAGAAATTCTTATTATCGTAAATCTAACTTAATAATTACTGTGGACTGATTTACTCAATTCGTGGTCGTAGAAACCAAATGCAGTGGAGCGCATTCGACTTGTAGGCTGATTAAACTTTTTTTTAAAGTTTTTTTTTCTTTTATTATCTCCCCCGTCTGGCGCGACTTTGCGGCGAGAGATTTAAGTTCCGCAGGCTTGCGCCAAGAAAAAAACCCAGCGCTAAAATTTGCGCGAACCTCGCGCAATACAGGGCGCAAGCTTGCGCTATGGGAGGGCTGCTTTAGAGCTCACAAACTCATTTACAGTAATTCCGAAACTGTTTCGTCTATGTTTTTCTATTTTTCCTAAATTATGTTTTCTTTTTTTCTATATATTTTTTTCTGGTTTTTTTATAAATGAAATTTTATCATCATCGTTTTTTTAGTTGACTTCATATTTGTATGCGACGCGTCGAAACGTATCTTTTTCGAGAGATTCGATGTATTGGTTTATCCGATTATACTTTGAGAAAGGTAATTATTTTTGTTTTTTTCTTCCTAGCGAAGACGTTTTTTTGATTATTTTTTTCTTAAAAAAATTAACTCCAGAAATTACAAAAAAAGTGAGTTCGATATTCTTTGTATTAGCTGTAATACTGAATTTTTTTCAGATCTAATGAAGAGAGAGTTCAACAATAAGATTCTCATGGAGTGGTGAACATGATATATGGAAGTTTGCAATGTTGAGGTTTGTAGTTTTCGAATAACATTTCATTATTTCTCTTATGTTCTTGGTACAATCCAAAGCTGTACACTACGTCTATAATAAGGATATATACAGAAAACTTGAAGAGATTTCGAAAAAAGTTTATCAGAGTCAAAAAGACGATTTTGTGATGGATTAATATTAATAAAATGGCTATTATGATGAAACTTGGGTTCCATAGGTAATTCTTTACGCTCAATCGGATGGCTTTAACAGATTTTTGATATATTTTCTGGATTCGCCGAAAAGTCCATGATCGAGGGTGGTCCTATCCTTATTGGACGCAGTGTACCAGATATAATATCTGTTCATATAAAAAAATTAAAAGGGACCCTGATAATCATGTGATTGTTTAACAAAAAAATATGTTTTTTTATTTTTAACAAAAAAATCGTATAAAGTGAAAAAAAGCAACTATAAAACTTCAGCTATGATACGCCGAATTTTTCGACACGATGATGGTCAAAAAGAAAGAGGTTCCTCCACCCTGGTTCGAAATATGCGAATAAAAAGTAATTTTGATTATTTTTTTATCTTTGAAAAAAAGTTTTTTTAGATGAGAGCGATGGAACGTTCGCTGCGTAACGTCCCAAGCCATCGATTCGCAGGCCCTTATTAGAAGACTTTTTTTCCGAGGCTAATGGATGAATGAAGGAAGAAATTGTGTTCAACACTATCGAGATTCTGCTAGCGCAACTGTACACATCTTTATATTGTTGAAAACCCACTTGCAAGAATATGAACATCATAATTTCATGTAGTTTTTCTGAAAAAGTCGAGACTATACTGGAAATCGTTATGCGCGATCAATTATTCAAGCTACTTGTAATTATATTTTTACCTAGCCCTTACCAGGTAACTACGCAGGCACTTGTTTGCAAGTTGAGTTGCAACATTTTTTTAGATAGACCTGGATAGGGATGCTTGAAAACAAAAAAGTTTACCTACTGGGTTTCAAAATTTGCAGAGAAATAGGCTCACTAAACTGCACAGAAAAAGATTTGAAAAAAAATACTTTTTATAATACTACTTTTCATTAGATTGAAGTATCAGAACTCTTGCAAGTGGAAATTTTTTTATTGTATGTCATGATGTATTTTTTTGATATTTCTGCGTTTTTGAAATTGTTCCATGTTTCACTTTTTTTCACTGTTTCTGAACTTCCGGGTCTTCTGAATCTTACTATTTTTGCAAAACCCCCGGTTGTTTTATTACTGGAAATAATTCGAGTCATTGTAATTATTAAACATAGCTTAAATTTTTACCATTCTCACGTTATCTTTTTTTCCTTTCATTATTGATTGATACCATGAAATCCAATGCATCTTAAAGACTTCAATTGTTGTAAAGTGTAAAATTAGTTCATTTTAGAAATAAATATAGTTTTTTTCCAAGTTTTCTGTGTTTGTTCAGCCTCTTTGAGCTGCGACACTCACAGGTTGCTTGTATTTTTGTTTAAATCAAGCTGAAAATTCAATGCTATGGATAAATAGAAAAAAAGCTTGAGTTAAATAAAATACAGGCGACCTTTGAGCGTTGTAACTCAAAAGAGGAAAATAAGAGGAAGGACGAGGAGGAGAAAGGAAAAGGATATCACGAATGCGTGCTCCATGGATAATTCGCGCAACCCTTGCGCCTCTACGCGCAAGCTTGCGGCTAACATGTGCACATACTCGCGCAATTCACGGCGCAAGCCTGCGAAATCCTCGCCGCAAAGTCGCGCCAGACGGGGGAGATATAGTCTGTGTGCCACGACTTGAAATTTCACGGAACGACATTTCGCTGTTCCGCTGCGTGCGTTCGCGAAGCGTCTTTCTAATCTATGTCTCGCTATCAATTGATTGTTATTGCTGTGGGAGCACATAAAAGCAGAGTACCTTAATAAAGGAAAAAATTTTAAAGCGGGACCAACGTTCGCAAAGGCGCGCAGCGGCACAGCGGAATGTCGTTCGGTGAAATTTCAAGTCGTGGTACACAGGCTATAATATATATTATAATATGTATGTATAGAAGGAAAAATATTAAATTGAAATTATATTGAATTTTTTTAATTGAAATTATATTAATATTAATATAATTTCAATCCAATATTTTCCTTCTATACATCGCTCATTATTGTTGGGTTCTGCGGTTTAGTCTTTTCTTGTTTTTGGAGATAATTAGCCTTATCATTAATCAGAAAAAAAGAAAAATTGGTGATATGCTTCCCGCTCTCCGTTTTTTGTCTTAGTTCAATTTATAGCCACTTGGCTTTGACTTTCCCAGCGACCGCGGATTTATCCCATCAAAACATTGCGCGGAACCGTGGTGCTTGGACCAAAAAAAGAAGGGCCGTTCGACACACGGAAGAGAGAGACACCTTCAAGTTTCGGCAATATACGCGTGAAATGAAGAAACACACCGATGCGCCATCATCCAATTTACTTTCTTCTACTGGGGGCTTTTTTTTCGAGGGGCCACGCCGCCTTGGCATTGAGCGGGCCATCCATCGAAACGAGTGAGGTTGATCGAACTAGTTGGCCGGATTACTGTGATTTTTTTTTCCCGGTTGTCTTCGTGTCAGCTAAGAGGTGAATGGCATCGAGAAAAAGAACAAAAAATGTGATTTGTTTTCATTCAGATTGCGGCAAACAGTTATTGGCATTGTTCGTAGTCAACATTGTACCAGATCAGAATGTCCTGAACGATGATTTCAAATTCCCTTGAATACTTCTAAAACATAGGTTAGTTTATGAAGTGTATATACGAAAAAGTTGAACTGAAATTGTAAAAACTCAAACATTAAATTCATTGTCTCTCAAAACTCTTTTTTTAAAGTTGATCGAATTAATAAATTTAAAATTTTGTTTGAGTCTTTTTAATCCAACTTTGAAAGTATAATAGCGTATTTTTGTAAGTGCATATAAAAAAAGGCAATAATAAGAAATTTAAGAAAAAAAAAACAGCTTGAAGTAAAAAATATAATTTCAATTTATGAATCTTGTTTAAAAGTGTTTTTGCTTCCCACCACTGAGTCTTTGGGAAAAAAAAATTGTGGAAAAAAGATTTCTCATGAAACGTAAACAAGGAAAATGTTAAATACTTTTTATGCCATTTTCAAAAATTATAAAGATTTAGGTTTCTGGCAGGCGTATGAAAAAGTTAAATTCTATCTACTAAGTTTGAAAAAAAAAACAGGAATAAATCAAGATTAATACTAGAAACAAGAAACCAACGGCAGACGCGTCTTCTGTTATGAAATTCTCTTTTGAGCCTTTAAAAGGGTGATGAGGACTTCTCATAGGTCTCAAGACAACGGGCCTTTCAATAATCCTGGCAGAAGTTATGAATATGGAATACAGAGATCAATAGCGCGCCAAACGTTGTCGAGCTCTTGGCTCAGTGGAAAAACGCTTGGCCTCCGTCAACGCGATCCGGGTTCGGATCGCGAGCGCGTCACGCTTACATTTAACGGAGGGAATGCTCCTTGGGCCCGTGTCCAAGAAGCTGCACCCGAGCGGATACCGCATCTTAGTAATCGACTCCAGACATGTGGAAGCGAATGAAGCTATCCTCCACCTCTCTCGCGTCTGACATTTTTTTTTTCAATATTTAGGTGGAATTTAAAATATTTTGAAGTTTTGAAATTTTGTGAAGTATCAGGCGATAAGGTTTGATCAGTGAATTAAAAAAGTTCAGATATTATTTTTTTTTTACCTTTCTTCAGAATAGTAGGAAAGATCAGCCTTTTAATATCTTATTTAAAATGAATATTTCGAATCAAATTCAAGTCTTTGTAAATTTTATTTTGTTGCTTCAAAAATTGCATGATACTCTGAGAAATTTCATACGTATAGGACTGTGAAAAGCTTTTAATTGTGTGAAATCAAAACATTTTGACTAGTGGTCGTATGTGGAATGGCTCAAAACATCTCGGCCGCGTTCGATATCAACTTGCTCGCATACATTTCGATGCCGCGCCGCCAAATCCGTTTGAGTCTGGCGCGACTTGGAAGCAACTTTTACTAGTAGAGTGACCTTTTAAGAACGAGGCCTCTTTTTCAAAAAAAAAAGGTTATTTCAAAAAAAGTTTCTTGTAAAAAAAGTTTCCAATTAAACGATTCCTAATTTGTAAAAAAATGATTTTTTTCTTCAATTAGTAGAGAAAACCAGTCATTCCAAGCACAAAAAGTCTTTGTTTTGGAAAAAAAAATTGAGCAAGCTACTCGATGGCACTCTTTTTTTGTCTGAAGAGATGACCTCTGTGGCCACTTGAAGAAAAACCTTCAATTGAACAAACAGCCGAAAAACCGCTTCCAATTCCTTGTGAATGCATCATCATTAGCAATCTCGATTGGGGAAAGAAAAACACGGTTAGTCTGTGAGGGCTCAAGGTGGTGGTGTCCTCTTGAACCCGTTTCATCCGCCAGTTTTGCCTCCGAAAAAGGGCGAGAGAGAGGGAGAGGGAGGCTGCGGAGTGGGCGGTGCTTGTGAGAGGTGAGACGAACGACCCTCCGACCGACGACGACGACGACGACGGTAGTGCCACCACTCACATCCACAGCGAACCATGTCCTGCCGTCGGTGGAGTCTCCTTCTTCTGCTCCTCGGCGTGCCCTTCAGCGCCGCCAAGAGTCTGTCCGCCGCCGCTAGTCACGTCAGTTTGGAGTTTCTTGTGAGCTTTTTGGTAGAGCTGTTTTTGGAAGACTTCCAAGTCTAGGATAATGTACCATTGTGTGAAGAACGTTATTTCAGAGTTTCTTGTAAGCTTTTTTGGTAGAGGTGTTTTTGGAAGATCGCCAAGTCTATCGTCGGCAATATAAGTCAATTTAGGCTCGCACAGCCGTTTTGGCATTTCGCATTGTCTATCGTTTTCTTTTTGAATTCTTAGAAATACCGGAAATTAGTCCGATTCAAGAGTTCATAGTCAGTCGATCTGGCTGAAAAAGTTCTAGAATCTTTCTTCCTCATGTCAGTTTGGATTTTCTTGGGAGTTTTTTTTGGCAGAGCCGATTTTGGAAGATTGCCATCTCGTGTTAGACTAGATCTGCCGTTGCTAGTCATGTTCGTTCGAATTTTCTTGTGAAAATTTTCGCTACAGCCGTTTTTGGCATTTCACATTGCCTATTGCTATCCGATAGCTAGCTCACCAGCGGTCGCTACTTGGTACCTACTTGCATCGACCTCCCGATTCCCTTTTGAGATTGTCAAGTTTTTTAAAGCTTAGAGCTTCTCTCGAATGTCAGGATTTCAAGCCTGAAGTCTTTTTGAACGTCCAGAAAAGTTCTCAGAAACTCCGAAACTCTAGATTACGTTCTTCTCGGGTAGTAACGTTTCCTGAGAAAAAGTTGGTGTGTCAAGAAATTTTTTCTTTTGGTTTTTCAATTTTTTTTTTTGATTTTTTAAAATTATACGCTTTTTGAATAACCAGAACCGTTAGTTTTAGAAATTTTTAAAACTTCATAGCTTCAAATTTTTATGCTTCTCATCATTTCCTTGCAAAATCTCAGCCGATGTGTTTTTTTTTAGTGCGATCAGTATCCACGGATGTTTAAACACTCGTTTCACTGTCCATTTTTTTATTCTTCTGTACACACACACGCAATTTGAACTTGCCAAACAAGATTTTCCGCTTTTTCCTCAATTTTTAAACAACAACCATCCGTTCTTCTGCCACGAAATGACGGATGCCACAAGTTTCGTCAAATCTCAACCGACTTTTTTTTTCGACCTGCGACTTTGACATATTGCGGCGGCATTGCTTTAATTGTTCTTTTGTGTCTTTTTTTGTTGACTTTAGCTTTATATGAATCTTTTTTGAACGAGCAAAATGAGGAAAATCTAATAATATGGTTGAAAGTTGAGTTACCAAACGTCGTCCTCCAGGTTTCAAGAATTTGGTTTTGTTTTTTTTTCAAGTTTTTTTTTCAAGCTTCAATTATTTGAAGATGAATAAGATTATTTGTTCTACATCTTCATCTTCCTTCTTTGCGATTTTTTTTTCCGACATCAAAATTGAGAAAACTTTTTCGAAACTTTTTTCAATCTCGAAGTTTTTTAAATCAGAGTTTGCATTCAACTCTTCATTCTACATAACTTATTAGTGTGAGCACTTTTGTTTTTCTGCTGAACTTTTTCTTGAAAAGATGTTGTTTCAAACTGTAAAATCTTTGAAAGGGTTGAACGCAAGTTATTTCTCACTGTAAAAAAAACATCAGCATCTGTTTTTTTCATGTCATGATTCAAATTTTCTATTTCATCACAGAGATTCTCCCATTCATTTTCCAATTTTGTCGGTAGTTATCAGTTTGGGATAATTTTTCGCTACATCCAGTTTTAGAAAGAAAATTTTAAACGTCCAACTCGAAAAATTCCTCTTTGAATCGGCAATTTGAATAACTAGTATTGAAAATAGCAACATAAGAAGAAAAACTAGCTTTTAACAGGAAAATAGGACTTGAAGGGAAAAAAATGAATGAAGTTTTCAAAAAAGGAGAATGTTTAGGAATTTTGAGGTTTTGAATCGCTCAGAAAAAACTTATCGGATTTATCGACGGATCCAATCATTTTTGAATGCCTACACTTCAGAATGAGAACACGCAGTGCAGCTTCACTTCTCCGAAGTACGAGCTCTCCTGGAGCTACGACGAGCTCAGCAACGACGTCGTTTTCAAACTGATCGCCACCTCGAACCTCACCAATTTCTGGACCAGCGTCAGCTTTGGCTCCACCCAGCCGGTTAGTTTACCATTGATTTCTTTCGTCTTTCCCAGTCGGTATTCTGTTCATTTTGGCTTTTTAATTTCAAAATTGAGCTTAGTTTTTTTTTTTTGAATTCTAGGCAAAGTTGGAGAACATGAGCCTTTTTAGTGTGTTTGAGACAAAAAGTGAATGGTTTTTTTTTCATTTCTTAACTGTTTATTTCCTGATTATATCGTACTGATTTCCAAAATTTGAGTTAAATTTTTTTATCGACCTTTCGAAATTTGTTAGTTTTTTTACGTTGAATTGAAGAAAAAAAGAGGTTTATAGTTATTTTTTTATTTTTATTTTTAATTTTCTTGGTTTTTAATTGGACGACTATGAAACATTTTTAATTTTAGTTTCAGCAAATATCGCAACTTGTTTCTTGGTGTTAACCTCAGTTTTCGTAAGCTACAAATTCATTTGCTTAACTTTATAGGTTCCAAGGAAAAATTTTTGAAAATATGTCGAAAGCTTAAAAAAAATTTTTCTACAGATTTCTAACTTTGAAAAATGTTTATTGAGAAGTTTGGAAAGAAATTTTAAGCTTTTTCTTTACATTTTCGGAAGATTTTTCTCGATGCCCTTCGGCATTTTTTCGGCTCCGGAAACGCGATCCGGACGTTCCTAAGACTTTTAAGATCACTTAAAAGTTAAAATTTCAGACGCCGCTAAAGTGATCACTAGGAAGGCTCACTAGCGTCCGGGGCATGTCCTGTTAGCCGTACTTTTTTTTAGCACTTGAGCTACTAACACCCCCTAAGAGCCACTAACGAGAAGCTCTGGACCAGACTTGCATTGTTCAATTTTAATATTTATTTTCTGATGAGTCACTTTCTAGGAAGAATCTTACAGGAAGACACAATTGGCGTTTTTGTCCGGGCAGGTCAGATCGGACTGGTCGACGGCTACGTGACGGCCGACGGCGTCGAATCCGACGAAAATACCAACGTGCAGTCGTTGTCCTTCGACCTCGAGGAGGGCAAGCTCACGGCTCAATGTCCGTTCTTTTTTCAGACATCACTTTATTCCAACTTTGAAAAATTGCGTTCGGGATTTAGATCTTAATTTTACAATGAAGAAAGATACATTTTTAGATTGATTTGCTTTTTTTTTCGAAAGTTTCTCAGGGATCTTTTCTTGTTTTCGATCTGATTTCCGCTTTCACAAAAAGTAAACTTAAACCTCCTTTTTGAGGATCTTTCTTTAACTCTGTCGAAATTTTTTATTTTAGTTTTTTCTCAGAATTTTTTTACAGAAAAATTCATAAGGTTCTCCATTGCAAAAGGAAAAAAAGTGTGAATCCATGTGAAGAACAAAGTTTTTTTTCATGCTAGATTTTTCTGATTTTTACCTTGGTCAAAATACATCTTTTTAGGTGTTTGAAAAGTAATAGCCGCATTTTTTGAAGGTCTCAAAGCGAAATTATTTTTCCAGGGTTTTTCAAAAATCAAGAAAGATTTTTACGTCTTTGAGCACCTCAGAAAGAACCTTTTGAATCATTTTTCCAAGGCACAAATTTCCATAAAAAAACCTTCTTGTGTTTTTTTAGATCTTATCAAACTAATAATTAATCTGAAAAAGTGAAGAAGATAAAAAAATAAGATTGAAAAACTCAGAAACTATTTTTCCAGTCACTTTTACCTCAAAATCGCAGAATTTTGTGAAAATCAACTCATCAAGTTTTATCAGGTTTTCTCAATCACTAATGATCGATATCAAAAGTGAAAAGATGAAAAATAGATGAATTCCAGTCGCCCGGCCGTTGATCACCAACGACGCCCAAGACGTCAGCCTCAACGAGTGCGTCGTGAGTTTCTTTCCATTTTATTCATATTATCCTTTTTTGTCTGCCGATTCTCGAGTTTCGCTTTCCTTTTCCTTTCAACTCGTAAACTGGTCCCCGTGCCACATTTGTTAATCCCAACAACCTGGGAATTAACGAGGATTTTGAAAATCGGGCTGGTATCAAATGCCTGTCGTTTTTGGCATTTCACGGTTAGCTATCCGAATCAGAGGGATATATTTCATTTCAAACAGATAATGAATTAAGCTTTTTACGGGAAGAAAAGGCCTGCTTTTGCCTCTCAAAGTTGAATGAGAGATGTATTGTACAGACAAATCCTGGTCGCATTCAGAATGGTTTAAACTTACTTTTGAGTTCTCTCTTTCAAGTAAGATTGCAAATCACGTGTTAAAAGTTTTTTGGGCTCATATTTCCAATTTTTCCTTGACCCTTTACACGATGATCCCTTTTAGTATCCTCTTGAGGTCAATTTTTCTGCTTATTTTAGTAGTAATTCAAGAAAAATCACAAAAAAGTGCTCTGCAAGTTTTCCTATCGACCAGCCATCGGCTCTTTTTGGTTTTGAACAGGTTTCATGTTTGGTTTTTTGATTTGAGCTCTTGATTTGAGCATAATTTCGAGCTTGTATTCAAAAAAAGCGTATTATTATTCAAATTATATCAATAAGGTCCTCTCAATTTTCGTGCTATCTGCTGTAGTTCTATTCTAAAGCTACTCAGGAGGAGCTTTTTCGACTGGAACAAATTCAAAGGTAAAAAGCGCAAGATTTCGAACCATTATCAAGTGAAGTACAGTAAAAAAAAGTTTAATTTTCCGGTTACTCTTATTTTCTAAGGAACTTGAAGTCAATACCGAACCAAAGTCGACGATTTGATTTCAATATTTATCAAATTACTTTTTTTCAAATGGTTTTTTTTTTGACGTTTGCTAAAGTTTTGTGAAATAGTCAATTTCAGACGGTTTTCGTGCCGACAGAGGCGCGCGAAATCGACGCCGGCAAGCCCCTTGAGGTCGGGACAACGGAAAAGTTCCGCGTCTGCGACATCGCCGCAACTTGCACCGTTCCCAGAACTGCAGGTGCATTTCCATTTTCTGTAGAAAAGTGAGCATTTTCTGAAGAATTCTAGTCCGAAGAAATTCTATTTTTTCCAAGGTAGGACCGAAGGCGGGACTGAAAATCATCATTTTCTCAAAAGAGTGAAAGTTTTCTATAGGATCAGAGCCTCTGACTCATAACTATCGGAAAGAAAATGGAAAATATGTTTTTAAATGAAGTAGAGTTACACGAAATGGTTATCTGTCCTTTTTTCTTGCAAATATCTTAAGATTTCGGTTTTCAAAACAATTACCAGATGCTTTTTAAGCGGGCTGCGGAACTGGTTTAAAAATTGCAGACGTAGTGTAGCAAAAAAATTTTTGAAGTGTCTTAAATTCAGAAAAAAAACAGCCCCACAACGGTACAGTCTTGCTTCTTCAAAAAAAAAAAAAATCATAACTTGGCCCAAAATTTTTTCAAAAGATAAAATAAAGTTTCTTGATAACCTGAGCTAAAATTATCAATGTTTGAAAATTGGGTTAAATTTCTGAGACCCATTCATTTGAGTTTGAGCTCCTATAACTATCCTGACAGACCTCTTTGGAAGTTTCTGAGCACAGATTTGGAATCAGAGTGAAAATCTGCACTTGGGGAGGATAAGAAGAAGAACTGCAGTCTAAGCTTATCAGGAGGCTTAAAACTCAGATTTTACCAATAAGAGATGATTTTTGAAAAAAAAAGCAAACCAGAAACAAACATCATTCCCACGTTTATCTTCTCTCATGTCGGTTTTTTGCGCCATTCTCCGGGGCCGACGGCAAAAAAGCAAGATCTTGAGCACCTCCTGGGCCTCTCCATCCTATTTTGAGAACTTTCTCTCTCTCTGTCTCTCTCCCTTTTTGTTTCCTCTTTGTCTCCATTTTTTTCTTGTATTTTTCGCGCTTTCACCATAAGAGGGGCCGTTCGACAAGGCTTCTCAACGAGGAATCACTTTCCACAGGCTTATCTCCCTTTTCCGCGCTAGAACAGCTGCGAGGGGCTCTTCAAAAAGGCAATTTTTTCACTTGGAAGGGAAAGATTGAAAAGTTTTTGGCTTTGAAGATTTTCTGTTCGCTCAGTCGAACCTAGGAGGGGAAAAAACAAGTTCTCAGGTCATAGAAAAACTGAATAAATCTGCTTTTTCTCACCTTTTTTTTCAATGAAAAAGAGAAATTATGTTCGAATTTCAGCTTCCTAAAAGATAAATTAAAGATAAACAAGAAATTTTTATAAATTTGTGAAGTGGAAAAAAATATCTGTCCATAAGAATTGAATTTGGTGAATTTTTCAAAATCAATAATTTCTGGTTGAGATGACTCGCTCTTTTCCGATTGATTAATTTTTTTGGAGCTTATAACTCCTCGCGTGCAAGAGTATCGTTAAAACGAGATTATAATTGATTATCATGAAAAATCCATTAATTACTACCCATTAGTTTCTACTTTCCAGAAATCGCCAAGAGAGAGGAAACGCCAATCTGTGAGATTCAGCCAACGCAGGCCAAAAACAAAGCTTCCTGGAGAAGCGAAGGCGATCGAGTGCGTTGAAAATCGTTCTTGTTTTTCGTGAAAAAAAAAGTTCGAAACTTGTGATCTTCAAATCTTATTTGGAAAGTTACAATTTTAAAGCAACCGAAAAATCTATGAAACTAAAAAATATTTGATATATTTTTCGACTGTTTGAGAATTCCATTTGGGGATAAATTGTCAAAATTACTCTTTTTCTTGATGTTTTTTTAAATTTTTGATTTTTCGAATGGTCTAAAATTGGATGAAGTTAGAATGTTAAAATATGGACTGAAAGATTTTCTAATTTTTCTTATCATTAACATAATTTCACCAGAAGTTTCTGCAGAACTTAATAATATCTTTTGCACAGGTCATTTTCACAATCGATCAAAACGCAAAGAAAGGCCGTTGGTGGTCGGCGATCGGATTCGGCGAAGGCATGCGGGTCCGTTTTTTCTTGCTTCTTTTTTCCTCACTATTCACCTTGAAACTTGACAAAACCAGTGATTTGCCAGGACCTTGAGTTTATTTTTTAAAAAAACGAAGAATTCCAGGGTTTTCACAAGTTCAATGGCGTTTCTAATACGCACTAGGGAAAGTAACCAGAAAATGTTTTCTTGAACTCGAAAAAAAAAAATAGTTTGTCTGTTTATCCTCTGAAGGGTCAACCAATAAAATAAAGTATGGAGCTTTATGTTTCAAGTCGCGATTAAATAGAAAGATTTCGCATCATTCTGTTCATCCTAAACGATACGAAGGGAAAAGTATCTTTATTGTGGAACCTGAAAGAATTTTAACTTTACATGTTTATATTTGAAAATTTAAAGTTTATTCGTATGTCACCTCGAAAAAAGTCGATTTCTAAGTACCCTCACTACTTGAAACATTTTGGTCGCACTCAAAATGGCTCAGCGTCTCGCAAAATAGGAAAGTTGCCACTCGGGCAAAGTCGGAATGGTGGATAATGGCCGCTAAAAGGGAGAGGCTCGAAAAAGGCCGCAGAAAGGCAGCAAAAAGGTAGCGAAGGGCAGCAAAAAGGCAGCAAAGAGACTCCCTTTATCCAGCCTTCCATTTTTCTGGGATTTTAAAGGCTCGAGAAATGGTGGAAAAAGAAAGAGGCAGCAAAAATGGTGCATAAGGGCTGAGAAAATGGAGCAAAAAGGCAGCAAAAAGAGAGCCTTCATCGCCCTAAAAGGAACATTTCTATGGTCCTTTATGGACCCTCGGAGGGTCCTTCCGACTTTGCCTATGCAGCCAACCGTGCGTAAGTCGTTTTGGGGTCGGGATTTGGTTGAAATAATTCGTAGCCGTCATGCATCGAGCCATTCTCCGGGCGACCATAACCATGAACTCTTGATTTTAGGCGAGTATAAAGTGATGTCAAACATTTCAGTACGTAACTTTTTTTTTTCAATTTAGTGAATATCTCGAAAATTGAATGGTTTTGATGAGGTGAAGATTAAGTTTTCAGTGTGTTTTTTGTTTTTTTCTTCCTTCCTTCCCTGTTTTTCACCTTGAAACTCCGCGAAACCAGTGATTTGCCAGGACCTTGACTTGATCGTCGCCTTTGCCGAGGGCGGCAAATTGAAGGATTCTGGCGTTTTCCGTACCGAAGGCTACGGTATCCCACAGCCACTGGAGGAGAACTCTCTCGACCTCAAACAGGAGGTTTTGTTTTGAACTATCTTGCATAAATCCAGGTTTCTAAAAGAGCATGGACAAACTTTATACAGGATGACTCCAGCTAAGACTTTTTGTGTGATTCGTTCTGAAAATAAAATTTTTTTGCAGCAAAATAGCGTGAAAAACGGCCGGGCAACGCTCGAATTCTCCGTCAGCAGCGCTTATCTCAAGTCGAGAGCGGTACACTTTTTGAAATGGATCTTTTTCGAAATCCGAATGGGTTAAGGATGAAAATGGCTGCAACACTTTGCAAATTTCTCTTCTCAGCGGCCAGTTCACCCCTCAAATGGTCATTCGCAAGCACTCGGTGAGTAAAAAAGGCCGATTTGAAGGAAAATGAAACGAACTTTGTTGAAATCTTGCAAAATTTCCGAGGAAAAAACGAAAAAAAAAAACGATTATAGGTCTTTGAATTAGAATCTTGCGGACCATAAAATGTCCATTTTGGGGATAGTCTCCGGTTTTTTCGCCAAGCAACTTTGAGTAAAAAAAAATCGCATTTTCTCCTATTTTTTCTTGCTAGATCGTCTCAAAGAGAAACATGTCATCTGATGAAAACTCTATTAAAAGACGGTCATTCCAGGGTAGAGATTGGAGTTTTTATATAATTAAAACAGTCCGAGAATCTTTAGAAGCTTCAGAACTTTACTTGATTTTCGTTTCCTCCAGGAAACCCCAACAGCGGTGACTGTTTGCGGAATCGACCGATGCGGAAGCTCTGATTCTGCGGCGGCCGTCGTCACCTCCACAACAGCCCCTAATGTTGAAGGAGACGTCAAGGTCTCGACGACGACGACTGGCGCCGATTCAGAAGTCCTTACCGCCGAGAAAAACAAGGAAAATGAACCAGCTCCGACTTCTCAAACTGACGAAGGTCGGAAATGTTTCAATTTTGAAAAAAAAGAAATCCTGTAATTAGTCAGTTTTATCCAGTCCAGAAGGCTCATAGGATTTTCGAAAAATTTAAATTTTTACCGGTTTCTTTTCGTTTTTCAATTTTTAGAGAGTTTAAAGGATCATTCGATCCGAAAATGGCCTTTTTCACGGAAATTTCCTTTTTTTTTTTTTGGTTGGCCTTTTTTCTGAGAGAAAAAGAGCAAAAAAGAAATTGTAAGCTTCAGTTTTATTGTCCTTAAATACGGTTTTTTTGGGTTTACCGCCGAAAGTTGCAAATTCACTAACTAAAAAAATATCAAAATTACTCCGTGTTTTTATTACATGCAATAGTTTAGCTTATTCTTAGAACCCAAAAAGGAAACGGAGCCTGAGAAAGAGCAGAGCAACGTCAACGAAATTGAGAGCTCCGGAACCGAAATCGTCGAAGGTTCTGGCATGTCTCCAGCCAAAAACACTGAAGAAATCGTCGGAAACAATGAACTGACGGTCCGATTTTTCCCCAAAAATCATGTGAATAATTATATTCTTTTTTCAGAACGGGAAACAAGAGGACTCAGCTACACAAGTTGATCAAGCAGATGTGAGTTTCGATTTGAAAAAAATGATTTTTCGCTAACTTTTAGGCTTCAGCCAACGTTTCAACGTCGAATCAAGTCCCGGCAAAACCAATAGGTTTATTCATAACCGGCTTTTGAAGAGGTCCCTCAAGTGACCACTAGTTTAAGAAAAGGAATCGTAGGGAAAATCAAGTGTGCTCATTTATTTGACGCGATTCAGTTATTAAAAAGATACTTTTCATCCATAAAAAAAACCAGCGGTGAATGGAGTATGACCGATTCGGAATAACGCATACTTATGACGTCAAAAGACTCGAAGCAACAAGTTCAGACGCGCCGACGACTACGGCTGAAGGAGCCGCCGCGGATTCGGCCTCGACCTCGACGACTGGTTTTTTCCTTTTTGTTTTCCCTTTTTTTTCTCGCCTTTCAAAGTCTCTTGAGTCAAAATAATTCCCCGTTTGGCTTGCAGCAGCGCTTCCCGTCGTGGACAACGCGACGAAAAAATTCGACGAGGACGTGAAAAAGACGACGAAATTGCCGGCGTGTGGACCGGGACACGAGGATTTGCACGTTTGCGAGAGTTATTTCGAAGAATATCTGGGAAAGGTCAACGAATGGTCCACCAGGAACAACATGACAGTCGCGGCTCATATGTGGAAGGTCTCAGCAAGTTCCTCGAAAAAGAAAACCGGAAAAAAAGATTTTAAAAAACGTTGGAATGCAAGTTTTCATAAAACACCGAGTTTAATTATTTTGTTCTCCAGGCTTTTTATCATACACTTTTTTTAATCTTCATCTTCAGTCCCAAAACCTTAATTTTTAGTTTGGTCAAATAGAATATAGTTGATCATACCTTTCCTGGACATTTTTGATTGAGAAAAAAGTTTTCTGAAATTTTCAAACTATTTTGTAGGAAGAAAAAGTTTTTAATACTGAAATGAATCAATTTATGCAGAATCCAAAATAGCAACCTCTCTCCACTGAAAAAGAGGTACGAATAACGAATTTTATTAGAATAAACAGTTTGTAGAGCTTAAAAGCGTGTCGAAAGTTTCGAAAAACTTTTTTCGAGTCGGCTACTTTCAGTTCAAAACAAAAAAGTCGAAAAACATTTTTCGTAAAGCGCTTAACTTTTGTACCTCTCTATGAACTTATTCCGTTCAAAACTGAATCACGTTTGTCAAAAATTAAATCACTTCCGATCCTATGAAAAACCTTCGAAATCCCACACTTTCCTGTTTCAGGCCTGCACCCTACTATCTGAAGTGAAAAACGTCGCCACGATGTGCTGTTCAATCTTCCGCAACACTTGTGCCTCTCACCTCGAATTCCTATGAAAATCCCCAATATTTATCAAAAAATCAAGCAAAAACAAAATAACACGTTTTGTCCATTAGCGATCAAAAGAAAAAAATGTTCTTTTTTTTTTCATGTTTTGAAATCGAATCTTGCTAATGGCGATGCGTGTTATCAGAAATATATACATATTTATTCTCATTCCATATCAAATTTCCCCGTCCTCCGATATCCGCTCAGCGGCTCCTTTCGTCCATTCATGTGTCTATAAATACGGATATTTCGAATCGTTGTGAAAAGAAAAGAAAATGAAGAGAATATTCTTTATTTTTTTGTATTTTTTTATAAAGAAAAAGGCGCAGAAGCACTCGCCGATGTTTCTGAAATTTTTATTTCTTTTCTGCCCCGTTTTCCCCAAATTTGAAGACTCTGATTGCCCTTCAAAAGAAAAACCGACCAAAAACGACTTGCGCTGGTCGGCATTGGAATTTGAACTTGAAGGTTTCGTTTCGTTCCAATCGTCAGTCAAAAATCTTCAGCGTGGTTTGATTTCTACATTTTCTTTGGGTTTTTAAGGAATTTCTTTTAAAAATATGTTGCCAGGTAAACTTTCAATGATTCTTCTTTGAAAACGACTCGTGTTGTCCCGTGTGTACCCCGTAATAATCCCGGAAGTTTACCTGCTGTGTTTATTTTGAAAATCTGAGTTCCAACTGTGCTAAAACGTGCCTCAGCAGTGGTAAAAAAATACCAGCAGTTTTACCAGATATGCTTATTCGGGTTCAATACGGGCACACCCGCTGAAAGCCCCTGTAAGCCTGATATTTTCGTTCAAGAACCTTTAAAAAGTTTCTAAATTCTTGTGTTTAAAATGGTTTCACGCTGTTGTCTAAGGAGTGAGTCTAAAAAAAATTTGATTTATAATCTCTATTATTGAAAGGTTTGCGAAGCAGAAAAGTTGCGCAACGCAGTTTTTGCCAGCTGTCCGTCTTTCTGAAAAAAAAACAGGTTGAATCGCGGAACTTTTCCGAATACCTGTAAGAGTTTGGTGTAGGTGTTGAAAGATTGCAAAAAGGCCATATTTATTGCGACGGTAATGTGTAGGGTAATGGCACCGAGGTACATCCAGAATGGTCCAAGTGCTCTGCAATTTTTTGTTTTGTTTTTTTGAACTGTTTTTCAGCCAACCAAGCTGTTTTGGAGCCATTTGGAGCGCAAAAGAATTTGAATTAATTGAGAATTTCTCAGATTGTAATACCGAAATACGCTGCGAAAATTTAATTTAATTTCCCAGAAAAACGATGAAAAATTGAAGCGTTTTAAATTTGCAAAAAGTATGTCTGGAGTTAATTTGATCGAAAGAGATAGAATGAAAACTATAAAATGGTATTCACGATAAGTTACACTCTATCTTCCTCCGCAAGCTTGGAAAATTTCCAAAATTGAATTTAATCAAAAAATGAAGAAAAACTCACGAATAAAAACGTTGCTCATCTACGAAACGGCTTGGCAACGAGTTGAGGAATGTGCTTCGATTCCCTCAAATTTTTTTGATTCAAGGTTTTTTTTTTTTGAAAAAAATTGAAGATTTCAAAACAGAAACCAACCAACAGCCATCAAAAAGATGATCGAAATGGCGAGAGCGTCGGTCAAAATCATTATAGTCGTGGTTAAAGTCGCTTGGATGTTGACCAAGAGAACTTGACGCCGACAGACCCCGATTATCTGTTATTTTTTGAATAGAAAAGCAATATTCTCAACTTTCAACCGATAACACGGCTCCGCAGACGTAGATGAAGCCGACCGTGAAAATAACAGTCCGGAAAAGAGTCCTGGAGACGATGAATCCACGAGATTCCAAGGCCAAGTAGGACAGAATTTCCACGATCATTGTGAAGACCTGAAAAGGGATGGAAAATGATTTTAGGTTTGTTTTTTGTGTGATTTCCAAGCCGAATCTACTATGGAGAATATGTTTTTTTTTTTTTTGAAGGGACTATTCTCTTTTTTCGCAAAAAATTGAAAGTCGAAGGTTTTCTGATATTTGGTAGTAGTGTTAAAAAAACCAGAGAAGAGAAGATGAATTTTTTTGATTCGAACTATAATCAATCCTTTTTTTGAAAGGCGAGGGAGGCGAAGAAGGGGGCGGGACGCGTAGCGTGTGCGTTGCGGTTCTTGGTACGAGTTCAATTCAAGCGCCACTGACTATCGAAAGAGCTCGGTCACAGCTCTTTTTGTCTTTGTTAAACTATTTTCAACAAAAAAAATCAATGAATCAATAAAGAATCGAAAAAGGAATGAAAAGAGCGGTAGACGAGCTCCCCAAATAGCCGCTGACAGTTGTGCCGAAAACAGCGTACGCACACGCTACGCGTCCCGCTCACTTCTCTGCCTCCCTTGGCTCTCAAGTGGAAAAAAAAATTGACAATACTAAACGTCTGTTTTTTTATTAGAAATAAATAATGAGAAAAAAATTCGAAATATTAACAAAATCTCTGCAAGATTTTTCACACAGTTTGAGCCACCTTAGCTACTTTTTAGAGAAAAACCTAAAAAAATTAAAAATTTAGAATAAAAAAACTACCGAAAAAAAGTAACTTGAATATAACTTCAAAAAAATGTTCAACAAACCTGAAAAAGTGCAGTGAGCACGGCGGCTCTATCAGCTGGCAACAGGTCAAAACATCCGGTATTTCGGACGGCCATCGATTTTTGAGGAATCCGACGATCCACTGAAAGCCAGGGCCCGATTTGACCTATTTCTATCGGGCGCAGGGGTTGACCCTCTGAGAACTTCCATTTTTGGGCAGTTTCACCTATTCTTCTCACAATTTCCATCCATTCAAGTTCCTTTTTCAATGATACTTTGAATTTTTAGGGAATTTAACCTTTTGTCTGCAGAAAAGAGTTCCAGCTCAATCCATTTTGTCATAGTGAGAGAGCTTCTTCACAAAAGTTTTCAACTTTCAAGCTCCCATCGAGAAAATTGAAACTATTTTGCTCTATTTTTTGGATAAACTTTCGGTTTCTATATTATTTTGCTGTCCTTCTCAGAATAAAAGTTCACTTTTGGACGCTCATATAAATATATCTGATTCAGCCTTTGTCCAGCATTTCAGGTAATTTTTTATGGGATGGAAATTTTGAAACAGTTTGCTGCCTGACAAGCTAAAAAAGAATCTTTTTTTTGAAAGAAGTTTTTTCTTCACGTCTCTTCGAAAGAAAGCAAAAACGAATTTATTAGGAAGATTTAACATAGAAAACGTGAGATCAAATTCAAGTTTGTTTTTCAAGGTTCATCGGAAAAGATCTTCTGGAGAGAAAAAGGCGGCGATTGCCACCCGTCAAGTACAATTGTTCGTTCGTTTTGTGTTGAAATATGTATGTGCAAGGTCAAATGTACAGTTTAGTTTTGGATTTAAAAAAAAGGGGGTCAGTAGACGGGAGAATGCCGTTGGATGTACTCGACGGCCTGTCGGTAGATCTGCGTCGGGAGCCGCGACAACTTGGCCCCGATGATGGCTAAAACGCTGTCCACGTCCTTTTCCGAATGGTGTTTCCGGATCTGAAACATCCAATACTTCAACTGTGAACAACTGTCTGGATAAAAAATAAATCGCTGGAAGTACATTGACCACTTCGGAAAAGCTTTGTAAAAGAACTCAAGTAAAACATTTGATAAAATGAGTGAAAAACGGCAAAAAAGCTTGAATTTTCTAAACCTGTCTCGAGCTCCTAAGATCTATTTATCATTGAATGGTTCAAAGCGTCGTTGATTTTTGAATAAAGTTGAAATTTAGCGACTTGGTCTAATGCTTTAGCGACTTGGTCTAATGCTGAACGTGGTTTATTTAAGTAGATAAAAAACAAAAAAGATTAAAATTCTAAGAATGTACATGAAAAACTACAGATTTACATAAATATTGTTAAGACAGAACTATTCTGACCTCGTCTTTCAAATCCTCTGTGAGTAACGTCCTAAAAACCGGCGGCGGTCGATGATTCCTGAGGAATTTCTCAACCTTCCGCCTGTCCTCTTCAGAAATATCTGATACGTCCAGCTTGTCCTGAAATTATCGTTGAGATCCTATAAGTTTGAGTTGAAACGGAATACCTTCACTAATTGTATGAGCTCATGATAACTGGCTGTGGCGTGCATGGCAGAAATCGTCGCCAATTCACTGTCTGACCAGTCCAATACCTGGAAAATCAAGCTTATAGAATAAAATAGCCTTCTTCTCCGACTTTCAAGATCTACCTCAAGCTTCGAAATTCAGAAAATTGTAGATAAATTAGAGAATTTCATTTGTTAGCTTATCTGTAGAAATTATCTGTCTTTTTTAAACTTATTTTTTCCTGGATTAACCGACTTTCCAACTGAAAAACAGTTTGAAAGCTTCGATTACATAGTCAAGCGATAATTTATTGCGCTAGGACCTTTACATATTACGGTAAAAGATTAAAAATTTTCTGGGACTAGAAATTGAAGATTCCCTGTTCTATAGACTTACTTAAAATTACTGCGTAGGACCAACTAAAACTTTGCAAGATAGTTTCTGACGCTATTAACAGTATTTTGTGCTTGTTTGATAGTTTTTCAGAGCTGTTAAGTGCCAAAAACCCAATATGTGATCCTCGGAGCCAACTTAAATACTGCGCTGAAGCCTCTCCCAAGAAGAAGAAAAAGAAGCTAAAAGCTTAATCACTACGCGACAAACTCCAGCAAGCTATAAGCTTCAAAAACCACTCAGACTTCGGAAAGCTTCGCGCTAGTGACTTTTAGGGCCGAAGTAACACAGTCCTGGCGCCGATGTTCGATCGCTGGAACGGGTCCAAGGAAGTGTTTACCGTTGTCCTAAAGACCTCCCCTCTCGGTTTAACGACCGAAACACCACGTGATCTCTGCTTCGGCAATTTTTTTTTCGACCAAGATTTTTGGCGGCAGCTCAAACTTCGGTCAAACGTCTCTTCGGCAGCTGTCAGACGATGTCTGCGACCGAGGGGAGGTCATAAAATCAAGATGACGCGTTTAGTGATAAAGCACGAGGTTGCGCTGAGGAAGGGGAGAGAATCATGTCGGGCGAATGTCAAGTGAAAGCTCGAGTACCCCAAAAAAAAAGAGTGATAATGATGGAAAAGAGTGTTGAATCATTTTTTGCAAGAATAACTGGCTTTCCAAGCTTATCAATTTTGGCTTATTGAACCATTAAAGAAGTCGAGATCATTTCCAAAAAATTGTTCTGTGTACCATGGGGAAGTTTAAGAAGTCCATTAATGATTTCAGCGAAGTGCAAAACTATCTCTGACTCTCCAAAATTCAGTTATCTTTCTCATTCTCTGACGGCAATTTTGAATTTCTCGCAATCACTTTGAACACGGTATTAGAGATCTCAAACTTTGCGGCTGATCTTATCCCCAAAACTCAGGAATTCCCATATTTCACCTTTTTCGAAAATAATCAAAGGTCAAGTACACTCCAAACTATTTGAAAAACGATGATGTTTTTTTTTCCACGCAGGTGAAAGCTGAAAAAATTGTAGTTCCCAAGAAACCATCCGAAAAAAAAACTATCAACGTCAAAGCGAAAGGTGGAGCTACAAAGTGAGTAGGAAAAAGTTCTACGTGCTTTTGTATACCACTTGAAAGACCAACTAGAGAATTTTTGTATTTTTAACTTTTAGGTTTGAGATAAAAAAATCACTGGAAAATGAATGAAAAAAGACCATAATGCCTAAAAAAGAAAGAAGGAATTTTTGCAGGTTAGGACTTTTAAGGTTTTTATCAACTACATGTAGAAGTATTCAAGATGATTTTCAAAAAGTTTCAGAATAGAAATGAAATGACTCATCTTAAAGAAATGATCAACTACGTCTTGAGAAAAAATCAAGCTGATTTTGAAATTTGAGCTGAATCTTTCTGTCGAACTTTGCAAAACTCTACAGTAAAAAAATTAGAACTCGATAGTTCAATACAAAGTTGTAAAAGAAATTTTACAATCCATCACTTAAAATAGAGCTGAAACCTAAAAAGAACGACAAGCCTTGTGATTCTGCTCTATATCGATAAAACCATTGCCGAAAAGACTGAAAACTACAAATCTGGGCTTCTATTCCGCCAAAGACCTTTGTGGTACCACTTGAAAAGTTCTTGTTCACCTTTATCTATAAAAAGAAAATATTGATTGGTTGCACCCCTCTCGATGAATCGAAAACTGACCGCAAAGAGACCGGCGTGGCCGGCAAGGCCATCGCGCGCCGTGTACTCGCCGAGGATGTGGCCGGCGAACACCAACGGGACGAAGACGTTCAAGATGCCGGCGGCGCGCATCCCGTCGGGCCTACAAGAATAACAGCGTCGTTATCAAGTCGAGTCAACATCTGTTGCGATTCCAGAAAATAACCGTCCATCTATCATCACGTGTTCTGAGACCGACAACACACCTCACTTTTTGGCAAACAGAACTTTTCTCACGGTCGTTGATGGGTTCAAAAAACGTTGAAAAGAACAGAAAAGGAAACACTTATCGGTGGAAACGTGCTCCAAGGATAATTATTCACAAAAAGTTTCTTGCAATTGCAAGGGAAAATTAGGGGTAAATACCAAAATAGTTTGGTGGGTCAAGGGAAGTGCGCTCCAATGATAATGATTGATCTTGGAAAAAGTTTCTTTTCTCGTTTTTTCAAAATAAAAAGGTTCGTTTCGAAGTATACAAAGATTACATTGCAAAACTAATGAAAAAATCAAAAATAACTTTAACGAATAAAATTTTTATTAAAAATTGGCCACAAGAAATTCTGAAAAGAATATAAGGTTTATCGGATTTTTTTTTTTAATAACTCAAGTTCTCGCGCTGAAAAAAACAATTGACGAAATCCCCCATATTTATTTCTGACTCAACTCGGACCAGCTCAAAAAAAGTTTTTCAGAAAAAAAGGAGTTTTTTTGAGAAAAAAATTTTTCTAGCTTATTATTGGCTGGAGCTTGCAAGGTAATTCCCAAAATGCCATTTTTACGATTTAACAATTTCTAAAAGCGAAATTTTTTTGAAAATTTCTTAAAATTCTCTTTAAAATTTCATAATTAAAGGGGCTCTTAAACTTTGACAGTTTCTAGTTTTTTTTTTTCAAGCGATAGAGCATGTTTTCACTGAAATTTCAAGCCACTCATTGAATTCTTCAACTTTTCCCAACTAACTGGTCATTTTAAAGAAAACTGACAAAAATGATGATCAAAGCAGAAAAAAAGTAGCGCGGAAAGCTCAAGGAAACGAAAGTGAGACAGTGAGAGCCTGGCCGATAAGATAAGACGACGGCGGATCCCGAGAAAATGAATATTTCGCGTTATTTTATTTAGAGTCCCTTGTGGGAACTGCGCGTGATGAAAAGCAATCTCACGCCTTTTTTTCCCGCCTTTCTTGTAGGTCCATTTTATCAACTCCGAGTTGATAAAACTGACTTATAGTTTGATACTATGATCTTGGGAAAGGAAAGGAACGAAATTAGTCAACAGAAATGTTGATTCGAGGCGTCTTACTTGGAACTATTTATATTTCAGTTCAATTTTTGCAAGTTTCTAGAAGCTGCCAATCACGTCTAATGGTCAGGTATGAAGGAAATGACTGGGACATTTCGTCAGAGAGGAAATCGAAAAAAAAAACTGAAAAAGGAAATTAACATGCATGGTGTTCTCTACGTATTTCCTTTTTTATGAATTTACAAGATAGTAAGAAAAATGAGAGCATAAATTGAGTAGCAAAAAAAGGAAGGTTCAGTTGCAAAGAAAATGGCTCAACGCGTGGCGGCTGCGATGCGGTTGCCCCAAGCCTTTTTAGCAACTCAATTTTTTTCTAAACGCGACCAGAAAAGTTCGAATCAACTGTTTGCCGCTTCAAAGAAAAAGTTCAAAGTCTCGAAATTTCCCAAGCTGACGTGGACCCGTAAATTCTATAAATATGGTGGTTTTAAGCCTCTTAACTCTGATTTAATGTGTCGATTTAGTCATGCGCCCCTTCTTTATCTCAAGTGTTCTAATCTTTTGTTAACCAAAAAAAAAGGAATCGAAATTTTCTACGTTTCTCTGAAGCCCCCAATTTCATGGTACATTTGATTTGAAAAACGAAATTGGCGCTTTCGCAAAATGGTGGAAATGGTTACAATCGCGTCTTTTCTTGTATCGAAGAATCGAAAATTTCTGAAAAATTTTTTTAGTACATATTTAATCGTCTATTGAATAAATATTTAATCTAAATATTTTAAACTCAAACCAAATATCTTGATTTCTCAAGTTGATTAACAAGCTCTCGTTGTAAATAGAAAGGCTCAACGCGTCAAGTGTCGGCGCGCAACTCGTTTTAAGGTCGGACGCAAACTTATAACTGCTACTCCCCTGCAGAAACGCGCTGAGTAACTCCCCAAGTGTTGAAAGTAACTTTTTAAAAAAAACTATCCACCCAATCTTCTTATCAATAAAAACAAAAGTTGAAAGGTTTGAAAATTATCAAAGGAGTATATTATAACTTAGATTCAACAGCTCAATTAACTTCTTTGGCTTTTATTCTGTAATTTTCGGTCTTCTACATGAAACGTCAGCAAAACTTGCAAAATCCGAACATCAATTATAGAGGTTCTTGTTGTTCTATGACTTGGCAAGGGAAGAAAAGAAAGCAAGACAAAAAACTATTTTAAAATTCCAGGAAAAGTGGTCGTTTGTTTGTGACCGCTTTTAAGTGCAAAATAAGAGAAAGAAATGAGAAAAACATCGAAGAAAGATTGGATTTTGGTGCTGAATTTGTAAATTTTTTAAAAAAATTCTCGGAAAAAGTTATATTCCATTCGCCAAAATTTTACTGTAAGTTAATTGATTTTCGTTTCAAGACCATATTTCTTCATGAAACTATGTGATTCTTGAACTGTGGACAAAAGCCAGAAGTGAACAAAGTGTGTACATTATTGCTTTAAAAGAATGGCTCAAGGCGTCGCGGCCGCGAAGCGGTTACCATAAAAGTGCTGTGATCGCTTTTTTTTTTCGACGCATCCGACAAGAAACTACTTGCGCTCGATGACATCTAAATGCATAAAAATTTCATTGAAAGTCATGCGCAGCTGGAAAGCAAGTACCAAGGAGGAATTCCGTTTCAAATGGCCACTCGTGGGAAATCGATGATACAGACTCATGAGTCGTGGCACTGTCCATCAGGAGGGAAAAAAATGCTAGCGTGGGAAAAATTATCGCTGATAAAATAGAAAAGGCCAAAGTTTGCAGGAGAAAACGAAATGCATTGAACGATTTCGCCAGAAAGTTTCGAATGAAGTAGATTTGTGAACAGAAAATGTGCAATTTCACTTCTAAACAACAACAAAAACTAGTAAATCGCACACGAGATGATGCCTAGGCCTAATTAGATTTCCTCGTGAAGCTTCACTTTTTTCTTCTTGGCATTATCCGTCTGGATAACAAGAAAACAAGCAAAAACATAAAACGGATGGAAAGAACACGGAGGGTGGCTGAACAAGCCACGCCTCTTTCTTCGCTCCGCCCACTTTTTTCGTGTTCGTCGAGATATTTTCCGTTTTTTTCGTGAGAACGTAAAGTTGCGATAATTTTTTCTTCCTAAAATTGTAGTTTTAATGTAGATTATGTCACGGTAGTATTGTCTACACTCAAAAAATAGGTGAAAGTTGGAAAAATAACTAATAAAAAAAAACTTGAAAAAACTTTTTTTTCACTATTCAAAGATTCAGACTTCAAAGATTAAAATGGACAAATCAGAGGCATTTTTTGAAATATATTCTGGAGAAAGCAAATGAAGTGCGGCGCTTGTGGGTTTTTTTTTCTCATAAGTGAACATTTCAGTGGAGCTGAAAAACCTTTTTTCATCCAAAAAGCGCGAATTAGTAGTTCCTTTTTAAGGGATCACTAGAGGGACGTGCTTAGTCACTCGATTAGAGCTTATTTCAAAGGATGACCGAAGTAGATATTAACAGAAAAATTAAATTTTTCAAACGAATAATGTCTCTGAACTATTTTACAAATTTACAGAAAAAAGTAAAAAACTTACTTTTTCCAAACTTTATCTTGCAGGTTCATTCTTTTAAAACAACAGGAGCCTTCTTCATTCTAAACAAAATTTGGATAAAATCAAGGTGAAAACTTTCAAATTTTCAATGAGAACATAAATCACATTGAAAACGGGAAAATCTATATTTATTTATACAAACAACTCGAGAAAAACAGCAGAGTAGTCAAGATTGAAGAGGGCGTGCGGTGGCGCGCCACTTCCTCAGCCGGAAGAAGCCGAGACCGAGGATCATCAGAAGACCGAGGCCGATGGCGACGAACTGGAGCGTCGTCACGAGCTTCGGCACGAGCACGACCCCCGTCCAGACCGTGTTGTACAGGAAATCGTCGAGGCGAGTGTGGGTGTCCTGCCAGAACAGAGGGATCACCACGTCCGGCATGTTCATGCTCATCCTGAAAAGAGAAGAAAACTTGGAAAAATGGATTTTTTGGGATATCAGAAATTTCTGTCCAAAGTGGACAAGGTACAGAACTGAATTAGTCTGAGAGGAGTGAAAAATTTGAGTTCAAAAATGAATTTGTGACAAAAATAAACCCAAAACTTTGAAAAAGTATTGAAAATAAGTCCTCGAAAAATACCGAATTTTTCGGATTACTTTTTATAAACATTGAAAAAGTTAAGAGTTTGAAAACTTCAGGGTTTTCAACTGGAAAAGTGAAAAAAACTCATCAAAAAAATAGAATAAACTGCGCAAGCTTGATTAGTTGTCTTTAGCCAATATTTTTTTCAAACTTATAAATTCTGATCCACCGAACTTGAAAATTCCAGTGGAAACTAAAATTTTACGATGTATTTTTGATTTGTAAGAACTAATCTTCTTGATCCTTGGAAAAAAAAAACAAAAAAAAAACAGATTGAAACCTCTGCCTAATCTTGAATCCAAAGATCACACGAAAAGTGTTCTTTTCAAGATTTAGTCAAACTTTTGCCATTCAATAAGATAATTTTCGATCAGCGTTATTTATATTGTCGTCTCTAAAAATACTCTTACGCGTGAGAAAGAATATCGTAAAGTTCAGGAAAAAAAACGTCATTATGTCCTTTGAAACAATAATTCATTGTGAAACTATTTATTTCAAAGTATCAGGATGACTTTTGCTCTTTTTCGTTGCAATAATATTTTCAGTTCAAAACGTTTTCTTTATTGTTTACAGTCTCCCAAAAACCAAATAAATAGAGCATCGAAACAAAAAATGAACTGCCATCCTTTTTTGAATCTCTGAAATGAGCTGGAACATGAATTATTGTTTTTTTCGTTCTCGGAATGATGTATTTGAAACAAAAGAAGCCTTCACTAAGCAACCAGAGAAGCCGCACTTTAACTGCAGCTCTTAATCACGAGAGAATCCATCAAAATATGTTTCTCAAAAAAAAAAAGAAAAAGAAAAACTGACTCGACTTCGTCGCTCTTCAAAACGGGCATGTTGACTTGCAGTCTATTGAACACTTCCAGAACCGATCCAGAATACTGAAAATCAAAACAGAAGTATTTTTTTAGTGATTTATATTTTAGTTGAATAAATATGAGAATGAAAACCTTTTTTTTCTATATTTATTCCACAATCGCGTTATATCTGGAATTCCCCGCCAAAAGACACCCTTGCCAATCTACACATCTCGCATTTCAAATCGGCAAAAATGGACTAGTCTTTTCAGATTTTGAATGCCAATCCATCGCTCAAGCTCCGCCCCATCCCCGCGATCGTTTTAGACCTTTTTGTGCAGTCTTTATACATGTCACAGATCAAATGTACAAGAAAAGCTGTGGCAACGTCGCTTATTTCTGATGTGTTTTTTCAAAAATGACTGTCTCGTGCGGAACACACTATTTGGAAATTCGAATCTTACTGGCTCGTGGTTGTAGATCATGGGGAGATGTTTGGAAGGGTCCGGATGCAGACCAACGACCGTCTTGAAGACTTCCGGGGGCGAATAGAGGTAGTGAGGAGGCGAATAAAGCACCGCGAATGGGGTCGGCTGCAGCCGGCCTGCCGAGCAAAGCGAATTGGAAATTCAGAACATCTTTGTCTCGTTTTGAGCTGTTTGAGCTTAGGTTTAAAAGGTTTAAAAAAAAAGCTACTTTTCGGAATAAAGCTTATCGCTACTGGCTGGAGATAAGAAAACATTTTTTTGCGGAAAGGGGAAATTCCAAGGGGTTTTTCACAAGCGAGCGGTAAATAAAATATAATGAGACCTTCAAAAAATGTTGAGAATAAGTTATTTCAGAAGTCAGGAGACCGCTAACTGGTCACTCCTATTTTTTTCGCTAAAGGTTTTCATTTATAAAAAGTGTTTAACTTTCGAATTGTTAGAATTCACGTTGAAAAGGTATTTGATTACCTGGATAACAAACGAGCGGGAACATGCCAGGGGGAAGGAGGTACGTGCCATCGACAAGGCTTCCGTTGCAGCAAGCGTGGCAGAAGTATTCAGGGAGGGTACAGTTGATCGAACTGCTCTGGTGGCAGTCTCCCTTTCTGAGAAAAAAAAATTCAATCTCTCTTTTTTTCTTTATATTGCTATCACATCGGTTCGGTGCGTAAAGCATATTTTTAAGTTAAAGTTATACACTTGATTTTTGGGCTATATCTTTGCTGAATACAAGTTATATGAAAGGTATGGAGATTCTCAGAGATACACAATCAAGAAACAAAAAAAATGAGTTCAGATTGAAAAGGTAACTTGTGCCCTGCACCAGTAAGTCTAAAAAAAATTGACGAAGTTTGAAAACCCGTTCTTTTTAAGAATAATCTAGTTTTTTTAAACCTCGTAAATTTAATAAATTGAAAATGTTCGTACAGTCCTTTTCTAGCAAATTTTGAAAACTTCTGACTTTAGAAAAAAAAATTTATGACTGGGGTCAAAAATTATGCTATCAAAAAAAAAAAATTTAGCTACCCTTAATGTATAATGTTAAAGCCTGCTATCGCCAGGTTGTCCTTTTTCTGGAAAAAAAAAGCCCGTGTACCCTATTGAAATAAATCTGACCGAATCTCGCTTCAAGACCCACTTTTTTTGCAGTTTTGTAGAGCAAAGGTTCAAAAAAATGTGTTTACGGTAGCTGTTTTCTTTTGTGCTTCTAAAAAGTGACAAAATAATTCAAGAAACGAACGGAGGACAATTCGGCCAATCGGGAAAATAATTCCTCTTCTCGATATTCTCGTAGCGAAATCCGCGATTTAGGTCAGAAGTCGTGTCGTAGTCTTCGTAGGGGACGGAAAATCTAGGATTTCACAGTATTTTCCTTGGAAAAATCCTGAAGATCAACATACGACAAGGCTGGAATGCTGTCGACAGAAGTCGACCCGAGGTATTTCTTGGTGAAAGATCTGGAAAAAAAGTAGACTTTTTTCATTTCCTTTATAGCGCAAACAAATTCTAGAGATCTTGCTGAAACATGACCTCATAAATAGAAATCAAGAAAATTGAAAATAATTGGGTATTTTATACATTTAAAAAAATTTTAAATTGCTAAAAATCATAACATAAAAAATTCCTCATAAAATATCCTTTAAATAATATGAAAACAAATTAATTTCTATATGATGACTCACTACGGAACTGAAAAAAGGTTTGCTTTGAAATTTGAAATTTTATTTTTTTAATAAATTCATGTTTTATTTTTCCATGCAAATTTCAAAGGAAGCGAAGTTCTCCAAATGAAAGCCTCATCATTTTCTGAGAATTGTGAAAAATTTCTCATTTAATCTGAATCTTCATCATGTTTACGATTCTTTTTTCTCGAATATCAGTTCAAAAAGATTGAATAATTCGGATTTCAAATTCCACGAAAAACTTCTTCTTTTCCCTGAAGAGGAGAAATTGAGAAATCCACTGTTCAACAAAGACAATGGTTCGCGTTCGAACTTTGAATATTTTATTTCAGTTTGAAACTTAAAAATGACCTTTTTATGAATAAAAAAAAGGCTTCAGATTCATTTTTTTGAGAGCAAAAAGGATAAAAAGGGCTAAAAACGAGAAAAACACTTTTTTTGCAAAATGACGCTTTTTTATATTTTGATAGAAAAAAATTTTTGAGGTTGTAGTAATAAAAAAAGACCTGCACATGAAAGACATGAAAAAGTCGATGGTAGAGTCTTCTTTGAGGCGCATTTGACTGAAGCTTCCCGAATCTTCAGTATTCAAATAATTTAATCAGTTAGTTCATTTTTTCCAATTCAAACCGCTGCCACGGATGGACCTCGAAAACGGCGTGCTCCACCATTCGGCCGGAAGTTCGCGGAGTCCCGCCCACGTTTGAACCTTCAATTAGAAGTTTACTTGTAAAAAAAATATGAATGCTTCACATAAAATTCGGATGGCGATCTAAACTTTTTTTTGCTAGAAATGAAGTCTCCGAATCTGCAACCAACCTCGCCGAGTCGATTAATGTCGTCGGTACCCGTTTTGATCCAATAACTCTCGTCTTTGCTGTTGTTGTACTGGAAAGAATCATTTTCAGAGATTATCCAGAAAAAAACCGGGAACCCCTTGGAAGTAGCCGAAACGTGGCATCGCAGGAATCGGAATCGGGATTATGCTCTCGTTTCCTTTCAAGATCCCGCTGATTGTATAGATCAACTGTCAAATTATCCATTTTCAACCGTTTTCTAGTTGATTCAAGGCTGGCTTGGGGGAAAATAGCATGAAGGTGAGCTAACAGAAAATTATAGTCTGTTCAGTTTTTAATGTCAAGTCTCTGCCCAAGCTCCACTCCTAATTGTGCAACAAACTAATCAGAGAGCGAGACATCCACAGAGCATTTTCGAGTGACGTCCTTTTGCTTGACATTAAAAACTTGAACAGACTAAAAGCATTTTTTTAGTAATTGTGTCCCAAGCTAGCAGTGAATTGAACTTTGAAGATTTACATCAGAATGAGCCGCGGAGAGAAGAGCATCTTCATAGCCGTCGAACATAACTTCTCGGACTTTATGAGATCTTCAAAAAATTCAAATAGAGCATGAAATTGAGCTATAGTTTTGATCGGTTCACAAGAGTTTATTATGCTTTCCAAAAGAACAGAAGCTCGAAAAAAATTTCCAGTATGAAAATCGAAATTTTGATTTTTTTTTTTTAATTTCATACTAATGTGTCAAGAAAAAAAATCAGTTATGGTCGTGGGAAAAGAAAAATCAGAAGTCAAAACTAATAAAAATTACAGCCAAAAGCTCCTAATCCTTGAAGCTCGTGCTCTTAACAACATTCAGAAAAAAATTCTTCGCCTCGAAATCTTCTCAAACTTTTTCAAGCTCCTTTGAAAAAACCCAAGAAGCTTCATCAAGCATCTACCTACACGAATGGATACTCGCCGAGGAGCAAAAGTCCCAAAGAAATCAGGATTTTTCCAGTTTTCGTGATCTTGTACTTCGGATCCAACATCGAAGTGGTGGCCCCCTAAAACTCCATATTTTATCCATTTTCTCTTTCTTTCGCCATTACCAAGCTGGTCGGATTGGGAAACACGAGATTTTGCTCCCAATCACAGTCGTCGCAGGAATCTTCGGGGGAAATCAAATAAGACTTATAGTTTTCGTAGAACATTTCCGTCTTTCGGTCGTTCCATTTCATGTACTTTTTCTGTTCCGATTCTCTGGAATTTTCCCTTTTGAGTGACTTACTGATGATGAGAAGAACTAGGGGCTTGATGTAAAAGGTTGAAAAAAAAAATTTAAAATTAAAAAAAAATTGATGTAAAGAAAGAAAAGGCAGTACATGAAAACTAACACATGAAAAACGATATACTTACGTAAGAGGAACAAAACAGTAAGATAAGATTAAAAGCTTTTTTTTCGTTTCCGAAAAATGTAATCTTCCGCGCGGGACGATCAAGTTTTTAAAGAACAGCAAAAAAACATACCGTAAACACAGCTTATTTTTCTCTACAAAAAAATGCAAAAGACATAAAAAGTTCTTGAAACAAAATTTGGTCAAATTAGATTCAATTTGGTATACGGTCTTTTAGAAAAAAACAAAACAAGCTGGCGCGAAATGGACTATTTTATCATAACGTCTCGAATTTTTAAAATCTCTACAATTTCGCCCGAAAACCTTCAAAACTCACAAAACTGCAAACGCTCCAGTCTCCACAATCTGTGGGGCCTTTCCCTCGTACTGAATTTCGTCCGGATTTGAAATATTGAAAAAATAGAAGCGCATTAGGTTCCGAGATTGTGGATGAGACATCATGTAGGCTGAATAACCGAGACTTCTGTCGCTTTTCTGCTTGAACATCAGGTTCTGGAATTGAAAAGAGTCGAAAAAAAAAAACTCAAAAATTTTCAAAAATCTTTGTTAGAGTCTGCATGGAAATTTTTTAGGAAAACTTCAAGACGAAACTATCGATCGAAAATCATGCAAATCTTCTGTGCTGTTCAACACTACTTTGTTGAAACCTTAAAGATAAAAAAGTCCTTTTTCCCTTTTACTTATTTCCAACTGATGAAACTGAAGTCAAAGACCTTTTTGAACTGAGAATTGTAGATGGTAGAGAAGGTGCTCCATGTCACAATGCCAGCAATTAACAGAAATGCAGCAACGAGCGAGATTATAATGTCGGACTTGCCTATCCGCAGCTTCATTATGCGATGAACGTGCTGGCAAGTCGTTTTCCGCTTATCAACCACGCGCGTCGAAACGATAAAAGAGCGTGGCACCCAAAATTTTTCGATTGCCTGAGAGCAACCAAATTTTCTAGTTGAAATAAGTGACTGGAAAATTTAACTCAGACAAAAAAATAAATCATTGAGTGATAAAAACAAAGAACAGACCTCCTGAGTTACGAGCCCTTGATGAAGAAGACATTTTCACCTCGGATTATTGATAGTGAGTTTGAAAATGGTTCAAAGAGTCTCCTCGATGATTTCTGAAAAAAACAAAATAAATCAAAATAAAAATTTGGACCTACAGTACGCGGAATTTTCAATCGGTCGCGTTTGACCCACACACCACAAAAGTTTCGTCATTTTTTTGAATTTTTTTCACTTCCGTTACTTTTTTTATAATTTTTGTTTTTTTAAACGTTTCTGCTAATTCGTTTAAACTTTATCATTGTGTATTTAATTGAAAAAAACGAAGTATAAAAAAATTTAGCGATGTTAGCCAAAAAAAAAAAAAAAACTCCAGAAGAAACATCATTTTTTTAAAAAGTTAAAAGGTTTATATATTTTTATTCACTAAAAATACAATCTTGATAAAACACCCCAAATACCAAAAATTTTTGAAAAATTTCAACAAACTAAAATTTCTCAGCTAGACTTTGTGCAAAAAAATTACTACAAAAAAATTGAATGCATTGGAGTTAAAAATTTTTTTCTTAATTTTTTTGAATTGGGGCTTTTTCATGATATTTTTCTTGTTAATTAATTATAGAATATTTGGAAATGAAGCTTCTTTGACTTTTTGTATCATCTTAATGAATGTTTCAGACATTTACTAGAGACTATAGCATGCTTTTGAAAATCCCTTTACTCGAAGATGTTTTGAATAAGACGACACACGCTAAAAGGCATCATCTCTACGATTTTGTCGATCGTCTTCACTTTTACATAACCGGTATTTTTTAGGGCTTCTCTAAATAAACTTTGATTGAGTTTTCAGTTGGCGCCTTGGCATTTTTCTCGGTTTTCGTTGGAACCAAGCAACATTTCGGGAACCCTATCGACTGCATCTTGCCTGCTGAACATGATGGTTCCCCGAAAGAAGGAATTATCGAGTCTTGTGATTATTTTGAGGAGTCGACTCTTGGAAAGGATACATTCTGGACTTCTGCTTCATGTACGGGACCTACCGTTACAATTTCAGTGCACGATCCAACTTCCCCGAGTTCCACGGCTACAACCAATACAGTAGCGTCAGCTATTATCAAGTTTACCTGTTCAAAAAGTAGAGAGAAAGTCGTTTTCCATGGTTTCAGTGGGTACCGTATTTTCTCGCGTTCCAAGCTTTCTGTTTCATGCTTCCGCATTGGTTTTGGACTTGGGTTCAGAGCATTCTTTGTGAGTTTCTTGTTAGGAATTGTGTTTTGAATTTGAAATAAATTTGTAGAAATCAGAAAAAAGTTTTGAGAAAAGCCCTAGCCTAGGAAAAGGTTAAGAAAGACGCATTTAATAATATTTTTCTATGTTCAATTAGTTAATTTGAACTTTTCACATAATTTTTTTGCGAAAAAAAGATAGATTCAAAACAAATTAAAAATTATTTTCTGAAGTGGATTCATTAGACCTCAATGTACTTTTTTTTAAGTTCTGTAAGTTTTATAAACGGTCACCAAACAAATTAAAAAAATTTACGTTGTCATTCCAAAACGTCTTTTTTAAAACAAAAAGTGGTGTTCAACTTCAAATACTTTTTTCATTATTCCAGGAGCTTTTTTTCCAAACTTCATTTTTGAAATCCCAATAAGCTAGGTGAATTGAGCCTTGCAAAGGCAAAATGATTTCAAATCGATTTTAAAAAAGCGAAAAGCTCGAAAAGCCATTTTTAGATGTCAAAAATGAAATTCAAAGCTCCTAAATTATCCGAAAATGTTCAAAATAACCTTTGTGGGAGTAATATATATTTTATTGAAGACCTCGACATGGGCGTGATTGTGAGCGAGGCGTCGAGTCTGAACAAGCAAGAACGGCAGAAAGAAATCAACGAGAAGATTGAGAAAATCGCCGAATTCATCCGTTCCTACTTCCAGTATCGGAAGATATCAAGAGTAAATCAGCCTGTTCCAGAGATGGGCGAGACTAAATTGCTTAATTGCGCAATGAGGAATAAACTTTTTCTTTCGCGGAATGCGGAAACACGGAAACTCCTAACTAGGAAACTTTTTTTTAGCCCCCCGGTTGAAATTTTGATAGGCTTTACTCAAGTTCACTTCTGAAACACTTTATTCCAAGAAAGGAAAACAACTCTCACGACAGATTTTTTTCGATTTTCGAAACTTCAAAATTGGCTAAATGCGCAAATTAGAACAGAAAATGATCTTTCAAGCTTTTAAGCGTCTCTTCTTGGAACCAGATCGATTGCGGGAGAATTTTTCTTGTGTTGTAGTCAGGAGGTCCGAAAGTACAATTCAGCCGAGTTTCATCAAAAGTTCAACCGGAGGCCAAAAAACTTTCCTTGTCAGTAAAAAAGTGAACACAATTTTTTGGATTATAAACGTGGCAGTTATGTATTTTTCTTTCTTTGAAATTTTTCTTTTTTTTTCCTCAGTAAAACTTTGAAAAAATAATCAAAGTGTATTTCTGAAAAGTCGTAATGAAAAACGTGAAATACGGAGAAAATTTTTTCGCGGAACCCGGGATTCCGCCCATCTCTGGCGTGTTCCCTGAATTTATCCTGACTTTCGAGTTCTAGGGCGGGATCCTGGCCCGAGCCCTCCGTCACTCGGCGATCGCCTGCGTTTTCTACTTACTCACCAAAGTGCTTTTCCTCGGAAACGCCATCATTCAACTCGTTTTGGTTTCTAAGTTCCTCGGATTCAACAAAGTCACCTGGGGTGTTGAGGTGAGTTGAGGGGTTTTGAGAAAATCCTCAGTTTCCGCAGAACTTTCACGATCGCTATTTGAAGTTCATTTTGAGAAAAAAGAACCCCTTTAGAGTTCAAAATCAGCCTTGTTTTGAGTTGGAAATTAATATTGATAAAATAGTATTTTAATCAGTTTGAAAGGTTCGTTACAAAGAAAAGTGTAGTAGAACTTCGAAAACTTTAGGAAGCGAAAAATTTTCAGTTTGATTTTTTCCTGATTTTCAATAGAGCACGAAAAGATTTAATGTCGTCTCTTCTCAAGCTCCTCCCCTAACGTGAAACAAACCAATCATAGAGCGGGCCATCCACAGAGCATTTTCGAGTGACGTCATTTTGCTTGACGTTCAAAATATGATCAGTCTACATTTTATAATTTTTTTGTTAGCCAATATTACTCCGCATTTCATTTAAATGGGATTTTTTTTTTGGAAATTCCTACTATCGCTCCATCAAAAATTCCTCTTTCCAATTCTTGATCTTGAGATGTTGCTGGAGGTGCTGTTCAGCAACCGAGAGCGCTCCTATTCGGTTTCTCGGCCTGGAAATCGCGATTTGCAGACTTTTCCCTACTTTCCGATCACGGTCGCCTGCGACTACAACATGGTTGGTTCGAAATTTCTCTTGAATGTCTCAAAAAGTTCTTTTCAGTTCACAATGGGTCACAATGCAATAAAAAACAGCATTCAGTGCATTATCCCGCTAAATTTTATCAACGAGAAAATTTTTGTGACCTTGTGGCTCTGGCTCAATGTGGTACGTTCGATTTCATTCAAAAGTTTTCAACTCATTGAAAAAGTGAAAAAAATATTTAAAATAGTGCTTGTGTTCAAAAGTGATTATTTTTCTACGTTTTTTCCATGGTTGTGTTGGACCTCGAGTGTCCAGGTCTAAAACCACTTCGCGTACGCAGCGCTTCATCCTGAAAATCTACACATTGCGCATTTCAAGTTGGGAAAAAATTGACTATAACTCTTTTTGACGATTTCAGTGCATCGTCCATTATTAGTACTTACAGGATTTGCGTTTTCAGTTAATTTTCCTCTCAATTCTCAACATTTGCACATTCATCTTCTCGATATCTCTCCAAAAACAACGAGAAGATTTGATCGTTTCACTCATCAAGGCTAGTTCTTTCCTGATAAATTTTCTAGATTCCTTTATTTTCATCTTTCAGACCGACGAAGAATTTGAGCGACCGAACTCGAAAAGATCTGGCCGAGCTCTCGCCGGCCGTGGCAGCATGGCCAACCTCAGCGGTTTCCGCAAAGAATTCGTTAACAATGTTGGTCATTTTTCCAAATCATTTGAGAACTTTGCTTCTAGAAGAACTTTCGTACATTCTGAAGGTCGAAGAGAATGGAATTCCGATTTTCCCCGCTTATGCGTTTTCAAGCTTTAAGTTTTCTTCGAGCTTCGATTTCTCTGGAAATTTTTTGAAAGTTCGATTCATTTGAATGTGAAAAAACTTTGATCACTGCGAATTCTTAAAATTCTGCTTGAATACTTTTTGAACTTCTAAAAAGATGTTTTTTTTTCTACATTTCTCAAAATCCTTGAATTTTTTTGTATCAACCTTTCTTTGTAACACTGAAATTGGCGAGATTTTTTTCTTGAGTAGCGACTTGGTGAAAAAAATTTTTTTTCAATTTCATATGTATCCTAGTTTTTTCAATTCAATTTTTTTAGGTTGAGAAATCTTCAGTCAAAGGAAGTTCAGGGAAAAAAAGGATTTGAAGGAAAATGTCTTCACTTAATTTTTGACTATTTTTTTACAACAAAAAAATCTACTAATTTTAAAACGAAAACTATCAAAAAAACGTAATATTTGGATTCGGAAAAAGAACCTACAGTATCAAATATTGAACTATCTCGTGTATTCTGAAATCTTCACCTTCTTTTTCGATTCCTAAGTATTTCTATGATTTTTCTCCAGTTCATGGGCCCCGACGGCGTGCTTCTTGTTCATTTCGTCCGCGCCAAAGCCGGAACACTACGTTGTCGCGAAATTTTGATCAAAGTCTGGAATCAATACGCAGATGATCACGCCATCTTTGTATGATGAACCAATTAAAATTCAATCATTTTCATTTGTTTCAAAGGTGAGCGCCAAGGTCCCGCAGCCGATTGTGCCGCCGCTCACCAACAAAGGCCAAATGGGCGATTATTCGGGTTTTAAACGTCAGAAAAAATTCGAAACAATCATTTTTCAGTTCCCGAGTTCAATTTTGGTGATGAGACCCTTCCGTTGAAAAATGTCGAGAAAGAAAAGTTTTAATACACGTTTTTTTTTTAAAATTTACTGTCATTTACATTTCTATGTGTGCCTGTCGGCAAAAATCGTTATTGTTTTTGAAACTTTATTTTGCATTGAAAAAGATATTACAAAAAAATCTTTGATTTCAGGGGGATTTTGTACCAAATATGGTTTGGGATTGTGCAATTTTTTTCTTTCTTAAATATTAAATTTAAGCAATGGTAGTTAAGAATTGCGAAGGCTTTGGTTAACCTGGATTATGCGACCTGTAAAGGGGTGGTTTTTTTTGGGTTCAATGGTAGGGAGGAAGCTTTTTCTTCGAAAATTTTCGATCCATGTACTAAAATTATGATGATATTATTATTATGCTTATAAGCGTTTGTGGTCGTTAAATCGCTTTGAAGTCTGAAAAGTATATTTTTTTGCAATCTTTAAAACTAAATACTTTTTTGAAAACTTTGGTTTTTGATACGATTTAAAGACCTCAAACGTTTTAGAAAAGCGTGTAAAGCAATTAGATAAACGGAAAACTCCAAATTTCCACAAACATATAAAATTATAAAAAAAAACCTACGGAATTTTAAAACCTCGAACCTTCCCAAAAAATATTATATCAACTAAAAAAGGGTGCAATAAGGAGAAATTAGCAATAGAATGAATAACCGTAAGCGATCTCGATGAAATTTGGAAGAAGCAATATCACAATAATCATACACATTGGCACACGAGAGAAAAGTAGCTAAAAACGGAGAGAAAAAAAAAATTGGAAATTTTGAAAGCAGTTTGAAGCCTCATCACGGTCCGTAAACGAAGTTTTTTCGAACTTCTGTGAAAAAAAAAAGTGTTGATAGGTTTTTTCCGCTTCAAACCCGTTTACAGACCGTGAATTCAATGTATAAGGCTCAGAATATAAAAAAATGAATCAAAAAAATCCATGACAATCGCTGGATTCGACTTTTCCGATTTGAGCTTTTTCGAAAGTGAGAACTTCGATTCTTCTGAAACAAATTGTTGAAGATTTAAATTATTACCCGCTGAAAATTTTTTAATCCTGTTTGAAAAGGCTCGATGTCTCGAGGCTTAAGTTTTAACTTTCAAACGATTCCAAGCTTCTCTGTTCAGTGACGCGTTCAGTGAGTAGTTAAGAGACGGTACATCTTCACTAAGCAATTCTTTTTTTTAAATAATTGAGGTTTTCCCTACACGACCAACGCGTTTCAAGGATACTATTCGCTTAATTTCTTTCATAGGATAAAAGACCGCTTCAAATTAGTTTTTAGTCGTTTAGTGATCAATCAAGGGTATTAGCGCCCCTCTAGAGTCCCCTTGAAAAGTCCATAATATACTTACTGATGGGATGGAAATGTCGGTGGCCAAGGTAGTGGATGAAGTCAACTAATGAGTTGCGATCCTTGGCGCTCACTTCGAATAATTTCACTGAAAATAGGGAAAAGCATATAAATTTTTCTAGTTACGTTTCGGGGACCTTTTTCTCTTGTCGCCCAGTTCTGAGCAAAGCCCGATTCAACTGTTGCTGGGACGTCTTTCATGTTGGCCAGCACAACTATCGGAACCTAAGGCATATTTATTGAAGTTTCCTTTATAATAGAATCATTAGATAAACCTCTTTCTTCTCTTTGCCAAACTGCTTATCGATCCATTTCTTCAAAAGATCGACACGATTGAAGGATTCGTAGTCGGCCACGGAATATACTAACACGAACGCGTCGGCGGCCTGGAAATCGTGATAGAAATATTTGGGAAAAATCGAAAATTTAAAAAATTTAAAAAATCATCTTCTTTAATTTTTTCCGAAAATTGCAGCAAGCCACATTTTCAAACATTTCAATCGAACATTCGCACCTGGACATACGCTTTTTTGAGCTCGGCATTTCCGTAGTGAGGAATGCCGGCCGTGTCGTGCAGAATCAGGATCTCCCGCTGTTTATCCGCCTCCTCCAACAGCACCTGATAGGTGTCTTCGATCGTCGGATCGTAGGGCTGAACATTTTTTTTTATTGGAGAAACATTCGGAAAGTTTATTTTAATATTGTATATGAGTTTTAAAAAAAGGCGTATCAGAAACTCCAATTTCGCCTATTTCGCAAAATATTTTTGAACCAACAACGCATCAATTTCGAAGTCGCCGTAACTATTTTGAACACAGATGAAAATCCCGAGTGCTCCTAAATGAAAGTCAATAAAACCTTCCGAAGCTCAGATTAGTTACTTTCATTTTCGCCTTTTTTTTGCAAATTTCTGTGAGGCTTTTCCTACAGCTCTAACTGAGTTCTTTAGTTGCCCACGTATCAAAACGAGGAAAAAAGGGAAACCCGATTGGTGATGTCTTCGACGCAGGCGACCTGCCGGAGAATGGCTGTTTTGCCGACGCGTTTGCACCCGACCACAACGACGCGCATAGCACGACCCATGCGTCGACCTCAAATCAGTCTTTCTTTTTCTTCTTTCATTTGATTTATTCAAACATCAGATAAATGAAAAAAGCTCTTCTGAGTCGTGGTAGGTCCTTCTTTATCATAAAATTCACAAATTTCAAAAGACTTTGGATTCAAATAAAAGGAAGATGTATTTACCTTGATCTTTGGAACTCTCCAAAAATTGACTGAATCTTTCTTTAAAAAATACGCATCTAGTTCTCCGAATCTTTATCAAAACCCCGGTTTTTTTAAGAAAGAAAAAGCTTCCTGAAATGACTTTCAGTGATTTTTCTAGGCTTTGAAGCTTTTTTTAGTTCAACTATAATAAAGGTGTATATCTACTGTAACTTATAAACTTTTTCCAAAAAAATAAACTGAGACTTTTTTTCGAAAAAAACGTATTATTCAAAGATCCTAAAAAAATCTTTATCAACATTCAATTCAATTCAATTCAATTTATTCAGACATCAGAGAAATCAAAAAGGCTCTGCTGAATCATGGTAGATTTGAAGAGCTCCTTGTTGTTGCGCGCTTTTTTATCAACATGGATTTTTCATTTTTCGAAAAACAAAGACCCATTGAAAGGGATTTTGATGATTTTCTAAAATTTTGAGGATTTATTATTGTTCAAAATTTTGTTGATTTCGAAACAAACCTCTACGATTCTTAGTAGAGTCAGCTCGGCGGATCGGGTTGCTTTCGTTTGTTTTCTTCTCGAACAAGTAGTCGTGCTCTGAAAATGATTCTTCAGGGTTTTGTTGAAAAAATATAATTTGTTTGATAGCTGACCAAAACTATTTGACTTTTTTTTTCGGATAATACTCTATTCAAAAAATTACCTCCCATATATTCCTAAAAAAAGGAAAGTAGTTTCATTGTGAACTTTGGAAACTTCTACGATTTCAAGAAATTTTGGAATTTCATATTCTAGTAGGACTTTTTTTTTCGAACTTTTAAGACGGCTCTTTGCACTTAGATCTTGGCCGAAAGACCCTGTTGAAGACTTCTAAAAATAACGCTGCTCGGGTTATTAAAATATTTGGTTTTAGTGATATGATTCCAAGGAATCATCCAGTTCAATGGACTTTTCCTAATTTTGAGTCACCGTCACTAAATGACCATCGATCGGGGCTAATCAGAAGGCAAACAATGTACATATATATACAGAGATAAGGAATTTGCCATTTCGATTGTCTTCGGCGGAAACGCGAGACTCGAGCGCCAACGCAGAAATCGCGGGAGAATTGCGGGGCAACGGTCGCGGCGAGGATTTCACCGAAACCGAGTATCGCAGACGACTTCCCATCAGCTTCTGGTTTCCGTTTTCGATTGAGAGAATAAAAAAATGACATAGGAAACAGCCAAGAAAACATTTCAGTTAAAGGTTGAAAATAACGTCGAAACGGCGATGAAAAAGCAGAGGTTGATTATTGAACGAAAAGTTCCCGCAGAAAGTCATAATTTTAATTATAGAAACTGAACTTCACTTAAAAACTAGACATTTGGCTTAGCATGACAAGAATATTCACAGCAAAAAGTAACATTTCGAGAGGAGGATTTAAAGGACAATTCTATAGAGTTGCTAGTAGATAGCATCAAATTTTCAATGTACCGAATCAAAGGGGTTTTTAAAAAAATTACGAGATGAATAACTCCAATTAAAAAAACTATTTTTCAATAATCGAAAGATTTTTTTGAAAGAAACTTTTTAAAAAAATGATCCATATGAAAAGTCTTGATTAGTTATCAAAACTTCCTTTTTCAAGATTAAAAACCTTTCGTGAAACAATTTTGATTTCTTTGTAGCTTTTAATCTGAGAAATGATGAATAAAGAAAGTAAAAAAATGCAGTTATAAACAATGAAATAAAAAGCAGCTATTTCCTGGATTTTTTTTTACATGAAAAAAGGAAACATTTCATTTGCTATAAAAAGGAAGAAATCAATAAAAAGCAACACGGGAAGGGCAACTGAATGATCTCCCAGTTCCATGAAGAAGAAAAGCTTCAAACTAATTATCCGATTGTATATGAAAGGGCAGATGGACGATGAAGCACGTAAATGATCCTGGGAATTGGAAAATGATGTTATCAAGAGGCCTTCGCGTCGTTTTGTGATATGACTCATGAGGGAGAGTTTTGAGAAAGAGGCAAAGATATGAAAGAAAAAAATGACAGTTGTTTCAGTCTGTTCGAAAAATCCCTACTTAGACGTTCAAAAGAGCAAAGACGGGCTTAAAAAAGACTTCGAGCCGTTTTCATCCATTTTTTGAGTCATGCAAGACTTCCGTGCCTTCAAACGCCTCAGAAAGGCATTTTGGAAGTAAAAAAAACATTTTTAGTTGGTTTTAAAAATTCTTCTTTTCCTCGCCGACAAATTCCGTTACTTTTTGCTAACGACTTCTTAACCAGTTCGCCCCACCCTTTCAGAAAAGGCTAACTTTCAAAGGTTCAAAGTGCGACGAAGAGATCTTATCGTCGTATTTAGGACTAATTCGACTTTTTGGCGTCTTAAAATAGATCAAAAAAGCTCTATCGTACCATTTTCTCTGCTTTTCCAAATAGGAAGTGTTCTAAAAATGTGATTTTGTATTTTATTCATTTTTTTCACTAAATGTTGGAACAATGTTTCTCTTTTTTGAGGTTTAAGTTTCAAAACGCTTCCAAAATTTTTCTTTTTCTTTTCCATACCCCAATTGATTCGATAATTGAAAAAGCCTTTTGGTTGACTTCTGACTTTCAGTTTGAAAAAACGCCACTTTTTCATATTATAATTTTTTTCAAATCAAAAATGCTTGTTTTTTTATATTTTTTTCCGACTTTGTGAACCATTAACGAATCTTTTTCCGTTCTGTTTTCCAAGCCATCAAAAGTTGAGTCAAAATAGCCCCTTCTCCCGAGGCCTAATTTAAAAAAAAATCTCACATCGTTATTTCATTCCCTTTTTACTTCTTTCAAAACTTTTTTTAAATTTTTATGAGGTTTCCGAGATTTCAAAATGGCTTTAGGATGATTTCACGAATTTTGAAGCTAAATTAGCTCAAAAAAAAAATCCGAGTTTTCCTTTTTTCGAGCGCCAGTTCCCAACATTTCTCGTGAGAATGACAATTTCAACGTTATGAAAAATTTTCCTGGTTTCTGAGTTCTTTTCAAATCTGAACGTTTCAATAAAAGAATATGTGAAAACGACTCAAAGCGGAAACAGAGGGACAAAGGAAGAAACAATTTTAAATGTTCTGAATTTAGAAATTTCCAGTGGTTCTTGGCTAAGGAAACAAAACTGAGAAAAATACGTTTCAGAGAAAATTTATGAAACCTCCCTAGTCCGTAAACAAATTCTAAGCGGATCTTTTAGAGGATTTTTAAAAAAATTTCTGGAAATTTCTCAAACCGATGGCCATTTTTTCCATTTTATTTTGAACATCTCAAAACTTTTGCCTCTCAAAGTACCATACTGAGAGTTTGTGAATGAAATATAATGTGGTTCTAAATTCCCGATCTCCATTTTTTATTTCTTCCCTACTTTCCGACCTTGAATTATATTTTAAACGAACCCGAAAGAGAAAGAAGCCTGTGAAGCGGTGCCGAGGAGGTTCCGACGTCGACTGAAGTTGTCGCCAAGGAGAAGCGACGTCGCGGCGAATCTGCGACGAGTGACGCGGCTGCGACGCTTCTCGGCGACCGGGTCTGAGACAACGACGACTTTCGGCGACTCCGAGCCTCCTTTCCGCTTCCCGACAACCAGTTCTCTAAAAAAAAAATCATATTTTCGTTATCGTTTCGAAATTGAATCATTTAGGGACAATAAAAGTACTGAAATAAAGCATACCGAAATTCATTGCAGCAAGAATACTCGTTTCAGAATTTACAGAAATTCGTTCAAAATGGCTAGGTAGGTTCTGTGAGGGCCAATATGAATGGAAACTGGCACCATCATGTAAACATTCAAGCGAAAAATATATCAACATCTCTCAAATCATTTTTCTTTCCTCCACTATACAAATTTTTTGCTTTCCACTGTGCCCCAGACAGCTATTCATGTCTAGCTGTTCGACTTTGCAAGTTCATAGAACATGGTTTCGAAAAATTACAACGAAATTAGATAGCTTTTGAACATTTTTCAAAGCCCGAAAAAGGCCATTGAACGAAAATCATCTCGCCGAAAGATAAGGTTTTGATTAAAAACACTTAATATGTTCAAAAACTCTCAAAAAAAATTGTTTAAAAAAAGAACATCGATGAGAAATCAAAACAAAATGAGATAAATGGAGTGTGCGACACGTAACTTCCCTTTCAAATTTTTTCGTCAAAATCAGCTCTCACTGAGAAATCTAATAAGAGATCGAAAAAATTGAAATTAACTTCTGACAAGGAGAAACTTTATTGAAAGATAATTAAAAACGAAAAGAAAAATAAAAGAAGCAAGTTTCAAGACGAAAAAGTCGGCTCCGAGGGAGTTGTGTAACTTTGCGTCGTGCAAAAGTATGCGTCGTAGACACTCGGCGGCTTCGAATTGTCGTTCAAATTTTCCGTTTTTTCACCTGGCGATGAATCCTACAGAAGAAAATTTACAAGGCCAAACCGAAAAAAGGATTAATTCTGGATAGAGGTTCAAAAAAAAAAAATAAATAACCGGTGTCCAATCATTATCCTCGTCATCGGTTGAATCAGCTCGAATCTTCTCGATGGTAAAAGTCTTGTTTTCATTTGATTCCCGCTTGAAAAGATCAGCGTTTCTCTGTTTTCCAAGTTATAAATCTCATAGGTAAAACTGAAAAGTTCCTTTGAGGATCCTCAAAGGATCCTGAGAGGCAGATAAAAAGCTTCCTCTAAAAGCTCCTAAAATGGTGTAAAAAAGCTCACCTTTTTCATAGCCTCAGAGGATCCTTTTTAAATCCTCTCGGAACTTTTTAGTTGCTTTCCAGCATCCTTTTTGTCAGAGGATGTGAAAAAGACGCAAAAAGAATTGAAATGATGTGAAAAAGATCTGCTGGGGACCCTTTCAAGGTCTTTTTTTGAGAAAAGCTTTTGGGGATCTTTTCAGTTTTGCCCGAGCTCACGGTCGACGGAGGGATGCTCATAGAACAGCTCGTGGAACCGTTAAACGACAAAAGCGAGGTGTCGTAGTCGACCACGCACACATCTTTCTCGATTTCTTCCTGTTTCTCAGCCTGAAAAGTTTTAAAAACTACATATAATAATGAGAAATGAATTAACTCTCTGTTTGGACAGTTCTTTGAGCAAATCTCGCGCTTTTTGTCGAACTTCCGGCGAAACGCGGTGAGGGAATTTCGTTGTTAGAGACCTTAAAGTTTATTTTTTTAAAGACTTGATAGAAGTCTTCAGTTTTTTTAAAATACCTTGTGGAGGAGCTACTCGACGAAGCTGTACTCTCAGAAATTTGGTTTCGGAACGAGAGAAGGTCATTTGAAAGGCTGTTTTCCGATTTCTCTTTTTCGGATTTTTCTTCGCGAATTATTCTTCAACTCATAATAAATTCTTTAATCTCTTCTATAGCCTGTGTGCCACGACTTGAAATTTCACCGGACGACATTCCGCTCTTCCGCTGCGTGCGTTCGCGAAGCTTCTTTCGAATATAGGTCACGCTTTCAATTAATTTTTATTGCTGTGAGAGCACATGAAAGCAGAGTACCTTAATGAAAGAAAAAAAAATTTAAAGCTTGACCAAAGTTCGCAAAGGCTCGCAGCGGCACAGCGGAATGTCGTTCGGTGAAACTCCAAGTCGTGGCACACAGACTATAAATATTTTAAGTGTACCTGTTGCTGCAAGGAATTCCATACTTGCGACACAATTTTCGGGAAAATTCTAGCGCCTCCGAAAGCGATTTCTGGGTCTCATCGCTCAGACCAAGTTCTTAATTAATTGAAAGAAGTCAAAAGGTTCGAGAAGAACAAAAAAGAACTACAAAAATACTTCTTACCGGTAATGACATTAGGGAAAGCCATTGATTATGATATAATTCCAGAAAATGAGTTCAGAAACACGCGCAATACGTTTATTATACAGAAACAAAACGAAAATTTTTATTAAACAAACGAGAAAATTCAAAAGCTATCGATAAAAGTTTAAAACCCATAAATATAATGAATCTTGGTGAATACCCGAAAATCGGTTCTAATTGTTAAATAAGGCTTTTTTTAAATTCCGCTGGAAAGGAAGTTTTAATTTTAAAAGTTCTTACTAGGAAAATTTCAATTTTTTTTTACTAAATGAGCAACTGTTTCATACTGTTTTCTGGTTTCAACCAGCCATTGGAGGACAAATATAATATCTTCCGAACCACGAAACGAGGTTACAGTGAGAAGCATAGACGATGTATTTACAATAGGGGTTGGTTGGAATCATGGCGAGACACTCGCAGAAAGCGTGGTCACATCCAATCTGCGGATATAGGCAGCTGGAGTAGCACAGGTCGTGCTCCATGCAGCAGGTGTTCACTGAAAAAAAAGACTGTGAGAAAAATCAGCAACTGTTCACAAAAAATTCTCCTGAAAATTGGCCAGAATACTCCTTTATGTTCCAGAAGGAGATTTTGGAAACCTGAACCTGCAGAACCGTCTAGTTTTCGAGAAAGGTGACCTCAAAATCCAAGAAAACCACAAAAATTCGTTAACATGGGCCATTTTTAAACTTGCAGCCCTTTTTTAATAGTAAATTTAGGTTTTGAGAAGTTTGAGTATATCAGGCTCAATTTTTTTTTTATTTTCACCCGTCCACAAAGCGAGTTCCGCACGCCATAAAATCGTGTCAGGAAAAAAATTTTGAACACTGATTTGAATCTCAACGCCCATTATTGAAAAAAAAACTACCAGTTTGATCCAATTTTTGAAAAATTATATAGTTCTTAGGGACGCTAGAGTGTCCCTATAGGTGTTAGAGAAAAAAACAGCCCCAATAGAGGACAAAAAAGTGCCTCTTTTGGGTTCAGATCGGAAGATTAAAAAGAAAAATTCGATACATTTGCCTTTTTTTGATATTTTCAATTCGATAACGCTTATGTGTTGGAATTTTCGCATAAAATGCTTCTTCTGATAAGGTTCATAAAATAATTGACCAGCGTGATCCCTATGTAGACCACTTCAGCGTTTTATTGGTCCCATAGGGGATGTAAAGCGTCTCTAAAATGGTAAGGTCGCCCTTATAGGGACCCCTCTGGAGTTCCTGAGCTGTTTCGAAATTTGAAAAGAATTCAGATAAACGACGAGAAGAGACTCACAAGCGATTTGCTCACAGGAAATCGACGTCAAATACGACAGAGACTTGGATAACTCGCCGGATCCGCAGCGGTAGTCCAAATAAGGGACGGTTTGACATAAAGAACCGGTTAACAGTAGAAATATCAACACAAAAATCGATTTGTGAAAATTTTCAAGAATAAATTGATTCCTCAACTTTGAATGGGCCATGAACGGTTGAGTGTTTGTTCACCCAGAGGGAGTTCAGTAGTCTCGACCAGCGAAGAGCCGCATCGACGCCCATAAATAACATTGAAACGGGAAAAGAGACGATTTTGAATGTGGATAGCATGAGATTATCGGCAACAGTGGATTTTCACGAGTTTTTGGCAAAAGAACGGGATTTATTGGGCAGAAACCACATGTTTGACACTGGTAAAGGACGAAAAAAAAAGTGAAAAATGTGATAAATATCAATTATTTTCTAATATACGTCAATTTCAAGCTTTCTTTGTGAAAAGTAAGCGCTCATGTGTTTTTCTTCTTTTGAAGGAAAGACGATTTGTTGAGAATCTTTGAAAACTTGACAAATTTGCTAGAACAATCTGAACTTCCAGAGGAAAGTTCATCTTACAAGGGAGGTCAAATCCGTTTGCGGTTCGGAATTTTCAACGAACTTGCTCGAAAACTCTCTGGAGATCTGGATGAAGTTCCTTTATAGTAGTTACCTGTCCAAAATTGTAGTATTATGATTTTTCAAAGTTGCGAAAGTTGAAAGTTGTTTTTCAGCCTTATTATCCGAACTTTTAAATAGTTATCTCCAAAACTAGAAGCTTTTAGAAGTAGAGACTATCAGAAATCGTCATCTAGACCTTCAGTGCCTATTTGAGCAAATTTTTTTGAAATTCTCAAACACAAACCGCAAAATAACATGGCTTTCCGTGTAAGCTACCTGCGGAAAACTGCCCTACTTTTTGTGTTTGAAAATTAAAAATTACAATGTGTGAAAAAAATTCGGAAAAACAGGTATAACCCTCCAAATAAAGATTTTTAAAATAGTTTTTGTTTTCTGGTTTGACTATCGTTTCACTTTTTTTCCATCAGAAGTCCCACTCCATTTCCTGCTGGCTTGAGAAAGAATTCCAGAGACATCAAAACCGTATCTTTTTGAGCACAGTTGGTCTGAACGATGAACTATAATGAACTGTACCCTGAATTTCAAGTCATATGGTTTTTTTTCTGGCGAGAGTGATTGAGGGCAGCCGTTTCGTAACCGGCTGGCGGAGACACGATCGATCCGGTAATCTAGGTCAACTCTTACTAGTGTCCATTCCGCGGATTTTCTGACTTCGTTTCCCAATTTTTTCAATTTTTCCTCTCAAATTTACAAGTTCAGTTGAGCCCGGTTGAAAATTGAAACCGGTATTGCTCATTCTGATTGGAAAATGATTTTTTGCTCACCCGGTCTGTCCAAAACCCTGGCTGTTTGAAGAAGCAGATTTCTTAAACGACTCCAAAAAAAGTTTTTTTCTTGTTTTTCCAAAATTTAATTCAAGAAGAAACTCAGCACGAATAGACCAGATACTTTTTTTTTTAAAAGTTAAATAACTTCGAATCGAAAACTTTGACGGCTTTTCACCTGAATATATATTATTTTGCTTTTTTTTAAAACTTTTATACAACCTTTTGTAACTTTTTCAAGCAAGAGTTACTTTTTTTCTTTTTACCTAATCATTGTAAATTTGAAAAAAATCCTACATAAATCATTTTTTTTTTGTTGAAAAGAGGGAAAAAAACAGCTTTAATGTCCTAGGGTGAAATCTAAATATTTAGTCCAGCGCTACCAGAAATCTGATATTTAGCTAAGGTATTCTTGCAGCATGAGAAGAGAGGAAAAGTTCGAGCTCAAGTTTGGATGCCTGGAGAGAGTGGCGGCCAACTTCTTCCACTCATACGGCCTTTTTGTCGCTCGTCATCCGGCGCCGTTCATCGTCGGACCCCTACTTCTGGCCCTGTCGCTGGCGACGGGTCTCATCAGCCTGACGCCACTCAGCGACGCCGTCTACCTCTACACGCCTACTGATGCACCTAGCAAGTTCGAGCGCCGAGTTATTCACGACGCCTGGCCACTCGTCGACGGCTCTTACGTGCCTGGTCGAGCTGTTACTCAGACTCGTGAGGCTCAGGTCAGACCTGATTTATTTTTTCCCGAAAGTTAAACTCTGAAAATAATGTGCAATTTTTTCCAATGCTCCTCAGTTGATAGGAAATAATTTTGCGACAATTAGAAAAAGAATAGAAAAAAAATTACGGATCACTCAAAGCGCTCAAGGCTTCTAAACTGCGCTCAAAATAACTTTTTTTTTTCGAAAACGTTTTTTGATTTTATCAGTTCATCAAACATTTACCTTTTCAAGATAGCCGTAGTCGCTCGGGAAGGCGCCAACATCCTTGAAGAAAATCTGACAAACGTTGTGAAACGACTGGATCGGTTCATCCGAAAGGATATTCAAGTTGGTTTTTTTCGTTGTCAAATTAGAGAAACCGCAACATTTAACAACCTTTTTTTGCAGGTTACTTACGAGAACCAGACATATCGATTCGACGACCTTTGTCTCAAAACTCCGACGGGAAAATGTGCAGACAACGATCACGTAGCGCTCATTTCGCGGCTTTTCAATCATGGAATTAACGTGACTTATCCGACTTTTCGGGTGGCTGATAGGTTAAAGAACAATTCCACTATTTTCATGTATTATACGTCTAATTTTAGAAGTGCCTATCTCGGGTCGGCACTCGGAGGCGTCAAGTTGGGAAAAGGTCACGATGGTCAGAACATTTTGATGTCGGCCTCGTCCTGGCTTCTCCTCTATCAACTCCAGTTTTACCCAAACAATATTTCTTACATTTCGGCTCTTTGGGAACAGGTGAATCTCAGTACAGTGCTTTCATTGTGTATTTTTTTCACATTTTTTTATGTGTTAGTTAGAGTTAGAAAAGTGTTTATAAGTGTTTATAGAAGCTTTTTCGTCCAGTGGATGGGAATTTTTCAAAAAAATAAAAAAATCATTTAAATTTGAGTAAAATTAATTTCCTTGACCTAATTTGTAAATGAATAAATTTTTCAGTAAATTTAAATAAATGCCTTTTTTCAAGGAATTCAAACTGCGGCTGGATGATTATCCGAAAAACGAGGGACTTCTGGTCACCTACTTCCATTCTCAGACGCTTTCCGATGAATTGACGAGAAACGCTGAACGTCTGGCTCCAAAGTAGGGCATCAATGAAATAATTATATTCGAAAGGAGGATTTTCAGATTCGTTGCCGCTTTCGTCATTCTGATCGTCTTTTCCGTCATCTGCTCGGTAGTGACTATCAAAGGTTGGACTTTTGTTGATCGTTTTTCAACTTTTCAATGATTCAGACTCGATTTTTGTTGATTGGGTCGTTTCGAAGCCACTTCTCTCAGTTCTCGGGGTTATGAACGCGGCGATGGGAATCGCCAGTGCGATGGGCGGTCTCATCTACCTCGGCATCCCCTACAACGACATCATCGCCGTCATGCCGTTTCTAGTCGTCGGTCAGTTGAAAGCTCTTCGAAATTTGAAAAGAACCGAAATCTTTGCTTTTTTCTCTGCCAAAATCAGTTGTTATTCAAAATGCTCGAACTCGGGTATAAGCAAATTTAAGAGCTATCCAGCGTGTCGACTTTCATATAAAACATTAAAAGACCTCACTTCGTATTTTCTTTGTTAAGAACAGTAGTGAGAATATTTTTTATCATTGATTTTGCCCCAAGTTAGTTCTCTAAAGGTTAGAAAAACTGCTCAAAAAATGATTCCAGCCGTCGGGACGGACAACATGTTCTTGATGGTAGCCAGTCTGAAAAGAACGGATCGATCTCTGAAATCCGACCAAAGAGTGGCCGAATGCATGGCCGACGCCGCCGTTTCCATTCTGATCACTGCGACTACTGGTTTTACTTTTTCCACTTCTTTTTATTATTCAAAATTCAGATGCTCTATCTTTTGGCGTGGGAACAATCACGACCATCCCGTCTGTACAAATATTCTGTCTCTACACAATGTGCGCCATCAGTTTTACCTTCTTCTACCAGGTGAGATGGATAAATTGTTTCCGGAGATGATGGGAATGCCAAAGAACTCACTAGGTTAGGAATGAGCGCCTATAAAATTTTCTATAAAACTTTATGCCATATCGACTAATCGATCATTCATTTTTAGTCGTATTAATAATCGATTAGCTGATGAAGAAGAACTTTCGAAACTGTAACGAACAACCGCCTTTGGCAAACTAGAAATCCAAACTTGTAATTGATCAAGTTGAAAGCATGGTCTGAAGGCTCTTTGTTTTGTTGTTCTGCGCCATCCAGTTGCGTTTCGACGAGCTCAGAATACAGCGGATGCCACTTTGAGTGAAAAATGGGTCCAAAAAGTATTTTCCACCTTCATCTTCGGCTCGCCGCCAATGTTCATGCGGATAATGAACGTCCTTCTCTAAAACTTTCCTTTGAATAGCATAAAAACCAGTGAACATATTCACGTTTTTAACTGGTTACCCTAAAATTTCTAAATTTCAGTTAAGTCATTCCTCAAGTTCATGAAAAGAAGTTACTGGCCAATTTTAGGCCAATTTCATATGTATGTTCCTCTAAGACTCTACTGATTTGAATATGTATTTTGTCCCTTCTTTGAATTCAGAAAAAATAATTGAGAGTTTCACTGATCTAAGAATAAATTACTAAAAAAATGACGTCAGGTAACGTTCTTCTGCGCTCTTCTGGTGTACGCGACGCGAGCCGAAGAAGAAGGTCTGCATAGCATCTGGAACAAGCCGGCCGTCGCCTACTCGCCGTCGTCGCCCTTCTTCGTCAAGCTGTTCTGGCTCGGTTCGAAGGTGCCGACGAAAGGCGCGGCGCCCTCGCACGTCCACCATCAGTCCCACTGTTTAGCGACGTCTTTCTTTAAAAATTGGTGTGTCTATTCTCTTCGTGCAAGTAAAATTAATCTATTCAAGAGAAAAGGCTGTTTAAAAATTGCGCAAGTTTTTAGAAAGAACGCATAAAATTAATTTTTAACATTAGGGAGGAAAGTGATGTCAAAAATAAGATTGAGTTAACTTCAAGGAGGCAGGACTGTATTTAATCCAGAAAGGTGGAGGTGTATTATCCTTACCATAAATATGTACATCAGTTTTCAAAATCACCTCACTTTCTCCTGAAAATTTCTAGAGTCAACAATTTCTCCGTGAGCGTCGAAGTTACAAAAAAAAAAAATTATTTCCGTTCAAATATAAGCGACCGCCGTGGTTTTCATTAGTTTTGTTAGTCAACACGACCGCATACGATTTTTTTGAAGACACATTTGGAATGGCTTCGAGCTGAAACGAATTGCGAACATAGGAAAAAATAAGAATGAGCTGATTAGTGTGAACTTTGCTCAAGCTAAATTCAAAATTTTCAAGAAATCGATTTTTGAAAACAAGAAAAAATCTCGGAGCCTTGAATTTTTCGGAATTCCAGGTACGCTCCAATTCTGATGCACCCGGTGATTAGATCTCTGGCCGGTCTCTGGTACTGTATTTATTTGATTGTGGCCGCCTACGGGTGTACCCAACTGAAGGAAGGCCTGGAGCCTGCTAATTTGTTGGTCCGTTTGATCTTAATGGTAAATGATGTAGATAGAACCTTCAGGTCGACGACTCCTACGCGACTCCGCATTACCGAGTCCTGAAGCATCTTTACTGGCACTACGGGGCTTCCCTCCAAATTGTCGTCAACGACGCTCCAGACTTACGGATCGCTGCCAACCGGCGAGAGATTGATTATATGGTTTGTTAAAAGTATATAGTCTGTTGAGATTTTGAATGTTAACACGCTGTCTCCGTTATTCTCAAAAACAACGGGTACAATAAAAAAAAACATTTTTTGATTTTGATGAAACTTCATCCAGTGTGATAGCCAATCGTCAGAAATGCGGACCCAACTTTTTGAGTCATTTCCTCTTACTGTAGCCGGGTTACGGTAGCCAGGTAGGCACCTGCGTATCTCAGTATTGAAGAGTTTTTAGTAGACGAATGATATATCAATCGATAGGTAATCCAAATTTGAAAACTTTTACAGTACATACCATCTTGGGTTACTGTGGGAAAATTTTGAGTTACGGCACTTTTTGCGTCTGTCGAGTTAGTTTTTCGACCACCACGAGCTTGAGCCGGGAGATCCATTCTTCCTAGCTCCTCAAAAGATACCTTATGAGAAGCTGTACAAGCTGGTACTAGTTTGAAGAAATCCTAGGTGGACCATCATTTCGAAAAATCGCCCCGAAGGCGCGCAATCGTGGTCTTGCGGCGGCCAAGTGGGTGAAGTCTATAATGCCTGACGGCTCATTCTTCAGAGATCCATTCCAATCTTTGTTTCCATTTCACTAATAGATATCTATTATTGTTTATTTCAATTTGAGATGTTTTCGGGTTGACCATCATTTCGAAATTTCATTTTGAACCCAAATTTGGCCTGAAAATGGCCGACTTGGCTTTTTTCACGGGATCCCTGACCCCGTATGTGACCGTTCTCCACTTTTTTCTTCCTTAAAAATGAACAAAAGAGTCTGAACAATAGTTTTATAACGATCGGCAACTATTTTGAGAGGACCATCATCTCGAAATCTCATTTTGAACCCAAATTTGGCTTGAAAACTTTTGGTTTACCCTTTTAATGAGATTATTGGTTCCATCAATACAGATCTTGGCCCTTTTCACTTTTTAAAGAGAATATAAACATGAGAACTGAAAATAAATTCTATTTTGGATCAATTCCAAAATGACTGTTTACCTCGGAAACCCACTTTTAAATAAAATTTCGCTTGAAAATCGAAATATTTTTTTGGTTTTTTTTTCACAAAAATAGTCACAAGACGAATGTCTTGTTTTTTAGGTATGAAAAAGTCTGAAGATCCAGAACTACTATTTAGGTTATAATGAAAAAAAAAACATTTATAAAACATCAGCTTGAAAGTTAAGTTTCAACCTCACCGGTGGTCAGAGTGTCGGGTTTTTTCTTTTATGAAAATGAGATTTCGAGATGATGGTCCTCTCAAAATGGTTTCCGATTGTTATAAAACTATTGTTCAGACACTCTTGTTCATTTTTAAGGAAGAAAAAAGTTGAGAACGGTCACATACGGGGTCAGGGATCCCGTGAAAAAAGCCGAGTCGGCCATTTTAGGCCAAATTTGGGTTCAAAATGAAATTTCGAAAGGATGGTCAACCCGAAAACATCTCAAATTGAAATAAAAATCAATAATAGACATCTATGAGTGAAATGGACACAAAGATTGGAATGGATCTGTGAAAAATGAGCCGTCAGGCATCATGGACTTCACCCACTTGGCCGCCGCAAGACCACGATTGCGCGCCTTCGGGGCGATTTTTCGAAATGATGGTCCACCTAGGATTTTTTCAAACTAGTACCAGCTTGTACAGCTTCTCATAAGGTATCTTTTGAAAAGTTAGGAAGAATGGATCTCCTGGCTCAAGCTCATGGTGGTCGAAAAACTGACTCGGCAGACACAAAAAGTACCGTAACTCAAAATTTTTCGACCGTAACCCAAAATGGTATGTACTGTAAAAGTTCTTGAAATTGGATTACTTATCGATTGATATATCACTCGCCTAGTAAAAACTCTTCAATACTGAGATACGCAGGTGCCCACCTGCCTACCGTAACCCGGCTACAGTAAGAGGGAATGGCTCAAAAAGTTTGGTCCGCATTTCTGATGATGGGGTATCACACTGGATGAAGTTTCATCAAAATCAAAAAATATTTTTTTTATTGTACCCGTTGCTTTTAGAAATTTGTGAGAATAACGGAGACAGCGTGTTAAGTCGTCGCTCAAGCTCCGCCCCTAATGGTGCGACAAACCACAGAGAGCGAGCCATATACAGAGTGTTTTTGAATTACGTCATTGCTTCTTTACATTAAAAATCTGAACAGACTATATCATTGAATCAGGGAAAAAAGCTCTGAAATTCACGCCGGGAAATGAAAAAAGCTGAAGGCACGCTGAAAAAACGAGCTGTGATGTTGAAAAAAAAACTTTCAGTTTGGTAAATTTGAAATCATTTTTGAGCACCTTTTTTTTCAGCAAATAACTGGAATTTTCACATTTATCAACAAAATAATGGGAATCTTTCTTTAAATATCAACGGATGTAGCATAATGATATAGATTGCTATAGTACAATGGAAAGTTAATTTTTTTTAATTTTTTGATGTTTTTTTGTTGAGCACACTTTTCAAAATAATTTTTCCCGATGTCAGCTGTCCTAAATGCATATTTTTCATTTTTCAGGTCTCAACATTCGCCAGAAACCCGATGTCGATCGGCGAAGAAGGTGTTCAGTTCTGGATGGAAGAAATGTCCTTTTATTATGCCTCCCGCAACATTTCTATCATTGATGAGGTTTCTTTTTCAGAAAATTTCGCTTTTTTCATGTTTTCCTCAATATTGCCACATGGAATTTCATTTGCAAACGAGAAAAATGAGAGACTTTGCAGAAGTTCTACGAGATGGCAGCTCGGTACATTTACTCGGATCTCTCCAATCCGTGGGTTTCGGACGTCGCTTGGTCACGATACGACTCTTCTCACTCGATTCGATCTTTCCGGTGAGTTTTCTTGGCTCAGACAGGTAGAATAATAGTTTTTTCAAGTCTTTTTAGCTAAAAAAAAAAGTCGGCAACCATCATTGTCTTATGCCAAATGAGATTGAAAAGGCGTTTTAGGACTCCCTTAGGAGTCTTCCCTAGTGGCCATTTTACATTTTGCTCGATCAGTTTAATTTTTTTTTTTGTAACTGAGTTATCTATCAAGCTCACAAATAACCTCTCATAAAATTTGATCTGTTTTTATTAATTTTTCATTCCTGCGTATCGTGGTCTTTGAGTTTCGCATCAGATAGTTTGATCTATAATGAACGCTTAAAACTTTTAGGTCTTCAACCTCTTTGGTTTAGGCGTTTAGTTAAGGATCTGGTGTTATCACATCAGTTTTTGCATAATAAGTGCTGGTCAGACTCTCCCATCCAGGTACATAACATCTTTGACCGTCCCAGTCAGCTCAGAGGAAATGGTTTTTAAATTAATAAAAAAACGAAACCTTTACTGGTTTTTCTTCAATTTCTTATCACATCGCATTACTAATGTTTGGAATGACATTGAACATGAATTATTGGCAGAGGAAGACAAGAAAAACATTTAAGGACATGTTTTTTTAGTGTATGCAGAAAAATGTTGGCGTCGAGCATATTCTTTCAAGTGTTCACAGATTTGTGCCATAATCAACTTGGTTTTAAATATCTACTTATTATGGTTCTGTTTCTTTTCTTACACAAAAAAACTTTTTTTTTTCTTCACGGGTGGGGTTAGTTAATCCACCTAGTGGTCTTTTTCCCTCCCTGCAACATCACCATACCATTCCGATGTTGCGAAAAATAAAAAAAAATGAAATCTTGGTTTGGCTCTTCAAACCCCAAAACTGCAAATAAAAAAACACTTTCAGCCATTCAGCCATGTAGTTCTGTACAGAAAATTTGAAAGTTCTGAACTTCCTTTTTTTGAGTTTTACTCTGTTCCAAAAGAACAATTGAAGGTTCATGATCGGCATGCGGGACATCTCGACGACGACGCGACAAACGGCTGCGACGAACGCCTTCCGCGATGTCGCGTCGCTGTTCCCCAAGTTCAACGTGACGACGTACATGCCGCTGTGGCTGTTCACCGACCAGTACGCCTTGGTCGTCCCCAACACCATCCAGGACATTGTCATCGCCGTCATCTGCATGCTGTTCATCTCCTCTCTTCTGATTCCCCAGGCCATCTGTGCCCTTTGGGTCGCCGTCACGATCGCCTCCATCGACATCGGCGTCCTCGGCTTCATGACTCTGTGGGGCGTTAATTTGGTCAGTTTCTTTGAATTTTTTTCTTGAAGGAGGAACAGTTTCAATAGGCGGTTGCTTCATATTCCGAACAACCATGTCCTTTTTTTAGTTTTGTCTTATTTCATCAAAATAAAAAATGTGTGACTCTTTTCACATGAACCGGAAAAAAAAATCATTATTTCTTCCTTTTTTCACATAATTATTAAAACTATAGGACGCCATCTCAATGATAACGATTATCATGTCGGTTGGGTTCTCTGTCGATTACTCGGCTCACATAACCTACGCCTACGTCATTTCCAAAGAGTCGACGCCGGCCAGAAGGGTTTGCGACGCCTTGGGCGATCTCGGATGGCCCGTGGCTCAAGGTAAAACTCATCTTTCCAAATTCTCCTGAATAAATCTCATTTTCTAGGAGCAACTTCGACAATCCTGGCTGTTGTCGTGCTTGCCGACGTTCCCGCCTACATGATCATCACCTTCTTCAAAACTGTCTTCCTTGCAATTTCCATAGGATTCCTCCACGGCCTTGTTTTCCTTCCTCTACTCCTATCCGTTTTTGTAGGAGGTTTTACTTTTGATTGAATAACAATTTCAAAATTCTAAATTTTTGCAGGGTGCTGCAGTACCACGAAACAAATCGAAAAAGAAGGCCGGTGAATATCGCGATATCGCCGAACATTAAAAAAGATCTCAATTTCTTGTCTTTGTTAAACGCGGGTCCTCAATTTGAATAAATTATTTACTTTTATAGATACTTGCGATGAAAAACAGAAGGAAAACCATTCTTGTTTCGTTAAAATATTGAATGAATGATAAATCTTTAGGAGTATATGTTCTTTTTTTGTTGATTTTTTTCGAAATAACTACGGGAATTCGAAAATAAAGGACGAAAAAAAACTGAAGCCGTTTTGCGCGTGGGTTTCGGTGTAGACTGCAATAACTTCCACCCAATAGGTTTTAAAAAGAGTTTTTTTACAATTCATTTTTTTCAAAAAATTTTTTTTGAAATTTTTTTGAAATTTTTTTGTTTTGTCTTTTTTTATTGATCAGTTCTTCTTTTTCAACGTTGAGATAGTATGAAGATGGAAATGTTAACTAGATGAATAGAAAAAGATAGGATTTTTTTGATTTTAGAGCAATTTTTCTTATTAAATGATAGCTATCATCCAATAAGAAAAACTGCGCAAAATCAGATGTGTCTTCTCGAGAAAATTCTTTAATTCTGCTCATAAAATAACTTTAACTTTTTCCAATGATTTCTCGGTTTTCGCATCAGTTTCAATTATTGCTATTTTTTTAAATTCAGATGAAGAATGTCAAAGTAAACAATGTACAATCATTCTCGTTTGGTAGTTCAACCGATATTGAGTGCTTTTATTACGATGAATCTTCTGCTACCATGTATATCGCCACCGAGAGCCATCTTGTTATTGTTCCAGAAGACAAAACGGTTTGCTGAGTTTATAGTTTTTTTTTTTCAAAAAAGGGAAGAAATATATTTTGGAAGTTCAGGCCATCGAACAAATCGATTGGAAGGAGCATCGTTCAGACGTCTCAATTCTGTGTATGAATGTGGGTGTCGATCAGAATTTTTTGTTTTCAAAAATTGTATTTATATTCAGATTTATGATCGCGCAATAGTTGCGGTCCGCTCTGACGGAGACTACGTGACCTGTGACCTCGACTCGAAATTGGTTTCTCTCGAAGAATACTGCTTGTAGGTAATCGATTCGTTTCTCCAGGTGGGTTTCATGGAGGGAAATGAACTACATGGCTCAACCGACGCAAAATGGAGTCACGACGAGAGTGTCCTCTGTCTTGCCGACGAATCTTTCTATTGGTTCGTGGGTAGCGACTACGTTTATATTTCTACCGGGTATGCTTCACTTGGATTCTTTTTTTCTGACTGAGGCATCTCCCAATTTCTTAGAGATATCGACGTTGACCGTCTGGTGATGCCAGTGAATGTCGGCTGGGGATCCGCAGAAACTCAGTTTCGCGGTTCTGAGGGCAAGGTGAGTGGAATCCTATCCATTTGGATGACTATTCAGCTTGAGAAATGTCATTGTTTCCTGCTGTCAATTAGTCTGGCAAAACTGAAAAGCTCCTCTAAAGCTGTTTTCAAAAAAAGATGTTCTAAGGGCTCCCAAAAGATCTTTTTCATTAATTTCACTTTTGTAAAACAACTGAAAAGATTCCAGGGGCTTCAAAAAGGATCCTCTGAGGCCATGAAAAATATTTCTATCATTTTGGGAGCTTTTAGCCGAATCTTTTCAGTTCTTTCTGAAGTTCCTCGAAAGAGTATTTTTTAAAATTTCAACTTTTCGTGGGGGCGTATTGAAATTCTATGTATCTGAGTGTTTTTCCTTTGTATACGGCCTCAATCCGTTTTCCCAGACTATTCGCATTTTTTATTTTTAGCGAAGAATTTGTTCCAGAAGAAAGCCGCTGACTCGGAAGCACCAGAGAAGGAACTTTCGAGAAGTTCGGCGACAAGAGTCGAGTGGCGCTGGGACGACGCCTTCGTCGCCGTCTCCTACATGGATCGTCATCGTGGCCGGAGCATAATTGTTTCGAAATATCTCATTTTGCGAATAAAAGTGTCTTTCTTAGATTTTCGACAACGAAGGAGAGCCTTTGCACCGGATGAACCCGTCGAAAAGTCCCCTCGGACACGTTTTCGCCATTCGGCCAAACGCCAACATCATCTGCTCCACAACCATTTTGGACGGCGAGTAGTTTTTATTCGTTTCTGTGAGATTCGTGATTCTCTATTGGAATTGCATATTTTCTGATAAAAACTTCAGTTTACTAGGTTAGAAAACAAATGCGAACAGCACGGTATTTCTTTTTGATAAATTGAAAAACCGAGAGAAAAATCTTTAGTTTTTCCTCAAAAAAATATAAAAAAATAAAGGAAAAAAACTCCAGTGGCAGGCTGACTGAAAAAACTAATATGAACTTCAAACTTTTTCCACTAGAATCTGAATAAGCGTGAGAAAAAAATAAAATCTTTCATAGAAATTTCACAAGAAAAAAATAAATAAAACTTTAAAAAAATTTTGAAAAAAGTTCAAAAGTTGAATATGGACGTCATGTTATGTTTTTCTGAAAAAGTGGAGAAAAAAAAAAAAAAAAATTCAAAAATTCGAATTCAAGAGATTTTTTTCGAAGTGAAGCAAATATTGTAGGTTCAAATCAGCAAAAGTTCATTTTTAAGAATAGAATTTTTCCAAATCAATCAAAGCAGAACAATATTCTCTCAAACACGGAAAGACTTGATTTTGGTTGAAAAATTCCAGGTAGAAGATATTTTTTTACACAAAGCTTGGAGATCCATCGTTGATTAAAATAATTCCGAGGTTTTTCTTCAAAAAATGTTTTCAAGAGGGAAAAAATCGTTATGATAAAAGTTCAACTCTTTTCAACTTTAGATACTGCTCCTAGTGAAAATTTTTCGAAATGGAATATGGTTCTTGCAGAAAACAAAGACGGCCTCGTCTTCTACGAACGGAACGGCGAGACGAGGAACTTCTTCCAAGTGAAATGGAGCGAGACGACGGAGACTTCGACCAGACACATCCAAGGCTTGGCCTGGAACTGCGACGGCTCTCTTCTCGCCATGCAAGTGAAAAATGACGAAGCGACTTTCTGTTAGAATATCCTTCATTCCGAGAGAATCAGGAAGAGATTTCAGTGGAGGTTTGGTGGATGTCGAACTACGAATTGACGAAGAAATGGTCTTGGATGGTCCCTTCAGACGAAGGCCGCGTCCTGTGGAGCTGGCACGATTCCAATGTTAGTTTGAAGAACGGAGGTGTTCGATCAGTGGTTTTTGATAAGAGGGTAGGAAAAGATACTCGAAGAAAATGGATGAACCTCAGAATTCTCGAAAATCCTAAAAGTCGACCATAATAATCTTCGATTCGATGAATTGAAGATCCTCAAGTACAAACTGTAAGATTTTTCGTTTTAAAGAAAAAAAGTCTCGAAGCTTCATTTTAAGGTCTATGAGTCTAGTGATATTAAAAAAGGAGGGGTTCCGTATTTTGGAATCGCATCAATCTATCAGGAAGTGTTTTCTGTATAAAAAAGAGCCAAGGATCTTTGCAATTTATCAAAAAGTTTTTCGAGATGAGCGCTCAAAAATTTTTTTTCTTTTATCCAGCAAGCTGTCTAGGTTGCCAATTTTTTTTCGAATCTAATTTCGGTAAAAAAAAAGAGCTTTTATCAATGTTCATAGGTTTCCTAAAAGTAAGACAAAACAACTTACCTTATAGGTCGGTTTCTGAGAAAATGGTCCTTTTTTTCAGCCCATTTCTAGTTTTTTTTTCAAAATTTTAAAGTGAGAAGGTCTAGTTTATCAGTAAGCCATTTCCAAATTTCAGTGAGCCATTTCCAATTTCCAGGAAACTCGTTTGATAATTCTGACGGCTTCCACCGGGCAACACTACACGGTCGAGTTGTCACCGTACGTCGACTTCAGCCGGAACCTTTCCCTGAACGTCGTCGTGGCCAGTGGTCTGCATATCGACGTTGCTCTGAAATTCGAGAATGTCCGTTCAGGCGAACTGCGGCTGACCAACCTCTGCAAACGCGCCATCCCGCCGCCTTTCAGCGAGAGAACCCTCAAATTGGATGGCGAAGTCGCTTGTCTTGGATTTTCCGAAGACTCGATTGATGTCGTCACTTCGAAACAGCAACTTGTCTCTTGTTCGTGCTTTTTAGTCTTGAAAGGATTGACTATGATGATTATTAGACAAGAAAAACTGTCAAAAGTCGCGAAAATTGCGTAAAAATCGAAAGAAAAATTCAAAATTTTTTTTCAAATTTTTCGATATCATTAGAAACTGAAAAAAATAAAAATAATGGAAAGTATTAAATTCAATTATTTTTCCTCAATTTTTCAAAAGCATCGAAATGAATAGTAATATTCTAGATTCTCTCACAATTAAGGACCTTCTACTCTGCTTTTGGCAATTTTACAAAATAGGCCGAAATACTCCTTAATGCACCAGAAGTATATAATGAAAGTCTCGACCTGCACAAATTTTTTTTTGTCGAGAAATAAGGCCTGAAAGCCCAAATGGCCCATTTGAACGAATTTCCACCGTTTTTTTTCCAACTTTGAAATGTTTTTTTCCCAAAAACTTGGGAGTTCTGAAGGGGAGACTTTCAAAACCTTCACCTCAAGGAGTGTTCTTGCCACTTTTTAGAGAAATCTTAACCACTAAGTAAACTGACATTCCTTGTTGTTTTTCGTTTTGCAAAATCATTTTTCAGATGTTGGAAACAATGAAAAGGACATTCCGAGCTTTGAAGAGAAGATCCGGATACAGCTTCCCGGAAATCAGGCAGATATAATTTGTGGTGTCGTTCAATTAAAAGGCGTTTTCTACATCTGGTGTCATAGACAAGGCATCGACCGAATCTTGTCATTCGATCCAAATACTGAGAAATTCAAGTACGTTTTAAAAATGAGTAGTTTCGAATATGTGTTCTGGTGGCTAGTTTTTCTCGCAATATATCTATTTCAAGACTGAAAAGCTTCGAATAACCCTTTTTTTCATTTTTGCAAACTTTGAAGCGTCACAACTCGAAAAGAAAATCTATTTTTTATGTTATGGTGTTAAGAACCTCCGAAAAAAATATTCCCTGTTAAATTATAATTATTTCGGTTCAGGATGTACGAAGACGTCGATAAGAATGAAATCGGCTGGATCGGAGTGAATCCATCGACAGATTCTGTGGAGTTTGCCACAAGGAATGGAAAGATTTTCGAGCTGGACGAAGATTTCAACCCGAAATCCGTGGCGTCGATCGGGTCTTTCTCCTCGATTTCCATCGATTATCTGGAGGTTCCTAGTTTTCGTAATCCATTCTTCATAGTTTCAAATGACTGGATATCCCACTTTTCCGCGGGTAATTGTTTATTTTCCTTTCTTGGAATCACATATATTAAATTCAAATCTCTGTTTCCTCAAACCAAGCTCACCAATATTCAAACTCGGGGAAAAAAGAAAAGCTCCTCGAAAGCTTTTTTCAAAGATCTTCTAAAGGTCCCCAAAAAACTTTTATGTTTCCCTTTTGAACTTTCACACATCCAATAAGAAAAATATGCTGAATACATATTAAAAAGATCCTCTTTGAAACTTTTTTGAAACTTTTATTCAGTCTTCAGAGAAGGTTTCTCTGCTGAATCATGGAATCATTGAAGAGCTGTTTGTCGGTTCGCGAAACTGTTGTTGATCAAGCGTAGACGGCGCGTAGAGCCTCTCGTCTCTCTTTTGATAGTAGTAGACGACTTTCGAGCGCTCCGGCGATCACTGCTTCTCCATGTAGGAACAGTACGGCGCCCAGCTTGTCCAGGGCTGTCGGGCGTCGGATTATATCTCAGGCGAGAGCGGAAATGAAGAGCGACCACTCGGAAGGTAGAAATGAGATAAAAAAGGTGCTCTAAGGCTTTTTCCCCCCTTCTTACACTTCTTACGTGTTAGGAGCCTTAAGCGGAACCTTTTCAGCTTTTTCTGAGAATCCTCAATATCACTTTTCCGTTTTACCTATGCATATGGTCAAACATGGAAAAACTTTCATCAATTTTTTTTGAAATTGTGATTTTAAAGGTGATACCGAGAAACCATTATTGATTTTCCATTTCCAGAAAAGACGGGTCACTCTCGCTGACAATTGTCTCCTAGTCGATGAGCACAATCTGGAGCGCAACGTCACGTCGGCAATCGTTCGCAATTCTGAAGTCCTCTACACCGACATGAAGAATAAGCTCCGTTTCCTGGGCTTCGAAAACACTAACTTCAAAGGAGATCATGGTGAGTATCGAGGTTCGGAAATTGAAGTTTCGAAACGAAACTCCGCGGATTCCCAGCGTGGGATCAGCCTGTTGGCAAATGCCCAATACAGTTCGAATAGAAGTGCGAATGGGCGGAGCCAACAAAAAAAGCATTAGGAATCTGTTTAGTTTCGACTCTTGCTTTGAAAGAGAGGAACTATTTTTTTCACTAGTGTCAAATAAGCTCCGAACGCAGCATCAGTGATTTTTTCTCAAAATGTGATCGACAGAGTCGCGAGAGCTGGAGATGGGCAGCGAGCTGGTCGCGTGCTCGCCGGACATGACCAACGTCGTCGTCCAGACCCCACGAGGAAACATCGAAACGATCCATCCGCGCAGGTTTCAAACGCTTTTGAAGGGACATGGGCAGTCAAAATATCAGGACATCAGCAATATAATACAGATTAATTGGCCTATTCCGAATATAAACTTGAAATTCGACAAAACTTCATTTTTTGAGACAACTACTCTCTAAGTTTTAGGCCAACCGGCCAGATTTTTTAAACTCCGAAAACTTTTTCAATGCAATGTTCAGAGTGATTCCGCAGAGTTCAAAATAGTTTTCAGTGGGTAAAAAAGATGACTTTTTTGGAGAGTCAGAGATATTTTTGAACTCATCGAAAATTACTATGAACATGGCAATCCTTGGCTCGGTGTACGGGTTTGACTTCGAAAAAATATTAGGGTAATAATGAGAAATTAGAAAATGAAAACTACGTGGAAAAAAAAACCATGTTTAGCAAAAATTGAACCTTGACCTACTCTCTTCACGCTATTTTATGGAAAACTAAGCAGTTTTGTGAAGTTTCAAGTAAGTATCCGGATGGACATAAAGCTACTAATAGATTTCAAACCCTCAAAAGAAATTTGCATTGGACGTAGGCCTTCAATGAACCTTCTTTCATTGGAATAAATCACAGATTCGTCCTGGAAGTTGTTCGGAAAATGCTCGACGCCCGAGAATATCGCCCCGCTTTAATTCTCATGAAAAAACATCGCGTTCCTCTGTCTTTCGCCATGGAACATTGTCCCCATGTAAATCGAGTCTTCTCAAATTTAAATAACTTTTCTGACCACAGAAACTGGTTGAGGACGTCCCTTTGATTGTCAGGGAGGTCGAAGATCCGCAGGTCCTCGAGCAGCTTATAATTAGCTGCACCGAGGAAGGAAATCCCAAGGAGAAGATCGAATATGTGAGGAATTAGCTGGTTCATGAAAGTTCAAATCAGAAATTTCAGCCTCCAGGAAATATTTCCAGCTTACTAGATAGATAAATTGGAATCCATTTTAAAACTTTCTGAAAATTTGAGGTTTTTCAAAGAGGAGATTCAATATAAAAAGCTAGTCCATGAAATTTCATAGTTAGAATCGAATTTTATTAGGATTCTTTTTCTAATAATTTTTTTTCAATTTTTTTTTCCGATTTCAGAGCAACAGGCTGTGCGCGGCGTTTGTAAAGGAAATCCAAGAGATTGAGACGGAAAAACGCCTGAAATTGTTCTCCGTTTTTGGCGGCCGCATTTTTTTGAGGTCTTCTGCGCCGGACATCGGTCAAGCTCTCTTGCAGATCAAGTCTCAACGAGATTCCTTAGGTTTTTTTCAATTCTTAAGACAGAGAAAATATTTGACCTATAGAAGTTTAACCAGTTTTAAAGGATATTTGTTCGTTTGAATTCGCAGAGGAATATTCAGATTTTTCGAGAAGCCGAATTTGTGTTTAGGTTATTTAATAGTTCTTTCCCTTCACGGGTCTTTAAAAGACTCCAAATTTAAAACGAAAATCGATTTTTTGGTCTCGAGGCCTTCATTTTTGTTTCTAGTTTAGGTCTGGTTTCAATTTCCTGAGTTTTTTTTTCCAGATTTTCTTATCGAAACGTTTGCAGGAAACGAGAAAGACCGCGACTTCTTCACCCGTTCTTCTCTACATCATCTGACTTTCTTCGTTCCCGCCAAAAGTCTTTTCAATTCCGCCCTTGCCACCTACGATCTTCATCTTGCTCAACAAGTGAAATGAATGGAAATCGGGAAAAAAGAAGGTTTTTCTAGGTCGCCGAAGCCTCCAATCAAGATCCCAAGGAGTTTTTGCCGCTTCTCAACGAGCTCAACAAGGTTGTTTTTCGAGTCGATTGAATCTTTTTATGAAAGGTTTTTTCCTAAAATAATTAAAAATTCAACCGGCGAACTCCGAAAAATTAGTCAATAATGACGTCAGTCCGTGGAACTTATGCGTGAAAATCTTTTCTGGGGGGTTTTTTTTAAAGGCGGGTGTTGTTAAAATTGCATAGAAAACGTTTTTTGTTTCGAGACCTTTACAACCTTCACACATACATCTTGAAGCATCTTGTTAAAATATTATCAATCAACTATACTCACTAGGGAACTACTCGGACTCGGGTACCCATTTCGAGTTGAAACTTTAGTGGCTTATAGACCCGGGTAAGAGTACTTGAAAACAAGAGAGAATATCTGCTAAACACCTTAGAGAACTGAGAAAAAATTAGTAGAAAATGTGCAGATTAGGCCTGAAAATTATCAAATATTTGCTTTCCTCCTTCTTTTGACTGAAAAAAAGTTTTTTAGAGTGTATCATAGTCGGATCATTCAAGGCGATTGTATTAAAATATGAAATAAGGTAAGAAGCAGTATTCTGAAAATTTTCAAGCCTAATTTTCACATTTTCTACTAATTTTTTCTCGGTTCTCTATTAGGTTTAGCAGATATTCTCTCTTGTTTTCAAGTATTCTGGCTTGGGTCTATAAACCACTAAAGTTTGAACTCGATTCGCGTACCCGAGTCCGAGTAGTTCCCTAGTTAGGACAGGTGAATTTGAAGTCAGAAGAACACTTTTTTAGGTGTAAAAATGGTGAAGTTTTTCAAATCGATAAAAAAGAGCTGGAGTCTTGAGCTCATTTAATTCAGAAAAATGTCAATTTGAAAGATTTTCCCCCTTATTTTCTTTTTTTTTTTGCAATCATTCCATCAATGCTTCGATATTTCGTCGAGTTTAACCTCTCCAGGCTGAGGTTATATCAGGGATTCTAGTGAAAATAGTCTTTTGGAAAATAACGAAACTGAATATCTAGATCAGCGACCAACTGGAAAAGCGATATCGCATCGATTGTGTGCGAGAAGACTGGAAATGTGCCGTCCGAGATCTTCTGGAGCTCGACGCCAAGTCCGACGACGACGTCTGGTGGCAGAAGGCGCAGGCCTTGGTCGAAGAGCACTCGCTGCACGTCTTCGCCATCAGCTCCTCTGAAAGAACCTCTCCAAGATACTCGGTTCGACGCTTTTTGATATTCATGGCGAGAAACAACCATCACTCGAATCTCTGTAATGCAAATCAGACGCTCCTCGGACATTTCTGAGCATTTCTAGGGATCACTTCAGCGGCGTCATCGCTCTTGTAGCCAATAAAGGGGGAGGGATTAAAAAAATTAGACAATGAAGCATGTTTAAAATTTTGAGTCTGTATTTCTTTGACTCGAGAAATAGTCCAGGCACGATAAAAGAAGAGATAGTTCCTGGTTAGTGGAGAGCTTAAGCAGGCCACGCCCCTTAGCGTCCCAAACTAACCGGGAATCGACTATAAGTGATTAGGACATTGGTAACACAAAGCAGACGAGCCCCATCTGTTTCTAAGCATGTCTAAGTGGTCACTTCAGCGACGTTGGTACTTTCAAGTAATTTCCATCTCGCAAATGCAAACCAGACGCTCCATGGACTTACTGGGTTTTTCTAGTGATTAATTAAGAGTTTCTTCAGAATCTCTGCGAAATTTACGCGAATAAATTGGAGAAGAAAGCGGCGTGGGCTCAGGCGGCGACTTTCTACGAGCTTTCCGGCAATCAGGAGCAGGTAGAAAAGTTTTCAATCATTTTCCTATTTTTGTATTGTAACGGAAAGTGTTGGCTAAAAAATTGTGAGGATTTTCATTTGGAGTTTCAGGAATCAGCTTTTTGATTTTTCCGGTTAACCAGCTACCACCTTACGTCCATGAAGAAGTATATATATTATTAGTCTTGATATATTTCAGAGCTTACGATGCCTGACAATGGACCGGAATTTCGAAGCCTATCTCCAAGCCGCCAAACGGTTTGGCGTGGATCCTGCCGAGATGAAGCCTCAACTGGAGCGTATGGCCGAAGCTCTTCGTCTCGCCCACAAACATCTCGACAGATCTCTCGCGTTGCGCGAAATTGTTAGTTTTTCAAATATAAAGAAGGGGTAATTCTCGTGGTAGCGTTCAAGTTGGAGAGATGCCGGAGAGCTAGAATGTCTCTTTATTTCCTATGTTCTCTCGTCATCCTTCCATCCGGCGTTTGGTTGAAAAAGGCCTCTTTTTTGAAATAAAGTACACATTGGGTTTTTTCATCTAAGCCTTTCTCAGAAAAATCTTCATTTTTTGTACGTTTGTGCTCTATGGAGTTTCATCAAGAACTTTTTTTGATTAATAGTTTTAAAAAAATTTCACTCAAGTGCCCACTCACAGGGCAAACCGTGCGTAGAAGTTGTTGAGGCGTTCTGCGACGGTCAACACTGGCTCAAGGCGCGAAATTCTATCGGAGTCCCTCTAGTGAGCACTTCTTCGGCGCCAGGTAGTTTTCAGAGTAATCTGACGTCAAAATGAGGTTAAAAACTTAAAAAAACTGATTTGACAGATCAAATCTGAAAATTTGATTTTCCTAATAATTTTGTTCAACGACGTTCCACTTGACATGTCGAAATAAGCGAGAGAACAGCAGCGGCAAGAAGAGACACCAGAAAAGTTGATGTCTTCTGTGTCTTCGTCGTCTCATCATGTCACCCTTACTTTTATTGCGAAACTCGTTTTTTATCAAAAATTCGAGCAATCTTCTGAATAGCTCTGTTGAGAATGGTTTTATTTATTTTTCGCTGATATTGTGATGAGGCTGGTCCCTACAGGGGCAAAGGTTCCCTTCTAGAGGCCGCTTTATCTTCCCTTATAGGGGCCGCTAAACCTTGAGAAAGTTGCTCCTATAGGGGAGATGCCAGTCGATTATTGTTATGAAATATGAGAACAAGCTTTTTAATAAAATTATAATAAACCCATTTAAGGACCACATAAGTTTTTGTTTTGCTGATTCTCCCCGTTACACTTCTAGGGATCATTCCGGAGTTCTTATGTTTGCATATGATTTCCAATAATATATATTTTGATTCTCAGAAATCGATAGACTAACAACTCGTGCCAGGGATAGACGAGAAGCTATGGAAAATGAAATCGAACGAAGAAAAACCGAATTCGAAAGGTTTCGGCTTTCTTTTTGATGATTGTTGATAGTTTTTCTGGTTTTCAGACATTTTGAACGGCTCAATGTTGTTCGGGAGAATAAAAAGTCGAACATTGAGCGGATCGGGGTCGACGATCCTTTTGAAATACTCGATGTGGGTTTTTTGAGGAAAAGCTTGGTTTTGAAAAGGAACTTTGTCTCAAACTGTACTTTGTGGAAGATTTTTCTTTTTAGGTAATATTAAAAAAACAAAAATTTTTCGTATTTTTTTCTGGTGTAAAAATTGACAAACGAAGGGCGAAATTTGTATAATTAACAGATTTCTGAGCGAGTCTTTATTCTTCCAAAATAGCAAAAAAAGCAGTATTTAGTACCTTTTTTTGTATCGAAATCTCTGTTCAAAAAGTTTTGAAGAGGTAAAAAATGTTCCGTTCAGTTTTCAAAAAAATCGGTTTCTTCGAAGGAGGAGCTGATTTGACCAAAAAGTTTTTAAAAAAAGTCAGACTTGTCTTTTTCAGATGCCTTTTTTTTGTCAAGTTTGTCTTTTGTTCAATATCAGCAGAAAATATTACTTGTAACTTAACTTATATTAGGAATCTCTGCCTTTCAAAAAAGTTTTTTTTTCTCATCACTTTTTTCCCTTTTCTTTAGCCTAAGAGTAACTTCCGGATCATATTTTTATTTCTCAGGACAACGCCTCTCAAGTGACTTCTTCCACCACCAGATCCACAACTTCAAGCCGACTCAGCGTTGCGTCCACAGTGCGGAGGCAGAAACAGGTACACAATTCTATCGATTTTCAAGCTTCATCATTTTTTTCAGATTGAGAAGAAGAAGAACTCTCTGAAAGAGGGCGGGGAATACGAAGATTCCGCCTTGCTTATCGCGTTGGCCGCCCACTACAAATGGTACTCTTCCGTCTTAGGTGAGAAGCCTTTTCCAGGTCGAGTTGTAGTTAACTTTTTTTGAAATGGAAGCGGATGAATCTACCTAAATTCCAATTTATATGTATTATTGAAAAAAACTTTCTCCTTCCAACGTTTTTATTCATTTAGTCAAATGTTGCGTTGAAAGTGATTCCGCCAAAATCAAAATAGCCGCAAGACAGTGAAAAATATAACTGAAACTTGGAGAGTCAGAGAAAACTTTGATTTTCGTGTGAATGAATTTCGAAAAAAAAAATTCAACCGAAAATCGTCGAAGTCGTTGAGAAAGAGCCGACTGACTTGGCTGAAGCAGCGAAAAATCTCGGAGGTCGATTCACGAGTCTCTTCAAGAGAAGCCCAGCTCATCTCGACTATCCAACATCCGAAATCTACGAAGGATCTCTGCAAGACACCAACCGCGCCAACGAGTTGGAAGGTGAAGCTCTCACCCACCAAGTCCAAGTCTATCACAGCGGCCGATCTGACGAAGTACAACCGAAAATCGTCGAAGCCGTTGAGAAAGAGCCGACTGACTTGGCTGAAGCAGCGAAAAATCTCGGTGGTCGATTCACAAGTCTCTTCAAGAGAAGCCCAGCTCATCTCGATTATCCGGTTTCGGAAATCTACGAAGGACCTCTGCAAGACACCAACCGCGCCAACGAGTTGGAAGGTGAAGCTCTCACCCAGCAAGTCCAAGTCTATCACAGCGGCCGATCTGACGAAGTACAACCGAAAATCGTCGAAGCCGTTGAGAAAGAGCCGACTGACATGGCTGAAGCAGCGAAAAATCTCGGAGGTCGATTCACGAGTCTCTTCAAGAGAAGCCCAGCTCATCTCGATTATCCGGTTTCGGAAATCTACGAAGGACCTCTGCAAGACACCAACCGCGCCAACGAGTTGGAAGGTGAAGCTCTCACCCAGCAAGTCCAAGTCTATCACAGCGGCCGATCTGACGAAGTACAACCGAAAATCGTCGAAGCCGTTGAGAAAGAGCCGACTGACTTGGCTGAAGCAGCGAAAAATCTCGGAGGTCGATTCACGAGTCTCTTCAAGAGAAGCCCAGCTCATCTCGATTATCCGGTTTCGGAAATCTACGAAGGGCCTCTGCAAGACACCAACCGCGCCAACGAGTTGGAAGGTGAAACTCTCACCCAGCAAGTCCAGGTCTATCACAGCGGCCGATCTGACGAAGTACAACCGAAAATCGTCGAAGTCGTTGAGAAGGAGCCGACTGACTTGGCTGAAGCAGCGAAAAATCTCGGAGGTCGATTCACGAGTCTCTTCAAGAGAAGCCCAGCTCATCTCGACTATCCAACATCCGAATTCTACGAAGGACCTCTGCAAGACACCAACCGCGCCAACGAGCTGGAAGGTGAAGCTCTCACCCACCAAGTCCAGGTCTATCACAGCGGCCGATCTGACGAAGTACAACCGAAAATCGTCGAAGTCGTTGAGAAGGAGCCGACTGACTTGGCTGAAGCAGCGAAAAATCTCGGAGGTCGATTCACGAGTCTCTTCAAGAGAAGCCCAGCTCATCTCGACTATCCAACATCCGAAATCTACGAAGGACCTCTGCAAGACACCAACCGCGCCAACGAGTTGGAAGGTGAAGCTCTCACCCACCAAGTCCAAGTCTATCACAGCGGCCGATCTGACGAAGCACAACCGAAAATCGTCGAAGTCGTTGAGAAAGAGCCGACTGACTTGGCTGAAGCAGCGAAAAATCTCGGAGGTCGATTCACGAGTCTCTTCAAGAGAAGCCCAGCTCATCTCGACTATCCGGTTTCGGAAATCTACGAAGGACCTCTGCAAGACACCAACCGCGCCAACGAGTTGGAAGGTGAAGCTCTCACCCACCAAGTCCAAGTCTATCACAGCGGGGAGTTTCTTCTTCTGTCGAGCAAGATCGCCTACACGGATGGGTTCATTTACCTCGGTACCCATCTCCACTTCGCTGATGCCTCAAAAACCGAAATCCAACGCAGAATTCGTTCTGCATGGAGCGTCTTCCACAAGTTCAAAACGCACTTAACACGAAGAAACGTTTCCAATGTACACAAAGCCAAGATCTACAACATGTGTATTGAACTAGCCTTTCTCTATGGTTCGGAAACATGGACTCTAAAGAAGAAAGAGAGGGACCTTCTCGCAACAGCACAGCGGAAAATGATGCGATGGATGCTCGGAGTAACACTGCTCGACAGAAGAAGAAACTCCTGGCTCTATGAAAGGTTGAAGCTACGCGAAGTTCGGTCGGAAGCTGTGAAGAGAAAATGGCTTTTCGCAAAGAAGATCGCTACGGGAGAAGACACATGGGCGAAGAAAATCGTGGAATGGCGACCATGGGCGAAAAATCGCGAAGTTGGACGATCTAAACCTCGTTGGCAAGATGACCTACGAGCAGTTCTTGGTGAAAGATGGGCGACAGTTGCGCGAACCGACAAACATCTCTTCAAATATTCCATGATTCAGCAGATACATGATTACTCTGAGGACTGAATAAATGTAAATGTACAAGATCTGAGTCCTACATCAAGTTTCGACAAAAGTCCAACCAGGGGTTACAAATTTCTCTATTTTAAGGAAATTTTGAATTTAGGGGGTCCTGAAGTATTTCTTTACAAAGTCGCATTAAATTCCAGTAATTTGACCTTTTTCCTTCCCATATTAAGTAATTTCGTTCAGATGAAGCGACACAACTCGTCCAAGTCCTCGTCGCCTTGACGTTTGTTGAAGAGGCGAGCCGACTGCAGGAACAGTTCGAATCCTTTGCCAAGCTTCTAAGCCACCACAAGTCGGCGATCTGGCCGACAACCCTGTCGCCTTGGATGCTGCCTGGCCCTTTCCACGCTCTCGTGCGTCTTTTCCAAGTGTTCCAAAAAGCTTCCGAGCTACTCCGATGCTATTGAGGGTAGAACAACCGTACTAACACGTGGTATCAGCGGGTGCCCCGTATTGAGCCCATATAAGAACAGCTGGTTTAACTTTAGGCTTTTTCACCCCAGCTGAGACACCCTTTTCAAATTTTTGAAGTAAATACAGCTGGGCCTTCTATTTTTTCTTACACCCGTTTTTTTTCTCGTTTTAGCCCAACTGAGACACAAAAAACACTGGTTCTAAACGGGCCCACCCGTTGAGACACTGGCCTGCATGAGGGTACATTTTTTTTGGGGGGGAAACTGAAACTTCTACGAAATCTCTAGAAGCTAATGATTTTTCGAAACTTACCATATGTCTGTAAGACATTCCCGATCGACCGTATTTGTCAGTCCCAAGAAAAACCGAAAAAATTTAGAAGAGTAGTCATACAATCCTCGGCCAACCGTTAGGGCCGCGTCGCGGCTTGCGAAGCGGTCAAAAATTTGCCATTTTTTGCGTCTTTTTGCCTCAAAATGTGTCATGAAAGTTTCCGTAATTGGATCGAGTGATCCAAGATTGTATCTCTTTACCGTGGTACTACTGGAGAATGTGAAGAGCAGCCAAATGACTTGAAAAAGGCTCATAAAATCAATCGATTCCCAAAAGAAGACGGCTATTTCCAGTACACGGCCGAGCAGATTGTCCATGGCACGCCTTCTCGAATGCCGGCTGTTATAAAACTCGGTATGTTGATTCTGAAATCGGCAAATTCATGAATAACTTGTTGAGAACAAGAAATGATGCCTCCAGAGGAACAATCGAGAGACTCGACGTCTTTTTGGTTCAAAGCGTGAGAAAATCCGGTTTTTTATTTGCATTGTTAACTTGTTACCTTGTTGATTTGTTGATAATTAATAAAAAATGAAATTTCGAAAAATTATTTTTTTTTCTTGAAAAATTGGCTAGATCTGCTCAAAAATATTAGTTCGGGGTTCAAAGGAACATATTTTTGTATAGGTCTCGAGGCGAAAAACCGTTCTGAGTGTTTTTCGAAGTTGTGGAGAACCTTTGCGCTTCTCGGAGAGTTCTTTAACAGATTGAAAATTTGAAAAAAAGGTCAGGGTTATTTTTTTTGCTTTTTTTTCAAGTTTTAGTCATCTTCATTCAAATTATGAAAAAATTTACTTTTCAAGTTCGTCTCAGTCACAGTTCCTGCTGTGAGAGCTTGCAGAGAAATAAAAGACAAAAACAAGAAGTTTCTTCTCCGAAATTTCAATTGATAGATTCGATGAAATTCAAAAAAAAAAAGTTTGGGAGCCGTTTTTCCTTTTTCAGTTTCCGAAAATTTGTGTATATTTTCCTCACGTCTCAAAAAGGAAAAAAAAGCAATCAGGCGAAAAAAAGAACGGCGCTAATAGAAAATTCGATGGCAATTCGAGACGTCGGCTCCAAAAATGGTCATTCTCGCTCTTTTTTCTCCTCTTTGCCCTTTTTTGGTGTTGGACGACGCTCAAATTGCTTCAAGCTCTCATCGATTCCGTTGCATTTGGTCGTGCATTCATGGTTTGCCGATAGATTTACTCATTTCTCATTCATTTGAGTGCTCTTTCTTGTTCGTTTCTTTTCAAGAAAATGGCTGCGCTTGTAATAAATTTCTTGACTTTCCTCCTTTTTTTCTTAAAAGTGGATAAAAGTAGTTTACTGCTTTTTTAAAATTCAAAATTCCTCAGAGTTTCAAAAAGAATACGAAAATTGATCCATCGCGGTAAAGCATTGAATGCAGATATATTAAAAGTTTTCAAAAACAGATTTGAAGCAAAAATAAATTCAAAATGTGCCGATACCATTTATTGAATGTCCTGCGTAAATCCAGGGTCAAGTTCAAATTTGGCGCCTAAAGATTAGGCTCCGCCCATCTAATAATGCCACTCTCTCTTTTGAAAAGCCAACCAGGAAGGTCGGTAAGGGGATTAATTTTATTTGTTTATGTTTCGAAATGTAGATTAGAATACATCATGAATTAAATAAATTTTTTTCTGGGACTTTTAAATATCATAATTTTTTTCATTTTTTTGAGAACGGAAGCTTCGAGTTATTTTTTTGTATCAAAGCCAATTCTTAGCGTTAGTTTTTTTGAAAAAAATGCAGTATTTTTTTCTGAAATATTTTAGAGTCTTACTTTCAGTTTTTCGGATAATTTCAAAAAAATAATAATTCTACTTTGTTAAATTTGAAACCTTTAAAGCTTCTTGAACCGATTTTTCTATTTCAAACGCTTTATTTTTACTCGAGAATTGCCCTTCTTCTCAATTTCTGTCTTTCGAATGATCGTAATATCACGGTGATTTGTCAAGTTGTCAGTTGTTTTTTATTTCTCTCTTTTCTCGGGCTTTTAACGACCTTGTTGGTTGGAACGAAATCTCAAGGCCATTTTCCCCGTTCCTACACATCGTTTTGCGATGCAAAAACATGAAAAAGTAGACATTTTTTGCGAATAAACAAATTTTTTGTTCTTTGTTCAGAGTTTTTTTTTTCGATTTTTCGTCTATAGTCTATTAAGATTTTGCATGCCAAGTCGTGCTTCAAGCTCCGCCCCTAATAACGCGATAAACCCAGCAGAGATCGAGCCATCCACTGAGCGTTTCGAATGAAAGTTGAAAGTTTGAATCTGAAGAGACTATATATTTCGAAAATTTTATTTTGATCCTCTCAACCTTTCGACAAATCATAATTTCCCTCAATTTATTCTCACCAACTTCAACAATCAAGCTTTTATGACCGTTGTTGCAATGATACCAATTATTGATGGTTTTTCGTAAATTCAGGGTCAGATTCAAAATTGGCGCCAAGAGATAAGGTCACGCCCCCTTGATTTTTCCTATTTTCCAGTTTTTGAGGAAATTTCCTCAAAAAGTTTCAAGCTTTGCCTGAAGATCAAGCTTGAAATTCAGAAACATAATAATTTTTCTTATTTTAGGCTTTTGTCGAAGTTTTCTGAGTGAATCAAGAGACGAACTTAGACTACACAAGGTTAGATCAGGCTCCTGTCTATCATTTTGAAGGAATTTTTTCCAAATCTTTCAAATAAGAATGTTTCATCATTCAGTGCAAGTACTGACTCACAAAAGTTTCCCAACAAACTCGATTTCATCTTTTTTTCGAACAGAAAAGCAATGAGAAATGTTGCAGCTTTTCCCAAGGCACTCGAATAACTAAACGGAATGAGCATTGAGCAGAAGAAAAAACAGCTGAGTGCCGCTTTGCAAACTCTTTTCTATTGATCCGATAAGTTCCGGGGGCAGTTGTTCGAGGTTTTGCCCTACGGAAGAACACGTGTGTGTCGCCCTTTTTTTCGAAACATGCATGATCATGAGACTGACTGAGCGAGGCCTTTTTTCAAAGACTTTAGTTCTCCACGTTTTTTCGTATTTTCCGTTTCTTTTTGTAGATGAGAGCTTAATCATTTATAATTGGATTTATGAATTAAATCTTTGAGTTAATTACTCATTCGATTCTCAAATAATCGAAACTTTTTTGAAGAATTTCAAGTTTTTCTCCTCCTTTTTTTCAAATATTTTTTTGATTTCGATATGAAAACCGAAGAGCTTAAAATTTGTTCATTCTCTCTTCAGTTTTTTTGAAAGAAATATTTTTTTCATTTTTTTGATCGATACATGATTATTTTTTTGTTACAGATTCAAGGAAAACCCTGGTTTTTTTATAATAATTTTTTTCTGGATCTTTGGAATTTTTTTGTCTACAGTTGAAAAAAATATTTTTTTGTCTGAATTTTTTTCATCATTTAGACTTGAAATAGACATTTTATTAATTAAATCTTCATAAAATGCTATTTCCCTCGGCCTATTTATAAACCGTTGTGCTTGTTTCGATGAAAAAAACCTGTCATTTCAAGGTCAATTATCCGCGACAAGAGGGCGTGTTAATTGGAGAAAATTCTCCCTTTTTCCACTCGACTATGAATCTAACCTTCTATTCTAAGAAAGGAAACTAGAAATTTTTCTTGAAAAAAAAAGAATTTTATTTTTTTTCCATAAAGTGCAGAAGTATTAACTTAATTTTTTGTCTTTTTTTTTATAAAAAGAGAATAAATGCGAGGTTTTCCGGTTAAAGTCCAATCCCAATGTTTGAAAAGATGAGCAAGAGCCCATTTTTTTAGGTACTTGCGAAAATTCGAGTCCATTCTTTTCAGTTTTGCTGTTTGTTAACCTTTTGACGTTCCACGAAACTTTATCCGAACCTACTGCTTCAAAGAAAAAAATTGATTTTTTCCGAAATTTGTGCTCGGCTTGATCAAATGAAAAATTGGCGACAAATTTACACAAACACTGGACGAGCAAACACGGGCGACGCGCGAGAAGAAAAAAAGGAGTAAAAAAAAGAGGAAAGAACGGGTAGAAAGTGGGCGTGTCGACATGGCTCCGCCCCCTTCTGCAACTTTGTTCGTGTTTTTTTTCCAGTTTTTTTTTTCAAATATTTAGAGGCAACTTCAGTGTTTTGACGTTTCAGAGTAATCGAAAAAGTGGCCACTTGAGTGACTAAGAGTTGGTGTCCTCTTTAGATATTCAAATGGTACTACTAAACATTTTAAAATGAAACTACTATATTGGCCGCTAAGACTCAAAAAAGTGGCTTCTATAGAGGTGATCCTAGTGGCCACCTAAGTGACATTTCTTAGTAATTATTGAGCCACCACTGAAGTTTTTCCCAGTCTCCCACTTTGGTTCAAGTTGACTTGGAACCCGAAAAAACAGGTTTTTCCCAAGCGCAAACTTATCAATCGATATCCCTTCGGTTCGATGTTGCAACATTCTCGTCAAACCACGCCCATCAACCCACAAACGATTGTTGTTTTATCCGGTTGTCCTCCGAATTCGGATCGTTTTGATTGGAAAAGGGCAATTTCCACGAATTTGTCTCTCTTTGAGTAGTTTTCATCGACCACAGTCTTTTTTGTTCCCTTTTCAAAAATTTCTATCTTTGGGAACTATTTCTTGAAAATCATTTTCCTTTCTTAGGTTTTTCGCTAGAGTTTGAAAAAAAGCCAAAAAAATAATTCTTTTTACACAACGTCTTTTTGAAGCTATTTTTAATGGAGATAATGTGCTCTATCGATAATTTTTTTGCAACCCATTTTTTAAGCTCAGAGAACTTTTCTTAGATGCTTCAAGCAATTTTTCAGATTTTTCACATTATTTTTCCTTCAAACCAAAAATCGATATTCATGAGCCGTATTCGTACTTTTTTTCTATTTCAAAAAAAGTTAGTTTAATCTTTGATTTAAATAAAATTACCGAAAAAAATGGGTCCAACAAAAAAAGTGCATGTTATTTTTGAAAGCGTTTCACAGGAGAGGTGCTCATTTCCATATTTCGGATCAAATTTCAGAGACCTCATTTTTTTCTCACCTTTGGTCCTGCGGCAATATTTTTTTCTCACTACAGGTTTATGAGCTAATTTCCTCTTTTTGAATTTTTGTACTTTTTATTTCGTTCATTCATTTTTTCAAAGTTAAAGTTCGTCTTTTTCCTTCTTTTTTCACTAGTTTGATAATATTCTTCTAACTTTTCAAGAAAAGCCTGAGCTTAGCCTAATGAAAACTAAAATGAGAATTTCAGAAACTTTTTTTATCTATTTTTTTCTCCAATTTTTTTCAGCGCGTGAGCCTACATATCTTAACTGTAATTTTTTAAAATCGTTTTTCCCTGTTATTTCTTATTTTTTTCTTCAAAATTGCTTTGTATGCTTTCTGATAGAA